GAATATTTCTAATAGTTTATTACAAACTTCCTCATCAACAACTCCTTATCCAATTGGTTATATTGAAAATTTCATTATTGTTGAAACTCTGAGTGGTAGAAATGCTGATAAAATATGTAAAAGTATTTTATACGAATTGTACCATTCAAAACAGTTGAATGAAGATTGTTTTAGTATGAGAATAGGATTATATAATTGGTATAATATATCTAAAATAACGAAAATTAGTTGTAAAAACAAATTTGACGTTTTTACTTGTCAGAAGAATCTAAGTATTAATTAATTGATATAATAAATATATTAATATGTATATAGATAATTTTTTCCCCAATAAGATAACGATATCAAGAGGCAATCTGTTGAACCGATACTGCAAAATGAAAATCTTACTCAACTGTTTTATTGCAATAGTTCAAACATCTACGTAAATATAATATACTTGTGCGATAAGCATAAAGATTGCTTACCCTTTGGTGAAGATGAAGAGAATTGTGAACTATTTCAATCCTTCCATTGTTCTGATGGAAAGGAGATACCATTTCATTTTGTTTGTAACTTCAAACAAGACTGCTCCGACGGAGTTGACGAAGATTGCGGTATGAATGAAACATTTTCTGCTTTTTTGTCTTATAATGTAAGATTATGTTGAGCTCTTTTCAAATTTCAGTATGGCCTATCTGTCAGGACAATTTTACGTATAAATTAACATATACTATTCTTACTAATAACCTCAATTAATCCTATACTTTCTTAATGAATCTTAACTGAATAGTTGCGATAATAAAAGATGTTTATCTAAAAAGAATATCTTTAATCATGAAAAGAACTGCGAAGATAATAGCGACGAAAGAAATTGGGATAAAAGTACTTGTTATCTTTAATAGAACGAACAAATTGACCTATTTGAAATTATACAGAATTCTGTCAGGGTTTTCCATGCAGTAACCTTTGTTTAAGAGAAGAGCGAAAATGCGACTTTAAACAAGATTGTCCAAATAATGAGGATGAAGAATATTTTATGTGTTTTAAATATAAATTAAAAGGTTTTTTAGACTTGAATTCATTGTTGCAAGTATAACTTATCATTATCATTTATCATCAAGAATGTAAATACATTATTAACAATCCGGAAGGAAAGAGGAACGTTTTGTCCCAATTAAATCCAAAGATATATTTTAATCGTCCTATACAACAGTGTTCTAATGAAGAATACGCATGCATTGCAGGTGACAATTGCATAGCGTTACCTAAAATTTGCAACGGAATTTAGGATTGTAGAAACGGAGATGACGAAGAGAATTGCAGTAGTTTGTCATAATTAACTATGGAATGAATAATGGATTTATATACAGTAGATACGTTTCTATTAGATAATTTTATCCTACCAAAACATTTCAAATGTAAGGCAAAACAACAATTCATTTCTATTAAACATGTATGCAATCATGTAATGGATTGCGATGACGGTAGCGATGAAGCTAGTTGTGACAATGGCAATGTTATTGAAGGTTGTAAAAACGTAAAGGAAACTCATACTATTTCCTGTTCAGTAAGAGGCAAATATTTAAAAGAACTATCATTTCAAAATTCAACAAGTCCTCTATATAAAAAGATGTTGTTTGAATATACTAAAATAACGAATATTCATTCAAAAGTATTGAACAATATTCTATCAGTTACTATAATAAATTGTCAACTTGAAAACATTTCAATAGCGCAAACATTCCCAAATTTAATTTCTTTAGAGATTAACAAAACAGATTTATACATTTATTCCAGTATTGAAATCTGGAATTTGAAATTACTTCAAATACTTAAATTTCAATCAATAACTAATAAATATTTTGCTAATTTTTCATTTTCTCAATTTCCACAATTGATTCATTTACATATTGTTAATAGTAGAATAACTCATTTAACAAATACAACATTCAATAAACTATTGAGATTGAAATATTTATATTTCATTCAAAATACTGTTATAAATATTCATAAAGATACATTTTTAATACCGAATTTTGAAATATTGAACTTTGAACAAACAACTTTACCAATTCAACAAACATCTATAGCTTTAGAATCGTTGAAAACCATCTCAATGTTCTTAAGTAAATATTACTTTTTGTGTTGTTTTATTTGGAAATTTGTGGGAAAATCGACAAAATGCTATCCGAGAGAATCTCTTTTCTTTTCTTGCGATGATCTATTAACGTCTAAAACTCTTCGAATTGTTATTTGGATATTAGCTTTAATGGGAATTTTAGGGAATTTACTATCAATTTCTATTAGAATAAATAATTTTAAAAGATTATCTTGTATATTTCACTGTTCATTAGCGTTTGCCGATTTGGGCACTTCAATATATTTATTAATTATAGCATTACAAGATTTGAAATATAGGGGATACTTTATTGAATATAGCTTCGAATGGAGAACAAGTGGCTTATGTAAATTTGCTGGAGTATTATCTAGCTTTTCCCTATTTATGTCTTCTTTCAGCTTAACGATTATAACAGTTGAACGATATATTATTGTTGTTCATGTGTTGAAAAATTTCTTTAATATGTATATCATCACTTTGATGTTTATCGTTATGGTGTTTTTATCAATCTCATTCGCCGTTTTACCATTATTGCTATACGATGTAAGAACATTCTTTTATCTATGGAGGATGTTTTTAAAAGGGTTCTCTTTCAATTTGTCTCTCTAGAATTATTATTCTCAGTCTTCTATATGTTTTAACTTGTTCGTACGAACTGAAAATTACGATGGATGGTTTTTTTCCTTGTTGTTGTACGGAATATGGATACCGTTGACATCCTTAGTAATTACTATTTGTTATATTCTATTATTGAATAATCTAAGGATAGCCATGTTTAATAAACACGGTAAAAATAGCTTAAAGATGTTCAACAAAGTGATAAAGAATGCCTTAGTCATTACCTTAATTAATCTATCTTGCTGGATACCAATATCAATACTGGGTTTTATAGCTATATCTACAAATTTATATTCTTATTGCTATGCTAATTCTGCCTATAAATGCTATTACAAATCCTATTATTTATACAATATCAGAGATATTAAACATTAGTAGAGAATGGAAAAGAAAAGATGAATCCTTTAAGTAGAAAAACTATTCTTTATATTCTTTCTAGAAGGGTTTTTTAATTAAGAAATTAATTCTTTTCTTAGACAAAAGTTAGCAAAAGAAATTAAAGATAAATCGAAAGTAGAAAGTACGTTTTTAGTTCTTTCATCTTTCCTTTATAATTCCTTTACTTAATAGACTTAATGTTTATGAAAAAATCGTATAAACATCATATAATACAAAGGGAAGTTGTAGAATATAGAAATGATACTAGAATTTCTACACTTCTCTACAACTTCTCTTACTTATTGCAACTGTGTAGAAGCTCGTTTACAGTTTTAAAATTCTGTGAAGAAAATTCATACACAATAAATGAACCGTTTAGCGAGAAAACATTCTTAATTCAGGTAATAAATTTAGTACTTAATATATACTGTATGTTAATTAATTAATTAATTAATTAATTAACTAGTTAATTACTATTTTTTTAGAATAAGAAATTTTTTATACCTTTCGATAGTATTACGTTTTTCGAGGAAGATAATTCAAAGAAATGTATTTTCTCCCTTGGCCAATTCATAAGGAAAAGTCTACAAAGAGAAGTTCTAAATCGTAAATTTAGATTATGGAATGACCAAAAACCTTATGATTTATAGAATACTTTCATTTAAATACATCTAGCAATATGACAGACTAAAAGATCAATTTGAATACGAATATTGACATATTTCATGAATTTAGGGTGTTTTATTAGTTTCTGTCTCGTAATGTATATTTTAAATTAGAAAGAATAGTCCGTTATTGGATATTCTACGAAAAAGAATGATTCAATGACATTTAACCAATGAGCGTTCGCATTACTAAATATCCTTTTCTTTCTTTTGGGTTTCAACCAATTAAAATATATTGAAATATTCAGTGCCGAACGTAACTTCGAAGAAGTATAGCTAGATAGATAGCAGAATACTTAAAAGAGCATTGACATCACCTATTTTGTATTTATATTCCATACTATCAAATAATAAAAATAGTGGAAATGATTGAAAACTATTGCAATTTACTTATATTGATATATTCCACAAGTTAAAACATAAAAATGACAAATAAATAGCAATAATATAATAATAATAACCAAAAAACTCAAAAACAGAAATGCCAAGTTTAACAAAAGTGTTTTTAAGATTCGAAAATTTTTTCCAAATTGACTATATTAAAAAGTTTAGGATCGGCTTCGATAATAAAGAATCTCTGTTTAAGGAATCTGTACATTTCCTTTAAATAACTTATCAAATTTGAATCATCTTGACACATTCGTATGAAAAATTGTGATGAAAGATTGAAATTATGACAAATTTCTTCAATATCTTTAACTAGCCTTAAAATTTGCTTATCAGGCAACTATATTTAAAGAGAATTATAGATAAGATAGAATAAATTGAAAATAATTTAAGAACCTTTTCGAAGAAATTATATCGAACTAATTGAGTAAAATCTTCGTTATTCTCCTTAGTCATTAGCCAAAATTCAACGCATGTCTCTATCCAATTGATCTTGAATGAAAAAAAAAAAAAGAAATAAAGATAACAAGATAAAACAATAAAAAGAGTTAATTAATCTAAAATCTAATAAAACGCAAAATGTAACGCATATAGATTTTACTTTAGAAAATATGATGAATAATCGTAATAAGAATGAAAAAAGTTGAAGTTTAGACAAAATCTGAAAGTGTAAGAAAAAAAAAGAAAAAGTTGTTTAGGAATAAAAGATATTTAATAAAGTTTATTGTTTATGTTTACTTTGGAAAATAGAAAGAATTTGTTATTGAATAGTTTTGTAAGTGAATACAAAAATTTGAACCAAGTATTTAAGGATATATCAGCTAAAGATTCTATAAAATTCAAGCAGATATAGATAATTTTATTCCAATAATATTCGTGAACCGATGAATAATTAATTTCGTTGATTATCTGGAAATAATAATTTAAGGATAATCCAAAATTTAAATCTTCGTATTCAGATAAATTTAATGGACGAAAAGTTTGAACGTCAAGTTGTTTGAATATCATCTGTCATATCGATAATACGATTATATATTAATATACGAATTGAAATATTTGTATATAAGTTTGAACAGACCTTCCATAATAAATCAATCTTACCAAATTCAATATTACCGTCATCTTTCATCTTTTCCACTGCCAATATATTTATTATTTCGATTGGAGAACTTAGATGGATTGTTCCTTGAAGATAATTAGCCAATCTATTTAAGATATCAAGGTCGTTCTTGACCTAGAATTTGTTGGAGAAAGTTGAATATTTACGAAAAATATTAGTCTTACCAACCCTATCATTTTCGGCTGGTTTAAAAATGAATAAATCGTCTCTATCGAATACAATAACAGATTCGTCGACATTCTTCAATAGGAAAAACTTTGGTTTAGGTTTTTGACATGATAAACGACTGTAAAAAGAAAAGAAACTTATAATAATAATACAAAGAGTAAATAACTATTATAGGAAACAATGATACAATATTAACTGCTCGTCTATTTGAGCCGATGTCTTTTGAAAGCCGACCAACATTATTGAGAGACTATCTAATTGCCAATCAGAAATCCAAAAGAAATGAAAAAATCGGATAAGGTTCAATGAAACGTTAAAGTTTAAGTGTAAATGCTTCAATTGTTTAACTTCCTTCAAACATTGAAATCCAGAAAGGCATAGAGCCTTTAAAGTATGAAGATATTTCAGATTTACTATGCTATCTAGACATTTCACTTGAGTTCTATCGATATTTAAATCTTCTAGTAGTGTTACTTCTCGACAAATTAGATTTAAACTTCTTTCAGTAAATCCAGAATTGCTAAGATCTAACTTTCGTAACGATTTAAAATATCTTAAATATTCAACCTTTTTCAATCTGCAATACACTCTATTAGCAATACTAAACTCTTTAAGCTTGTTGAAATCAATTATTTTCTTTAATTCGTCCAAAGATACTGCAGATGATGAGTTTTTCAATTCAAGAACTATAATTGGATGATCGATCAAAAAGGATAAGGTCTGTATATCTTTAATCTTATTAGCGTGTATAGCAAATCTATGTAATCTCGTGTCTAATCTACTAAACAATTGTAAATCTTCGTCCGATATACCGCAGCATAAGACGTCTCGAGATTCCAAGATCATCTCGGCAATGAGAGACGGTAATCTTAATCCTTTGGCGTGAACACTATTAAGTATTTCTTGGAAGCTCATAGAAACACGTTGAAGTGTCAAATTTCGAAGGGATGGAATAGAAACCATGATCTTTATTCTATTATACGAAATTAACGAATATTGGACCTATTGTAGAAAAAGTTTATCTAACCTTAACCTTCCGAAAAAAAAATGATTCTATATTCGTAATCGAGCTTTAAAATTCCTAGAAATTTTCTCCTAGAAATTAACAATATTATAGAAATATTTTAGCTTAATAATTCCGATTAATTATTCCAATAGAAGATTAATTACCAGCTCAAAACGTGTGCTCTAAGTAGTTATTTATGATTTAACGTGACCCAATGGTTTTCGACCAATCAGCTTTCAGCTAACATAAAAAAAGCATTGGACCAATAAGAATTTATTAATAAAATATATTTTTTTCGATAAGAATTTATTAAGATAAGAACCAATTTATTAATTAATTAGTTATCGAAATCTATAATTTTTTTATCTTTTTTTTCTACAAATAATTAATTGAGAAAGAAGAGAAAAACAAAACAAAATCTTTACATTTACTACCAGGTTTCACTATTTTTTGCTAAAAATAAATTCAAGTTCATAATACTCAGACAAAACTACTTTCTCTTTTTTTTTGCAATTAAACATAAACCTTAGGAAAATGAATTACGTTGCAACAATTGTCGTGTTCCTCCAGTACTAATTTCAATCTTTGAACGTAAAAACTATTCATATTTTTCATATATTTAAATGATGGAATTTCCTTATAATCGCAATATTTAAAATTTGTATCAAGATCGGAAGAGATATCCTCAATTTCCTTTGATAGTTTAATAACATCGTCATTCGTCATCTTTTGTTGCGTTTAATAAGATAATAAGAATTAAATTAAGTATTAATAGAATAACAAACCGCTTCGAAAATATTCTCATTACTAAGCGTTACGAATCTATTATCGTTCTTTTCCTCCCATATCCAAGTAGCTATTTCATCTAGTTGATAAATCTATTGTAGCAAACAACAAAGAAAAGAGAAGAAACTATATTTAATAATAATGAATATTAAACATATTTCTATTACTTTAGAAGCTACAACGAACGATCTCAATACAATTAGGAATAGATCAATCCTAGTAAACACCTGTTGAAAAATATTAAAATATTATAAGGAATTAACATAATATATTAGGTTAAAGTAATAAAATATTTGAACCTTTTCAACAATAAAAAACTTGTTATTGAGAAGTGCCATTATAATAGTAAAGTTATACTTAGTACAGGCGTGCAATGTAAAATAATTCTTTAATTTTAATAGATAAACGCATCCATTAATTACTTTTATCCAACAAAATATGTCGTTACGATGATATTTTAAGTTACAAAGTATCTTTATCAATTGTCTAAAGCTATCTTGAGAGCAATGATATTCGCTTGTTAGTGTATTTGTATAAAAATCTTGATGTCCTATTGTTCTAAAGAAAATCTAAAATAGACAATAATTAATAGAAATCTATTCGTTTATTGTTTATTAATAACCTCCCAAATCATTTCAGTACGATTTGAATCAACAGGTGTCTTATCGAATTCCGTTTGGGCAATTGCTCTCATCTTTTTAACAAAGATACAAGGTATCTTACCAGCCAAATGCTTTGATACTTGAAAAATACAATCAAGATCGTACAAGTCGTCTCTCTAAATCGGGAAGGAAAAGTGAAAAATAATGAATCGTTATATAGATAATAAAAGGATTTAATTACAAAATTGCATTGTCCTTCACTCGAAAAGTTCATTGAACTATCGTATAGAAAGAAATGGTGCATCTTTTGAAAGAACAACTTCTTTATCTCTGGCTTTCTATTAAGTATATATCTATTTTGAAAAATGGTAACAAAAACAAAGGTAATTATTTATTAATAAATCTATTATGTAATACTTGTATATACTGTATTACCTTGTATAATCTACGTATTCTATTGAATCTACTGAAAATTTCTTAATCGATATATTGGCAATAGTCCAAGTAGAATTTAGGAGGAATGTTAAAAAGTTTTTAAGATCGGATACCATTGTAAATTCAACATCCAACTCTTCCAATTGATTCAATTGTTGAAAAACTGAAAAATCTATTTCGTTTCTTGATTCAAAGAGAAATTTAAATATTTTCAACTTTTGTAAGAGTTTAATCCCATTTAAATTCGATATTGAACTCTTTTGTATATTTAATTCTTCTAATAGTATCATTTTATTGAATATAAATGTTAATACTTCATCTTTTACAATTGTACCGCTTATATCTAATTTCTTCAGAAATCTCATTTGACCTAGAAATTCCAAATCAATTTCAAAGTGTAATCCTTTATTGACGAATGTTAATTCTTTTAATTTCTTGCAACTGACAATATTCTTTAAATCTATTAACGATTTAAACGATAGATAATTAACCAATTCAAGACTTTCTATTGGATGATCTCTTAGAAAGTTGAACTTTTTCAAATTCTTTATTTTATCACCCTGAATACTAAATTTCGATAGTTGCGTCTTAATTTTACGGATTATCTCTAAATCTTCCTCGGTTATACCAAACGTTAAATCATCTCTCCACTCGATAATCATTTCAACAATCTTGGACGGTAATTCAATAGTTTTAAACGTTAAAGGATGAAATACTTTGGAAAAGTTTAATGAAATATAACGCAGCGTTAAATATTGTAAATCTCTTGTAGACATGATAGTCGTATCTTGAAAAGATGATGAAAAAAGAAACAGAATCGTTAATTTGATATACCTTATCGAATAATTCAACCTTTATTTAACAGAATCAGCTGTCAGAATGATTTCCGATTGAAATGTTGGAGAAAGTAAATACTTTGTAGTCTTTGGATAGAAAGTGGATACAATCCAGAGGTGTTTAATAATGTGTATTGAGTATAGTATCTATTTCACCTTCCCTTAGAACAGAGGGAAAGAGAGAGAGAGAGAGAGAGACTAAATAGTTCTTTTCATATATTATTTCGTCATTTTTATTAGGATAGAAACTTAAATAGTACCAAAAAAATCAAATATAACTTAATCTATTTAATAAACTAAGAAAAAAATATATAATAAACCACTTATTAAGCGAAACATTGTACATATTTCGATAAAGAGATAGAGAGATAGAGAGAGGATAGAAAGAGTACTAATCTCCATCTAATCGATTAAATAAATAAACCATTTTATCGATATCCAAACTCTTCTCCATATCCCAATTATCATTTATGACATCAGTCGGAAATTTACATTTATCATCTAATCTAATACAAAAAAAGATTTTAGCTAAAGAATATAACAATCCGTATTTTTCTCTATTCTCTTCCCACCATTTAATAGGATCTTCCGATCTATCTAATAACGGTTCATTTAGATAGGCTAGTAAAACTTTCTGAACTTTTCTCTTGATAATATCGTTTGGTGTATCAATACTCTCCAATGCGTATATTCGATGTTTAATTGTATTATAGGCTATATCTTTTTCCTGTTCATTTAAATATTTCAATTTATATCTAGGATCCAAAACTGACGCTTCGTTTAGAATATTTTTCGTAAATCTCGAATTGAAATAGTAACAATGTACATTTGTTACTAAATTACTTATAATAAATTCTCCTAATGGACCATTATACGAATTAATAAACAAAACAAGATCGGTAACTGTAGGAACAACATCCGAAAGAAAACATCTTACACGAACCAGTTTAATTGATAATTCAAATTTTTCCAATATATGATTAACGAATTTCTGCTCTTCGTTACTCAATCCTCTGAATGTCTTTTGAAAATCTTTCGAATCGATAATTGCCTTACCACTCTTCAGTAGTAGATCGTCTGGTGAGGCAATCTTCGGTAGGTCTTTATCCGGTAAATTCTCAAAGTATTCGTACAATTGTTTATGCGAGCATATAATAAAGATTGTTTTCGAAAATAGACCATATCTATTGTTCAAAACACATATAAACTCACTAGGATGTTTACCGATATACAACGTTACACGTTTAATTTCTAAATCTTTATCGGTAACAAACATAGTCAATTTTTTCCTAGTAGTTGCTTCTTCCTCCTCCATAAGTATAAACGAATAGAATGATGCATTAAGAAGATTTCTCCATTCAATTATCCAATTCCTAACAGTCTCTTCCTTTTTCATTATTACTTGAGAGAATTCTTGAAAATTGATTGTTGGTGATATCATTTTAAGGATTTTAATGAAGAAAGGATTAAATAGATCTTCAGTTTGTGAGTTATTTTTACTTAACGAAAAATCCAATACATTTTCTAATAGAATATTCCTAACAACTATTTGTTGTTCACTAACCTCTTTTTGGTCTTTTAGACCATGAAACATTTTTAAATGACGTAGCATTGATAGAACATTATTCTTAAGGGTGAAGACTGCAGCGCAGAAAGCACATTTAGCTTTATTATTCTCTTCTCTATGAAAGTATTTCCATACTTCTTCCGCTTTCATAATTTGTTGATAATTGTCTATATTTCCAATTCCTTATTTAGTGGACTCTTTCTTAATTAATTCTCCTATTCGTTAGCGTTAGATAACTTTTCTTTAATTATCAGTATAAGGATGAATCAAAGAGTAAAGTCTTAATGGCTGATGAGTAATTTCATCTATTAATATTGCTCTTGTAGTTTTTATAGCTTTATCGACGCTAATTTATTAAAGAGTACCGTTGTAGAGTAGACTCAATACTAATTAGGATATAGACAAACCATGTTTTCTGTTTAAAAAAAAATATATCAAGTTCAATTTTTCATTATTTCAAGTATGTTGAATTTATAAAACATTAAATTCAACACTGAAACAATCTATATCTAATATTTAAACATAAAATAAAAAAACAAAGACTTTTTTCAACAATAGAAAGGGAAATAAAGTAAAAGGAAAACAAAACTAATAGATTTTTACATATTATTAATGAATTTCTTTTGAGAAGATGTGTAATTTTTTTTTTTTAACTTCCATTTCTCCATTTTCAATAATAATCTAAATGTAAAACGACTATAGGTAAAATCAATACCGTTTTAACTGTATTCATTACTTAATTTTAATAAAAGAGAAAGTATCTTTGTTGAGTTCTATGTAAAATAATTTTTTTTTGTTATATTTTTTTTTTTAAAAAAACAAACTATTAAATTATTCTTATAGTTTAAATCTAATATATTGCATTGATTTCGCTGTTTTTTTGGTTTTTTAATCTAATAGAAACTGTGGAATAGAATGTTTCTAATGGTATTATATGTGTATATATTATTTCTCCCCCTCTCTCTCTCTCTCTACCTCTCTTTTTTTTATTTTTCCATAAGCCTATCATATCTGTTTTAAAGTTGTCCAAGTTTAGGTAAAATTTGTATTTACTAGCTCGACGGTTAATAGGTCAGACTGTGTTATTTTTTTATAGCAACGGCTGTTTATAGGATTCAAAATGGATGACGTAAAATTTACAATCTCCGCCTCAATTTCACCTTGAATTTTATCATTATGCTATTAAGAAGAATCGTAACTTTCGTCTATTAAAGTATCATGAACGCTAATCGCGTTGGTGGGAAGTGACGCTTAGTAACTGGTGTTTTTGTTTTTTTTTATGTTAACAATTTGCTAACCGAACGTCGCGTCTCTTTTGAGTTATTGCTCAATAAAACTATTAACTATCTAATTAGATGTGTACCGAATATATGTATAACAGTCTTTTTTTATTCCAAGTAGAGTTAACATGTCTACATTCCTTTACCAACTTTATTATTTATGACGTAATACAAGCCTATTTAGATGACAATGAACTCAATAGATAATAACTATAGCAACCTGTATTTACACGCGTAAATTGGAACAATCAATAGTACCTTATTATTATAATTAAATATAAATTTCTTTCGGTAAACAATAAATAAATAGAATATAAATTGAAAATGTAAAAATCTTCTCCACCAGTTTAATTCCAATTATAAAAAATTCGATATTAATATCTCTTATTATTTTAAAAGCGAAAGTAAAAGTTGTTTTGAACACTTTAATTAGTAAAATTGAACGGTTGAGGTTGAAAATATTGAACGTGGTTATTCTTAATAAGATATTTAACCATATACCTTAGACGCTATTAACAATTGTATCATATATTTTTATTGCAGATTTTAAATTAATCGGAAATCAAAATGTCTTGTCTAAAACTATTAACAATTAACGAGAGTAATCAAGTGACTATTAATACAAACGCCAAATCGTTTCTACTGACAGAATGTAGAAATAGAAAATGTATTATCATAAGTATTACAGGTACATTTAGAAGTGGAAAAAGCACTTTACTAAATTTCATTCTACATTTTATGAACAATACAACTGGTTCAATAAGAAACGTTTTTAACGCAAGATATGATTCCGATGGTCTTTCTGTTACTAAAGGTATTTATAATAAATAAACAGTAAACAGTATATATACATTATATATTCATCTTTCTGTTTAAAAGGAATCGACTTTTTGCCAACACTCTATCTAAGGTTTCAATTGTTTTCATTAGTTTAATATATTTTATTATTTTAATACATTTATTTCATTTATAGGCATAATTACGGCATACTTTTCGTTGATTCACAAGGTCTAGACAGTCCTGAACGACTCAGAAACAATGATCATTTAATTCTCGCCTTATTATTTCGCATCTCTTCAATAACAATTATCAATATAAAGGATAATCTAAAGCAATCAGAAATAGAAAAGTTACATGTAAAATTATTAGTTTTTTAATCATTTCTTATCAGCGATAATTAAAAAGTATTCATTATTGAAATTACCTTTTACAGTTGAGCATTTCGCATAGAATACAAAATGGAGGCAGTTACGAGACCGATCAATTTTCGGTAAATATACTTAAAAATATCCTGAATATCTGAGTATTAATTAGTAGTATTCTCTATTGCAGAATCTTGTATTTGTAATAAGAGATCGGAAGAAAAGAGATGTGTATGATCATGGAAGATTTAATTATAAATTCAAATTTAAGCAACTAGAAGTAATTCTTTTATTTATTGTTCGTATATTTATTATTGTGAAATATCTTAATCTGTAGGAATTTCCCGAATTTGGAAATCTTCTTACCAATATATGGAGCAAAGAATCCCAATTTGTCTTATTACCACAACCGTTTGTGGATGACCCTGACAATGAAGATCTTATACATCTGAATGGTATTTAATTCGTACATAGAGACTTTTCAATCTATTAATGTTTGTTTGTATGTTTTAGAAATAAAAGAATCCTTTAAAACTTCATTTTCACAGTTTTTGGACGATTTATTAAAATTTAGCGACAGAATATCGAATTACGCTCGAACTGGACCAGAAATTATTAGACATATAGAACAAATTTCCTATGATGTAGTAAGAACTGATTGGATTGCGAGACCTCAGCGTCGAAGACAAGTACTGTCGGATATTGAAATGGATAAATTAAAACGTTCTGCTATTGATGCTATAAAGACTGCTGTATATGATTTATGTTGGGATTGCGTTCCTACAGAATCGAATTCGAATATGAGAGATATGAAGCAGAATATCGAACTGGAAAACAAGAAATTTATGAAGGAAGCATTAGACCACTTTGGAATAGATGATGCATATTCTAAACATGAATTTGAAGCTTCAGTACTTGAACAAATGAATATGTTGTTTAAAAGCATCCCTAGCAATATATCAAACTTTCGATCTAATATATTAGATTGCTTTACGAATGATTTTGATTCCACTTTTGAAATTAATTACAATTATACAAGATATCTTGATGAAGAAGAGCTTTACGATTTTTTCAATTATGCTGATAGAAACGTAAAACAATCACTAATTGATTGTTTCGATGAAGATATCTCTAAACGTATAGACGTAGAGGAGCTAATTGATGATAGAAAGCGAATGATTAAACATTTTAACGAAATTTGGGATGTAAACGCAATTGAGCAGATTGGAGCAACATTTGTAAGATTTGGTAAGGCAGTATATGATTTCTTTGCTGAAGATGAAGAAGAGACTATGGAACGGTCAAAGTCTAAATTAATGAAAAAAATTCTGGATTTCATAAGAGAAAAATATCCAGCAGATGCTGAAAAACTATTGGATATGTCAAGATATCGTTTTAATGATAATAGTGGTTTCAATCCTTTTCTCCTGTCCAGAGCAAGGTTACCTAAGCATGAAATCAAAGAATTATTTGGAAAATATATGAATTCTGTAAAGTTCCCTATAAAAAGACAATTTTATTATCGTACTTCTTTCAATTACCGAAAACATAATAGTAAACACTTTAATTTAAGTAGTTTCTAAAGATCAAACATTTGCAGTTTGTTTATTTTGCAGTGTATCTCAAATTTTAAAAAAATACAGTTATTCATATTTTAACAAGCAAAAATCCATGTGATTTCAATATTACATACATGTACAAATGCCAGACTTCTTATCTGAGCCTTGCCTTGACGCTTTACCCTTTGGAGTATTCTTGGTTTCGTTGTTATCATTGCCAATTTTGCATTTTTGATTATTATCATCTTTTCCGTACGCCTTATCATTCTTATAATCATCTTTCAGAGAACTGGTCCTCGAAACTCTGTATAATAAAATGATTAGTTTAAAATAATAGTAATAGCAAGCGACATTACTCTGAATTGCTCCTAATCAAAATTGGTATCCTCTTCATTTGTTCAGTGTAAATATCGTACACAATTTTCTTCGATTCCAAAACTGTATTCAGGGAAAACTCTTGAATATTTTCAAGATATAAATCTCCTTTAATTCCTTGATCCCTTTGCAATTTTTGTAACAATTCTTTAGCTTTATCGTTTTCTCTTCTGAAAATCTTTTTGAAAATTTCCAACATGCTGGGGAATTCATCCAATAAAATCTTCCATTCTCCAGCTAATTGGTTAGGTAAAGATTGGTAACCTTTCAATGATGCTTCAATATTCAAACCAAGTTTACACAGATATTCATCAGATATTGATTGCAATTTGTGTGAAGAGGCGTCTCTCGATTCGTAAAAGTCTTTCAAGCAATCGTAACCGAATGAGTTAAATGTTTGAACTATTTTATATGGAACAAGTCCAATTTGTCCGTAAAACTTTAAAAGTGCAACTGTTGTCCTCATGATAAACATTCCATTTATAATTTTAATGGTCTTCTTTCTTTCATTGACAATACTTTGGACATCAACTTGTCTCAGCATTTTTCCCTGGTGTTTAAACTGCAGCGCACTTGTAACATTTCTCTCGGCTCCATCGAAACATTTCGAAAGGCTTTCAATGGAAAGAAATGAAGAATCTCTTAAAAATTGTCCAATAGTATTATCGAATCTATCATAAAAACAATCTATAATTTGTTTTCGTAATTCTGTGGATTGCGATTTTATATCTTTCAAAGCTTTATCTATATGTTCATTTATTGTGGATGAAAACATTTTCTTATCTTTTTCATTGTCCATTCTTTCTTCTTCGAATAACTCTTTCGATTTTTGATGATATTTCTTACGTAATTCTCTTCCACGATTTTCAATTTCACTATCATCTATGTCCATTGGAACACATTCACAAGACAACTCTACAGTTTCCTCTTCCAAATCCTTAAAGATGTCTTCTGCTGTATTTCTAACTTTTCTATACGACAACAATTCCCTCACCGATCTGGGATTTTTGATTCTATCGTTTGTTTCCAGATTTTGTAAGACTTTCTCGATATTTTCTAATATTTCTGGTCCAGTTCTTGCCATATTTAATATTTTATCACAAAACTCGAAAAGATCTCCAACAAACGCTTCCATTGCAGTTCTGAAATTATCTCCGAAATCTGTAATATACAAAAATTCATTGATTTAATGATTATCTTCCATTTAAAATTGTTTATTTACCGTTCAAGTTGATTTCATCATTTTCCTGATCATCCAATCTTGGATTAGGTAACAAAGAAAATTTCGTTTCTTTCCGCCAAATGTTCTTCAGAGTTTGACCTAAATCTTCGTAATTCTTTTAATGATATACCGTTAATTATCAATGAAATAATAATACGAAGACAAAAATCCCATTACCTCAAGCTGTTTTGCTTTGAATTCATCATTGAATATGCCATGCTTATACTTATCTCTCTTACTTCTGTCTCTTAGAACAAATAAAAGATTCTGAAGTAGGAAGATAAAAGGCTATTTAAGTAATATCACTTTCATATATAAATTAATCTTACTGAAAAATTTTTCAGCTCATTCTCCGATCGATTCTCAACACTTATCATTAAACAATGCTAAAAAAAACGTCATTCTAATATCATTTTCTTATCAATTTTAATAACCCAATCAACTTACACAAAGGGCTTCTGTTTCGGACTCTTTTAATACTTCCTTTGTATTTAAAATAGTTAGTGATGAAACGTGAAGTAATATTGAAAAAATCAATAAATCATTAATCTGTAATTTTTCAGGACTGTCTAAACCCTGCGAATCCACGAACAGTATGTGGTAACCCTTCCTATGTATAATATATTGAATGAGAAAAAAAAAGCTAATGGATAAACTTAAAACAAAAGAAACCTTTCAACTGAAAAAGGCCAGATATCGATTCCTGTGGAATATAAGATTAATCTGAGACGGTTGTTAATTAAGTCAAAAACAGAAAATAAACCTTTTGTGACAGATGCATGATTCTCGTCGTATCGAGCATGAAATCGATTTTCAACTTTATCCGCCGAAGAATACAAGTAATGAAGAATAAGATTTAACAAAGTACTCTTTCCACTTCTTAATACCCCAGTTATACTAATAACAATACATTTCTTGTCCCTACACTCCTTCCGTAGAAAATCAATAGCTGATATATTCAATTTCGGAGTATTATTTTCATCAATTTTTAACAAATTTATCGCAGACATTATCTACGAGTGCCAACAAAATCTTTATAACAACCTACTTTCACTATACGATGAATATATGAAAAAACCATGGTTAGAATTATACATCAATAATAGTTTTAACCATACTTGTCTATAAAAAAACGGATACTTCTGATAGAAAGAATGCTACTTGGTGTTTATATTATAACAACGTTAAAACTATAATAACACCCTTAATATTTGGATATTTATTTGCTTACTTTGAATAAGCAAATCAATATTTTATTTATTATTAATCATACAAAAAAAACATTCCTTTTCACTTATAACAAACAATAATAAATTTAACGAAATTTTACAATCAATATTGCGATTAGAATAATTGTTGTTATTATAAACACACCTAGTCCAGCTCCCAAACCAATTGCTATATACTTATATTTCTCGTAGTCCTCCTTATCTTCCTTTGTTGGTTTAGTTGACTTTCGTAATTCAACTGTTGTTGTTATCTTTGATGTTGTAATATTTTCATATTCAGAAGAATCTTTGTTGAATGTCACTTCTGTATACATCTGCGACGGTACGACTGTTATCTTCTCTGTTTTTGGTTCTCTTTTATTTGTTGTTATATCAATTTTCTTTGTTTCTAACACATCAGTTGTCACATCTTTAAAAGAGGTTGTTTCATATGGATTAAAAGTCGTCATAGGCATTTCTTTTGTCGATTCAAACTTTGATTTATCAACATTCGAAGGTATTACTTGTACAGTAAAAGTCGATGTACTCGTACAAGGATTTAACGATTTATCAGATACTGTAACTATCGTTTCAAAAATGCCTACTGGAAGTGGAGATTCCAATGTATTTATTTCTCTTGTCTCTTCTTTCATATTTAGAAACGGCGAAACGTCATTACTTCTAACATTCACATTATAAATTAACTGAGAATTTAGACCGAAATCCTTATCTGTTGCTTCAATGTTATAGATCGTAGAATTTGCAGATATACTAGAATTAACTGTGATTGTTATTCCATTCTTTGGTTTTTCTATTATCGCACAATCATTTATATCTAACACCGTTAGGTTGAACGATATTGTTTCCGAGTTCGAAGGAACTCCGTTGTCTGACGCCACAATATCAATTAAATAGCTGCCGGGATTCAACTTTCCCGCAGTACGAATTACGCCCGTATGTACATCGATAGAAATAGCTACTGAGGTGGAGGATATCGAGTAGGATATAAGTCCTGATTCCCCGATGTCAGTGTCTTTCGCTTCAACTGTTAATATATACTCTCCGATGTCAGAACGCTCTCCAACTACGGCTGAATACGAATCCTTTACAAATTTAGGAGTTGCCATGTTAGGTTTGACAGTCAACGAACAGTCGTCACCTTCGAATCCTTTCTCGCAAACACAAGTATTATTCGAAGCACAACGACCATTTTGGTTACAATCTGATACTTTATCACATAGTGGTACATCACACGACTCCCCGGACCACGATTCGTCGCAATTACATTTGTCAAACGATTCGCATCTGCCATGTTTCGAACAGTACGACAACTCTTCGCATGAAAATTCTGTACAAACTTTACCAGAATATCCTTTCTTGCACTCACATTTGTTTGGGGAAGCACAATCACCGTTAGATGAACATTGCGGATCACAGATTGGTAAGCCGCATGTCCTTCCAGCATATCCATCATCGCAAATACATTCTGTAGCATTTTTACATATTCCTCTTTCGTTACAATTGTCCATTAGAGGACATTCTTTTAAGATTCCACAATCATCTCCGCTATAGCCATCTTCGCATGTACAAACTCCAGGTTCGGTGCATTTACCGTGACCACTGCAATCATTTTTACAGATTGGCTTAGAACAACTTAGACCAGTCCATTCTTTGAAACAAAGGCATTGATCGAAAGCAATACAAATTCCATTTTGAGAACATTCGCCTCTTACCTCACAACTGAATGTGGCGCAATTTGTTCCATTGTAACCAATCTCACATTTACAAATGTCGTGGTCAATGCATATCCCATGATCTGAACAACCTTCACTGCAAACAGCCTCTTCTGAGCAATTTTTTGATGTCCATCCTTCATCGCATTTACAAACATCTGATTTAACGCATTCTCCTTTTGATGAGCAATTGCCTTCGCAAATTGCCGCCATCTCACAAGTCGGTCCTTCGAAACCAGGAACACATTCGCAAAAGCCAGCCGAACAGTTTCCATTAACACACTTTCCACATTCCCCAATTTCGCATGATTCCCCAGACCAGCTTTGTATACAAACACACTTTCCTCCAACACAGTTTCCTCTATTGGAACACTTCTCCGGACATTCATTGGCTTTCAGTACAGCTTGATTTCGTACCTTCGGATCATCGGTAATTACAACATCGTAGATACATTGATCAATCTCTTCCTTTGATAATCGGTCAGATGTACAAACTTCTTTCGCAGTATTAATGTCGGATTGCGTAAATCCATTCAGTGAATAGAGAGGCTTATGCGTTGGATCAATATACGATTTATCCATTGAGTCTTTCTCGTGAAAGTTTGATTCGGTATCAGACCAAGAATTAGGCAGTCCACCTCCATTTCTAATAGTCCGCTTCATTCTCCAAGATTCTACAAATTGTACGGGATAAGTGTAATTTTTACCATCTGGACCCATAAGATCGTCCGAATCGTCATCGTTGAAATATCCACAAATGCCAGATGTCTTGTTGATCATCTCATTTATTGGTGTTGTTATTAGAGTCAAGTATTGTCTCTTCATCTTAGAGCTGTATGATGCTACAATCGATAAACTAGCTCCATTTGAGAATTTTAAGGACACGAATAGAATGGTCGGATCATCTTCGGAGATTTCCTTCGCACGCAGGGAAATATCTAATCGAAGACTATCATTATGAAATTTGAATTTGTTCTCAGTGTTCAAATTGGACAATTCATTTCCATCAAGACGAAGAACAGGTAGATCTGTTAGTGTTGATGGAAATTTCGTGTTGATCGTTAAAACTGATGTATTGCCGAGTTTCAATGCAATCGCACCAATAAATGATGTTCTCTTAAAAGCAAAGAATCGAAACTGATAAGCTAAAAATGGTGATCGACAACCCCAGAATTGACCGATTCCAAAGTAATCGAAAGATCTACCATCCAACGTTGCTAAATGAGGATCTCCCCAGTTCCTTCTAGGCAATCTTTGTTCGCAAGAACGGCCACCCCATCCTCTATTACATGCGCATCTTGATCTGCAGTTCGCTGTTGCTACACAAAATCCGTTTCCACTGCAGCTAGAATCTGGTGGGCATGACGGTTGATCGCAATTCGGTCCGGTTCTCTGTGACGTACACACACCATTAACACCACATTCATTTTCACAGGGACAAGTTCCATCAGGCTTTCTAACTACAATTCTGCCATCAGGACACGGTTCGCACGGTTCGCAGCGACATCCTTCTGGGCCGATTGTTGATTGAGTTCCATCTTCACATTCACAAGGGCATTCGAATTCTGGATCGTCGAGAGGTTTAGCTGTACCATCCGAACAGCAAGAACATTCACTATTCTTCAATTTCCAACTCATCATTTGCTTTTCGCCTGTACATTGACATCTACACATACACTCTTTCTTTGTCGGATGAGGCATTCCGTAACCGATTTGTCCGTTATCTTCCTCACAGAGACAACATCTTTGCTCAACATCCCATGATTGTGGTAAAGCTACACATGTACTTGTCAATTTTGATTCCCTTCTAGCTAAAGGAAATTGTAAAGATCCGCCAACGATGAAGGCGTGAAATTTTCCTCTCATAACTGTATTACCGAGATATAAACTAGCACTATTTGGCTTATCGACATTCGAACATGTTTCAGTATCACAGAATCCAGCTTTAAGTATAAATTCTTGACCCACATCAATAGATGCTTCCGCCCGTAATTTAAATTTAAATTTTCCCTTGATCTCAACATCCTCCATCCAATCCTTGAATGATTTTATTATTCCTCTTCTATTACGTTTTTTCTTTATTTTATCATAAATTTTCTTTAGGACTTTTAGTTTGCCTAAAATACCAAGATCTGGCCACAATGCACGTATTCCGGCCCTTAAAGTTACAACTGTCTCAGCTGTAGCCGACCATTTTCCATTAATATTCCCAGGCCCAACGTTGATATCCGCTCCCTTTCCTAGTGATCTTAAACCGCCTCCCCTACTATAGCCTGCTCCTACATCGTAACTTGCACTTGCAGATCCACTGGCAGAAAGCGAAGCTTCAGCACCGACAGAAGCTTTTATAGGACCAACGCTAAACCTTCCAATGTTAATCACACCGGGCACTGGCACGCCAAACACAGGAATTATAAATGGTCGCTTAGTAACAGATGGTAAAGGAATTTCAGGGAAGACTGTATATCTACTTGACTTTCCCGAATATCTGGCATTAATTGATGCATCATAACCTAATCGACCATTAGCTAAAAGACTAAAAGAATCAACGCTAAAGTCATGAGGTGATATTTTCACTTCCAGTGCTATTCCATTGGTAACTTTAATATTTCCACTAACACCGACAGATATTCCATTTTGCTAAAGAAAGTTTTGATTTAAACTATTGTCGATAAGAAATGTTATTTAACTTACGCTCCATTGGCGATTAAATGGTTGGGATGCTGTAACCGTAACTTTTCCTCCAAACGAAGATCTTTTCTTTTTTGTTTTGGTTGATATTTTGTCTATATTAAATTCTGTAGAATTCATTGTTTGCGAGACAGACGACATATCAATGACTTCAGCCGATATCCATCCCGATGATAGTAGCCTCTTGTTTAAAACAAATCCTAGAGCTGGTAAAGCAGTCCTACCCACTATCAATTCGTTTTCTCTAATAGATTTATCGTAATCTCGTCTATCCGTGTAAATAAGACCACTAACGCTGTCGCCAGTCTTGCATTCAAGCTCAGAAGGTAGATTTTCAATGTTATCCAGATTATCACTTGGTTGTAAGCCCCTTGAACAATCCACCAAATCAGATTCAATAAACACATCATTCTGACTTTTTCTAACTTTGGTAACTCTTTCCAAAAAGCCTTTAGGACTACTCGACAAAAGAACATCTCCTCTTTCGAAATTATTCACCTTTGTGTACACAAAATAAGACCATATTTTGTTATTTTCGTACGAATATTCCCTTCCTGAGCATTTATAAACTTCATCTCCAACATCACTGTAGGTTTGATTAGAGTCAATAAAATTCTGCATTTGTTCGGGTGATGGAACTAAATCAACAGCTCGAGGATTTTCAATATCGTTGGAAGTACCTTCCAATCTTACGTGAGCGTATTTTACAACTTCAAGTGGATCGGCTTGCTTTCCAACAGCTATTGTATATTTTGCTGGAGATCTTTTAAAGTCATAAATTTTATGCATGATTCCATTCGCTTGGGGACTGAGTATGATATTTCCTTTTCTGAAGAATCTTTCAATTTCTGGAAATATCAAAATTTCAAAAAATCCTTCACTGTCTCCTTTCAAAGTTTGTCTAGCTGAACATTTGAAAATCCTTCTGCTTGGAGAAATTTTTATGACATTTTCATGAGTTTCCATATAATCTCTTCTGGATGGTTTTGTTAAATCTGGTCTAATCATGCCCAGTGGACATTTCGTTTCGTTCCAAGATATGCACTTATCATTCTGAGCAGTTGATGAATAGCAGGCTACCATATCTTTGCATTGCTCGCAAAAACCTTGTGATCCAGTTTGTGTAAAATTGCACAAATGCTCTTTGCATTCTATTTGTTGAATTTGTTTTGAACATGAAGAAGGACTAATAGTAAGACAGTTCCTGTAAAAGTAGTTTTTACATTCCGATAACGGTTCCTTTGCTGTTCCTGGTATGCATTTTTCGGTGGAATCACACCATCCACAACCTTCAGCTTTTGTACACTGTACGCAAGACGAATATCGAGGACATTTTGACGCACCACAGTTTGATCCGTACCATCCAGGTTGACATTTACAAATGTTGGGTCCTTTGCAACTTCCTCTACCTGAACAATCAGACACATCACGACAAGATATTTGGGAACAATCGTCTCCAGTCCAACCAGATTCACAAATACATTGCGTCCCAACACATGATCCTCTTCCATAACAGTTAGAAGGACAAAGTCCAGAACTCGATTTTCTACAAATCCATGGTTTCAAGATTGATAATTGAGAAGGGCTATCTGTGAACCAAATATCGCTCACTTTAACCTTTCCATCAACATCTGTATATCTTAGTAAATCCGTCAGTCTATCGACACCTCGAAGAGCTGCTTCTGTTAGAAGAAAAGCCGAATTCTTCTTACACCATACATCAGCTTCCGCTTTTGAACCAGCTCCAACGTGAAAGTGATAACATGACCCTCGAATAAATTTCCAGCCAAGAACACAACTTCCAGACGTTGCTAAGCTGAGAGGTTCACTTTGCAATATTGGAACAAACTGAAGTATTGGAGATCCCTCAAGTGATTTACCATCTTTAATTCTCTTTCCAATTTTGTCGATATCCAAACTTCCCCACCAATTATATTGACAGTTACCACTTTGAAAGTCAGCATTTTGTAGACTGTAAGCCACCTCGTATGGTGTTTGAGGATTATTTAATATATTGTTATTGATGTACAAATTTCTGCTGACAGATGTAATCACAGCATCATTTCCTTCGTCTGGGTATTTTTTGTTAAAAATGAACGTATTCAACGATATATTAGTATTCAAATTGTTGGAATTGACGTATAGTAGGGTACCCTGGGCGGTATTATTATACAGAAGATTATTTGTGAAAGTGGTATCCGCATTTTCAATGTAGATTAAGTGATCACGTGATTTGGAATGTTGAATATTACATTTATCAAAGGTAACGGTAGCATTATTAATCCCGTAGTTGTTCATGCGAAGAAGGCTGCTTTCGTGTAAATTAGTAATAGAGTTTTGAGTAAACACCAAATTAGAGATTCTCGATTCAAAAGTTGAATTGAAATAGACTCTAAGCACTTGTGAATTGCTTAATTTAGGAATATTCAAATTTCTGACGAGAACATAGGCACTATGAAGATCTATGTTTATCAAACTGGACGATTCGATGATGGGATGATTTTGATTAAATGTTAACCTTTCCAACCAAACGCTGTTGTGTATTTCGCTATTTCTATTATGAATATCTAGGCATCCTGTTTGGCAATTTTCAAAACTTGTATCAGTAACTTTCAACTCAGTAGCTTCTCTCTCAAATGGACACGTTTCATAATCTGTTTGATCAATACCAATGAAAGATTGACAATTACTGTGAATCGATCCGTAGAGAGCAATTCGAAATTTTTTTCCTTTCAATTTCTTCAAAGATATTCTAAAGTTTTTCCATTTCGTTTCCAAGTGTAACCTATCTAAAAAGATTAGCCGATCTTCCAAGTCAGCGTAGACTGTTATTGTTTCACCTGGTATTGAATAGGCTGAGTTTTTGTATGCGCTTAATTTGAAAAAGCATAAATCATCTGTTGGATTGACGGTGGTGTCATAGATAAGAGCATTGGTTATCCCAGCATAGATAATTCCATATCTGCATTGAATATTTGAACTGTTAAAGAGGGCGAGATAATGGCCACTACTTGAGAGAGGAAAATCTTTGTCATGTCTAAGTCCGTAAGAAGCCGTTATATTATTAGCTGCAAGCCTTTGAAATGCTTTAAACGGACCGTTTCCTATTGAACGTCTATCGTTAACCCATTCACATGTATTCTCTTCAAAGTTGCAAGTATTTGCTGTAATTAATAAAAACGAAAATATGTTAAGCGTTATATGTTTGAATAAAATACTTACATTGTTGTTTAATTGCAGTGATTGTCAATTTCATATCATGACGGAAATTTACATTTAGCAAAAGTTGAACTCTGATCTTTCTTGTCGTTGATATAATGTTTATTTCCTTGATAGTTCTGGTTAACGAACTAATTAATGCATTACCTTCACCTTCATAAATCCTTAAGAAAATTTCTCCACTGATGTATCTTTTATAACGAGCTCTGACTTGTATTCTTTCGCCTTCTGGCGCTTCAAATATTACTGAACATCCTCTATGATGTGTAGATTTTAACCATGAGGCCTCAAACCAATAACCAAATTCTCCTGCTCTCACTGGAAATTTTGCTTCAGCAGAGCAGAAATAAAGTGGAGACCATTCTCCTCCAGTGATGGGTACAAAATCTAAGTTTTCCCTTGGCTTGAACTCCTTCCATAGAATAGCTCTTCCGACGTTACCAATTGTTGAATGAACTATTGATGCACTATGATCATTATTTACCAGTTGAATAGCTGTGTCAGATATGTTATCAACCTTCAAGCCTTTAATTATCCAATTCTTTAAGTTATAACTGTTAATGACTGTCAAAGCTCCTGTTCCTTTTGAAAACGATACATTGTTTAATTTTGGTGCAGGACTCGAAAAAGATACAATTTCAATTCTATTCAATTCAACATTTGTAAAAAGACTCTGACGATTTCCTTTAAACAGGTATATTCTGTTTGATGTATATTCTTCTATGCAAGTTAATATCGGTACGTAGTTAGTCACTCTTGTAGGAACTTTTACGCAATTCATCAGGCTATTGGCATTTGTACAATCTAAACTCCAACTAGCCAAATATCGTGTAGAGATTGCTCTAAATTGTACACGGGCACCTGAAAATGATCTTTTATTAAAATAATTTAAAAACTGGTTGAAAAAAACCTGACCTAATTTTCCTTTGAAACAAAATGAATTACAAATATCCTTTTGCTCTTTTAGAAAGTTTCCATCGTATTTAAAAGTAACGTAAAGCCACGCTCCATTCTCCAATACTTGAACATATTTGTTTTGTATCCTATATTTATCTGGGATAGGAGAACCTGAAATTTGAATTGGATTGTTGTCTGTTCCTTTCACAGACATACTTCCCAATATCCATAAACTGGAACAAGATGCAAAATGCAATTTGGTATCTCTCCCATCAATTTCAAGTTGTTTTTCAATGACAGTGTTTCCAGTGATATATACATTTCCAGATACTGACAACGAATTTGATATATAACCTTTAATGTCTTGAAAATTCAGTTCAGGTTCTGGCAAGTCCATTGTTGAAGTCATTGACGAATCTCGATAAGATGGAGATAAATTTAATCTTGGAAGGAGTCCGTTAGTTCGTCCATCAAAGATTCGTTGATAAGGATTATCCGAACTGAAGTAGTTTCGAGATACCTGGAAACGACATTGTTCATCTCGTCCTATTTGACATAAAAGATTTGTCCGAATTTCGTATTTATTCAATGGATTATTGAATTTGTTCTTGATAACCCTTTCAGGAAATGAATCCCCTTCGAGATTGATACAACTATCAGCACTATTATCATTAAAGCTGTTATCTTCAACAACGACATTATGACCAATTTTTCCAGTTAATCTCAAATTGACCAAATCAGATGACGTATTACATTTGGTAAATGAATTGGATTTCATTTCAAGACCTCCTTCACTAACATGAAAATTTATAATTTGTTGTTTTGAAGATGCATCATAGAGTTGATTTCCGGAGAAAACTACATTGTTTTCTATCGGTTTCTTGAAGAAATCTGTAGAAATAACGATGAACGATTCGGTTACATTACTTTTGAGAAATTTATTATCCATTATTTCAATTGGTCCTGATCTATGATTAAGAAGGAAGATATTTTTAAAGTTTTTGACGTCTCTAAATATATTTTGTGAAATTTCCAATTTTCCATTAACTGGAAAATCAAAAAGGTTGATATACTGCGAACCCTGACCAGCTACATTAAATATCGTGTTATTTTTAATGATATATGACATATCAGCAGTCAATTCACTCCTAAACGATCCACGTATTATGCCACTTAAATATTTTGTTGTATCAGTTGTAATCCAATTGCTTATCAGATTCAAATTAAACTTGACATATTTAGAATACATCAAATCATTCAATATTATTGGAGTATGACATTTAAAGATTGAATCTGTAACATTAACGGATAATGATTTTTGACGTCCAATTGGAACTTTTATAGCCTGTGATTGTCCTGTGAATTCACAGTTATATATTCTAACTGATCCCTCATCAACAAAATCTGTAGGTATGGAAACTGCAGCTGTTCCTTTCACGAATTTAGAATATTCAATATTGATATTAAAGTTTTCTTCAGTTGAAAAACTCAAGTGAAACTTAGGAGACTGGAAACTAGAGCTTTCAATTGAAAATGATGACGAAATATTTCGATTTTCCGCTATAATTCAAAGACAACGAATTAATTATATACTGTATAAACAGTGTTATATAACTTTGATTACTTACTTCCAACGTCAACACTATAAACAGCAATATAGTAGTATATCGTTATATAATAGCGCTTCTTTAAATACACTGTCCCCCTGTAATCTTGGATTGTCTGAATAGTCCACGGACCTTGTATAGGTTGATTGCCGTCAATACTTTGAATATGACCAATCGGTGTATCGAAACTAGTTGTTCGGGGAAACAGGACAAACTTTAATGTCATATCCTTATCGGTTAAAAACCTTAAATAACAATTGACATTCTTATTTCTTTCCAGATTGACCGATAAAGTTAAATAATCATGTTTCGGAATATAATATGAATTTGAACAATCATCGTTCGTTATTGTTTCAATATCTAGGTTATACTGGTCCAAGTTGTATCTGATTGAATGTGTATTAGTAATTGACACTTGTGAATCATGGAAAATTGAATCTTTTATCCTAAAAATTCTTCCGTTAACTTTAAACTGTTGTTGATTATTCAGACTTGTAATATTCATATTTTCAAAAGTGATCTCCTCGTCCATAATTGTGTTGTGAGCCAGAACGTTAAAGTCACTGTTTGTACTAATCCGCACATTCCTGACAGTATGTCTTAGAAATTCAAAATACAAATCTGAGCCAAGTAGTCCAGAGTTGAAAATAGATAATCCTTCAATTAAACTCGGTCTAGAATTTGCTAAATAACTGACACCAATCCATCTTCTTTCGTTACATATTAATACTAAACCTCTCGAAAAAGTACACGGTCCCAAATGAGTTTTACAAGTACTATAATAACTTGTTGGACAATCTAATGTTATAGCCTCTCGTTTTCCAATATTCCAATAACTAGCTGAAGTATATCCCGCAAAACCCATATTGTGACAAATTGCGTTGTAAGTGTCTTCTTTACCTTGCTCATAGCAAACAGGATATTCTTTTGAATTTATATTCATGAAAGTTCCTCTACTCAAAGATGAGAAAACTGTCTCTACCTCAACATTTTTAATTTTGATGATAATATCGTCTGGTTGTTTTCCTCTAAATTCCAGTTTACCATAAACTTCAATTCCAGTATATGGCCAAGCGTGTATCTCTACACCTTTCTCCACAATAACGTTGGCATTTCTTCGAATTCGAAGCGTTGCTTTAAGTTCATAAACTCCTTCAGTCAGTGTGACATTATTCTCAATATCACCACCTAAAACAAATTTCTTATAATCAAAGAGATAAGTTTGATTGACTTCGATGAAATTTTCCAAGTCGGAATATGTAGGATTAATATCAACAAATAACGATTTGACAACCGCATGACGACCAATAACACGTTCCCAAGCATTGGAATCTCCCCAGAAGTTTCTTGTAGCGTTTACTCTTAAAGTAGATGTGGAAGAAGGTAGAAGTGATAATTCATACGGCATCTTTGGATTATTTAAGTTATTGAAATTGATATCAATTTCACTATTCGATTTAATCTTTATTGTAGAAGTTACGTAATTGGGGAAGTGTGTGATTATATCAGAACTTAAGTCTACAGGAATCGTATTATTTGTAATGTCATTATCTTCTATCTCAATAGCACCTACATTCGAAGATGATGAGATATCAATAAAAGATTTTAGACTATAACAACTCTTTATTTTATTCCTCCTCACTACAGCACTAAACTGTCTTGTGTCAGAGGATATTGCTAAAAGAAATCCACCATAAGATCCAATCATTGAGTTATTATAAATATCAAAAACATATTTATGTAATTCAATTGCATAGTTCAGCTTACTCAATAACGAATGAAACGTGTTATTCGCTATTCTGATTTTATAATGTTGAGCATTATTCCTTTGACTATTTTCAAACATATGTTTCAAGTTATTTTCAAAATTATTAGATTCAACTGTAATTTTTGCTTGATTTTGTATATATAGTCCACTTCCATTCTTGTGATTTCTTATCATATTATCCACGAATGACAATACAATTACATTTCCATTCAATAAAGTATTACCTTCTACATGTACACCATTTATAGCATTTTCTTCAATGTTACTTTCACTAATTGTTAAAGCTTGCCAAGAACCATACATCATTAACCCGTAACGATTATGATTTATGACACACTTTCGTACATCGGTTAAATAGGAAGGATTATTTAAATTTATACCATAATTATCATTTTCCTCAAACCTGCTACCATTTATTATAATCGAATTTGTTGGTTTATCAGTTTTCAAGCCAATGCCATTTTGTGTAAATATCGAATTAGTAAGAATACTTAGAGTTGATTCTGAAATATCATTTATTAAATTCTTCAACTTGCCATTTAGAGTATGAATAATTGTATTGGTGTCACTAATTAGCGACTAATTTATACGTACTAGGCTCTACAGAATCAATTTCAATGTACAGTATTTTATTGGAGCTTACTCCTCTTAAATTTAAAATGATATATTCTTGACTAGATTCCAAATTAGCTGCTTCGAACGCTTCCCACGAATAACTTGCAGGACGATTCAAAAGGAATGGTGATGTTTCATCTTTACCATCTTTTATTGTTCCTTTAAACGAATAATCCCATTTAGAAAATTTCAATGAGAGAACTTGACCATCTTCCGCTTTGAATACCTTTAAATGATCAATTATCAATAAATGATTAACAATAAGAGATATTTTAAGTTACAGTATTCTTTGGATATATACAATTGTTTCCAAGATAGTATAGTTTTGGATATGAAATATCTTCCGGTAAACATAAAGAGCATTTTATATCGCAAAGACTTGTCGGCGTTAAGTGTTCAGGAAGGACCCATTTTGCGGAAGATGTAATAGTAAGACCAGTCTCGTTATTTTCTACAAAAGTAAACAAGAAGAGCAGAGAATAAACAATTATGCGTATAATTATTTCATTAAATACTTTCGGCAGTTATTTCATTCAAGCTGACTTTTTCATGTGAATCTATGATTAAACCATTCATTTCATTGTTTCTAACTGATATTCTTTGTATGTTGAGTTCTTGTTCTGATTCCGTATTTCGTAAGTATAGAGCCGGATCGGAACTTTTCACATTCTCAGCCACGATATCCCTAAAAGCGATGTTGGGAATAAAACGAAATACATAAATAGGCCTATATTTTAAATATAAAATTGTCTATTTACTGATAGGAAAGAATAGTTGAATTTATAATGTGAACACCGACGCCGATGAGTTTGACATTATTAAAAGATGTTTGTTGAGAAGATCTGATAAGAATACCACTTTTTAGTCTAGGTCCATAACATGTTAGTTTCATTGTTTGGTAATATCCACTTGCATCTAAATATAGATATTATTCATTACAAAGCTATTAAATGTGAATAACGAAGAAATGTTTTTTTGTAAAGAAATAGAGGGATAATAGGAATTTTCCTATATTTTCTTCTAACCTTCTAATTTACAATCCTTAATAGATTTAGCCGTTTGGTCACAAGTTACTTTGAAACAGTTTTGTACTCTTTTACCTCTTGTAATAGCAGGTGCTATGTTCGTTTCGTAAAATCTTAGATATTTACAAGTTAACTAGAAAGAGAATGATATGCAAATTGGTTCTTGTTTTTTTTTTTTAATATTAAACTTACACTTCTTAAATTTGAACTATCCTCTCTAGGTTCGAAACACACATCTTTGTATTGTCCATTTCTTGAGTCGAATATCATAGGCTCAAATGTACGACCTATATAAACATTATTTGTTTACCCTGCGACTTGGAAACTAGTTTGACTTTACCTTTTCCGCCTGCTTTTGAATTATTAAGAAATATAAAATCTTTATTTGAACTGAAATTGTCTTGACGAAAAATTATAGTCTGTTCCTTTACAGCTGAGATTAGCACAGGCTCCTCCTCTATTTCAATAAGACTGTCATCTTCTGCAAACGCAACATTAGCCCCAGAATTGACTATAATCCCTTTGGGTCTAACTGTTCCAGTAATTTTATGAGTACCAGCTGATAATATCAGTGTCTTTCCATCGTAGCTTGAATCGATGTCCACAGTTTTCGCAACGAATATATTTATATATAGAATAAGTAGATAATGAAATATCATTTCCCAACTATTCGTTTCAAATACAGCCTTATCTCTTTACTTTTCTGTTAGAAATGAAAATTTATTGTTGAAATTTGTAATACTATTCACTATTGTCCTGCAGACGGCGCTTCTAAAAGTCCTACTTATTCGATGGGCCATCGAAATTGAAATGAAATATAGGAAAATGTTGTCTGGAAAATAGATATTTACCTTGTTTTCAACAAGGAATTCCTTTATATAGGTTTCGTTTGCCCCTTGTTTGTCTTTATTTCGGTTTTTTATTCAAATTTGCAATTTGTCGCTACAACTAACTTTTCGTTAATTACGATCGTCTGCCTATAGATAGTCTATATATAATTCAAATAAAGGGGATTTTCTTTTATGAGTCATGAGGAAATCCTGCTTTCTTCTCAATAGAAGAGTAATGTCTTTTCACATACTTGTTATTATGCTATATTTTTAAACAACACAGCAGTTTTTTTTCTTTTTTTACTATTACTAAGTACTTTTTAGTACTATTCAGTACCAAGCTGTGTCCTGATCTTCTTCCGTGATCTAAAAATAGATTAAAAAGAAAACGATTCCCTCGGTGACATATTTTCAATCGTGTAGAAAATTGAACGACGCAGTTTTTCCAAGAATTTCATACTATTTAACTAGTTGCAAATGTGAACGACTTAACGATAATAGTTATCCAAGCAATAAATAAAAAAGTCTTTTCTCGAAGCCTATGAGTTTAAATTCTATAGTTTCATTTTACATTTAAGGAGAGTTTATTATATAAGTTTTTTGGTGATATTTCTCACGTTAATACTCTTCTACGATTTTCAATTTCACCATTATCTACTTCCGTTGGAACACATTCACAAGACAACTCTACAGTTTCCTCTTCCAAATCCTTAAAGATGTCTTCTGTTGTATTTCTAATTTGTCTATACGACAACAATTCCCTCACCGATCTGGGATTTTTGATTCTATCGTTTGTTTCCATGACATTTAACAAAGTACTCTTTCCACTTATAACTACTTTAGTTATACTATTAACAATACATTTTTTTCCATTTCACTCCTTCTTTAAGAAATCAAAAGCTGATTCATTACATTTCGACAATTTCTAAAAACTTTATCGAAGATATTTTGTTGGACTGCAAATAAAATATTTTTAAATTGCAACTTTCACATGACAATCAATGTATTTGAAAACATTATATTTCGTAATTGTTTAAACCATATATCTCTTGAAACGTAGGATTATTATTGAGTATACGACAGCATTAGAACTATAACAACAGAGCTATCGACCAAAAATATAATTTTATAATTATTAATTTTATTCATAAATCCTTGTAATATTTATCATTAATAACACAAAATAACGCATCTGGTCTTTAATAACACTGATAATAAATTTAACGAAACTTTACAACTAATATTATGATTATAATGATTATTTATTACTACAAAAACAACTTATTAAACATTAAAATCATTTCCTATATACTCTTATGTCTCGAAATCATCTTCATTTACTATCTTTGATATTGTAATATTTCGATATTCAGCAATTTTACAATGAATATTGCGATTAGAATGATTGTTATTATTATAAACACACCTAATCCAACTCCCAAACCTATTGTTGTATACCTATATTTATTAGAGTCCTCGCTATCTTCCTTTGTTGATTTAGTTGACTTTCGTAATTCAACCGTTGTTATTATCTTTGATGTTGTAATATTTTCATATTCAGAAGAAGAATCTTTGTTGAATGTCACTTCTGTATACATCTGCGACCGTGCGACTGTTATCTTCTCTGTCTCTGGTTCTCTTTTATTTGTTGTTATATCAATTTTCTTTGTTTCTAACACATCAGTTGTCACATCTTTTAAAGAGGTTGTTTCATATAGGTTAAAACTTCTTCTTTACACTTCATAATAGATTCAGTCGTTTGGCCTCCAGGCACTTGGAAACAGTTTAGTACGCTATTGCCTCTTGTAATAGTAGGTCGTAGGCTCATTTCGTGTAATCCTAGATCAGTTTCTTGAATTATAATGATACTTTCGATGTTCGAAACACATATCTTTGTATTGTCCATTTCTTGAGTCGAATATCAGAGGCTCAATACGTTATATATTATTATTTGCTATTTAGAAGCTGGCTTGACTTTACACATTCCGTCTTGTCGATTAACTTTTTTTTTTGATAATTGTAATACTATTTATAGTTGTTTCGCAGACGGCGTTTCTTCCTCTTAATTTCGTCCTCTTTTTCATTGTTTTAACAATTGATTATTTAGAAAATGATTCCTATAAAAATACATTTCAAATTCGGTAATTGAACAAACTTCAAATATTTTGTTATTGTTGAAAAAAGGAAAGAAATCTCCCATTGATGGCGTTTTAACCGAGATGAGTTTTTAAAGTCTATTTTCTATACAAAAATCCTTCAGGTATTTAATTTATTAATCATTCAAAAAAACATTTCTTTTTCTTTATGACAAACTTAATGAATCCAACGACCTCTCATTATTGCAACAAGAACTATAGAAATTGTTATTATTTCGAAACACAACGACCATTTCGGTAACAATCTGATACTTTATCGCAAAGAGGTACATCACATGACTCTCCAGACCAGAACTCGTCGCAAATACATTTATTAAACGATTCGCATCTGCCATGTTTCGAACAGTACGACAACTCTTCGCATGAAAATTCTGTACAAACTTTCCCAGAATATCCTTTCTTGCACTCACATTTGTTTGGAAAAGCACATTCGCCGTTAGATGAACATTGCGGATCACAGATCGGTATAGCGCATGTCCTACCAGCATTTCCATCATCGCAGATACATTCTGTTGCATTTTTACATACATTACATTCCTCTCCCGTTACAATTATCCATTAGAGGACATTCTTTTAAGATTCCACAATCATCTCCGCTATAGCCATCTTCGCATGTACAAACTCCAGGTTCGGTGCATTTACCGTGACCACTGCAATCATTTTTACAGATAGGCTTAGAACAACTTAGACCAGTCCATTCTTTGAAACAAAGGCATTGATCGAAAGCAATACAAATTCCATGTTGAGAACATTCGCCTCTTACCTCACAACTGAATGTGGCGCAATTTGTTCCATTGTAACCAATCTCACATTTACAAATGTCGTGGTCAATGCATATCCCATGATCTGAACAACCTTCACTGCAAACAGCCTCTTCTGAGCAATTTTTTGATGTCCATCCTTCATCGCATTTACAAACATCTGATTTAACGCATTCTCCTTTTGATGAGCAATTGCCTTCGCATATGGCTGCTGTTTCACAAGTCGGTCCTTGGAAGCCAGGAACACATTCGCAAAAGCCAGCCGAACAGTTTCCATTAACACACTTTCCACATTCGCCAATTTCACATGATTCCCCAGACCAGCTTTGTATACAAACACACTTTCCTCCAACACAGTTTCCTCTATTGGAACACTTCTCCGGACATTCATTGGCTTTCAGTACAGCTTGATTTCGTACGTTTGGATCATTCGTAGTCACAACATCGTAGATACATTGATCAATCTCCTCCTTTGATAATCGGTCAGATGTACACACTTCTTTCGCAGTATTAATGTCGGATTGCGTAAATCCATTCAGTGAATAAAGAGGCTTGTGCGTTGGATCAATATACGATTTATCCATTGAGTTTTTCTCGTGAAAGTTCGATTCAGGATCAGACCAAGAATTAGGCAGTCCACCTCCATTTCTAATAGTCCGCTTCATTTTCCAAGATTCTACAAATTGTACGGGATAAGTGTAATTTTTACCATCTGGACCCATAAGATCGTCCGAATCGCCATCGTTGAAATATCCACAAATGCCAGATGTCTTATTGATCATCTCATTTATTGGCGTTGTAATTAGAGTCAAGTATTGTCTTTTCATCTTGGAGCTGTATAATGCTACAATCGATAAACTAGCTCCATTTGAGAATTTTAAGGACACGAATAGAATGGTCGGATCATCTTCGGAGATTTCCTTCGCACGCAGGGAAATATCTAATCGAAGACTATCATTATGAAATTTGAATTTGTTCTCAGTGTTCAAATTGGACAATTCATTTCCATTAAGACGAAGAACAGGTAGATCTGTTAGTGTTGATGGAAATTTCGTGTTGATCGTTAAAACTGATGTATTGCCGAGTTTCAATGCAATCGCACCAATAAATGATGTTCTCTTAAAAGCAAAGAATCGAAACTGATAAGCTAAAAATGGTGATCGACAACACCAGAATTGTCCGATTCCGAAGAAATCGAAAGATCTACCATCCAACATTGCTAAATGAGGATCTCCCCAGTTCCTTCTAGGCAATCTTTTTCGCAAGAACGGCCATCCCATTCTCTATTACATTCGCATCTTGATCTACAGTCGACTGCTGCTACACAAAATCCGTTTCGACTGCAACGAGAATCTGGTGGGCATGCCGGTTGATCGCAATTCGATCCGGTTCTCTGTGACGTACAAACGCCATTAACACCACATTCATTTTCACAGGGACAAGTTCCATCAGGCTTTCTAACTACAATTCTGCCATCAACACACGGTTCGCACGGTTCGCAGCGTCATCCTTCTGGGCCGATTATCGATTGCGTTCCATCCGGAAGATAGTAGCCTCTTGTTTGAAACAAATCCCAGAGCTGGTAAAGCAGTCCTACCCACTACATCGTTTTCTCTAAGAGATTTATCGTTAGTCTCGCCTATCCAAATAAATAAGACTGCAAACGCTATCCGCACTCTTACATTCAAGATTATCAGTTTAGATTTAACAGAGGTAATTTCATATGTAATATAATCTTGATAAAGGTTATATTATTTTTTTGAATACATGTTTTTTCATTTTGTGAAAAAATCCAAAATAGTTGAAAAATATTTTTCAGCCATTTTGAATAATTGTTATTATACCTTTCCAATACTATTCTTCTTTTAGAGATATGTTTCATAATATTATATTTTATTTACTTATTAATTATTGTTAATATTTGCAGTATAGTATAAAGAATCATTGATAAAACATGTGCAGTTAAATGTAAGAATTGCAAGCTATTTTTAGCACAATCACATTCTAAGGTGTCAGTTTGTCTGGATTGGGAAAAAAGAATCTTCTTTTTTTTTTTTCTTTTCCTTATGTGTTAATCTTTTATCATTTTCTTAGTATTATATATACTTTACTTTAGTATTAATAAAAAAAAGTCTAGAATTTCATGGGTTCGGTTTCACCAAAAAGGGGTACGATTTCACACAGATACGGTTTCATCTGGGTACGGTGTCACCGGTATGGTTACGTTTTCACCCCTATTCAGTTCAGAACTAGACTTTCCACATATCCATGGTTTCAAGATTGATAATTGAGAAGGGCTATTTGTGAACCAAATATCGCTCACTTTTGTATTTCCGTCAACATCTGTATATCTTAGTAAATCCGTCAGTCTATCGACAGCTCGAAGAGCTTCTTCTGTTAGAAGAAAAGCCGAATTCTTCTTACACCATATTTCAGCTTCCGCTTTTGAACCAGCTCCAACGTGAAAGTGATAACAGGATCCTCGAATAAATTTCCAACCAAGAACACAACTTCCAGATGTTGCTAAGCTGAGAGGTTCACTTTGCAGAATTGGTACAAACTGAAGTATTGGAGATCCCTCAAGTGATTTACCATCTTTAATTCTCTTTCCAAGTTTGTCAATATCCAAACTTCCCCACCAATTATATTGACAGTTACCACTTTGAAAGTCAGCATTTTGTAGACTGTAAGCCACCTCGTATGGTGTTTGAGGATTATTTAATATATTGTTATTGATGTACAAATTTCTGCTGACAGATGTAATCACAGCATCATTTCCTTCGTCTGGATCTTTTTTGTTAAAAATGAACGTATTCAGCGATATATTAGTATTCGAACTGTTGGAATTGACGTATAGTAGGTTACCCTGGGCGGTATTATTATACAGAAGATTATTTGTGAAACTGATATCAGCATTTTCAATGTAGATCAAGTAATCACGTGATTTGGAATGTTGAATATTACATTTATCAAAGGTAACGGTAGCATTATTAATTCCATAGTTGTTCATTCGAAGAAGACTGCTTTCGTATAAATTAGTAATAGAGTTTTGAGTAAACACCAAATTGGAGATTCTCGATTCAAAAGTTGAATTGAAATGAACTTGAATTACATGTGAATTGTTCAAGTTAGGAATATTCAAATTTCTGACGAGAACATAGGCACTATGAAGATCTATGTTTATCAAACTGGACGATTCGATGATGGGATGATTTTGATTAAATGTTAACCTTTCCAACCAAACGCTGTTGTGTATTTCGCTATTTCTATTATGAATATCTAGGCATCCTGTTTGGCAATTTTCAAAACTTGTATCAGTAACTTTCAACTCAGTAGCTTCTCTCTCAAATGGACATGTTTCATAATCCGTATGGTCAATACCAATGTAAGATTGACAATTATCCTGAATCGATCCGTAGAGAGCAATTCGAAATTTCTTTCCTTTTAATTTCTTCAAAGATATTCTAAAATCCTTCCAGTCTTTTTCTAAATTTAGCCTGTCTAAAAAGATTAATCGATCGTCCAAGTCAGCATAGACTCTTATAGTTTCATCTTGTGAGAAATACTTTGAATTTTTGTATGCCGCTATCTTGAAAAAGCATAAATTATCTGTTGGCTTGACAGTTGCACCAAAGGCATTATTGATTATTATTAATTGATTATTCAAAATATGATTCCTATAATAATACATTTCAAATTTCGAAATTGAACAAACTTTAACAGTTCTGTTTTTGTTGAAAAAACCCTTTACATTATCTTGCGGTATATTTCAGTTGTAAGAAAGATATCTCCCATTGATTGCTTTTTAACCAAGATGGGGGACTTATCTTCACGCAGACAGGAGAAGAAGCTGTATAGTTCTGTTTATTTTTTTGGTCTAAGAGTACAAAGGAACTTATACTTAAAAACATACTTTAGAAAAGCTCATAATCTTTAGCCAAGTTCTATTCATTTAACTTTTTTGAAAACAAGACATTTGAATACTAGACTTTGTGACATCCTGCTACTATAGACAACAGACAATTCTCCATCTATTGATTGATAATTAGATGTTAAATCATCATTGCAGAATTGATGAAAGAAGCAAACTTAATTATCGCTTATAAGAAACTATTAAGTCAAAGAAAGATATGTAGACAACAAAGGGAGACCAATCAGAACATTCTGAGTCAGATTTCTGTGGGAGATGTTGTGAACAGTTTCGCCTCAGCTGTGGGCGTTTTTTCCTGAACTCTTACCGGATAATTCTAACAATTGTCAAACAGATTTGCGTTTTTAAAGTTCATTTTTTATAAAAAAATCCTTCAAATATTTAATTCATTAATCATTCAAAAAAAACATTTCTCTTTCTTTATGGCAAACTTAATGAATCCAACGACCTCTCATTATTGCAACAAGAACTATAGAAATTGTTATTATTACAAGAAGACCCAATCCAACTCCCAAGCCTATTGTTGTATACATATATTTCTCAGAGTCCTCGCTATCTTCCTTTGTACGTTCACTTGACTTTTGCAACTCAACTGTTGTTGTAATCTTTGATGTTGTAATATTTTCATATTCAGAAGATGGATATTTCCTGAATAAGTAGAAAATGAAATACCATTATTAGATAAAATGATATTTGTCCTTGTTTTGTTGTTGTTCCCCAATTAAATCGCAATATCGCTACAACTAGCTTCACTAAACGAAAGTAGAGTAGTCTGCCGTTTAAATAGAATATGGCAATGATTAATATAAAAATTTTCTATATTAATCCTGAAAAACCATTGTACTTCTCTTGCTGGCAAAATCTACGCATTTGCAAGTTATAACAATACTGGTTCTACGCGAACCTTTAAACAAATGTTTAAATTAAAACGGTTTATTCGCAATAATAATACTTAAGCAAGTAACAATATGAGAGTTTGATAGCAGAGTAGATAGTTCGTAAAAGCAGGTTGCCAAATTGCCAAACTGTCTTCCAATGTTGAGGAGTAGATAGATGGTTCCAGTGGAGGTTGTTTCCAGATGATTTTCCCAGGTCCTTGGGTCCAGATGGAAGCTGCATGCCAAATGAGAATAGTGAGGATTTATATACTTTGAGGTTTGCCTCTGACATCCAATCATCACTTTACAGTTGCCGAAATGTGTAGTTCATATTTATCTTTAGTAACAGGATGTTACAAGGTTGAACATTTAGGAAGGTTAATTGAATTATAACTTGGCCACACCCTAGGCAAGTTAATTAAATTATAACTTGGCCAAACCTTTATTGGTAATTAAAGATGAGCCTTCAAGCTGACTAATCAGACTTATGTTTGGCCAATGTTATAGCATTTTCTTGCGTAAGTTTTAAGATGTACATGTATAAGTTGCATCAAATAATAGAGTTCAAGCATGTAAACTATAACCAAAGTTGTACACCATGTTTTGAAATATCACAGTAGAGTTTTTTTTCGTACTATTGTATATACGAAGGTATTTGTTACTTAAGAAATACGCATGATATTAGTATTTATTAAGCCTATTTTTTAAAGCCTATTAAATTAGAATCATTCAATGAGGTTCAATACTTTATTTAAAGATAATATTTCTTACGTTTGAACATTTAAAAGCAACATAAGAGTCTATTTATGCCTATTGCAAAAGGTATATAAAAATTGTACACAAGTGATGCAGTTGAAATAGTTTTTCTTTAAAATTTTAAAAAATTCAAGTTATTCCTCATTTTGATAAAGTATACAATGCCAATTATCATACAGATTATGACAAGTGAACAACCAAGGCCTATTAAAACGAAAGTTACTGTCTTTTTAGAACTATTATCATTGGTAGTCCCTAGAAAAGAGTTTGTAAAGTTTTCGTAGACTGTCGTTTCAAATGAATATTGCGTTGTTTGAGCAATATTTTCACCATTTTGAGTTACTTTTCTCGAATGATGATCGAAGAATGGAGAAGTTTGTGTATTTAATAATTCAGTAGATATTTTAGGTAGTTTGGTCGTCATTTCTCTAGTAGTTTTAGCAGTCGTTTCAACAGTTGTTTCAACAGTTGTGACAACAGTTGTAAGAATAGGATAAATATGATTTAAACTCTGCGATAATACATCAACACTAAACGTTACAGTTGATATGCAATTTTTGTCTGATTTGTCCAGAATTGTTAGTTTTAATTTATATTTACCAATTTGCAGTGGATATTTTGCAGTAATAATATTTGTTGAATTGATAACAAAGCTATCAGATGATTGGCTATTTAATTCTGTTAATTTTTTAATTATATCAGATTCTGAAAGAACGTCTTCTTTATTTGTAAAATACTTTATAGGTGTTAATATTGTTCCCATTGAAGTATTGTAACCTATTTTTAAGATTCTATTCTCCTCAGGTATCCTAATTCGTGGACATTGTTTTATTTGCAAAACAGTCAATTTCAATTTTGCAATTGATTGTTGATTGTATAAATTTCTATCAGCAACAAGTAAAGTAACATCATATATACCAGGAGATAATTTTGCAGTTGTTCTTAAAACGCCATCTTTACTGTTAATTGCTATTGGAATTTTCGTATCAAATATGGAAAAATAGACAGATTTTCTTATATCAGGAGAATTTAAATTCAATTTTAACAAATAACTACCAGTTTTCAAATATTCACTAACAACTATTGTATAATTACTGTTAATAAATTGTGGAGTTATTGTATCATTTTTAATCGGTATTGAGCAATTTGAACCGGTAAATCCCTTTTCGCAGACACAAGTTTCCCTATCTAGACATCGACCGTTAATCTTGCAATTATTAGCATCTATACAGTTTACTTGATTGCATAATGCGCCAAACCAATATTTATCGCATGTACATTGATTAAAAAATGTACATTGGCCGTGTCCTGAACAATAATTAAGGGATTCACAAGAAAATTCTTTGCAATTATTGCCCTTGAAACCTTGTCGACATTGACAGTTGCTTGGACCAACGCAAACTCCATTAGTTTCGCAACCAACTGCGCAGATTGCTCTGCTACAATCAAATCTGTCATATCCATAATCGCATATACATCTATCTAAATTCTTATCACAGATACCGTGGCCATTGCAGTTGTTTGCTAATGGACATTCAATTCGTTCACTACAATCCGATCCTGTGTATCCATTAAAGCATGAACACACTCCAGGATACTTACATAGTCCATTACCAGAGCATTGATTCTTGCAAACAGGTACTGAGCATGATTGCCCTTCCCATCCAAGAGAGCACAAACAATTATCATAGCCTATACACAAACCATTTCCTGAACACCAATTTCTGCTTTCACAGCTAAAGCTTGAACAGGTCGTGCCATTATAGCCTAAATTACATTCGCAGACCTCGTCGTCAATACAAATTCCTCGATTTGAACACTGATTGGAGCATTTTGATTTTCTAGAGCATGAAGAAGATGTCCATCCAGGATTACATTTACATTTATTTGAACCAACGCAAACTCCTCTAGGCGAACATTCTTCGTCGCAAACTGCTTTTCTCTCGCAATTGGAACCTTCATATCCATCGAAACAAATACAAAATCCTGCTGAACAATATCCATTTATACAATTTTCGCAATTGCCAATTTCACACGAATCACCAGACCATCCATCCAAACAAGAACATTTACGGTTGAAACAAATACCATGGAAGGAACATTCATTAGAACATTGTCTCAACTGAAGATGAAATTGATGACTTAACGATAGATCCTTTGAAAATAGAACGTCAAATACGCAGTTTGTTTTTTCTTCACCTTTCAAATTTTCCTCAGCGCATTCTCTAGCCGCTGAATTTTTTTCAGAATTAGAAAATTGATCTAACGAGTATATAGGCTTAAAATTTGGATCTGTATATGATTGATCCATTAAATCATCTTTATGAAAGTTAGACTTGTAATCCGACCAGCTTTTGGATAAACCTCCATCAGATCTTTTGACATTATTCATTCTCCATGAATTTCCGAATTCTTCCGATGTTTCGTAAACTGTATCATCAGGACCAGTAAAATCATCATTAAGATTATTATTCATTAGACCGCAGAGGCCGGAAGTCATGTTGAACATGGATTTTGAAGGTACTAAAGCAAAGCTCAAATATTGCCTTTTCATAACAGGACTATACGATACAGCAACAGAGAGGAATGCACCATTTACGTAATCTATTGAAAAGATTAGCAAGGTAGTTTCATCACTGTTACTATCAGTTTGAGGATTAAAAATAGTTAATTTAACTCTGCCAGAATCGAACGATCTCTTAGACATTCCTGTTAGATTTTTAACAATCGATCCATCTATTCTTATCAAAGGTAGATCGCTTTTTTCAACGTTTACTCTTGTACTGATTGTAAGAATTGATGAGTGACCTAATTTTATACTGCTAGCACCAATGAAAGATGTTCCTTTGTAGCCATAAAATCGGAATTGATAAGCCAGCGTATCCGATCTACATCCCCAATATTGTCCTATACCGAAATAATTAAACTTTCGTCCATCTAACGTCTCCAGATGGGGATCTCCCCACATTTTTCTAAAAACTTTGTTCTCGCAAGCTAATCCCGTAAAGCCAGGGTAGCAAGTACATTTTGAATTGCACTTGGCGGTTGCCGTACACATTCCGTTGCCGTTACAATTTCTTTCTGGTAGGCAGACGGGTTGATCGCAATTAGACCCACTTCTATATGTTGTACAAACGCCATTCACGCCGCATAATTGATTACATAAGCAAGATCCATCAGATCTTATTTTAGGTGCTTCTCCATTCGGACATTTTGGACAAGGCGAACATCTACAACCGTCTGGTCCAAAACTTGAAACAGTTCCATCCTTACACCTACACGGACACTCAAATACAGGATTATCAACAGGTTTTGCCGATCCATCAGAGCAGCACGAACAGGAATCGTGAGGTAACATCCAACTAGAAGCTTTCTTACCAGTATCGCAAGTGCAAGGACACAAACATAGCTTTAATTTAGTGTTAAACCATCCAAGAGTTGATTTTCCGCCACTAATACACGAACAGCATTTCCCTTCAACAACGTCTCCTTCCCCGGAAGATTTACATGTACTATTTAAAAGATTATCGATATTTAATCCATTTCTAATAATAATCTTATTATTACCTTGCTAATCTCAAGAGATTACCATTCATATTATATTTCATTGATTCTCTACTTTCCATAAATTTCATATTTCCTTCGATGAAATCGTTTTTAACTGCAAGAACTGAAGAGAGAATTTGCATTAGTAAAAACTATTAGTAATAGAAACAACGTAATCTATACCGGCTGAAATTGCTTTCTTATCATCCTTGCAGATATTTCCATTGCAGTATCCATAAGTAGATGTTATTTTGTGATTAATATCTACATCAACTTCCGTTTCAAAACCGGAAGAAGAAGCATTCGACGATGTTTTAAAATCTAATTAAAGATATTCATAAAAACAAATACCGTACAAATGCAATACTCACTTTTCAATTTGCTCTTTAAACTGTCCAAGTTAGTGTTTCTTTCCAATTTATTATTAGTATTTGTACGTAACTTTAATTGTTTATAAACCTTAAAATCAGGCCATTTAATTGTTGACATAGTAGCAATATTCAAGTCAAATTGTCCAGTTGTTAACCAGTCTCCATCAATAGATGATAAACTTTGATTATATAAATTTCCGTAGCCGGATATTTCGCGTTTCTTATCTTTCGAATATTTAGTTTCAACGTAATAATCCGAATAGAAGTTTGTTTGTAAATTCAAGTTTGTTTTCCCGCCAAAAAATGTTTTGCTAGGTTTAACAAGTACTTTGCCAGTTTTTATTGTACCTGGTATAGATATTCCGGAGATTTCAACGAAGAATGGAATTTCCTTTTCAATTCCTCGAACCACAGTATAATTTTGAAATTGATCTATCTTATCTGTACTTTCAGAGTAAACTATCGAAAACTGAGTATTATATTTCACTAATCCATTAGATATTATATTGAAACTTTCAAGTGATGAGTCATAAGGTGATAGTTTCAATTCAAAAGCAATAGAATTTAGTAATGTAACGCTTCCTTGAATATTCAAAACATAATCTTCCTTCTATAAAAAAAAAACACATCATGAATATTAATGAACTGTTTAAAAAATTAATACTTACATTTATGTTATCTTTCAATTCAAATTTATTTTCTATTGTATTCTCTGAAGATTCTTTAAAAGGATTATTTAACGGTATCTTCTTAAGATTATTTAAATCTTGGACGGTAATCTCATCCATATTTGGTGAAATTGTAAACAAATCAATAACTTCAATTAAATTCCAATTGTTTGTAAGTTTTTTACTATTAAGAACAACTCCAACAGATACTGCGGATTCTCTCCCAAATAGGAAATCCCCTTTATTGAACTTCCTACTAAACTTGTTCCTATCCATATAATAAAGACGATTTAACGTCTTATGATAATCGCAATTTAGATCTGACGATATAGTCGATATATTATTAAAAGCCAGAGTTTGATTTTCGTTGAAATCGTATAGAGAACAATCGATAATTTCGGTTTCAATAAAAACATCGGAATTGGTGTATTTAAAACTTTTTATCTCTTCTAAGAATCCATTTGGTCCTCGATAAACCAATATATCGCTTTTACTTGAACCATCGAATTTCGTGATAAAATAATAGGACCATACTACCTTATCTTTGTAGTTGTATCTTTGACCTGAACATTTTATTACATTTTCGTTACCAAGATCAAGAAATAATAGACTAGAATCGTAAAATTTCTTCAAAGTTTTATCATTTTCTGGATAATCAATGAATCTTGAAGAAATTATAGATTTAAAGGTGACGTTTACGCCAAAGTGACCATACTTTAATATCTGATCAACTGTCACCCACTTCCCAAGTATTATAGAGTAGTTTGCAGCAGAATACCACTCTTCTTCAACTTTGTGCATTACAGAAGATTTGGAGCTATATAGTATGCTTCCTAAAGGAAACAACTGATAATCTGTATCGGGTATAATCAAAACTTGATATCTATCGTCATTTTCCCATAAAGCGTCAAAGGATGACGTACAACGATAGACGATTTTTGAATCTGATATGTTTTCAACATTATCTTCAAGTTCTAACGAATTAAGCCTGTTTTCGGTATAAAGATTAGGGCTTACAGTTCCATCCCTACAGGTCTTTTCATTCCATATTTTACAATTATTGCCAGAAGTTTTATAACACATTTCTAAATCTTTGCATTGTTCGCAAAGTCCCGTTGTAGAATCTTCATTCGCACTATTGCAGAATTGTTCCACGCACCCTATATTTCGAATTTCTGCCGAACATGCTGACGTCGTCGAAACGGATATACAATTCCAATAAAACCAATTTTCACAAGAGCTTTCAGATCTTATGGCATTTCCAGGTTGGCAAGTTTGCGTAGAATCACACCATCCACATCCCTCGTTGTTTGTGCATTGGTAGCATGATGTGTATCTCGGACATTTGGAAGAACCGCAATTTGATCCATACCAATTTGGATCACATAAGCATTTATTTGGTCCAATACAAATTCCTCTTTGCGAACATTCCGAAATATCTTTACAGTCAAATTGGGAACAAAACTCTCCTGTCCAGCCATCATTACAAACGCAACTTCCCCCAACGCATTTACCTCTACTAAAGCAATTAAATGGACAATAGGTAACAAATGGCAGAGTACATATCCAAGGTTTTAGTAGATCACCATTAACTGAAATATCATCAGTAGTAGTCCATATCTCGGTCATTTTGACATTACCAGTTAAATCCCGATATTTTAATACATCTTGAAGAGCTTCAGTAGTATCTAAAGTTGTTTGATTTATTAAGAAACCATCGTGATTTAGACACCAATTGAGTCCTTTATCAAAAGTTCCCACACCCGAATAAAAGTAATAACAAGAGTTCTTTATTAAAAACCATCCGGTAGGACATCCAATAATTCCTGGTGAAGTAGGTGGTGGTTCGTTAAGAATTGGTTCAATTGTTATATTGTCCAAACCTAGAGGTTTTTGTATACTTATTATCCTTTTATAGATTTCTTCCAATTTCGTAGAACCCCACCAATTCTTTTGGAAATTATAGAGAGAAGAAGATTTAACAGTACTATGTAATTCATATGGCAAAAGTGGATTATTGAATATATTATTCTGAACATCAGTATTAGAGCTTTCAACTTTAATTGCTATAGGTTGACTAAAAGATGAAGTATTCTTATTAAATATATAAGTACAATCTCTCATCTTGATGGTACTAATGCTCTGTATTAAAATGATATTATCCTCCACGTTATTTTCGTAAAAGAAGTTATTTTTCATATCTACAGCCATATTGCTTGTTATATTAATAAAGTTCTTGTTGCACTGACTATGCGTAACCGATAATCTTTCTATATTGGCTAACACCTTACGATTTCCCATATTCGTTGCTGTCAGTACGGTGGAGTTGCCTAGATAAGATACTGAATTCTGAGTAAATGTTAAATAGGAATTGCCGTAGTTTGAATTAGAATTGAAAATGATTCGAGCAACAATAGAGTTCTTTAGATTATGAATATTCAAATTTTTTATCAAGATTTTACCATTCTCAATCTCCATATTAATTAATCTTTTAGCTGACAGGAGAGGTTGAGAGAAATCATTTCTCTCTATTGAAAATTGTTGATTACCCTCCAAAGAATTTCCAAATATATCAATACAATCGGCCAAACAATTTTGAAAGTAATTACTATGAACTTGAAGACTAACATCATCATCTTTTCTATCGCACCTGTTAAAAGTTGTCTGATCAATTCCAGTAAACGATTCGCAATAATCCATAAAATGGTTCTTTATTATAATACGAAATCGTTTCTTTCTTAAATGCCAGACAGATATTTTATAAAATGTCCAATCTTCTTTTAACCTAATTGTTTTCAATAGTTCGTATTTGTTTCCTATTTCTGCGAATACTTCTAATTTTTGACCTTTATACGTTACTGGAAATTTTTCGTAGGCAAAAAATTCAAATGAGCATATGTTATCTTCCGCCTCTATCCAATCACTTTTTATTAATCCTATAGCTCCGTATTGTAAATTTCTATAACAATACTGCCTATTTTGAGATTTTGGTCTGTTATGAAACATAAGATAATGACCTAATTGCGTTAATTGATTATCTAGGTCATTTTTAAGATTATTCCCAAAATCTTTTGGAGATTTACGTTCAATGAAAATTGTTGATTGTTTGCTATTCTTTTCAATAGCATTTTCCCAGCCACAAGACGATTTTTCGAATGTACATAGTTTGGTTAAATCTTTCGCTGGCATAACAAGTAGGTCAGTGTAATACCTGCCTTGTCTGATTATTTCTATTCGTATCTTTCTTTTAAAAGAGCGAAATACAAACGCTTTAGATATTACCTTTTCTTCTAACAATATATCATCATTATCGGCATCGAAGACAGAAATACTAGCGTAATCGCAGTACCAATTTATACAAGAACCTCTTAGTTCAATAAAATATCCTTCGGGAGCCTCAAAAACTTTAGAACATCCGGCGTGACTATATGAAGTATACCAAGTGGCATTTGTCCATAAAGCAGCTTCGTTCTCTTCAAATCTATGTACAGATTCAGCTGAACAGAAATATAAAAGAGACCAGTTACTAACTACAGGAGCAGTAAAGGTATTATTCATATCTTTCCATCCAATTCCGTTCATGACCCGATTAAATTTCGATTGAGAAACTGTTGCATTCTCATTTCTAACCAATAAAATACCATAATCGTGAATGTTCTCTATTGTCAGATTATGTAGATGTAAAGTTTTACGTCTGTCGTTCTCGACAAACGTTAAACCCTGTAGTCCAGCGTCAATGATACAATTTTCAAAGGATGGCGCTACTCCATAAATTGATAGAACTTCCATACCAGAAATACGAACATTTCTAAATGTACTTTGCTTCTTTTGATTATAAAGAATAATTTGATTTGCTTTAGATCCATAGCAAGTAAATAATCCGTAAGTCGTATACCTGCTATAGCTCTTTATTATTGTACAATCGGATAATTTTTTTGCAGAACCACAATCTAAAACCCAATCTGTTGATGGACCTTTTGCCTTATAGTACGAAGTCATTTCTAAAGAAAACAAGATAATATTAAAAATACAATTATTTTAATTAGTTGAATGAATATTCATAATTTACTTGTTTGTCCAGAGTAACAAAGAGATTGGCATAAAAATTTCATTCTATAGACTGATGTCAGTTTTACATAGTACCATTCGTTATTCTCCAACACTTGCAAAAATTTATCAAACAGCCTATATTGTTTTCCATTGACTGTTTGGCGAATATGTATTGGATTATTCTCTTCTCCAAGAGCTTGAATACCACTTTTAAACCAAACTATTGAACACAGTTCAATGTTTATTATAGTTTTGTTTGGTTTTACGATAACGTCGTCTTCAAAAATTGTATTTCCATGGATTTCAATAGATCCCTGCATAACTCTTGGTTCGTTTATATAGCCACGGAAATATGAATGATTAGATATTTTTACTTGATCTTCAATATCAACAAGAGTCTTCATAGTTGAATCTTCAAAGATTGGAGATAAATTTAATCTAGCCAATACTCCATCGTTAAATCCATGATAAACTCTATCATAAGGACTTGAAGAATTCCAAAAATTCTTTGGAATTTTAAATCGACACGTATCATCATTTCCAAATTGACATAAGATGCCGACGAAGATTTCGTATTCTGTTTTCCAATTGTTAAAAGTATTCTTTTCCATATAAGGAATTAAATTTCCCATCAATTTTATTGTATTTAAACCCTTATTAGACTTAATAGTATTACCAATAATATTATAACCAAGATTCTTCCCAGTTGTCAAAAATTGAAATAGATTAGATCGAATACTCGCTGATGATGTTATAACGTTCGAAGAGAATGTAAATTTCGTATAATGAATTCTAAATAGGAAAGTTGTCTTCGTACAAGTAATATTATCAAATTTATTTTCTGAAATATGTATCTTTCTCCCAGATATCGACTTATATTTAAGACGGCTAGATATTTGAATCAAAGATGACGAAGTGATTGAATGATGTTGAAAAGTATTATTTTTAATTTCCAGCTCTCCATCAACGTATGATAATCTTAAACTTCCAAAGTTTTCTTGAACGTTATTATTAATAATCTTCATTTTACCAAATACACTTGATTTAACAAAACCCAAATAAGAACGTTTTGGGCAAAAGACATTATTATTAGCAATTAGAATATCTGTTAGAAAATCCGTTTGATCGGCATGCATTCCATAAAAGTAGATGTTAACAGGACTAGAGCATCTAATATTATTATCAATAATCCTTAATGAAGCGTGATTATGATGAACACCCCTCACTTGAACCTTACTTTCAAATATAGTTCCTCCTTCAATTTCGCATTTCTCAATACTTATACCAAGTGAACTAGGAAGAAATTCGTTAGCGTGTACAACTTTTTGATATTCACTTCCAATAAACTTTGAATGTTTAACGTTTATAGTTGATTTTTCTCTTAACGATCCTGATACTAATATACAAGAGCTTGCTTCTTTAACAACTACATCTTCTATAGTTATATCTATCTCTTTATACAATTCACATATGATTGAAGCAGATTGAGTAGGATATGTTAATGATTTTGAATATTCAAAGTGTGAATTATCCAATTTAAATGTACTTTTCAACGAAATATCTTCATTACTTCCTTCTGTATAGAAGATAGTATTTTTGAATATGAAATTATTAAATATACAAAATATAACTGTTTACCTTGTTGGCTAATACTCTTTACAATAATATAATTAACAGAACTAAAGTAATCATGATTCTTCAATTGAAAACTTGCAGTATTTCCTTTTATCAAATAGAAATATGTTCCATCATTTACGGTAAGGCCAATAACTTTGTATTGACTGTTCACATTCCCAATGACGTAATTATCAGATCCACTTATTGTGTAAACTAGTATCTTTAAATATAGATTGTTATCAGTAGAGAATTTCAATGAGCATAGTTTATTCAATTTTCTATCCAATCTTGTTTGAATTGCGATATGTTCACCTTCTTTTATATTGTATAAAGATGGATCTGGGCAATTATCATTCACTAGCCTAATATCATCTCTTTCCTTTATATCGTTGATATAACTAGCCGTTTTTGATCTATATATCGTTATACCAGCATTAAAGAAAGTAGAATTTCTAACTTCAATATGTTTTCCAGCTTGATATAAATGCGATCTCTCCTTTCCTTGTGTAATATTCAAATTTTCTAATATTATCTTATCATTTATCCAAGATTGGTGAACAGTTAAACTATATTCCCCTTTAGACTGAAGATAGATATTTTTAACTTTGTGTTGTAGAAACTCAAAGTATAAACAATATCCTAAAAGGCCGGCGTTTAATATCGAAAGACCTTCGATTGTGCTTGGTTGAGAATTTGCGAGAAAACTTAAACCACCCCATGATCTTTTATCGCATGTTATAGATACAAAAAGTTCGCAGGGACCAGTGTCAACTGTACAAAAGTTAAAATCGGGTTTCGAGCATTCAATAATCGCTCCTATTTTACTTTCATCCTTCTTCCAAACTCTGTACTTATTGTGACTCTTGTAACCGATATATGCACCACTCTGACAAACGGCATTTAACATGTTCATATCTTCTGTAGATAGTTCTTTTAGTCCATATTTCGGTTCTTTAGGCCGTAGACAGACTTTATAATAAGTCGAGTTGACTTTAAAAGTTGATACAGAACTCCTGTCGGTGTTAATTCGATCTTGATTAAATTTATTACCTAGCATATTCATTACAACTCCATCTTGTTTTTTTCCCAGAATATCTAGCTTACCGTAGACTTCTATCCCAGTATAAGGCCAAGCGATAATTTTCACTCCATCTTCAATAGTAACTTTAGAGCCTCTTTTAATTCTAGTAATTGACTTCATCTCGTACGTACCCTTTTTAAGGACTACATCTTCAGAGATATCTCCTCCAAGCTTACCATTCTTATGGAATTTATAGAAATCTTCATTTTTTAAGATAGTTAACTGCGAATCCATATATCTAGGATTAACTATAATCTTTGAAAACTTATAAAACATGTGATCACCCATTACGCGTTCCCACACATTTAAGTTACCCCAATAGTTATTGCTCAAATCGTGGATAGCTCCATGAGACATACCTTCGCTAAATTTGAATTCAAACGATACTCTTGGATTGATAAAGGTGTTTTTACGTATTTTGAATACAAAACGAGAAGTTATTTTAACAGTTGCATAAACATAATGAGGAAAATTTAATTGCAACTCGCTCTCAATGTAATTATCAACAAACTGATTCTTCTCTATTACAGTTCCAAATATACCTTGTGACTTATCGACGTCTATTGTCAAAAGTGAATCCGCCATTGAGCAATTATATACTTTATTATCGCGTATTATTAATCCAAGACGATAGTCTTCCCTATGAACAATCGTCGCTAATCCACCTTTACAATTTGACATATAATTATCAATTATCTTAATGTTTGTTGATTTTGAAATAGTTAACACATAATTCCCAGCTTCATTCGGTATAAATTGATTTTTTAGAATATAGACTTTAGCTGTTAAGTGAGCGACGTTACCGTCAAAATTTAAAACACCTGGGACGTTTCTGAAAACGTTTCTTTCAATTCTTAAATCTATTTCTTTCAAAGTTTTTATCGTCTGTTTTGTAATTTGATTTTCAAACGTATTATCATAGAAGAATGTCTGAATGATTCCCTTATCGTCGCTAGATCTTGAAAAATGAACGAATGCCGATTCTTCTTCATTAGAAATGAATTTTGAATGTTCAATAATAAATTGTGAACAGCATCCAAATACTTCTAGACCATTTCTATTATTATTAACTTCGACGTCGCGTAAGTTTGTCAAACCATAAGTATATTTTAAATTTATACCATTTTCTCTATTGTTCATGCATTTAACATCTTTCATGATAATAGGAAGTTTGAAAAAATCTATATTCAATCCGTGTCTGTTACCGTTGAACCTTGAATTTTGTATAAAACTAAAATTTGTTGAGCCTTTAAACGATTCAAGATAGATGAAAAATTCTTGATTCTCTTGAATATCTTTAACGTTTATGTTAATAAATTCTCCTTTAGTTTGATAATAATCATCGATATCTTTAGAATATTTATTTTCTACGATAGATGGAGAACTATCGTGTTTTCCGTCTCTAATACTATAATTAACTTCATTGGAACCAAATACTTTAATTGTAAATAAATGCCCTTGTTCCGCTTTAAATACCTATAAAATAAATTATCAAAGAACATTCTCATTTCATATGTAAACTCTTTAAAAAACCTTTCTTTGTGTACCCGAACATTTGGAATCAATAAAAAGAAGAGTTGGATATTTAATAGTAGTTGAAGTACAAATGGAACATGACAATTGACAGTAATTTGTCTGAGAAACCGTTGGTCTATCAATGTATGGTGATCTTATAAAGATTCCATCTTTTTCGTTATCTATATAAATGGAATTTCTATTATATCAGCTAGTCTATCACTAATAATAGTCTACCTATAGCTTCAATGTTATTTAATTGAAACTTTGTGTCAAAATTAACGAATAGACCAGAACCAGAGCCTCTTTTAACCGTTACTGAGTTTAAATTGACCTCTTTCCTCCCTTTATTCTTTGTATCAATAAGAATAGATGGATTTGCATTGATATTACTGGCTTGAACATACCTATATTGAATAAGGAATATATCAAAACACTATATTACTTATAGAATACAAACTCAAATTTGTTCACATAGGATGCTGTTAGATGTATTCCAACATTGGTTATAACGTTTGAAATGGAAACGTCACTTATAGTCTCACCAATGATACCTTGGTATAGAGACCATCTGTAGCAGGTTATCTTTAATCTTCTCGATTCAAACTTTAGTCTTGCTAATAAGGTGATACATTATGATTTATACTGACTCCTTATTATTTCATTTATAATTAAATCTTACTGGAAAATTGACATTGATTTGTAGTTTTAGCGTAAGATGAACAAGTAACTGAATAACAACCAGAGTAGAACGATAAACGTGTATAAGTATAGAATTGTTTGTCATAGAACCCCAAGTCTTGGCAATGAAGCTAAATAAAAAAGAGATAAGATAATGTTTATACTTCAATTAAGTAGTGTTTTTGTTTTGATTAAAACCTTGGCAAATGTTGCAGGATTACCCGAATACCCACAAATGTTGTAGGTGGCATTATTCTTTGATAGATATTTTGGATAATATTCATATCCTTTTGAACGTTTAATTATTAATTAATAGTCAAAATTAAACGTCTTTTAAAAGCTTACTTTGAGAATCCTGATAATCTATTGTCCATATATAGTTTTTACTTACAAATGGTGGTTTTTTGTGTTTCGTTAATATATGTATAGGCTTATCAACATCTCCAGCCAATTTTATTGACCCATATTTGACAAATAGTTTACTGGTATCACTGTTAAAAGTAATATTCGACCCTGCCTTTACAGTCAGAGATGAAACTGTCTTACTTCCGCTTATCACATAATTTCCTTCATTTATCACTAAATCTTGAAAGGTATAAGCATTTCTAATTATGCTACTTTCTAATAGAACAAAAATTATCCATTTTAGTAACTTAATAAATGAAATCATTATAAAAAATGCCGATTATAGCAAAATCTATCAAGAATGTCTCTTTGTGTGTAAAATAACATTTATACTACGCATGCGCATAAAGGTATATTACCCGCCACAATTATAAATATTTCCTTCAACTAGAGAGAACATTTTAGTTATTTAATACTACTACAATATTAATACGAAAATAGCGAATAAACAATATACTCTTTCGCTAATAGTTTGTTCTAAATTTTAATAATGTTTATTCTCTCAGTTACCATAGCAATATTCTATGTTTACAATAAATAATCTTAGTTTATTGTTATATGTATATACTTTTTATAAAAATTATATATATATATATATATATATATATATATATATATGTCGAATTTAACGTATAAAAGTGCTGACAAAGTAAATTTATGACACAAAGAAATTTTTTTTGTTGACTATAGCTTTTTTTTTTGTTTTTTTAAAAAAAAAATTGTCAGCAGGAAAAGAAAAAACTATTAAAAATGTTTAAATTCTTCAGGATATTTTTCAGTACTGGACACGGCTAACTTTTCTTCTTTGTAGGTATCGAAATTACGTAAATCCATTGGACCTTTGCATTTCGGAACGTAGGGAGCTCTTAAAGATTTATTATAAATTGCCCACCAATCTAATCCATTATTCCATTTATGATTTTTTATATCCAATACGCCATTCCTAAAAAGTATAAATTAATTAGTTAATCAATTTATTAATTAATTAATTAAAGCAAAAAAAAAAAACCTCAAGTTTCCAAATCTCCTTGTGATGTCAGTTTGTAATAGATTAGTTATCAGATCAGCAAGATCCTTTGAAAAGAAACTCGGTATATGAAAGATTCCCTGAGATATTTGCGTATAAATCTTCGTCATGTCATTATTCGTAAATGGAGGAATTCCAGCTGCCATTTCATAAATCAAAACTCCCAGAGTCCACCAATCAACGGATTTGTTATAGCCTCTACTCATAATAATCTCTGGTGCTATATACTCTGGAGTTCCACAAAAAGTCCATGTTCTATCTTTAATCTTCTTAGCAAAACCAAAATCTGTAAGCTTTAAATAGCCATCTAAACAGATTAGAATATTCTCAGGTTTCAAATCCCTATGCACTATACCCAAATTATGTAGATATTCGAAAGCTAAGACAACCTTTAAGTGTTTTTTAAATGATAAGAAAATAGAAAGATCTTGTAATTTTTAACTGAAAGAGTTATTGAATTAATGTTAAATATATACTTGACTAGCGTAAAATTTGGCTACTGATTCGGAAAATCGACCTATTTTCCTTAAATGAGTAAACATTTCACCACCCTCTACGAAATCCATAATTAGATATAAATTTGAATTATCTTTACAGCAATAGTGTAGTCCTACTATAAACGGATTTCGGCAAGCTGCAAGAATTCTTTTTTCATTAAGAGTATGTTGTATTTGTTTCTTAAGAACAATTCTCTCTTTATCCAATATTTTCATAGCGTAATATTTATTATGTTCTCTTTGTTTAACTAGTACAACCCTTCCGAATGAACCGGTTCCAAGAGTCTTAAATATTTCGAATTCGTTTAGAGACGTCTTTGTCGAACTTTCATTATTTAACCTCTCTTCGTATTTAATAGCAGCCTCCGCTAATAGTTCTTTAACTAGTAAAAACTTCGATTTAACATCGTACAGCTATTTTAATGAGTTAATTAATTATAAATACATTTTGTTATTAGCTCTTCATTCATACTATATCCCCCACTTCCAGGAGGTAGGACGGGTGGAATACCACCTTTCTTCCTTTCTTCAACCTGTCTATTTTCATCATCCTTACCATTTCTCCTTCCCGGTAATACTGATAGAAAGTTAGATTAGAAGAAAAGCACAATATTTAAAATATATTACATTTAGTTAATTAATTAATTAATTAATTAATTAAAAGTCTAACTAAACTATTAACTTAACTAACAATCTAATAATTTCGATTTTATCATATTTATCCTCCTTCCCCAAAACAAATTTCCTTAATTAAAATTAAAAGTTTTATAAGGAAGATAAGGAAAAATGTAATTCTTATTATTTTTGGTTAGTTTCTTAAATAATTAATAATTTAAACATTTAAAAATAATTAATACTATTAAAAAATTATGTTAGGCCTACCTATAATTATTATTTAAATAATTAGTATTTCTATTTATTTTCTACTGCAAAAAGGAGAGCAGAATAGGAAACGAAACTTTCCCTATAATACAGTAAATATACTGTATAGTAGGCTATAAAGTTTGTATACTTTATAAATAAAATAGTATGGCGTTTGTTTCCCGTTTTTTAAAAAGATAAGAAATATTGAAATAAAGTGGTCTTTATTGTGTGAAATGTGTAATAATAGGGTTCTGTATTGTACAGTTATATAGTTTATCTTAATATAGGTTTATACAGCTATGTATATACTCTATATATATACTGTTTGTACATATTGTTATTTATACAACGTAATAGTAAACAGGGTTCAAATACAGGTTTGCAATATTTGTTTAGTTTATAAGAAAGATTTATAATGTTTTTACAGATAATCCTAATTTTATATACGCCCACAACGATGTAGTTTATCTGATAGTCCTATATATAAAGCAGCTTGTACAGTAGGTTTGTGCTCTTTCAACATTAATTTCCACTCTCTATAGTTTGTTCAATATGGAAGACCGACATTGTTCTCCCTTACTGTTATATCTCGAAAGAAATCAAGTACGTTCAAAAGCTATAAAAATGGCCAATTAGTCGTTTTATCCATTCATGTTTCAAAAATATTAACAAGAAAAACATAAAATTTAAACAGTACAAGTAAATTTCTTCGCTTAAAGCTTGAATGTTCTTTTGAACAAGCGCATGTATACACAGTGGTAGAAATAACTTAACTGATTAACTTAAAATATATACTGAACAATCAAGTAATCGTCAGTTAAATGCAGTATAAGTGTATAAAAAAAAAACAACAAAGACAGGAAAAGAAGAAGAGTGTTTTTTCTACTCGCTATCAGAGAAGACAATATGCTGACAAGTTTCTCTCATTCTACTAGCGGCATTCATTAATTTTTTCGTCCCTCTCTCCTTTTTACGTTTCTTCCTAGACTCTCGGCATTCGGCTTGCTTTTCAGTAACCGTTTTGAAATATTCTTCTTCTTCCGTTGCTGTATTGATATAAAAGATTTTGTATGTTTTTTCTGTTTATATAGTATAAAATAGTCAAAATTGGCGACTTTAAACGCTTACGTTTCATTCGGAAAAAGGTTAAAGAGTCAAAATTCCTTTTCAGAATTTGATTAGTTTGAGTGACTGTTTTGCAACGAACGTAACCTTGGCTAGCATCGTCTTCAAAATCAATATAGTGGACCTGAGAAGGTCGTAGGCTTTCCTTAAAAAAGAAACTTGTATTAGTAACAAAATTTCCTTTTTTTTTACTTTAATTATTTCGTACTTCGATATCCTGCCATTTTGAGGGAAACTCTGATTTGACTTTTAAAACTGTATTTGGAACAAGGACGGGCTTTCCATTTTCACCAATTTCTTCCTTATGTCGAGACACTATTTCAGAAAATCAACAAAATATAGTTTAGCCAACATAATAATTAATATATTCGAGAGTCTTACGTGCGTCCTTTCTTAGTATATCTGATTTTAATTCTTCTTCATCTGCCTTCTCTTCACTCATCAATTTAGACTTCTTTTCTTTCCAAGACTTCAGATTCTTTTTCAGATTTGCCATACTATCTTTTTGTAAATTCAAATACTCCTTTTTAAGATTCAGCCATTCCTTTCTAAGGAAAATATGCGTAATTCATGAGCAACAATGGAGAATTATGCAAACAAAAAGGCAAATAAAAATCTGGGGTAAAACAAAACTTAAAGGCGAGTGTACTTCTAGTCAGAAATCAACAATATCCGACGAGCAGAACACACGCATTCAAATATTTGCACAAACTGATATCGAAAATGGGAATAAAATTGGTGACAACATCGAACTACCAAAACCAGTGAAAATCTAGTCAAGATCCTTTAATACTAGACCAGAAAAACACCAGTTCTGGTTGTGCGAAAATAAACTAACATGTGAAGAACTTTTGATTGAAAGATCTCAAAAGAGGCACACCCACTTGCTAATAACTTTTAATTCAGCAGGAAAATCGGCTAATGGCTTTCTCTTTCTAATCCTTTTCTTTTTCTGTTTCTTTATGTCTACTTGGTCGGATATTGTTACAGTTTTGGCCTTTTTATTGGGTAGTTCTTCCGTTTGACTATCTTCATTGTCTGATAATTTACGTTTCTGTTGATTGCTATCTAAAATAGCTTTCTCTTTACCATTCTCGCTATTTTCACCTTTATCATTCGTCGAATTCTCCGATTGTAACTCTAAATTTGTTTCTCTTTCCTCCGTTGTATCTTTAATAGAGTCGGTAAATGATTTTACCTCTTTAGAGATTTCTATAAACAATATTCAACTTTAGCTTTAGTCTGTTTGCATAAATTATCAAATATTATACCTTCAATTTGCTTTTCTAAGATTTTTCCTTGTTTACACATCCTCGGGAATCTGCCAATACCATGAGGATCGCTATTGACTTGACTGACTGCCCGAGTAGCCGCTTCGACTGTTTCGAACTCTACAAAACCAAAACCTTTGAGGTCACCAGTACTTTTAAATCTAGGCAGGCTCACATAAACGACATTGCCAAATCTGGAGAATAGCTCTTTAATCCAATCATGCTTCACTCCCGGCGGTAATGGTTCCTTAAAGAGATAAAAACGATATAAAGCTTTCAGGAATAATAATAATCACACCATTACAAACCAAATATATAGTTCTATCGTCAATATCAAGTCTCGGTGAATACGGCTGTTTTCTTTTAACTTTCAGCTTATCGTCGCTTAACTAAAAATATTATACATAGTAAATCCTTTCTAATTACATTAACTATATTCTTTACCACTAATTTATCAGAACCGTTAATCGCCTTAACCATTAAATTCGTATCAGTCGTTAAAGCCGCCAGCTTATTAAATTTACAAAAAAGTTCAAGAGGTAAATCTATTGGATAAAATTTTATTAGAATTTGCAGTTAATACATAAATAGTAACTTACATCCATCCTCTGAATCATCAATTTTCTGCTTAAGAAAACGATCCTTGCCCAAATTCGCATCGCTAAAGTAAAATTCAATCTGTCGTTAACATTTAATCAGCCTATAATGAAAAAGTAGGTCAACGTTTAGTACCTGTTCGCGAACGCTCTTCAACAGCTTCTTCTTACGACTACGCCGCTTTCGGACATCTTTATCTTCCATTCTGTTAAACAGACCACTTTCATATAATGAGAATATAAAATATATAACAAAAAAACATATATATATATGTAATATTCTAGCTGCTTTACCTACACAAAAAATGATTGCCTTCTCTCAAACAAACCGTTATTGTACATATGCACAGGTAATTCTAAAATTACCTATTTACGGAGTCTACAAATCTTTAATAAAAGTAACTTTGTCAAGTTATTTTCAGAGTGATTATGTGGCATTTGTACTTCTTCACTCTCGACGATATACTGTCGAGCGATATTTCAGAAGTACGTGCTAAAATCCAGTTAACTCTTACTCGTACTGAATATAAAGTAGTTTTTACATTATATTAATTTGATTGAAGAACAAATTTAAGTAAAAAATAAGCTATAACTCGAACGAATATAATATACAGGTACGTAGCAATAAAAGTCATAAAACCTTTCTGTCACTGTGGTTGCGCGAAACCGTGTTTGATGCGTTTCGGTCAAGAAAGAAAGAAGGTCGCCTATTGGTTGTGTCTTTTACTGACCAATAAGATTCGAGAAGCTGAAAATTTTGTATCAAAAGCGGTAATTGGACTAAAAATATGTTAGCGGGAAATGGTTCGGTACTCTGTAAACTTTGAATTTATTATCGAAATTTGTTTCTTTTGTATATTTTATAAAAGACAAAAGCACAAAATATAATTAGTCCTATGATAGTCGAGTTCATCGCTAATTATATACGGAAAAAATTGACGTGTCTCATTGTTCTTCTTTTGATGATCTTTGACTATGTGGAATCCATTTAAGGAATGATTGGTCAATTCTTTTAAATGTTTTGTGATTTTTCAATTTAGTTTCAATTTCTTCCATAACATCCTATAAAGGAGGAAAAATAGAATATTAAGTTAAATTTTTTTAATAGGGTTACTTATTACATATGTGCTTTTAATTGACATAAACAAAACTTGCCTGTCGTTTTAGTATTAGGTGCTTTCCTTTCCAATATTTTAACATTCCCAAATCCTGTAATGTGCTGACTATATCATTAGCGTGAATTGCTGTTTCCTGACTTAAATCTAAACAAATTTTGATATTTAATATTACTATTTAATTATATTATCTACTCTGAAAACAAACCTCGAATAGTTAACTCTTTTCCACTAAATCGCAATAAATAATTCAAAATTACTTCTTTCCAATACGATCGATAGGATATTAGACCTAAATCAGATAAAGGCCTCTCAGGAGACCCAACTTTATCTTCCATTTTACTCAATAGATAACCTAGGAGAATGAATTTTAGAATCGTAGCTTAATCAATAGTTGTAAGGTACTCACTAAAATCGATCAACATTTTACCATATCCTTTTCTCATCAAGTACGGCATTGTCAAGATACAAGAAACATTATAATTTAAAAAAGACTGTTTTTCCTTTGAAAAATATCCAACAATATGACCTCCACTATCGTCAAAAACAGTCATTACATAGAATAAGAAAGGTTCAACATCAAAATATAAAGTTTTATGATCCAAGAACAATTTTGCCAACAAGCATAAATTTTGACAATAGATCTTGTTAAATTTTCCATTAACCTAAATTTTAGTATATAAATATATACATGATTATTTAATATTAATAAAACTATGTATAATATTAAGTACATACCTCGAAAATTGATATATCTCCATCCCGGAATATTTCATCACCAGGCGGATGTTTCCATTCGCACTTGGCCTTTTTTTTAAATATATAAATATTAATTAGTTTCGATGGTACGGATAAAGCGTAGAAACAAATATAAAATGAGAAATTCTACTACCGAATGTTGCTCGGCAATAATGGAAGTTTTCATATACTTCAAGCAAAACTCGCAAATATATAATTTGGGGAGGCAAGCATATTCCTCTGGATAAGGCGCTGAATACCACGTATCAACTTCCCATTGACCTATTTGAATCTAAAAGGGTAGAGAACGATTTATATAGTTTTTCAATATTCTAAAAAGAGCAAATTCATTGAAATATATACTTTTTTAATCCTATACTCTTGCTTCGAGTTCAATTGACAATGAGTTGATAAATCGTATTCCTATAAAACAAAGGAATTAATTAAATTTTAAATGGAACTCTTGTAAACTAACAGTTAAACATTGAATTTCAGGCGCTCCAACTTGATCCTGTACAATTGTTTCGCAAGCTAGAGCTTGTGCTTCTCTGAACATATCCAGATCTATCGATGAGGAAATTCCAGACAAAAGAGGTTCTCTATTGTTCTCGTGAACTTGACGGTGTTTTATCTGTGCCGCCTATGAAACATTACAGACAAAATATGATATTTACTCCTTAGAAAGCTTGTTTTAAAGCAGTAAGTAGTATTTACCCTCATCTCTTCCGTATATTCCCGAACGCCCCTAGGAGAGCGATTTTTTCTCAAATCACTTCGCTTAGAAGAAGTAGATTGCTCTGAAGATGCAGAACTACGTGTCTCCCTATTTCTACAATTGTCACTCCGGTGACGAGAAATGTATTTTGTCTGAAAAATCATGAAAATGACCTATTTGAATACTTTTTTCAAGCTTTAACATTACCCGACATTCTTCTGCTGTAGTATTATGATAAAGAGGACAGGAACTGATCGTTCTATGAGTTTCGTGGCGACCAGTTATGTGTCCTTTCGAGTCGCACCCCGGAATAGGGCATCCTTGGTAATTATCTGAGGTATATTTTAAGCTCTGTTCAGCAACAATTCTAGAAGCTCTGTTAAGAATTTCTTAATTAATATCAACATATAAATAATTTTGATTAAATATCACCTTCGAACTATTCCTTGGTCAACGTAGAGATTATTTTTCGCTGGACTTTTCGATTTTCTCCCACTTTTCAAATCACTTATTCCATTTTTAGCTCCCTTAGATTTTGAAACTTTTGATTCTGTTTTTAGCCCATTTTTCATAGGGGACTGAGAATTTCGTGTACGTCTTGTTGCTTCTACATCCTTTTCCGGTTTAGGAGTGAAATCTTTACTCGAACGGGTTCGCTTAGAGCTTGGAGGCTGCAAATCATCTGAAGTTTGATCGTTTACAGCAAGCGGCTTCACACGCCTTCTTGTGGCCCTCGGAACATACTCTGGTTCAGAGTGATCACTTAAGTCAGATTCTTCATGGTCCGTTTCTTCTACATCCTCTTCCACTTTTTGTCGCTATTAGAAAATATTTATATTGAAAATAAATAAAGCTTTAGTATATTTGCAGCAGACGGCCTAATCTAAATATGGCGCGCAACAATAAGAGCGATAAAATGGTATTCTACAAAACAATTCATTTTATAATAGGGTTTGTTCATTTTTTACCTTCCGCTTGGGCATATCCAATTTTGGAAACGGTGTACTGCCGTCAGGAATTATTTTGCTGGCTTGATTTGTGACCGATCATATGAAAAAAAAACAAGACAAGAAGAAAAAATTTCCAAAGTATATGCGTTACGTCTGACGGAAAAAAGAATCAACTTCCGTTTAATCCAAATGTTTAGACTGGTTGCCGCTCGTGGTGTGCACAGCCAGTTGTAGAATTGAAGAAGAGCAGGTAACCGAAGAAAACATCTTCTGCTTTGGTGTTGTCTTTCAAAAAATGATAAATATTTGAAGTTTAATTTTTTGTGTATAAGCTAAAATATCAGTCTGTGCAATCCACATAAAAATTATCCTTTTACCTGAATTACATAGCAATTATTTATGCTTCACTCAAGTGCAGACAAGTCTCTATTTAACATAAACTATGAATCAGCCTTTCTTATTTACCGAAATGGTTTCTAGTCATATTGAGCCTACAGATAAGTTGACATCTTATTGATGTAGTTGAGAGATTGCAACCTCTAATTAACATTATTGATGAAAGACACTATAAAATTCTTTCATGTGATGGTTGTCTGCTTACAAGCACTTCCCATCAATCAAATTTTATAATTTTCAGCCTACTTAATTGAACTTGATAGAAATAAGTAAAACATTGCCAAATTAAAAAGTACATGGTTTCACTACAGTTAAATAGCAAATATATTTACACTACTTGACTTTGCTTTATTTGGAAAGGCTTTCAAAGCTTGTCATGGTATATCGTATTTCCATCTTATTCTCTTATTAACTACTTTCTTCAGGTGTGAAAAGTAGTTAATTGCTTTATAAACATATACAATCTAAGGTTAGTTAGAAAATAAATATACTCTTTTGTGTTTGTATTGATTTGTTTTTGAGTACTTTTTTATTAATAGGAATGAAGGAAAAAATTATTCAAGACCAATTAGCAGATCATTTTTGGTTTCACTTTGAATAGTTTTATCATCCTCATCCTCGTTCAGAATTTCATCATCTTCGTCTTCATCATCGTTAAGATTTTGTGCACCATATCCAAACGTTGATTTGGATAAATCAACTTCAATTGGAAATAACTGGGCTGTTTTTAAAACTTCGTGGCATTCTGTATGGTATACAGACATAGCACTGACTAGCTTCTGCAATTGAAATACGATATCCTGTACATGTTTCTGATCGAGAAGTTCTAATTTTACTAGGACATCGGACCGTAGTTTAGCAAAACGAACTCTTGCTAATTGTCTACATCTAAGAACCAATCTGTATTCATAATTTCCTGTTTCGACTCTGTAAAGACATTCACCAAGAGCGGTATATGATTGTTCTTCATCGTCCAATTCTTTGACTTTGAGACAGTACGATAAATACTCAAATTTTGCATCCAAATACTTTTTAAGAGTTAGTCGGGTATCTGGAACAGCTTTGTGAAGGAATGTATTTAAATCCGAGACAATAGGTTTGACTTTATTGAAAAAAACTATAGCAGCTTTTTGAATATTCCTATGAGCTTCTCCAAGCTGAGAAAAAGCTTCTGAGGCAGCTGGCTGTGGTTCCCTGCACCCTATACCACTAAAAACATCACCAAAAGCTCGATGACATTGAGAAAGATTAAGAAACGATCGTAAATATCGTTTGCTATGCTCTACCATTCCCTTATAGACATGAGCTGTTCGCTCAAGTTCTTGTAACTTCTTTAACAAGGAATCGTTGCATAAGATTGCCCTGCTTAAACCTAATGCATCAGCAGTTGAAGAGTCCATCGACTCGACTACTTTATGCTTAATCTTTTTTAAGACAATATCTAAAGTTTTTCCTTGCTTAGGATCAGCATGTAGTTTATTATATTTAATTGTAACAGCTCCTTTGACTGATTGAATCATTCTAGCTACTTCAACTCGGCTTCTGCCCTTAACACTGTAAGTTTGAACTCCGACTATTTCATCTCCCGCTGCTAACGTTCCATCATTACCGGCTGGTGTGTTGTCAAAGACCTGTACCACGTACACACAGGGACAGTAAGGGGCACCACCACCAATTGATATGCCAATTAGGTTCTGGTCATCTTTATTCAAGGTTGCGGCTCCTGACGTAACCGTCATGCCCCTGTTGAGAAATACATGCTTATTATAACATATTAATCGTTTATGATTCAAGCAATACAATATCTTTCTATTGGCCCTACTTATCATCTAATAAGGTTCGAAATGTTCTACACTTTACTTTCTTATACATGTTTGGTGTGAGGTTTAAAGGTAGCAAAGAGTAATTACATAAAGTTCAGTGAGTACTAACATAGCTAGTGAGAAATGTCACTAAAATGAATTGAAAAAAGCCTATGTTCGAAACAGATGTTACTCAAATGAGCATAGAAAAATCATTAAAATATCATATAATAAAGAATGTATAGCTTACATAGTATCTTCTTCTAGTTCATCAGCATACATTTTAATGGCTTATGGACAAAGCAGAAACGATTAAAAAGTATATAGACTAGAATTTCGTGACTAAAATTTTTAATATTATACGGGTCTACAGCGGAAGTGGACGGTAGGAGAAACTGGTCAACAATCTGTAATGTTTTGCCAATTCCAAAAATAAAAAATTACATTAAATAAAAAACGCTATTATGGCATATGATAACTCGTCTAGATTAGATATGAATAAATAGACAATATTCTCATGTTCGTTCCACTGCCAACATTGCAAAACTCTCTGAAGATATCTTGTTTTCTTCATATTCGGGCGATATTATGCTAAACTCTTATTGGTTCGGTTATGCCGCAGTCACACATCTGGCTCATTTCCACATCGGGTAAAGTTTACACATTAGCTACTGGCGAGCAGACATATAAGCGAATACCAAGTATTGGTTTGCAGAAGCCAAATGTGAAAAAAGTTGCCTGTTGTCCTTGGGCAGCCTGGGCAATTGGATCTGATCATAATGTTTATCAGTTTGTCCATCACTCAGCTGTCCCAATACGATATCAAGAAGAAGTTTACGAAAATGAAAGATGGCTTCCGACTCGTGGATGGTCTGGTAGACATCTGCTACCAGGTCTTGATCCTGCTAATTGGTCCAACAAAGACGGAACATACTACTTGGTTCTTGATGATGTCAAACTACCGTCATCTTCATGGAAATGGGAGCACGACTGGTACGTTGACGAAAACGTTGATGGGGAAGTAACAGATAAAGGTGGTTGGCGTTATTCAACGTTAGACTTTATTAGGGGGAAATTTGGAGCTACTAAAAGATATAATTCTTGTGTAAGAAGAAGAAGATGGATTAGACATAGAATTTACAGGTATACTAATATTTTATATTTTTAGCGTTCTTATTTTACATTTTACTACCTTTTTTAAAGTTCTACTGGTCAGTGGTCTATTATTCCTCCCCTTCGCCTTGATCCCTTATCAGAGCCTTTAGTATCGTTAGCTGTTGGAGGATTCTCTCTACCTAACGCAACACCAGGAAGTGCAACCGTATGGGTTGTCAATATTATGGGTCAGATATATTATCGAAGCGGAATAGTGAGAGATAAACCAGAGGGAACAAATTGGAATCAATTGTCTATATCATCAGGTGAAGAAGTATTGTGTATAAATGCTGGTCCAACCTATCTGATATGGGCTATTACTTGGTCTGGTGATGCGATGGTCAGAAAAGGAGTTAGTTGGAGATGTCGGATAGGAGAAGAATGGGTAAAAGTACAGGCTCCTGAAGAATCAGATCATTTAGTTCATGTCGGCGTGGGCTCGCATACTGTTTGGGCGGTCTCTGTTTCTGGTAAAGTGTGGTTTAGGAGAGGAATTACTGAAGCTAAGCCGGATGGAACGTCTTGGGTTGGCATGGTAGACCGCATGAGAACTGTTAGCGTTAATGCATCAGACCAAGTGTTAGGAATTTGTAATGATCTGAAATTACATTTTAGAAGAGGAATTACTCCAGAATCTCTAAGTGGTAAGACTTGGGAGCAGTTTGCCAAATTTTCCGTCGAACACTATAAAATTCCATCCACACTAACTCCTATTATCAGGCAAAAACGTCTTTCACAAACCAAGCCAATAAACATAATACCTTCAGCTCCTCCGGGAAGACAGAAACGTGACGTTGATCTAACCTCCCTTAGTGTAAGCTATCATAAGAGGACGCCATCAGAGGGCTCTAGTCTTGGCGATAATAGTGAAGATTTGGAAGAAGATGATACTGAAAGTGAAGAAGAGAACGAAGAGGAGTCTGAACCTGAAGACGACGAGAAAGGTCTAAAATGGATTTGGGTTTCAGCTTCGTCCTGTCTTGCTCAAAGCGAGGAGGAATTAACAATGTGGACTGTAAAACTGCTTACAAATTCAATTGAAAAATTATCTAATTCGTGGAAAAAAGAAATCCTTGAAAAATTACGTTCAAGACGTTTGAAAGAGTTTTCTTCATTTAAATCGAAAAAATACAGATTAGCAGTGGAAGAGGTAGGATGGACAAAAGAGACGTCTATGCGACTGGCTTCAGACTCAAAACGACAGCAATGGATTGACTGTAAGATATGCTTGACTCAGGATACGCTACATTCTTCTTTACTACTTCTTTGGGAAAAAAATCAACAGATAATGCCTGTTTCCGATATCCTTTGTGTTCATTCTTTGGCAAAGTTTCCTGTCTTTATTCTTTCTACAAAAAGCTCTAAAGATTATCGGAACTTGGATCGATTCTGTTTACAAGCTCAAAGCGAATCGGAAAGAGAAGAATGGTTACAACTTCTTAGATCGGTAGATTATAGATCTGAAAATTGTCGAAAAGAGGCGTGGGCTATATCATCGTTTGGACAAGCCTTTTATCGAAGAAATGATGCTTGGAAATTAGCCGGAAGTGGTCATTTTCATCAAGTATCAACAGATGGTGACTCTATTATCTGGACTGTTGGAGTCGATGGAGTTGCGTGGTTTTATGATGAAGGGAAGTCAAATATTCAATTAGATAAAAGTATTTCAATAATTTGGGAAAATCAACGGTGGAATCCGATAAGTGGATACAGTTCCCGACGTCTTCTTCTGGATCCACCTTCTTGGATGGACGAGAGAGGGCGTGCCTGTAATAAAAATGATGTAAAATTACCAAGTTCGAAATGTGTTTGGACTAACGATTGGGCTATAGATATGAAACCGGATGGAGGAGCTGATAAGGATGGTTGGCAATATGCCAGAGACTATACCCGAACATGGAGGGCCCAGAGGAAGCTTCGTCATTCTTATGTTCGTCGTAGGAAGTGGGTGAGGACTTGGCGATTATCTAGTTTAGGACCTTGGACAGAGGTCGACTTGAGTCCAGACGCTCCAAAGTTGTCTGAAGTCACAGTCAGAACTCTATGGAATGGGGAAGCAAAAGTATGGTGTTCAACTGAATCGGGTGAACTTTTAGAACGACTAAACGTAAGCGAGAGTTTGCCAGGGGGCAGTGCTTGGCGGCACGAGGCAATGGACTTAAAATTCTGTTCCGTTTCGGCAGCTGACGAGAGGAGGGTGTGGGCTGTTTCAACAGAGGGAGCAACTTGGTTGAGAGGTTCGAGACCAAGCGAAGAATGTTGGATTCATGTCCCTCCCCCGTCAAGTGTAAAACTAGTTCAAGTGTCTGCAGGTAGAGGTAGTGTATGTGTTAGAGACGAAAAAGGAAATATTTGGGAGAGAAGAGGCGTTAATGCTTCTTTACCAGAAGGTACAGATTGGCAGGAGATTGCTACGGAATCCTGTCACGTAGCCGTAGGTGATGATGATAGGGTAAGCTTTAAAATATCAATAATTGATTAACTACTTTGCAAACTAACAACATAATTATAATTGTAACAATGACGTCATTTTCCAGGTGTGGATTGTTAAAACTAGTCCAGAAAACGAATGCTTTCAAGACATTCAGCAAATTCTTCCAACAAATTGCGCAGTATTAGCGGTAAGCAATAAATAGGAGACATACTTATAGATATAGAAATAGACAGATAGATAGATAGATAGATAGATAGATAGATGTATAGTCGACTAAAAATGTTAAATAAATAATTTCCTGCTTGTTTACAGGATGGATGGAAACACGTTTGTCTTCGATGAAAAGATCCGTAAACTTATATTTATTTGATTTCAGAATTGTCTCAGGTTTACAAAGTGATATATGATTTATCCTTTTGTCTTTGAAATAAAAAATTTTCCAATTTTATTTAATCTATTGAAGTTCCTTTCATTGTAAAATAATCTTGCTATTTAAATATGTCGGTTTAAGGTTACTATGGAAAAAAAACAAGGAAAGTTTGATTGAAATTAGAACAATGAGACTATTTAAAGTCGAAGCTTGTTTTTTTCTTTTACAAATACGTTTATCTTGTAATATTAGAAAATTAAGACTATTTAATTAACTTCTGCTTATTATCAAGCTATTGTCCCTAGCCTTTATTGATAAGACATGTGTCATGAATATCGGACAAGCTAGTCAATACGCTGTCTCTAGACTTGTTGTTTTTTAAATGTACTTTGGTACACTATAGATAAATAACGCACTTGAAAACCTTAAATATTAAGATTTATTTCAATTCTAAAAAACAACAATTTGATTTTTATCAACGGGTTTCTTTAAGGGAATAACAAAATTCAAGAACATTTAAAGGTTAATAATTCTAAATATTTTCAATCCTATCTTCTTGCTGGTCTAGTTGTTTGCGAATCTCTCTTGGTAAATCAATTCCTACCTGATTTTCTAAATACATTCGAGTTTCTTCCATATCTTCTTTCCAATAATCTTTTGGTATACTCATTAACTGCTCCATATCAATATCTCCTAAACCAGAGGTATCTATTGAATTTGGTTTAGGTATTAAACCGATTGGACTACTTTCCGCAATATCTTCCCCTTCTAAACGACGACAAATCCAATCCAGAACACGAATATTATCACCGAATCCGGGCCACAAAAATTTTCCTGTATTAATATCTTTTCTGAACCAATTAACATGAAAAATTCTGGGCATAGGATGCTTTTTATTCATATCTAACCAATGACGAAGATATTGTCCAAAGTTGTAGCCGAAGAATGGTCTCATTGCCATTGGATCGTGCATAATTTTTTTACCAGTATGTTCGGCAGCAGCTGTAGCTTCAGATTTCAAAGATGCACCAACAAAAACACCATGATCCCAGTCACGAGCTTCAAATACAAGAGGTACACCTCGAGGTCTACGTCCACCGAAGATAATAGCATCAATGGGTACACCTTCGGGATCTTGCCACTTGTCGTGAATGATCTTACAATTCTCGGCAGGTGCACAGAATCTAGAATTAGGATGGGCAATTCTTGATCCATCCCCAACTTGGCAGTGCTCTCCCATCCAATTAGTTACCTTTGTGCCCGCTGGTATTTCATCTTCAAGTCCTTCCCAAAATATACCACCATCTTCAGTCAATCCAACATTTGTGAAAATAGTGTTTTTCATACAAGCATCAAGTGCGTGAGGATTTGTTTTTGAACTAGTTCCCGGAGCGACCCCAAAGAAGCCAGCCTCTGGATTAATAGCGTGTAATTTTCCTGTTTTTTCATTAAACTTTAGCCAAGCTATATCATCACCAACGCATCTCGCCTTCCATCCTGGTAAGTTAGGACATAACATAGCTAGATTGGTTTTTCCGCAAGCAGACGGAAAAGCAGCACAGATGAAATACTCCTTTCCAGCTGGATTGGTAATGGACATAATTAACATATGTTCAGCAAGCCAACCTTCATCTCTAGCCAGAGTAGAAGCAATTCTAAGTGCAAAGCATTTTTTTCCTAATAGAGAATTTCCTCCATATCCACTTCCGTAAGATAATACTCTCTTATGTTTAGGTTCATGAAGAACCAAAACTCGTTCTGGGTTACAAGGCCAATGACTAATTGGTTTTTCTGTAACAAATTGTCATTTATAGAAATAAATCACTTGTAGAAACATTAAGCTATTGTTAGTATTAGGTCATGTACCTATTTATGATTGTTATTTTTAGTCAATTTTCATGACTTGTGATAAAAAAGAGGACATTGTATCATCAAATTATTAAAAAACAATTAGAAATAAAAATAGATATATTCACTTGGCAAAGGCCGTGGAACTCCAATTGTGTGAATACATTGAACAAAATCTGAATCTTTTGAGATTTTCTTCCATATACAAGGGTCAACTCTGGTCATTATTCTCATACTAAGCACTACGTAGTTATAATCTGTCAATTGTATACCAAACTTTGACATAGGACCACCAATTGGTCCCATACTGAATGGAATAACATACATAACGCGACCTATAAAATATACAATTAATAAATAGTCTATTTATAGAAATTTAATTATGTACCCTTCATGCTGTTTGGCATACGATCCCGTAGCATTTCCTTTGTGGCAGTTTCTGTACTCATCCATCTACCTAACTCTCCTACGACATCCTCAGCAGTATGGGGAACACTGTCATATCTGTCATTAGTGACTAAAAATGTTTTTCCCTCAACTCTAGCAACATCGGCCGGATCCGTTCTGCACAAATAGCTAAAAAAACAGATCATAATAATGAGATAGTCTAGATACTACGTTTGACCTTACCAATTTTCGAATTTAGGATTTGTAAGAGGAAATAATAAGCCTCTTTCAACCAATTTGTCAGCAACTTCAGTAGCTTCGTCCTCACTTCCATCGCAGAGATAAACAGCTAACGGGTTTAATAATTTCACGTATTTTCCTATAAATCTCCTTGCCCTGTCAGGAAGTTCGTTCCATTCGCCCTTCATGACGCTAATCCTTAGATCTTCCCCATCATCTAGTGTTTGATAGACATCATACTCGGCCATAGGATATGTCATCGAATTGTGCCGAGTTCTCTCGTCTATAGCCACCGAGGGGGGAAGAACACGGAACTTATCCGACTGATTTTCCGAGCGTACCCTTGGACCTGCTTCATAGATCGTCATAACCGAAACCGGTTTATAGGACTATTAATATACTTACTGGACATGCTTTGATTGATTTCAAATTGCTTAGTAAAATCAGAATTTACTAAAATCTTATACACATGGATATTTATACCGAAATTGCGTCAGCTGGTGGCGCTCGATGGGTATAAATCACACATGTTACCACGGTCAAAGTTGAAGGTAACACATAAGTCGAAGATGGCCATTGGCTGGTGGCTCATTCATATTTATCACTGGTAGAAAATGTTAGGCCTAACAACTATAATCATATCTACAAGGTTTTAAGAATGACCTTGTGTAGTTTATTATCAAAGTAAAACATACGGACATTTTACAAGCATGATACAGTCTAAAGTGAACTTGAAAAGCAAATCTATACTACGTAATTACGAAAATATAGCAATACTTGTAACAATAGTTTCTTTAAACCTTACAAAACTCCAACATAATTGTACAAATAAAAATTCACCTTCTCTATGCCAAGATATTTTTTTATATATAACGTGAGCAGTTCCTTCGGATCATGCAGTTTCCTTGACGATTATCTGAAAGAAGGAATTTAATGTAGGTTTTTTTTGTAAAATTTTTAATTAAGCCTGTTCTGTTGGTGTTTGTTATTTAAAATAATAGTATTCCGTATATAGCAACAAACCTCCTCTCGGTCATAAGTAGAATATATTCAAAAAATTTGATAACGCCCTATATGAACACCTCTTTTTTCAAATTTCGCTACTATTTAAAAAAAACTTCAAACTTTTTTCGTTTACAAGAACGTCAACAACGAATATACCTGACAGAAATAGGGTATCGTATCCTTGTCACTTTCTTCGGGTGACGTTTGTCTCAGTTATACATGGACCACCCCATCATTAAATCGCTTAACAATTTACTAGATTCTAGACAATTTTACTGATAAGAAAATCGTACGGTTCGCTCACCTGATTGACTTTTTTTACACTGAAACCGTTAACTGAATTTCATTCACTCACCTGTTATATTTTTTTAAGTACCGTGTGTTTAGGAACGGGATCGATCTGTTTTATTTGGCAATTAACACTTTCAATTTTAAATAATTTACTTTTTAATGGTTATAGTAATTTATACCTCTCTTTTTCTCCTTTCTTCGCTCTCTGGATTTGCTTCTACTCCTTCTTCCACGTCTCTCTCGACTTCTACTTCTTCTCTTTCTGTCACGGTTTCCATCTTTGCCATAATCACGACCGCCTCTACTTGATCTATCCCTCGATCTTTCATTTGAGTCAACAGATTGCGCATTTCTTCCGAATCGGGACTATTAAATGAATGTTTAAAAAAGACAAATTAATTTAAGCTTAACACCCTAAAGACGAATCCAAGATGAAAACAATTACTACCTCAAGTTTTTCAATTGTGGTTCGAACCCTGGCATATCCCATATGCTGCTTTCCCATCAAGTGCTCCTCCTGACGCGAAGGTGCATCTCCAACAACCAAAAAGGCTCCACATACACTGCAAACTTCCATTTCTTTTGAGTTTGGATTTAGTTGACCTCTTTGCTACAAATGGTAAATAAGAAGGTTAAACTTGTAAATTTCATATCAAAAGTGAAAAAGACAAACCACGCCACTTTGTAGTTCAGCTCTATCTTCTTTTAATTTATCACATAGCTTTAAAACACCCTGGGCCTCCTCAACTTTACCTTCGCATCCCAATTCTTCAGCTTGACGAACGAGCTCATTAATCCTTTGAGTTAAGAGTTCAATTCTCTCATCTTGGGTGGGTTGATTGCCGCTAAGAGCGTTTTGGGTATTATTTAAAGCTAATCGGTCTTGACCTCTTCTTATTCTTCTTTCCACATCTTGTAATATAGTCTTTAGATATCGTAAGAAATTGTCTTCATAACCACATTTCTCATAACGTTTACTTTTTTGATAGGCCTCTCGCATCTCATCATCATGAATCCTATCACAAGTTCCCAAGTCGGCTCTTGTATTAGTGAACAGATCATGGGGGCAGAAGCCACAGAGATACCATTTGCAAATCTAAAAAAAAGAATTGTTTTAATTGCACGTTGAACTATTAAGGTCTCGCTAATCTTACCTCTTCATCATCCCATTTGGGTTCCCTTTTGGCACTGGTGGGATCAATATTACGCTGACGTCCCATGAGCTCGTCAAGTAGAGCAGCCGCCGCAGCTGCAGCCATTTTTTTGATTATTAGGTCCCTAATAAAGGTAATTCAGAATAAAGTTGTATTTTTTTCTTCCAGGCCAATTAATTTTCGACCTATTTCCACGTTATTGACAAATTTTTCTTGCAGATAAGCGTCAACGGGTCGTTAATGACACGGTACCCTATCTTATGAAGGTAAAAATGTACATAAAAACATTCAAAATGATGGATGTCCGGGAACCAGTTTTCGTTGCGCATGCGCCATGTCGGCACATTTTCATAGAGGTTAATCTACGTAATATTAAAAATGGCTGACCAGTATATTTCATTAAAGAGAATAACTTAACTAAATTTATAAAATGGCCTAAAAACATATCTCGTCCGTCGCTTGTCTGTCGATCAAAGGGATGAAATATATACTTTTGGCTTCTAGTCTTCTAGGGGGCCCAAAACTCGTATGAATGACATAAAACAGCTTTATATATTTATATTCAATTGTTCTAACATGAAATACTGAGCCGATGCTAAATAGTAAGACAGAATTTGATTATTTTTATTCTTTGTCTATATGTTTTTCTGTCCATCTTTAAAGATATGGAGAATATAGGATTGGACTTTCATAATGCCAACCTTCAAAACATTCCATCGGCAATGCACCAGACGCCCTTGGTATCACACAATCATGTTCCACATGCGTCTATGCTTCCAGATTTTAGTCATGCTTCAACTCATAACGACACAGAGTTGCAAAATCAGCTACAAAGTCGAGTGATTCATCCTCAGTTACCTGGTTTGGATTTTTTTGGTTTTCGAGCCCGAATGCCTCCTCCACCTCCTCCCAACCAAATACTAGACATGAATTACGCAACACATTCAGAAGCTTTTACTCCTGTTAGTAGATTAGAAAATCAGCAATTTACAGCCCAATCATCCTTTATATATCATACACAACAACATCCTCACGTTCCTATTGTACATCATAATACGACCATGATGCAAAGACCCTTCAGCGTTGATTCTACTTTGAAATCGCCTTGTTCTGCTCCTAATTCAGTAAAAAATCACCCCATATCTTCCCCTTCAACACCTCCAAATGGTGAATCCGAGCCAAAAATGTTATTACTTCGTGACAAATCTGGGAAAAATGTTGTTGTAAATGCTAATGTTGTACAAACTTTTGACTATGATGGAACACCCTCGAAACAAGCTGCTCAAATTGAAAATCTTAACTTTTCTTCTGGAACTTTTACATCTGTTGACGCTGGTCTTTTAACTAATCCCGTTATGATTAAAGACTTGATTGGGGATCAAAACGAAACTTCTGAGACTGAACAAATGGGCGAAATAGCCGTAGTTGAAATAGAGGATGAAACAAGATCATCTGAAGACATTTCACGAAAAGAGCATCAGGTTGCAGATCAGAGAAGCAAATCGGAAGTGGAAAAAGAAGATGCGGATGGGAATAAAGACGAAGACGAACGCACAAATGGTGACGGTGCATATGATGAAGATGTAGACGAAGCAGACGATGTTACTGGCTCTGAGAATGAATCTAATACCGAGTCAGGGGATGAAATAGATGAAGCAAAGAAGAAAGTAGCGGAAATCATGCAGAAAACTCCCATAATGAAAATGTCGTCTGAGCGGATGGAAGCTATTGCAAAGGTGACTGATGATCAATTGATGGTTAGAGAAAACGGAGAGAAAAGATGGCAATGTTCTCTCTGTATTAAGAACTATACAACCCGTCATAATCTCATCACTCACGTACTTGGTCATTCCGGAGTGAAACCTCATAAGTGCCCGCTGTGCAAGAAGTCTTTCAAACAGTATTCTCACGCTCAAACTCATCTATTAACACATTCTAAAGTTAAACCCCACAAGGTAATCTCTAAAACTTCTTCCATCCTATTAATGACTGTTCCTTTTTTTATTATCTCCTAGTGTTCCTTATGCTCAAAGTCTTTCACTCAAACGTCACACCTGAAACGACATCTGGCGACGCATGCAAAAACTAAACCTTATGCGTGCGATCTATGCGGAAAAGGTTTTGCCTTTCCTTCCGAATTAAAATTACACAAAGGGAAGCATGAAAAGAATAACGAATGTGCAGATTGTGGTAGACAATTCAATAATTTGACGAAGCTGAAACGTCATGTTCTAAACGAACATAGGCATAAGGCGTGTACCGACCTTTCTTGCCCAGAATGTTCTAAAGTATTCGTTTATCCTAGTCAGTTAAAAGGTAAGAGTTTATACAATTAATCGTTTTGAGCGTTAGTTAAATAAGGGGAAAAATATGATAGATCATCGAACAAAACACAACGGATCGCGTCCTTTCATTTGTAGCGAATGTGGAATGGATTTTATGAAAGAGCACCACTTAAAGGCTCATCAGTTCACGCATAGTGGATTAAAGCCATTCGTATGCGAGGTAAAAAAAATTGGCTAACTTGCAATCGATTTAGCGTAAAAAAATTGGTATAAATCACGCAGGTTTGTGGAAGATCTTTCAATCAGAAGGCAAATAAACAACGCCATCTCCTGACGCACAATAAACTTAAAGACTATAGGTGTGACGATTGTGGAAAACTTTTCTCCCAACCGCAAACTTTGAAAGCTCATCTGGTTATACACGCCGAAAAGAAGCCTTATTCGTGCAACAATTGCGGTATGTTGTAGCTCTTTTTTATTTACTCGATAATTTTTCTTTCTTTTTCTGTCTCATTCTTTCTCTCTCTCTCTACGTTTACCTTTCTGTCTTTCTTTCTTTCTCTCTTTCTCTTTTACAACTTTTTTTTTATGTTCATTATTATTATTTCTCTTGCAAGTTTTTTCCCTTTCTTTATATGCCATTCCTCCCACTCTGTTCTATTCACTAATCAAACGGAAAAAAACTCTCTCCCACAAAGTCCCGATCGAACGTTCTTCGGCAAAAAAAAAAATGTCGAAGCGTCCTTGCCGGTTGTCATCGATCTGCCGTGCATTAATAATGTTTGTGGGTGAATGATTGATAATGAAAGCCGGAGGCGCGTTGGCCTTATTAAATATTTATACCGGGGATAAGTGCTAAACGACTCTTCCATTTGATGCAGGTCGAGAATTTACGAGATTGCATAACCTACAAGCTCATATGCATATGCATAATATGTCCAAGCCACATGTTTGCTTTTGTGGAGCAAGTTTTACTTTGAAAGGTAAGAAAACGGGATACCTCTAACGAGCTCTGTAATTTCAACCATTACAGGCAATTTGAATCGACACCGAAAATCGAAACATGGTATTAGCGTTAGCACGGAAGAAGAGAAGGAGGCGGCTAAGATACTTAATTCAATGTCTCGTCAAGTGATCGAAGTAGACGATTCCTCTTCGCCGAAGCATAAACGCAAATCTGTACCTCATCGATTACTCTTGAGCGATCAATCCAAGAGGAAAATAGTAATGGAAGAGGGTGATAATAAAGGGGTAATTGAAGATGAGGTCAAAAAAGGAGAAGAGGAAGAGGAAGGGGAATTAGAAGAAACAGGTGAAGAAGATTATTACGAAGAGGAAGGAGACGAAGGGAACAGGTGACGCGGTAAAATTCAATGGGTGTATTGTATTTAAACAATATTCGTTAATGCATAGACACAAAACGGCTAATGTATTATAGATTAATGAGTCGTCTTTCTTTATCTTATATACAGTAGCCGCTGCTATAAACCTAACCGATACTTACGCGTAATTTTGAATAGATGCGACGAGGAGGCGGAATCAATATGAGAAGACAGTGATTCCTTTGTCGACACCGACAACAAAATCACTAGTCTTCCACACCGATAGCCGCCAGAAATTTGTTTAATCAACTTCGCTTTTTTTATTCTCGATGTTCGCGACGCCACTGCCACCGCCTTTTGCACTCACTGAAAAGAAAATTAGAGAAAAAAAAAGAAAAAAAAAAAAAACATCGTTAAAATTAATAAAACGCATTATTCGAATGTACACACCTATGATGTAAATAGTTTACACAGACCTCGTATATAAACTAGAGGTGTATCTATATAATCCATACATACATACATACATATATGTATACAAGTCAATATACATTATATATATTAAGGTATATATACAATCTATAGATATATACAGTATATACTGCAGATATATATTTATGATAGATCTGCAGTATGTGTACAAATGCACAGAACAGGTGAAACGCGAACGCACTAAGCAGACGCTTAAAAAGGTGCCGCGTATAATAGAAATTGAAGAAGCCGTCAAAAAAAGAAACGACATTCGACGCCCGTTCAAACGTCGGTTGGAAAACGGTGTGAAATAGGCCTAATGAGGCATCGGTTATTAGTTCAATTTGTACACGTTCGCGACTCCACCCCATTCACTTTCATAAGAAACGACTGCGTATAATCAAAGTCTTTGTAACCTCACTTCTATTATGTTCTACACATTCGGAAACGGCTTCCGAGTCGGGCGTCTAGAACTAATTAGCGTCTTGCATATACATGTGCGTGTATGTACTCGTTGTATAGACGGTAAACGGACGAAGAACAATTAAAACGCGTACACGTTCTAGGTAAATATTAGCAAGCAGAATCGATCGCTGCAGAACGAACTAAGCGCTTTGAGCCTCAGTCGACTGCAAAACCGCAATTGGCTCGTTTCGCATCGAACGTGTTTGATGCGCGTATAGCAGTTCTCCCCGATATAACTGATAATCGGTCGATGGGCGTCGAAAGGCGTCGAGTAGCACTCGACGTCTACTGAACCTATTTATACATACGCTTTATGATTATTAATGTACGAAGGGCTTAGAGTATGCATACATGCATAAATTAATGTATAGACAAGCATATTTAATATGTATAGGTAGTTATACACGTATAAATAAATTTATGCCTATTCCTACAGCATATATGAATAGAAAATATCCTACCTATTAAATATAAATGTAGTTATATAAATACTTACGAATAGAGACATCAAGCTGGAAAAATTAGACATATGCGACGCCTTAGATAGCAATATATTTATTATATATCTATATTTCTGCCGACTTAATATTAATTCTGATTCTATCTAGACACAAAAACATCTCTCTCAAACACACTATACAAACCTTTACATATAATATATACATATATATATATATATATATATAATATATATGCAGTATACACATATATAGATATAGATATTCATACATAATATGTTTATATATATATATATATATATATCATATACTTACTCTAAGTTTCTTGGCGCGAATCTAAGTGGCTTATTGACAGCCTCGTGACATTTCTAGCAGTCAAGCTTTTCTCTTTATATAGCGTAACGAGCAAAATAGGCGACAACTGCAGTAGAACTGCAACATGTAGACAAAAAGCTGACATTTGTCGCAGACCGTCAAGTGGCAGCGTCAAACTTTGATGAGCATACGAGCGTTCAATAATTGATCAGTGACGCTACACGACCACAAAAGCGTCGATATCGAACACAAACTAAAAAAGAAAAAAAGGCCTATTGAAAAATTTTATAAAAACGAAAGAAAAAAGGGCGTCGTTCCTGTCTACAACATGTAGTCTAAACGAGCTGGAACGTAAGGATTCGTCGTCACGAAGCGTTACTCGATACTCACCTTTTCCTGTCTGCGTCGTTTGCGCATGGCTGTCGCCCCGTACACGTATACGCTCGACGCCGGCGTCGCCGCCGTTTTATACGGTGCTTTGTACAGAGGGCGTTACTTTTTTTTTATATCGACGTCTTCTATGCATAAATCGTGTCTTTTGAACAAGATTTTTTTCGCCCATTATATACCTGTATATCTAACTCTTTCGTGACTCGGGTAAAACATTCTAAAGTTTCTATTTATATTTCTTTTAAACAAAACAGAGGAAAGTCAGAGGGCTTGTTGAAAAAACAATGTAAGGGAGACGTGGCGGTAGGTAGCGTCGAATATCACCTGCGCGTGGAGGCGAGCAAAGGCGTGCGTGTAGCATTAACGCCGGAGGACAGAATCGATGGATCGATGTAGACGCTTTTTCGTCAAAATGCGTTTATTTTTAATACGACTGCGTATACGGTATACTACGTAATCCCTCAAAAAGCCGGTTTTTTCTTTGCAATCAGTCTAAAAGCTAGGCGGCTTAAAGACGTCATATTCTAGGCGTCTCACCTGCTCGCGAAAAACACGCGCGTAACTGAACGCCCATTGTTTGTTTGTAGCTATAGAAACGTATGCTTTAATCATTAATACAGCAGTTCGTGGTTTTGAAGACGACCGCCGGAAGTGATTAGACGCCTGGCTCCTATGCAAAGCGTGACCGTAAAAGGCGGACGTCTGCGGGAGGGAATAGAAAGGGAGAGGAAGAAATCGGCTTCCCTTTAAAGGAAGGAAACTGTTGCTATCAAAACGTCGCTAAAAGCAACGCCGGAAGTTTACTAATTCCCGCGCCACGTGTATACTTGTCGCTAAGCTAATAGCGTCGTCCCGTCTATATCGCTATTGTTTGTCAATTATTTACGGAACAGAGGGCGCACGTCTCTCCCCCCAACATTTAATTAACTTATTCCTTCGAACGCACTTAGTCAAATTCTATAATTAATATTGCAGCCATCTAGTGTTAAATGTACGTAAAGCTAATCGCTTATTTTATTATCATCTCAACTGCAACCTAAAATCAACTGATAGAAAATATAACGATAGATTTAGGTAAATGTAAGTCCAGCTTCATTATAAACTTTGAAGATCTTCTCAATAGAAGAAATATAAGCAGCAGTACGCAAATCCAATCCAAGATTATAGCGCATTGCTGTTTTCATAATGGCTCTTGCAGACCTCTCCATAGTGTAAGCAAGTCCAGAGTGGACGATATCTTTTTCACTTGCGCCAGAAATGGCTTTCTCGAATTCCTCGCTTGGGGTGATTGGAATTCTTTCACCGCTTCTTCCGAATTTTCTCTCCAAGCTCTGTTGAACAGAAGCCAACAAATGGTAGTTACTGTCTCTTTCATATTTGAATGTCAGACGACCAAAGCTGACATGGTTTAGGTTCTTCAACCATTCAAAATAGGAGACTGTAACACCACCAGCGTTAACGTACATATCAGGAATAACTAAAATATCCCGATCTCTCAAAATTTTGTCGGCTCCAATGGTGGTAGGTCCATTAGCACCCTCTGCAATGATCTTAGCTTGAATCCTGTGCGCATTATCTTCGTTTATAACCTTTTCGACGGCGGCAGGAACAAATATGTCGCATTTTTCAAACATAAGGTTCTCCCCTTCGTATGGCTGAGCTCCAGGGAAGCCCTGGATAGTTCTATTTTCGATAACGTAATCTTCTAGTTCTCTCGGGTCAATACCTGTTGGGTTAATAATCGAACCATCTCTTTCGATTATTCCAACACAACGAGCGCCAGAACGATGCAAATAACGCATTGTGTGCAAACCGACATTACCAAAACCTTGAATGATGAAGGTCTTGTCTTTAAATCCAGGTGGGATACCAATCATTGACATATAGGAAGCTTCTTGAATGAAGTTCTCAATTCCATGGAAGATACCCTAAATGATTTATAGGAAAATTAATAGAAACATCAAAAAAAGGAAGTATTGGTTTTTTTTTGCGGTTAGTTGAAACAGAAATAAAAACGAAATCGACAAATAATAAGGAAAAGCTCTAGAGAAATTAATGCACACCCTTCCAGTAGCTGAAATCCTGCCATGAATTCCACCCTGGGAAATGGGTTTTCCTGTTACACAGGCAGCTGCGCTGATATCGTTCCAACCTAATGAATAAAAAAAGAATAGGAAAAAAGTGTGAGATACAGATATCATAAAGTGAGCTTTTAAAAGAGAATATTAAAATAAACTAGCTATTTAAACTATAATGAAAACGATAATGCAATAAGAAGAATAGCAATAGCTTGTGTTACGCTGACAACAACTTTTCACCACGTTATAGCTGGTAAACTTACTCGACCGGTTGCCGATATTCGCCCATGAATACCTCCATGAGAAATAGGTTTACCCGTAACACAACCATAGGAATTTAAGTCGTAATGACCTGGTATTTAATGATTTAAAATGTTCTAATTTCATTTTTTAATCTAAACAAACATCAAGCTTATGCTACGACATGAATGCTAAGAATAGTTACTGTCAGAGCTCAAACGGTACCTAATGTTTGGCTGTATGTGTCCGCAATCCAGCTCATCTCACGTTCGCCAGTTCCCATATCTGGAGCGGGAACATCAATACCAGGTCCGATAAAGCCTTTTTTTGCCAGTTCAACGGTAAATCTAGAATAAAAGAATAAAATGTAGATTATTCTCAAGAGCTTTTAATATGATTGATGAAGGTCATTTTACCTTCTAGTAATTTTTTCTAATTCAGAAATACTGAAATTACGAGGATTAATTTTCAAACCAGCCTTAGCTCCTCCAAAAGGTACGTCGACGCATGCACATTTGTATGTCATAAGTGAGGCTAAAGCCTTCACTTCATCTATATTTACATCGTCGCTATATCGGATACCTATTGATAACAAAATAGTATTCTTAATTTAGTTAGATAAAAAAAAACGGATAAAGTCAGACTCTTAAAACGGAAATTAAATTTGACACGTGATTTAAAGAACAATAGAACCATAATTTCTTTCTTTACATATGTATAGTATATAAATATAAAAACCTCCTTTGCAAGGTGTCCTATGTTGGCTGTGTTGCGCTCTCCAACCTTGGATAATTTCGAATTCTCCATTATCTCTCTTAATGGGAAACGTAATTGATACAACGTGATTGCAGGGCTTAATCATTTTTAGGATTCCTCGCACTCTCTTTCTCTTTTCGTCCTCCGAAATTCTCTCCCTTAAGTCTTCGACCAACTTGTCCTCCATTAAGGATGCGGCCTTGTCAAAGAACATTTCGACCATTTCGAAAAAATTAGGATCATCTCTTGCATCTGTTGAGTTGTTAGCTTTCTGCGTGATCCCCAAAGAGGATGTTCGTAGTAAACTGAAGCCATTTTGGTTTGCAGTCCTCGATATACTTTTAAAGGCAGAACGAAGCATTTTTGCTGTCTCTGAAATGAAATGATCTAATGTAAGCTAAGTGTTTGATATGCTGATAACTACTTACCAATGTGTGTTTCAACGCAAAAAGGACCTGACAAGAAGCTCGTAGTACGACCTTGAGGTGTGTCGACACGTGACTATTTTCAACCAATTAAAATATGAGCCAATAGCCGACCGTATAACAGTTGTTATCTATTTCCGCTTAATATCGCTAGGTCAAGGGATGCCGTTAGGAATAGGCGAATATCAACCGGGTTATAACCCAAAAATTCATGGCGCTTACGATCCTGGTCGCTATTACGGCAAAGGTATGTCTTTCTTTCCAAGTGCACATTATAATCACTGTACCACAAAGAAATGGCGGTTTGACCGTATGACCCTCCGATTTTTAACTGGGTACTTTTATTTCGAGGACATTTACAGTATCAATATTTTACTACAGCCGACCCAATATCGAACGTCAAACTAGGAGAACTCTCTAACTGGATGGGCAGACGTGAAGTTTCACCACTTGGAGCATGGAGAGTTGTTCAAAGAGGTAAATTTATTGCACTTGTTAGATATAATATCAGCATAGATATTCAAAGGTTGGCACCGTTGGATGAATAACTGGATGCATGTTAAAAGACCCACTACAGCTCCCCTGATTCAAGCAGCGATGGCTGGATCATTGATATTTTATCTATCCATGTACCATCCATTTACCAGTAAGTTATATCAAAAAGATAATAGTTCCCCTTCCCCCCTTCCCCAGATAATAATGTTATAACTATCCTTTTTCAGAGTATCACAAACACTGCAAGTACCACTGAATTGTTTGAAGTGATAAATGCGATTAATATATAAGAAAGATGACGAGTAGCGAATAAATATTTGCAAATAAACATTAATGTTTGAAACGAAATTCTGAGTTTATTGTTCACATCAGATAGAAGTAGAAAAAAGGCAAGATATATAGTTAGAGAATCAGTTTTTTTTACTAGACTTGATTAATTGTCTTTTGTGAATCATTCCCGTCAGCCTGATTTTGTTCCTGAAAAAGCAGATAGATAATAATAATTAGCATAATTCGTGAAATTTGTAAACTGATACATACACTTTTTTGCATTGAGTTGTTCACCTGACCATTTTCCTAAGAGAGAAATGGAAGATTATTATTAATTGAATAAGTTAATAATATTATTGGGATAAAGAAAAATGACATTTACTGAATTAAACAAAAAAATATGTAGGTGTCTATTAGCAAATTGAATTTAAAAGGGGAATGAGTATAACTTAAAGTGTTGTGAAGAAAACAGTCCAAATAAAAGTCATAAGCAAGAGTCTCTGTGCACACAACTCATACCTTCTTTTTGCTTGATACAGTAGTTGTTTTGAAAACTGTGCGTGCAGTTTTCTCAATTTTTTTCTTACTACTAACAGTATATGTTCTATTAACAGTACTTGTCACCATGTTAGTAACAGATTTTGTAACACTTTCCGTTTTAAACTTCTGCAATTTCAAACGGTAGGGAGAGAGTAGAGAGATAGAGAAAAAATATATTCTTTTTAAATATTTGTAATAAGTTTTTCTGATGTTTTTATAGCCAGCACAGTATTTTAAAAAGACTTGACTATATATTCATAATTATCTTTCTAAAGCTTACCTCAGTTTGACTCCCTAAAAATGGCAAAAAAAAAAAACATTATATTAATTTGTTTACTTGGATATGAATTTAATTACCTGTTCTATCGACATCGACACTTCTAACATTAGTATCACCTGTTCGCATAGAAAAAGTTCTTAAGTAAATGTGTTGGGAAAATGATATTGAATATTGCTTTTGTTAAAAGGTTCTAAGGAGAATTATTTTTAGAAGAAAAACTATCAGAAATCGCTAAACTAATATAATTAGAAAGCACGGCTTTAAATGATTTCGTTTGGCGTACCATTATTTAACTGTAATTCATTTGAGCTAAAAGAATTAGGATTTTGGTCCTCTCTGACTTGCTGCTGATTGATTGCATCATTTCTATTTCCAATGTCTATTTCTGCCTTATCAAAGTTAGAATTTTTTGCCACCAGTTCTGAATTGTCATTTTGCCTTTCATCAACGATTAGAGATTGTAAATTTTCGTTAGTTTGTGACTGACTATTGTCTTGCAAAGAAGATTGCTGAGAATTTGATGCGTCGTCTTGAGTTTTCTCCTCAGCGATTAGGATATTGTTATTCTGATTATCTTTGTCACTTACTATTGTGTTATCCTGTAAGGTGCCATCTGGTGAATTTTGATGTACATTGTTATTATAAGATGAATCTTGAGAGTTTAACTGTGAATTTTTCAATGGATTAGCCTCAGCATTGGTATTATCTGGAGCTGCTTGTAACCCAGCTTGATTATTGGTATCAATGGGGTCTGAATTCGGGTTAACTTGCTGAAGGTTGACTTCATTATTGTTCATATTATCATTATTCAAATGTGAAGCACCTGAATCATTTACTTGTAAGATCGTTGGGTGATTTTGTTCAGAGTTTGCTCTTTTAAATTGTAGAGAATCTCCGTTGGCCTGGTTATTGTTATGGACATCCACTGGATTCAATTCTTGATTATTATTAATAGTATCTGCTTGATTCAACCCTTGGTTATTGTTATTGGCATTTTCTTGATTCAAACCTTGGTTATTGTTATTGGCATCCGCCAGATTCAATCCTTGGTTATTATTAATATTATCTACTTGATTCAATCCTGGATTATTATTAACATTACCCGCCGGATTCAACCCTTGGTTATTGTTATTGACATCCACTGGATTCAATCCTTGATTATTATTAATAGTATCTGCTTGATTCAACCCTTGATTATTGTTATTGACATCCACCGGATTCAATCCTTGACCATTATTAATAGTATCTGCTTGATTTAATCCTTGGTTATTGTTATTAGCAGTTGCTAGATTCAAACCTTGGTTATTGTTGTTAGTATCCACTGGATTCAATCCTTGATTATTATTATTGTTATCATTACCCACCGGATTCAATCCTTGGTTATTGTTATTAACATCCACCGGATTCAATCCTTGACCATTATTAATAGTATCTGCTTGATTTAATCCTTGGTTATTGTTATTAACGTTTGCTAGATTCACACCTTGGTTATTGTTATTAGCATCCATTAGATTCAATCCTTGATTATTATTATTATTAACATCCACTGGATTCAATCCTTGGTTGTTATTCTGACTGTTTTCAAGCGTTTTTTCCTGATAATTTTGTGATACGGCAGGTGAGTTATTAATAATTTGTTGATTGCCAATTGAATTGTCACTTTGTCCCATTAAGTTGGAATCAATTTGGTTTGAATTATCTAAGTTCAAAGGGAGATCGAACAAAGTGATTGGTACAGAATATATTATAATCAGTTGGAAAAACCTTAATGGGAGATAATAAACTAATTGAGGGTATCTTTAGTACAAAATTTTTAATTTAAATTATTAATTAATACTATAGGTAAATCTTTTAATGAGGATAAGGTTTTCTATTTGAGTATAAGTGTAATACTGTAAATATCTTACTTGTTATTTGAGAATTCGGTGCTTCGCTATTTGTTTGTGGAGATTGATTTAAGGTATCAGTTTGTTGATTATTATTTGAAATGGGGGATTCATCTTTGGACTGGAAAAGTATTATTTTTAAAAAATTCCTAAGAAAGAGAAGCTAAACGCAAATTTGAGAGAAAGCTCACTATTTGTTTTTGAGCAGTTGAGTCTTGAGCAATGTTCCTCGTATTAGTTGTTGATGAAGGTAACTGATCTATAATATCAGCCTTTGAATTGGCATTGTCGTCTCTAAAAAGAATTTCAATAAAATTACGTTTAAATATAGAAAATGTAATTGTATATACTGATTTGGAATAGAGCTTGGAGGTGGTGGAAGATCAGCGACAATGGAATCGATATCTAATCCAGAAGTCTTCAATTTTTCAATTGCAATACCTCCAAATAAATTTTGAACGGCTGTTAAAACTTTAAGTTTCTCAGAGTTTACTTCGGAATCGCTGAGGAAATATTTTTATTGAATATAGAATACATTCTTTATTACAAGTATAGCCATGTGGTTTTTTATTGATATTTTAGTAATTATTTTATATATCTCATAAATCTACACACCATGTTTTAGCCTCAGTCATTTCTACCGATTTCCTTAAATCATCTAACTCTTTGGACGTTGAGGCGCATTTTGCCTGCATAAAAGAAAATGTGTTACACAAACAGTTGTTTTCTATTTTTTAGATTTCTTTCAAAAGAAATGACCTTTTTCAATACCACTACTTTTTTTTGTTAACTATAATACTGATTTTATAATATCTTACCATATCTTGTTCATAATCATTCTTCTTCTTCTCCAATTCTGACTCTTGTTCTTCAATACGAACGCTTAATTTCTTCATCTCAGCAGTTTTTAATTCTTGTTCCGTTTCTAATTTGGACTTCTCCTGCTTAGCTGTCTCTCTTTCTTCTTGCAGTTGCTTCATGATATCTTCATTTTTTCTTCGATTATCTCTTGTTGAGTCTTCAAACTTTCTTACTAACTCAACATTTCTATGTGAAAGAGAATAATAGTTTAAGCCAAGTATCATAACCAACAAAACAAGGCCGATTATTATGAAATTTTGCATTTTTCCGGATTGATATGACCTCATTCCGCTTCTATTATTCTGTTTCATAATATGAATATCACTTTAATAGCTTTAAATGGTTTAATCTCTTAATAAAGTTCCCTTAATTGTTGACGTTGACAATTGGGTGTCGACGTCCTGGCAGTTGAATAGGATACGAAAGCCTTTCAACGATAAGGACCACTCTATGGAAGAAATTGTAGCACAATTAAAAATAATAATTTAATTTTTAAGAAATGAAAATGTTGTTCAGAAGATAAATAGTGATAAATGTAGAATTCGAAAATAAAAGGTAAATTTTTAAAGAAATACAATAGTCACGTGACAGTATATCATGGCGGATCAAGCCGAAGGTAGTAATATCAAAGTTGTTGTTAAAACGCCTAAAGAAAAGAAGGAAATAAACATCTCACAAAATGCCACTGTGAAAGAGGTAAATAAACGCATTGGAAATTTCAGTTTTTGAATGTTGATTGTAAATTATCAACGATTGGGGTAGCGATAATACGGAGCCTTAAGCGCGCAAGTCATCTTGGTTACTCATTTTTCTTTTTCACAGTTTCGTCAAAATGTTTCCGAAGCCTTTAGTGCCGACATACAGCAAGTATGCTTAATTTTTGCGGGAAAAATATTGAAGGATGATGACACGCTGTTGCAACATAATATTAAAAACGGACTTACAGTCCATTTAGTAATAAAGAGCAAGGTATGTAACTGATATGCTTTAACCTTACAATGACTTTCACTAAATAAACTCGCTTCATTTTACAGCCAGAAACACCAACTGCTCCAGCTTCCACACCATCTAGTCAAAATACACCCCAAGGCACTCCGCAATCAAATGCCCCTTTCGGCTCAGGATTTCTCGGAGGTTTAGGAGGCTTAGGTGGACTAGAGAATATGGGAATGGGATCTGGAGGTTTATCTGAAATGCAGTCTAGACTACAGCAACAAATGATGAATAATCCAGAACACTTACAACAATTAATGAATAACCCCATGGTTGAACAGCTAATGTCTAATCCGGAAGTCATTCGAACAATGCTTCAGAGTAATCCTCAAATGAGGGACCTTCTTGAAGTAGTTTATATTTATTTAAATTAAAATTTTTAGATTATATTAAATGTTTTACTATTCTTTTAGCGAAACCCTGAGATTAACCACGTTCTCAACAATCCCGATTTAATGAGACAAACTCTGGACTTGGCAAGGAATCCAGCTGCGTTTCAAGAAGTTATGAGAAACCACGATAGGGCTTTATCTAACTTAGAAAGTTTACCCGGTGGCTTTAATCATTTGCAAAGACTTTATCGTGATGTCCAAGAGCCTATGATGAATGCCGCTAGCGAATCTATAAATCCTAACCCGTTTGCTGCCCTTGCTAATCAAGGAAATAATAGCGCGAGTTCAACCAACTCTCAAGCCGGAAGAGAAAATAGTGAACCCCTACCAAATCCGTGGGCACCACCAAGTTCCAGGTCGACCGCAAGCACGGATTCTAATGCTTCGAATACTGGAAATACAAGATCAGGTACTAGTGGAGGACCTGGCAACATATTCAATTCACCCGAAATGCAGTCATTGGCCTCTCAAATTACAGACAACCCTCAATTAATGCAAAATATGCTCCAAGCTCCGTATATGCAAGCTATGCTGCAAAACGTATCTTCTAATCCCCAATTGGCTAATCAATTGCTATCGGCTAATCCGATGTTCGCCAACAACCCAGAACTTCGAGAAAGAATGTCGAGTCAGTTGCCAGCCATGTTGCAACAAATGCAACGACCAGAAATGCAGGCGCTTATGACTAATCCAAGAGCATTTCAAGCCATGATGCAGATTCAGCAAGGCATGCAACAACTACAAACTGAAATTCCGGGTTTAATGAATCCTTCACCAACTTCGACTACTACTACTGGTTCTACCGCCACAACGACCAGTTCGGAAAACACCCAAGGGGGAGGACAAGCTCCAGCTGGAAACGAGGCAGTTGGACAATTTATGGCTAATATGTTTTCCCAAATGTCGACCGGACAGCAACAGCAACAAGTACGTTTGTTATTTGATATAGCGAAACGTAAATATATTTTTAATACGTGTACTTATCTTTTTTGTTTTTATCTAAGAATAATCAACCACCCGAAGAACGATTTGCCTCTCAGTTAGACCAATTAGCATCAATGGGTTTCATAAATAGGGAAGCAAACATTCAAGGTATGTAGGAGAAAAGTTAATAAACTGGCTAATTTATTCAAACTTATTACTCAATTTTCAGCCTTATTAGCCACCTTTGGAGACGTTAACGCAGCGATAGATCGATTGCTTCAGCAGCGATGATTACTATTCATCACAAAACCAAAAAATATTAAATAAAAATTGTATTTTTTGTGTCGTATAATTTTACGTATTGGTATAGTACGTATTATCAGTAAAGCGTACATTTATTATTATATTATTTGATAATCATTTCAAAAGATCGACTCGGATAATCGCTGTCGTATTTAAAAAAAAAACAAATTGAATTTTCATTATTCTTTCATTTTCATTATAATACATAATTTTTTGAAAAGTAACCAACACATCATGGTTTTCTGAATTCGAAACCACAAAGGTCGTAAATGGTGTCGCAGAAAGTTGCGTAGTTGACGTTATCGTATATGTTGGCTATCTGTTTTTTTTAATTGTAAGAAAGTTAAGAGTTATTCTGTTGAATAAATTAAAAAGAAGATAATTTTACCTTGGCATTAAAGGCATCTAGAAGGGTGTTCCATTCAAATTCGGACGACACCGTTCCAGCAAGCTGAAGTTCATTAAGAACTCTACGGAATTGATTTCTTGTTACCGTTCCATTGTGAACTTTATCGTAATCTTCGAACAAAGGGTATAATTGTATTCGTCTTTGTTTCACCTCCTTGGCGATACGATCTAGAATGTTCTTAACCGTCTGATAATGCTCTTTTGGTAATTTTCGCTCCAGATTTTCAGATGGTCTGTACTGCTCAACCGACCTAAGTGGCTGTTTTTCTAAATGATCAACTGTAAATATTTGTTCTACATCTCTGGAGAATCTCTCCCACTCAATATGATTAGGTTTCGCAGCCGCATAATGATCTTCCACTATAGCCAATTCAGATTCTGTCAGTTCAAATCTGCAGAGATCCAGAGCCCGACGGAAATTGGTTCTATGAATACAACCATGACGTAATTTATCATAATCTCTCATCCATTCGTGAATTCTAACCCGTTCTTTAAAGACTTTTCTCTTAATCTTTTCGAATATGCATTCTAGATCTCTACCTGGATTGATTTCTGGTAATTTTGCTTTATCGTTTGCTAATCTTATATCGGCTAATCTTTGAAGGTAGCGTAATTCTAGTTCCGGCTGTGGTTCCAAATCACTCAAAAATGCCTTGTAATTGAATCCATCATCATTACAATAACAAGCTTCAATTGCTACTATTTCTGCCTCAGTTAAAGCTAATTCTCCCATACTTAAAGCTTGGCGGAATTGACGTTTATTCACGTGACCACGATTATGTCTGTCAAAGTCTTGAAATATAGGTTTTAACAGTACTCTACGGTGGTCGACCCTATCATGTAGCTTTTGCATAGCCTCCTGGTAACATTTTTGATGATCGGCAGAGGCTGTTTGCATATTAATTGTTCCAGGTTTAGGCAATAGTTGCTTTTCCATTCCTGGTGGATCAATCTCGGCTGCAAAGAGAGTCCACTTTATCATTTCCGGATTGTCTGAATCCCGGTAACGATTTGCTAATGCCTCAAATTGAGCAGGGCTAAGGTTAATCGTCCCGATAGAACTAAGACCTAAGTCGCTTAATCCCCTTCTAAAGCGTGATTTCGAGATAGATCCACTCCTTAACTGGTCATAATCGGCGAAGCACTGTTCAATTCTTCTCGAATTAGAGTGTACATGATTACGAATAAGAGCTAAAAGCATTTCCATATCAACTTTAGAAGTATCAATAGAATTGTCCACTTTTGGTTTCACACTGTCCGCCATTTCCCATACTTCGGGCTTCTCCGTTCCCTGAGCATAGTTGACAAAATCTATAAAACAAAAAGAATAGGATTGATAAGAAATACGTCAATTTTCCTTCTTTGGAATAGAACAAACCCTGATCAACAGCTTGAACGAAACCAGGATAGTTTATATCACCAGTTGTAGGATCAGCAAATTTTCGGCAAAGCAATTTGAAATCTTCAGCCGAAACATTCAAACTTAAGAAGTGTAACATTCGACTAAATTGATTTGGAGTCATTACACGGGTGAAGGCAGTACTCTGTTAATGAATCCAATTATGAGTATTAATATTTTAAATAATAAATTAATAAATAGCTTTACTCTATCAAAATCTCTAAAGTACTGGAACATCATGATTCTCCTCTGACGAACTTTTTCAGATATTTCTTCTAATACGTGTAATACTCTTCTTTCTTCTTCACCACTTAATTGTGGTAGGTTCTAAGCAGATGTAATAAAGCGTTATACTTATTAACGGTTAAATTAGTCAAATTACCCTTCCCAATGCCCCAGTTGGAGGTCTGTGAACAGTTAGCAAAGGTTTCTTTTCTAAATCTGGCTCATTGAAGACTAGAAGAAAAAGGATGATTGATTAGCACTAGCCAATATGGTTTTGTTGTTTGTTTTCCTTACCGTTTTCTAATACATCAACAAACTCTTTGTACCCTACTCTACCATCGCAGCGTTTGTAGAATTCCACTACTTTTTGCATATCCCCTCTGGACAGTTGGGCTTCACTACCAATTGCCAAAGAAAGACCACATATAAACTGTTGCTCAGTAATAACTCCTGAACGCAGAGGATCGTAATCCTTAAAGAATTCAGGTGTTCTAACTCGGTGTTTATGTACAGCAATACGAATTCTATCGAATATTTCTTGAAGACTTTTGTCCTCCTTTGTCTAAAGAGAATATATATATTTGTTACATTCAGGTAAATTTATATAAGTATGTCTACAAACATGAACTTTGAAGGCAGAGTCTGCTGGTTGATTAACTCTATTCAAACCTTCAGGTTCGAAGTTCGCTTGAAGATCTTCAATATCGCGATGTAAATTCAAATAATTAATTAGACCATGTTGCGCAGGATCTCTATATTTATTTATTAAATCTGCCATATCACTCTCATTCACTTCCGGGGGTTTTGGTATACTTCTATAGAACTATCGAATAATATTTATATATATATAGATATTTATTTATGACTGGAAGATATTAATATTGATCCTTCTTACTTGACTGAAATTAATTAAGCCTCTGTGATGAGTATCAAAATCTTCGCATTCCGTTCTTAAATTAATACCACGATACTTGTAGAATTTTCCAAGTTTCATTAATAGAAGACGAAGATTTTCTTCCGTTGCTTGATCTTGCGGTATTATCGTACGATTACCCAAACTAATTAAATTATTAACATATAGTATATAGTATACATAAATTGTAGGTATACTAACTATTCGGGATAATCATAAACTTGATTATTAGGATTAACGTCCATCCTGTTTGGATCAACTCTCTTTTCAATATTTTTGCAAAATTCTCTATAGTTGAAATTGCCTCTGCCATAGTAATCTTTGAGAATTTCCTCCTCTTCAGCTGCTAACTTAATACCAACATTTTGCCATAGAACACGGAAGAATTGAGAATCTAAACAAGAATATCAATATTTTCATTGTAATATAGTTGAGTTGTTTTTTATAAAAAAAAAAGAAAAATTAGCTCACCAGTAACAAAACCGGATCGGAGTTTGTCATAGTCAAGAAAGAGTTCGTTTGGTCTTATCCGCTTTGTTAATGTAATAGAACGGATTTTTTCTTCAATGTTACCTATTCCGTTTGAGTTCATGTCGTTTTCTTTGCAAGTTTGACTATGCTTATCAGAGTACTTAATAAAGTTATTTTGATTATATTACCTCCAGTCTTCTGTTTTAGCAACGAAAACGCTTTTGTCGTCTGCTCAACGCGTTGTTACTAAGGCGATAGCAGACGCTTGAGACAGCCATTTTTTTAATCGTCAGAGTATAACTCTAAAGCGAAAAACAATCACCTAGTAAAGAGTGTAACGCGGGGTTAAATATTAGAAAAAATACTAGTGATAATATACAATTTATTAGAAAAGGCCAACTTTCAAGCAGACTGTGAATATTATAATTATATTTATTGTCATAAATAAGTTAATTTACTTATTTATTTATATTTTAAAACTTGTTTTTAACAATGGAGAGCTTTCCTAAAAAATAATACTTTTTAATAAATACGTCATTTATATAGGAACAATTAAAAATTGTTGAATAGGCATATAGAATACAACAGATGTTTTTCTTTTTTAGGTTACTTTCGTATTTTCACCTTTTAAAAAAGTTGAATAAACTTCCGAATAAAGGCTCTTTATCATCTATTGGTAGAATTTCTATAAGGAAAAATAACATGTATTTTTTATTGATGGACACCGCTGAATTTTGTTAATACAAACTTTCTGATGCAGTATTATTTTCAATAACATTTACACTTCCGTCTGGTTTCGTCTCTTTCTCCATTTGATAAATGCCATCTCCAGTCTGTCGTTTAACAATATGCTTCTCTCCGTCATTCGTTCTAATAATCGTTTCTTCTTCAACATTCTAAAATAGAAAAATTGTTTTTCAATTATTTCCAATGAAATAGATTTATTGAACATTTAACTTACAGATCCTGTTGTTGTTCTTGAATAATAGCTAAAAGAGAAAATAGGATTCATAGTTTGTGGTTGTTTTTCAGTCATATGTCGATCTTGTTGAGTCTGAGACCAAATATCGGCGAAATTCTCTTTATTTATTTTTCCGTCAAGATCAGAATCTTGTTTGGTATCACTAGGATTTTCTGGAATATTCCAAATGGAATCGTCTTTTGGAATCTGTAATTAATAGAGTTAATTAGAACATTTAAAAGTTACTGTTCAAATTTGTAAAATATCTCATTTAGAATAAAATCTTACAATTGTTTTTGGTGAACGATTTTCATGACCCTCTGGTTTTAGCATGTGATCTCTCGGTGATAAGTTCTCATTTTCGTCTGATAAAGCTCCATTAGGTAATTCCGGAAACTGATTCTGACCTATTCCAATATTAGCTCCATTAAACATGCTATCAAACTCCTTACACATTTGATCAAAGTTTCTAAACATGTTATCTAAATTCCCAAAAATTACATCAGATTCAGACGTCATATTATCACTCTCATCAAATGCGCGATTAAAGCCGAACGATCGAGGTTCGCTGTAATTATTTATTTTTAAATTAAATAATAATATTATAAAATATTTTATTAGTATTTATATTTACAATTCATCATAATTTCGAGTTGGTAAACCGAAAAAAGATCTTATAAAGTCATTCATTATTATGATTATTAACTGGTAATATTTTTTGCCAAAAAACTATTTCGTATTTTTGAAATGTAATAACTTTTCTTAATAAAAAATAGAGAAATATTCATTTAAAAGTAATTATTTCAAGTGAGTTTTTTAAAAAAATCCATAAATTCAACTTTTTGTTGCCACCTGGCGTTTATGCTGATTACCATCACGCCACTACTTAGTAAGAGGCGTCAGGCGATTATTATATATAGGGCTACTGTACACTGAAGTGAATAACACTGCTCATAGTTGTTAAACAGATATGAGTCCAATAGAGTCTGATTATATCAACAAACGTAATGAAGTTATCAGGATCATTGAAAAATACTCAAGTGTGGATGATTGGAGTGTTTTGAAACAAGACGTAAGTAGGCTAAAATCGAATACTTTACAAATCACCCGTTTACCGGTGAATTTTCAACCTTACTTAAAGTTTATTTCTGTTGCTAAAAACAGCAATCGCATACGATCGTTTATAGTAGAAAGTCATCAGAATGGAATGGAACAATGTAAGTATAATATTATCAAATAGTAAGACAAAGTATATTTTTCTTTCAGCCTAGAACACCCCCTTTCCTTTCGATCCTATAATCCTTCTTTCTATCTTTCTATCTATCTATATAATACAACTTTGTTCAACTTTATTCGCACAGATTCAAAATTGAAGGTCCAGTAAACGCTAGTCCTGAGATTGTTAGAAGATACGTATGCCCAAGAATAAAAAATGGGCCGAGATCAAAGTGGGACTCTGCTATACAGAATATTCGCTGTATCCAAACGGTCAATGACGCGACCGATATATTAAATTTCTCAACTCCTAGTCACGCAGGAGGTTTGATAGCCGAAAGAGATTTTGTAGAACTAGTCTTTCATCACAGCTCTGACACCTATGCAGCGACAATGAGTAAGTTTAAGTTACTAATAAAATAAATAACCGCAAGATTAAGGTTCAATCCCTTTGGTAAGAATTTTCTATTGACCTTAAAATTATTGCAACAGGTGTATCAGTTGAACACGATGATTGTCCAGCCAAGCATAAAATAGTACGGGCCCAGAATTTCCCATCTGCTATGGTTTGTTACAGAAATCCATCGTTAGTACATATGTTTTCTATAACTTATAACAACTATTTTAATTTATAAAGACCAGGTATTAATTCTTTTATTGTACTTAAAAACAAAACAGGGATCCACTTAAAACGAAGTTGACAATGTACGTTCAAACCAATCCTCGTGGTTCATTTTTAATAAGAGTATTATCTGAAAAAGCCATACCGTCTATTATGTGCAAATTCATGGAAGAATTAAGAGATGCCATCACTAATGACTTCAAACTTATCGAATCACCTGCAGAAATAAAAGGTACTACTAACGATATTGAAATTGGTGAAGATGCTTCGACTATAAAGCCATGAATTGACTGTTAATAATTGTTAAATGACGAATTAACAATAATAATATTAATAATTATTATTATTCGAATGACAAATAATAGATCTTATATTACTGTTAAGATCTTTCACCCAACCAAACCTTAAAGAATGCTGCTCTTGTGGATGCCATATCGTAAGAAGTATTAGTTATTAATTATTATTTTTCATTTTTTTTTGGGGGGACGGAGGGAGAATTATTCAAATAAATGAAATATTAAATACAAAAAATTGAACACATGTTAAAACCTTTCGTTATTGTCTACTCATACCGACGTCTCTCTCTTCATTTACATTCAATTGTATCCATAACTACGTAGTAGTCTTTTTTTTTTATTCGTATTTTTTTTCTTTAGACAACCTTTCGTTAGAAAAATATAGTAGTCTATAAAAAAAACATTACCATAGGCCTAAATAATCAAATATTATCAGTAAATGACGAATTAAGTAATTTTGGATAAGTTTTTGCAGTGCTAATTTTTTTCCCCTCATTTTACGCAGTTGAATTATTTAAATCCGAATAAATACTGATTATGCAACATTTAAAATATCTATTATAAGATAACAAAGAATAAGTTTCGAATGCAGCGATCGAATGATACACAATAACAATCAAAGTATCACTATTGCTTACAGCTGCATATATCCTTCTCTCTCTCTCTCTCTCTATTTCTCTCTATTTACATATTTTTTTTTACCTATCGTTATTGTGCAAATTTGTATTTATTCAATGTTGATCAATTTCTTATTTTATATAGGTTAATTATTCGATTTTTCTCTATAATTTACCAATTATTTGAATTTTTTTCTTTCAAATCCTCCCTAGTTATGCATTATTAATTAGCCGGTTAATTTTTTTTTTGTAACCTAGAATTTGCTGGTTTCTTCTTTTTTTATTTTCTAATTGTTCTCAAAAGAGCATTTGATTCTATTGTTACAGCCTGTTTTGGTCCAATTTCGATTTGAATTTCTTACCAGTTTTCTTTAAGAGTACGTTACTATTTTGCCATTCTTAAAACTCATGCTTTTTTTCTGTAATGAGTAATGGGTGAGAAAAAGACCAAAAAACGTCCTAATTCGAATAGAAATGAATCGAGCAGTTTGAAAAAAAGGGTAAAGTTAGATGAAGAGGACACAGAGGCAGAAAAACAGTCAAAAGTATCCAGTGAGGACCTAAGTCTTGTCAATAAAATAATTCAAGGTGCTCCATCGTCAAATTGGAAGGCGTTACAAGCTGTTAGATTCAGTTCTTTTCATGTATACTTTTATATGAGAAATTAATCCGAAGAATTTTCCCTTCTTAGAAAATAGCTCCTTCGGGATCAAACGCGAAAAGAAAGCCTAAGCGAAAAACTGAGAATAAACAGTAAGCAATAGTTCATCTTCGTTCTACAGACTCTATTTTTATCATAATTAATATTTTAAGATCGTCGAAACTATGGTTTGACGGTGTAGACGAAGAATTATTGGATGATGACGTTAAAGATACAAAAGAGAAGTCGAAAAAGAAAGGACCAACTGACAAAAAAGAGTAAGAGATGAGTTTATGAGTAATCAGCATTAAAGAATTGAAAGGGGAAGGGAGGGAGTCATATCTTCATAAGCAGTCTAATTCAATTACTACTATGATAAAGCACTTGTAATACTTTTACATTAAAAGACTTTTCTGTCTATATTTTACTGATTAATCGTTTGAAAAAGAACAACAAAAGACAATTTTTCAATTATATCTAAATATAGGTTATAACTTTATAGATTAACAAAAGCAATAGCAATGGATTGTGAGATGGTTGGAATAGGGGAAAAAGGTCGAGAATCAATGTTAGCTAGAGTCTCTCTTGTTAATCAGCACGGAGTCTGTGTCTACGACGAATTCGTTAAACCGAGAGAAAAGGTTACCGACTATAGAACATTTGTTAGCGGTATTAGAAAATCTGATTTTGCTGCAGGTTTTTGTTACTCTATTCAATTTAAATTGTTAACCGTCTTACTCATAAAACATAACTTTCCTTCTAGCAAAAAGTTTTGATGTTGTACAAAAAGAAGTTTATAACATCATAAAGGATAGAATACTTGTTGGACACGCTTTGGATAATGATATGAAAGTAATTATTATCAATTGAACAGGGGAATTTATATAGTATTAGTAATAAAAGTAATTTCTATAATTTTACAGGTTCTATATTTGGATCATCCAAAAAGTAAAGTAAGAGATTCAGCAAGGTATAGGCCATTTAAGGCGTTGTTTAATGGTAAAACACCTTCGTTGAAGAAACTTGCTGATAAATTATTAAATATGACTATTCAAACTGGAGAGCATAGCTCCGTCCAAGACGCTCAAGCCGTTATGGCAGTTTATATGACAAGGAGAAAAAAATGGGAAACCGAAATGAAGTTAAGAAAACCAGTTGTAGCTCCATTAAGTAAAGGAAAGTCATCAAAAAAAAGACTGAAAACAAAGAGGGGGAAAAAGAACAAAGAATAGGAATGTTTAATATTTTCTCTCTAAATCTTTAATAACAATATATCTTCTACATTTATTATGCTCTCTACCAAGACCGATTAATGCATTAGAACATAATAAATTCAAAGCTCTGTTTGCGAAGTAAATAATTTCATTTAACAAAAAGAAAATATTTAATACAAAAAAAGCGATAAACAAGAAATACTTTTCACTTGTAAACAAGTAATTATTTTTCTTGATACAAAACGAAAGATTTCTAAAGGACCTTTCATATATTACCTTCTATTCGAAATAATGAAACATTGTTCCTCCCAGCGACGTTCTATTAGACAGTCTAAGAATATACTTTATCCGAAAGCTTCTTGTTTTTCAATCTGATAAAAAATGAGTAGAAGAAACATCCTAATTGCAATTCGCCTATATGTTTTTGTTGACGTAACACAATTATACCTTAGGTATTTAAATAGGCCTATTAAACTTATACATTTAAATTAGAAGCATAAAGTAGTTCCGGGTGAAGATTCTGTTTTATTATTAGGTATCAATATAGAAAAACCTGGTTATTGGATGAGGTTACTAAAATTAATAAAAGACAAAAAAGTGTTTCATATTACGGATAAAATAAAATTATGTAATCTAATATTGTAAAGTACGAGCATTATAACAGGGAAAAAGAAACTAAAGGTAAAATATCTGCCTTTGACAACGGCCTTACTAATTAACAATAAAGGTATAGTGTATCCTGTTTCTTTCGGACAAAAGTACTAAGGTTATTCATCCTAAAGAGGACATAATTAAAAAACTTTTCGGAAGGCATGATACGTTGAAATATTCATGTGTTTTAAGCAGACGAGTAGTGAATAAACAGTATATATTAGATAGTTATATGAATATTATATAAAAATTACATGAACCTTAATATCCTTATACATTAATTCAGCTCTAGATATATCAGATATGGACTTTCTGATTTATTTATAGTAGACTAACTAATTATGGCGTGGGTGATTATACACTGTTAAATCATATTTAGAAATAATATATTGAATAGACTGTCTGTTAATATTACATTAGTACTTAGCTATACGCATATACAGTTCATATATATTAGTATATATATACTTGGGAATACTTCTTTCCTTGTATCTATAACTCTTCTTCTCATTTCCATCTTCGGATGATGATGATCATCATTTTCTCTCTTTTCTTAATAAAAAATTGACCTTATCTATGCATTTTTCAGCTTATCAAATTTTACTCTAACGAGGACAATTATATATAACAATTGATACCTGTTTTTACATGTAGCTAACGTGATCGTCGTGCTTCAAATTAGCGTATGGTTCTTATTTGATCCACTATTACCGTTAATTAAGGAAATTATCAGATACTGTAAAAAAGGAAAATTCTAATTTGTAGAGGTGTTTTTTTTTATTTAAAAAAAGAAGGAGATAGATTTCATTTATAAATAACTAGCATATAAGGAATTAAGGAGGGTTAAAGGAAATTGCAGTCCTTCTATATTTGCTTACATAGAAATTCTCTTTTAATTATTATCTGAAAGAAGTCTGAAAGGATGATTATTTAAATAGTACTATTTCTCGGAAAGGGAGTCTCGTGTGTTCCCTCTTCCTTTTCCATGCTTAAATTTTCTTTTTAATCATAGAATTGTCAGTGTATAGTTTCTTAAGTTAGTAAATATTTAACATCTCTCTACTCTTTATATTCCAGCCTTTTTACATGCTTACCTATAGGTACATTATAAATATGTATAAATACGCACATATATATATACATATATATATACTGCATATACTGTATATGAAATTAGATCTAAAGCACTATTATATGTTTTTGGCCTATTGCAGTTTCAGGATACTGCATATCTGTTAACGAACGACTTTCGACGTCGGCAAGGATTTCTATAATTTAATCTTTTTAATTAAAAAAATCCAATTGCTTCAAGTGAATATTTGTAAGCTTTTGAGAAATGATATTTTTTTAATGGACTGTTTGTTAAGTCGTATTTAAACAAGTTTTGTTTCTTCAAAGGAAGGATATATTTACTTGGAACTGTACTTTTTACGCATTATCGCTCAACTGAGGACATGCGTTTTACAAGGATACTGCACCGGTCAAACCTATACTATTTACGTAAAAGAACATGGAAAAAACAGGCGAAAATTGAAATTCCTCCACTTGTTATACCTCCTGCATGGAAGAATAAAAGTAATCCATCTAAAATGAGAAAGTAATAAATATAACAAAATTTTGAAATAATAATTTAGATGTAGAAGATCCAAATGAATGGTTCGTAAAAAAGGAACCAGAGTGGATACCCTCTGTAAAAGATGATCCTAGATTTTCCTCGCCTCCTTTAGATCCCGATTATCACGAGAACGAAATAATGTATGAATTTAATAATAGCACAAAAATCCTTGAAGGCTAGTTTAAAGTTTTGTTTTTTTTTTCCATTAAATATCATCATTAATAAAAATTGTACTGATTAGGAGAGGCACAAGCTTTAATTCTTACAAAATCACAAAGGAACGAGGGTATGCCGGAACCTGTAACAAGAGCAAAAGGATTAATAACTATTCCCGATCAGGTATTATCTCTCAGCCTTTATTACCTTAAGTAACAAGAAAACTTGATAATTCTCTAGGACAAGCTAATGCAAAGATATATTATGCAATCCCATTGGTGGGATCCGACTAAAGAAAAGTTGGCTAAAAGAAAGACGGATCTCGTTTTATGGAGATATAAAGCTGAATTTGGAATTCCCCCTGAAAAGATGACGTCAGTAATTTATTTTATTGAATTAACTAATTTTCATTTGATGTATTAAATATTAATCTAAATTATTAATAAATAGGTCTATATTTTTACGTAATTTGGTAAGACTATTAAATCTAAGTGGAAGTGAACATAAACAATTTATTGACGAACGAAGAACTACCTATCAACACCATGTTTCAGCTCAGTATCCATTTCAAGGTATATTTATTTACGATTATGGAGCGATTGGCAATTTTCACAGTTTACATTTTCCCCATATTAGATAATACTATTTGGACTAGGTTTGTGTCCGAAGTTGCTGTTAGCGGAGAGGATCCTTTACCGAGATTTACGTCATCGGAAAATGTACACAAGACTATTGATGATAAATTACCAGATATTTATCCTATATCACCAATGGTTGACTTAAAACGTCAACATATTTGGAGAATTGAGAACAATACGGGATGGATATCAAACTTTAATTATCAAGCTCCTCATATTATTTTTATTAACAATAATAATAAAGGAATATATGAGCATACTGACTCGTGGAAAATTGGTCAGAACAATGCAAGAGCTTTGATGACTTGTATGGCTCACGCAACAGCTTTCGCCAAGTTTCAATACGGAGTAGGTTCTTACTTTAATTAATGTAAATTATTATGTAATTGTGAGTATTTACTTAGACGGACGTAAAGATTTTACCCCAGCCGATATGCGTTCAAGCCGTACATTCGGATAGCGTCAATCTAAATTTCGTCTTCTTTCAGGTATTTATTCTGTAATTAAATTAATTAGATCTAAATATAATTGTAATTAATGGAAAAAACCATTTCTTTCAGTTAAATACTTTAGATTTAACATCAGTCGAAACGGGAATAAAAAATCAAGTCTGGTTTGATTCCAATAATGCATTAATCGAAAGGCACGAACCGAAAAGATCCATGCTTCGGAATACAAGACTGCTTAACTACGATCCAGAAGTTCTTAGAAAAATGTTGGCTGTCTATGCATATGGAATGTTAGATGGAAGTGAAAAGTCAAGAATTGCCTCAAAAAACTAAAAGACCTATTGTATTGTTTGTTTGAATTATATAGAAGAGAGAGAGAGAGAGAGAGAGAGAATAGAAGTAATGGTACATTTTTTTTGTATTAAGTTTGAAATATATACATACAACAAGAATGGATTTTATTGAAGAGTTTTGTTGTGTAACTATTTATGTTTGAACTGGAAATTAGTCTAAACAAAGCGGGCAATTCGTCGCATTCGATTGCTGACACCTCTCGAGAACCGTTGAAATAATTCCTATCTTGGGTGCCAATCTGTTTCTTTTCAATTGCGTCATTTTACTGTTACATAATATCGGATCCCGCACCGCCTTTTATCTCATACTCGGATGCCGCCCGATTACTTCGATTGTACTTTTATTCATATTACATAAAAATGTAGCAGGAGCTTGGGCGGAGATTGATTAAACTAATTAAAGGCGTTGTTTTGTTTATCATCCGTGGAGCGATTATTCCCGTTGTTCCACGTCTCTTGTGTTTTCGCGGTCGGCTATTGTTAACGTTGAAGGCGATAATTGAAAATCCCCCCAAGTTTTTTAGATCCGCCCCCTTAATTACGCTGTGAGTTTTTGTTCTTGAGATTTTACTCAATTGGCATCTCGAGACTCCCCTTCATTCCTTACCACATTCTCGTAAGATGAACTTGCAACAATTAAATTCATCTTTGACGAAAACGCAAATAGAGGAACATACCTTTTTAGACAAAAAAAGAAAGAGAACTGTTATCAGAACAGATCCTACAAAGACTGTAGAATGCTCATTTTGCGGTAAAAAAGTTGGAAAACATTATCACAGGTATAATAAAATAGATGATAATAATGCCTACTGCAATATTTTTAACTAATAGACTTTTTTCATTAATCCTTTTTTCAGGACACATTTACGAATTCATTCGGCCAACAGTCATTACTACTGTGATTTTTGCGGATATAAGACTACTGACGATACTAATAGAAATAAGCACGAACGAGCACACGTGACTGGAAAACCTTTCCAGTAAGTTTCTGTGTTTCTTAAGATGAAATAAGAATAAAGAAAAATATCTCTTTCCATTAAAATCAAATTAACATAATTTATCGAACACAGATGCAAAAATTGCTATCAACAATTTATCACTCCACGATCGATTCGTCATCACTTGCTCAGGGTACATCACATTCCGACAAGCCTATTACCATCTGTCGATGCTCTTCTCCGTGAAGTATTGGAAGAGAATGATAACGCAATCAAAACTTTGACAGGAGGTCTTCCGCTACTCTTCAAATACGATCCCTATAAAATGTCTGTTTTCAACGGAAATAGCTGTTCTGCAACACCTCCACCTCCTCCACCTGTTCCCCCGGCAAATGTTACAGTAGATTACAATGCCAACTTCCTCTTTGATACATCGTCTAATATGGAATCATCGCCATCGTGCTACTACAATCAGTCTTTCGATACCATTTACCAAAACTCCCTTCCTCCATTCTCTTTCGATCATGAATTTTCCGTTCATTCTTTGTCTTAGACGGTCAATGTCCATTTTCTGATTTTAAATGCTTAATCACGTCAGACAAATTAATTCTGGTATAATGAAACGAATAACGATCAAAGTGTTCTTCTTTTGATGTTGGTTATTAATTCTTATAGACAACACCTGAGCTAGTATTAATCTAACTGAACCTGTTTTCTTCTATGTATTTTTCATGTATATTTTTATCATTTTGACTCAAATTTTCTTTAAATTTCAAATAAAAAAAACTTTTTCTACACAAATCACAATGCTAGTAACGCTAATTGCTGGTAAAAATACGTGGAAATACGTAAAGGCCTACCTGACCCAGATTTATCTCCCTAATGAATAGTACGTGGGATTAATTAAGTATGTATTGGTCTGGAGTGAGTCCGATAGACGGCGTACTCCTTATAAAAGTCGATTAAAACGTAATTCAACCATTTACAAAAATTCGTAAGACGATATGGGTTGTCAGGCCTCTCAGCCGATTTATCCAATGGGAGTTGATCCTCGTCTTATGACTTATGGTTCGAATAATTCAAAAACAGTAGACAGCAAGTCGTTTAAGATACCTCTAACCGAAAGAGAAGTGTTTAATATCACTAAATCATGGAAAGCAATCAGTAAGAATATGACAAACACTGGTGTTAATATGTTTCTTAAGTAAGTCTATTGTATGCTATTAAAGAGAAACAATTCGCATAGTCTGAATGAATTATCAACTTTAAATTCCTACTTTTATCTTCCTTTCTTATCTTTCCTAGAATGTTTGAAACTAATGAAGATATGAAAATTATGTTTGAGCAATTTCGAACTGTTGACAATGTTGCTGATCTATGGACATCGAGAGCGTTAGAAAATCATGCTGTGCTTGTGATGAATGCTTTGGATGATGCTATAACTAATATGGATGATGAACAGTACGTTGTTGAAATGCTCTTAACGACTGGAAAGTCTCACAGACGATTTGAAAATTTTAACGCCAATATTTTTTGGGTAAGCATGAAAGTTATTTGTGTAAATGTTAATAATTTATTTATCTGTGAAATGTTTTTCAACCTTCCTTCTCTCTCTCTCTCTCTGCTTTCATTATCAACTTAAATAGAATATAGAGGAGCCTTTCTTGATCAGCATTAAAGAAACACTCGGAAATCGGATGAATTCAAATTTGGAACAAGTTTATGCCAAGGCCATTCGTTTTGTGCTAATTATACTTGTGACAGGATTTGAGCAGAAAGAAGTAAAGAGTGTTAGCGGAATGAGCACTCCCAGTAATATGAGCTCTGCTTTTTCTCGTTGAAAATTAACAACAAATTATTGAACTAAGAAACAAATTTACAAAAACAACAAGTCACATATGTCTATTACACAAATTTATGTTCCTACGATAGTCTTCATTTGACACGACAGCGGAAGGAGAGGAAGAAAATTATAATCTAGGAAGGCCTATAATTTTTTTAAGTTGCTTTCGAATCTTATGTACCTCTTGTATTTTTTCTATATAGCTTCCAGAACGTGCACTTGCATAAAAAGAATATATACATAAGCACATTTCACTCACTCTCTTTCTCTCTCTCTGTTGGTGCAACACCATTAGGTATATAGAGTAACAAGAGGGAAGTTTCTGATAGGTCAATCTTTTGGAGGGGTTGGGTTGGAATAGTGGAAGACCAAAGATTAGAGGAAGGGTTTTACCTGTTTATTTCCGTTTTTGATGTTTGTATTTAAAAGAGGACAATAAAAGAGATTAATCATTCTTATTGCTGTTAAGATATTAAATGCTTTGTTCTATTCGAATGAAACGTATTTCTGTAGATGTATTCTCTTTTAAATGAATATTATTTAATTTATTAGAATTAGATTGTTATGAAAAAGACTGTACGTGTGTTTTCTTCTCATCTTCTCGTTCCTATCTAACCCTTCACACATCCTCGCCTTCACCCTTTCACCCCCCCCCTCCCCCCGACTCTCATAAAAATTTATCTAGGTTCACCCTCTGTCTTATCTCTATCTTCACAACGGATAGAAAGTGATGTATTGTAGGAAAAAGAGAATACCTTTGATTCTTACAGCTTTATTAATATTTACAATAGTCTACTTTCGGAATAGTTATTTAACTAATAAGAAGGAAAATCACGAATGGTTAATACGAACAGAAAACTGCGAAATACCGTTTGTTGACCCTTGGGATAAAGAGTTGACGAAGCGCCATCTAGTAAATAGAACCAGGTATTTGCGATGCCCTGACAAGCCTCCTCATGCTCCTTTAACTTATGTTGATGGGAGTTTTGTGAGAATAAATAGGACAATTATGCGTCATGTTTATAGAGTAGAAGGCTGTGAATGTGTATATCAAGCCATCTATAGACAAGAGAAAAGCGATAATGCTTATTATTTCGGAGAAAAAGTTAATATTTTTCAAGATGATGTCCAATTAACTCCAGAATACGAATATATACGAGTATCCTGTCAATCGTTACCCGAAAGGGACCAATTGTATTTCAATTTCCATGCTCTAATTCATGTAAATAACACTCTGGAACAAATGTTAGATAGCAAATATAGAGATTATACAGGAGAATCTGTTAACATCATAATGATTGGTATCGATTCTGTATCTCGTTCAAACATGATACGTCAAATGCCCTTAACGAGAAAAGTATTGAAATCAGAAATAGGAGCGGTCGAACTACTAGGTTATAATAAAGTTGGAGAGAATACCCTGGTTAATCTTGTTCCAATGCTACATGGTAAATTTGTTGAAGAACTTGGAGATGTACAATTCGACAATGTTCCCTTCATCTGGAGGATGTTTAACGATTTCGGTTATAGAACATCATTTGCCGAGGATCATCCTAAAATTTCCATTTTCAATTTTAGGCGTGAAGGATTTGATGATCCTCCAGCCAATTATTATTTAAGACCTTTAGCACTCGCAATGGAAGATCAAGAGTCAATTTGGACTAAACGACATTGTGTTGGCTCTCTGTTAGAAACTGAACGCGTTTTAGATTATCAATACCGCTTTTTAAGAACTTTCCGCCAAAAGCCATTCTTCTCTTTCTCTTTCATAACTAGAATGACGCATGATGATGTAAATTTGGCTGGTAATGTCGATAAATCTTACGCGACATTTTTGAGTAAATTAAAGAGAGAAGGCTTTTTGGAAAATGCTGTTCTCTTCTTCTTTAGTGATCATGGAATTAGATTTGGTGAAATACGACGAACAACCGTTGGAAGAATGGAAGAAAGAATGCCGTTTATGTTTATTTCTCATATGAATAAATTACTGAGGAGACGACTAGAAATTAATGCTTTACGCCTTTCAACTCCATTTGACATTTATGAAACATTAAAAGAAACTTTTAATGACTCTTGGAAAAGTGGTAGAGGTCATAGCCTCTTTCATACGATTATTCCGGAAAATAGAACATGTGTGTCAGCATTAGTCAGCGCTCAATTTTGTTTATGTGGTTATCGTTTACCGCTAAATGAATTAGACGCAAAAGTGTACGAGGCGTCAAATGCAATCTTAAAGACTGTTAATACATTTATTGAATTAAACACGGACGGAAGATGTGCACTGTTTAAACTCGATCGAATTTTATACGCAGGAAGTGACGACGATCACCACCTTTACGTTGCGATAGACGCGAGGCCAAGAGACGCCGAAACTGTAAAGCCAAACGCAAAAGCCTCATTTGAAGCTTCCTACAATAAACTTACGAAAAGAATTGTCGGTAAAGTTGAAAGAATTAATTCATATGTTTTACATACGCTGTGCGTAAATGACATTACAGTTAAAGATTATTGTCTTTGCTGGGATTCTGTGTTTTAATATTAATTGATAATCAACGTTTCTGTGCATTTCGAACTAATAAAATCATATTAATCTAAAGACAAATAATACAATATAACAAAAAGAAAAGATGAGAGAAGAAAAAGAATGAAAGGGAACGAAGATAGAAAGAAAGAAGGAGAGTGTGAAAAAAATGAAAATAATGTAAATATCAACGTTACTTTCATATTATAGAAAATAACGTTCTAACGAGTTTAGAAGTGAAAATTGAGGGAATGGATGAAAGAGTTAATTCCATATTTTTTTTTCTAATAAAGAGAATGAGGACATTGAAGAGAGTAGTTTCGAGATAAAACGCGGCTTTCAAAAACTCCAAAGGAAAAATCGAATGTAATATAAAAGTTTTTACAGTGGGGAAAAATTCAGCCTGAAGTTATACTGGAAATGAAAAAAGAAGGAGAGAAAAATGATGACGTACTTGTCGAACGCTGACGGGTAATAGGTTATTTAGTACATCTTTACGCATTCATTTGTGTACCGATTTACTTTCGCTTCATTGCAGTTACTTCTCAAAGGCTAAACACCTTCATTGCTAATTATTCCGTGCTGCAATTACTCTTTTCCCTTTACGCCCAGGAAAGTATATATTGGAGAAAAGGGATATTATCACCTTAGACGCCACTACCACCACCACCACCACTAACGCCCCCAACGTCGCCTTGGTATTCGCTTTGCTCCAACACTTTTTGTATAACGTATAAAAGAGTGAAACAGGTACGAGATTGACGTCATTCGACGCCGGCCTCTCATCCACCGAAGATGTACGATGATCGGTGGAACTTCGAAAAGAATCATGGGTATCGGTATAGTTATTACAGGAGGAATAATATTAGCCATCTCCTTAATAATGGGTATAGAATTTCCAAAGTTCGCTTATAGAAAAAATGTTGAATTTCTCTGTATATACAATGATAAACATGAATACTATAATCAATGGGTAAGTTATTAATATTTAACGTTATTTAAAAGTATAAGTTCTGACTTTATTCTATACAGTATATATATATATATATATATAATATATCATTAAAAAGCAAAGAGAATACAGTATATACCTATTTTTATCTATCTTTTTCAAGTAATATATATGAAAAAAATATCTTAGGCCTACTTCCGCGAAACCTAAAATTATTTCCTGCCATCTTTTTTAAAACAAATAGTACTATCGCGTGTGAGACTATATGCCTATTATAAATAGACGTATTAGTGCATATATACCATATATGCATATACAGTATATATAGATACACAGTATATTTAATCTATATGTAATAGTCTCTCCTTCAATTTAGTCAATTTACTTTTATGTCTAGCTACCTCTATCTGTTTTTTCTTCAGCTGGAGGACGATGAGTTCAAAAGGCATAATCTAGTCTATTTTTGGAATATTACTAATCCAGAACAAGTAATTAATGGTTTAGAACCAAATTTACAGGATATCGGACCATATTTTTATAGACAATTTTCTTTTAAATTGAACGTTCAGTTCGTTGGCGATGCTATTGAATACAGGAATTGGAAAAGGCAGGAATTTGATGGTAATCAAACGCTGAGATCTTGCTCGAAATGTTCCTACAAAGATAGAGTAAGCTATGTAATTGATCGTTTGTACGTAGATAGAGTATTTTGCACCTTTTATAGTTCTCTCGATAACGAAAATTCGATTTTTTCGTCTTTTAGTAATACCAATAACTTTTACAGATCACCCTTATCAATAAGGAATACTTGAAAGGCGTTATGTTAGAAGGAGATGAAGATAGCTATATTCTGTCTTTTCTCCCGCCTACCTTACAATCCGTTTTCGAACAATTAAACCAGGATATGTCCTACGAAGAAATTTATAGGGAATGGGGTAACTTCCGGAGCGTTAAGTTCGTTCGCTATTCTAGTAAACTGTTTTATCCTGCAACGTTTTCGCATTTAAATTTTGCTTCCTGGTTACAATCTTCCACCTATTCGTCCAATAGAACTTTTAAGGCGGACGAAATGCAAGCCCTAATCAACGTCTTAACTTCTTCCGTATTATTTAATGATTTCAATCAATTTTTGAGATTGGTTCGGCAAACCGATCAAAACAATTCCACAGTTATGGAGAGCTTGACCGAGTTTGTTAATAGTAAAAGATGGTTTTGCCAGCCAACATGCTGGGATTTAACATCCGATTTGTTGGTACCTTTAGCCGATTACATAATACACTTGATACAATTTATAAAACATAGAGCTTTAAATTTGACAAACCAAGGTAAAGTTATTACACTTACTCAATCCGAATGGGTTATTGGAAGAACAATTCATTGGAAATTTGGTGGTGTTCAGTTAGTTAATCTACCACAACGGAGGTTAAAGGGTATATTGATGCATGACGAAACTGCGGCCGAAGCGATCGTTAATGCCGAATCAGTGCGCTTATACTCCTGCTATTCGCGTCAGACAGGATCAAAAGCTCATATGTGGAGATCATTCAATGGCCAAACACAATCAAATTCTTCCCAATTCCCTCGTGCGACAAATGATCAGCGAGTCATTGCTGCTTATATGGATAGTGTTGAGCCGGTGGAATTGACTACTTGTCAAGGAAGCTCTCCTCGAATGCAGTTTTATAATTTCTTCTTTCCGGTCTACTGGCGTCGTCTACCCTTTGTCTGGAGTGGGAAAACGAAAGATGTACGACGGGTGGAAGCTCACGTTTTAACTTTAAATGAATCAGCCTTAAAAAAGGCAAAAAACCCTTTTATGAACGAAGATTGTCTGCAGGATATGACGGGTACTTTGAAGTTTAATAGTTGGCTTAGTTTACCTCACTTTCGTCTTTGTAGCGAATCATTGCAAACATCTTTCAACGCTTCGCCATTTAAATACGATTTACCATGGATAGTTATTGAACCAACTTCTGGAGTCGTGTATTCATATTCAATTAGCCATCAATTAGTTATACAGCACAAAAACTCTCGCCTACCTATGTATTGGATAGACGAAAGAGCCGAAGTATCCGAATGGGTAGCAAAAAATTTTAGAGATAATACAAGAAAAATTTTACAAGCTTCATGCGCAGGTTTAATCTCATTATCTCTTTTAGCAGCCGCTACTATTGTTTGCGGTATCCTAGTCGGTACAATAACTTTTAAGAATGGTAAAGTACTCCCAATACCTCCCAATACGCCTACATTTTAAGGTTTTCTCCATAAAACAACGGAAATAAAACCAAAAATTACAATAAATTACAATAAAGAATATTGACTTTCTTTTTATCTTGGAAAAAAGAGAGAAAGAGGAAAGAACCAGAGAAATTTATTCATTTGTGCTATGTAATTTATCTTTTTTGTTTTCAAATATCATATCAGTTTGTACTAATTATTAATATCTTTTAACATTTAATATCTTATAATTTCCTAACATCAGCTATGAACGACTATTATTCATAAATGTAGAAAAAATATGATATGTTTATACATTCATTCTCTCTATGAAATATAAAGTAATGAAACGGCTAATAAACGTTATTTATACTAATATATAGCTTATTCGATTCTCCTCGTTTCCTTGCATTGTGCTGCCATCTATCGACAACTGCAATAATTGACAGTCCCTTTCTAGCACCTAAAAGGATTGAGTATATACAGATAAATACATAGGCAAGAATATTATTAAATTCATTTAGTTAATTACTGTTTGATATAGCATGACATTTAAACAAGATTGATAAAAAAGCTCATTATATTTTGGTTTAAGAGAGAAGGAAGATAAAGCGATTTTAAATGTATAGACTGACATCTGTTGGGTTTGTGATAAATGTCACGCAACTCTTACAAAGAAATAGATAATGTTCCGTTATAGCAGAAATTAGGAGAAAGAGAAAGAGAGAAAGAAAGAGCAGCAGCAGCAGTAAGACAGAAACAAAGAAACAGCGAAGGACAAACACACACACGCATAAGAATAGATTGCTAATTAAAGGAAAGAGCAAATTATAAAATATGTATTTCTACCAGTTTTATCTATATGTTCTTTTTACTGTGTAGTTGTAATTGAAAAATGATATGATGTGTAGAATGTTATTTATATCGTCTTAATTAATAGATACATAATGGACATATATATATATACTGTATATATATAGTTTTGTATTGTATAGATAGATTATCTATATATATTATATACGTATGTAGATGTTTGTTTGTATATTTATATATATATATACGCATGTAATAATACGAATATTCATGTTCTTGTCAAGTTTATCGAGCACGTATTGAATATTTTTTATGACAGCAGTAAGGCTCCCTCTCTCTTACTCTTTGTCTATCCGTATCTCTCTCTCTCTCTCTCTCTCTATACCTGCTAATAAGTTACATATGATAACATATAATTCTAATAATAGTAATTTCAAACAAACATCAATAACTATCAAGTATATTCAGGGAAATAAAACATCAATCGTTCAAATGAAAATGACGACTAATCTATTAATTTCTATGAGCACTTTATCCTTCCCTCTTTAGAATAATAAGCTTAAATGTTAATATTTCAATATTTTTGAACATTTGTTATAGATATTCTATAAAAAAAATATCTATGTGTTTTGAAAATATGTAAATTATATTTTTTTAGTTATTGACGTAAAAGGAGAGTTAAAAATAAAATATCTCTATATAATAAAAATGAAAAGAGTATACAATTTACACTTTTTTTTTACAAACATAAAAACAAATTAGTACAGGAATCATGATTCTTCTAAATACGTGCAGATATTGGTATATTCCATGTACGAGATTGAAAACAAAAACCTGTGGTTTATCAATCTATCAATCTAGAACGAAATGATTGATAAATGACCTGGATGTATAGGATTTTTATTGTTTAGTAATATCTTGTTTAATTTTTAGGGTAATTCCAAGTTTTAAAAGCTTTAAATCATTCAATGGTAATCAAAATGTCACAATTGGATTAACGAAATTGCATAATAGGGTACTATATTAAGATTGATTGATTGCGATATAGTGAAGAATAAGAAGAATAGAATAATAGGAAAGTGTGTTTGAGGAAAAGTGCTTAGGGGAGGCGAATGGTTAACGTTGCAACAAAGAAAATGTAGGGGTAAAAGAATCTTGCAGTATATCGAACAGTTGATCGTTTTCCTAAGAAGATTCTCAGACTTATCAGGCTCCCTTAATGCCCTTTAGCAATAATCAAAGGTAGAATTTCTAACGCTTAACAAACAAGAGTGGTTTACAAATTAACCACTTCAGCATTTCCTATCCTAATAATGTTTGCACCGCAACAACGTAGTGTAAATAAGACATATAAAATAGCAAAAAATCACAGTTGATTTAATTGCAGTGCTCTCCTTGTGGAGATATCCTATTATTACTCTAAATTCGATATAACCTATTTACAGATTATGCTTTTGCCAAGGTGATGCTACTAAGTTGATTTACTTTTGTGAATTTTATAGGTAATCAATAAATAAAGTCGACTTTCTTCCCTAGGATAGAGATAAGGTAGCTCTCTCAACTACAATTGCAATGATTTTTATCTATCTCAATAGGATTATGAGAGGTTTATTAGGCGTAGTAAAAATATTTGCTTTCTACGTAATTGGGTTATATATTTCTTCCATTTCAGTCTATATTAGTGATGAGAATGTCATATATAGAGAAATTACCATAACCAATTAGACTACATTTTTTATTATTATAACGATTATAACGATTATTCATCTAATGAATATTTGTGTTTTTTAATACTTCAAGGCATATGTCGATTTGGCCCAAGAGTTTTATTCCTTTCCCACATCAGCTTGTGCAATTTACTCAAACATACAAAAGCTTCTTACATGGCCTTGTTACCAGCTTTGTCTTATTTCACTATTTACAAACTCGAACTGAAAGAGAGGGATATATACATACACAAACATGCAGACATTTGGTATATGCAGCATAGCTTCTGTGTTTCTTCTCTCTCTCTTTCTCTCTCTCTCTCTCTCTCTCTCCCTTTCTCTCTGTATTCCTGCTCTCGCTGTTTTGTAGATAAGGTTATCTATTAATTGAGTTTGTCTAACTATATAAGTAGAATACTTTAGCTTTGATTTTGAAAGATGGTAAATATTTATTAATAAATAATTTAGTGCCATCAGCACACAAACGTTAATGCACATATAGAAATTGAAGATGTTTGATTATTGACCATTCCCAATTTCCATCTATTTAGATAGAAAATGAAATTTAGATATGATTATTGATAAATTCTCTTTGTAGATTTTGATGAAGGGTATTCATGATCTGTTACTCATATATATCCTTCCACATTCTTTCAATTCTTCTAAGCTGTGTGTATGCTTAATCTATTTCCTTTCATTATTTTTTTTTTCTACCCGTTGTCAGTATTTTTCCATCATTCATTTTCTGAAAATTTTCCATTAGTCTTTTAAATATATTTGACAAAGAAACATTTTTATCCTTACTTTCCTGTTTGGAAGCACTCATCTTATCAGCTAGTCTTTTGTAAACTACTTTTAGCCTAGCTACAAAATTAGCTAGGCCTATGAAAACATATTACAGCGAGAACAGCCGGATTTGACAGATTTAGGCTTTTCGTATGAAAGCATTAAAAAAAAAGAGTGAGAGAGTATGAGTAAGTGAGTGAGAGGGAGAGAGAATAAACTGAGTAACGAAAGACGATACAAAAAATCTTATCCGTCTAATTAGACGCTTTTATTCATTAAAACGCTGCTAAAATCATTCATTAACTTTTCATAATTAACAAATTATACATAAAATTGACTCTTCGAAGATATTAGTTTAGAGATCATCGACTTCAGTGACGAATAAACACCTTAAGAGTTTGTATATGCTTGAAGAAAATATGAACTTAAACATAAACTTTTCAAGTATAAATCAACATGTGCTAAATGACTAAAAGAAGATAAAATCCGTCTTCAACTTTCAGCTTTTTTTAATAACATATAGAAAAACTGGTAAAGATTGTTTCGTTGTAAACTTTCTATTTGATCTAATTGTTAAAACATTTCGAATCCATTAAGAATTTTAAGACGAGTTTCTTATCGAATCTCACATCATTAACAACCAAAAAGCCTCAATTAATAGTTAAAAAGCTCATGTCTTAAAACTAGACTAAAACTTTGTATTCCTTCAAGAAAGAAACATCCTAGTAAGTCTGCTGTCCAAATATCAAAACAATTATTCTGATAAAGGTTTCTATTTGACTTTATTCAAAAGACAAGTTGAATTATTCATTAACTTATAAAATGTTTATACCGGAAGGAAGATTTTTTTTTTAAAATTCCGGTTTGTAGAATGTTATTAGAAACATTCTCTGGCGCCAAATAGATAGTATATACTGTATATTGTTAGTATTACGTAACAAATAGAATAAACTAAAATTAATCAAAAGCCATAAGAATATAGTAAATAACTATGCCCTAATTTATATATATGATATACAAGTAATAAAGAAATTATTACCAATAAAAAAAAAAATCGTGCGGAAAAAGGAATTGGAATTGATCACGTTTAGGGTTTTTCTAACATTCTTGAGTTCTATATTGGCTAAATTATTTCAGGACCGGTTAGTACTTTCTGTCAGAAGTAAAATAAAATCCATACACTATATATATATATATAGATAGAGAGAGAGACAGTACATATCTTTGAGAGACGAAGAAAATTTCCACGGATGAGTTGTTTTCGGCGTTTCTCTTAGGAAATTGTAACTCTCTTTTTTTATCCCTACTTTAGAATATAACCTAGTTAGGGAAAACAATCGTTTTATTTTATAGAGGAATCTTTTTACATTACTGTCATTCATCTAATATGTTTCTTCCTGTCTTGGAATTAAAGGAGGAGGGAGAGGAAAGGAAAATATTTGAAAAAGCCTTGTATATATATCCAAAGCGACCTCCGGCGTCCAATTAGGTTTCTTGCATCTCTAGTCTTCATTAATCCTTCTAGTTATTTAAATAAAGCGACGCTGCAAAAAGTTTGAATTTTCTACGACAAAGGTCAATTTCTCTTGACCTTAGTCTATTCCTCTTTTCGACTAGCTCAACTATGCATATTAGAACGAAACGTCATTTTATAATTATATTATAATTCTATCTATTCTAAAGTGTACCGAAATTTTTAGACGCCTAGAACAGAGTTTATCATACCGATAGCGAATACTCGGGAAGATGTCAATAAACCGAAATTATTCTCGTATAATTTTGTATTTACTACGCAATTGGTCAAAACTTTCTCATCTATGGGAACCGAGTAACGACGGGTAATTAAGTTCACAATTTGCACTTAGATTTTCCCTATCGTTCTTTTTTTTATCCACAGACTGTCTAATTATATCGCTTAATAATTGGCTTGCTTTTCCAATACTTCCAACTGGTTTAATTATAGGAATAAAAAAAAAAAGAAAGATTAATAATAGTTGCTGTACGATTTTCTTTCTTTCTTTGATAAAACTATGGGCGTCTCTTTTATTAAAAAACAATAACATCAACTAGAAGCAACTAACAGTAAAGACCGTTACATGTATATATATTTATATATATATTCGTACGTGTACCGAAACTCGGTGTCTAATTATTGCCTATCAGAGAAGAAATGCTAAGAGGGATATTACTTAAAAACTATAGAAAGTAGGACAAGGAAAAGCACAGGAAAATCAATAGTATGTTTCTTGTTCTATCCAGCTTCCAGGATATCTTCGTATCAAGTACTTTCTAACCTCGTCATACACGAAAATGGCCAAGGAGAACGGCATTGGTGGGATCCACCACTGGAATCTGAGCGGATACATTCTCAATCCCCTATCCAAACCTGGACAGTAGGCCAAGAAAGCTGCAAGAGATGTCTCGAAAAAGAGACCGAATGTTAAATGATTATTCAACATTCCCTGATGAACGATGGAGTTTCTTCTTGTCTTGCAAATACATAAATCGGCCCATTGTACAATAACGATACTGACGAAGAAAGCAGTATGGCATGTAAATTCTAGAACTTTTCTTTGAGCATAGGTCCATTCTTGACCATAAGAATCTTCTAAATCGTTAACACCCTTTGCGTCCCATTCTCGGCGAATACCGATCAGTCTCTTGGGCCAGAAACCATTTTCGCATAAAATAACGAAATAAACGAAAAATCCCGCAAGAGCTTGGAACATACCAATTTGACCATAAGCCATACCGATCAAACGATGATTAACTAAATTGTCGCGTTTAGGATCTCTTGGTTGACGCTTCATTATGTCAGATTCGGCTTGTTCGTAGGCGAGAGAGATAGCGGGAACCAAATCGGTACCCAAATCGATACATAAAATGGTAATAGTTCCCAATGGCAACGGGATGTCTAGTAAAATGAAAAACAAGAAAGGCGAAATTTCGGGAATATTGGATGTAAGAGTATAGGCAATACTCTTCTTTAAGTTATCAAAGATAAGACGACCCTCTTCAACTCCTGTGACAATGGAAGCGAAATTATCGTCTAGCAAGATCATATCAGCGGCTTGTTTAGATACATCAGAACCAGCAATACCCATGGCAACACCAATATCAGCTTTTTTCAAAGCGGGGGAATCGTTAACACCGTCACCTGTTACAGCTACAATTTGTCCTTGTCTTTGACAACCTTCTACGATAATCAATTTTTGTTGAGGAGAAGTACGTGCGAACACAATTTCGTTGTGATGTTGTAATATACCGTCAATTTCGTAAGGGGTCATATCTCTTAAGTCTGTTCCATGGACAACGCATGCTTTGGCGTCTCTTGGATTAACTTCTTTAACATCAACACCCAGTCTTTGTGCAATATCTTCAACAGTTTCATTTCCTTCAGAAATAATACCGACACCCTTAGCAATGGCTTTGGCAGTAATCGGGTGATCACCAGTAACCATAATTACTTTAATACCAGCAGAACGGCACTTAGCAACAGCATCTGGTACGGCAGCTCTCGGAGGATCAATCATAGACATTAGGCCAACAAAACGAAGTCCATTTAATGGAAAGTTCTCTTCATCTGGATCGAAGTTATATCCAATTGGATAATCTTCAGCTGGTAGAGTGTAATCGCAAAAGCCCAAAACACGTTCTCCCAAACCTCCCAATTCCATGTAAGCTTCGTTAAAGTTGCTCTTCCACTCTTCAGTCATCGGTAATTCTTCTCCCTTAACTAGAATAGTACTGCAACGGTCCAAAATTCTTTCAGGAGCACCCTTCATAACCAATAAATAGCGAGGATCGTCTTTATCGTCAGTTTCGTGGATAGAAACTTGATATTTGTTGGTCGAATTGAAAGGAATTTCGCATATTTTCTTGTTACGTTTTCTGTAGTCTTGTACATTTCCAATGGATAATTCGCAACATTTCAACAAAGCAGATTCTGAAGCGTCACCGTTAGTTTCTCTCTTAAGGATCGGTTGACTTTCTTGGCCGGCTTTAAATTCGGCTCTGTTACAAAGCATCGCTACTCTGCTTAGAGCAAGGAAGGTGGAAGAATCTCTATCAAATGCGGAGCCACTTTGGTCTTCAGTTGTATCAGTTTCAACGATATTATTATCGAACCACATATGTGCAACGGTCATACGATTTTGGGTAAGGGTACCAGTTTTGTCAGAGCAGATAGTGGATGTTGAACCAAGGGTCTCTACAGCCTCTAAATTCTTTACCAAACAATTTTTGCTAGCCATTCTCTTTGCCGTAAGCGTCAAGCATACAGTTACAGTAGCCAGAAGACCTTCAGGTACATTAGCTACAATGATACCGATAAGGAAAATAACGGCTTCCAACCAGCCATAACCTAAGATAAAAGCAATAATGAAGAAGCTTATACCCAAAAAGACGGCAACAGCAGTGATAATGTGAATAAAATGAGCGATTTCTCTAGCAATCGGGGTCTCTCCCATTTCCAAACCAGAGGCAAGATTGGCGATACGGCCCATAACAGTTCTATCACCAGTGTTGATAACCATTCCTTTGCAGGTACCTTCGACAGCATTTGTGGAGAAAAAGGCTAGATTCTTAGTTTCTAATGGATTTTCGTGCGTAAACTCGGCGGAACGGCTTTGTGGTTCAGATTCACCAGTCAAGGACGAATTATCGACCTTAAACCCATGAGCTGCGATAACACGTATATCAGCTGGAACTCGATCACCAAATTTCACTTCGACAACATCACCAACAACTAATTCTTCCGCACGAACATTTAATTTTTGTCCGTCACGGATTACAATAGCAAATTGAGGTACCATGTTCTTAAACGAATCCATAATTCTTGATGATTTTGCATCTTGGTAGTACGAAAAGCAACCAGTAACAACCACTACCACCGTCAGTACAATACCTAAGTACAAGTTATCGCCAGGGGCTTCTTCGTAAGTAGACGCTTGAATGGAATAGGCAACGAAACATAAAATGGCTCCAATCCACAGCAAAAGTGAAAAGCCGCCAAATAGTTGTTTGCAAAATTTAACCCATTCAGGCGTAGTTTTTGGTGGAGAAAGTTCATTTGGTCCATCTCTTGCCAGTACTCGTTTAGCTGTTTCAGAAGTCAAACCGCTATCAGGGTTACTCTCAAAACGAGCGTAGAGTTCATCGATTGGAACTTTGTGCTCATCCAATTCCAACTCTTGCTTAAGATCGTCAAGTTCGTCCTTTTTCTTTCCTTTCTTGCTCTTTTTATCATTGCCTTTATCGGCAACTGCCCGTCTGTACTCACCAGCTTCTTCGGCCTACAAAAAAGAATAGAAGAATGAAGAAATCTTATCTTATCGCATTTTTTTTCTATATTTAACTGATAACGCCCCTAACTGCGTCAGGTAAATCGTTCAACAATTGATTCTCATGACATTGAGAAAAGTTTAAAGGGATACAATTGTATAAAGAAATGGAAATATGAATAATAAACCGGAAAGATACAAATTAGTTCTAAGACTCGCAATAATAGTAACGCCCTTGATGTAGGACTATACTTATTCAACATTAAATGTTTCTTTAAAACATAATCTCATACCTTGGAAGTCATTTCCTATGTAAAGGAACGCTCGTAATAGAAGAATAAACACTTCAATAAGAAGCAAAAATTGACAAAATCGATATCAAGTTCTCCGCAGAGCTGAGCAGCTGCAGCCGTGGGCGTTCCAGATCGTCAAATAAATCTTATCTACATAGATTAGCGCATGCGTCGACGAAAAATATATCACGTGACGGCGCTGCAATCAATATACAAGATAAGAACCAAACGGAAAATTTTCGCGATATAATATCGTGTAACAAAAAGTAAAAAATGGGCAAATAAACCCTTAAGGGAGGCTGTCAAGGGATGAAAGAAGAAGGGAAATAAGGCCTAATAAAAATTAGGAACTACTTTATAGATTGTTTTATCCTAATTGCTCTCTTAAACGTTAAAAACAGGCGTTCTAAAAAGCTGAAAAGGTCGCGTACAAAATATAAAATGTCTATTGAAAAGTTCAAAAGCTACCACTAACAAAGGAGTATAAAGTCTAAACTGGAATGAAAAATTCCTCTCTCTCTCTCTCTCTCGCTCTCCCCTCTCCCCTCCTTCCTATAAACACTTTACAGCTTCGTAGGCCTTTTAAATGTAAGAGTTTCGAATCTTTCGTCAACTTAACCTTGTCGGCACTAAATTTTATAGTTTCTGAGCAGAAGAAAAGAATGAAAGGAGAAAAGAAGAGAGGAACTGGTAAGATACGGAAATTAAAAACAAAATAAAGCAAGGATACAGTGTAGGGAAAAAGCACACAAAAAGGGACATCAAATTCGATATTCATTAAGCATTCACTTCATTTATTCCCCGCTATGCACAATTTCCAACCCTTATAGCACTTTTGCACAGCCTTATTACCATTATTATTCGTCTAACGAATTTGCCCAGTTTTTCTACTAATATTATCATTCCATAGAGGCTTTTTTTTATTGATATGTTTATATTAGTCTATTATTAAATATCATACTGTTTAGTAATACAGTACTGGAAAAAACTGTAAATCCTTCACTTCTAGATTCCTCAGGAATCCAGAAGATTTATGATTTAAGGAAAGAAATTAGCAGCAAACTTAACTTTATGGAATATTCTCCATGAACGGAACATGGAATAGGAAAACTTGATGAAAAAGACAACAATATACGTAGAAGAGTTTTCTATGAAAGAAAGGACTTTCTGCATTCTGCTAAGCTCAGAATGAAGGCAGAAGACTATGCTGCTACTTTACAAGACCATTTTGTTCCTTCCGCTCATTATTTATATGATTCAGAGGGTATTTTATAGAAAGGATGAAGCTCGCTATACATAGAGCTTTTAAAATATAAAGCTACTTAGCAGATGAAGGGATAGTGAAACTAAAGTATTAATATATTCATGTCCTTTAAGAGTAATATATAATTGTAAAAAAATTTTTATTGTCTAGTTTATTCTTCATACTTAAGCCTATAATCTTCGTCATATCCTCCCAAGCATACTTTGTAATCAAGTATAAAATTATTTAAATGGCATCGTTACTATATTCTCTTATCTGCCAACCTTCATGACCTAATCCTTTTACTTAGTTAATTTCCAGAAAACAGGTAACTTAATTTGTTCCCTAATGACCGAGAAAACGACCATAAGCACGTTCTCTCTTTTTTTATGCAATATACAACTAAGAGTCAATAATTAATTCTGGTTAAAATAGGAATTAATATTGCAAAATCCCTTAACACAAAGAAATAGGCCTTGATACAAATCCCCGTTAATTCCCTTTTTAACATGGAAATACTATGTCAAGAGCAGAGTCTCAATTACTTGAATTGTTTATTTTACAAATAATTTAGAATAAGGCATGTCTTTAATAAAAACAAAAAAGAGATTCAGAAGAGAGAGAGAGAGATAGGAATAAAAGGGAAAAAAATGTGAGAATAATAGTTTTGTACGAAATATTTGAGTATTCAATACTTTTCATTCAAAGTAAAATCCATATACAGCAGCGTAGGCTGACAAGGAGGAATTTTTGTAGGAAGCCGTTGCATAAGAATCGGTTTGTTGATTCGATAAACATCTGGAAGCTGTTTGCATAGATTGTCGACCATTTTGAGTGATTGTCACCTCTGAAACAAATTTATAACGAGGAAATTTCATTGATTTGACTCTCTCTTTTAATATTTCAGCGATATTCTTTGCCAGTTTGCCACACATTGTTTCTTCGTAAGTTTCACCGGATAGATAATTTTCCAGAACTTCGGCAATAACCCTACTTACCTCTCCGCTACTAAACTTTTCACCATTTTTCGGTTCTAAGCGATAAGTATTTGCCAACCGAACCGGCATTTTCGGTACGACGTAGTCGCCGGTTCTTTGACTACCCGCGAGAGAAGGTCGCCTCATATTGTACATTGACATTTTTCGAGAGGGATCTATCACTCTCGACATTCTCCGATGAGGAGGTGCCAGGGAAGGAACATGGCTATCACTCGAATTTGAAATAGACGCTTTTCTCTTCGGTTCCGAATCCATAATTGTCGATGGAAAGCGCAAGAGAGAAAAGAAAGAATTTCGGAAGAGTTAATAAAAAGCTCGTACGACTTAATTATCGCTCGCTTTTCACTATAACAACGCGCATACAATAGGTATCTTATGAACTGTTCAACTATTGATTTATACAGTTGACCAATCCGCGCCTATTTATTCTGTAGTTGATAAGCAACGATCGAATTGTCGCTTCTCATTTCGTTGCATTTATAACAAGGTAAAGCAGACCACATTTTCTTCGTTTGATCCTTGCCAACAGCGTCAGCATTCCATGCCCCCAAGCCTCGTAAACGCCTTATAATAGCATACTTATACTTGATTTTCAAGCTGTCTACATTATCGAACCAAATCTGATGATAAATCTTTTTAGCGTTATTGAAATAAGTAAAGTAAGGCGATTCGGCGATTTTCTCCCAATGTACCGTGTAATTCTTACTGAAAGCGGCAATATCTTCGATATTTCTCTGACTTCCTGAAGCGTCACTACAATTTACCCCCCTAAATGGAACTTTCTTTATCCAACATTTTCTAGTTTCCACTTCGTATTTGATGCAGGGATAGTCGTAACCGTACCACGGCACCCCTAGGACTAATTTTTCAATAGGAATTCCTATCTTGGAATATCTTTCTACTCCGTGAATGGTCGTATTCAAAGCTGAATTTGCCCACGCAATACATTCATCGTAAATTTGACTTCTTTCATCATATGACATGACAAATAGGAAATCAGTGCTAGATGCAATTCTAAAATAATCATAACAACGTTGATCAATGCAGTCAGGTGACCAAGCTACATCGAAGGTAATTTGTAATCTTGGATCGGCTTTTTTAAATACTCTATAAGTCTCCTCAACTAATTTTGATAATCCATCTTTCAAGTCAATCCTAGTTGACGATATTGCATCCTCAAAGTCGAAATTGATACCATCCAAATGTTGAGTCAGGGTAAACTTTAATTTATCTTGCACCCACTGGCTTCTGGCCGAGGAGTTGGATAATTGATTTGTCGGATAATTGGCTATCGAAACAACTCTGACACGTCGTTCATGGGCAAAACAAACCAACTGTGGATCATGATAGCCAACTTCGACAACAGTAGTTAATGTTGTAAAATTATACGCCCTCCAATTGTTCTTTCTTAGGCTAAACATAAAAATCTCTTTACGATTTTCTTTTACTGATACAGGCCTACATAGTTCCTCCCGGTCGCAATGGCAAGAAAAAGCTTTGGCGGTAGTAATTAGGCAAATTAAAAAAAAAGTCCTAAAAACAAATTTAAACGCCGACATATTAGGTATCATGTGATATGTATTGAAGTCACGTGATAAGGAAGTTATAAAGAAACCTAATGACGCCATCTACAGGTCTGAAAAATATTCTATTTTCTTTTCAACTCCTTCACAATATCCATGATGGGGACTGTACCCTCCAAGTTAGGGTCAACAACTCGAATTAGTTCTTCGATATTTTCATCTTTCAGACGTTCGGCCATTGTTGTAAGGGAATGCTTTAAGTCGCCTGTGGAGATTACACCATCCCCTCTCTTATCAAAAATGCTCAGAGCGTCCTGTAGATCTTTCTCATTAGTCACGTATTTATTCGGGTCTGGTCCTATTATTTGAACGAGTTGCTGAACCGTAGCTTTTTGACCGATTTGATCCAAGCCCTTTTCGAGATTCTTTAATTCCGATTCGCTTGGGTTTAAACCTACCGATCGGAGAACAATGGGTAATTCAGTTTTGTTTATTGCTCCATCGTTGTCGTAATCGAAGAGAGCATAGACCTGCTTTAGTTCCTCTGTTAATTCGGCTTGCGTAAGCTGTTACGTGATATAAAAGAGATTGGAAATGAGCAGAAGAGAGGAGAAAAACTGTCAAAAAACTTACAGTCATACTTGGGCGTGATTCCTTAGACAAAGTATAAGCTTCTTTTATCAACCGGAACTATGCAGGTATTTTACTGCGCAGGTGCAAAAAAAAAATAACATACGTTAGACGGTAGATGGCGCGAAAAAGTTGTTGAATTCAAGCCCGGAGGGTAATTCGATTTCGAACACATCTGTCGGCCACCCGCATTTCGGCGAAAGGGATGGACGAGACGAACGCCGCAAGGGAACTGGTCAACGCAAGAGAAAGGCAAAGAATGTACGAATTGAACAAGGCCTTGGACGCTCTTCGGCAGGTCATGCCTTATGATCACGGACCAACCGTGAAGAAGATGTCTAAAATGGCTACACTTTTACTCGCTAGAAACTATATATTACAAGTAAGTAGATAAATGAATTATTAATAATTCACTCTAAAAATAGATGATTCATGCACAAAAATAAACCATCGCAGTTACTGAAGACGCAATCTGAACTCAGGGGAGTTTTATTCGACTTGTACAGAGAAGGGTTTTCGAAAGAAACATAAAACCAGCTTTATCTAACCGGTCATGCGTAAAAGAGGAACTGACGCCTTCTCTTATGGACCTTATATTGAATTTCTTGTTTTCACTTAGCGTTATTGCCTCAGTTTACCTTTTCAAAAATAAAATAGCGCGATTTGTAAAATAGGCCTAACACCTAGTGCCTGTCTACAATAGTGCGCCATCTACATTTGACGTCATTTCGTCTACGCTGATTGGTCGGCGGCTTTCTAGGTCAATCGGGGTCAATAAATTCGCCTACCGTCCTCATTCCGCCGCTCGCTTTCAATCCGGCAGCAAATGGAGAACGGCGAGACGAGAATCACATTAAATGTCCGTCCCTTCACGGGATCTGTATTTCAAATAGACGCTGATATCTCAGATTCATTCGAAACTCTTAAAAAGACTATAGCTCGTAACGCAAAATTGTCTTCAAATCGTTTTCAATTGGTATATAACGATAGGTTAGTGTTCTACTTTTCTTATATATGAATACAAAGAACGTAGATTACTACTTTGTATGAGAAATTGAACTCAAGAAGGCCTGATAACAATTTTTTTATTCTATTTCCGTTAGAATACTACAATCGGGTAGCGTGGCGGAAAACCGGTTGATAGACGGCTGTAACGTTTCCCTCGTGCCTAACGTTCAAAGTGGCCTGGTTTCAAATAAGAAAGAGGCGTCTACACAGGTGACACAGGCTCTGGAGAGTCTGTCCGATCAGCAGGTATGAGTTTTATCAACCGATACAGAAAAGTTATTAGCAGTGGGAGGCAAGTGGTTAAGGAGAATGAACGTGCGGCGCGCTGTGCAAAGGAATTTCACGTCGGCGCCTAGTCGCCTTTAGTTCTTAAGGAACATTGTTGTTTTGGGCACGTTTTATTTAAAAATCAAAAGGAATCATAAAATTGAAGAATATTATTGTTAATAGTAGATTTTCAGTATAAAAAAACAACTGTTCCGAGTTTTAAAACCGTGAAATATGCAGCGTGGCTGAAGTGGGTTATAGAGGGTTAATGCCCCCAGCGCCATTTCCACCTCCCTTTCCCCCCCCCTACCTACATCCCTTTCCAAATTGAAATACTTTTGGCACGTTTCTGTCTTTTTTTACAGATTAATGATTTCCTCGGAGGACGAGTTCCTTTAAACTTGCAATTGAAACTGGCTGGTCATGTTCTTCTCGTTCAGTTGCAGCTGTCAACTTCCTTATCGAAACGTAAACCTTCCAATGTTCGTACACCCACGGTGACTTTAAATACAGACGGGAGGACGGTTTGTCGGAAATTAAAAGAATTGTCTAGTCAAGCGTGTCGGAACTGCAGATCGTCGGCCGTTTTAGAGAGCGTCCGGTGCCATGGACGTGGTATTTTCTCGGGGACATTCTCCGGCACCATTGCCCCATTGAAACACGCGGACAGCCGTAAGGTCGATACCATATTTCGGATTTTACAAGACGTTCTTTTCTCATCATCGACCCTAAGACGTTGCGTCCGACGACACCGACGCCACAGACAAAGGAGTGGGACTGACCGGCAAGAGTCACGACCTAATTCGGCAGCTGAATTAGAGCGCCGTGCTGTTGAAAATTCCCAGACACGGAGCAAAATGGCTGAGTTACGTAACGCTCTCGAACAACGAAAGCAACGCCGCCGTGCTAGACGCGAACGACAAGCGTCACCGTGGAAATCGAATGAAGGTTTCGAGACTGTTGTCGTATGAACACATTGAATTAATGTGAAAAAAAAGAGAACGCTTTATTTACGCTCAGGGAGACGTATTTATATACTCTTGTTTTAAAATTATCGTCTCTAATACAAAATTTACACGACAATTTATTTTTTGCCGATAAATGCGTACGGCTGTTATGACTAATCTGTATTAATCATATCCAATGTTTTGATCCGTGTCGACATCTTTCGGAAGCGATCTATTCCGAAAGTATGCGCCAACGCCATCTATGGACAAGTTGGGAAAAATTCCTAACCATACTTCAAAACAGGTTAATCGCCGTTGCCCGCAAACTGTTTCGATTTTATCGTCGTATATGCTCGAGTTAAAATAATATTAATTGTTGAAAGATTTCACGCCTGTAGCGTCTTGTAGGTAGCTCTGGAGGTATTGTGACGTTGAAATATTGTATAAAAACCGACTCTTGGCAATTTGCGCTAGTTAAACATTTGCCGCCGGTGCGTTTTATCGACGATCTAGTAGTTTGGCTTGGAAAGAGGAAAAGCGAATAGCTGAAGGAAAAGTTATAAAAAATTTCAAGGAGTATATAAAGTAAGTAATAAAAACCTCTAGTAGGAACAGTAAGAGAGAGAGAAAGACAAAGGCAAGCAAGCAAGCAGAGAGACAAGGAGTAATATCAAAAGAAAATAAAGAAATACATATAAAACTACATAACTTGGAAAGCTAAGAGAAATATGTCTGGCGATATTTAATCAAGGGGATCTTATTATAGGAAGGAGAATGAGAGCTTTTATATAGAGAATATCAATATGAACACATGACAGCTAATTCGAAATCGGACTCATTTCGATCGGTGCGCAGTCTTTATTTTGCAGTAGCGGCACTCGACCCCGCAGGCTTTTTGACGATCGATACGGAGACTATGCGACTCGCCTTGCAATGACGAAGGGTGTTGAAAAAGCTACAAAGTTCATCATACTTCACTATTCACCATTCAAAGCCGTATGGGATTGGATTGTTCTACTATTAGTCGTTTATACGGCAGTGTTTACTCCTTATTTTGCCGCCTTCCTTCTAAATGAAGACGAGACTCGAATGAAACTTAATTCGGATTCTATAACTCGTAAAATCAATGCCGCCACGAAACAAGCCGATCCCCTAGTTATAATCGATTTGATTGTCGATGTTATCTTTATCTCAGATATATTTATTAACTTCCGAACTACATTTGTTAGGGATGGTGAAGTTATATCGAATGCAAGAAAAATTGCTCTTAACTACGCCAAGGGTTGGTTTATTATTGATGCAGCAGCGGCTATACCTTTCGATCTTTTACTGTTTGGCAGTGGAACCTCGGATACGATGACCATAACAGGCATATTGAAAACAGTCAGACTAATCCGATTGCTGCGTGTCGTTAGGAAGATTGATCAGTATTTAGAATATGGAGCCGCGATGTTATTTCTTTTAATGGCTACTTTTACCCTTATAGCACATTGGTTAGCTTGTATCTTTTACGCAATTGCTTTTTTTGAACAACCAACTTTGAATGCACCGATAGGCTGGCTTGATAGATTGCCAAACGTTTCATCTATTTCCAGTTCGTCAGACATCCGAACACGATATATAACGGCACTGTATTTTACTTTTACAAGTCTAACTTCTGTTGGCTTTGGTAATGTCGCTCCTAATACAAATGCAGAAAAGATATTCTCGGTGTTTGCCATGCTCTTGGGCTCGTTAATGAGTGCCGCTATCTTTGGTAATGTTTCTAGTATTATGCTACGTCTATATCAAGGAACGGAGGAGTATCGTGAAATGAGGACATGCATTAAGGAATTTATCCATTTTCATCACATACCTAAAAAATTAGCAAAAAGGCTAATGGACGCTTATCAACACACTTGGACTTATACTAATGGTGTCGATATGAATAGCGTGCTAAAGAACTTCCCTGATTGTCTACAAGCCGATATTTGTTTGCATCTGAATCGAAACTTATTGAATAATTGTTCCGCGTTTGCCGACGCCTCGCCAGGATGTTTACGCGCTCTCTCGCTAAAGTTTAAATCAAGTCATGCGCCAGCCGGCGATACTCTTATACATCCAGGTGATATTCTAGAGTCTATCTATTTCATTGCAAGGGGCTCCATAGAGATTCTTAAAGATCAGCAGGTAGTCGTTATCCTTGGAAAAGACGACATGTTTGGGGAAAACTTGACTGAAGAGATTACAATATCAAAATCGAACTTTTGCGTTAGAGCGTTAACGTACTGTGATCTCCATAAAATACGTCTGCAAGATTTAAGAGAAATTCTAAGGGTTTATCCAGAATTCGAAGGGAATTTCTTGAAAGACTTCCGCGTTACCTTTGATTTAACTCAGAACACTCCAGAGATTGAAGAGAAGAGATTTAAACCTATAGACGGAATAGTCGATAGAAAATCGGATACTGACGTTGATGCTACTCAACAAGTGGAAGACGACGAAGGAAACTGCAAAAAAGATAAAAGAAAACAGTCGGACGGACAAGAAACAGAAGCCGAAAGGGATAGTGAGGATGAAGAGGAATTAAAAGAAGATGAAGAAGGAAATAGAGAGAATTCTATACCAAAACCGTTATTGGCAATAGATGATCGCCTTAATTCACTTTCAGTTAGGATGAAGAGTTTGGAGCAGAATTTATTCTATACAGTTGACAACATTCTATATTTATTGGGAGAAGAACCCAGAATATCTTCCGACTATTCCATTGAGAGACAACAGTGAAAAAAAAAGTTTTCTGATCTTCTAACCCTATAAAATTTCTCCTTTGTGCAATAGACAAGAATTTATAATTAAATTCTGTAAATATATAAACTTCGTTCTTAGAATTAGAATAGAAAGTAATAGTATTTATTTCCTGCATTTCCTTTATGAATATTCGAAAAGAACGACGGAAGAGGAGGAATAATTTGTTATCTTTTCGTATCTTTTACTTATATTGTCATTTTTTCTTTTAATCACGTGTTAACTAGTTATCACGTGATATTACAATAAAGTTAAGAAATGTTTTCGTATTTGTGACTCAGTCAACGACTTCCAACACTAAACATTGAAATATGAGTAAAGGAGTAGTGACATGTTTGATAATTGGAGCTGGCCAGAGGGGATACGCTTATTCAGATTTCGCTCGTTTACATCCCGACAAATTGAAAATAGTTGGTATAGCAGACAAAAATGAACTCAGAAGGAATAGAGTTAAAGATGAGGCTAATATTTCGCAACAGTACACATTTACTGGTAATTGAGTTTATTCCTTTCTTTATGCAGTCCTGTTGGAATTAATTAGGCATATATTGTTTGTTTTTACACATTCATTTTCCCTCTTTATCTGTTAGATTGGAAAGATGCCGCAAAACTGGATAGGTTTGCTGATTGCGCAGTAATATCAACACAGGATAGAGAACATAAGGTTCAAGCAAACAGAAATTCATATATTAGTATATATGTACAGTATATATACTTTAAACGGTTTGTTTCTTTACATAGGAACCAGCGATTGCTTTTGCCAGTAAGGGATATCATATATTATTGGAGAAACCGATGGCTGTATGCAAAATATGCGCGATTTTGATTAATAAAGCTCTGTCGTTTCTTTTTGTCTTATCCTATAGGTTACAGAGGCAGACTGCAAAGAGATAGTAAAAACTTGTAAAGAAAATAACATAAATTTAACCGTTTGTCACGTTATGCGCTATACACCGGAAGCTAGAAAGATCAAAGAACTAATATCAAATGGAAGCATTGGTGAAGTAGTCAACATTCAGCTTATCGAACCTGTTGGCTCCTTTCATTTTAGTCATTCGTATGTTAGAGGAAATTGGAGAAGAGAAGAATTGAGTTCTTGTTCCCTACTTGCAAAATCATGCCATGATATTGATTTAATAGTAGATTGGATGGAGGGAACGAAGTGCAAGGCCGTCTCGTCTTTTGGCTCCTTGAAGCATTTCCGAAAAGAGAATAAGGTAAAGTCTGTTTTATGTATAATAGTGCCTTTTTATCTTATTAAATAATTCCCCAGCCGGAAGGGGCGTCAGATAGATGCCTTAGTTGCCACTTGAAAAACAGCTGTCCCTATTCAGCAGTAGCCTATCTCGACGAAGTTAAATCATTCAATACGGGTTGGCCCGTCAGTGTTCTATCCGACAATCCCGACATTGAGAATATTACGGAAGCGTTGAAAACTGGTCCGTACGGTAGATGCGTCTACAGTTGCGATAACGACGTCGTCGATAATCAAGTAGTTAATATGGAATTTGAGAATGGTTCTACAGCTTCCTTTACAATGGTAGCCTTTACTAAGAAAACTTGCGTAAGAGAAGTAAAGATTTTTGGAACAAAGGGAGAAATTCGTTGCGAATTCGATGAGAATTTAGTTAAACAAGCGGATTTTGTTTCAGGTCAAACATGTGAGAGCTTTATATTTTTCTTTTCTTTTTTTTTTCAATATTGATTAGCTTCATTGATTTAACAAAAAGGAAAAAAGTAACAACATTAGCAAAATGAATATTCCTGTTTATCCTTTTAATTTCTATTTATATATTTATCCATTCTTATTCTATTACAGATTATATTTCCAGTTTTTATTTTTTTGCAGATTTCCACACATTTAAGAGGAATGGAGGAAATTATGGTAGATTATCTGGACACGGTGGTGCTGATTATCACACTATGAAGGCGTTTGTTGACGCAGTTGCGGTACGTTATTACATTTCCTTTTTCCCTTCAAAACTCTAACGATTTTAGTTTCTTTCTCATTTTTTTTATCTAACCCTACTGTTTTTTTTATTTTGCAGGAGAGAGACGAATCGAAAAATTTATCTGGGCCAGATCAAACTTTACAGAGTCATTTACTGGTGTTTGCAGCTGAAAAGTCACGCTTGACGAAGACTACTGTGTATCCGCAATTAAATTGAGTGCATGAACTTTTCCCTTCTGTCCCTATAGCATGTTTTCTTTGCTACGCTACCGTTCTCTGCTTTCAAACGTTCTACATACAAAAATAAATTAGAAATAGTAAAGGTCTAGCGTTCAAGTTATCAGAATCCATTAGGAAACCAAAATAGAATGTTTACGTAAGCGAAATTGCTCGAACCAACGATAAACGTTCATTTTATTAACGAATATAAACTTATACAAACAAATTTATTGAGTTTATAGCAAGAGTTTTCCAACGGCGTTTCTTTTTCAACGTTATATTGATTCGAATAAGGAGAGGAGTATTTTAAAACGTAAAAAAGGTTGGTCTATTTGTCTGTCTAGGGAAGATAATATTGCTGATGACAGTCCTAATCTTATTTACAATATACACCTTAAACATATAACCACTTTAGCATGTATCATAATATATATATTCAGCATATATAGACAGTATATACTACATACGAGTGTGTGAAGTGAGTATATGTTAATAACGGCACGGATGTCCACTTCAGATGTGTGTACTTAACGTGTATATTTATGATAGATTGAGCTTGTCACTCGATAGTTATTTTCCGCGAGAATCTCAAATAGACACTTACAGAAAGCGTCTCTAATAGAAAGAACATTTCTACAAGGTCCTTATCAAATTGGCCCTGGTTTAAAAGGGAAAGTAAAAGCTCGATAAGAATGTGATCGATCGTTGATAAAAATTAAATTAAAAGGGAAAATAGAAAAGAGGGAATAAGGAAACTATAGACTATAAAACCAAATGAGGGCATGGTTAATTTGACAAAAATCTTACTATCTTTTGTTATTTTTCGACTAATACTACTTTAAAGCTTAAAAGAAAATCTTTACGAAAGGGAAAAAAGCTGATATAAAAACGTATCATGACCTTTCCACCTCACCCCTTTCCGCCCTCTTTAGAAGTAGAAAGATCAAAGAGTAATCACGAACCAATACAGTATTGACCAATTGGCGACTGTTCGAAACCAATCGAAGTCCATTCATGAGCAAGTTTGAATAAAAGGGTTAAAAATTCTAAAGTGTCAAAGAGTAGAAGGCTTAAGTAAAGAGAGAGAGAGAGAGAGAGGAGAGAAGGGAGGGGAAAGATTCTAAATGTTTAGAATGGATTTAACAGATTTTTCCCTGTCTTGACAAATATTGTCACGATATAAAGACGAATGTCAATTGGATATAGGGTGTCAAATGTGTTAACGCAGTCATACGGTCCCTTTGAAGCAGCGATTTTTAACAGCGGAAAGTGATAGCTCCGCTGTAACCATAGAACTAGGAGACGGTTGGATATCTCCCAATAACAGCTGGAGAGACACCCCATACCGTTTACTCATAAATCAAAAAAAGGGAAAAGATCAGTTTTCCAAACGAAAATCAAGATAATAGTTTTTATTATGGTATTTTAAATCGGTTTACGAAAAGTTAAACCATATAGTCTGGTCAATCAACCTTTAAGGCTGCCGCCTTCGTTTTTTACTGATTATCAGCATTTCATTTTGGAAAATAATGACGATTATGTTCGATAAACAGGTCGTTAATTTATATTCAGAGGAGAGCCTAAGGGCAGCAGTTCGATTGGCTGAAAAAAATCGTTTTGACACGTTCAAATTGAAAGAACAATAAGATAAATCATAAGAAAGAAAGAAAAACAGTTTGTTGATTTATACAGAACTGACGCTTTATTGGTCTGGATAATTATTATTTCTTTCGGGTTAAATACAGCGAGAAAAGCCTTGTCTCTTCTGTATAATTATTAGTTTTCGTCTTGTTTGTCTTATTTTAGAAGAGCCTTAAGTAATATCATTGCATGCAAACGTCATATCTTTTATCTCTCTCTCTCTCTCTCTCTCTGTTGTTTTCCCTGTTTTTGTCTCTTTGTTTTTAGTCTTTTGTTCCCTTTCTTTTTTATTTTTTTTTAGTTTACCGTAGAGAATTCTGTTTAGTTAATTCATTGTTTTTAAAGTACATTTATAGCTGTTTGTCTTCTTACACAGAAATCCTTCTTTTGTTGAATTCACGTGTCTAGCTGTAATAAAAAGCAGTCTATTGTATGTGTGACGTATTCTTGGCTTTCTAAACGAACGACTTTCGATTGTAATTTCCACTTTTTAAGTAAATACTTCAAGTAATCGGAAGAACTGGAATTGTAATAAAGTAATTACAAAACTGTAATACGTTATTTGTACTATACAATGGGAGAAAAGTAGAAATTCCTTACCATCTACGTTGTTGGGAGCACCAGCATTCTGCTTTTGGATAAGAATTTAATAAAAGAGCTATAGTAAATAAAACGTCATCGAAATCTTCCTTTTCATAAAAGCAGTCTGACGCCAAAATTACATCGATCGTTCTTAAAACCGTCGTTAATTCCCTAGCCACTCTTCCCCAATTTATATCCAGGCAAATTGTGTTAAATCCAACTCCGTTTTTCTCTATACTCTTCGAACGGGACGAATTATTTGACGAGGACTTATCAGCTAAATAGACTAGTTTTGCCCCAATTTTCGCGCAAAGGATACCTGGTAAGCCTGTTCCAGCTCCTATCTATTACAACTTAAAAACATAGTCAGTATACTAAGATACTTTAAACTTAACATTTACCTCCAACACTGTTTTATTACGAATAAAATCTCTTCTTTGCCAGATGTAGTTAGCTAGTACCGGCGCCGACGGCCAGACATAGTTTTCATAAGAACCATCCATTTCCTCAAATATTTCAACGGAAGCTTTTACATCATTTTCATTACTTTCTTTATCGTTAAAGGAGAATATTTTTGCATTTTCCATGCTAATTTCCGAGATTATTTACTATATTATTCAAAACCAATTAAAAGAACTCTACGAAATTTTGCAATACATATTTGATAGCGCCATCTACATTAAGCGATTATAGGCCTGGAAAAGGAACAAAAGTACCCTTCTCATACATCTTTTTATCGAATATTATAATAAGTGTTGTGCAGTGTATACCAATCAAGGACTATTTAAAAAAAAAAACAGAGAGAGAGAGAGATAGAGAGAGAGAAAGAAAACGCTAATTTACGGGTCAGAGCTAATAAATCAAATGGTGATGCTTTGCTGGCTTTATCGAGGATATTTAAAAATTAATGGACATTTAATTGTTATGAAATATCGGTGGGAAATTTTGATAAAAAATGGATTATATAGAATTTTAACATGAATTCCACAAAGTGCTGTATAATAACAGAGAGAAATTCTTGACATTTTTCAAAACGGGTTTCCCCTTCTCCTCATCTTTGTATTCTTTATCTCAAACTGATTTATGATTGTAAAGCGTTCTAAATGTATAAAAACAAGAACAAAAAAAGCAAAAACATTTCTACCTATAGGTGGCGTCATGTAATTTATTTAAATAGGATTTAGTGAATTATTCAGGCAAGATAAATAAGCAAACTGAAAAAATTTACCTAATGTATTGAAAAAGAAGTAGAAGGGTGAAAGATAGTAGAATAAAGGTTAAAGGGGGCGGAGGGGATAGATGGAGGAATATGAAAGGAAAAGGGGAGGCAAGATGGGAGGAGGAGAAGAGAAACTGATTTAAATTTAATTCGATGCATAATATCATATTTTATGTTTAGTAACCATAGTAACAAAATCCTGAAGAAGAAGAAGAAGACGAGGTAAACAAAAGTGTTATTAGCATATTTTGCGAAATATCTTAGTATGGTATAGCTTCAAATTACCCATAAATCTTATCGTCTCATTAGCCTTTAATTTAAAGTATAGTAGAGCTGTTTATGCTATACCAATTTTTCTCCTTTCTTTTCTACACAATATCCTATTAGCATTTTATCTAAATACTTAACAAAAGGGAAAAGGTTAATAGCTCCTGAACTCTTGAAATGACATACACCATAGAAGGAGAGAGAGAGAGCGAATTTTGTGAATAGTTCATAACACTCATAAGTTTTTTTTAATAATTCCCAAGTAAATTCTAATTTAACCCATTTCGGATATAAAGCTCTTTTTGTCACAGGAAACTAACTTCTTGGACAAATACCGACTATTTTGTCAGAATAAACTCTACTTTTTAGCTTATAACGGAGAGAGAGAGAGAGAGAGAGCAAGAGACTATTCGAAATATTGTAAAGATTAGAACGTTATGCTGGGATAATTTCTTCGATTTTCTTACTTAATGAAGTTTTCTCATGTTCCCTTTATAATCCTTTGGGGAGGAAGCATATAAATATTTAGGTCTTAGTTACAATTCTAACCACTACTAAGCCACACCAGGCTCTTAAATAATCCGTGACTTGTAATAAATTGGTATATTGACCTTTTCTTTATCACTAGCATTAAGAAATTATTGATTAAACGGTTTGGGTATGTTTTTACCTATAGAACGTCTGTCATATAATTAAGATTTGTCTATACTCAATTACTATTTGTTTCACTGATTAGTGTCGAATGTACGCATACACTTTCAAAGGAGGACGCTTATCCTACAACTGAACGTTGATAAGCATTTTTTTTAGTTAAAAGAACTAAATGATCCTTGAAAAGATAGACTCGAATTTTATCTTTTTTCTTTTATATCAGCTTAAGGATTGTTGGTAACGTAATACGATTTGTCTCTTACTTGGATAAACATTTTCACAAGTTCTATTTTCAAGTATAGTAGGTAGATGGCGTTACGAATCTAACTATGCTGCCACCTATTTGACATAAATGTAAATGTTCTCTTTCCAAACTTATTTACGCTTGGTTTCCTGGGGCATAAATAATTAAAAGTAAGGAAAGAAAGAAAGAAAGAAGGAGAGAAAGAAAGAGAAAGATAGATAGATAGATAAGTAGAGACTTGTACATTTATGGAATACATGGAATATGGATAAAACAATTATTATTTAATAATTGTTTGCGTCCAACGTGAAGAAATAATAAAGAAAAAGGAGAGAACCGAGAAGAAGACGACAAAAAAGAGAATTTATACAACAACAATAAGAAATAGAGTGGAAGATGGACAAGATAATTGCAGGTAAAAATATTTTAGAGGTCTTAATTTTCCGCTTTATTTCACCGAATCTCCTCATCAAGCGTTATTCTTTCTCGTTTATACTACTAGGTTAATGATTTATATTAGAAATGAATGAAAAACGTTGTTCTTTTGTTAATAGGGAAAATGTTTAATAAAGGGAAAAAAACTCAAATTGAATAAGGCTATTAGTTATAACCCTATCATTAGAAGAGAAGGAAAGAATGAGAGGCAATTCCTTTTAACAGTTCAATTCTTCGTTTGTACAATTCAATTTAATTAGCCATATACAGTAGAGTACATAATAGTTACCGGCGTATGCCCTATATAAAAATGCCGTATATATATATATATATATACAGTCTATATATTTACAACTCTTCCTGTTTTTTTTTAAGTAAGTAGCCATTTTTAATAATTACTAATCTCATACGTCTATGAAACGATAAGAGAATAGTATAACATAGAAATAGTGAGATAACTAAGCATACGTATTGTATTTTGTAAATATATTGTTTAATGAGGTATAACTAATGGATAAGTACATTTTAAAAGTGTTACAAGGAAACAAAATAGTACGCTTTTGCTTGTATATATCAATTATGCATTGAATATTCACGCCTTCCTTTAAAGCGGACGAAGAAGCAATTATGGATCGTAAAAAACATAATATACAAATAAATGAAGTGGAAGTGACAAGCATTACCGTCTAAAAATTGAATAATTATATTCTAATTGTATCAAAGAGTCGGTCTAAGTGTGTAACAACATAATAAAAACTTATGTTTGTCCGAGTTAAACTTTCGTTTAGACGTACTTTTGAAAAATAGTTTTAAGAAAATGGCGTAACTCAAATAATATCATTCGCCTCTCTCTTACGTAATTCATCGCCGCGTCATACAACTTTCACGCACGGTATTAACAGTGATTGACCGTCACCCGTGGCGTCTAACGTCCAAAGCACGAAAGTTGATAGAATATTATCACGGTTGACGTGTGTGACGTATTGTAGAAGTATTTTCTTCCGCCTATTATACCCAAGTTCCACTTTCGCACGATCGGGCCTGTGATGCCCGGAAGAGATAAGATCAATTTCCCACAGCGATTTCAATGTGTCGGCAGCTCAATTTCTATTATTCTCATTTATTATTGATAGTTTCGATTTTAAGAGTCTATTTGAAAACTCAATAATTAAGTACTAGACTCTGAAATACTCAAGAATCTGCTACGAGTCGTTATAAGGAAACAACGAAGCGTCTCTTTTAAAAAAAGAAGCTCTTGAATTATTCAAGGCGTCTAGTGAATTATTGTTTATAGGAGTTTTTGTTCGTCCGAGAGATGGTCGATTTAATTTGTAAAGGAAATTGAATAAACTGTTTCATTTAATGATTCCTTCTTTTTAAATATAGAATGAAGAATTGCATCATATAGGAAAGTGAATGACCTACTTTAGGTAATATGAAGAAAAAACCTCAACCGTCTCCTCCCACTTCCTCTAAAATTACGTTATGAAAAGTAAAAACCATCTCATAAAGGAAACGTATAATTAACGAACAATCGCAATAATTTATCTTAATTAATCACCAAGTTCTCACATGAATATATTTACATATTAATTGAGATAAAGCGTTTTAATTGTTGATTTGAATTTGTTATGCTATTCCTTTTTCTTCTTTTAAAGTAAATATAGAGAAGGTAGGAACGCATGTGGCTGCATGAATCATTAAAAAAATGGAAATTGAACAAACGAATAATTGTATAGTGTCCAGGCGTTTATTGAAGAATTAAATGACGAGAAAATTTTGCTAATTTGGGACAAGACAGGTGTGAAACGTTTGATGTTTAAGGCCAGGAAGCGTCGTAGGGTGTCTCAGTTGGGTATCGTTTTGTCGCACTTCTACCGCTTTTTTAGCAGACGAGCGTCTAATCATGTAGTAATAATTTGACACTTTCATAAAGGCCTAAAAATATTTATACCAATGAAGCGTTTAGCGGTTCGGTCAGTATCGAAATTCCGACCGTTTAAAGTGCATGTAACGCTTCTTAAATTATCGTCATTAAACTAAATTCGAACGAAAAAAGGCGTGCTCTTCTCGACGGGACGCCGCGGCGTCTATTCACGGTCTCGCCACGCCTCGAGCGTCCGTTCGACCGTCCGTTATTCAATTCTACGTTGAAATCGCCAAAGGCTATTGCCGCTTTGATGTTTGGTCTTTTTTAATAAATATTTTCGGACTTTGGTGTTTATATCCTTAATAAAGTTGTTTATGTTTCGTAATTAGCTGATTGTTATCAATATTGACATCTGACTCGCTTCGATATGACAAATGAGAGTGATAACTTGAAGAAAAGTGGCGGATTGAAACGTAATGATGGCATATCATGCACGCGACCTTTGAACCAGAGAATGACGGTGCCGTGAGAATGAGTGCTCTTCATCCATACTCAATAAGCCAGCATAAAATCTCAAATGAGAATGAGCCCCATAAAATGGAACTTTGAAAAGCTTTTGTGCTTTTTTAACATTTTTATAGTTCTCAAATACAAACTTCTTTACTCTTAATAAAGAAAAATCGAAATTTTATTATTAAATATATTCTATACACCAATATATAATTATTTCTTCTCTCTCTCTCTCTCTCTCTCTCTCTCCCTCTCTCTCACTCTTTCTTTCTTTCTTTTTAGCGCCGTTATTACAACTTTTTACTTCTTTTCTAACTGTCTTTAGTCAATTTTTAAATAGATCATGAATATGAATTTTTTACGAAAATTACACAGTTTGACCTACTTTTTCATTTTTTTTCCCTCTCTCTTTTCCAATGTTTCTCTTAATAAATAAACAATATGATATATAAGTAGTATAACTATATAAATGTTAACATACCAAAATTTTTCAAAAAGGAAAAAAAGAGAGGAGAATACAAGCGGATATTCGTGAGATGCTATTTAAATGCATTCCTCCAATCATTAGACATTTCTAGATAATTGCTAAATTGGTTTGACGAATTTTTTATAGAAGAATTAAAAGATAGAATAAAAGAAAGAGTATGTAGAAGAAATTCAATAAAGAAAGTTATTGGAGGAAGAGGACTATTAGTAGGAGGTTGCGAACAATTTACATGATTTTCTTTTCTTTATTTAATATCTTTATTATCTGTTTTTTTTTTCATGAGAGAAACATGAACATTTTATATGAATATACAATGTATTTTTTACATGTATTTCATTATATATATGTAATATATACTGTATATATGCTTACATAAGAGGAAGATATAAACAATTTTTATTCATATGTACAGGCGAATTGAACCACGTTCCTTTTTTGCATTTATTAAAAAACACATAGTAAAAGAGATTGAGAGACAAAAAATAACGAATAAAAGAAAAAGACTTCTTCTTCTTCTTCTTCTTCTTCCGGTTGTCTTATAAAAGAAGAGAAAAAAGTGAAAAAAAACATACATTAATTATATAATATACAGTTAAAACAAACTTTGCAGAGCAAATTCTTGCACACTTGAACAATAACAATAAATAAGCTTTTAAAAAGGCATAAATTATTCTGTACGGTTTTTTTTATATTCCTTTATCATAACTTCCAAATCAAAAATTGAATAGATCGACCTACTTTTCCTTGCACGTCTCTTTCTCTTTCTGTCTATAAAGTCTATATATCTCTCGTTCTCATTCTCTTTCTGAATCTTTATTTTTGTCCGATTAATCATGTTTTTCTTTCGTAGTTGTGCTCTCTTCCTTTCCTAATATAAAGTCCATACCGAATTTTAGAGGCGTTTTTGTTGAATCATTCTTTGGTTTTTCTGGTGACTTTTCCGGTGAAGTAAGAGACGGTTGACTAATTTGCATGTAATTAATCATAGGATAGGGTATAGATAGTGGTGGGATACTTCGTATATCTAAAGAACGTATAGGAGATATGCCAGTATGAGAATTATGAACAAGGAGATGGCGTTTTAATAGAGCTTTCCGGCAGAAATTTCTGCCACATGTACCACATTTGTAACCAGCTCTATGATAATTATTAACGTGATCTCGTAAATCGGCCTTATTCTTGAATAAGATTTCACAACACTCCAGTATTTTATCACATTCGTGATGCATTGTTGATATATGCCTTTTTAAATTGTTCTTTCTATCCGTTACGTATTGGCATTGAGGGCACTGGAAGAGTTTTTTACCCGAGGATGTATGAACTATTGGCGGTTGGAGATCATGGTTTGTTGAATTTCTTGTCATAGCAGTCATCTGGGCCATTCTCGCAGCATGGAGTGCCAGCATCTCGTTCCTTAAATGCCAGTTGGTAACGTTAATTCTAGGAAAGTTTAGTCCAGGGAAAATAGACGGTCTTGGAACGTTGAAAGTTCCTTTACTTTGAGGAGTCATAATCCGTACAGGATTAGCATTTGATATCGATTCGTCGTCCATCATTTATCTGATCACGATCGGAAGATCGACGGTCGGCATAAAAAATAACTGATACGCCTTCAACGTGAGTGGGCGAGCCAATCAGCACTCACGAGCGTCTGTTCGAGGCGCTGATTGGTCGGGTTGAATAGCGATTGGGGAGGAGGCCAGGTGTGGAGAGACGAAGCAGAGAAAATGGAACGGAGCGTAGCGGTTTTTGGTTTGCGTGTTGAATTTGTGTTGAATGGCGGAAACGAACACAATAAGAATGCAACAATTATCGCAGCGCGTCGGCAAGCACAGAAGCGACAGACGGGTTTCCTAACTCGGCCTGTCTTGGGTATCTATTTAGGGAAATATGAATGGAAGAGGAACCGGTCTAGAATTGCAACGTCTCACGGTTCTGGCTCACCATCTGACGGTCGTTTTCAAACGTCACGCACGTTTGATGACTGCATGACCATCGCTTGACCACAAGGCCCTTTTAGACACGCATCGTCGAAATGCGTTTATTAGAGGCCTCCTTAGAAGCTATACACAAGCCGCTTTTAAGTAGATTTGTTTGGAGAATTAAAGACGTTCAAGAGAGAAAAGAGGAAAAGGGGGAGGTGAGAAAAAAACATGTTTTTGACGTATTTTTTCCCACTTTTACCTTTCCCTGGTAAACGTAAACCTTACGTAACTGACACGAGGCACCCAGCGTTTCTTAGGCGTCACCGAGCGGATGCGCGTGCAGTAAGTGGGCGTGGCTTCAAATCGACGGGATTCTCAGCGCAATAGGGTGATAGTTGCGATCAAGCAGTTCGGTTGGATGAATTTATCTGTCCAAATTCACCTTCAACAAATCTCGAACGGAATGATAATTGTTGCAATTTATCGTTTTGACACTCGAGATTTTTTTGTCATTGTTGAACGAATGTCGTGACTTATAAGTATTCTTCAACGTATATTTCTTATTGATCAATAGACATTATATCCTTAATTTTAAAGATACAATACAAACACTAATGTCACTCAGTAAGCCCCATATTAAAGTTGTTTTATCATATCCCACTATCTTAAATAGAGCATTATTTCTCCCCAATCTCCTCCTCTCCCTAAAGGGAGAAATATCTCTACTACACCCTTTCAAGTAATGTTCAAGCTATTACTTAATCATTTCGTTCCAAAAGATAACTTACACATAGCCTTGAAAAACCTAAAAGATAGATAGATAGAGAGAGAGAGAGAGAGAGAGAGAAACTTTTCATACCATGGTGACATCTAGTAGTCTGAATGGGCATAATACTAGGATTTTCATTTCTACTAATTGCTGTTTAAACGAACAACTGTCAGAGCTGAGAGGAAATTCTTGTTTACGCTTCAAATATAGCTTATCATTATTTGCTTACATAGTATTAGCATATTTGCGTGTTTTTAAACATTTTACGAGCTCATCTATAAACAATGGTTAGTTAATTTAATTAGGATGGCAATAATTTAGCAAAGACAAATAAAAATCTTGTCGTATGATCTTCTATTTAGGTCGATATATCTCTTTGTCTCTCTGTCTCTCTGTCTCACTCGCTCGCTACCTTCTTTCCGATCTTTCTCTCTTTCTCTTTCTCTCTCTATCTCTTTCTTATGAATTAGTTATAAAGGTAATAAACTTTGATCCTAAGTCATAAAAATACCTTAATTTTTTCATTTATGGAGTCTTTAACCTCTTTTTCTATTAAGTTTTGCGAAATATAATATACCCATGTAACTCAAGTTTTTAGCAATACACAGTGTATTATTATTGTCTATAGCTATTAGTTTATTATTATGTATAGTCAGCGCCATCTATGGATATGCTAAATAGACGTAAGTAGATTTAGTTGGAAATTTTAAATACTCGAAAGAATGTTGTATGTTTTTGTATAAAATGAAATTATTTATAAAAAAAAAAGAGTTTTTTTTTTAAAGAAAAAGTTAAGATTTGTTCAGATTTAACAAGTTTGAAATACTTCTAAAATGTGGGACTTGTTTATTTTTACTCTCATTCATTCATTAAACATTTTTGTTAAACATACACTAACATAGTTATGTAAAAGCTAAGTCTCCCATATAGTGCTATACGTAGACAAAATGGAGAATAAGAATAAACGTTGCAGGAGGCAGCCGCAATAGTTGCAGTCTTTGCAACAAAATTTTCGTCTTCCAAAGGTAAGAAAATTTAGAAACATTTTCTGTGAACGATGGATGGACCAGATTCATCGTATTCTTGTTTGCTAATCCACATTTGTTGGAAGGTGGAGAGAGAAGCAAGGATAGATCCACCGATCCAAACGGAATATTTTCTCTCTGGTGGGGCGATGATCTTTATCTTCATGGTGCTTGGAGCTAAAGCAGTAATCTCCTTTTGCATTCTATCGGCAATTCCTGGGTACATGGTAGTTCCTCCAGAAAGAACGGTATTAGCGTAAAGATCTTTTCTGATGTCGACATCGCACTTCATGATGGAATCTGTTAGTTAGATTAAAGATTTCAAAACTACTAAGAGATTTTCTCGATCAATAAACTTACTGTAGGTAGTTTCATGAATACCAGCAGATTCCATACCCAAGAAGCTTGGTTGGAAGAGGGCTTCTGGGCAACGGAATCTTTCGTTACCAATGGTGATTACTTGACCATCGGGTAATTCGTATGATTTTTCGAGGGATGAAGAAGAAGCTGCGGTTGCCATCTCTTGCTCAAAGTCGAGAGCGACATAGCACAATTTTTCCTTGATATCTCTAACAATTTCCCGTTCAGCGGTTGTGGTAAAGCTGTAACCTCTTTCTGTTAAGATTTTCATCAAATAGTCGGTAAGATCTCTTCCAGCCAAATCCAAACGCAAAATGGCATGCGGAAGGGCGTATCCCTCATAGATTGGGACGGTGTGGGTTACACCATCGCCGGAATCGAGAACTATACCAGTGGTTCTACCAGAGGCATACAATGAAAGAACGGCTTGGATGGCTACATACATAGCTGGAGCGTTGAATGTTTCGAACATGATCTATATAAAAAAATATGTTACATTTTAAGCTGCTCCCATCTTGTATAAATGAAAATTTTATACACTCTAAAGTTACGTACCTGAGTCATCTTTTCTCTGTTAGCTTTTGGGTTAAGAGGAGCCTCGGTCAAGAGAACTGGATGTTCTTCAGGGGCAACTCTAAGTTCGTTGTAGAAGGTATGATGCCAAATCTTTTCCATATCATCCCAGTTGGTTACAATACCGTGTTCGATGGGATATTTTAGGGTCAAGATACCTCTTTTGGATTGGGCTTCATCTCCTACGTAGGAGTCTTTTTGTCCCATTCCAACCATAACACCCTAGAATACATCAGTAATAATTAATGTTGCATAAGCTTCATTGAAAGTATGTATGCATACATACTAATAAATGCACAGTTAATTAAGAGCTATTAATAATAATTTATGCTAAAAATAACTTAATTACCTGATGACGAGGTCTTCCAACGATGGATGGAAAGACGGCTCTTGGTGCATCATCTCCAGCAAAACCGGCTTTGCACATACCACTTCCATTATCAACAACTAAGGCGGCAACATCATCTTCGCACATTTTTACAGTTTCTTTTTTGCTATATCGCTGTAACGACCAAAGAGAATAAAAAAGGTGTAAGAGATCCTTCCAATTTCAATCTCAAGCCGAGCTCGAAATGCTCACCACATACAGTGCAGTTTATATACTTTCGGTTATATACTATCGCCGCCTGATGGGAATTTTTGGCACATTACCATATTTGGTAATGTTCTGTTTGCTGTAAAAAAAAAGTTTGTGCGTGTTTTCTGTCTCCTTTCCGGTTAGTTTAAAAAAAAACTATTTTATTGAACTTTAACGTTTACATGGGCCTAGATAATCTCGTAATGAAAATAATTGCATTATGGGTCAATAGAAAGTATTTTAAGTCCTTTTAGCAAACCAACCAGCCTCCCTCCCTTCCTTCCTCCCTCCCCACCCCCTGCAGCTTCTTCTTCCCTCTCAATACACCCTCTTTTACTCTAATAATTGTAACACAGTTCATTTCCACGTATGATAAAGCACGGAAAAATGTATATTTTTATAGAACTTTTACGATTCAATAGTATGTCTATAAACAATAAAGAATGATGAAAGTTGTAAAATATTCACAACTTTTGTCTACTTTTTTCTGTTTTAGACAAATATGGTAAGAAACAAACGAATAATATACACACGCAAAAAAACATGACTGATATATTAGGCCTATTCTAGCTAGCCAAGACGTAAAAGGAATTAGTGAATTTTCAACTTAAAAAAAAATTGATGTGATGCTAAATGTCCTTTTTAAGGATATTTAACAAAGATGTATTCGTAAAACCGAAAAAAAAACAAGCTTAATAATTCTTATATAGGATTAATTTGACGATTCCATCATTTGTTCTGCAATTAGTTAAATGTCATTTGTTATATAGGAAAATTATATTGTATCTATCGTTTATTGATAAGGATTCATCCGCCTGGAAAAAAAATAATACAGTATATTAAAAAAAAAAGGGTAGATAGGTGAAATACAGCAATATGAAATATACTGGAGAGGAATTTTATTGGAATAAATGATAAAACTGGAATTCTTCTTTGTATTTCAATGGTTGTATCTACAAAAAAAGAGACGAATATTTAGAAATGTTTTCATATTTTAAAACCTGCTGACCTCGTGTGTAAACAATACCAACAAATAGTTTTTACAATGTCAGCTATTACTTTCATTTGTATGAAAAGATAGGTAGCGGGAGATGTATATACTGTATATATATATATACATAGAGAGAGAGAGAGAGAGAGTTAAAATGCAAAAGGTGTATAAGCACTAGAAATCGATCAGAATTTCAAATTAACTCGTAACCCTAGATTTCATTAATTACAATAACGTTAGCTATGCATTAATAACATATTCCTAAATTGTTACAGGCCAGTTAAAAAAAAAAGTATTCCATCAAAAATTTGTTTACTAAAGGCCTATAAATACCGAAGGAGTGTTGAATTCTTTTTTTTTACATTAATAATTATAGAATATAAAACATAAAACTCTTTTGGGGAAAATTGGAAAAATTAAAAAAAAGAACAACCCTTGGATAAAAACTTCAACTATGTGGGTCACGTGATGAAATTTTTAGTTTATGTTGTTTTATATACGATTTTTATATTATCTTTTTATTTATGTATTTATATATATATATATTAAATGTATAAAATAGAGAGTTGCTTTATGTGCAAAACATCAGTAATCAAACATTCGTAATAGTTTGAACATAGTAGTAGAAATAGTAGTTGTAGTAGTAATTAAAATATTTGACGTAATGAATATTGTTGTATTTATTTCATGGTTTAGTAGTTGTTTACTAGTATTGGTAAAGTAAAAATTTTTGTTTTTTTAAAAAAAAAATGCAAACAACAAATGTAAAAGGGAAAATTCTTTTTCTCCTATTTTATGTGCCTTAGCAAGAAGAGAGAGAGAGAGAGGGAATGGGACAAATGTATGTATCATATAAATACATAACGTATGCAGTGTATACTTAATACAATATATTAATAAATATTAGTATATATATATATATATATATGTATACACTTTGATGCTTTATGAATATTCATAAATCGTTTTCTTTGTGCAAAATAGGAACAAAAAATAATAATATAATTTATAAATGTTTTTATATATGTAAATGTATATATGTATATTTGTAATCAATCGTCCAGTTGACATAGAGCAGCCACACCCCTATTAATCCAGTGTTGTTGAGGTTTATTAGATGGTAATTGCAACCATAGGACAAAATTAGTAGAGTGACCAGTTGTTGATAAAGTGCCTCTTCTGGCTGAAGTTTTATATACTGGACAGTCGTAGATTGGCCTTTTTTCGAATTTTGAGACCTCGCCCGGTTTGAGCCAAATAATTGGTATTGTATCGTATAGAATTTTCGGATGCGATTCAGCTATTACCATAGTATCTCTGTCCCACCTTGCACCCTCGATAAATAAACCCTTTAAGGGGATAAAAACAATAAAAGCGTCATTAACAAGTCATAATAATATTACTTATACTAAGTATTAATATTAATAATTTGGCAAGATAACTTACATAGATATAAGCTCCATCTTGTGGTTTCTCTTTCATTTCTTTTTCTTCGCTCATAACTTGAAATTCAAAGCCTAGATGATCAATTGGTATTTTATATCTACGAGCGTAGTTCTGCGACACTCCTGTAAAGAAGGATTGCGTAAAATAGAAACCGGATACCCAAAAAGTAGTTGGAGTGCCGTTTTCAATCCAATCTTGAAAGAATTTTAATCTAGCTAAAAAGTCGCTAACGTAACCACCCAAAGGTTTTAGAGATGGATAGCTTTTTGCTGCCCAAACGGCAGGTACTTTACCGACTAGCATACTATCGAATATTTCTTCAAGTTCAGCCGACATAACGACTAAACCTTTAATGGCCTTTTGTAGGTTAATAAGTGTACTTCTCACCACTCGAGTTAATCGATTAAATCGGATTAGTTCTTGTCTTAGTACCGTATTCATACTTTCTGTATATATAACGGGATATTTCTTAATTACGGCTTCCATATCGAAATCGGCTGGTAGTTTTGACAAGATATCAGCTGCTAAATCGAGAATAGTTTCGCCTGGTGACTTGCCCGCGCCTCCAGTCTGTCTTGGAAGTGTTAGGAGAATGCTGTCAAATAATTGGCTAGTTTCCTTATTATCTTTAGTAATATCAGCGTTTTCGTGTAGACCAAATACTTCGGGATGAGGAATAAGAGGCAAACCGCGGATATAATCAACGTACGATCTATAAGTTCCATCTTTAGGAGCAAAATATATCCCGGAAGCGGAAAATTTGTAGGATTCGATATCAATAATTTCATTACAGTAGAATAGTCCTAGTAGAGAGTTAAGAAGACGACGATCCTTGTCATCAGTGACTCTTCCTCCGTAATTACATTCTCCTGTAAGGTAAAGGAGAGCTTCGAGAGGAAGTTCTTCGTAATCGGTTAAAAACATTCGCAATTGTGTTAACGAAATTCTTAAATCGGATTCGTTAAATTCGTACGGTATGTTCCATCCTAAAGGTCCAAACTTTCGTCTCTCTTGTACTAAAGCGTGGAAGAAGCAGAGTCCGAAAAGCATTTTATGGAATCTGTGAGGTTCTCCACCTCCGTTGAAATAGGACGAATCGGAAACAGGATCGTTTAGGTATGATCTTAATAGATTTGCTCTTAAGCCTTTAGGAGGTTCGTTCGTCATCTTCACTCCATTCTGCAATATTGAAACTGGGAAATCATCGGATGGATAACTCGTTAGCCACAATCTGAAGTCCTTATGGGTATTTTCCGGTATAATTACTTCCTCGCAGATCTTTTCTAGTTTAGGCATCCAACTGGTTGCGAGATGGCAATTTTGTAATACAACCCAGGATCCATTCTTCAAAGCCTCATCTATCATACCCGATGCAATTGGACCTTGACCCTGTCCTAAGGAAATAGTCTTTATCTTATTTCCTGAGTATCCTTTATCTTCGGCAAATTTAAGTAAGGCGTTCATTGGATCTGCACCAGGAGATAGAACAAATATAAGAGGAGCGCAGCAATTTGAGTCATTATACGATCCAGGTAGATCAAACGTAGGTGGTTCAATATATGACTGTCCCAGGTGTTCAACAATGAACTGTTGAACCGCTGGTACGATCTTATCAGGTCTAAACATTCTTAATACAACGATTCTATCCAAACCAGACAGGATATCATAGGGCGATGGATATTTAAAAGCTTGCGGATCGGCTGAATCGTACATCGCCTTCCATTCATTAATATTATCCTTGACGTGCTCCATAAAATTTTTCAAGTTCGGCAGATCTGAAGCACGAACAATTTCCGACCATGATTTATCAATGAGCCAATCGGAGGCTGGATTTGGATGAGGATTTTCTAATGCAACTCCTCCAGTAAGTAGGAATCTCCATACCGTATCGTCAATTTGACCTCTTCCTTTAAGTATTCCGATACACAGTAAAAAGGAAAAGAGTAGCTTATCCTTTTCAAATAAAGATCTACAGACATTTTTGTAGATGCTATCGGAAAAATGTTCATTTAAATTCTCTATTCTAGTCTCTAAGTCTGTCGATGGTTCTGAATTTGCGATGGACTGCAGGTATAAATTAATAAACCAAACAAGAGAATACTGATACATAGGTTCAATATTTGATAAATCCGATATGCAGAAGAATAGAATGGAAGAATGGACAGCTACAGGTTTATATCCATTTCTGGTTTGATCAATTTGAATTTCTGTTGTTGCTGCTATTTCTTGTTTAGCAGAAATCTGCTCTGAGAGATTTTTGGATGAAGATAAGATTTTAATTGCTTTTTCATCTTCTAGAATATTGCCTTGAGAAGAACTAAGAACCTCCAGAATGTTATCTTCAATTTCTTTCAATTGTTTCTTATTTGCCGCACTTTCAACAATTAACTCGTTCTTTTTCTCTTCCAATTCGGGTTTTTCTTTAGCAGCGACAATACCCAACAATTGGTCTTCTAATCCTTGAGGTGTTATCATAAAGTTCAATAAGCATACTTTGACGCTGACCTCGGGTAAATAATGAGGATTTCTTAAAACTGTTGTCATGTAGAGACGGAAATCTTTTGAGTATTCAATACTGTTATCTCCTAATTTGATATAGTCGACACCCTGTTGTCTGAAAGTTAACTTCTGAAGAACAGGCTCAAGGATAGGATCCAATTCTTCACCAACATTTTCAATCAATACTGGTTGGCCAAAAGTGATAGCGTTCTCCAAAGTTCTAATATAATTTGCATCAGTTAACTTAACAACATTCAATTTATTTGATTTTTCCATATTTTTGACCCATTTATTAGCTTGACCTTGAGGATCAATCATCAATGGCCAACGCCTAGAATTAGCAACGATGATACCATTCTCAACTGAGAAAGAATCTACTGGGAGACCAGCTATGTTCCAAGCTCGAATTTTAACGGGTTCTCCTAGAGTTGCATTTAATGAAAATATTTCAGAGCATGGAATCTCTTTCTCGGTGCATATTTTATGCCAAATTGCCGTTTGTTCATTACGGAAGTCGACGGTAAACGCTCCTAAATAAGCAACAACAGCTGAAGATAGTAAAACGTCTCCAGTGATGTTAATATATTTTTCTCCAAGTTCTTTGGCATTAGCCGTCCATCTGTCTTTTTCTCCGCCTAATCCACCAATAAGCTTCTCGGCTCTTTCCAACTTTTTCGTACATAGATCAATATTTTCTTCAAGATCTTTCTTTTTCTGGGTCATTGCTTCAAATTCATCATTAAGAGCTTGAAGTTTGCTTGTTACTTCGTTCACTTGAGCTCTTTTTGCATTTAATTTATCCATTTGAACGGCTAGTTCGCTTTCGGCTTCGTCCAATTTGGCTTTTTTCGGAGCAACAACTCGAGCTATCCTGTCGTACGTATCCATAGCCTTTACCCATTTACAAAGACCTTCACAAGCAGTAGACGCAGATTTAATAACCGACGGTTCAAAATCGGGATTGCTCGTATATTTATCTCTAATCTTTTTAATGATAGGAGGTGGAATATTATCTTTATCGTAGGTTTTAAGTCTATTAAGGAAATTCAAGTCGCTTAGAAGACGTAGAGATGCTGCCCAGTAGTCTTCTATCATTTTACCGGAACCACCAGGATCAGGTTTCCTATCCGCTTTCATATTTAACATAACGCAAATAGATTCCATAACAATTTTAACAATAGTCGGCGGATTCTATAAAAAGAATAAATAATATATATCACTAAGATTACTCCTAGTAATTAGAATATTAAATATACCTTCATCGATTTAACTACAGTGATATCATTAGGTTTTAAGGTATTTAGGGCACTAATTGCAGCTTCTAAAGCTGGAATAGCTTCGGCTAAATCACTTTCGCAATCGTCTTTTATGGCTTGAGCTGCTGCCGCTGCTTCGTTTGCGACAGCTTCATCAGCAGCAACAACCTCCTTCTTTGCTTCAACTTCAACGGTATCTTGTTCGATTTTAACCATAAGTTTTTCAGTTTCAGCACTAGTTTTAATCAATTCAGGTTGAAGATCAGTCAATTCTTGTTGCATAACTTCAACTTGAGAAGCTGCAAATTCCAATTTCTCCAAACCGGTTAAGTATCTATTAAAGGTGTATTAAAGTTAGGTTTTACTTAATCGTTATTATATTGATATTTCTATTATTTACCGATTTTTAAGGGTCATTATTTCGTTACGCTTTTGACCCAATAGTTTCTTAAAGGTCAGAATTAGTTCAAGATAGGAAGTGGGCGTTACATAATTCATTCTTCGGAGAGTATCATAATATTTAAGCGATAATTGTCTAACGCTTTCGTGAAAGTATTTACACATCGATACACTCTCAGTCCTTATATTATCTTCTAAATCAACTTCTTCAAGGAACTTATTAGCCACCATTTCTAAAGCATCCTCCGGCCAAGCCTAATAAAGAAGTTTATTGATGAAAGGTACAACGCTTAATCGATTATTGTCAATAAATATAAAACTCACTTGGAACCAATCAATAGTACAGCAATTAATTAATGATGGAAATTGTCTAAGTCTAGTTCTAAAAGCATCTCCTATTGGTGACATAGCCAGAACGATATGTAAATTTTGCCTGACACGATCAATGAAGTAATTATACATAGCTAACGGTGTAGCTTCCACTTTCTTTCCCTAAAAGTATAATAATTGACCTATTTTATTATATTATTACTTTTTAACATATAATAATTATTAAATATAAATAGAAATATACAAGGATAGACAATTGAATATACAAGCGGTAATTTACACATTTAAAGCGACATTATAAAACTCTAGAACTTCGTCTCTTGTATAATGTCTACAAAATAATAAACAAACAAATTTCATATATATCTATATAGTTTAATAAAACATATAATATATATGAAATGCCATTAAAACTTATAAATACTATATTTTATTAATTTTTTCTCCATTTAAATAGGTCGGGAAAGGTGACGTCATTTCACAGTATAATTTATCTTAATACTGTATAACTGAACGATAAGGATAATCAAAATCTAAAACTATCATGCAATAAGAGGGTCAAATACAGTATATGGAACCTCCATCTCTTTGTTAACCATTTCGCTAAGTTGCTCCGCTGAAATACCTAGTTTCTTCTTTTTCTTCTCTAATTCTTCTTGTATCCTTATCATCTTATTTATGGATAATTTTTATAAGGTGTAGAAAAAAAACAAACAAATTGGATATTGTAGTTACATTAATTCAGTGTTCGATAAAAGGGAAGCTAAGGGATTTTGTATGATAAGAATTAATTATTTTTTATCTATTTTGTTTAGGTTATTAATTATTTATTTATAATCTAAAATTTAGGTCATTTAGTTGAAGGCTAAAACAGGGGGCGTGTCCTTAATCAAGTTCAATTTCATTTTATAAATTAAGGAATATATATATACTGTATATAAGATAAATTTTGAACTTACCTCGTTTCTCGCTACTGTTTGCATCTTTTCTATAATTTCCGCTTTTTCGTCCGATGCGTAAAGATTCGGCACATCTCCAGTATTTAGAATCATACTAATATCCTCCATGAATGATTCATTCTTTATTTGATTGTCAGAGAAAAGGAAGACAATTTGTTTACCTTCTGTACCAGCTTTCAACAATAGCTGAATGAAGAATAATAATGAAAGTAATAGATTATAATTAGTATCTAATACACATATATAAAATACAAACTCTTTTGATATCATCTCTCCAATCGCTAATAGAGTAATTTTTTGTTATTTCTATCTGGAAGAGGTCGTAATCTGCCATAAATGTTGCTAATTTTGTAGCACTTTGTCTTCCACTACCGCCAATACCTAAAGAGTAATTTAAATGTAAGATACTTGGAAAGTGTGATTATTCGAATAGTTGAATCTACCAGCTAAGAGGGCGTGTCCATTGTCCTGCAATAATACTCTACTAACTCTTGACACATGTTCAATAGCAAACTTGAACATGACCAAAGACATTGGAGCTTTGGATAGCTGGTTGTATTCACTAAGATAGTGTTCAATAGTTGATGTTAATTCTTTTAAATCTGTAACTTCGTCATAGACTTTTGGTCCTTGATCTGGATTCATGTAATCTCCGAATAGTAACGATCTAATGTGTTCGTCTGTAACTTTTCCGCTTAGTGTCAAATGTCCAAGTATTTTATCAATGCTTTGTTTATAAGAATCCTGACAAACTTCTCTTACGACACTATATTTTTAATGGAAAATTGATTATATATAATGTATATATAGGCAAATAAGCCATATAATAACGCATTACTTGAAAAAGGTTTCTCGGTCAGTATCGTCAATTAAACGATCGTAGAAGACTCTATATACTTCGTGTATCCAAAGTCTTAGTAGTTTGTCCGGTTCCTGCATCTTTGAAGATGGTACTAAAAGGACGCCCCTAATAACTCTTGAGAAATCTCGAAGGTTGAATACGTAATGTGACTTTGTTGGCGTTGGTAAAAATCTAACGATTGTTTGTTTATAAACATTCATCGTCGCTTGAACCATAAGCTAAAAAATAGAGTACAAAAATATATTATTAAGTTTAATTATTGTTGGAAATCACAGTAAAAGCGTCTAATAATCAATAACATACTTTTCCCAATCGATTAAAAGCTTGATCGAATCCTTTAGCAAAATGCCAGTCTGAAATTGTTGTAAATATTCTACTCATAGTATTATCGTCAAATTCATCAATGGAAACAATCTGTAAATGACGAGTAAATCTTGATGTTATGTCGTTTCGTCCTCCTCCAGGTGGTCCCATAGCCGCGACAAACAACTATGAAAGAAACGGGTAAACTTAATGATAATACATCTATAGGCTATCGTCTTACATTATCAACTATGAATAACTTGGAAGTATCTTTCCTATCGTACCAATGACCATGATTTATCCATTGACGTAGTAGCTCAATTGGTGGTTGTGCACCATATTTCTCTTTAGCTGGCATATTTAAGTCGTCAACAAAAACGACACATTTCTTGCCCAATGGAGGTCCATAAACGCCTTTTCGACGCCTAAATAGAGGGGAGGAGAGGGGGAAAGTTAATAAACATTATAAAAATCCTCTATACACCATAAGATTATTTATAGGAAAGTTAGTAAATGGTTATAGGTTGATAAGTTTAAAAATGTTAATATACTCTTAATAAATATTGAATGAATATAATAGAATATCTTAAAACGGCATTAGCATCATTCTAACTAATTGATTGACGCGTAATTTTCATGCTGGAAGGAGGAAGGGAATGGAAGCGAAAAAAAAAAAACAAAAGATAAATCTACTTTGGATTCTTTATTATGGATTCAACAACATTAAAAATTATACCGTAGTTTACGATCACGTGAATCGTGATCTTGAATTAGAATGCCAGTGCGCCTGATTTGAACAATTTCGATAAAAAACAAATCATAACAACAGACTCTTTTCTTTACTTTTTTAATTTTGTATATCATTCCTTATTCATTGCTAATTAAATAGTTAGAGAGTGATTAACTAGAATATCATTCCATACACAAGCAGAATTGATCATTGATTTTGACGTATAAATATGCAAATTAACTAGCAGGTACTTACTTATCAATTATTTATGATAAATAGAATATGAAGAAGGTTTTTGCTTACCTATCAAGTTTACTCATTATAATATCCTGAGTTTGATTAGCGCTGGTTCGAGCAGAAAAGTTTACGCAATTTGGTATATATCTTATAAGAAAATGACAAGGATTAGACGTACTATATATAAAGTTATGAATATTCATTATATATAACTTACTGATCTTTTGGTAATTTAATAAGATAGCTGTTTGTGATAGCCGATTTACCAGTTCCGGTTGGACCAACGAATAAAACTGGGACCTCATGCATCAAATATGTAGTTAGAAAGAAGGACTGTCTAGCTGTTTCACTAGTAGGAATAATAAGGTCGCTGACCTAAAATTGTGGAAAAGAATAAAATTAAAAACCAATAGGTAAACCTTTAATATCATTTAAATAATTAGTTAATTAAAAGAGAAACTAATAAATTGTAATTAGATATTTGAATATTTTAACTAGAAAAATTTAGAAGTTATTTAAAGATTAATTAAATCAAAATAAAGAACTAAATAACTTTTATCAGGTTAATTAATAAATGAAATATTAAAATTAAAAAAAAAGGTAACAGATTAAGATGCTTATGCAAACCTGTAACGGATCAAAAAAGTGCTGTATATATATATATAATAAGTGCAATTTTTTTTTAAAAAAACAAAAAATAACAAAAAAAATAATAAAAATAACAAAAACTTGTGTTCAATCTTTCAAAATTTGTTTGAATATGATTCTTTTAATAGATAAATGTTAAAATTTTACCTTTGCATTTGCCGCTAATTCTGTACTTTCTTTATCAATTGTTTCCATCCAATCAATCCAACCTCCGCTTCCTTTCTTTAGGAAGCAGAAATCGTAGACGCTTGATCTTTCTGGGAAAGCGTTACTCTAGAAAATTAGAAATATATATATATGTATATATATATATTTACATTAAACATAAAAAAAGGATCGATACCTTTGTAATCTTGGATGATTTTGGTTTTGGATGATTAGAATTAGCTCCAGATATTAAATCTCTGAAGAAAACGTCGAATTTTTTACGACTTTCTCCAGTTATTGTACCACCAACAGTCCAAACAAGTGAGAAAAGGAATAAACCTTGTAACCATAGCATAATCTGTTAAAATAAGATAGAAATAATGATAATAAGGATGATATTCTTATAATAAATAATAATATTCGAAATATCCTTCTGAAATGAATAAGAAAATAATGAAATATTAAAATTCTATAGATATTTGTTTTAGTAAAAACATAATATTTAAGTAAGTAAAAACAACTTGAAATACGATAAATAAATAGAATAATAGTGCTATGACAAATTTTGTGGATGCATACATTATTACGTAATACATTAATATTATGCAATAGTTTATACAATATATCTTTTTATGCAAGTGATATTAATAGTTCTTATTGTTATTTGGCATTCATATTTACAAGAAAAAAAAATATTGCGCAGCCAATAAACAAGGTGTTCGCTTTAAGCAAATTCATCTCAATAACTTTTAAGATAACATTCATGCAGTACCTGTTGATGACCCTGTATCGGGTCATTGTCAAGATCGAGTTCGCTATCCTATTATTTGCATATTGCATATTTGGTCAAGATGCAGGTTTGTTTGTTTTTTTTTGTTTGGTTTGGTTACGTTTTTGTTCGGAATTGTTTGTTTTTTGGGGAAGGAGGAAAAAAATAGGTCATTTCATTAGTTCTCACCGTAAATAGTAACTTTTGATTATTAAAGGTTCAATTAAAATTGGCATCCGCCTCACCTGATCCTCGGTAGACGGAGCCCTATAAAGGAATTGGAGCTTCTTTCCATACTATAAGTTAGAGTAGATTTTATCAATATTAATAAATTTTAATAGGCTTAAAATATAACTTATTCTTACAGTATGTTTACCTGTTTATAAATCAAACGTGCGTAATTAACACTTTTAACTTCTTCATCTTTTCCCTCATTCCTATCAGAATTTTCTTCAAGGGTAACGCCTAGACGCTATATACATATATATATATATATATATATATATAGATATAGATATATTTAATCAAGACTTTGTTATCTAATCTTTATATTCTATTCTAATTTTTCCCATTTAATAATTATTCATCTAGCTATTGAACTTTAAAATACCTTTTGCTGTTGAACTGCCTTTTGAGTATCACTTTTCCGTCTACCTTTCTTTTTAAACTTGACATTTTTCCAGTGTGACTAATAACGAATGAAAACTAGAGTTTTTCTCTTGGTCTTTGGGAGGGGAAGGGGAACATTTTTTTTTTAAAAAAAAAACTACTAACAAAAATTTTATCTCTATAAAAACTCTATTAATTGGAAGAAAAAGCTTTAAAAATGTTAATATTTTTCTCTTCCAAGAGAAAAAGATTGCTTTTTTTCCTCATCAGAAAAAAAGACTTATGAAAAATTTCATGATTGATTATATTTTTTTTATAAAATGGATACGTAACCAGCGAATATACCTGCGCAGGCGCATGCGTCTGTTGATTATTGCTATGATTATGATGATCTTTTTTCTTATTATGTTTCTTTTTCCGTTTTTTCGAATCCTTATGAATATCGATGCGAGAATCGGTTTTTTGAAGAAGCTAAATAATTCGTAGTTTTAACAGATTTCGTTAAAATAATAAAATATGAATAGATGTTTTAATAAACGTGCCGAATGTCATATTTTGTTTAGTTATGTGTTGTTGTTGTTTTTTTTTGTTCACTTGTACAACGAGGACTCTTACCTGCTGCTTATTCGGAACCTCAATTTTACCATCAGGGTTTGACTAATACACAGTATTGAGTTATTTTTGGTAAGATATATACAGTATATATATATATATATAGATAAATAAGAGATGAACAATACTAATTTTGCTGACTAAAACGAGTCCTACCTGCTGATTGGATAATTCCTTTCCTTCGGTTGCGCTGTCTCTTACTTCGTCTAATAAGCAGGTAAGTAGCCTTTGTAGAGTAAATACGAGGTGTATAGGAGAGGTATTTATAAGCATTTTGCAATTGTGCTGTATAAAATGCAAACAAGGATCTATTAACCAATCGAACATATCATTTAGCATTTCTTTATGATCTTCGCTCAAAGTATTAGGTAGTTCGTGCAACATATAACTCTCTTTGAAAGGTTTCCAACCGAGTTGATGAGGTTCCAAGTAAATCATACCGCAACGTGATACAGTAGCAGGTGAAGCCTGCTCCAAGTCGGCAGGTTCAAAAATAAGATTCATTGAATTACTCATTTGAATAATTTCACCGGACATTAAGCACAGTTTTTTATTATCGTCCAGTACTGTGTTCATATTTTCAATCCAGACCGCATCCACTGGACCATCGAATAAAATCCATTTTCTATCATCACTTGGATTACTTGCATATTCTCTGAAAGTATTAGCTAAAACTCCATCGGACCATTCGTGGGATACGGGATCAAATTGACCATATAATTGCCCCATTGTTATAGATTTTGGGTTAATAATTCTATAAAAGACTTTGAATTCTTCCATTAGTCCTGATTCGTGTAAATCGCCTAAAGCATCAGCTAGAACCTGATAAGCGCTGGTCTTACCACCCATAGGTTCTCCAACAATCATCAGACCGTGTCTGACAAGAATCATTTCGTATACTTGAATAATCTTGTCAATGAACCACGGAACTTGTTGTAATTTTCTCTTGGCTATGTTATCTTTCAACGCTTCTAAGAAGACGCCTAAATCTGGTTTAACCAATTCGACACCAGGGAACAAATCGCTGATAATACCTTCAAAAAGAGGTACATCTTGAGCCAAGAATTTTGGCAAGTTAACGTCCATAATAGCTTTAAGTAGTAATTCTGGTTCTTGTGTATCAGGGTGTTTTAATTTCAAGTTTCCAGCCGCAGTTAAAACACTCTTAACGGCTCTCATACCGTAATCGTAGTGATGTTGTGAACTTAGCTGTTCTGAGCATAATCTATACGTAGCGACAATCTTCTGAGAGAGACTTCTAGCATCGACAAATCCCATAGAATATAAGGATATTTCACCGATAAGAGCATAATCGGGTACCATCATAGCAACCGTACGGAAAAGAACTTTCAAGTTATCTGGCAATTCCTGTCTACCCGCATATCCAGGATTCATAGTAATAAACATAGTACAGGTTGGATTAAGAGATAGTTCAGTACCTTCAAAATTGAACTTCTTTTCACCACTGTTAATAGCCTGTTGAATACACTGGATCTGTTGAGCAACAACGGATAATACTTCTAATTCAATTCTATTAAATTCATCAAAACAGGCCCATGCTCCAGCTTGGGCTAAACCCTTGAAAAACTTTCCCATGGCTTTGTAATCCAAACCATCGCTGCAGTTGAAAACAACGCACTGTTTAGCAACCGCCTTCGCTAAATCTTTACTGGTTTCCGTTTTTCCAGTTCCGGCGGGTCCTTCGGGCGCTCCGCCAAGGTTTAGTTTAAGCGCACCCATAAGAGTTCTATAGCAACGATCCGTCAACGGTGTTATAACCAAACGTCCAGAGTTACCAAGGTATTCGTAACCGTATCTTAGTTCTGTTGTAATCATTCTTACCGATACATGCTTTTCTATCCAATAGTATCGTAACTGTGCCAACCAGTCGAAATCATTAGCACTAGTTACATTTTTCTTGGCCATGGCCTCTACAACGTCTCTTGCGTGAACGTCTATGACGATAAGAGCTCCGAGAGTTATTCTTGCACCACTTTCGAGTTTTCCTCTCACTAATTCAACAGTTTCCTCTATTTGTTTATTACTCTTTTGTAAATAGTCATCTAAGCCTTTACTGTCTTTCATCGATTCAGTAACTTCAGCAGTCCAGAAAATAGAACTAACACAAATTACAACTTGACCAGGCCATTCAAGTACCCATTTGTTTCTTGCTGTTGTCTTATAACCATCTATTGATTTTGATATGACATTCCTTACGGATGATAACATGACATCTTCTACTTGTAAAAGCCATTTTTCAACCATACCTTTGGCTCTGGCGGGAACAATTTTTTGTGTCAGTTCTACAGTTTCCTTTTCGGATGAAATCATCCCAACAATTTCCTGTTGTTCAGTAAATTCCAATTTAGCGATACCTTCAAAGCACTTTTTCAAGTGTGGTTGAACTCGAAGAGGATCTTTTGTCTCAGATAAAATTTCTAAAAGTTCATCATTTGATAAGAAAAAGAAACGAGGGAAATAGAGACGTTTCTTTTCTAGATAAGCGTTTAATCCTTTTTGAATTTCGTCCAAAAGGACGTTAGCCTCTTGTAGGCGTTTAAGCATATTGGGTTGGTCAGTCGCCTTTGAAAAGATAAATTGAATAATTGCTAAACAACAACGTAAAAATATTATTAATTATTACCTTTAAACAATGATTATCCTTAGAAGCTTCTGACATAATATCCTTCCAAGTTGCATCAACTATACCAAACTTTCTCCCCTCCTCAGGCATTTGAGCCATAATATCTTCAGAGCTGAAAATTGGCTCCAAGTATAGCCAAGTAGCTTGAACCTTTAGCCACGCATCAATAATATCTTGCATAGACACTAATTTCTCAGTCCATTCTTTCATTTCAGCTTCGAATGGTTTAATGAAAGGGGATCCTTGCATAGTTTGAGCTTTAATAATATGATCGTCCAAAACGACTTGAATATCATCAATTGCGGATAAGATTTTAATACCCTAAAAAGTTGATAGAAAGAAGAATATGAACAAAAGGAGGAGAGGTATAACCAAAACAATCATAAAAAAACAATGCATTTTAATAATAAGTCATATTCAGCTATTTATTTTCGACACTGACGCTGATTGTTTTACATGTAATTCATATTTTTAAAAGGAGGGAAGTGTGCTATATATAGATATATACATTAAAATACTTTTAAATATACAACGACATTAATCTCACCTCATAGTCAGGTAACTAAAAATATATGAAATATCACTAGTTAGTGAAAAGAAAACAAGTTCATGCGCGTTAATAATTTCATGCAGAAAGATATGAAGAAGATAAGGAAGAGATATCAGAGGATAATTCCTAATCTTTTCTTCCTTTGAAGAAGATTTTCTTTTGTTTTTTGCCATGTTTTTTTTTAAAGAGTATTTAAACATAAAAAGAAAGAAAATAAGCTAAGCTTGTTTGGATTAGTCAGAAAACTTGGATGAGAATTAGGACACGAACCATACGGATCTAAGTTAACCTAATCCTTATTTAACCCCTATCCAAGTTCGATTTACTCTTACACTCCCTTTCTTTAGCCTTAAACCAACAGGACCCTAACCGTTAATCCTTAAATTTCATCCGAGTTTTCTTACACTCCAGTTTATGTTTTTTGTTTGTCATTTAATGAAAAAAGAGTCAAAACAAAAAGACTTGTCTATCATATCAGTTCAATTAAAAACTTGAAATACTAACCGTTTCTCTATATGGTACAAATTCAAAGTTCAAGTCTGTCCATTCCACTTTCATCTTCTTTAGATTCTTCTCTAAAGAGAATTCCTTACTTGCAGCACCGCTTATTTCCTCTAATTTATCTAAGCATTTGCTTAAACCTAATTCAAGCATATTTGATAATGTAGCCTGTTCTCCTGGCTTAATATCCATCTCCATAATATCACTCATTTGGGCCCAATGTCTATCTCTTATTCCTGGATTGCATATAACAGCCAAGATGGGTAGATTTTGCTTGAATTTGTCAATTTTAGCTTTGTAGACATTGGCTACTCTTTGAGGACCGGCCTGATCTTGGAAAGATTTATTCAATTTGAACAAAGTTCTATACATGTCTTGAACTTCTGATTCAATATCTTCAGCATTAAGTTGTTTAAACGGACCTAAAAGGGAATTGGTTCATTATTGTATATACATATAAATAATTTGTTAAACTTTTACCATTGAGCCATTCTTCTTGCTTTTTATGGAAGAGATAGGTTGTATTCCATAGCTTTTCGTATGGTTCTTTTGCCTTGACCATAGCTGGTAATTGGATATATTCAGTTTGTTCCCATCCTAATAATTCTTCTTCCGTATTCACTTGTTCCATCTCTAATTTAGCAGCATCAAGATTTTCTTGTAACTTTGCCAAAGCATCTACATTGTTTCTCATCTCGTCAACGCTCATAATCTGTATTTAATAAACATGTAAAAAAAAAAAAGAAACAGGAAAACTGACGTAGAGATTATCTAATTAGCATATTAATTAATAAGTTAGTTAATTAATCAAGTATATATATATATCTTTCCGATCATTAAATATCTAAATAAGAAGTTAATGTGATAGAAAGAAAGAAAAAAAAGATAAATCTTTGCGGCCATTTTTAATTCTTGTTAGCGTTATTTATGAATTTGATATGAATGAATATATAGTATTTAAATAATAGTATAATCAAATATTCTGTGAAGAATATAAAATAATTGATTTAACCTCTCCGTATCGATTTATTGATAGCTGAAACAAAAAATTATCGCATCCACTTTCTTATTATTATGATTATTATTAAAGAAAAATACAAAACTGTAGTTACTATTTATGCACTCAAATTAAACAAACACAACCAGGTCGGTTCTAAATTTAATGGCCAAAATAAAAGAAAGAAACGTACCTCTTTCTTCTTATACGATTCAACTTCTTTATGATATTCTTCTAATTTAGCTTCGAATGCTCTCCTCTTACGGCGAACTTCATCTTCAACTTGATCTCTTCTATTCATAAGACGATTTGTTGCCGTTTCGAATGTATTAAGAATTCTTTGTGGCCATTGAAACAATTGACTATTCAATTTTATATCTTCATCTATTCAATTAATTAACATATAGTTATATTACTAACAAAATTATAAGTTATACTTGGCATAAAAGCGTAATCTAAAAGGAAACTAAGCCTATAGACAGCTTCATTGATTTCTTTTTTAAGTTCGTGGACAGTTTTATCCATACTCTGAAAAGATAATTAACATAAGATCAAGTTAAATATACAGGTGAATAAAATTTAAATAGATAAACAAAAATAAAAAACCAATTAATTAATTAATTAATAAATATTTTAATTAAGTCATCGGAAGAAGAAAAAAATTAGAAAAAAATTCTTAACAATTTGACAAGTGTAGTTTGTTTGTTGTTATACTTTTAACATCAAATCAAGGCGACAACGAATGTAAAAGAGCTTACTTTTAAAGAGTTATTATAAAACATGTAGTGGGTGGGGTGTAATATTATAAATTACATAGAGTGTACACAGTTTATATATATATATATATATTTATAGATATATATATATATATATATTGCTTTTAATCTTTATATATTTATATAGTTCATATCAATAAAATAATAAATAAAAGTTGAGAAATGTAAACATTTAGTAGTGCAAGTTTTTGTTCTCTTATGTTTGAATTTTTATATTCAATATGTTTTTGGCGAGTGATTAATGAACGAGCTGCAAACCACTTACACCTTTCCCATATAGCTGATTGATTGATTTTAGTATGAGAAGAGTAAGGTCAATTTAAAAATGAATATTCACATAGACAATGATAAATAATTATTTAGTTTGCTTTTAGGCTATTGAACATTGTTAAAAGTCTATTAGAAGTTACTTGAACAAGAGATTAAGTAGTTCAATATTTATTTTAATACCTTAGTTAAATATTTCTGTAGATTGACGAGCTCTTCAGTTTCTTCCGGTAATTCCATAACTTTGTTTTCCATTTCTACGTAACGACGAACAATACTGAAAATAAGGGAACATGACAAGAATAAATTGCTGAATATAGTAATATCAATAATAAAAATATCAATACTCTCTATTCATCCTGCGATTTTGGCTAACTTCAAAGGAGATTAGCTGCTCTTTTTGTTTATTTGCCCTCTGACATAGATCGTTGTTCAATTCCGAACAATTTAAACAAAACATCGATAGTGGTACAGTTATCCTTAAGGATGCAATTTCATCTTTTAAATTTTGAAATTCCCTAATTTTCTATAAAAATATTAAGAGAAAGAATGGAAGAAACGTTAAATATCTTTCAATTAAACTTAATAAATATGCATAAATTATAAAAGAAGAGAAGAGAAACCTTAATAAAATCTGGAATATCATTTTCTTCTTGCTTCAGGAAATTAGCAACTGCTTGTTCAGCTTTATTATTCAAAAGATCATTATAACTCTTGTACGAGTTTAAATAATTATGAGGTCCAACTATATTTAATTGAAAAATTTCCAGTGCTTGATTGATTATATCCTGAACTAGACTTTCTTCCAATCGAACTGGTCTGAGTAACATTTTACTGTCTGGAAATAGTTCCATTTCAACCTAGAATGAAACAATTAATCATATTTAATTAAGCAGTTTTTGTCACCAAGCTTTAAATAGTTGATAAATTACCCTCGGAATGTTGTCGTTACAGTTTATTATCTCTTTAAAACACCTTATAATAATTTCTTTACATTCGGAAAATGGTGGATCAAAGATTATCTTTGGTTCTTCGACTTGTAATTTGATTAACATAATCTGTTTCATATTATAGACCAAATCCACATAATCTTCACCAAAATCGTTTCCATTCTGTATAATCAATGAATGGTTGTTTTTTATTAAATATTTAAGCTGATACCTTAGATTTTACTTAATAATTTACCTTATGAATTTGTAGAAACTTTAAAAAGTCATTTAAAGAATTGATTGTTAAGCTTCTTAATTGATTTGACATTAAACTAGCAATAGAGCTAAAAAATTCTTCAGCCATCTCTCTAGAACCGGTAGGAGTATCCGGGCAAAGGTGCATCCAATGATTAAGATTTACCTTAAATATTTCGCAAACTCTTGGAACCCATCTGTTAAGACGAGATTAAGTTTTATATGTTATTAATAAGCTACTTTCTAAATCTTTAATAGTTTACTTTTTTCTTAAAACGTCGTGCATCCTTGCGCATTGTTTCTTTACTTCCTGTTCAAAATCTTTCGGATGAAACGGTAAATCAGCCTCCAAGAGTTCTTCGTAGACTACGAATCGTTTATCAGCAAATCTAGTAATAGAAAGAATAGAAATGTTGTATGATGTTGTTTAGATAAACATCTTAAGGAAACACTTACTCTTCCAGCCATAACTTTTGTAAAAGTGACATCATAGGATTGACCGTATGCAAATGGTTAAGGTGAAAGTATTTAGCTTCTGTGTATTGTTCGTGCCAAGGCACGGGAGCACGAATAACCCTATTTTAACAAATACACTCTTATGATAAAGAAAAAGAAGGATACGGTTAGGTATCCACTAACCTTTGAGGATAGGGCCTTGGTAACCACTTAATATGAATTCGAACCTTCTCAGTTGGATCTTTCAGAATGTAATCAACTGTTTAAAACACAAACAAACAATAAATAAAGCTTTTCTCAGAACAGTTTTCTCTCTTCTTTGGTCAATTGCACACATATTTTTTTAATACAAAAATCTTACCGATAGCTTTTTTCAGGCTCATTTCGTAATCTTCCCTTACTTCTTCCTTTAAATTCGAGTACAAAGGTGCCAAGAGATTAGAGGCAAAAGCTGATTTCGTAAGGAATTTATTTGGTATTAAACGATCAATGCGATCCATAATGTCTCTGTCCTGAGCGGCTAGCATATCAGCGCTTATACCTCTATTTATATAATAATAGTAGCGCTGTTAATTGGTAAATAAGGAAATAAAGTTAAACAAAGTGTAATTAGTCGTATAAAAGAAAATCGATAATTTATAATTTAAACCTCTAAATCCTGATCTCGAGGCTCTTCTATGTCTCTTGCCTCGTCCTCTTCAATTGTTTTCATTATATCTAATTGCTCTACAGGAGTCAATGGTCTACTCCTTTCGCCGTTGTTATCTCTTTGTATGATCTTTTCGTCTAACTTTCTCTTTCTACTTTTTAAAGTAGTCAAGTCGAGCGAAGTTCTATTTCTTGGTGTCCTTTGCAAGAATGACATTTCCTTTTTTATCCTTGGAATGTCATTCATGGTCAGATCGCTTGCGGTTGGTGTATAATTATTACCAATAGACTGACTAGGAGTCCTATAATACTTTTGCTCCTTAAAAGGAGCAGCTTGAGTCCAAGAAGCCCTCATTATTGGAGGGTGTTCACCATGTTTTTGTACCATCTAGACGACAAGTAAACATTAAATTAAAATAGGATATCAATAAATCAATACTTTGAGCAGTGAAAAGGTGACAACTCACTTTATACAAATCGGAAGGGTGATCTCTCTCCTCCGGAGGTAATGGAGGTAAGACTGGTAGTTTCATTTTATTACTTAATAAGTTACTGGAGGAAAATTCGGGTGTGTTTTGATCTTCTCGATTGGAGCGCAAACTCAGCATCGGTAAACCAACCTCGAAAAGTGATAACAGAAAATATCATGCATTGTCTAGTGATCGTCTGTTAATATAAAGTTATTAAATAGTAATTTACCTCGCTTCCATGTGCTTTTTCCGGTACTGGTAAACATTTCTTCTTCCTAGCAGAACCTATGCCATTATAGTCCTGCAAATGGGCTGCAGCTGATGACATCTTAAATTATAGCTTGACAAACTTGTCAACTTTGTACTTTCTTAATTAATAGTTTGATATCGAGTATTCCCTGTTAACGTACAATCTTTAGAATAGAAAGATTTAGTTCTTCTTAGTTATATACAGCATACTATAAGCTTTGAACCTATTAAAACTTCAATTTATTTCAAAAATCCATTATTTATCCGGGTCTTGCTGTTGCCAAGGTTGTAGATTTCTTTTCGAAATTGGCGTTAAAAATGACGAGATTTTATTTTTAATAAATTTATCATAATAATTATATTTAAATTTTAACGATAAAATAAATATAAAATATTTTTTTACGTTTTTTATTTTTATACGAAACTGAGATCTGAAAATAGCGGAAATCGTACTCATAACAATGGCGGACGCAGAGGAAGAATCCTGTGAAAACTCGACACGAAACGCCAGAAAATGTAAAGATATATCAGCATTTTTTGTGAAAAGAGATTTGAGAGCAAAGAGAAAGCAGGTACATATATGAATATTAAATAATTTGATTGTAAAGACTCTTTTTAGTAATATAATACGATGTATTGTCTGTAACTAGGCTTAGTTGTTTGTAAACAATACCATTTTTTTAAAGATTTCGGCAATTTTGAGGAAAGTGAGGGATGAAAGAACACCTGAAGAGGATAAAATACTCACAGATCATGCCGATCTTGTACGATCCATTGAACGGAATTCAAGAGCTAGGCAACGGATGTTAAACAGAAAAGTCGAAAAATTGGACAATGAAAATGAACTAGAAGAAAAATGCGCTCAGTTAGCTTTAGCGATTAGAGACTCAAAAAATATGGTAATTTATACTGGGGCTGGGATCAGCACTGCTGCAAGTATTCCTGATTACAGAGGCCCAAATGGCGTCTGGACTAAAATTCAAAAGGGCGAGGCACCTAGAGCCTGCGATCCTTCCTTTGCTGTACCGACGTGTACTCATATGGCACTTGCTGAGCTGCATAGACGTTCGCTGATTAAGCACATAGTATCGCAGAATTGTGATGGTTTACACCTTCGATCGGGTATTCCACGCTCCAATCTAAGTGAGCTTCATGGTAATATGTTTATTGAATTATGTCCATTGTGCGGTAAAGAATACGTTCGCCTCTTTGATGTAACGGAAAAAACTTCGCTACGCAAGCATTCTACTGGTCGTAAATGCTATTGTGGAAATGATTTAAAAGATACAATAGTTCATTTTGGTGAAAAAGGAGGTCTTGGTTCACCTCAACGCTGGCCTGAAGCTCGAGCAGCCGCTGAGAAAGCAGATTCTATACTTGTTCTCGGTTCTTCGCTCAAAGTACTAAAAAAGTACTCGTGCCTTTGGCGGACTGACAAAGCTGTTAATCAAAGGCCAAATTTGTATATTGTAAATTTGCAGTGGACACCCAAAGATGATGTTGCAAAGCTGAAAGTTCACGCTACTTGCGATGTTGTCATGAAACTTGTAATGCAGCACCTCGGTCTTTCTATTCCTGATTACGTTCCCCAATTAGATCCTCTTTTTAAGACGGCCAAGCCTTTGAAAAGAAGCGAATTTTCAACAACAACAAGGGTTAGCCTAATGCCCCCTCTGACACCCCTTCCCGTCGGAGGAGATCATAGTTACGCTGCTTATGGAATATACTGTCAGAATTATGACGACGAAACAGAAGAAAAACCGGAAATAAAGGAAGAAACTATAGAAGAAACTATGGAATACGAAGAAGTAAACACGGATCCGATTAATTGTACGAAAAAAGTAACAACTCAACCAGGATGGTTTGGAAAAGGTCTAAAAAAGCAGACGACTTATGGTTTATTCGGTAAAAGGAAGAGAAGAAAATTGATTACTGTTGCTACGTAAAAAACAGATCTTTTTATGATGATAATTCAACTATTATGTAGTTTTTTTTTCGGGGGAGGGAAACATTATTTTTTCTCTATTAATATTGGGAAATTGCCTTTTTTTTGGGGAGAAAGATATATTTAATACAGCTGTGCTTTTAGCAATATTTACATATTTATTTATATAAAATCCTCTTCTCACACAATAGAAAAATGAGCCATATGGCTTATTTTTAAAAAAGATGGCTTTTTCAAGAGTTTCTATTCCGTAAAACTGGACGAAGTTTATAATGTAGTGTGTTGGAAATGGAATAAAAAAAAATATGGCAGCGGTGGGATTCGAACCCACGCCTCAATGAGACTGGTGTGCTTACTGTTAGTAACAGTCCTAAAACCAGCGCCTTAGACCGCTCGGCCACGCTACCTCGTACTAAGCAGTGTGCTAAATAAAATAATAACGTGTGATGCACTAGTGAACAATAACAAAATATTCGCAAAAAATGTGGCAGCGGTGGGATTCGAACCCACGCCTCCGAGGAGACTGGTGTGCTAATCGTTAAACTCGACCTTAAACCAGCGCCTTAGACCGCTCGGCCACGCTACCGTATACATCCTAGCCTTCGAATAATTCTATATGACCAAGCCTGTTCACAATTTCATAAGCCAATTTAATAATACAATTTATCTATGTAATTAAGCACTTTCCAGTCAAAACAATTTTTTGTTATTTAGTAAATTTTATGACAAAGCCGGAATCGTTTAACTGAAATGGCGAAACAATCCTTTTTAACGACCAAGTATTCAAGTAAACGCTAAAAAAAAACTTGTATTAACCTATTTACATGTCATTATTAGACTTTGTTCTGTTTTATTTTTTAAAAGATCTTTATACTTATAACAGAAGAAAACTAAAATAGCCAAACGTTAAAATATAATAGCTTAAAGAGCATATTGCACATTGAACCTCGATTCGAAAGTTTACGAGCTGACAGATGGCGCCATTTTGTTATTAACTGGTATGCACCATATTGCAAGCTAGAACCAAACTCCGTTTTGCTGAAGTAATATGCTTCTATCTAACATATGCCTAGTATCCAACATTATATTTTTGGCTTTTTATCCAAGCAATGGTGCTAGTCTAAAGAAAGTTATTGTTGTGAGTTAATAAATTTCCATATTTGTCAGGGCTCTATAGGTCCCAAATAGTTCTAAGCTCAATTTCCTTCCTAGGTGTTTAGACATGGGGATCGTAGCCCTATTGGAACGTATAAGAATGATCCATATATAACGGAAGAGTATTGGCCACAAGGATTGCTACAATTAACTCAAGTTAGTAATTTCTAAATAAACAAAAACTTTATATATTAATAATAATATACCATTATATAATATAATATCATACTATTCCAAGTATAAACACACATATTAAAGACGTTTACTTTCACACAGAAAGGAATGTATCAAGAATACAATCTTGGGAAGTTTCTGAAGAAACGATACATGATGAACGAAAACCTATTGAACTCTACGTACAAGAAAAGTGAGGTATAGGAAAAAATTTTAATATTTGACATTCACAAACTGATTATATTAAATATTTGTCTGAATAGATCTTTGTAGAAAGTACTGATACGGATCGTACGTTAATGTCTGCACAAAGCGTTTTGAATGGCCTTTATCCACCAGTTGGAAATCAAATATGGCGTAAGGGTCTAGATTGGCAACCCATACCCGTTCATACAACAACGTATGATTTGATATTAGGAGATTATGAGTGTAAAGCATTAGCAGATGCTATTAGTGAGACTAGAAAGTCGAAAAATTTTACAGAAACAACTAAAATGTATAAGGTAGAATTTCATAGACAATTGGTATTTTGTTATACAGTTTATTGATTTATTTATCCTTTATAATTAGAAATTTATCAACAAAATTAACACCAACACTGGAGAGAACTATAAAACGATTGAAGATATTTCTCCCTTTTGTGATAATGCTTTTTGTAATGTAAGTTCTCATTCTCCTTTAATTTCTTTTTAGTATATTTTAATATGTTAATCATATTTAAAAATTAGAGTCAACATAACAACACGCTTAAGTGGCTGAGTCACGAAGAACTTGAAAAATGTACAGATTTTGTTCCAGCTTACGACGGTTGGTTTCAAAGAGGTTCTGAAAAGAAGGCAAAGTATGGTTTGGGATTTTTTTTCGCCAACATGTCTGAACTCTTTCACAATGCTAAAGATCATAAAATTCAAAGAAAGTTAACTTTATTCTCTGCTCATGACACAACTATTATTTCATTTTTCTATGGTTTGGGTGCGAAATTCGTAGCTCAACCAACTTATTCCTCTGCTGTTATGACTGAATTATGGCAGGACAAAAATGAATGGCAAATTAAATTAGCTTATAGGACTTTGTCAAAAGACGGCAAGGAAATAGTTAAACCTGTAAAGGTTAAAGGTTGCAGCAATAGTGAATTTTGTTCATTCGACGAATTTATGAAAATAATAGATAAAGTAAAGCTTACCAGAGATGAATATAACGACGCTTGTGTGGAAACAGAGGTGAAGAAATTGTCGGTAGCAACTATTATAGCTATTGTTGCTTCAATCATTATTTGTTTACTAGCATCATTTTTAGTCCTATCATGGCTAAGAAGGAAATCTTCTCCTACCCCGTTTTATACTGCAATTCATAGAGGCAGTTAAATGGTTTAAATATATTATTTATTGAGAATTTTGTTTTTATAAGCAAGTATAATTATTTTTTTACAAACTACTGTAAAGATAGAAAGACGAAGAAGGAAGCGTGTTTTTCTCAAAATCAAATGTGAATATTAATTAAAAAAAACAGATGCGACAGAAAACGTTCTCAAATTCATGGTTTTACCATTACCCTAACCTAGCCCTTGTCTCTCTCTAACCTCTTTGATTACGCCTAACCCTTAGATGAAACCCTCCTAACTACAAATCAATAGCTACTTTACTGCTGCTAACCACTTTTCAATCCGAAATGTTGATTTCAAATATTTCACTTGGGGATGTTTTCTGTCGATAATCATTTTAATTCTAGATTTTTCTCCCATATCTTTATCTTTATAGGAGATTAAAATGCAAGTGGAATATATAGTATATACTTTGGACTATTTAGACAGTATGTATACACTATGCTGTATATGCTCTAGATACTTCTTTTTACAGTTATTAGTACTATATCTTAGTCATACGAATTTAGAGAAAAATCTAAAAGAAATTACATGAATTGTAAATACTAAAAAGACAACAAGAGATATTTTCTAAGAACCAGTGTAATTATTAAACATATTTTTACTACTCGAAAGGTATAGGCTTATTGTTTTCTCGCTTGCAGGCCTGCATCGATGACTATGTTAATAGTGATAGTATACCAATTAGATTTTTTGTTAAAATTAGAACAGACATTAAAAATATATGAAACTAGGCATTCTCTATAACCTGGTCAAATTTTTTGCCTATTACTCTTAAAAAAACACCTTTAAAGAACAGAAAACCATAGGTTATGAAAAATTTCTATGGCCGCTGTATATATATATATTATAAATCTATATAAAAAATTATCCAACTATTTTACTGCGTTTTTGTTACTTTTGTTTTGTAAATTAAAGTTTTTTTTATTGTGTTGTAAACTACAATGCTATTTTGAAGTGTTTATCGCCAAGTTTTCTCATCTTTCCATTGTTTTATTGAGTATATCTTAGAGTATAAAGTTTCACTTCTATTCGGATCCTTTTTCGTATATGTTGGATTATTTTAGATTATAATGCTTAGAAAACGTCTAATACAATTTCTATCAAAAGAGAAACTTTACCTAATTGATGAGAACTCTTACACGAAAGATCTGGAAGAAAAATTATCGAAGCAAGGAATAGTAATAGATGAGAAAAATGGAATTTGGTTTGTTAATATTCCAGAAAACTACCAAGAGAGTAAGATAAGGGATTTAATTAATAATTTTAATACGCTCTATGACGAGGGAGTAGAGGATATGAAACTAAATACTATAGCTGGAGTAGAAATTGCAAAACGATATTTAATTGTTAATAAGCAGCCAAAACTGAGATGGGAATTGAACAATGATACTTTCACATTTAAAGGACCTTTAGCTTTCATATTAAATACAAAAATAAAAATATGTGAATTAGTATTCTATTCATTAAAATCTCCTATAATTCTTGATAAATCAAACTTTGAGAAAAAGGTTTGTGCAATTTGTTTCAGATAGAAAGAGTGGTAAAAAAATACCTTTCAGATTATTCTAAAACTATTCCACCGACAAAGTTTCATTGATTTTTTATACAAAACGGCTTTTCCTGATAAATGTTTCTACATTGACACAAAATGGACCATACCAGTTATCTACAATTCCAAAGCTGAAGATACTAATTTAATGATTAATTGGTTCAATAGAAATTTAACTGTCCATATCGAAGATCAAACTGAGAATATTCACGAATTTTTGTCATTTAAATCTAATTATAGAATATTTGACAAACTTTTAAATAGCTATCCAATAATCATTCAAATATGGAATATTGAGAATCCCAAAATAATTATTGGAGGATATAATGAACATACAAATTTGGTTAAAAATGAACTATTGATATTTTTGAAAGATAATATTTACGTTCAAGAGAGTGTACAATATCCTGTAGAAAAATTACTCTTGATTGAAAATGCTTTCGAAACTATTATACCATCGGCAATTTCAATTGATCACTCCAATAACTTCATTGAATTCAACGGTAAAGGTAGATTAATTGAAAGGTTAAAATGTGATATCAGAGAATTTTGTAAAGGTATATAATAACCATTATAAAAGATAGTGTCAAACTTGATATTTATTTAATTTGAACAGGCATCCATTCAAGACAGAAAAGAATTGATAATATTAAATTTGCAAATTTTATCCTAAAGAAAGATCTGAATTGTTTGAATACGCTAAAAAATGGCGATATAGTATCTTTGAAACTTATCGATGGTAATTTGCACAAAATTCGTCCAATATTCATTAATAATTGCTTACTGAGAGAGGATCGACAACGAATACTAAACGGAGTAACTATAGATCAAGGTCTAGAAAGGGGTATGAAGATTGTAAAAGGTTCAATAAAGGATCAACAAGTTGACGTCATCGTTAATCAAATCTTTCATGACGGAAGTAAAAGTATTGATCCAACAGTTGATGAGTTAATAGGGAAGGACCAACTACTAAAGTTGAAAACTCAAAAAGCGGATGCTCAGAAATATAATATCGTTGAAACAGAATCAGGGAATTTGAAGAATACAAAGAAAATATATCACGTTTCAGTACCACCAGAGGATGATAATCATAGGGCTTTTACCAATATAGTTAAATCTATTTTTGATAAAGCAGAATATGAGAAAATGGAATCAATAGCAATTCCATGTTTAGGAGTTGTTAAAACGAATTATCCAAAAGATATCGTTGCTTTCGTCTTGATTAGTGAAACGATAAAATTTCTAGAAAGTTCCAAAGTAAAATACTTAGGAACGATTGTATTTCCAATTTCGGATAATGAAATGTTTAAAATATTTATTAATGAATACCTCAAAATCAAACTTAATAATGCAAAATCGAGAATAGTTGATGCTTCTACTCCGATTCAGGAAAATTATAAATGGGACTTTGGAGATTTACAATATACGGTTTCCAGGGGAAATATTCTGGAATATTATGCTGATGGTATTATTAATACCATTGGTAATTCGAATATTCTCAATTCAAATGGTAAACTTTCCAACGAACTGGAAATACAAGGAGGTGAAGAGTATAAAAAAATTTGCAGGAAAATTGCTCCTGTTGAAAATGTTCAAATAATGCCTTCGACCGGTAACATTAAGCCTAAATACGTAATTCACATTATGGCCCCTCGTATACCCACAAAGGAAGCGTGGATAGATAGAATAGCTTCTGCGTTTCTTCTTGCTGATAACATGAAATTGGTATCCATCGTTATACCAGCCTTTGGAACTGGACATTGCGGTAACCAAGGAGACGACATGGCTATAATTACGATGGAAGCAATTGAATTATTTTGTAAACATAATCCTAAATCAGTTAAGCAAATAAACGTCGTTATCTTCCAAGAAAGCCTATTTCCTATATACAAGAAATGGAGTAGGCAAATTAAACAAGGTGACTTTTTTCAAGTTAATTTTACATTACAATTATAATTAATTTTTGCATTAAAACATAAACAGGTCAAAAACTACAGTAAGTACAATTAGATAGGGAAAAAAAATTCAATGTCAGAATAATAGGGGGAGTAGTTTAATTCTTTTTATTACATAAAGTTTCCCTTATACTGTATAGTTTTGTATCTTTACTAGGCCAATAACAACTTTTACACCTATAACTTTACAAGTGAATTCAACTAATGAAATTGCAATTAATAAATTTTGGAAAGAGACCTTTAACGATTACGAATTGTCTATGTCATCGAAAATATTTGATGTACCTCAACATTTAAATAAAAAGGTGATAAAGGATTTAATTGGTAATCACAAAACAATTGAATACAGAGAAACTGGAGGAGAAGTAGAATTATTCGGTGATGAAGAAGAAATAAAGTACTTTGAGGAATATCTGAATCATCTATCAGAGAAGATAGCTGATGACTTCAATGAAAAATTCATAGAGAGGAGAATAAAATGGTATGTTTGGTATGAAAATAGAAGAAATGAATATAGTTCAAGGTTGAATTGCCTAATTGAACAAGCATATAAAAGATATTTAGATAATGGCATAGTTAAGAATGAGACAAGATTCTTTAGATTTATACAAGAAGGCAAAGTATTCTATATCGATTTTGAATATCTAATAGAAATTGACGAGAATAATGAAGTTTTTACTGTTAAAAGAGGTCAAATAAACGATATACCTGAAGAGTGGGTTGAACCGTTCGAAAGCAATAGAGAGATATCTTTAGACTTTTCAGAAAAGGAGTACAAAAATGTTCAATCAAGAATAGGAAAGAATCTTCGCTTTTCGTTTCGTAAAAAGATCAATGACCTAAAAATTAATCGATATCAAAACCTAGAAATGTGGAAAATCTATAGTCAACATAGAAATTTTATCAAAAAGAAACTTGGACAAGATAAAATAGAGCAGGAATTATTTTATATTGCTAATAAAACTGATATTCATGAAATTTTAAAATATGGCTTCAATAGAAATAGAATAAATCGAGATTCTCGTATAAATAATGGTATTACTTTCCATCTAAATTTACAATTGTTGGATAATAATGATATTAAGGATGAGATTTATGTTATTTTAAGTAAAGTTATTGTTGGACGTATGATTATTAGAACAGACAGAAACCAAATACCTTTGCCTGAAGAGACATTTGTTGATAGGAGACACGAACCAAGAGAATTTACCATCGTTCATGATGATGCTGCATATCCTTATTTCGTAATCAAGTTTAAAATTGTATAGCTACTTAACAAATTTTTGTGAGAGTATTATGCAATAAATTCAAACATTCTATATATTTATTAATATATATATACAGTATATACAATATAAAAACAAAGAGTTGGAGAGATAAAAGATAAAAAATGAACGCTTTTAATAAAAATGAATATCCAAAATAATTTATATTAGTATTCTTTTTAGTCTGGTTGTTATAAGCTGGAATATTCTTATTATGTTTCTAAAAGAAAATAATGTTCTTTTTAAAATTAAACTGGTTCGGGGTTGAATATTTTATACTTTTACTCCAATTCTTTTAAATATATCTCCTTTTTTTCTGTGAATTGGTAACAAACATATAATTTACTATTGTACTTTTAAAGAACAAACACGTTTTTTTATATAAATGCATATTAGATCATATTTATGAAATAGTTATATCATATTATTTCTCCAAAATTTTTAAAAACTTTATAATCAAATGGTCTATAAATAAAGTAACCTATTATCGTTCACTAGAATCCTGAAAAATGCGTATTCTATCGGCTCTTCGTTCTCAAGCTCTTGTCTCTTCGCAATGGTTGCAAAATAATTTGCTGAATAAACAATTAAGAGTACTTGACGCTACATGGACACTTAAGGCTGATGGATATGAGAAATATTGCCAGTAAGTTTGAATGGACTTTGAGGTCAAATGCAAAAGCAGTTTCTTTTCGTGATTTCTTTTTATTTATATTTATCAGGAAGCATATCCCCAATGCTGGACATTTTGACCTTAATGAATGTGCTACTCCTCATCAGTATAGACCTAATAATCTTCCAGTATTAAAACAGTTTAAAGAATACCTACAGTCTCTGGGTATAAATTCTGACACCCATGTTATATTTTATGATCAACTGGGATCAGTAGCAGCCAGTCGAGCATGGTCAACTCTTCGAGTAATTTATTAGATCTTAATTACAATTGAAACTTATATCTTGTATAATTAGTTTTATTATTCATCAAATTAGCTAATGGGTCATTCAAATTGTTCTATTCTTAATGGCGGAATTCAGAGTTGGGAAGAGGATGGTTGCGAAACTGCAAGCGGAAGTGCACAGCCTGCAGCCGATGTATATTATAATACTTTATCATAAATGCTATGTTAATCACTGACTCTTTCAATATTTTATATAAGAAAGTGTTGTTGTTATTTTTTCGGTACAGAAAGGAGATTTTGAGCTAAATTTTAATAGAAGTTTATTTAAAGATTTCTATGATATTATTGAAAATATTGAAAAGAAACAGTTTACCCTTATCGACGGAAGAAGAGAAGATAATTTCTTAGGAAAAGAAGAAGAGCCAACTCCTTGTAAGATTGTTATTTTTTTTTAGGTTTTGTTTGTAGAAGGAATGAAATTTTCTATATAATAAATGCTTTATACAGCTACTATTAACGCTTTGAAAGCGAAAAACTTTAAAGTTCCCGAAGTTATTGCACGTGGTCACGTCCCTAATTCAATCAATTTGTTTGCTTTTGATGTTATCAATCGAGAAAATGGAAAGTTTAAGGAAAAGGAGGAAGTTGAGGATAGTAAGTCAAAATATAAATATTGAAATTGACTAAATTTTAAGATTAAAAAGCTTTATCTCAATTCTCTTCCCTTGTTATCAACTAGTTTTCGAAGATAGAGGTGTCGACTTATCAAACAATTTAGCTAGTATGTGTTACACTGGAAATTCTGCTTGCTTATTGGCGGTAGCAGCTCATACTATCGGTAAAGAAGACGTAGCTGTTTATTATGTAAGCAATTTAAAACGGAAACAATTACTGTTCTAAGATTAATTTTCCCTCTGTTTTCCACCTCAGGGTTCTTGGACCGAGTACGCACAAAGAGCAAGAAAAGATCAAGTTACTCTCGTTAAATAAATACATCTAACTATGAATTATCGAAATTGAACGATTTGATACAATTTGAAAATTAACTGTAATATTATTACGCCCGTTTAATTGCTAATTTAGTTAATCATTACGAAATTTATTACAATACAAAAGTCTGTGTAAATTTTTTTTAAAAATTACCAAGACCTGCTAGATGGCGTGGATAGATGTTATGCTAAACATCTTGTCTCAGTTGTAACTCTGTTGGCGTTTGAATATCTCCTCGAGAGATAGATGAAAATATATTTGGATGTCTGCTATTTCAAGTTTGAGAACAATTAAGCTTACAAGTGAAATCTTTAAGTAATTTTTAGGTAACTTTTGATTCTATATGATACTTTTTTTGTTTATTTAAATATATATTTTTTATTCTGAAAAGAAACTACAGTTCCTTTATATATAGCATGTTAGCTTTGAAAATGAAGGAAGGGCTGTTGTGTTCAAATCTATTCAATATATCTTTTTAAGGTTTACTTTCGTGCGAACCATTTAAGTATTTACTTAGATAAATGTTTCCATCAGCATCCTAAATGTAAATGTATAAAAATAGACTAAACCTACACACGTATATATATATATATATATATATATATATATAAAGTGTATATATATATATATAAATATATATATTTTTTATATAAGTGTAAGCATATTTGTATAAAAAGTAAGATAAAAATGAAGTACATATATATATATCAAATATTGTGTTTTTCCTGAAACTATAGTAGCTAAAAAGAGAACGCAAAAAAAAAGTCCCAAGTTATGCTACAGAAACAATACCTGAGTCGAAAAGAAACGCGACCAGTTCAGATAGTCTTTACAATACTGTCTTACTATTAATTGAAAGTAATATTGTTGAGTGAGTCGGTTTCTCGACGTTTTCGGTGAGATTGAGAATTTTTGTATATTATACAACTCTTCTATATTGCAGAGACTTTTCAGTATAAACATATATACATTATATTTACTATATATAAATTATTCTGTATAATTATACATTTAAAGGAGTAGTGACGTCTCTATGGAAGTATTTCTAATATATACAATTCAAAATTTTTGCGCACAGCCTGTACATAGTACATTTCAATATTTCTTAGGCATCTTGATACTATATATATATTCTATATGAACGCTTTTCGAGTTATATATGAAATAAATAGTATTCTATCGACGTTTTTAATTATCTATATTAACATCTAGGTGAACCTTTTAAAAAAAAAATAAGAAGAAACTTCTTCCCAGAAAATGGATTTTAATTGTAGTACGGAAATAAAATTGCTCAAAGAATGGCGCAATAACGTTGCCGAAAATTTAGACAGTTTTTTCCTCATTGTGGTTGCTATTATAATATATTGTAAGTATTTTATTTTTTTCTTCCTTTGAACGTATTCTTGTTTGTTTGATGTAATACAAAATTTCTTTTAGCTTTCTTTTCTCTTTAACAATCTTTTACAAGTTAACTTTATGTCATAACAGTTTGATCTTTTTAACATTTCAATTGATATAAATTGATTATGTTATTTTTAAAGTTTCAATGAAAATTATATTCTTTATAAAACAAATTATAGACTAATTTTACCTTATGTATATTATCTATTTCATTTTCCTTTCGTTAATTTCTATCCTTTTAATAAAATGATCTAGATACGAGATAATAAGGCAAAGAACAACATATTTAAAACAACATTATATATAAGCATATATAATCAACTTTTGACATGCTTTGCCTTAATAAGTTATGTAATATATCTACTAACACAATTCTAAACATCATAAATAACTATACAATATTTTCATTGAACATTTTACAGTAATGCAATGCGGATTTGCTTTCCTTGAATGTGGATCGGTCAGGAGTAAAAATACAACGAATATCTTAATCAAGAATGTCTTAGATTCCTGTAAGTTATCTATTTATAATAGTTGAATGAATTTAAATAATTTATTCAAATTAACGGATATAATATAGGAAAAAAAAGGAAAGAATCGTTGAGTAATAATAGTAAAAAGAATGATTGAAAAATAGATCCAGTTTAATCCATTCGTTATTTATTATAGTCAAGGTTAATGCAAATGTCTCGCTTTTTTGCTTTTTATTATTTTTTATTATTATTACTTGGTTTTAGTATACTAAAGTGGTAGTTTCCTTTTATATTCCTTTAAAAGAAATTAACTTAAAGTGTAGTTTTATATAAAGTAGAATAAACTTGATGTAATCGCCACAATTTTCCTTTGAAGCTTAATTTGTAAATAAACACGATAATTTTAATTCTTTAAGATAATAACGACATTTTTTTTTGTTTTTTTCATCTTTTATATATTTATTAATATTAGTATATATGTATAAAAAACATAGTTTTACGTGTATATCTTTAAATTGGATATAAAGGGAGAGTAGGAAGAATACTCTGAAAAATAGAATAGTATTAAAAGCTGGATAATATATACACAAGTATATAAGATAAACAATATTATATATATATAGAGAGAGAGAGAAAGAGGCACTAACTCTTTAATGAATATTTTCTTGTTATGTTCTATTTGTAATGAAATTTATTCTTTACAACTTTGACAGCTTCAACTTACTTTTTTCACCTAATTTTATTTTACCAATGTTTTACTTTCCCCTCTTTTATGATAACACCAAAAGGAAAATGAAAAATAAGAAACTATTGCATCACAGACTTGTTAATCGCCAGTTTCTTTCTATATCTTATTCCATAGACTTATACACAATGAGAAAGACACCAAATTTTGTTATTGGCGTAATTTCATATTAGTCATTACCATAAAATCTTTATTATAATTACCTATAATTATTATCCAGTGTTTCTTTTATAACATGTCTTTGATGTTTTCTATATGCTCTTGATATCTTCTAGTTCGTGCTCGTATACGTACATGTACCGAGCATATTTATATATTTTATAACGTTTGTACTGTTAAACTTTTAAGTTAAATGGTTAAAAATCTATTAAACCCTTTCAAAATTATATGCAGTGAGAAATTTCATATAAAAACTTGAGAAAACAGTCACGTGAAACTGGACGGACAAAAGGCATATTCTATTAAAACAGCCATTCGATATAAAAGGAACAATTGTTTATTGATAACATAGCAAGCTTGAACTTTTATTTTTTTCTTTTCAATTCTATATTTTAAAAAAGAATTTTTTTAATACGGCAAGGCATTTATTAAAATATTCTTTTCCCTTTTCTTCCGTCAGTCCACCAAAAGTTATTTATTTAGCTTTCTTCACACATCATAGCTTATTTTGGTGATAAAACGAAGAAAATATCAAAGTAGAATATGCTAAAATGTCCAAAAATGAGGAGATTTCAATTTTCTTATTGGTTGAATATTTCCTTTATTCGACTTTCATTAATTTTCTTAATCCTATTCATAAATTGTTTCATTCGTTTAAATATCGTTAGTTTTTCTCTCTATCTCCTATCTCATTAGGCCTTTTAAGTTCACTTATAACACTTGAAGATATGTGTTTAATGCTCCTATGCCTTTAAGGTATCAAGATTAATGAGTAAATGAATATTAACATACTCTAAATTTAAATATTTTACTGCTTTTTTTTTGTTTTTCATTATCTTATTCTATATTTAGATTGCTCTCACTCACTCCCTCTATTTCTCTGTCTCTCTGTCTCTCTGTCTCACTCTCTCCTACCCTCTCTATCTTCCTCGCCCTTAATAATATTTTCCTTTGTTATTAAGAGTAATTAAGGACAAATTGTAGTAAAAATGCAGCTTGGAAAAATGATATTAACAAATTCTCTCTGTTTATTTCTTGGAATCGTAGCTTTTATATAATTAAGATATGATAAATATTCATTTTGTATGTTTGTAATTAGATTAGTAAAAATCTTTTAATCGCATCCAGCAGAACAGCTTGAGAGAAAGGTTATTTTGATCTAAAAAGACAAAGTCTCTCATTCATAGTTTAAATGAAATATACTCATTTTCATTCCATTAGTGATTAATTTGTTGTTTGTTTTCTCTTTTTACTTTTCACAAGTTATTGCTGGAGTGGCGTATTGGATTTTTGGATATGCATTAGCTTTTGGGGATGATGTTGGAGGCTTTGTAGGATCGACTTACTGGGCACTTGGAAACAAGCCAAAAAAATTGGCACATTGGTTTTATCATTACGTTTTCGCCGCAACTGCAGCGACTATCGTTTCTGGAGCTTTAGCTGAAAGATGCAATTTTATCGCATATCTCGTTTATAGTTTCATAATTTCAGGTAGAATCCTGATAATTTATGTTAAATCACAATCTTTCTCTCTTCCGTATGAAGTTTGTGTTTAATGACAAATATTTTTCTCTTTGCTATTAGGTTTTATATATCCTATTGGATCACATTGGTCAAAGTCTGCCGCTGGTTGGTTAGCCAAAGGTATCCAATTTGACGGTGACAAGATCAAATATTTAGATTCAGCGGGCAGCGGAGCAGTTCACGGTATGGGTGGAATATTAGCCCTTACAGGAGCTATTATAATGGGGCCAAGAATTGGTCGATTTGACGATGTGGACGGAAAACCAAAACCAATTAGAGGACATTCTGTTCCTTTGGCGGCTTTGGGCGGTTTTATCCTTTACTTTGGCTTCTTGGCTTACAACGGAGGGGCTAAAGGTACATTATCCAACGAAGGAGATGGAAATGAAATTGCACTATCAATTGTAAATACTATAGTTTCCGGTTCTGGTGCTGCAATGATGGCTTTGCTCTTACAAAGATATTTATCAGGAAGAAATGGTCAAATACCTAAATGGAGTTTGTTAACAACTATTAACGGTGGTTTGGCTGGAATGGTGTCAATTTGCGCTGGCTGCAAAAGTGTAGAACCATGGGCTTCGTTCATTACCGGTTGTATCGCCGCAATAGCTTATATGCTTTGGAGTAAGCTTCTTCTAAAGATGCAAATCGATGATCCAATAGACGCATTTGCCGTTCATGCAGGGGGAGGAATATGGGGAGTTTTAGCCGCTCCAATCTTTAAATCAGGCGATGGTATAGTTTACGGAGGGAGCAGAGCTTCTTTCGTTCTATTTGGATGGAATCTTGTTGGTAAGTCAATAATCAATACTGTCCATAGATTTTATATATTCACGTGTAAATATATACAAACGTATACATAGAGAATTCTCGGAAAAATTTCAATTAATGGACAAAGTGAAAGATAATTTTTTGCGGAGTACATTACTCTTACTACAGTAGGCTTTTTCTTTTAGGTTAGTGACAGTTATTTCTAGTTAGAGGAAAAACGGTAGATTTACTAGCAATTATTAAATGACTAATGCAATAATACATTGACATAGGAGTGAATATATAAAATAATTTATAATTAATATATTCTTATTATTATAGAATTTATATCTATAAATAATCTTTGTATATCTTTATATATTTACTGTAGAAACTATCTTTTAAAGAGTAACCTATTGTAGGATAAATATTTTATTCAACTAATTATTAAGGTTTTAAAGATCAATTCAACTTGTCTTCTTTGTTAAAATAGCATCAATTTAATATAAAAAATAGTCTTTCATCAATCTAGGAAAATTGGTACTATATATAGCAGATATATATATATATATATATACATATATGTTTAGATATGATATCTATTTATAGTTTTATTAATAGATGGAATCAAAGAAATAGGGCAAATAAGATAAAAAAAACAATAGAAGCTGTGTATAGTTGTCTATTTTTATGCAATTAAGATAAATCTAAAGACGTTAAACTTCTCCTCTCTCTCTCTCTCTCTCTCTTTAGCATACTAATCTAGATCTGTTACATCTCACTTGGAAAAGAATCTAAAACAGAGACGAGATATTTAAGTAGTTTCTTATTATAATAATTTATTAGAATCTTTATTTGTATTCAAATATACAAAGATTTCAATAATCTTTTTATTTTCGGTATTTTAATATTATTAATCTATTATTTAAATGATAAAATACTATATATTATATATATATTACATTGTAAATTGTATAGTATAAAATAACTAACCCTATTTCCAAAAGAAAACTTCTATAATCCCTTCCAGAGCATCAATATGGATTCTGAGAATGGAATTTCCTTTGCCTTTTTTTTCTTTTCTTCTATTCCTCTTTTTTAGTTTAAAAATCTTTCCTATTTTTTACATATAGTACATTTAGAATGAATGGTAAACAAAACTGAAATTACTGAAATAGTGAAGAGAAATTCCTTATAGTTCTTAATATATTCAACAATAATTAGTTAAGAATAAGCTTTTAAGGATTATTTAGATATATATAAATATTCAAGTAATCAGTTTACATGTGGCACATCTGCATAAAAATGCATATTTAAAGATGATTAAACGGTTTGTATTGATAACAGGTGTAATTGTTTACATCGCTTGGTCTGGTTTCAGTGGTTTTGTCTTATTTTTTACTCTACATAAATTGGATTTGTTAAGAGTTCCTACAAGATTGGAACATTCTGGTTTAGATATACCAAAACATGACGAACCAGCTTATCCTGGAGATAAATTAACTTATATTGAAGATTTAAGAGCGGCGACTAGAGGACGAAGGGGAACAATGTTTCATCTGGGAATGTTGTCGAGAATGGGCAAATTAAATAAATCTTTCGAGACTGATGAAGACGAGAAGAACTCTCAAACTTCAGCTCCTTGTTCTCCCAATGTTAAGTCAAGAAGAGTGAGTAGAGTAAAATTTGGAAGTGTAGAATCGCCAATACGAAGAAAGGAACAAGACGATTCGGACGACGATAAAGAGGCTGTAAACGGAAATATTATTCACGAAGAAGTACGAATCGACTCACTAGACGAAGTAAAAGAAGAGAACGATGAATTCGATGAAATGACAGATGAACCTAATGGGAATGAATTGAATCATAATATTAAAGTTGTAACAATAAGCGAAACAGGTATGAAAGATACAAATTCATCAGAATTATAACATTAAAAGAAGAAGAAGAAGAAGAAGAAGAAGAAGAAGTAGAAGAAGAACTTTTATGTTTTTGAAATCATTTTATTTTTATGAAACAGGAAGAAACTATTGCATATCGAAATATATACATTTTATATATATATATATATATATATATATTTTAATCTCAATTACTTTTAAGTTATACAACAGACAAATTTATTCTTTATTGGTTATATATTTATATATTTTAATTTTTTCTTGAAAGAAGGATCTTCTAAACAATTTACCGCATATTTAAAAACTAAAGAAATTGCTTCTAATCAACATTGATTAAAGAGGAAAAAAATTGAAAACTTTATTCTTTTTTATATTGTGAAATGTAAAACTAGTGAAACTTGTTCTTATGCTTCTTTTTTCTTTCTTTCTCTCTCTCTCTATCTCTCTCTCTCTATCTTCTTTTCTTTATTTTTAATCTAATATTTGTATTTATTGTAACTTTATTTAATACAAAAAAAGACATTTTTTTTATTCTTAATTTGGAATATTCTATGAATATATTTACTATTTCTTCTCTTCCCTCTTTTAAATGTGTTTCGTAGTTCCGTCTAAGCTGATGGTTGCTTTTCAACGTCGCTTAGGAATACTATATGCTTTATCCATTCGTAAAAACAGTTTAACCAATTAGTAGATTTTCTACTATCAAGATGACCTTGGCTGTAAAAATAGTTTTGAATTAGGACAGTTGCAGTCAAAATTCCGAGCCAACTCAGAGTCGTTAGGGTTTCGCTCTGAAAGGATAAAAGAAAACACAAATCAGGATATGTCAGGTATTAATCTAGCTTTATAATATTTTTTCTTATGTATTATCGTTCATCTTAATCCGTTTAATTCATGAATAGTGCGATTAAAGTTCGTTGACATCGTTGATCATATAATTTTCGACTATTTAAATGAATCACTAATGTATAGCAAGCAATCTTGTGGATGGTGAATATTTGAAATAATTGCGCTAGCAGCCTCTACTAAGATGTTGGAAGTAGAATATTATACTCTAAATTAGCGTTTTTAATAGCCTAATGTTTACACATATTGGATATATTTAAAGTTTGTCTGTTATATAACAACGTTTGAACAGTAAATATATAAATATATAAATTCGTTCTACAAATGACCTGTAGATGGGGCTATCTAACATTTAATCAGCATTAAATACTTTTTAGAGTAATCTTAAAGCTATATAGGATATTGGAAATTTAAAGATGACAACATTGAAAGAAATAGATTAAAAAATAGTATTATCTATATTTAATATAAATGAATTATTATTTCTTTTACCTGTTTATTATACAGAAATGATCTGATAATCTCAAGATTGGTAGATTTAACTGCAGTTTGTCCTCGAGAATTAGATATCGATCTGTAATTTATTGGGGAACTCCTTGATCTATTAATAGTTTCTTTTCTTTTTTTCCTCAACCTTTTTCCGAAAGACATTGATCTCAACCTTGGTTTTCTTGTTTTAGTTAAATTTCTCGCTTTAAAAGATGCTTTCTCCATATTTTATAGTTTAAAAGATAAAAAATCCAATTATTCCCTATATGTTTTATGTTTTGTTTTTGATTTTCAGTTAATAATTTAATAACCAAATAGAAATAATTCAAAAATATCAATTGTAAGTTTTTCCTTTGTTGTTCCGTTTTTGAATAAATTAAAATTTTTCGTATATAATTAATAGATAATCATTTTTTTGAATATTTAACTAACAATTTGTTTTCAAACAAAACTTGAACAAAGTATAATAGTATAAAAGATTGTATAAAAACAAGACAATCTATATAAATATTGAATGTTTACAGTATTTATACTGTATAGTTATAAAGAAAAAGCAATACATTTGTAAATTATGTACAAGTATACATATATATAACTTTAGGATGCTGTTTATAAGTAAAGAGTATACACCTTTTAATAAAGTTCAGAGGAATTAAAGAAGGAAATTTAAACTAATTCAACGAAAATGTCAAATGTTCTTTCCTTGTCTTCTTAAATCTTTTTACCTTTTTTCCCCTTTTAAATATTGAATAGTTTTAATAAACGAAAGTATACTTAATACTTATTGCAAAAAGTAATGGTTACTTGTGATAGGGGGCGGGAGAGAGAGAGAGAGAGAGAAGGAAATAGAAGACGAATGAGGGCAAAGTAATTAAAAAAAATGCAATATCATATCTTATTTTAGTCATATAACTCCTTATAAAGCAGTAATAATAATGGGGTTAATAAAACATGTCTATTCTCTCTATATTACATATGAAAATGAATGAAAAAGATAGTAAGGAATTTTGATTTACTAAAAACAACATAAAACCAAAAAGAAGCACGTCAATAGAAACTATAAAAAAGAGGGAAAGAGGAGGATTTTCACCATCAAAAAGAGAGAAAATCGTAACCGATTAAATATTGCCAATCGACTTTAATTATTTTTCTTCTTATTAAAAACGTTAAATATTAAGATAATTTATTCATATTTTATTGATTATATGTAAAAAAATTTACTATTTATAGATATTTTAACTTTTGTTATATAATCATTATTAATGATGATTTATGAGAATAGTAAAGTTTATATAACGATAACGATTTTTTACCCATTTTCTTTATTGATTTTCCTTTTAAACGTTAAATATAGACTACAACTAAAACTGTTTTCTTTGAAAGAATTACATAACAGTTTATTAAAAGGAACAAAATGCTTAATGCTAAAACCATAAAAGTTAATATGTTTACATCAAGCACGATATATTTTTTTTATTTTCTCCTTTTTAAAATTCTCAGCTTTTCTCTCTCTCTCTCTCTCAGTTCCCTCTCCGTCCTCTTCTTTCTTTTCTATCTTTTTTCCCTTATATTTCTTTATTTTGCTCAAGAAGAAGAAAACACTAGATAATCCCATTTATATAAACCAAGCACAGAAATAAATAGATATATAAACAAAAAGAAAAGTCATTTTCCTAAAAGATATTAAGTTGATTGTAGTAAGAAGTAGTATTATGCCTCTACCCTTTTCACATTTTATATCTCTTTCACTCATTCATTCTACTGTTTTCCTTATTCTATCTACAATATCATTCTGATTTTACATATGAAATCTGTGCCTTTTCTTAATTTGATATAGTCCAAAGACCCGAATAATGAGTTTTCTATGCAATATTATCTCTGACAGATGCCTATTTTAGAAGCGAAAAATTATTCTAAATTAATTCAAAGCTTTTTGTAGAAAGAGGGAGCAATGTTTTGTTTACCTATTTTATTTATATTCTATATTTTTGTTTGGTTTGTCATAAAGTTAAATTTGTGACATTTGATGAGTTATATATAGTATATTGTATATACAGCATATACTGTATATATATATATAAATAATATATAAAAATAGCATATTCCTTATATTCCGTATATAAAGTATATAGAGTATATATGTAAAAGAATTGTATTCATATTTCATACCTCTTTTTTTATATAAATACAATACGAAAGAATAATTCTTCACTTGATTTAATGCGTCGCCGAAAAGAAAGAAAAGTGCACAATGCATGAAACAAGTTTTTTTTAAATATTAACTTAATAAAAAACGGATTTAAAGCAACTTATATATGTATTCTTTTTCTCCTTCTTCTTCTTCTTCTCCTTCTCCTTCTCTTCTTTCTCTCTCTCTCTCTCTTTCTATTTGTAGATACTATAGCTATAGTCAATTTTTGTATTATTTATAATTGTTAAGCTTTTGTTTTTCCTCTTCTTCTTTTTTCCCTATAGATGGCACGATATCTTATTTTTATTAGTAGTAGGGAATCAATTGGGGGTAGAAAACTTTTTAAAAGTTATCAATTTGTCTATTCATTTGTATTGCAAATTGCGAGTAAAGAGTTTGAGTAAGCGTTGATGAAGTTGAATTAGGATTGTAAGACTAAGTTAGAAGCAAAAACGACTCTCATTGATATTACTACCGTCAAACTGCAAAAACAATTCCAGTCGCGTACGACTGACCGGAAATAACTGACACCTATATATACACGAGCAGACTCATTATTTCTAAACGGCCTTCAAGAGAGCCTGATTTTTTCGTTAACTTTAACGCGTAATAAGCTAAAATATGAATGTTATCTATAAACCTATCAAATATTCAATAGAAATCATAAATTAAAGAATTACTATCGCTTAATAACTTGTATTATTAATTATATATTTATAGACTAAAAATATAGAATAATACCGCACCCTTACTCCGCTAATCCCGACTAATCGTCGAAAGACAATCGCTCCCCTACCCCTTCGCCAGGTGGCGTTTGGTATTTGAAAAAAAAATCTGCGTCAGAAAATGATTGTGCTTATCTACTGCTACTTGCTCATTAACGTTATCAACAAAAGTTTACAGGAATACGACTGGCATTCAAATTTTACACAAGATTCGGTATGCTAGACTTGTTCAATTCAATTTAAACAGCAACTAATATACTTATATTGATTAGTGTTTAATCAGTTTTATTATTACTATTATTATTGTTGTTATTATTACTACTATTAAATATTTATATATCGGTAGGTAGAGAAAACTTTGGCCGAGGTACTTGGGCCATATCCTCCAAAATTTTATGATAATCGAACAACGATAAGAATAGGTTACCTGGCAACTGATCAGAATGTACGTCCGGCTGTAAAGGGATTAGCGAGAACAGTTTCTGGAGCAGTGACTCTTGCTGTGCTGAAAATTAACCAAGATCCGAACATTCTGCCAGGTTACAGATTGGATTTTTTATATTCCGATGATAGAGGGGATAGCCTTATAGGAACAAATAGGATTTGTGAACAGTGGAAGAGAGGAGCCTTAGCATTTTTCGGTCCGGAAGACTCATGTGATACTGAAGCAAGATTGGCAGCAGCGTGGAATTTACCTCTCATATCTTTTGTAAGTAATTAGTTTATATAATAAAAATCCTGGAAAAAAAAACCAATTAATTGAAATTGAATTAAAATAAAAACAAACATAAACACCCATTCAATTAAATAACACTTAAACATAATATAAAGTGATAACTCTACGTAACTTGAATTTCGGAAATAAGCTAATATGAGTCAAGTATGAAGATTAACTAATCTCCAATTGGATAATACTAACTTCACAGTTAATTATATTAAACGTTGATTAAATTTCAATAAGTTTTAATATGGTATTCTAAATGTGTAATCTAATATACAGTATATTGTATATATATATATTTGACTCTACGTAGACTCTATACAATATAAGAGGAATTCATTTTTTTACTACAAGACTCTTATTATTTTTCTTAAACATTTCGGCGTCTAAGAACTTGTTAGTTGTCTTTTAGATCCAATTGTTAGAGAATTCAATAGATTATAGTTTGTATATAACTAAGGCAGGGGGTAGAGAGCGGGTGAGTTGAAGGTTTACTGTTCATAAACAAACGAAATTGTGACTAAGAGATTGACTCAACACGATAAGCTATATTCTTGTATTTTTTTTTAACACGATTAACTCCATCAATCTACACGTTAAATTGTGGATAATATGAAAATTCCGTATTTGGATCATATCTTCCTTAGCAGTCTATTCATTGCCTTTTTTTTTTACTCTATAAAGAAAAAACTTAATGAAATAAGACAACTAATAAGAAATAGTCTGGATAGGTAAATTAATATAAAAAAAAAAATCAATCCATCCTTGAACGCTACTCCAACTAGAATACATTTCTGTATTATTCTTAAGAAGTATAGTTAATTTTTATAGAGTTGTTTAAATATTTCCTTACTAAAGTATACAATGTATAATTAAAGGATATATATATATATATATATTGTATATAACTTTATATAGTATATTAAAAAGCAATTTTGAAAAATTCTCAATATTTCTTCTATATATTAAAAAAGTTAAAAATAACGTGGTTAATATATTTATAACTGATTTTATTGTCATCTTTTCTCTCTCTCTCTCTGTAATGTTGACTACGAAAAGAGTATAAAAAGAAGAAGAATAGAAAAAAATATCTATGTATTTTCTTTTCTCTATCTGTTTCATTTTGTTGCTGCTTTATCAATGCCGAACAATTCTGTTTCTTTGAAGGGATGGTAGTGTCTTCTTTCTTCTTGTACCATAGCCTCTTTATTCTTTTTTTTTCCTGTTTAACCATCTATATTTTTAATATTTTGAGGGAGATTATAAAAAATTGCCCTTCTCACTCTTTCTTTCTCTCTCTCTCTCTCTCTCTCTTGATAGAATAGAAATATATAATTAATATAATAGATAATTCTGTTTTCTCCCTCTTAAACATCCTTGCTCTCCTTTTCTCCTTGGTTTTAATTTTTACTTTCATCTGTCCCAAGGCGCTTAATTGTCAGTTTTGTGCTGTTCATAAGGAATATTTACATGGTAACAAAGTGTATTTGTTTTTTGATCTATATTGGAATATTTTCCTTGTTACACTGTTTCGTTTGTATCTTAACCATTCGTACCACCGGATTACAAGTATAATTGTATAAATAGCCAAAAAGCCAATTGAGGCCTTGTAATTACATAAAAAGACCTCCACCTGCAAGGGTCTTATTCCCACTTTGTAGTTCTTCCGTTGTTTCATTTAGCGTATGATTTTCTTTACTTTACTGATCAGTCCATAATTGACTTCATTAAATGAGTATTTAAAGAGTTAACGTTTATGAATAATTATCTTTGGCAATCACCATTCGTCTATTCTCCATCAATCCCTACCTAGTAGAGAGTTGTTTAGCATTAAAGTTAGTTTGTAGATTGTGGTATTTTTCCATTAAATCTTTAATAATCTTTTTTAACATTCAAGAGCGTTAGGAAGAGACAGAAACTTAAGAAAATTAATAAATCTCATGTATATTTTTGCCTCATTATGTCAAAATCATGTGTGCGCTTAAAGGAATCGTTCTACATAATAATTACCTGAGAAACGGCTGCATTGAATAATATTACATACACAGAGAGAAAATTTACCTATGTATATGTATAAAGCTAGTCTATAAAGATAATAAACTATATGTATATATATATATACTGTATATACACACACAAGATTTATAAGTGTTTTACCATATGTTATAGGGAATTTATTGTAGTCTTGCCAAGTTCTGCGATCATCTGTAAAATAGAAAAAAATTTCCTGCCTCTTCTTACCCTAAATCGATTTATTACAATAGGCAGAAACAACCTGCTAGTGAATAGACCATTAATTCTAAAAGATGGTCCAAACGTTTTTCAATTTATTACTCTTGTTATTATTATTATTCTTTAGATAAACTATTATAAATATTCAGTAAAAAACCGACTCTATAGGAGGTGGTAGTGATGACGAAGAAGAAGAAGAGTATATAGGTTAAGATAATTAACTATACCCTGATATATATATATCTATATTAATTATTTTAATGATAACTTCTACCTTCTACTTAGAGGAGAGAATAGAAAAAGGCTTAAAAGTAGGTGTAGAAATTAAATGAAACTAAATTTATCGAACCAAAGCGAAAAGGAATCAAGAGTAGAATTCTACTCAGATGAAAACGTTATACAGATTTATTTTACTTAATTCTTAACATAATTAAATAGGACGACTTCTTAGATTTTTCATTAAAATATTCTCTCTTGGCAACTTTTATCTTATCTTATCATGAAAAAAATTTTCTGATGAATTCCCTTTTCATAGAAATGCTCTGATCATCGTCTATCGAATAAACTACTTTATCCAACATTTGCTAGAACTATTCCACCAGATACTCAAATAACAAAATCTGTTATCGCACTTCTTGAATATTTCGGATGGAAGAAATTTGCTATAGTATCAGGAAAGAGCGAACCATGGAGTGTAAGGATTTCATTTAATAATTACTTTATCGTTATCTTTCCTTTCTTATAAACTTTTTTTAAAATATCTTAAATTATCGTCATGTTTTAGTTGATGTCAAGGAAATTAAGCAAATTAGCAGAAGAAAGGAACATGACAATAAATGCATTTAGCGAATTTGAAAGTCCATATTTACAACAAGCTGTAAGAAATCCCTTTGAAGAAATAGTTGAAAACACTTATATTGATACTAGAAGTTAGTTAATTTTTAACATCTCTTTTCTAATGTATAAAAATTAAGAATAAGAATAAGAAGAAGCAGAAGAAGATGATGAATGATGATAGTAAAAACCTTATCGCTAGATGGAGTTACATAAATATATAATTCTTTTAGTTAATTGTAACATAGGTAACAATAGTAAAAAGAAAAAATACATATTTATGAACAGTTTACGTCTTTATCGGAAATCACAATGGAATGGTAGAATTTATGAATGATATGCAGAAGAGAGGCTTAACTGAATCTCAGAAATATGCAGTACTTTATCCTCAATTAGATATATTTGACGATGCGGATGCCGGAAAATATTTTCGTTGTTTGTATTTTATTCAAATTTCATATTTATTTAAATTATGAATAAATTAAAATATATTTAAACTTTTAGTTGAGCACGATTTACCAAAGACTAAGAGAATTGAGAAAGCTGCTGAAAATCTTCTTATTATACTCCACAGTCCTCCAACTTCTCCCGAATACAAACACACCTTTTCCAGAAAGGTTAACGAATACAATCAGAAGGAACCATTTAACTTTACAAAACCAAACCTCTCCGAACTAAATCCGTTTTTACCAGCCGATATGCTTTCTCAGCCTGTGGGTGTTTACGCTGCCTACTTATACGACGCTATTTATTTATACGCCAAAGCCGTTACTGAATTACTCGAAAGAAACTCAACGTCATTTTTAGACGGTCGAAAGATTTTTCATATGCTGAGGGACAGAATTTATCAAAGTGTTCAAGGCTTTGACGTCTACGTCGACGAAAATGGAGACGCCGAAGGAAATTATACTGTACTTGGGAGGACAAAATTCCATTACAGTTTACCTTTTTATAACGTTACTGGCGATTACAGTATGAAACCAGTTGGTAGATTTAGATTAGACAAAGAGTCTGGAAAGACGAAATTGCTGTTTACCCCAAAGGATGGTATAGAATTAATGCAAATTATGGACGAACCATCCTGTGGATATAGGGGTGAAAAATGCCTTGTAAAACCTTGTAAGTACAGCAAATAATTACATCAATCTAGGCCATTGTCTAATAGAATTACTCGTATTACAGCTTATACAAAAGTAATCGTGTTATCCGTATTAGGAACTCTCTTTTTGATAACTTGTATAACTGGCCTAGTTACTTATAGGTAAGTAAAAATCAAATATTCACTCTACGACTCTACTTTATAAATCGATCAAAAAATCTTAAGGAATTGGAGATATGAGCAAGAGATTGACGGATTGTTATGGAAAATATCTTTAAGCGATATAGGTGGTTTAAAGGCAGATACAACTTCTGAATGGAGTGGAAATAGTGTGGAATCTTTAGACTTTAGATCTCACAGATTACAAGAGTGCGCCAAGAAAGGGACTTATAAGGGTCAAGTGGTTGCTTTAAAGCACTTTTGTAGACCTTCAATGGACATTGGTAGACTACTAAAGAAAGAGATGAAAACCATGAGATCGCTTAGACACGATAATCTTAATTCTTTCATCGGAGCTCATGTAGACGACGAAGATATCATAGTAGTAACGGAATACTGTTCAAAAGGAAGCCTGCAAGATGTCTTATTTAACGAGAATGTTAAATTAGATAGAATGTTTATAGCATCATTAATAATGGATTTAATAAGAGCAATGATATTTATACACAGTAGCGAATTAAATTCACATGGTAACTTAAAGAGTTCAAACTGTCTAGTAAACTCAAGATGGCTTCTTCAAGTATCGGATTATGGTTTATACGAAATAAGGAGAGAGAATTATAAAATGCAGGACGAAAATTATCGTTTTAAACGTAAGTTCTTTGTAATAAAACACATAATCTCTTTATGATTATTGATTAATTAACAAAAAAAAAAGAAAACAAGACATTTTTTATGGGTTTAATAATATGCCTTTTTAATCCAATTGTAATTTACAGTTAATCCTATTCGTCAAAATAAGACTATTTCTTCTATCTTCTATTGATACTATTAATATAACAAGTTGTTTTTTGTTGTCTTTTTTTAGAATTATTTTGGACTCCCCCGGAACATTTGAGAAACAAACCACCCAGAAGGGGAACACAAAAGGGTGACGTATACGCATTCGCTATAATTCTATACGAAATATTTGGTAAAACGACCCCCTATTACGGCTTGGATTTAACTCCGAGAGAAATTATAGAGAAGGTAGCTGCTAAAAGCAATGAAATCTATCGTCCTGATTTATCAGAACTAAAAGAATGTGAAGATTATATTATGAATACCATAAAAACATGCTGGTCAGAGGACGCCGAGCTTAGACCTGATTTTCAGACTATCAAGACAAACTTGAATAATTTATGCGGAGGAAGGTTAGTATCATTTTTCTTTTCTCTAAAAGAATAATATAAAAAATACCGAGCTAAGGAAAGAGTACCGAGAGAATGGGAGTGAGAAAGAGTGAGTGAGAAAGAGAGAGAGAGAGAGAGAGAGAGAGAGAGAGAGAGAGAGAGAGAAAAAAAAGACGCCATCTGCTTTTTATACTTTTAATCACAAGGAAGGGAGAGGGAAGAGAGAGAGAGAGAGAAAGTTAATTCTCGTTAAAGAATAATTAAATGTTAAAATTATTATGATTTGCAGGAGAAAGAACATCTTTTCAAACATGTTGAATATGATGGAAACGTATCAATCAAATTTAGAACGATTAGTAGAAGAACGAACCGAGCAATTAATGGACGAAAAGAAAAAAACAGAATCTCTTCTTTACAGTATGCTACCTATTTCAGTAGCCAAGCAACTAATAGCAAAGAAACCTGTCGAACCGGAAAGTTTTAGTTGCGTAACTATCTATTTCTCTGATATTTGCGGTTTCACGCCTCTATGCGCATCCAGTACACCTTTACAGGTCGTCAATCTATTAAATGACCTCTATACAATATTTGATAACATCATCAACAACTATTGCGTATATAAAGTAGAGACTATTGGTGATGCATATATGGTTGTTTCCGGATTACCGGAAAGAATAAAAGACGCTCATGCAGGAGAGATCGCATCCATGTCACTACATTTACTGTCTGCCATTAAAACCTTTCAAATTCCTCATCGTCCAGAGCAGCTTATGCTGAGAATAGGTATACATTCAGGATCTGTGGTGGCCGGAGTTGTTGGCCAAACAATGCCTAGATATTGCCTGTAAGCTATTATTTACGTAATTAGCCATGAGAACAAAGCCTCTGATTTAATTTTAATACAATTTCACTAGGTTTGGTGACACTGTTAACACGGCCAGTCGTATGGAATCGCAAGGTGAAGCTCTAAAAATTCATGTTAGTGCCGACTGTAAAAACGTTCTAGAGAAATTAGGTGGTTATAATCTCATTGAAAGAGGTCAAGTAACTTTAAAGGGTAAAGGATGTGTAAAAACATACTGGCTATTATCCGAAGATCAGAATATAAGAGCCGATAGAGTAAAAAATTCAAAAGTACTGCAAAAGATGGAAATTGAAGCGACGAGTCGTCATAGCGTTCTTGAAATAATGACTTCAACCGATTTAAGAAGAACAATATCATCTCAAAGTATAAGAAGAGTACCGAACGGTAACGCAATTCATTCAGAAACTGAGAAGTTATTAGAAGAAGAAAGTAAAATATAAACTTTCTGTTTGTTAATTTTATACTAATTACTAGAAATCTATAAGAACAAATACAGTATAAACTATATACAGTATATAGTATTTACACTGTGTAGACTTTTACTTATAATGATTATTGTTTGCTTGTTTGTTTGTTTTATAATTTTAGTTTCTTTCGTTTGTTTTACTTGGTTTTTTTTTCTTTTTTAATTTAATACATTGTTGACTTATATAATAAAGAAACAGATAAAGAAAATATTACTAGTATTCATCTATATAGTTTCTTTTCTTTTTGCAGTTTGTACAGTATACTATAAGCCTATAGTTTTTCATACTGTGCACTATTTATAAATGTATAAACATCGTCTTGTAATTAAATTTTTTAGTTCTATTATAAGTTTTGATAAGCACCATTGAAACCTTTTTATAAGTAAATGTAATAAATAAAATTAATCAATTTAGGTCATTCTTGACAAACTTTTTAAAAAGCTTTTTCTTGTTTCTTTTCTCTTTTCCTGTTTTTTTTTTCTTTTTTATTTATAAAAAAAAAGAAAAAACAAGTTTTCTTTGATTGTATATCTTTTCAGATTATTATTATTTCTCCTGCTTCTTTTTCTTCTTCTTCTTCTTCTCCTCCTTATTCTGTTTTCTTATCCTTCCTATTTTTTCTTTCTCTTTTTTTTCTATTAAAATAACAATATGCATCTTTCTCTCTCTCTCTCTCTCTCTTAAATAGAAGATAATTGAGTAAATAAGTAAATACACTAAAAGCAGAAATATTTCAATGTTTCTTTTTTTGTTTTTTAACAAAAGCAAGTAACGTTTGAGAATCATTTTTGTTTGTTTTTCTTTTAAATGTCTTGTTCTTCTCTCTTACGTTATAGATGCAATGGATCTATCCATAGAACTTGATGAGCATTACCGCTATGAGGCCATTTACATTGGATATGACGTCTTCGACCATTTACTATTAGGAATGATTCGTCGGATGGAGATGCTAAATAGTCTCCGAAGTAACCGCTATTTTTAATTGTTCTTTTAGATTTCATACTGGAACGAGGTTTCGGAGGAGCTCCAACGCCTATTGACAAAAAACATTGCTAGTATATATTCGTGCGTGTTAGCATAAGAACTTAATAGCTTACTTTCGATTATCTCTGTTCGATCCAAGTATAAATCGATAAATACGATTTCGTTGGTGCTAGTAGAATAAAAGAAATTATAACCCAAAGTCGTTGAAGAAGGGAAATATTCAATTTCGATTAAGTTTTTCCTATCCCTGATAGTTTTTATTTTCTTAACTTCTCCACCGTCATTTATACTATAAACCGTAATGTCTTGACCGTCAAAAATCGATAGTGTTCTACCGTCAGGTGAAATAAAACTCTTACCAACTTGAATTGTACCGATAGGTAAATCTGAAAAAGTATCGATCAAGGTTGACTGATTTCCACACCTAATTATCGCCTTTCCGCCAATAGGAAGGAAATTGACGCTTTGGTCGCCTTTACAATCGATGTTGCGGAGAAAGCGTTTTGTTTCTAGGGAAATTTTCTTAATGCTCTCACCGGACTTTAAATAGGCAAAGGTTGACTTTGATAATACGCCAGATGGAATCCAGAGTTTTTCTATCCGAAAGCCAACATCCAAAAGTGTCACTTTCCTATCACTTAATTTACTAACTGTAGACAAGACAAATATTGAATGGTCGCTTATTAACCATATCTCATCTCGGTTTTCTATATAAGTTAATCCGTTCGGATTACCATCGATGTATATTACGTCAACTGGACTAGCTCTATCTTGTAGTTGTATAACTATAATCCTTCCTAAATCCGGCTGTGCCGCGTAAATTAAGCTATTCTTAACTATTATCACATCTCCCCATTTACAAACTTTAGAGCACAAATCCGTCGGGCGTCTTTTAAGACCATATTGTGGCGACATCTGTAGGATATCGGACAAATCATGATTTGTGTCCAACTGCCGCCTTAATTGACAAGTTCCCGGTTCGTGTATATTATAACCATAATCATGGAAGAATATAAAAAGATTATAAAATCCTATAGGACCAGTTGGAACCGATTGAGAATTTTCAATAAAGACGGTGGCTGTATCTGATGAACTTCCGGCCGAATTTTGTCCAATACACTTATAGGCACCCGTGTCTCGACTACTAGTTGCTCTATCGATTTGCAATCTAGAATTGTGATCTGCAGAGAACAAAATAGGGATGACGACATTAATAATTAAAGTTAACTGAATAGATAAAAGTCTTAAATCACGGTTGAATAGAAAATAACTTTAAATAATAGACAATCTACCATCTTATAAAAACTATCAAAGTTTCTAGGAAATACTAGTGGCGACATCTGCCGACAAAATATATGAATTAGTCGATATTATAATGATTAGATTAACGAAATACGTTTGTAAAGTCACGTAGAAGAATTACATGACTTGTTAAAGAATGAAAGAGAGAACAAAAAAACAGAGTTTTTGGTTAAAATTCATTTTAAATGAAGAAGAGAAATGATATTTTATTTGTAAAATTATTAATTAACTTTGTTATAGAATGATGAAAAAAAAAAAAAAGACTGGCCAACTGTATATCGTTTATAAAAAAGGCCTTTTAATATACTTAATGATATTTATATATCCTTAATAAATCCTTAAATAAACATTTCTTTTATAGCGTATTACTTTGTACAAACTATCTATATAGAAAGACCAATAGTCACGTTTATACAATCCTTTCTACCGTTAATAATCTGTGTTTGGTTATATTAATATATGTATTATTTAGTTTATTATGTATACAGTATAGTCTATCTGTTAGTAATATATTCTATATACAGTATATGGATTATTAGATTAACTAAAAATGACAAAAAAGAGGTTATATAGGTCATCAGAAGTATGAAAAACATTAAGCCTAAACAAGGCTGGCTTTTCGTAATCAATAAAGTATTAGTTTCTCATTTTTTGGGTAGCTATAAAAAATTTGTTTGGTATCCGTTGTTCTCTATTTGCCATACAAAATCATCAGATATAGTTAATTATCTTCCCTTTCCCCTCTCTCTCTCTCCCCCACCCTCTTTCAAATTCAATTGAAAGTCTTTCCTGAGAAGACTTAAAAATGTTTCTTTCTATTTTTTCACTCCCTCCCCCTTTACCTTCCCCCTCCTCCTTCTTTTAAAAAAGGACTTTTTATTATACTTTAAAGATATACAAAAGAAGAAATGAAGGGAAAAGAAATAAAGGAAGAACAAACCAATGCGAGAAGAAGAGATGTTAGAAAAAACACTTTATTTATTTTGTTAATTAAGTTAAAAAGACAACCATATAAAATAAAAAAAGGCGTGTAAGTCTATAGTCTGAGAAATGGGAATGAAAGGAGAAAAGGGAGAAAGGAAAGGAAGGTCAGAGATAGAGAACCTCTGTCGGTAACATCTGGCGTTGATTTACAATCGTCATTCGCACAAATTGACCCGAAGGGTAATTAAATGCATTTGGCTACTATTTGATTTCCCCTTTTTTCCCTACATTTCAACTTAACTAGGTAATTATCGTTCAGCTTTACTAGTTATCCAATACGGTTTTTTACTATCTGTATAGTGTTAGATATATTCTTTTACTTATACCTCTTCTCTTCCTCCTCCTACTTATCTTTTCCCTCTTCCCTTTTGTATGCTCTAATAAATTAATTTGATAATTTAAATAGTATTAAATCTCAAAGATTTCCTCTACACTGTTAGAGGGATTTTTTTTTGTAGGGCGCCTCCTGGAGGAAAAGTATTATATTTGATTTATTTAATTTAAGCTATCATTTTTGTTAACTGTTGAATATTTAATAAGTAAGGGAGTATAAGAAATATGATGAATAATTAAAGATAACGGAAAAAATGAGGCTTACTTTGAAATGTTGTTTTTGTATCAAATGGATCATCGTAGAGGTTATGCTCGTTCATCTTCCATGAAAGCAACGGTGTCGGTATCCCATCAGCATGACATCGTAAATCGATGCTCGAGCCATTCAGGTGGAATTGAGTTGAAGGATAAATGATAACCTTTGGTTTTACTGTTTGTTTTATTTACATTTGTTTAATTATGAATGAATAATTAAGTTGTTTATTAATTTAGAGAAAGTAAAGTAATAAAAGAGACAAATCAAAAGTTAAATGTAATTAAAATACTAAGTAAGATAATACTTTACCGTTTACAGTAAATGTATGAGTTTGAGCAGCGTCTCCACACTCGCATGTATAGTTTCCTGAATGACTCGTTTCAACGTCGTCCAAATAGAGTACGTATTCTCCTATAACCTGTACAAAATGGAGGAAGTAATTTATTAAAGATGCCCAAAATACGATATGAATACAAGGTGAAATTATGAAATTGGATAAGTTAAAAAGATGATATTGTATGAAAGGATAAAAAGAGATTATTTAGATAGAGACAAAGAGAGAGAGATATACTGTATATATATATATAGAGAGAGAGGGAAAAGGGGAGGGAGGGGGGGTCTCAAAGAATTAAGAATGTCTCTGACATATAAATTACTGTTTCCCCTGTGCTTGGTATTTTTTCTATCTATTTAGTGAAAATTTTGCTCAAGTGCATTAACGAGTAGGCCTACACATGGGATTTCTATTTCAACTTCTTTGTATTTATCTTATTCATTTCATTAGAATTAACAACTAAAGAGAGTTTGCGTTAATGTTAAGTAAATTTTTATGAATATATCGTATAACTCTTAATACCGAAGCAAACAATGCTATGTGTATACAAGAATTTGGAATTGTTGATCATTGTTCATCGTAACCGAAGGCTGTTAGCGAAAGAGAAATGACAATTGAAATATCAAAAGGTTTTGTCTTTTCTGTAAGTAAACAGTAAGAGAGATAATTTTAGAAAACTACAATATATATTGTATATATAATATGCATAGAAGAGCAAACTGATTATTTACAACTACTAATATAACAAACATCTATCCGTTTGATAGAAAAAATTGTATTTATTAATACTTATGGTTTTCTATTTCAGCTACCTGATAGAATACTGAAGATAGGCTGTAATCTATCTTAAGTAAGACGGTAGGACTACTAAAGGAAACAAACTAGTAAGTTAGAATGGACAGAATTTTTCGTATGTGCGAAGTAAGACCTTCGGTGGATGCAAATTTCGTAAACTTAATCAGCAATCGATCGCCCTACCACGCTACTCCTACCAAGAATGAGTAAAGGAAAGAAATTAGGAAATATACGTGACCTCCAACTGAACTTGTTCTCTTTTTTAAGATAAAACTTATTATCCTATTTTTTTTTAAATACTTTCTCTCTGATCATTGAACTGGAATAATTAGAAAGAGATTTCACTATTAATCCCTAACGGAGAGCGAATAGAGAGAAAAAAGGAGAAACTTGCTTTTATCGATCCTAAATCTTTAAATTCCACTCCATTCCTCTTCCAAATGATTCTTTTCCCTCTTTTAATATCGCAACTCAAACGAACGTTGCTTCCTTCTTTAACAGAAGTTTTAACGTGCGTCAAAGATGGATCTATATAAGCGTTTAAATCGAATGCTCTATTGAATTCTTCTTCGCTAATTGTTCCATCTTCGTTGAGATCGTCGTACGTGATTAAATCCAGCAAAGTACACGAGGAAAAGCTATCCTTAATTTCTAAATTTATTTCGTTCTCTTCCAAAACACCATTAGAGTTTTTGTCCAAATCCATAAAAACTCTTACTCCACCATTCGATAGACAATCTTCGTTGCACAAACGTCTGAAAGCGTCATCCTTGAAACTTTGAAATTCAACGCCACACGAAGGCAATTCTACAGCAAATTCTGAAAGAAAACAAAGGAGAATGCATTATTCATCAATTTTCTGCAGTACATTCAATACTTTCTAAATAATAACCCTAATAAAAAAGAAAATAGAAGGCTAATAAATAACTTTTTCTTATAATTTGCGCAATAAAATGTATTTTTTCCGAAATGACGCCGCTGGCTATAACGTAAAAGGCGTTTTTTTCTTCCATAATTTGGATTGCTCTGTAAGACGAATTTATCGATCTTTTTCTATACATTATCTCTAGTTTGAAAGACGCCCATCAACTGAATATTTCACGCTGTATTACATCTCAAAGGTGTTGTAAGACATTCCCCTATTTTATCTATATGCCAAATCAAATACACCAATTATCGGGAATATCTACTGGAAAAATTGATATTATTGATCTTTTTATACAAAAAAAGAGACGTCTTTTTCTCCATTACTACTCCTTTCTCCGCCCCTCGCCCGCTTTCAAAAAGAGAAGAGAGAGCTGGTAGTAGTGTCAACTGTTAAAACCCGCCTTTCCTCCCCGTATTCTATCGAGAGCGAGAAACGAGAGGATGGGGGCGTCTTTTTAAAGACTAATCAAATAGATTTTATTGAAATAGCATTCAATAGCCCAACTACAGTTAGTAGGGACGGAAAAAGATAAATAAAGAGGGAGAGAGAGGGAGAGATCTATATTATATACAATAGACTATTTTTAATTCATACAAAGACAATAATAAACTAAATGAAAAGCACACTTTATACATAAAAGATGAAAAGTTATATCTATAAATATAAGCTTTTCAATGTTTTTATTGTCCCTTCTACCTTCCTTTCAATTCTTACTTTTCGTTCTTTTCGAACAATTAAGGGAAGAAATTATCAGTTTTCTCCTTTGAAGTTAAATAGAATAAACGGAGAGAAAAGGCATAAGAGAGTGAGAGAGAGAGAGAGAGAGAGAGAGAAGGAGGAATAGGAAGATAGAAAGCGTTGCTTCAAATTAATTATATTTCTAACTAATTCTAGTCGTTTAGTAGTATTCCTTTATTTTACTTTTATAATTCTTAAGGATTCTTCTTTGCAAGTTTGAAAGTCTTTTCTAACTGCTCTACTGTTTCTTTCTTTGTTCTATTGGCTCTGAGGCAAACCAAGTAATGAGGTATATTAATGATTAGGTTTTTTTTAGTAAGAAAGAAATAAATCTTTTCTAATTAGCAGTAATAAGCTGATTTTCTATTTTTATGTGCTGCGTCCCTCCCCCCTCCCTCTCCTGTCTTCTCCCTCCCTCCCAAAGAAAAGGAACATTCAACTATTAAGTACACAACGTACTTTAATTAATACTTTATTGTTAATTGACGCTTTAAGCTTCGGTTAAATGAGGATTTATAAAGAAAAAGTAATGATGAAAAGAGATTTCAACACCTTTCTAAATTGTAAACAACTATTCAGAAATTGGACACTAATTGTCAGCAAATGATTTATGTTTGCTCTTTTGTAAATAACGAGCAGCGTTTTCCAGCTGCCTATTGTAGTCGCTCCATGTATTATTAATTAACTTAAAGCTTTAGGTCGTCTGCATTATTGCTGTAGCACTTTGCAGCTTATGCTATTAGCCGATAGCTTTCGAGAGTTGGGAATTTATGCATTTATTCCGTTTTATAAGAGAAATTCAATTTTTTACATTAGAATAGAGTATGCTAAGCGTAGGGAAAATATTTTGGCAGTCTCAACCATGTGATAATAATAAAATCCTAGTATTATTAGACTAGTTAATTTTCAAAGAGTCTGACATTCGTAATAATTTTTCTATATCAGTAAATTTATAGGCGAAAAAAAGGGCAACTAGCTCTCATCAACAAAGGACTTTATATGGGAAATAGCGTCAATTACCAATTAGGGAATGATCGAAGTAGGGTGAAAAAGTATATAACAGAGATAATTTCTTTCTCAAGATCCTTGAACATTTCATAAATAGATATTTTAAATAGATGGAGAAGAAGGTATGCATCTACTCTGTTTACAAAATATGTATATAAATCCAAGCGTTCCTTGAGTTCTTAATTAGAGATAACAAGATGATGCTTTAAGCCTTTAGACGTATACGAATTGCCAGCGGCTAAATTCTAGTAATGATAAGCCTCATTAATTTATTTATAAATAAAAAAAACCTTAGTAAGTAATGGATGCTTTAAATATTTAATATATTAAATATATATATTGTATATAATCTATATAAGTAAACTAATTATGAATATATATATATATATATATATATATATATATATATATAACTAATATAAACACTTGAATAGGAGAATTTATGCTAATTTGTTAATTAGCTTGCTAACTTAATAAATTCATAGGTTGGTTAAAGCTATAATAATTCCGAATGGATTGAACTAGTTCCTTGGACAAAGGTTGAATGAAATACTATATGCCAATTATTGATTACTTTTCCTCTTTTTTTAATAATAAACATTGGCTTATATGAATATAAAAAACTATCTAATGAAAACTATTATTTAATGCCATAAACTGCAACAAGAGAAGGCTATAAAGAAAATATGAAAATTATTATATATACATAAAAAATTTGTGCAGTAGTAATAAAGTCTCATGCAATTTTTTTTTTTTTGCTGTATTGCAGTTTGCATTTAATTTTCATGCTATTTTCTCCCTTAACGTTGTACCTGATAATATTCTATATTCGTCTTTAAATATAAAGATATACTGCGCTTCTACTCTACCTTCGAAATGGCTACATAAGAAATATGTATGGGAATATTGTAGTTTTATTGCAGTCGGCTAATCTATTCAGCACATCCCGACCGCAATAATTCTTACAGATCAACTCGTCGAAACGTCTTTACCGCTTCACTTACCCCGACAGGCTTTTCCAGTCTGATCGACGCCAATTCGACGACGGGAAACGCAAGCCGTCCTGTGCAATTCGCAGTGGCTGGTATATTCGATACCGTCCGTGCCACAGACTTTCTTTTGTCGATCTTTACAGAAATCCGGGCCGCCACAAACGCATTCGGCATCACCAACTGTATTTATATGGCAGTAACGTCCAATACGGCAAAACTTGTGACGGCATTTCTCTGCAACATTGATTTAGAGTTTAAAATATTGCGATATATATGTATATAATGCTGCCATATAATTAGGAATCGATATTGAATTGCTGAAACGTTGTTGATAAACGTCACTTCTGACTCACCTGATTCTTCGCTCTACAGGGAAATTGCAGGGGAAAAACAGAATAGATGTCTATATTATTCTCGTCGATTAATTAACACTCATACCTGATAAGCCGCACAGAAGGCAAACAACACAAATTGTAATATAATTGTTACTTTCATGCTCTCATCCTGTTCTACGCCGTCCTTGTAAAAGGCGTCTATAGACGCTTTTATGGGTGAGTTTATTTAGATAGGGGTGTCGACTGATAATCATAGTTATTACGGTGACGACTCGCTTATTGGTGATGTGAATAAACAACCGTAAAGCTTTTTTTCCTACCCATAATTTTTTTCCAGTATTCTTTAAAGCGTTTTGGCTCTTTATTTGTTTCCTTTTGTTTTTTACATGAAACAGATGTATTACGCTGCCTGAATGGGCGTATTTACTATTGATACGGCATATGTTTTCTTTTTTAATGAATTGTATTTAATGCATGAAGTCTATATATGTAATGTAAAGGAGGAGTGAGATATCAATAGGTGAATAGATTATGCCATGATATTAGATTGATTTAAATATAAATATAGTATACCTATATAGGAATATGGAGGTAAAGAAAAGAAGAGATAAGGATAGCGACAGAGCGAGAAAGAGAGAGAGAGTGAAAAGGGGAGAAATAATTGTTTAACAATAATATATATACTGTATATATATATATTCATACAAATCCTCAATCCATAAATGTATATATAGTATACAACTGACTGTTAGCTTGTGAAATTCAATTACGCATGGTGACTGACGCCAGCCATTGTTTCATTAGGAGAACATTCATATTTTATAGTTTTTGATCGTTCTTTCCTTCAGATTGTTAACGACTTTTTGATGAGTTACGTGTAACTTGTCTCCTTTTATATATACTCTCATTATATATAGATATATGACTATTTTTTTTCATTAAAAACAAAACACAATGGACTTTCTCTTTGTTGTTGAAAAAAAAACCCGCTTCTTAGATTCGCCAGCGCTCTCTATTGGATTTCTTTACTACCTGGACGGATGTATTTCGCTCCTATCTCTCTTTTTACCTCTTGCAAGACAATCCGCACGAAACGCCATCTAGTAGAAATAAGTGAAATTAAATTTCTACTTGGTCTCGATTAACGTTGATAAAGGACATTATTTGTTGGAAAAGAGGAAATAGCTTGTAGATAATTTACGAAAATTATTTTAAGTATTAAATATTAAATATTAAATATTTCATGACAAAAGTGTATCTAGGAACGGGGAAATAAATGATGAACTGTCAACAAATGTGATGAAGAATAGATCATAAGCTGGTGGTAAAAGTTGTCTTTTTTTTTTAACTATAAACTCTCTGCTTTTCCATGGTCAGCGGGAGCATTTGAAAAATTTATGAATAATTCAATAGGTTTGGTCAATTAAAAGAGCTAATTTAATAAATATTTAAAAGGTGTTCTTATTCTATTCAAACAAAGTCTTGAACAATTTTTCATAGAGCCCATAATTAACCTATTGTAAGTAAATATTTGTAGATTTTTCATGACTTGCTCCTTAAGTTGTAGACATTTACTTTTGCTATCTTCTTTCTTTTATTCTATCCCTCGTCTCTCTCTCTCTCCCTTTCCTTACATAATAAAATATTTTTTCCATCAATTTTTCATCGAATCCTAACCAATAGATGGCGTATTATTTCCGAAAGATAGTTTGTCAAAGAATAGTAAACGATAAAGGCTAAAAAATTTATAACTAAGATTTTTTCCCCTCAATAACAAAGAAATACAATCTACTTAGATACTTGAATAAAATTGTTTGTCATATAATAATCAAGTTTGGAATAAATTTCCTGCAATAACAGCGTTGTGTAGTCTTTTATTTGTTCAGAGATAGTTTCGCGTAGAATCAGAGTAAATATTGATGAGTAAATTTGGAAGTTTTATAGATAGGCTAATCAGCTAACCTTTTTTCTTTCCTATGAATTATATAGTATAGAGGAAAACGATATATATGTATACAGTATACATATATATATATATATATATATATATTTTATATGAATATGTATACATTAATATAAGAACATTGCATAAGGTGAAATGAAAATGAATAAACAGGATATTGTTTATAAGTCTTTGAACTACATACTTGCATATTAGTGAAGGAAGAAGACTCTATTTTGTAGAGTATAAGAATAGATTGGCTTCCATTAGAAACAGACTTAAGATTAATAGCGGGAAATGGTGTTAATAATTGCGTACAAACTTGGAAATAGCTGTTTTAATGAAATATCTTGTATTTACTCAATAACTGATTTAGTTTAGACGGAGGAGAAGGTGTGAGAAAGAAGAAAACAGGAAAAAGAAAAAGGGTTAAACTAGTCTAATCACCCAAAAAGATTTACAAAAACCGGAAATGATCTATCTGCTGCTCCCTCACCCTTCCCTTCCCCTTATTCGAGACAATATTCGACGCTCATTAATATTCTCGACGTCCCGTAATCGAACGTCTTCATCAATCCACTTGCCACGAGTCGCGTCATCGTAGTATAAAAAAAGGAAGATAGAAGAGAGGAGAGAAAACACAGTCAACGCCGCCCTAGACGCCCCCCAGCGACGTCGCGCCAATAAATGCTGTTGAGACGCGTTTGACGCAAGTAGTTTATTATGCTCCTACTCCTCGCTGTTCTTCTCTTTCCGGGTGTTGGTGAGTGGAAAATTTGCTGAATTTTTTAAACGGATCGTCTAAAACCCGCCATTAGAACAAATCAATTATGCATCTTCGGACGCAACGGCGTTATTAGCAACTGGAGATGCTTGTGTATAGGCGTCGTCCCTTCTATACTTTGTCATTATCCTCCTTTAGATGATCAGTACATTAAGATGTCTTCGTCTTCATGTCTTTTTTCATCCTCTCTTTGTTATTAGGAGCACCAAAGTAGAAAATATACTTATGCACGTTTTCATATACAGTTTTCTTTTATACTTTCTCTTCCGTAGATAATCACTATAGAACAATTACAGTTATCAACTTCTTTCCTCTTTATCATATCTTTTTTAGTGATATTCTCTTTTCTTTACAACTTCCTTCCGTTCTTTCTTCTAGCTGTCCGCCAACTACTCCCTCATTTTCATTTTTCTTTCTTACGTCCATATCTCTCTACTCCTCCTATTCCTGCTCCGTCTTCTATTATTTCTGTTACATTTTATTCCCATCTTCCCGCTTCCCTTACCGCTCATCTACAATTTTGACGATTCGAATTATATAGGCGTAGAGTAGCAATAAAGCCCTATTACGGAAATGGGATTATTCCTATAGGATAACTCTCATCAATTTCTCACATATATCAGTAGTTATAAACAATTTTAGAGAAAGATGACTTATCGTTCAACTAATGTATTTCCTGTCAATCAATATTAACAAAATTATTTTTCCTTCGAAGATTATCCTTTCTTTATTAATTAAATTAAAATAAACAGATATCCTTATTAGATTGATAACATAGATTAACCATAATGCATAATTTAATAATATACATTTATGATATGTAAACAGGTATGTACTACTTTCTATGTTGAAGTAAATAGGCCTATTGTATGTATCTTTGCTAAAATAAAGAATAATAGAGAGAGAGAGAGAGAGAGAAAAAATTAAAAAGAAACGCTTCACAAGAAAGTTTCTTTTTAATTTTTTTTGGATATGGAATGTGTTTGTAGAAAAACTTATCCTTTTTTATTTAAAGATTTGTCACTCTCTTGTTATCGTTTCTTATTCTTTTTCTCCTTCTTCTCCTACTCCGTTGTGCTTGATAGCGTTTCTTTCCAGTTTTGACGCCTAGTAGGCATAATATGTAAAGTGACAATGAAGTTTGTTATTAGCTCTCCAAGTATGAATAGAATGGTCAAATGGAGTATAATTGAAATGAGATATATAAGTAGTCTATATTTATTTTCTCATCTTGAAAGTTAATATACAAATTTCTAATTTTGCTATGTGTGAGAAAGAGAGAGAGAGAAAGAGAGAGAGAGAGAGAGAAAGAAACAGAGACAGAGAGACAGAGACCGTTTAAGAGCGTCTAGATTATACCTGTAATATATTTATAGAAAAAGAGGTTTTGAGTAATACACTTATATGACTGTATCTTCAATCAACCTTTTTTTACAGCATCAAACGTCACTGAAGTCTGTAATGGTGCGACTTGGGACGCTGATTGCGGCCCCAACAACCGTCTTATAATCCAAAACGCTGATTACGGGCGAATGGAAGTGGGTCATTGCGTCAAGTATAGCCTCGGTCATTTAGGATGCTCAAAGCCGGTCACGGATATACTTCATAATTATTGTAGTACCAAAAGGGAATGTCATATTAAGATACCAACTAAAGAGATGGAAGATCGTAAACCTTGTTTCGGAGAAATGAAAGTATATCTTAGAGTTACTTGGACTTGCCTTCCAATGGTTGAATACTGTAATCCCAAAAAATTACCCTATTCAGGAATTTTAACAAAAAACTTTTGCAAAACTACAACATTAAAGGCTGGAAAAGGTCAAAAGTTCAGTATCAGCTCTCTAGTTATACAAGACAATTCAAAAACAACAAGAATCTGTAAAAGTCACGTGATTATAAATCAAAGAAGATACTGTATTCCAGCAAGTATAGGACTTCACCAGCTCGAAATTGACGATGCGGAAAAGATGACGATCGAATTTGAGGAGCAAGCTGTTCTAGTTTATTCAAGTAGGGATTTTTTTTTGTTTTATAGTTATACTAATATAAATGATAAGATTGAAGAAAATAGCTTAAAACCCGTAATATTCATATATATAATTAATCGGAAATTCATATTTAATAAAGGGATAATTACGTAAATCCTAGTACAAATCTATAAAGCGTATATATGCAATATATATATATATATACTAAGGTGTATATACTAGTAGAATTTGTACAACACAGATGAAATAGACCGCCCATCACCCTTTCAACCCTTTCATATATAAAGGGGGTGGGAATTGATATGTGACAAGAATCGTATGAATATCAAGATTCTTATAAGCAATATGAAAAATATTTACAAAATATCTTCTAACGAAACTGTTTACTTTATTTGATTATAAACAAATGATTTAGTTGACACTTTCCTTAAAAAATGTGTATTTTTACATTATTTTCTTCATTTTCTTCCTCCCTCCCTCCCTCCCTCCCTCTCTCTCTCTCTCTCTCTCTCTCTCTCTCTCTTTTTTAAATATTAATTATAGTAGATTCTATCTACGTAAACTTTTTAAGATGTAGCTATTAATATTTCTCATTTGCTTTGTTCATGTATATATTTACACTTTTACATTATTTTTTATTCATTTTCATAGGTTAGCAGTAAAGTGCAAACGTTATAATTAATGATTATAGTATATTGCTCTTTAGTAATAATTAACAAATTTTATTTTTAAATGGACTTATCTCATCTAAGAGTTAATCAGTGATAATTAATCCCCTGTTAACCCTTCTTTCCTTTTCCTTTTCCTCCTTCTTTTCTTCTTCTTTTTAAAATCTAAAGTTTACGGTAGAAATAACGAGATAAAATATCTTTTTTTCTTTTTTTATTTCACCTGTTTCTCCCAGAAGCAGTGTGTTTTATGGCTTGATATTATCAATATCAATTGAATAGACATCATTAAATATTAGAAAAAGAATAAAACTAGGTCAAAAGGAGACAATGATTTTGTCAATGTTTATTCATTAAGAAGAAAACGCTTTTATACTATTCTTACTAATAAGGGGGCAGCGTTAATGAGACTATTTTCGACCATTGTTTTCTGTTTTTATTACATTCTTACAAATTCTTCTAGATACTTATCTATCTTTGTAGTATTGGGCTGCGAGACGCCTTCGCCAAAAGACGGTTTCGTAATTCGACGCCAAGACATATATTTATCGACGAGATGCGAGCAAGACGATCGAATGCATCAAGCTGTCTGTGTCAGAAATCAGTGGAAAGGTGAAATTGCTAATTGCACTACGCAAGGTACGTTATTACTCTATTTTTCTCTCTGAATTTCGTTACAAGTCTATCTGCTCTTTGCCTACTCGTATCCATTTCTTATCCTTCCTCCTCCCCCACTTACTCCTCTCACTTCCATCTGTCTAAGCTCTCCATCTTCTCTTTCAATCTTGCAACCGTCAAAAGACGTACAATTTTAGATATATAGATATGTATCTAAATTAAAACAGACAGAAAGAAAAATCCTCTGCTCGTTTTAGCATTTAAGCCCTTATACCTTTCCCCTTTTATCATAATCCCTTTGGCCACCCTTTCCCGTTGCTTTAACCTCCCCTTCCAGGCATCTCTTACGCAAGAGCGAACAGTTCGACGCATACATATTCATAATGGGTCGCTCGTCAGGAGCTTTTCGGGCGTACAGCATGATTTAGATGGGGCGTTACTTTTTCCGCAATTTTGCTCCTAACTAACTAGTAAAAAGTACAGCTTAAAAAATAGGATAGAATAAACTTGAAAGAGCGACAGAGAGAGTGAGAGAGTGAGAGAAAGAGAGAAAAGGATGAGATCTTGTTAAGGCAACGTATATACTGTAAGATAACAAAGGTTCAAATACTGCACGATTTTTCCAGAGGGAAGATAGCGCTAAATGCTGACTCTGACCCTATTAGTTTCAAAATAATTAATTTTTTTACGCCATATTAAAGCCGTTTGAGAAAGGTCCCACGAGCATTATTAACCTTTATAAATTCGGGTCAATAACTAGTATAAAAGATAGTCTCTAAAAGACTCTTTCCAAAACTAAAAATAGCTTCATTTGTATTGTTAAAATAGTAAAAGGTACATCTATCTTTTCTTTATCTTCCAATTCTCTCTTCTTTATTTATACCTCTCTCCCTCCTTTACCAGGTTTTCCTAAATGCAATATACTAAAATATATTAATACTTTTCCTTCTTCTCTGCCTTTTTCTGTTTCTCTCCCCACCGCGCGCGCTCTCTCTCTCTCTCTCTCTCTCTCTCTCTCTCTTTCTTTCTCCCTCCACTCTTCCTTTCAGAGACTTGCTATAGTCTATTTTTGATAGCGAGAAATCTTATTTTGTTCTTAAGAATCTATTATAGTACAATACAAACCCATTATCGCGTCATTTTTCTCATTCGACATTGTAACAGGTTTCTTGTCTCATTAAAGCGAATTATTTTCGCAAATAATTGCCAATAATTGAAAAATTAATAATATGGGAATAAGAATGATAAATTTATAAAGAGGGAAAGAAACTGATAGGGAAATTGATGAGAGTTAATTGAGAAGAAGATTGAAAGAATAGGTAAATTATCTTTAAAATATTGATATAGAAAGAAAATACTTGGAATAATTGATGAATAATTCATGATGTCATTGCATGAGCTATAATCGCGTAATCAGAATCATAAAAGTCTAGAAAAGTGATTGGTAAATGAAATTATTTAGCCCAGTTGGTATAGAGAATAGTCGTGTACTCGAAGGAGAAACGTCTGCATGCTAGCATATAAAAAATTAATCATTCTATAGTTAACAAATTCATCTTTCATCATGCCCTTAACAAAAAGAAATCATCTTGAAAATGTTGTCTTTAGGGCGTCACTCTTGGCTCTTTTTATATAAATTTCATTGCCCTCAATATTTTCTTTTTTATCGTAATGAAGGAAAGATACAAGACAAAAAACAGAAAGGAAAGGAGAGGAAAGAATATATCCTACATATTGTCTTTGAGTAACATTTATAAAAAGAATATAGATTAAGCAAGCATTTTATTGTTAATTATTCCTTTACGCTTTAAGAGTTGTTAAAGATGTTTACCATCATGACAGGTTATAGGAAGAGTAGTGTCTTAAAGAGAGAGAGAGAGAGAGAAAGAGTGAGTAAGTGAGAGTGAGAAAGAAAGAGAGAAAGCAATGGTACTCGTTTTGCCATCTTCCGGGAAGTAATCAAAACAATAATTATCTACATAATCCACTAATCCAGCATATAGTCTATTAATACAAATCAAAAAATACTATAATATTTATTATATAAAACTCTTGTAATAAGTTAAACAACCAGTTTTAAAAACATTGAAAATAGTAAAAGAATATTTTAGATCAAAAGTAAGATACATCTATAAAAATATTCAATAGAACGTTTTAACGGTTTTTTCCTTTTCTAAGTTCCTTTTTTGAGGATCGATCAATAAAGTATAGGAATAAACAAGTAAGTGATAAGTAGCGGTAGATTTTTTGCTTATATAAACAAAATTCCTTTTTTATAAACGTGATGAAGAGTTTGGAAAGAAAGAGAGAGAAAGATAGGTAGATCTAAAATGTTTACACGAATAGAGGATATACGTTTTCATCTATATTTGAAAATGATATACAAATTAATAACTATGCCCCGTATAATCCTTCCATTCTACAAGTTCTCTAATAACTCCCTTATCCTTATTTCCCTTTATTTTGCTAATTATTGGTTGAATGTTTCATATCCCTTACAGGCAAGGCCGTAGCCGTTAATGAAGACAAATCGAAAACGGATAAAAGTAAAGTCCCTATCAATTATAGCTCATTATTATTGATCATTACGTTTTTCCCTATCCAGGAATTTCTATAATATTAACGGTTGTCGCCGCCGTTCTTATAGCCTTCGTCGCACCATTTGCTGTGTTATGTTACTGTAAAAGGTATTAATTTTCAATACTTTTTAAAGCAAGCACTCCTCTTTTTTAATTAGACTATGAATATTCATGTATTATGCAAATTTTTAAGTAAAGAGAATTCTAACTAAGTAAAAGATATTAGCAGAAAAGAACGAGAAGGATTTGTTATATATGTTTTTATCTATTTTCAGGAAAATGAGACTAAAAGATAGTGATATCATATACGTTCCTAGAGAGGCACAAAAATATCCAGCGCCATCTACTTGTAAGCACGATAGAATGGATCATATCTACGAATATCCTAATTGGAATAATGTAATGTAGTTTCTTTATAGGCATTCTCTTTAGATCTAAATACGATTCATACTGTACCCATATACATATATATATATATACTGTATAAACCTTCGTGTACAAACTCTAATTGAAACGAAATACTCATTTTTATCTATGTTGTTTCTTTTTGATAATTGACATCTTTCCAAGTATAAATGCAACAAGAAGACAATATTTTAACAAAGTACTAAACGAGGATAACAGCTTCTATATATGTATATATGTACTGTTTGTACTGTATTAATACAGTATATCACAAACGTGACCTTTATTACTTAATACCTTTTCTTTTTTACTATCATTATTGTTTGTTATAAATTACAGATATAACTCTTTTACATGATTTATCAATCATTTTCAAATGTTTCGTACAAATACATTTCAGTTATGATATCATTACATATAGTCTATTATTTAAGAATATACGTGTTTATTAAAATAGCCGATAGATGGGGCCATTAGCCCCACAAGTTATATATATACTATATATTCCATTATAAGTTTGTTTATGTATTAAAATATATTGAAATTATTATTTAATTTATATGTTTAATTAAAAAAATGTTGATTTCTGTAAAAATTTAATAAAACCTGTCTGAAAAAAATCAAGTAATATTTAAATTAATTAGTGTTTTCTATCAAAAAAGTGAATGATTTATAGAAGAGGAAATGGAAAATGGGTGTAGAAAGGAACAAGGTAGAACTTGAGAAGAAGAAAGAAGATATATATATATATATATATAAATTAATGAATACGAAAAGAGAATGAAAGAAATTATATATCTTATTGATTATTGATTGATACATTGATAAAGGTTACATTGATTTCATATACTTAATTACATCAGGAAGGTGATTATTTCCATTGGATTATCTTAATTTAATAGTCTCTGTTATCGATAAGGCCTTGTCTTTCTACAAGATTAAGAAAAAGCTAGCTATTTGATCTGGAGAAAAAAGAGTCTTTTTAATAAAAGTATTAAGAGGAAATGAGAAAAAAACCTATATTTATCATATATTATTATTATATGTATATGTAGTGTAGAGTAGTAGTTCTCCCCTCCTGGACAGAAATTCAATGGGGGTTGGGAAGGAGGGAAAGGCAATTGAAACGCCAAGAAAAGAAAAAACTATACCACTTCGAACGAGTTGTTTTGTTAATTTAAACCGATCTCACTAAAATAGGGTTAGGAAATGGTATTTATACAAACCATATACGAAAGTATATGTAACTGTTTAATATTATTAATAAATCTACCAAATCGGTTACTAAAAATACACTAATAAATATAAGAAAACTTAAATCTTCTCCCTTTCTATCCTCAACTCCCTACTTACTGTAAATACGAATTGATAACTATAGAAAAAAGGTTTACAATCGCTTACCTAACGCCTAAAAGAGACGCTGGGTGGCGTTTTGTCAGCACTGCAAAAAAATACGACTGTTAGGCAATAGTCTAGCGCAAAGAATGAAGAAGACTGTTAGTCTGGCGATTTTTCTGCTAAAGTTACATTTTTGTCAAGCTATTAAATTGCAAGGTGTTTTACAAGAAAGACCAGATATTTGGACCAGTTTTCCACATAAGCCTAATACTTTATTACTTGGTTATATAACTGGAAGTAAAAATGCACCAAACAAGCCGAAAATGTATTATAAACCTGGATCAGCTATGTCCGGAGCAATTACAATAGCTGTCGAAGAAATAAATAGACAATTCAAACTTTTACCTAACCATAGTCTGGATTTTTGCATAGGAGAAACCTATGGTATAGAGAGGATGAGTATTAGACATACTGCAAATTTTAGTATGAATGGTATAGATGCTATTATTGGTCCTCAGGAAACATGTGAGCACGAAGGAAGAATAGCTGAAGCATTTAACGTGCCAATGATTTCTTACGTAAGTACAAAAGAAGTTTTACAAATTATTATAAATTATTAAATAGATAAGGTTTATCCCATGTTTTTGTGGATGAATTTTAAGCTTAAAAAGCGTCTTTCTTCTATTATTTATGAAAGAAATTTAATAAGTAAAGATGATTTGAGAAACTTTCTTAATTATATTATTAAAAAAAATGAAGAAAGGTTACTTTCATTTTTTCAAATTAGGCTAAAAATTACTCCATTTACACTGGCAAAATAAAAGTAGTTAATTAATCCGACAAATTAAATACTTATATGGAAAAAAGGCGGCAAGAAAAACTTTTGGTAAGGTCGTAAAATCTATTTGAAGTTACTACTCTAAAAGTAAAGTACTTCTGACCAAATAAAGAGATTTAACTAATTTCTTCTCTTTCCCTTTTACTTTTACTATCTCAATCTCATTTATCTACTTGAACAGATACCTAATAAATATCTATTTTACTTTGTTGCTATTATTACTTAACCTTTTACGAATCGTATATAATCTCTGAATCGAAAAGCAATTATAAGATTCCGACATATAAATAAAGGCAAGCAGTAACCAATCAAACAAGGTGAAATGCTAGAAGCACTTGAAGTTTATTCACAAAAATTTGCTACTCTAGATCTATTGTAGGTAGAAAATGCAAAAAAAGAATCAAAGAGAGAGAGAGAGAGTGATAGAAGAGTGATAGAAATAACACTACTATTACTACTACTCTTACTTTTCCCTCTTCACTTCTTGCTCATTTTCATTCTTTATCTGACTTACAACTACAATAGATAGTATTTTATGCATAAGCATCTTTAACTGTAATTCCCTATCTCTCGCTCTCTCTCTCTCTCTCCCTCTTCCCCGCATACATCCACAAATTCATACATATATACATATACACATCTGTCTCTCTCTCTCTCTCTCTCTCTCTCTCTTTCTCTGCGTTTATTTATATTTATAGCTCATTTGCATGACATAATCTGCTATGGTCAATATACAGTTAATAAAGTTTTATAAAAAGAAATTAGGCCTATAATAACACTTGAAATAAATTTATTAATTTCTTTCGTGCATCGAATATACCCGGAAACAAGCTTAGAAAAGAGTTTCTCGTTCATTTAAATGTCAAATTTTTGTGTAGATTATTTTCTCAATTTATGAATATAAATTACTATTTTCGTACGAGACTTTTTGTCGTATTAAAAGTTAATGAATTCCATAAATATGCAGACAATATACAGTATATAAATTTATATATATATATATGACTAATTTAAGAAACAGGCTGCTTGTTGATTAATACGGCTAAGGATTTGGGTATTTTTAACTTACGGTATAATGCCCACTTATTCTACTTTCAGCTTTTATAGAAATAATGACCAGTTTGAGTAAATCAATCTCTACTTCTCTTCCTTCCTCTTTTTTATTCTTCCTTTCTATCCCTCCTTTTTTATTATTTTTAAGAGATCGGATTTACGGATATTGCTTTATTATATGTATTTTTCCAATTTTTCATTGAATCATACCTTTCACCCTTGTCACTCTGTTCTCAAAGGCATATTATATACCTTAGATAGTCTTTCCATTAGTTTGTTTCACTTAAAGATTAAGGATGTTAGGATGTTTGCCCTTTTCTTTTCACTTGATAAAATGATAGTAGTATTTAATCTTTTTATTCTATTTTCTTGCTTTTTGTTTAATAAAAAAAACCTTAATTTTTAATCTTACTTGCTCTCTTCATTGTCTATTGCTCATTACTTGTATTTAACCTTGATAGGCCTAGGTATTTGTCTTTATAGCGTGACATATGCCAAGCATCTTGGTTTTGATTTACAAATGCCGTTAGGCATTCTCTTATAAAAAATTTGTGGGTCGATTACGTTGTGTTGAGTAGTTGTTTGAAGTGTTAACTCAATTGAAATGGAAAGAAACGAGTGATAAAAAAAACTAATATAGCGTCACTGGGATTCTATCTAAGAATTGAGCTGATTATGACACGTACTAAGTTGAACGGACGTTATTCGTTCCGTTCGAGAAATAAAACGCACCCAAGCAAGTCCTACTTATTAATTACCCAAGCACTTATCGGAGTGCCGACAAAATTAGCCTGTGGGGTTTCGTCTGTGCTTGAAAGTTAGGTCGACCGAGAAATGATGCTGTATATTTATATATACATATATATCAAATATATACGTATATACAACTCTCATAAATTCTATTCTATTTGCACAAAAAGTTATCTTTCTCTCTTTTCTTGTATATGCAAAATGTCTATGAATAATTATCCATATTTATCCTCCCAAGTTCCTTCTTCTTTGTTCTTTTTCATCTTTTTTTACCTATTCTAAAACTGCCCATCAAAGGCAATAACTCTTTGATTCATCCATTCAACCTATAGAGAAGAATTTCTCAACAAGTTTAAATAGTCTAGCGTCTCTTTTTCATATATAGTTTTTGTGAATACAGAATGTATCTACAGTATATCTATCTATGAATGTTATATTAATAAATATACCATCCCACATATTATTCAATTGGCTAATTAAAACTTTATATCGTTTTCATTGCAGTTTTGCACTCAAGTAAAAGCTGGAGGTTATAATACCTTTGCAAGAACAAAACATACAAACTCAAAAATTGGAGGAGCAGTTGTTAGTTTCTTGCTACAGCACAATTGGAGAAAAGTTGCTATTTTATATGGCGAGGATAAGAGTAAAATGAATTCTCGGGTTGTTGAAAGAATCATTAAACTGATGGAGAAGAATGGAATAAAAATTATTGAAAGAGGATCATATCCTTCGCCATTTTTTTATCGAATAAGAAAAACTGATCAGGATGATAATAAATATAATCCCTTTCTAAAGTTTGTACACGATACATTCTTAAGGGCTAGAAGTTAGTTTACCATTTCTTTCATTTATTCATTCTTAACAGTGTCTTACTAGGCACCTCTTCCATCACCGTAACCCACACACCATCCTACCTCTCAATCTCCTCACTCCGATCCTATCCCCCATTATATCCTAAGCTATAAGAAAATTCTTTTTCTAAGCCAAATAAACAATGACGTTTAACCTTTCATCTCATCTTCTTCACGCCATATTTTCACTAACGTAAAATTTCCTTATGATTAAATCAAATTTCCCAGCGAATGACAAGTAGATTAGATTCAGGATAATTAACGGATTGTCCTGTCATATACAGTGGATTTAGGGAACTAAACCTTTCGCTTTTTCTAATTCATTTAATCAGTATAGATTAATAGTGTTTTTCTCTTTTCTTGAAATAATAAGAAGGGCATTCCTTCATAAATGGTATTTTTATAATTGATAGTGGCTGTTCACAATACACTACCCTTATGACCCTGTTGAACCTAAATTGTCTTTGCATGATATGGCATACAGATATACACTGTGTACAGTAAATAGAAAATATAGATTGCAGTCTTTCAAATGTTTATATCCTCTTTTATCTTATCGCAGTATATGTTATGTACGGTTTACCCTATGAATTTATGGCTTTAACTATGGCGCTATATACAAAAGGCTTGGCTGATACTGGAGAATACTTTGTTGTTGGTGTTACTGATAAGGATTTGCATACTACAGATCCAACAGCATACTTTGAGGGTGTAATTAATTCCCCTCGAGATTTCAATATCATAAAATCTTATCGGATATTTGCTGGTATCGCTCCTGCCGCTCCAACACGCTGGAATGAATTTCAAGGAAGAGTCAACGCTTATTTAAAAACTTATCCATTCAACTATTCAACAGTTTGTATTGAATCATAATATTAAAAGTTACATATCTTTTCATTCATTAACGAATAATATAAATAAGGGAATAGGGAGTTATCATATACAATAATTACTATTTACTGTATAATTTTCATGAACATTTCTCTTCCTTTCCAACTAGTTCCACGAAATAGTTTGTAAATTTCTAAGAATATTAAGTTGAAGTAATATAGATTTTATTAATTGTCTATAATTAAATTCTTAAGAAAATGTATTTCTACTGCAATTTTCAATTCCGCCTCTTTAATAAAATAGTAATTTCTTTTATGTAAATAGCGACTAACCACTAGTAGTCTGTCATTTGTCAATCTTTCCTGTTTTTTCTTAAGGAGGATGGTTAATTGGCCTATTAAGGGAAGAGGAAGCTTCCTTAAAAACTCTTTCAATCGACTTCCTCCTAGTTTTTTTATTTTTCTTTTTCCTATCTTTATCTTTAAGATTTTTAGTATTATGATTCGATATGTCCAACAGCAACAGAATAATCGACAAAAACAGGTAAAAAAAACAAACCTACTCCACATTCTATTCAACGCTTCACTAAGTTAATATGTCGAGACAATTTTCCGACTACAGATTCCAACAGAAGCCGCCTACTTGTACGACGCCGTTAAACTGTATGCTATTGCCGCTGATGCATTAATAAAAACTGGATATCCTCCAAATAATGGAGCAGAAATCAAAAATTTCCTTAGAAATTATACAATTAAAAGTAAAAATGGTCATCTATTAAAATTAGATGAGAATGCTAGCGCAGGAGGAAATTTTACCGTTATTACTAGGCATTGCACAAATTTAAGAGACTCTGAGGATGAGGAATGCCAAAACTATACAATGATACCAATTGGAAACTTCAGGCTCAGTGATTCCGAAATTCCAGTAAGTAAACGGGAAAACCCTGTTTTGATTTTAAATTTAACTTACAGTTGATAGTATTTTATCATATAGGCTTATATAACTGGAATTTTTTATTATTAGAATGATAAATTAATGAAGTTTTCTTAATAATAATTATTATTAGTTAACTTTTTTTTTTTAAAAAAAAATCATTTCCTCCTCCTTCTTCTTCTTCTTCTTCTTCTTCTTTTTCTTCTTTTAATTTAGGTGAAAATAAAGGCTGACTATATGTAAATTAACATTTTTAAAGCTAAATTGAGTAGTTGGTTAAAATCTAATTCAACGAACAAGTAACAAGCTGTTACCTTGGTATAAGACTCTTTAGAGCTCGTGCTCTACAATTAAACGTTTAATATTTTTTATATTTCATTTAGAATAGTAAGATGAATAGAATTGATAACAGTAAAAAGAAATAGGTGCGTAACAAGAGAGAGAGAGAGAGAGGGGCGGGGCAGTGGGGGAGGGAGGGTTTTAATAGAAAGAGAAAAAATGAAAAAGACTAAGAGAACAAAATCAAAGAGCGACGATGACTATTCATGTTAACCTTCCTTGAACTATGTATTGTATATTCAGGTACTGTGTACGTGCTTAGAATAAGGCAAAATAACGTCTTTTCTATTTTACGGTTTGCAATAGACGCCTATAAGCCTTATGTTTTTATCTCCATTAGAGACTAAAATATCAGGGTAGAAAATTTAAAAGCTGTAATTTTTCTCCGCTTTATATCCCTTTTTAAAAACATAGCTCTACATCATTTCTTCTTCTTTTTCTCATTCTCTCTCTCTCTCTCTCTCTCTCTCTGTATTGGTAATTGTATATTATATCTCTCCTTTACATATTTCTTTACATATAGAGAGAGAAAGATGTCAATTTTTTTTTATCTTGAACTTGTTCTCATTAATCGAAAAATTCAAAGAAATAAGAATGAAATAATAAATTTCTCTTTTCTCTCTCTTTTCTTTTTTATTAATTGATTGAATTATAATATGGGTGCTCATACAAATATAAAAGATATAATAGCTATATATATATATATATATCCTGTATATATATATATATATATATCCTGTATATATATATATATATATATATAATTTAAGGTCTTTGAACTAATTTAAAAACTGCCATTTTTTTTCCTACCACCTTCTCTCACCTATAGAGTACTTAAAAACGAATAGCTCATTGATAGCTTTCAACCTCTAGATTAGCAATTCTCTACCTGTTGTTAAAGGACTTGAAAGGGATTTATAACATAAATCTTTTTTATCTTATTAATATATTACTTTTGAAGATTGAATAATTTTACGGTTAAGATCGTTTTACTGATATTTTCGAGATGAGAAATCATAGGAAGAGTAAAAACTTGTCAAATCGAATCGTGAACATAGATCGTGTACTTCTTTCTGCTAGCTGAAGGTGATAATTACGTGGCAGAAAAGGGAAGCTAATTGGGTTGCGAACGACACGTGCTAACGGCAGATGAAATTAACTCGTATCTGAAGGCCAATAAATTTAGTAACGATGTATAGACTGACCAGAGAAAATTGTACTAATTAATTCAGTATTGTACTCTCAACATTAAACAGTAGACATAAAACACTAATTGAACGTTTAGGATACTCGATTGTACCATGTAGACCAATCACCTAGGTCCTTAATCTATAAAACTGTAATGAATATATATTATACGTTTTATTATTAAAATTTTATTATTATTTATTTAAAACAGGATTTCATGTTATATAATGGATCGAAGATTAATTGGATAAGGGGAAGGCAACCAAGAGATGAGCCAAAATGTGGTTTCGACTTTCAGAAATGTAGAAATGACTCTACAAAACTCGAATATATTTTAGGAGGTGTTGCTGGAGGTGTCGCTCTAATTAGCTCCTTTTTTGCTTATTTCCTGTACAAGTAATTAAGCGTTAATTTCTAATTGGAAAAATTATTGCATTAACATTATTGGATAAGTCTAAGCGTACTGACATGAACAGGCTGTCTTTCGGATCTGTCATTAACAAATAAGGGAAAGAATATCATGCCTTTTAAACGCCTTTTCCTACTTTTGCGTCACTTTGACATTTTAACTTATCAATTTCATTTATAAAAAAAAATAGCAATATTTTAGTATAAGATGATAAAATTCTAAAGAAATTATCTAAATCTAATGAAATAACATATTTTTTTCGCTGTATAGGCTAAAAAAACAAATATCAAAATCATTCTTTTTGCTTACGTCACAAACATCAGTTTATCTTTTATCAATTTTAATGGAAAGGCTTCACACAGTCTGCCATAAAAGAGACAATTCTATTTTACTCTATTTCTAGTATTGTTTTTAAAGAAACAAAACGATGAGAGACTTTGCCTTTTTTCTCCCTATACATTTGTTTATTATATGAGTATATATTTACAATATATAGCGGGAGAAGAGGCGTAATGAACAATGTCAGACGTTATATTCAGTAGGGCTATTGGAGTGAAAGAAAGTGTCTTTTTACTGGAATCTTCTCTCCATAAACGAACTTTATATATATATATATATATATATATATATATATATATAAAACTATGGTTATATTTAGGTCGTTTTAAGAGAAAGAGAAGAAAAGATTTATGGGAGATTATACCGGGAGGGGATGAGGGGATAGGCGCTAATTGCACAAAGAAAAATGTACCAGACAGACGATACAACATAAAAGTTAGAATAATAAGAATGACTTTTAATAAGCATATTTAACTATATTTTTTTCTCTTTTCAAATCTTTTCTTCTTTCTTTCTTTCTTTCTTTTTTTTTCTTTTACTTTTTTAATATGATTTTTTAATTTATTAAGAAATTTTGTTACTTTTTGTTTTTTTAAAAAAAAATTATTCTCAGTTTTATTTTATTGTAGAAAAAGAAGATACGAAAAGGAGCTTGAAAGTTTACTATGGAAAATTGATATAAAGGAGGTAACTAAGAGAATGGAAAATTTCTGCCAGAATAACAAGGTTTGTTTTTTTATATTTACAGTTTCTTTAGAACAAATGCACATATATATATATTTATTTAGCACTGGAAAAGTAGCGTTACTTCACTAACTTCCGCTCTAAGTTTTGAAATGCGTCAAGTATTTACCGAAGTCGGTAAATACAAGGGAACAATTGTTGCTATAAAGAAAATAAATAAAAGATGCGTTGATTTGACAAGAAACGTTAGAAAAGAATTAAAAGCAATGAGAGATCTTCGACACGATAACATTAATCCTTTTATTGGAGCGAATGCTGATCCTGGAAATGTTTTCGTCTTTACGGAATATTGTACAAGAGGAAGCCTTCAGGACATATTGGCTAACGAAGATGTTAAACTAGATCAAATTATTATTGCTTCTTTAGTTTTTGATATAATTAAGGTATATATCAAGTTACAAATTATCTGAAACATTTTATACCTTCTGAAACTATATACACATATTTATATATAGGAAATGTATAAAGTATCTTATAATGTATATAGTACATACAATATAAAATATTTATACATATCGTACAGGAGATGTTAAATAATTTGCACGTTATAGGCTTTATGCGTAATCAGCTTTTATTATTTAATATACAGGGAATAATATATCTTCACGATTCTGAGATTAAAAGTCACGGCAAGTTAAAGACTTCAAATTGTTTGGTTGATAGTAGATGGGTTGTTAAATTAACGGATTTTGGTTTATGGGATTTTAAGAAATGTGATGAAGATGAAAGAGAACATTCCTATTACGAAGGTCTTCTATATACAGCACCAGAACTAATTGGTGATCAGAGTAGACAAAGTCATGGAACTCAAAAGGGAGATTCTTACTCATTTGCAATTGTTTTATACGAAATTTATGGTCGCCGAGGTCCATTCGGAGATGTAGAACTCTCTGCCAAGGAGATTGTCGATCTCGTCGGAAATGTTAATAACTATTACCTTCCCTATAGGCCAAAACTAGCAGATATAAATCTTGCGCCAATCTATGTAACCGAATGTATAAACGATTGTTGGCAACAAGAACCAAGCGCAAGGCCAGATTTTAAACAAATAAAATCAAGATTGAAACCCTTACAACAGGGTCTTAAATCAAATATCTTTGATAATATAATGACAATTATGGAAAAATACGCAACAAATTTAGAGGAGATTGTTGACGAGAGAACGGAATTGCTAAAAGAAGAGAAGAAGAAAACTGAAGAGTTGCTCCATCAAATGCTTCCACCTTCCGTTGCCGAACAATTAAAAAGAGGGAAAAGGGTTGAGGCAGAGACTTTTGATTCAGTTACAATTTATTTTTCTGATATTTGCGGTTTTACTGTTTTATCTTCCCAAAGCAGCCCAATGCAAATTGTAGATCTTCTTAATGATTTATATACTCTTTTTGACTCAATTTTAGAAAATTACGATGTTTATAAGGTTGAAACTATTGGAGATGCTTATATGGTTGTTTCAGGCTTACCTAAGAGAGTCAATAACTATAAGCACGTTAGTGAGATTGCCTCTATGTCTCTAAGACTCTTAAGTGCAATTAAAACTTTTAAAGTTAAACATAGACCAGCCGATACAATAAAATTAAGGATAGGATTACACTCTGGACCAGTTGTTGCCGGTGTTGTAGGTCTAAAAATGCCCAGATACTGTTTGTAAGTAGACTAATATTCTCATTCGTTCTTCTTTTCAAAATGTATTAATTACATAACCTAGATTTGGGGATACCGTCAACACTGCTTCAAGAATGGAAAGTAGTGGAGAACCTTTAAAAATTCATTGCTCAGAAACTTGCCACGAACTTTTAAAAATTGTTGGCGGTTTCCGTTGCGAAGAACGAGGTATGATCAACGTTAAGGGAAAGGGAGATATGACAACATATTGGTTGAAAGACGAAGATGACGAATCGAAGCAGAGACGCCTTGTTGAAGAAGAGGATAGACGTGCTAAAAAACTCAAATCTTCCATTAGAAATTCAAGAAAAACACCAAGATCTCCCTACAAGAGATCACCGTCGCCTCCATTAAGTGACGACGAACAATGTGGTAAATACTTAAACGTCCTAGATGAATATAAACCAATAAATAAAGCTCTGGAAACTGAAGTTCTATTGAAGAATGATTCAAAACAAGTGAGCGTTAAAATTATTGGTGAAACCAAACTTTAAACTCAAATTTCCTTGAATTTATAAGTTTAGTGAGAGAAAAGAAACGGAATTTTAATTCAAGTTTGTTTTTTTTTTTTAAAAAAAAAAGAATCCCAAAAATTTTTTTCGAATGCATACAAAAGAAGAAAGGAAAAGAAAAAAGAAAGAAAAATAAAGTGTATTCTCTCTTTGTTTTTGATGAATAATCATAATGTTCTATGTTACTTTAGGTTGAAAATAAAATCATATTTATACAAAGAGAGTTTTCTATCTCTTAAAAAAGACTATTTATTGATTTTACTGGTATATTAGAAAGTAAAGTCAGTCTATATTTATATATATAGTATACTATTTATCTTATAATGTACTATACTCAATGATTATCGTCTTTATATTTTCTTACAAGTATACAATTCGTGAATCTTTTTCTTCTTCTCCTTCTTCTTTTCCTTCTTTGCCCATTCTCCTTTTACTAACAACCCTGACAGAGTATGATACATTTAACATTCATAATTTTTATGATCAAGGAAATTGAGCTCGAATAAGAAGATTGTCTTCCATATCTCCTTGCTCTTTACATTACTAAGATACACATATAGTTCCATAGATAGACAATATCATCACCCTCCTTTTCGAATAACCATATCTAAATAAAAAGCTTGATTATATTTAATTACTTATTTTGCAGGGTAAACGAAGGCCAAAAAGAGGAAATAATAAGATGTAAATATAATAGCATCTTATTACTAATTGTACTCTTTTTATTGTTTTTACTTGTTTTTAAACTAAACAATATATTTACAAACCAGGTATAGTTTCTCTTATATTTGAAATAATTTGTTATAATCGCCATTCTAATTATCATTATCATCGTTATTATAATAATTTATTCCTTATTCAGATAACATTTAAAAAAATGGGGAACCGACAAAAATATTCATCAGTTTATGGTACAAAAACTAGGCTAAACCGTCATTTGTTTCAAACAAAGGAGTAGATACTAATATCTTATTAATATCTTTACAGTCTACAGTCTGATGTACTTTTTCACTTTCCCCTCTCATTATGATTGGCACGTGTTTAATAGCTTCAAATGATCAGTAAAGGGCTAACATAGTATATTAATAGCTGTCAGTTTTAGCTTGTTTCTCATCAAACTAACTCATATTCTATTTCATTCTTCAATCGGTTAATAATTTCTTCCAAAAGAATTGCATCCTTGTAGTCATGGCAATTTCCACCAGTTGTTGTTGTTGTTGTAGCTTATAGCCTATATATATATATATATATTTGTGTATATGTGTGTTTATATAATATGTAGATATATTAAACAAATCTATATATTTACTTTTTTAATCATGTATTTTGTTATTTATTTTTAAAGGGAAAATAAAATACAATTTACCTTTTGTATTTCTAAAAATAGAAATGTTAAAGAGGTAAGAGAGAGAGAGAGAGAGAGAAAGAAGGAGGCGGGGGGCGGAAGAAGGGAGAAAAAGATGTGGATAAGGAAAGAAGTAAACTTCTTAAGCGCGATATTCATCTTCACTATTCACTTAATGTTCCCTTTTCATAATCAACTGTTTCAATATTTTAATGTACAGTACTTTTATATATTATGATACAATTAGCGATAGGTCGCCTAAAATTTCTCCTTAGTAAATAATCAGAGAAATTCTGAAGACCTTGCACAGTTTGCCCATGGACTTATTATTGAACCGTTGCAAATTACAACTATTCTACAGTATTTTCCCGAAAATGTATGAAGTTTTCAAGGACGTTTCTTATACTATTCTTGAAAATATACCGTAATCTATTAAGATTGTTTCTAGTCTTAAATTATAGAATATAGTTATAAGGTAAAATACCAAAGGTAACATTTTACCTATTATTTTAATATTAAACTAAAAAAAAAGACTGTAAAACATTTTAGATGATTTAATATAACTTTTAAGGAGAAAATTTTATAGGTTAATAGTCTACTATAATCTATTCTTGTACTCCTATTCGCTTCTTTCTCTTTAAACAATTTAAAAATACTTGGCCTTACTTATTTCCCATTCTTTAGTATATAGCTGAAAAGCTAGGACGATAGTAAACATGAAACTAAAGTATTGATGCTAATTACATCAAATTACTAACAAAAATTTGATCAATGCCGAAGTTTTACGTTTCCTTTAAATTAGTAGTTTGTATTATTAGGATAGTCTTGTAATTTTGTTTCTTATTTGCTAAGAAATATTTATTTACAACAGCAAAAACAAAAATAAACGAAACTAGACCATCAACACTAAAAACAAAAAGCAACTAATATATCGATAATAAACGTAAAACGTGACAAATAGATTACTAAAAAGTCACATTGGAAAAGAGTATTCTGTAGATTTTTAACGGTTTACTAGTAATAATCTATTTCAATATAACATAAGAAAGTTATTAATGAATAAGTAAATAAATAAATGGAAAAAACTGCATTAGATAAAATAAATTATGTCTAAAAATGAGGACATTCATATTACCAATATAAAATTTATAAGGTGGAAATGAAGAGGAAAAAAGTATAATGTATAAAACTTATTTACGTTTCCTTTACTTGAAATCCTATTCATTCAAATAAAGAAAGAAAAGATAGATATTCTTCTATCCTTATATAAAAAGTTGTAAGGCTAACTGTATCTTTCCTAACGGATGAAGTACTGTAATTAAATTTCCTATGCTCTTCTCTATTGTCTTACAATATAGTATCAATTTTCTTAGAGATTATCCTAGTTTAATTTATCATTCATTCATTTTTCTTCCCCTACTTGCAATTATCATTCAATTCTATAATCTTATAAAGAAGGAAGAAGAAAATGTTTCAGATAAAGGAAAAGTATATGAAAATTCAATGCTGTTGTAAATAGATTGTCTATTATTTAACAATATTTATACAAACTAAACAGACAAGAGAGAGGATGAGATAGAGAGAAAGAGACAGAGATAGAGACGGAGAGAGAGAGAGAGAGAGAGACAAAAAAAAAAGAAAGAGAGAAAGAAAGTAGTTGAAAATTGATAGATAAAACCTTAGAAAAAATATCTAATATAAAAAAACCCGAACACAGTAGAATAAGCCTTTTAGCGGATGTAAGAGTTTATTAATAGTTTGCTTATATCCTTTAAAAAGGAATAGATTTTCTAAACATTTTTACCTTTATAGATTAAATAAAAAGAAATAAGCGAAGTTATTCAATGAAATTTAACTAGTTTATAATAATAATCAACTAATCAATCAATATTTCGTATTTATAAATAATTCCGTATAATTAATAAGATTCTTAAAGAGATTTGTTTGTTGTTTTTCAAAAAAAACAAAAAATATTTCTTTTATATTCAAAATACGATGTTTATTTACAAATTTTCATTTAAATGTATCAATATATACGCTTTATGCTCAACAAAATTGACTTTTTTTATTGATTAATTTCTTTCTAAGAAATTCCCTTTACAACAATGATGAGTCATGGGGAGTTTTTCCCAAGTATAAATAGCTGTTTGCGTTCTCCCCCCTTTATCATAATATTTAATTTTGAAACTCTGATTTAAAGAGAAAAGGTTTGTTAATTACTTGTTTAGTTTTAATAAAATATTATTAACTATTAAAGCTTGTAGGTTATCTGTATAAATTTCATTATTAACAAACATCAGCAACTTGTTCCTTAATAATTACTTTTTCGTGCAGATCAATAATTCGTTTGATAAGATCATGATTGTTTTTCAGACGGGGTAACGAGATGAATAATGTACAGGCTTTAGCAAAGGCTGGAGCTATTGGGATATGCTCCATTATAACTTGCTGCTTTGGATTTTTCTTCATTATACCTGGTATAGCGTTAACGGCTTCTTCGAATGACGAACATTTTGACAGTGATTTTTTTGAGGAAAGCAACAGAGGAATGAGAGTTGCCGGGGGTGTCCTTCTAGCTCTTGGTATTTTATGCGCTATTGTTGGAGTAACTATGTGCTGTTTTGCATGTAAAGCTATTAAATCTAAACAAGCGCAACCCGGAGTTATCATTACCCAAGTGAGTCATCGTGTTTCAATAGATATTATTGTTATGTCTTTAAAAGTTTTTAATAAAGTTGTGATCCTGCTGTGTATCTACCTAAATGTATAGATATATTCAACTAGCAATCTCTCTGTTATCTGTATGCATCTTATATATTAACTGTGTCATTTTGTAGATCAACCATCCGTTATCTTTTTCTAATTGATAAAACAGAACAGATGAATAATTTGTTCTTTTTTTCAGGGACCAACTATAAGCGGACAAGGTCCCCAAGGTCCTGTATATACTCAACAACAGTATGCCCAATATCATTATGGGCAACCTGGATTACCACCTCAGCAGTATGGTGAACAGATACCTCCACAAAGTATGCCCCCTCCATCAGGCGTACCTCCCCATCCTGGTATGCCTCCTCAACCAAACAACTATTCCAATCCCTATCAGCAACCTCCACCATTTAATCCGGAATACAACAATCAGCCAGTGTAAATATAAGAACATATTGCAGTTTCCAACAAAATGTCGATATTTAACAATATTTTTTTTATTACCAACATAGGGGTCAACCACCTCAGTACAACGACATTATGAAGCAGTGAAAAGTTGATGTGAAATAATAATATCAACAATTTAATAATTTTTACTCTCCATTGCAGTATATAAGAATTGGCCCTCTCTCTCACTCTTCCCTCTTAACACGTGTTATCCAATAGCCTCAACAGCTTACGTATATTTGTAATATTAAAAAAAAGACTAGTATGCAGTGTTTTAATTAGAAAATTTTAAGTAATCTGGTTTAGTCGCTTTGAATTATCTGGCTTCGTTTGTTTAATAACTTCAGCTTTGAAAGCAAGAAGGGCAAAAAAAAAAAACTAAAAAATTCACTATTCACTATTTTATTATTAATTTATTACGTAAGAAATTATAAAGTGAAATATTTTTAGAAAGATAAACTACTTGATATTTTATTGGAAGGTAACAGAATGATTTATTTATTCATTTACTTATATTCTATTTTTTATAAGACTTTTGCTTCTCATAATGAAAAAGAGAACAAAAATTGTTTTTGTTCCTGTCAATGCTTTTTTCATATATATTGATAACTATGCTTTTTATATGTGTATGTATATATATATATATATATATTAATATTGAAACATTACAGTTTTAACATGAAGAAAGAATATATCTTTAGTGATAAAAATGGATTTTGTAGTTTGGAATAGGTAAAAAAAAAAAGTAAATTGATAATACTTCACCACACATTATGAACTATTACTTCTACGTTGTATGAAAATAGGAGACTTTCAACCTTTCATCGCTGCTCCGCATCATCAAATAAACGTTTGCATCTCTTAATAATTGTTATCTGTATGTACTGATAATTTTATATCAAGGTTACCTGTACTATAGCCACTATCGAGAACAATACTTTATACCGACATGGAAATAGTGATAAACCGCTTTTTTGCGTAAAATCTCAAAGTGCATTTACCGCTCTACTTAAAAGCACGCAAGTTTATCTTATGAATACTAAATATAGTCAAGGACATTTACGGCTAAGCATTGGGTAGTTTATAATAAAACTTTATTACTAAATAATAATACTATTTCTCATGCAATACGAGAAAGGTTTCAAGAGAAATTGAGCCGGATAAATATTTATACTGATAAGCTATTATGAAAACTGTATCAGTTCCAATACAACAAATCAGACATTAAATGGAATTTAGAGTAATCAGCAGAAATATAAGATAATTCACTTAAGGAAAACGTCTGTACATACATATATCATGTTATATACTGTAAAGAAGTATATACATGTATACGTATACAATTGATATATGAAAAGAAAAAAAGTCTTTCTCTCTTTAGCTAATTTAAAGAACTACTTTCTTTCTAAAAGAAGAAGAGGTTTTGTAGTCTATTAATTACAATTGAGCTTTTTGAAGAAGACTACGCATATCTCCCATTGCCTCAATGAGAACGTCGGCAAACTTCTTTGAGTCAGTTGATTCGCATGTTCTCCATGAAGTTATGTTGAAATTAAGCAAATGCTCTCCAATGACAATATACAAGATACCATAGCCATCATGGCTGGCTGGTCCAAAACCACCGCCCATAGTCTCTTCTATCAGAGGCAAACCCAATGTTCCGATTACGGTCGGGGTTTGTGATGTACTCAAGTTCATAGGTAACTTATAAGCTTCATTTCTAAAGACTAGAGGCGTATCTCTTCCTAGCTCCCTAGCGGCCAAGAGAAGGCCGAGCATATGCCTGTCAGAACCATATCCTAAGGTACTTTCAATATTCTTCTTCTTTTGTAAATCTATAGCCTTAACTAAAGCTTGCTTCTTTTCTTTCGCTGTCATCGACTGGTCGTCCATCTTTCTGACAAAATCAACCGACAGTTCGGTTACAGGATTAATATTTTCAGTACGTCCGAGTAAAAATAATCTTGTTGAGGCAGGTTCATAAGTCTTTGCTAATTGGCCGTTCATTCTATAATATGCCAATTGAATGGCCATTTGAACGAAAGCATCTGGACTGTAGCCCAACTTCTTTATCTCTCCCTTTCCAATAGGGCAGTGCAAGCTAAATACATCCATATTGTCGCCCATCGTCATCAAATGATTATAAGCGTAAGTTATGTCACTTTCCATATAGTCCAAATTCCATTCGAGAGGTTTAGGGGGCGGGAGAGTTCTTGGTTCAGGTTCGCCAAGTGTCAAAACGTCCCCGTCGGGTGAGTATCTTTCGTAAATCAAAACTCTCTCCCAAAGAAGAACGTAATGAGTTGCGTCAGCTCCTGTATGTTCCATATTTGCTCCACCTTGAATAGAGTGACCAAAACCACCAACAGTTATGCCCTTATCAAACCATCTATGATAGCCATCTCCGCATAAAGCAGCATGAGACTGATCAGAAATATTATCGAAACGTTTATGATCGCTCAAAAACACCATAAACAGGGAAGATTCAATTTCTTCTAGAGTAGCAGCGTTTTTTTCTTGTAATTTTATTCGTCGACTTGCCCATTCACTTCTCGGCAAGCCTGTCAGAGAAGCAACAGGCTTAATATCTTCTAGATAGTTATTATCTTTTGCAGCTTCTTCAATTATGTCCAATTGTTTCCTTAATTCAAGTTTGGTCAAACTTCTCAGCTTTCCAGTCTTCTTATCTGGGGCGTATAAATCAAGTCTGTAATACTGCCCATAAGCAATAACGACACAATGTTTAGCATCTTTGTTCTTAACAAGGGTATCAATTTCAGGTCCTGGAATTCGACAAGTACCGAACATGTAATAAGCACCATCCATACATACTGGAATTACACCCATAATAATATCCGGCTGTAAACGATTCTGCTCTATTAATTCCGCATACTTGACGACGGTGTGAAGAACCGTTGCTATGCGAGCATTCGGTTTACATTTAATTTCTGGTTTTAGGGTTCCGGTCATAAAGAAATTGACGTTAATTGCGATTGGGTCTCGATTCTGGAGATAGTTATAATCAATCCACCACTTGGATAACCAATTATCCTCTTCTTTTATTTTCTTTTCAAGAAACTTTTGCAATATCTTCCCTTCTCCATCACGAAATTGTTCTACCAATTTCTTCGTTTCTTCATATTCTGCCGCCGAAACCAAAGGCTTAACCGTCATTAAATATTTCTGACATGTATCTTCAAGCTCTGGAAGAGGAAGTCTAGGTAGCACTGACTGTAAGTCAAAAGTTCCATAGTTATTCGGTCCAAGAAGAGCTTTAACAGTTAAACCCCATAATTTAGTTTTGAAAGACTTAGGTTGCCGAATCCAATTCTGATAACCGTATAGATATCTAAGGATTTTCCAACGAACTCCATCCAGAGATAGCGCTGAACTATATCCGGCTGAAAAGCCTAGTAAAGTTGTAATAATATAAATGATAAATTTTGGTACATCATTATAGCCCAAATCTTGAAAAATCTTCTCTACAAACTCTATTCCATAATGGCTAGCCACGGCCGAACCAACAACTCCAATGGAATTCTTATTAAAGACATTGGAAAGAATTTGGTTGGATAAAGATAATTTAGGTGCCTCCATGACAGTTTCTTCAAGAGTGAATGTTAAAAGTAAAAAGTAGCGATGTGAGATAGCAATTTAAGATAAAAGAATTTTAATTTACAAATGCTCATTGGTCATCTTTAAAAAAAAATTTTTCGCCAACAATATGCATACGTTAAATTCCAAAGATGAAACAGATAAGAGGCTAGTTCGAAGATCGAGTAGATTATCCATTTAGACTCTTGTCTAATAAGAGGACAAACCACTCTTGTAATTAATTTCTCCTATAAATCTCACTATGGAATTTATTCAGAAAGAAATAAACAAGAAATAGATTTGCCAGAGACTACTTCCGTCGTCTGCATATCAATAGGGGTATATTTAACATTTTATAGCCAACTTAAAATGCAAATGAGTTGCGAATCGTACTTTATCGCAAAAAGTTTATAAATAAAACAATCTAACAATATGCGTCCGATCCTTCTAGGTCAATGAGAAATGATGAAGGCCTTAATCGCGTATTTTTATGCGCGAGAAGCGTACGGCTCACCTTGTTACGACAATGTGCGCTTTAGCCAATCTGATTCTCACTAATTTCTATATTTTTATTCAATAAGGAATTTTATACTAGATAATTCATTCACTCCAGCTTCGATCCTATCTCCGGCACTGACAGGACCAACTCCAGACGGGGTTCCAGTCAAAATTAAGTCTCCTTCTTCCAAAGTGAAATAACCACTAACAAATGATATTAGCTTACTCGGAGAGAAAATCATACAATCCGTCTGACCATCCTGCTTCATAACGTCATTTACCTTTAGCCATAAACGAACGTCCTCAGGATTGCGTATCATTTCCTTGGGTAGAAAGTCTCCAACTGGACAGGAAGTATCGAAACTTTTTGCTAAACTCCATGGCAAACCTTTTTTCTTTAAAGCTGTCTGCTTATCGCGATCAGTCATATCAAGCGCAACGCAATAACCAGCAACATGTTCCATTGCATTTTCTTCCGTTATATTTGATCCATTCTTTCCGATAACGAGGCCTAACTCGACTTCGTGATGAAGTTCATTTGTATTCGGAGGTAATCTTATTTTATTCGGCTCGCGAACGTAGGCTGTAGAAGGTTTCAAAAATATAATGGGATCATCAGGAACTTCGTTGCCTAGTTCTTTAGCGTGAGCTCTTTTGATAAAAAAAAGGAATGATACTTTGCATTAGTATACTTCAAAACCTATACTACCTAAAATTACGGCCAACGCATATTATTTTCCTCCCAAATTCCCAAAATCTAGAATATTTTGACATATTTTATAAACTTTTTAAGACCGGTAGTTGAACTATACTCCCAATAAGACAATTACAAAAATTAAACGAAAAATTTAAACAACTTATGATTATATAATTGAATTTAATAGGTAGCCATTTTTTATTTCTACCTTCATTTCTACATCGTATAGTTGTTTACGACATTGAGTTTGCGCATATTCCGGTTCCGGTTTTGTAAATCGAAACATGAGTACTTTATCTTGAATTATAGTTTGTTAATTTACGAAATGGATAGGGTTGTATTTTTAAAAACACTTCTAATATGCTCATCAGCATATATGAATGCTTTGTGCTTTGGCTTTGTGATAGGATATACATCCCCTTCACTGCCAAAAATGAGAGGTGATAAATCGCTTGAACCAAAAGAAGACTTTCTCTCTCTTTTCTCATCTATTATGACTTTGGGTGGAGTATTGGGAAGTTTACTCTCCGGATTTGTTTTAGAGAAATTTGGTCGTAAACTTGCAATAAGATTTTCATATTTACCTTTCGTTCTTGGGTGGTTTGCAATCACGTCTGGAAATAGTTCAAATGTACTGCTCCTTGGTAGACTACTTTGCGGTATAGGGAGTGGTTTATCTGTAGTTGTTAATCCAGTATACTTGACAGAAATTGCACCAACGAAATTCCGTGGTATGCTTTTGTCCATGTTTCAACTCATTATTACAATTGGTATACTATTTGTATACGTTTGTGGACTATCAAACGATTGGAGAAGTTTAGCTTTCATTAGCATTATTCCAGCCGTATTGGGATTCTTCCTTTCCTATTTTGCTATTGAATCACCAACCTATTGTATTTTGAAGGGAAGGGATGAAGAGGCCTTATTTATATTAAGACAACTTAGAGGAAATAGTTCAGACGTTCTCAAAGAACAAGAAGAAATCAAAAGATCGTTCAATTATAACTACGGTATCTCTTGGAGATCCATTCTGAGTACTAGGAAATATTTAAATGGTCTAAAAATTGCTGTGGGTTTGAATATTTTTCAACAACTTGTCGGTGAGTTTAAATACTTTATCTCCATACGAAATAAATTGTAAATAACCTCGATAATCAAATCTCCAGGTATAAATGCCGTCATGTTCTATTCTGAAGAAATTATGAATCGTGCAGGTATATCGAATGGAGGAAATTCAGCCGTAGCTATTGCTTTTATTCAAGTTAGAATGTTTTTTATTTCAGTATGATTAAAACTAATTCAATTATAAATGAATTCATAGGTTCTAGCCACAACGATTTCCCTACCTCTAATTGAACAGGCCGGAAGAAGAAATCTCTTATTATTTGCCAGTGGTGGAATGGCTCTTGCTTGTATAGCTCTTAGTTCTTGTTTACAAACTAACATAAGGAGGCAATCAGACGATACTAGTGGTGTTATAGCATTGATTTCTTTAATGCTTTATGTTATTGGATTCAGTATCGGCTGGGGCCCGGTTCCCAGCTGCCTAACAAACGAAGTTTTACCGAATAGCGTTAGATCGAAGACAAGCAGTTTGGCATTGTTAATAAACTGGTTTTGTTCATTTCTAGTTACCATGTTATTTTCACCAAGCGTGGAAATGTTTGGAATAGATGGTGTCTTTCTCATATTTACCGCAATATGTGGTCTATCTTCAGTCTTTGTATATTATATTGTACCGGAAACGAAAGGAAGAACATTGGAAAATATACAAATTGATTTAGAAGTTTAAATAAGCGACAAAGGAATTTATGTTTGAGAACTTTTTAAAAGTTTTTATTAACTTTGGTTAGTTGTACTACTGTTGAATAATCGATTATGGTATTTAACATATTTTGTTTCTAAGTTGTTTACTCGGTTCATTTAGTCTCTAGCTTTAATTGTTACCATTACTCTTCTATAACTATCTCTCTCTCTCTCTCTCTCTCTCTCTCTCTCTTTGTGGCTCCTTCCGTACATGAACGGTATATATACATATACATTAGTTTACATAAATTTATATATATACATAATTAGACAATGAATGCCAAACTTTTAAAAAAATAGTAACAATATGATATTTATTCTATTGTGTATAATGATTTATTTGATCAAAAGACTTTCAAGCCAAAAGCGTAGTATTTGCTCTTTAAAGAGTTTGATCATTTTTTTAATTTTCTCACCTGCTAAGATGAGAGACAAAAACACGCAAAAACGAAAGATGTATTATATATAATCTATCTTTTTATACGAAAGTTGTGCACTCTATAGAATTGTAATTTTTTCGTTTTACTATTAAAGATAGCACTTACACTCCTTGTCCATACTTCTTTTTGAAAAGAACGAAACAGTATTGTTTTATCCACCTATTACCCTGTATTTGACCTTGATTTAACTTTGTCCCTACTTTCTCTTAACCTGGAACGCAGGTATATTGATTACCCGCAAATAATTTATTCAGCCTTATGTATTTTTCCCGCAATTCACTATGGTTTATGTAATGGTATAGGCCATTTTTGGAGTTTTACTTGCAACTTTTTGCAACAACGTGGTGACTCATAAACAAAATCAATACTATTCTCAGGAAGGGGAATTGTTAGTAACACACGCAATGAAAATACCTTCAAACCTAGATTATTAAACGGTCTGAGCGAGAGTTATAGCGAAATATTCAGGAACAAGATGGCATCCGAGAGAAAATGCTCACCTAAAAAATGGCTAACAATTACTGGACTATTGTTTTTTATAACATTTATTTTAATGATTGTAATTGCTACTTCGTTTATTTTGAGAAGCAATCGATCATCAAGCAAGAAGGAAACTGAACATGACGTAGCCGAAAGTCAAGAGAAGTCAAGAAAGATTGCAACAGTCTTATTTATAACTGGAAGTTTATTTTTTGTTCTATCCGTTAAATTTTGTTGTTTTTCAAATATGAGATTTAAAAATGCTCGATCATCGAACAATCGAACAATTGTTAGGGTTAGACAGGTTTGTTAGAATTTTACCATTGTTATTATTCTATTAATTATTTATTTTTTATTAGACATTCACAACACAAAGTTCTTGCGCAACTCTAAATTGTAATAACCTTCCACAATCAACGATTCCAACGGTAGGATTAGACAATCCTAGTTTTAATCTTAATATATACCCAAGTGCTGTTCATAGTTCCATCCCAAGGTTTGAATAAAATAAATAAACTACTAGTCCTACTTTTGTAGCTAGTATTCTAACAGTAAATATAAATATTCTATTTTCCTGCAGTGCATCATTGCCTAAATACGAAGAGATATGTTCACAATTTCATATTCAATATAAATTAGACAACGAACAAAGCACATCTGACACAAGACCAAGGTAAGTTTAGAATAAGATATACTAATATACTGTATAATAGTTAATTAAAAACATCCTCTTTTTTAGAACACCTCCACCATCATACGAAGAGATCAATCATTGTTGAAAGATATATTTGTTCTCATTATTAAGGTTCTTCTGCGTACAAACTCACAAACTTATGTATATAGAGTATACTCTTTAAATTTATCATAATTTATACAAGACGAAGGAGAGAGAGGATTTAAAGGATAAGGCGAATAGTGGGTGACGAATTATATTATTAATAAAAAACCTAGTATCTCCAGCTTAAGAAGTTGTTATAAATTTCAAATTTCTATGTGGAAAGAAAATGATATCCAGAAAAAGAGAAGAATTATAATCCAAATGTTGGCTATATGTATCTTTCCCAATCTTCTTTTAGTTAAATTTCATTAATATAAGAGTTCTATCTTCTTTTTCTACTCTGGGAAGTATAATAAAAAAAAATGGAAAGAGAGACAATCTATTCACAAGTGAAAGACTATAGAATATAATATTTTACTAAAAAGCTTTGACTACCACTTTCGTTGATTACTTTTTCAATTATGAAAAAGGATAAGTAACCAATAAGTAATAATCTGTTGAAAGAGGAAAACTTTAACTTTTTTCCTATTAATAAAGTTATTAATAAAGCTATATATTAATTAATTTAATTATTAAATTCTTTCATTGATTCATAAATACAACTATGAGAAGAATATGTTTTATTAATTATTAAAGTATTCAATACTATAAAATTCTACCTTTTTCAATCATTTAATGAGATTTTTATTGTACAGGAGTCATGTTACATCACTTCATATAATAATTATATTTTAATTTATAGATGAAAACTAGGTTGGTAACATTCTTTTTATAGCATTCTTATAGTTAGAATCGTTTAGCCGCTTATAGGATTAATCCAGTACTATTAACCTTATCAGTAAATTCTATTCTGAATTATATCAACTTCTTAGTAAAGTATATATAATCTTTTAAAATACACTATAAATGATCAACTGTAGTAACTTTGACAGAATTTCACATAAAAATTTTAGTCTGGGTCTCAGGCTAAAAGTTAAGGTCCGCACCAAAAAGTTACATATTCACTTGAAAATAATCCTAAGAATATACGCCTAATACCTTTGTCGAAGAACATTACTATTAACCTGAAAGAAATACGTTTTACCCATTCTTTTGAGGAGTAACCTACGGGAAAGGCTACTTAATTCTTAACTGACGTACTGAAGACATATAAGCGATATATATATATCCAGCCTATAAATACATATCTACCTGTTATGAAGCTCTCAAAAGAAATAAAATGGATAATATTTTTCGTTGTTTTATTTGCAATAAGCGTTTCTGCGATAATAGTTGGATCATTAGTTGATTTAAGAGCTATGGAAATTACTTTCTTAATATTTGGTAGCATTTTCTTATTTCTCTCTATTTTTTGGATTTTATACTTGGGTAGAGAAATATTAATTAACAAAAACAAGAATCTGAATCAGCCTGGCGTTATTATTACTCTTGTAAGACTATATTTTATATTGCAATAGATAATTTTTTTAAAATGTTTAATTATTTAATTTGCTTATTATCTTACCCAGGGACCATCAACAAGCGGTCAAGTATATTCACCATCTGTAAACAACACTATTCCAGATGCTGAGAAACATTCATCTTCAAATAGTTTGGAAAAGGAAGAACCTCCGAGTTATTCAGACGTTATGAAAATATGAATTACATCAAAAGCAACTACATATACAAAATACATATTCTTGTTCTTGTAAAAAAATTGACTAAAAACTTAAAAATAAAATTGGGAATGAATGAGTCAGGCTATTCCTTTCTTCTTTCTACTTTACATGTAGGCCCAACGAAAAAGAAAGTAGAAATATTTTTTTATATGCATATAATATATATTACGCAATGTTCCAAATACAATTATATCAATTTATAACTTAATCGATACTTTATTTTCTGAATAAATTAAATGCTAAAGAACTATTAGCATTATTAGAAAAATGAAAATAAAGGCAACATTTTTTAATTCATCAAAAACATATAGTTGACCTTTAGAAAATGGTTTCTTTTTACACTTTTTAAATTTATTAGAAAATTTTTTAGCCTTGTCACTTTTCAAGTTTTTTATGACCCGGATTTTAAAAAATTTACATTCAAATCGTTTTCAGTATCTATGTGAAATTGTAGATAAAATGTTAACAGTTTAAATGTTTTCTTCAATTTCGGAAAGGATAGGAGGTGCTATTGCCATATTAGGAATTATTTCAGCTGGTCCAGCTGCGTATTTTTTATACAAAAAAAATTACGCAGTTGGTGTACCTTTTGCAGTTGTTTGCCTATTATGTTTTGTAATAGTATCTTACCTATATAAGGAGGGCTCATTAAAAGGAACGTCTCCTGAAGATGATAATCATGAAAATGGAAGACAAAGAGTATATTTCTTTTCTCTTCTTTCTCTTCAGTTTAGTAAGCAGGGAATTATGATTAAATATTTTTATTACATTTCAGATAAGCAATGAACAGACTAATCAAGGAAATGATACATGCGCAGGGCAGAATCAGCAGCAAAGCTCTACTCCTCCTTACGTCAGAAGAGAACCTCCTAAACCACCTAATTACAACAGCAAAAGGGAATCTTGTGAGACCCCTATAAATATCTCGGATAATGTAGAGAGTCCCCTTGAACCGACAGCTCCAATTCCAGAAAGTGAAGAAGAGAAAGCTACTAATTCAAATAAACCACCATATGAAGCTCCCCCTCCCTACGCTCCAAGTCATTTATGATTTTGCCATTTCGATTAATTGATCAAACAGTTGATGATAATTTTCGTTGCTTTCCTGTTACTATAATCAATAAATAACCAGGTCATTTAATTAATATAAACTACTTTTGGAATTAAAGTTTATTAATACTACGTTACTTTAGGAGTTTTTAAAACTATTCATATCATATTTAATGTATTCATCTATTTGAAACCAGTTTTATATTTCCTTCTCTATTCTCTTACAGAATCTTTTGCTCACTTTAGACGGCGCTAGTATCTAGTCAATTACATTTTCATGTTGGACTGCATCAGTTGTAAGTTGGGGAATAATTGTTTACATTAACACTAGATGGGTTCAATTTCTGATAAGAAAGGAGCCCAATTGTCAGCTATTACCTCTTTCGTTACCTCTGTCATCCTATTCTCTGTCGGAGGTATCTTATATGCATTTTCTGAAAAGGAATTAAGCTCAGACGTTGGTCTAGTAAAGGAAAATTTTACAAATAAACTTGCCAATGCTCCCAGCCAAGTATTACCTAATGGAAAGCATACGAAATGGAGGAAACTAGAGAGTATCTTGAAGATTATAGAATATAATCAGATATTAAGAAAAGAAAAAGAGAAAGCTAGAAAGCGTAAGAAAAAACTTAAAGAGAGTTCGAAAATTATATTTATTATTGGCTGGGTAAGCATAGTCGTTTGTCCTGTATTCGTATGCTCTGCAATTTATTATCATATTAAAGATAAACGTAAGGAAATAACAAGAAATCAAGTAAGTATCCATATCGTATTAGTCTAAATATAAAATTATTAGTAATTTTTCTTTCAGGTAATTAATTCAAGTGAGCAATCCATTCAAAATGATCAATATGAAAGCTATCATCATCTAAATCAAGATTATTCACCTCCTCAAATATTTGTTGAAGTTCCTAGATCCGTTCATTCGAGGAATGTTAGTCATTACGATTATACGTTAGTATATTAATATACAATATAATTCATTCATATCCTCATAATCTTTGTTTTTATTTAGCGAACCACCGAGTTATGAAGAAGTTATGAAGGGAAATTAATCTCATCTTCGTATAAATGTATTGTTTGTTCGTTTTCTTTGTATTAATTAACTATATATATTCTTAACACTTGAATGTACTTAACAGTACACAATCCTATATGTATCTAAACGTTGTTTTGGCATATAAACCTAGGCTAAAAATGTCTTCTTTCTCTTCATGGCTATTATTGTTGAACTTCTTTTTGTTAATTTTTAAATAAAACTATTGTAATTAAAATTAAAACCTACTCCAAAGGGAAGAAAACTAAAATAGCTCCTTCATTATCAATTTAATATAATAAAAAAAGCAATCATCTAGGTTAAAACATTGAAAAAAAATCAAATGTTCGATTTGTATTATTCTTGCTCTATGGACATCGTAAATATCTGGAACACATTTTGATTAAAAGTAATTATCGAAAAACCTGTAATAAAGGATATTTCCAGAGAGAGAATTAGTTATTAAACATTAAATTAAAATGCAAAAAAGAAATGGAAATCCTCTTGAATGGACTGTTAAATCAATAGGAATAGCGTTATTTCTATTTGTAGGTGGTATATATGTTATATACAAATTCTGGCCGTCTCCACAATATCATATTCACCCTCATCATTTAATGTCATGGAAGCATAAAGATTTTATCTCTATTCCTAATTCCATCCTTGAAAGTGCGAAAACCATTAAACCAGAACTTAAACAAGCTAAATACGAACTTGAATCTGATCAGGTGAGACCTGATAACATTTAAATTTTTATTTACACAAAAAACTTTTTAACTGTTATTTAACAGTTAAAGAATAATTTAAAAAAAAATAAAGAGCTAGTCTAATATTTAATAAAACGTCTTTATCCTCCAGCATATTACTCTTCATTATCGGATGGTTGAACCGTCGGAAAAACAACAAAGACAACCAATTGACATATTATTCTTACATGGAAATGCATTTAATTCTGAAGATTGGGTAAATCTGAATAGTTTACAAATTATGGCAGCTAGTGGATATAGGTGTTTCGCTATTGATTTAATAGGTAAGCGTTTTAAAACATATACGGAATCTTATTCAAATCTTAATTCATCTTAACAGGAGGGAAAAAGAGCGATAGCACCTCTTCAAAGCAATTAATATCATCCGAGGATAGAGTAAAATTTCTTACAGATGTTATCAAAAGATTAAACATTAAACGACCTCTGATAGTATCACCTTCAATGAGTGGTAGCTACTCAATTCCCTATATTATGGAACCATCTCCAACAACCTGTACAGATAGAATAAGTGGTTTTCTTCCTGTTGCACCTGTCGCAACAGACAATTATCTTCCTAGTAAATATCATAGGTGTAAAGTAAGTAGCAATTAAGAGCATTTTCTCTAGTAATATCTTAATAATTGGCAATTTATCAATAGACACCAAATATGATTGTATACGGTGCAAAAGATACCGGATTAGGTCTGGAAGCGACTGGTAATCTCAGAAATATGCCTAATACCGAAATTATTCCAATATTAGGAGCTAAACACGCTTGTTATATGGATAACCCAAAACTATTCCATAAACTATTGTACAATTTTGCCGAAGCAGTTGTAAGAGAAGAGCAATTGGGTGACTAGTCAAAATTGATCATATAAAATTTATAGCTTTTCTAAAATTAAAACAATAAAATTCAGTTTTTGAACACATTCAAATGAGATACAAAAAAAATAGAAATATAAAATTGTCTATAAACTATTCTTGTTTAATTTCTTCTTTCTTTATCTTTTCTTTTACTTCTTCTTTTATCTCTTTATCATTTGATTTCCTCTTTAACCAATTGGACATAAATTTACTTGATGCACTCTCCTCAGGTTTCCTTTTTAAATATAAAGTAAAACATGTTAAAATATATAGAATGTATATAAATTATATTAAGCAATTACATACTTTAATTCAACTTCTTTAGCACAATCTTCTCCTTTATTACTAACAGTATTTACTGCACTGGATACTGGATGATAATTTACCTCATTAATAGGTCTGATTAATGACAATTCTCCATTTTCCAACCAATCATAAACCTCCTTATCATTTTTTAAAATTGCTGGCATTCTATTATGAAGCCATTTTAAGTCTTCGTGTGCATCAACAGTTATTATGGTATAGCTGTTCACTAGATCCTCTCCATCCTTAGGTTTCCAGGTATCAAATATACCTGCTACTGTTAACAGACTTTGTTTTTCTTCTGAAGATTTGTTAGTAATAAAAAACGGTTGCTTTTTACCAGTAACATCGTTCTTTTCCTGCCATTCGTAATACCCGTTCAAAAGAACAACGCAACGTTTTCCCTTCTTTAATGGGACTGAAAATGCATTCTTCGATTCCATAGTGTCACTTCGACAATTAATCATATTATATCCAACACTTTTAATAGACTCTCCTTTGTGCCAGAAAGGCACTAAACCCCATCTCATTGGTTGAACAACGTAATTTACTTTCTTGTCATCTTTCACAGACTCCTCTGTCTTTTCGAGATCCTCTGAAAAGTGCTTTTCGGAGACAAGTACTGGCCTAAAAATGCAATAATAGTAAGTAAACCGATATTATTAAATTTATTTGTCGAAAAACTGTTATACATACGTAAAACTTCCTGGAGCGATATTATAAGATGAATAGTATTTGTTACTCCCTGGCGCGTCTCGCCATGTTGGTTCTTGGCTTTTGTTTGATTTAGTTTTTCTAGAACAACTTTTACAAATTTCCTCGGGAGCTAGCGTACTAAATTCGTATAAAAACAAAACTTATTTATTTTATTCAATTAAAATCTTGTTATATTTTGAAAATACTGTCAATAACTAACCAGGCAAATCTACCACACATTTTCTACTATTATTTGTAGTTTCCTTTTACTTTTTTACTAGAAAAATGTTTTTGGATAAAATCTATCTGTATATTTGAGTTTATAAGGAAATTTTTATTTCAACTTGTAAGTTTGGTGCCAAATGCAAGACTGACTCTGTCTGTATCGTCGACGGAATTATATAGTCAGTAAACTCTTAGTCAGCGTTTGCTCAGGCCAGTTTGGGCGAGCTCAGTCAATGCGCAACAGACCAGGTAGCCAGTTTAATTTCTGGTAAGCATTTCAAAACAACACTGTAGAGGAAGAAATATACAGGAATAAATTAATAAATATTTCCAAAATATATAAAATATAACTTTTCAAAAATAGATTATTAATATGGTAATTTTTTTAAAAATATTAATTGTTTTTTTTCCAAAACTATCCTTAGCAAAATAGTTTTGTAATTTTCAAGAATAAATATAACGAAACTATTCTATTTTTTTTAATGAAGAATATTTTTCCTTATACAAAAAAAAAATATAATTTTTTTTAATGTAAGTCACAAGCATAAAAACAAAAGTTAAAATATGATACATTTCATTAGAAAACTCCTTTTTTTATAATTTTTTTTAAATATTATAAGTTCTACTCTTCAGTTAAATATTACATACTTCCAATAAAGAGAGAATATTCCTTGATTTACAAGCAAAAGTCAAAGGTTTTGTAAGTTTTAGAATAACAAACAAAAAAGTATATAGATATTTAGGGAGTTACTTTTGAAAATTGATTTTATATTTAAGACGAAAAGTGGAAGAGATATATTAAAATTCTTTTTTTATTTAATATATATAATAATTTAATTAGACAATTTCAACATAATGTTATATATATATTCGTAGCAGTCTTATCAGCTTTCTACCAGTTTTGTCTAAACGTAACAAGATGGCGAACGATGAAGACTTGTCATCCGAGCAAACAGATAAATTGGTTCAATTCCAAGTAAATATCTCGTAATCTTTCTTAAAAGACTTCTAAATTTGATTAGAAATATTTAAAAATATAAAAGTTCTTCAGTCCTCTGACAATTGATTGTTGAACTTGCTTGCAAATTAGTAATTGATATTAGAAGTTAAAAATAACACTACATATGTTGTTCGTATCTATAGTATTTAACTGTTAATTAACGTTTCTAGGATATAACTGGAATTGAAGACATGGAAAGATGTAGAGAAGTCCTCCAGGATAATGATTGGAACTTGGAGGTAATTTTTTTATGGTCTTGCGTAACTTCTTCACAATCTTAGTCGACATGCAATATTGTCAACAAGTACTCAAACATTTCGGAATTATTGCAAACATTAATAATATTCTAACTAATTGATACAAATTTTACATGTTTCCAACTAGAATGTTGAATATAAGAGATTATACTAGATATTTTATTATTTTTAGAGAGCAGTACAGAGACATCTTGGAGATACCACGAGCGATACAACAGAAAGATTTTATCCTGAACCTACTTTAGAAATTAATCCTGAAGGTCAAAGGTAGCGTCGTTTCTTTTCGAATTAACTGTATATGATAGATTCATTTGAATATAGGGTCTTTCATGTTGAAAGAAGGCAACCTACAGGTCTTGTTAACTGGTTTTCTCAGTTCATTTTATTTCCTTTTCGCTATTTTTACTCAACAATGGGGGACTTGGTATATTTCATACGTGAGCTATTAAGATTGATTTTTAATTTAGCGGTTTGTTATAAATATTATGTTATTTTTCCAGTTAGATTACTCCGACCAGACGTTCGACGAGCTGTTACAGATGCTGATGGTGACGTCCGGCGATTTATTAGAGAATTTGATGAGAAGTACGGTGAAAATCATCCAAGTTTCTATTCATCCAGCTATAGTTCAGCTATAAGAAGCGCTAAGCAAAATCTTCAATTTCTCATAGTATATCTTCATAGCGATAAACATTCAGATACCGATAGCTTCTGTTCTGATGTTATATGCTCTGAAACAATTAGGACATGGTTTCAACGTAGAAACGCCATGTTTTGGGGTTGTTCAGTAGAATTACCGGAGGGCCATAGGGTTTCTGGTATTTTAAGAGAAAATGTCTATCCATTTTTAGCTGTTATTGTGTTAAAAGAAAACAAAATGATGGTTGTGGGTAGAATGGAAGGTTTTTGTTCAGCTGATGTTCTGGTTGAACGTTTAGATACAGTTGTTGAGAGTAACGAAGCGAGCTTGGTTAGTTTCATCTTTGCTTGCTTACATTTGCTAATCTAATTGAAAAAATTATCCTTCCAGATTGCCGAAATGGCGGCAAGACAAGAAAGAGCTCGTGCAGCAGATTTAAGGGAACAACAAGACGAAGCTTATTTAGCTACACTCAGGGCTGATCAAGAAAAGGAAAGATTAAAAAGACAAGAGCAGGAACAGGAGGAACGCTTACGTAATGAACAAGCAGAGAAAGAAATGCAATTGGTAAACCGGAAGAAAAAAGCTGAAGAATCCCTTAGTCCCGAACCAACAAATTCGGAAGATTCCATTAAAGTAATACTAAAATTACCAGAAGGACCAAGAATAGAGAGAAAATTCGATAAGAAACACAACCTATCTGAATTGCATGACTTCGTATTGTCCAGGAACGACATGCCAGATAGTTTCGAATTGCTTACCAATTTTCCAACCAAAGTGATTTTAAGGAGTGAAAATGCTGAAAATTGCAATGAATACGAGCGTTTGAAGAGTATTACATTTGAAGAAGCGCAGATAACCGGTACGACGTTATTGTTTGTTAGAGACTTGGACGCCTAAAAATTTTTTCAATTCATTGAGTCAATTTATTTGAATAGCATTTGTTGTAGAATGAATATAAATGTACAATTCTCTTCACAGATATATCATGTATCTAAATTTTTAGGAATAAGGCTGCATAGAAAAATCCAAATGAATTTAGTGTTGAAAAATCACTTTACTGTTATTTTTATAAATGATGATGATGATAATAATGATATTAATACTGGTTTTTGTAATGAAAAATCCTGCAGCTCTCATCAATGTGATAAGATAAATGCAAACTTGTTCTTATTTTAAGGAAAAGCAAAATTTAGCATAGTACGGAATTGTTAAATAAGATAATTGATGAGAATTAACAGTTTTAGATATTTTGTTTTATTCGAATGAAATAATAATCAAATTCAATTGGCAAAAAAAAAAGAATTAGCGAAATAGTCTCTTATGTGTTTTCAACATTTTCTTACCTTTATATATCTTTTCTCTACGTGTTTAGTATAATTTATAAAAATTGAGATTTTATATGACATTGAATATCAACTTGTTTCTCTTGAAAAATACTTTGAGCATTATTATGGGTAATTGGAGAATTGAACAATATTAAATAGAAATTTTTAATTCTATACCAATAAATTCGGTGGTCTTTCGTGATTATCGTCTTGAGCCAACTCCTTAAAAGTTGTTGCCTATTAGCAAACATAATAATAACGTTATATCATTAAACGCATTTTTTAAACAAAAAAAATGTAACTTACTCGTGGACATAAACAAGGCAAACAACAGTGTAATATCCTTTTAAATAGTTGGAGTTCACCAAAGCAAACGTCTTCGTATAATTGAAGAAATGCTAGTAGAATCAGACTTGAACCTAAGATAACAACAAGGAAGCCTGTCAAGTGAACTGGAAACATGGCACTACCATCCTGCTCAAATAAGAAATATGTTATCACATTTATAATTAAATAAGATATGTTCATAAACAAGAATAACCTTATAGGATGAATGTACTGTCCACTTCTTAGAAAATGATATAATTAGCGCCAAAATTCCAAATAGTAGAAAGGGTATTACTAAAAATATAATAATAGTAAATCGTTGAACTCCAGTTTTCGTTTTCGTAACAGCGGCTCTCAAACCAAAACATCCGACCAGAAACAATAATATACCACACCATAATATCATACCAAAAGCATTATATCTGCTTATTGTTATTAAACTAGATTTTAGTCCATTTTCAATATTAGGAATTATAACAATTTCGGATAAACCTTTAAATAAGAAATGACAATTTAAACATTTATCAAGTTCAAATTGATGATATTATTACCTATCAGAGTGCTTATTCCACCGATAAGAGTAAGAGCTATACCAGAATTTCTAGACCATTGAATCCTAATCAGGTCTTTAGGAGGTGTTGCTATGTGATAATTGGTCGTTGTGGAATCTCTTACAAGTGGAGTTTCATTTCTCTCAGTTGATTCTATGCTCTCCTCCTCCGAAGAGTCTGTAGCTACTTGCAAATCTACCCTCTCGTAAGCTGACATACCTTATGAAGAATTTTTCGAAGCCTGTAAGAATGAGCGATAATACATTTAAAAAAACAAGTTCTAAACTAGCTCGAATATTTGGACAAATTTACTACTTATTTTCGCATTAAACAACATCTAGAGTACGTTAAATTTTATTAACCTTAATTTACTATCATATCTTGTTTTTACTTCTTAAATAAATATGTTTTTTAACCTCCGGAAACGCCACATTTGTTGTCGAAAACAATTCAACAACAAAAATTATATATAGTCCTATAGTTCGAAGGATATTTACTTAAAAATAAAAGTTCATATTATATATTATCTGTATTAGATATACATATGACAAACTTATATGTTTTTTTTATTATTATTTCTATATTGTTAGTATGATTTTATTCCTTAATAAAGAAAAAAAAGTATTCCGTTAGATATTTAAATATTTTGTTTAAAATAGATTTTTTAAAAAATGTTCCATTCTTTTTTTTTTCATTCGAAGATTAAACATTCCAATATTCTAAAAATCCAATCCATCGATTTTTTTATTTGGTCATTTTTTAACGATTTTTCTTGATAAGTTGCACTTTGGGACCGGCAATTGGGAAGCAAACGGTTGAAATCGAACTTTTCTCTTCATTTTTCTTGTTCTTTTTTCCATTTAGCTTAATATTTACGTAAAACAAAACTCCGTCAACCCTGACAGAAGTAGCATCGTAAATTTCCTTTAACATTCTTCCAAACGTTCCTCTATTGATAGAACGGCCGAGGGCGTTGTGACATTTTTGAACTAGGTCATTGCCAGTAACAAAAGATCCCCTATCTTGTACAACATTCCCTCTTATCCATTCTCTTACTTGGTCCTCGTAGTTTTTTAGACCTTCTCTACACTGCTGATTTAAGCCTCCACCCCTACGATTAACGTTTCGTTTTCGATTCAACTTAGATCTTTTCGTTCTTACTCTCATTCTTGAAAATTAAAGATTTGTTTAAATTTTAACTTTGACGTTCTTTTTCTCTCATACGTCAATTTATATTTTAATTACTAATCAAACAGTTAAAAATGAAATATTTCTTGATTGTTAACGCCATCTACTGGTTCAATTATTAAATATTTTTCAAAAGATCTATTGGAGGAAATATAATAGCATCAAAATGTTCTGAAATTGAAAACAAAAACCAAATTAAAGAGATAATGCGCCTGCGCATAAAACTTAAAACTATTTATTGTTTCAATTAAACTTATGAATATTTATGAGAATTGTCAAAATTTAAATTTAAATAAAACTGTATAATTTAAATATTGTTATAGTTTATTAATTAAGAACACTAATATTAAAGCTATTTACATAATGCATAATAAGATAAAACGGCTCATTTACATATTTCTAATATTATTTATAAGATGCTATAAATTTTGCCCATACGACAGGAATGTTTGTCAGAGAATTTGTGGAATTTGCGGTAGTGGTACCTCATGTAATAGTCTATACGGGAAGTGCGATCCAATTAATTGTCCTATTAATAGAATGGGCGATGGTTGCCTAAAAGAATGTTATAACGGTCTAGGTCATTCATTTAAAGGCTATACAAATGTTTCGAGTTTTAAAAAGCCCTGCTTAAATTGGTCTAAATACAATTTTACCGGCAGAGGGAACTATTGTCAAAATATAAGAACATCAAACGAAACTGGAATTTGGTGTTTGGTTAAAAATGGAAATAGTATTATACAAGAGCCGTGTGACGTTGTTCAATGTCCAAAGTTATGCTCTAAGAAAGGTTGGGGCTCAAATTGCGAAAGAGAATGCTTTTGTAAGAACGGGGGACGGTGTCATGCAGAGTATGGCTTTTGCGAATGTCCTCTAGGATATACGGGAGAGTTGTGCGATATAGAATGTCGTAATCCAAAACACGCATCCGTGTGCAGTAAACTTTGCTGTTTTAATGGTGGAATCTGCAAAAGAGAAAGTGGTCTATGCAAATGTCCAAAGAATAGAATGGGTTCTCAATGTCAGCTCGATTGTCTTCAAATAGGTCTAATTTATTCTGGTGATAACAGTAGAACAATATCAGGAAGATCTTGTATTGATAAATGTCAATCCGATCCGAAGAATATATCTTTAGAATGTTTAACAACAACCGGACAACGTGAAATGTGCGATATTCCGTTTTGCAGTAGAACATGTTACTCTGGAAATGGTGAAAGTTACTCTGTAAACGAGGTAGATAATGTTATTTCTTCTATTTCATTTTCCAATTTAAATTCGATACGCTAAAATTAATATAGATAAATAAAGTATACACTGCAGAAGGTTTAAAGGTTTGCTTACATTGGTCCGATCCAAGAGTTGTCTCTTATGTAACTAATTATAAATTTGCTGATGGGAAAGGAACGATTACCGCTCCTAATCATAACTTTTGTCGTTTTCCAAAGAGAAACAGAGAGGAGAGAAATACATCAAACGGACCGTGGTGTTACGTGTTATATAAAGGTGACATTCGCGAAGCCTTATGCGACGTTCCTCAGTGTATAGATTTCAATAGAAAAACGTGTAAAGTTTGCGAATTAGTAACTTGGAAAGTCTTACCTAGTACGAATTATAAGCACTTGACGGAGAAGGAGAATTATTTAAGCAAATTAAAAGAACTGAAGAATAAATTAAGAATATGCCACGAAAAAATATGTAAATTAGATAGAACGAGAGAAGTAGTTGAAACTGAATACGAATGCGCTCTGTACATTGCTAATACAACTACTGGAATAGAAATTCAAAATGGTTTACATTATACAATAGAATACGTTTATACAGGTAGAATATGTACGGAAAAATTTAGAGATACCTCCTATTATTGCGTTAAAGTATTGATAGATATTCAACAGAGATTGGAATATAATTTAAATCATCATATAAGAAAATTAATAAGGAATGCTAAAATTACATTAATAGATATTAACTTTCAACCAGGCGCTCAATCTCAACAATGTGATCGTTTCTTAAAAGAATCTTATCAATCTTTCTATCCTAAATCTTCAACAAATCAAATTTTTGTTGAAAATTCAACAATTTCATCTTTTTATTCAAATGGAACAAATAACAATAGCGTTTTAACTTTCTATAAAGAAGGTTTATTGAATAGTGACAAATTATTCTGGTCATTAATAACTATAGGAATAGCATCTGTAGTTCTTTTATTACTGATTTATTTTATCATACAAGTATCATGTACAAAAGTTAACAATATTAACAAATTAAATAGAAGGAATTGCGCAACATCAACGAATTCTTACGATAATTTTATACAATTAAATAATATAAAAATATATAAATCAACAGAATCTCAAACGTCTAATAAATTATTAAAAAATTCTAATAGAAATCATATAAAACAGATAAGATTAAAGAGAACAATTCTAAAAGATGGCAATATAAGAAATCATAGTATTTATACAATATCTTCTTCAACAGTAGAATCTTCTTCAAGTAGTGATTAATATTTAAATATTATTATATACTCTGCTAAACTATAATATAAAGACTATATAACTAATGATCTTAAGTTTTGCTTCTTCTTCTTTTTTTGAAAGAGAGTTCATTAGGCTTTAGTATAAAATTAGTTTTAATTAAATACTCTCATAGATAATTTTAAGATTAAGATAATAATGTTTTAATAACGATTTACATTCAAGTATTACAGCTTTTAATTAGTTAAATACTAATAGATTTAAACTAGGGCATATATATATATATATATATATATATATATATATTATAAAAACAATATAGTATAGACATACTACTTGATTACCATTGACTTCTTTGACATTGGATAACGTGAATGTGGAGAAAAAAATTAGTTTACAAAGTACTTAAAGAACAAGTCAACAAATAACTTTTCCATATATAAAAAGATAATACTCTGCTATTTTTCAATATTCTTACAAATTTTTTTTTCTTATAACAATCTTCTTCCTATAAAAGAAATTCCTTATATAAATCGTTAATGTATCGCGTATCGTTTGTTTTCGATTGTTGATTTTCCATTAAAGTAAATTTAAAGGACATAATTATTCAACTTTAGGCCTATTTAATTAAAAGAAATTTTTTTCATGTTCCTTAATAGTGGAGTATAACTAAATTATATTTTGTTTTTTTTCTCTCTCTTTAATAAAGATAATTATCTAATTTAAATGAAAAGTTGTAGAGAACTATAGAGTCACGTATTACATGTTTATACTTGATGCTTTCTCTCTTTTTATATATATATATATATATATATATATACATATATGCATATATCTATATCTATAGCCTGTCATAGATTACTATTTTAATGATTAAAAGACTTTGAATACTGCGTATCGTAAGTATTTTTGTGTTTCTTGTTCTATTTTTTTTTTAAAAAAAAAAACACCAGTATATAAATTTTATTGAAATTTATGACTTTTTTCACCTTTCCACGTTATATACTGTATATACAACATATAAGAAATATCAATTCTTTACTATAAAGGAAAATTCCAAAGATATGATAAGACGTGTCAACATTTTATTGTATTCTTTATTAACTAAGGATATTTATGTAGTTTATGACGAAACTGTGTAAAAGGTATGGTATTCTTTTATGATATATTCTATTATATTCTATTATATTCTATTATTAAAACAAACCAACACCTTTTTTCTTGTAAACTTTTTTATTTTGTTTGTAACAATTTTCATATAACACGGTCTAAAACAATCCAACTATGGCCGTTATTTCTGTCCTTAGACAGGAAGTAGGTAGGGATGATTTGTTTCACATTTCTTCCGATTGTACATGTACAGTATATATATGTTTATGTCTTGCTGAGGTATCGCTTGCTAATTCACTATTAAAGGTAATTCTCAATTTAAGACATCCAATAAGTAGTTAAAAATAGTAACAAATTTGCTTTTCATTTGCTGTCCCTCTCTCTCTCTCTCTCTCTCTCTCTAAAAGAATTAAGTTCCGTTAGTGTTGTCTTAATAGAGGAGCAAAGTTCGTTTATTACTTGGAATATGAAAACATATAGAATGATATTATTGTAGTTTGTCATTTATCGATTAGTAAATAAAATTGTTTTCTTATTAACTTTTTATATTAGTTAATTAGTTAATTAATTTTCATTGTTATGATATTTATACAATTAATGTCTATATTATCCATGAATACATTTCAAGCGTGTAGATGTAGGTAGGCTACAGAAATGGCTGTTATTTTAGTTTCTATTACATCTATTTATAAATATTGTATAAAAGACTTAAGCAAATTAATTGAATTAATTGTTAATTAGTTAAGAAAAAAATAAATAATTAATCGAAATATTATGCGTCGAAATAACCTTTTATTCTAAAAATATAGATATTCAGTCTAAAGAATGTCTATTTAATTCAATACAAACTTATCTTAATCGCTATATTATACATTATTAACTTAAAAACTATCAGTTATATAGAATCAATTTTAACAAGTCTATGATTTTTTTTTTCTTCTTTCTCGATTTCTTCATATTCCTCTTCTTCTGCTGTCCCCCTTTTTCATCTTATAGATTATATAGCCAAGTAAAGGTTTTATGAAAATGTATAGGCCTACGAATTAACTAATTTATTCACTTTCGATAAGATGAAGAAAGTTTTTCTATTAATCAATTTCTTGTTCGTTTCCTCCATTTTGAAAAGCGTCTAATATACTGCTTATATATCTATAAATACAGTATATTTACTTATAATTAGATAAATTGAATTTTCTACTCAGTGTTCAAAGACGCCTGTAATTTTATTATCCAAAAATGAAAAAGACCATTTAATGAAGAAGAGATTTGGCTCTCTCTCTCTCTCTCTCTATTTCCTAGTACCCCCTCCGTCTTTCCTTAATAATTTGTCAATTTTCCTTTCTTTCCCTTTATATATCTTTTTCTAATTTTCCCTATTTTCCAGAACTATTAGCATCATTTTTCCATAAGGAATAGCTTTTACAATGCACATTATATCTATATGAATATATTGTATCTTTTCCAAGACAGAGACACAGAGAGAGAGAGAGAGAGATGAGTTAAAGATCAGTTAAAATTGAAATGATAAAAATGTTTTTTTTCTAGGTTCTATTCTAAGTTATAAGAACGATTTATCGCATTAAAAGCCTTTAAAGGTCCATAAAAACCATTATGGAGGAAAGAATTATTACTTGTAATGTTTATGTAAATCTATAAAATTATAAGATATTCCATCGTTTAAAAAGTTGATATATGAATGTATCTGGTTTGTTTAAATATATATATATACTTATACTGTATATAAATTGTTTGCCTTCTAACAATTTATAAACGATGATTTTTGTTACTTTCTAGATTGTTTATACGTTTATAAACCATTGAGAATGGAGCAATATATTCCAAATAAATGCTCTCAAAGTGGGAACGTTTATTTTAAACCATTTTTTATGTTTGTTATACCACAAAAGGAGGATAGTAACAAACTAAATAGAAATATATGAAAACAAGTGCAATATATAGAGTTAGCTATCTATTTATTTATTAAGCTTATTTAATCTATATAATCTATAAATTAAAAGATTGCGTAAAGGTTTTATTAAATAAATACTCTCTTCTTTTACTTTATAATTTGCCCTCTAACAATAATAGGCGACAGAATTGATGGATGCAGTTTGTGACGTCATCTGGTGAATATTTATAAGTATCCGTTGTTTCTCTCTCTCTCTCACTCGCTCGCTCGCTCGCTTTCTCACTCTTAATCTATCCTTGAAACGATGAATGGAACATTTGACCAGGAGGAACGAAACAATTGGCAAAGAGGATTAGTAACTTTTCTAATAATATTGGTTCTATTGATAGCCCTTATTGGTAATCTAATTGTTATACTTATTGTGGTTCAAACCAACAAGTTAAGAAGTCAATTATCAAACTGGTTTATAATTAATTTGGCAATATCGGATATAAGCAATGCAATCGTTGTTATGTCGACCTCTGCTGTAAGCACAGCGCTGGATTTTAGAGAGATAAACAAAATATGGTGCAAGATCACTTGTTCAGCCAATTATTGCCTTATGATAGCTTCCATGTTGACCATGCTCTTTATAGGCTTAGACCGCTATCTGGCAATCATTCACGCCCTCAGTTATAAGCGATTTGTCACAAAGGTAAGAATATTAGATGCAAAGAAAAAAGAGATTTTGCAATCAAAATCCTTTTTCATCTCCCTAAGAGAAAACTAATATGTTACTTCCCTCTCAAAATTCTTTTGTTATGTACATTTCTATGATTGTTATTGTTCATTTTATCCTATTCAACAGAGAAGAGTTCAGTTGGTTTTAGGATTCACTTGGTTTCAGGGTCTTGCATTTAGCATTCCACCATCGCTTACCTTGGACTGGGTGGAATATGATTATTGGGAAGCTGTTTGTGCTATCAAATGGGGGTTACCCGGTACTGCTATATACGTCATTTTAGCATGTATTTTATGCTTTGCTCTACCTTTTCTATTACTCATCTTCTTTTATTGCGGCATTCTTAAGATAGTACGAGACAATTCCGTTTCTCACTCTTATCAACCAGGAACTGGAAGAGAGGGCAAGCAAATTATATCTCTTTTGTTAGTCGTGACACTCTTCTTCGTTTTCATGGCCCCATTTTGTATAACAAAGCTATTGAAAGTTTTAGGATACAAAATTAACGGTTGGTGGTCTACTGGTTCTTCTATTGCTGAATATATGGCTTCTGCTTGCAATCCGTTCATTTACGCAATCTTCCGAGAAGACATGAGAAAAGCTCTACAGTATCTATGGGCAACGAAAGTCGCAAAAGCTGGATATTGAAAAACAAAAGAAAAGATTCCAAAAGAGAGTTTATCTACCAATCTCTCTCTCTCTCTATTTCTTTAAAGAAAAGGTAGAAAAATGTTCAAAACTGTTGACTGCATTCAGCTACTTGAATTTCTTACATCTTTTACAAATTGGTGCCTGTTTACGTATGATTTGTTTCCAAATTCATCTTTATTTATTAACACAAAAGAAAAGAAATACGTCAATTAAATAAATTGGATCGTATCTTATTACTTGTGATAATATGCACAGTGAATTAGTACATCAACTATATATTCAATAATATTGTTATTACTATTCTTATGCCGTCTTGATTTTCACCTGTTTCCATTTCCTGTAATATCAAAAAAGTCTTCATTCTCTGTTAATTAAATGGAAATAGGTGACAAGTTTTCTTTTAGGCTATATATATATATGTGTTGAAGTATTTCTGTTTTCATCTTATGCAAGTATCCTCCTCCTATATTAACACTTTATTAACTTTTCTTCTATGCAAGCAATTATATGAAGTTAATTTAAACAGCGTGGGAGGAGGTGGAGCCAATAATCAGAAACAATTGACTAGCACCGCCTCTTTTTTTCTTTTGATTGTAGTTCTTTGCTCTCAAAGTTTCTTGTTACAAACAAACAAGATTAAGCTGCTGTTAATAATAGACAAGAGGAAGAAGATTCTACTTTTCTCACGTGCGTTCCGAACCTTTATAAAAAAAGTTCCTATATATGAAGTTACACTTGTTAAGTTGGCTAAACATGTTCGAACATGCACGCAATCAAATAATAATTCGTATTTCTATATTGTATTTAGTTCACTCGACAACATTTTCTATCCTTAAGGCGACTGTGCACCGAGACAATACTTACATTAAAAGGTAACTTGATAACGAGTTTGTCCAATCAAAGTATGTTCAATTACTGTTTGCCAATCTATTCTCTTATTTAGCGTAAGAGATAAAAATTCTACATTCGATTTATTAAATATAGAAAAAATACTATAGTTGATTATGATTATTTCTTAGCAATAAACTAAAATAATGTTATTTTAGTAATTTCATTCTTAATAGGTTGATTTTCTTATTAATTAATCACTAGATGTCACTATTTCACTCCATGCAATATAAAAATGTTGTTTAGAATGAGTGTAGTTTAATTATACCTTGACACTGTTAAATATCATAACTACTCTATGTCGATAGAGTATCATCTATTCCCCGCGCCACTCCCTCCTACTCTAATAGGGATATGTTTCATTCGTTCTCCTATCAAGACAAGTTAACAGTATAATAAGAAAAACAGACTACATAGTATCAATATATTGTATAGAAAAGAGAGGACGTTCAATAAATATTCACTTTTTTATTTCATGTTCAAGCTTAGTAAAACCTGTAAAACAATCAGCTACAATCTCTTAAACATTTATTAATAGAAAGTATATAAAGTATATCTTTCCAACTAAAATCGAAAAAAGAAGACCAAAGAAAAAAAAAACGCTATTATTTCAACAAAAGAAAAATTGATGATAAGATAAATTAACAGGAAAAGGGGAGAGAAAAAGAAAAAAAAAAACATCTCTACTATGCAAAAAAACAAAACATGAAAAATAGCGTTGTCATAATTTTTTTTTGTGGGATTTGAGAGATTTCTAAGTAGGCTTAATTATCAAATAATCTCCTAACCAAAGCTACTCTCGACTTTTGCAGAAGTTGAATAGGTTGATTCATATTTGCTGGATCTAAATAAAAAAAAAGAATAAAGATAAACAATAAAGAAAATCACTTTACGTAGAAAATATTAATTGTTTAGTTATGATAAGAAATATGACAATTGATAGAATGAACAATAGATAAACAATAATAATGATAAGTTAATACTGTATATTTTTGTATTTACCGTGTCTATTATGATCCCTGTAGGATCTAAACGGACTCGCAAAGTCCGTTAATCTCATCTGTAAATCCTCTCTTCGTCTTAAAGGAGTAGAAGCTTTTTTAACGCTAGACAAAAACTGTCCAGTTCTTTGCATTTCGCTAACTAAAGCAGTCATCATCTCCTTTGCGTAATCAAATCTATATCGAAAATGAATATGAAATAACCTTTGACAGTCGTCTATGAAAGACAATCTACCTTCCAGCTGACATTTTAAGTAATTCATCAACAGTCTTCTGCACAGTCATCTCATCAGAACAAGCGTGACTAGGCGTCTCTCTTTCATGTTCACCGGCCAATAATGCGCCAACAACAGCGGCAATATAAATTTCAACGTCATTTAAATGTTTAGGTAAAAATAACTTGTCATGTAATCTCAATATGTCCATTTCATCCTTAAAATTCGGTACAAATTCCGAAGAATATCTCGAACGAACGGTTAAAACCAAACCCAAGCACGGTGGTAATTCATCAACAAACTTTTTAATGAATTCCTTAAGTTCAGGCCATTTTCCTTTATCCGCACTTTCTGGAGAATCAATTACAACAACAATTTTTGGTTGTTTACTATGACCGAACGATCTCTGTAAAGGTTCCTTCAATAGTAGTTCAAAATCAGTTCTCCAATTTCCAGATGGACTTCTCCGTTCGCAATTCTTTCGAAATTCAGATAATCCTTAATGATTATTAAGTAGGAAGAAAAAAAATCAATTGATTAAGTTCATTATTGTTTAATTAATATAATAATATTAAAGAAATAGATGCAGTATATACAAATAATATAGATTGTTAAAGAAAATCTAAAATAAGAAAGGGGGAAATTTCAATGCAAATATTTATCTTTTTTTTTTCCCACATTCTTGTCAATCTTTTATAAATAAGAGAGAGAGAGAAAAAAACAAATATTTGCGTAAATTGAATAGCTACAATGATGCAAAAAGACCGTGTGAATGTATATTAAACTATATACAGTATATACTGCAGATATTGTAAAATTGAAATAGATCCAACTTACCTAACGCCAATTGTTGAGAGAAAGATAGAATAATACTATTAGGTAAACTGTCTCCTTCCTTTACTTTGTGAATTGCCAAACAATAATGAGGAACCAAATTAGCTAATGCAGAACATATTGCCGATTTTCCAGTACCTTGTTTACCAGCTATTACTAGCAATTGCTTTTCTGTGCTCATCCATTTACCTACTATGTCAACTAGCCATCTTCTTGTAGCAGGATGGACAATATGTTCCAAGAGAAAGCTCATATCAAAATTATTATTGAATTGAGCAAATTCTTCCATATAACCATGGAAACTAGCGAATATTTGTTGGAAAACATCTCTTTCTAAATCTTTCAATCTTACGTCAATTTGTTCAAATCTTTCTTCAATTTTCTCAAATTGAAATGACGATATCGATAATCTGACTCCGTGCAACTCGCTTAAACATTGCCCAACCTCATTTAGAAGATCTTTCGATTGAACAACACTAAGACGGTTCTCTAAGTGTTTAATTCTTTGTAAAGCTTCGCCAACTCCTTTGATAGAAACCGTAGAGCAGAAACCGCTTGTTAGAATAAAATTTAATAGGTCGCATTCTATGTGCGATATTAGACGATCCGTTATTTTATTTTCAATGGATTTTAGGCATTTTTCTAAAACCTTTGGAAGGGCCAAAACGAATAAAGGTTCCCTTAGATCCTTTCTCATGATCCTCTTACATATTTCAATACTTAAATATCGTTCCAGATCATTTGATATGGTACGAATTTTATCGAAATTTTCAATTCCACCCTTAGATTTTAACTCTTCAATAAGCTGTTTGTAGAAAAGTATTATTTGTTATACAATTCAATATTTGTTAATATTTCTAATTAATGATGTTAATATACCTTTAATCCATAGCATAAATCTTTAGCCCAACTGATATTTGACTCCTCAAAGTAACTTTTCATAGATGACGACATTCTCTAACAAAATCTTTCTTTCTTTCTATATAATTGATAACAAAAATAACTTTTTTTCCTTGTTTTTCAACAGGATAAAATGAACAGTAAAATGTCTCTTCTATTTTACTCTTTCGTTTCTTTTTTTGCCACAATTCCTTCTCTCTCTCTCTCTCACTTATTTAGTTTCTATTCTCCTTATTGAATATTTTTCTTTTACAATATTATTACTAAAATTCTTTCAATACTATCTATTTTATTGTGTATGTGTGTTTGTGTGTGTCACTGCTTTTTTTTTATTTTCAGTTGTAGGCCTATTTGTAGCCGAAAATCATGATTGAAAGCATGCCGGTGCTTATAATTCAGTGTCTTGTTCAATTCAACATAGGTCCATTGAACATCAATAAAGAATTATGTTTAATAAATTAGCATTATTTAATCAGTATTTTCGTCTATAGTTTGTAAATTTTTACCTTACCTGTTCAGATATACGACACACTACTTAAAATGACTAGTTTATGTTTCCACGATAGACGGCGTCATATGGCCTTATCTGTGTAGATGGCGTTATAATCGTTTATTCTCGTAATCCCTTAACTTTTCATCGTCAACATCATTTTGTACGAAAGCATATTCAAATATATAATCTGATTTGTAACAATTATTGGAACAAGTATAAATTAGTACAGTTCCAAATTCAATTTCAACGTATTGAACTAAAGCAGGCATAAGTTGAACTTCGTATAACGTATCTCCACCGCAATTGGTACATTTTTCATTCGCTTTATGTTCTTGCATAGGAATAGCATCTCCACCGTAGCAATACCTTTTCATTTAGAATATAACATTCTTTATTCGATTATTATGATTTTATATAAATTCCTACCGAATTATTTGTTCAGGAAGACGAGAAATGTATTTATAAAACTTAATTAAATGTTTATCACCATATTCTGGCCGGCATTTCTCATAATTTTCACATCCAGATCTACTACCGGAAGCGGAGTTTTTACTATCAATATCTAAATTATCGGCTAAAGAATATTTTGCTAATAGTTCCTTCTCGTGTTGCAGTGTAATTTCATCCATCAAGTGTTTCTTGTCAATCTCCTCCATAACATTTATATATCTTGGTAAAATTTTTGCAGGTTCTACGTTAATTGCTGATGATATTTCAAGATTTTGTATACTTTCAGAAATATCTCTATCTTTATTTATAACTGTTTCCTGTTTTGATTGGGAAGCTTTTGAAAAATCATCATTTAAGCCCCAATCATCCGCGTCATCACACCAATCGATCTTATCGTTTAAAACAGGCGTTTCGTCAACATTTTCATAGCTTCTATCCTCTTTTCTCATTTGTCTAATAACTGTCCAACTATTCAGTATAAAACAGTATAGGTCAAAAGGTACTTTATTGATGTGTAACATCTTCTTACCTGTCAGATTTTATCCAACAACTTTTATTAGGACAAGCAAAAATGTAGATAGTCCTATTATAAATACTATCTCCTATTGGACAATACATTTGGGCAAGGAAAGTTGATTTTGCTGAACATAATTTACAGTTGACGTCTACTGGCGTTGTCAGCCAAATCTAACATATACATTTAAAAAAAAGAGTCATCAAATGATGCTTTATAAGTTTAATTATATAAATTATTATTACAGGTCTTCCTCCAATCTTATTTGTCAGAGATGTTGAGCAATCATTTTCTATTTCATCATCAATGATGCCCAGTAAACACGTGCTAGCCATAAATTTTATCTATTACTCTACAAAACCCAAATTGTAATTTATAATAGTTATATGAAAAGGTAGAAGAAAATTTAATGAATATATTTACCTTAAAGATGAATATATTAATTATAATCTATTCGAATAAAATACAATATAACTCCATATAATGGAAAATATTCTGCAGTATATTTACACTTATCAAGTCTACCAGTTTATATAAAAAGCTTAAGAAAAATAAATATTTTCTACAGAATATTTTGCGAATTATGCTGTTTACAAACTTTATATTTTCATATTCAATCTTATGGATTTAGTTGTCAGTTTTTCATTTTTGATTAAACTTATATGTTAAATAATTATTTATTTATTTCATCTTAGAGTATTATAACAACTGTCAAAAATGGTGAAAAATTTGTTGAAAAGTACTCTCATAGTATTCTTAATCAAGATTATAATGATGTCTTAGAATTATCAGTATACGATGACGGATCTACAGATAATACATTTGAAAGACTTTTAGCTTATAAAGCAAAGTTTGAAAAACGAAATATCAAACTAATTATAAAAAGAGGAACTCGCGGAATTAGTAAAGGAGGTATATGATTATCCTAGACCCTATATCAAATATCGTTATATTTCATCTCTTTCCAGTTGGATATGGTAAAAATAGGGCTATTAAAGCGTCAACAGGAAAATTCCTCTGTTTTTTGGATATAGTAAGACAATTAAACGTCTTGTAATTAAATAGTAATATTCAATATTTTAAGGATGATACAATGGAACCTTCCCGTATAACTAAACAATTACAATTAGCTAAGAACTATCCAGACAGTGTAAAATATAATAATATTCAATATTAGTATTTTATATTAATTGGTTTTTTACCCGTTTAGTTAATTGGTTGTCAATTTAGAAGAGAACCGGAAAACTCTACACAAAGGTACACAAAATGGGCAAATCGATTAAATGAACATCAGTTAAATATTCAAATATATACTTCACACGGACCAACTATTATCATGCCAACTTGGTTTTGTTCAAGACAAGTTTGGTCTAAAGTTGGAGGATTTGACGAAAGTGGAAAAGTTTGTAATCGAATTATAAATGATAAGAATTTTTGCTTTAGTAAGGGATTTTTATATTTCGTAGGGTTGCCCTGAAGACCTATTATTCTTCTACCAACATATCAGATTAAAGGGTTTAATTAAACGTGTAGATGAAATTTTACTTAATTACATCTACCATCCATCCGCAACAACTTTCTCGATAGACAAGTAAGTGAAAATGGTATTTATAGATCTAAATAAAAGCTTAAATACTATGTTTATTTATAAAGAGAAACTATTTGGAAGTATAGAGTATCCTTCTTAGAAGAAAGAGTTCTTAGATTTTGGGAAAGTTTTACAATTTGGAATGCTGGCAAACAGGGACGAAAGCTTTATAGAAGTCTTTCAAAAGAGAATAAGAAAAAAGTGATAGCATTGTGTGATGTTGATAAGAAGAAAATTGATAAATTTTCCTACAATTCGCAAGAAGGTCCTATACCAGTTATTCATTTTTCAAAAGCTGAATCTCCATTTGTTATTTGTGTTAAATTAGATTTAACAAATGGTTCTTTTGAACGCAATTTAGAATCTCTTAATTTGAAAGAAAATATCGATTATGTTCATTTTAATTAACTTATTTACAATGAATAAATTATATTTATTATTTAATAATATAAGTATTCATTCAATCGTTTCGAGTAAAAACAATAATTCGATTCGTAATGCGATATCGATAAAAATATCGATTCTAGAAAAACAACTTACTGTGCTGTGTACATTTTCACGGCACATTGTTTTAGACCGTTGCAAAAGATGCTTCAGAATTACAGCAAATTCCTTTCAAATAATACAACAAACGATAACCATAGGTTTTCATTTGAAAAGCAAGATTTATTTGTTTTGGTTGTTGCAGTTTTTGTTTTATTTGTCATTTGTGCTCCTTTGATAATATTCTTATCGGCAATGGTTATTGGAAAGTATCTTATGACTTCTCAACAAAGAAATAAGAATGATAATATAAACAATTTAGACTGGAAATTACTTCAATACTCTCGAGAGACAGATATTTAACAAACTATGGTAAATTTTTTTCTTTTCTTTTTCGTTTGTTTCCAATTGTATTTATCCTCCTATCATCATCATCGTCGTCGTCGACGTCGCCGCCATCGTCACTGTATGGAAAATTATAACAGAAGATGAAAAGGAATAGTTAGATATTAACAATTTTCTTTCTTTTTTTGCCAATTAATAGCCTTGAAACGAAGATTTTAATTGATTATCTCACAAAAAAATGATGAATGTAAGATGCTTCTCTTTTCATTCAATAACTTATGAGGTAGACACATTTTCTTTTAGAATAAAGGATACATTCTTAAAATATCTTAATAGTTTATTAAAATACTTTATATCAATATAAAATAAAAAGTTAAAAAATAGCCAAACGACCTTAAAAGATTCTACCACTTTCTTAATATACAATTACAAGGCCTATTTTATGGAAAAGTCTCCTTATGGAACAAGATATTTATTAATAACTAATAGGGAGGAAACATTTCTCATTTAATTATTATTACCGAACGGTACGAGGTATTAAATTGTGAAATAACATTTAATCAAAGCGTATGTAAAACGATATGACATTGTCTTTTGTACGACTTTTAACTATTCTAAATTGTATATGTTTTATTTTTGCTTATAGGAGCTAAAAGCTAACCAACAGTGCAATATTTTTTCCTTCTTTTACTATGAAATCGATCAATGACACCAAACTAGTAGGCCTATTAAAATCTAGGCTAAAACATAATTAGTTATTGTAAAATACTTGCGCAATACATACAATATGTATATAGTGTGTTTGTTAGCAGTTGTTTCTGTACCTTTTATTTTTACGTTGAGAAGAAAAACATTAGATTATAGGTTAAATAAAGTTAATATAATTATTTATTAAACGATATTATTTATATTAACACAGAAATAGATGTTGTATATTTCGTGTTTATTATTGTTTTTGTTGAAAATAACAACTTATTTAAAAAGATATCAAAGATATTTAAAAAAAAAAAAGACAAAGAGAGAATCTTAAAAATTTTATACCTAGTTATGAGACTTATTATCTACTAACGGCGGTATCCAAACCTAAAAATTGCTTCATAACCTCATATGTTGAAAACGATACTGCAACCATTGGTGCTGCTTTCATATAGTTAACAGTTAATCCCCTATATAGTCCATTAACAACTCCGTATTTTATATAAACGTATTTTAATGTACTTGAACAACTTCGGAAGAGATACTGCTGTTCCGGTGGGTACATTATGGCCAATTGCATTTTTCTCCTAACAACGTCCAAAGGATATGACACCGTTTGAGCAAAAGCACCTGAAATAGCTCCGCACATTAGCTTTGCTGGAATAGATAAGACTTTACTATTTTCCTTATTTGGATTATCAGATCCAAATATTTCAGGCGCATTTGTTAATAGTTGAACTTTTAGAGTTTCAAAACAATAAAATGACAATCCAGCATATGGAACCATACCAAAGATAGTTGCCGTTATCCCTCTATAGAATCCTCTTATGCCAGAGTCTTCAGTAATCATACAGGATAGAGCATGAATAATTCCTTTATATATTCTTGTATCACTTCCTTGAAAAGCAAGTCTAGCTCGAATAATATCAAGTGGATAAGTGAACAACACAGCAGTTAAGCCTGCCAAAGCCCCAGGAACTAATCTGGATATGTGACCTGGTCCAAAAGTGTTTAAAGCTAACGGTTTATAAAATTCATAGCTTGTAAATTGTATTGCGGCATAAGGAAAGATTCTTATCATTTGTGCACTATTGCCTTTAAAAAGTCCTTGGAATCCTTCTCTCTTTTGAATGGCTATGATTGCTGAAAGTACGCCTAAATGTTTGTAGTGTTGATGATGAGCTTGTAAGAGTATTTTAACTCTATCAAATGGTGCAACAGTTGTCTTTGCAACGCATCCGGCTACTCCTAAAAAACGAAGGGAGATTTATTCCATATATAAATATAGATTATTATTAATATTTCAAGTTAAAATGTCATATGTTTCAATATCAGCACAAATTGCGTAATTCGCCAATAAAATTTTAAGATAACTTATGAAATTGGATAGAAAAGATATACAATTTGTTCAAAATTTGTGATCATAAACAAAGAATAATATTTAGCGATAGTTAAATCTTATTATACAAAAAGACTCTCACTTATGATAAATATTAGATAATATTTGATAGTTCATTAAACTCTAGTTCTTTTATTAGCAATAAACAGGTGTAAAGTTTTAGACTAAAATGGAAATAGACTATTATTTTATAACATTTGATAAATGATCAAATATTACTAATATCTTACCTCCAGCTATAAAGGTCTTTACATTCTCTCTGCTCGATTTTTTCATTTTTACATCCAGTTTCTTCCATTTCTGGAGTGAAGGTCAATATGTAAAATGGAAACCGGTATGAAAAGGAATGTTTTACCAAACATTTATAAGAAAATGTTATTTTCTTTTTTATCAACTTAATATATGACGATTGCCTTTACATATTTTAATATTTAGTTTATTACTATATGAAAACTGACATATATACGAAAGGAGCGTTAAATTTAGTTTAAATATTATTAAAATAAAGTGATTTAGAACAAATTGCGATGCTATTTTGTAAGCCTATATTTTCAAACTTTTTTCTCATTAATTTTCTTGCTTTATTTGTGGAGAGAATCGAAAATAAGCCAAATAATGTTGTTATTATTTTAGGTAAACTTCTTTTTTATTGTATATGAAAAAAATTACTATTTTCCCTTAATTTTCCAGCGGATGATGGTGGCTTTGAAATTGGTGCTTATGGCAATAAAATTATTAAAACACCCAATTTGGATAATCTTGCAAAACGCAGTAAACTTTTTACATCAGCATTTACTTCTGTATCTTCCTGTTCACCTTCAAGAGCATCCTTGTTAACCGGCCTACCACAGCATACTAACGGAATGTATGGTTTACATCAAGGAGTTCACAATTTTAATTCTTTGAATAGCATAGAATCAATATCCAAGGTTGTTAAACAACATGGAATCCGAACTGGTATTATAGGCAAGAAACACGTCGGTCCTGAACTTGTTTATCCATTTGATTTTTCCGAAACTGAAGAAAATAATCCTATAAATCAAGTTGGAAGAAATATTACAAATATCAAACTACTTGTAAGGAAATTCCTTAAAGAATCGGCAAATTCCAGTTTTTTTCTTCTAGTATCCTTTCACGATCCGCATAGATGCGGACATATAACACCGCAATTTGGTCCTTTTTGCGAAAAATGGGGTATTGATGGAATTCCCGATTGGAATCCAATAAAGTACGATCCTAGAGACGTTATCCTCCCTGATTTTGTACCAAACACTCAATCAGCCAGAGAGGATGTTGCTGCCCAATATCAAACAATTTCCAGGCTAGATCAGGGGGTTGGACTGGTTATGAAAGAGCTAGAGCATTATCTTGAAGATACTCTTGTTTTCTATACTTCTGATAATGGAATACCCTTCCCAAGAGGACGTACTAATTTATATGAGTCTGGTTCAAAAGTTCCCCTTCTAGTCAGTTCTCCTAAATCCACGGAAAGTTGGGGAACTAAAACAAATGACCTTGTAAGTTTATTGGACATTGCACCAACTATTTACGAATGGTTTAGAATTCCATCTCCTGTCATTCACAGAAATCCGCATAAAAAACTTTCTTTACCAGGACAGTCTATACTTCCAATAATAGATGACGTAATCGGACAAACTAGGGACTATGTCTACTTGAGTCACAATCTTCACGAAGTAACTATGAATTATCCTATGAGAGCGATAAGAAGTAATCATTATAAGCTAATTCATAATTTGGCGTCGAACAGTCCATTTGGTGTGGATCAAGATCTATACGTTTCTCCAACGTGGATGGATATGATGAAAAGGATAAGGAAAAAGGAAAATTTGAACTGGTTTATTACGCTTAAGCAATACTATTATAGAAGTGAATTTGAATTGTATGACCTAATAGTTGATCCATTAGAAAAAAACAATTTAGCATCCAAACCCGTCTATGACGAAATCTTGTACAATTTAAAAGAGCAACTTCTTAAATGGCAAAGCAAAACTGAAGATCCATGGATTTGTTCTCCACACGCCGTTCTTGAAGATAAAGGATCTTATAAATATTCTCCACAATGTTTGCCCCTACACGACGATTTATAATTAAACGAACAGACATATTTTTCTTACAAATTACTTAAAGATTTGTTTATTCATTTAAAGCTTTTTACTTAAATTTCAAATTAATAAAAAATGGTTAAAAAAAAAGTGTTAATGATTAACATTTGTTCTCTATATAAGCTTTCAATACTCTCTTATCTTTTGTATGCTTGAATGGTACAAAGGTATATTGTCTTAAATTTCAGATATGGAAAACAACCAACATACAATAAATGAACAGTTATATGCTGTTGAAACTAACAAGATGATGCCAAATAATGAAAAAAGAGAAAAGAAATATATTAAAATCAAACAATTTAAGATACCTGTATTCGACGTTGATGGGAAACCAATGATGATGAATCCTTCCTTCTCTACTATTGCTTGTGGAATTTTACTAGTGTTTGCAGGCGCTATGATTTTTGGTCTGATTTTGGTTTCATTCCACAGGTAATCTTATTTATTCCTTTGTAGGTTATAGGATATATTTTTCACAGAGAATCTTTTATAATAGACCATATATTGCGCGAATTCGAGAATACAATCGAATTAATAGACTTGGAAGTAGTTCGTCAGATATGCTCCTATACACCCGTAATAGCATGGACAAAGCCTACCTTTTAACAAGCGCTCAAGCTTGGTTTTGGCATAAAGGAATAACCTTAAAAGTAAAGCTTGGAGATTGTAAAACAAACTCTTCAGTGATGGTCGAAGGACGCAACTTGACTGAAATTTATCTTGGAGACATAATGGAGAGTCCGTCGAATAACTTTAGAGTTAATTTTCCCAAGGATATCTGTATTCTTCCAAAGCTAAATAAGATAAAACCTGAATACGAATATGCATTAGTATCTGTTGTAAACTTTGGTAGACAAGGTAAGGAATAAAAAAGATTATTGTTATGATTATAAACAGTACTTTATTTATCTCCTCCAGTGAATTCCAGAAAGGAAGTTGATTTAGATATTTTTCAAACTAATTAGAGCATCTTGGAATTATGATCAAGTTACTTTGTTTTTTTTATTTATAATTGCAAAAATGCATTGTAAAAAAAAAAGGAAAACAACGAAAAAATATTGAAACTAAAAAGAATAATTTCATTTTTTTTGCATGGCCAGAAAATATACCAGTTTTTATTATTTATACTAATTTGGCCATATGCACATAATTTGCGTAAGAGAAATGCTTCTTATTAACATTCTTTAGTACTCAAGCACAAGCGAATTCAATTTTGTCATATGTAAATGTAAAATAAACATTTAAAATGCCTTTTAAAAAATTTTTACAGGGGTTTATCAATAATACAAACGCCAGCGTAACTTCGTCCAGTCATCATTGATGTACTTAATAATGTCCAGTTATCCTCTTTTGGTTGATAATATTCTACAGATACTAAATTGCTAGAACCATCGTCCCCACCGACTACAAATAACATGCCCTGATGAGCTATAACGCCTGCGTTTCTCCTGCACATGTGCATATCAGCTACTTGCTTCCAAACATTAGTTGTAGCATCGTAAGCCTCAACGCTTTTTCGAACAAGAGGCCCATCGTGGCCACCAACGGCATATAAAAGACCATCAACGACTCCAACACCCGCTCCACTTCTCCTACAAGACATTTCGCATACTTCTGTCCAATTACCTGTTTCCGGATTGAACCTTTCGACACTTGATAGACAGTGCCTCGAAGCTCCATCGTAACCTCCAACGGCATAGAGAAAACCGTTAACAACGCCAACGCCGACCGAACTTCGTCTAGTAGACATGCTGCAAATGGGACGCCATGCATCTCTTAAAGGATCGTAGCATTCGACAGTGTTTAAGCCACTTGATCCGTCAAAACCACCCACAGCATAAATTAATCCGTTTAAAATTGCGGCTCCGAGAGTACTCCTTCTAGCTTCCATTGAAGCCACACTCTGCCATATATCTCTTTTTGGATCGTACTTGTCAACAGTTCTAACTCGTAAACTTCCGTTGAAACCTCCGACTGTATAAACATAACCATTCATTACAGCAACACCGCATCGACATCGACGATGTTGCATATCAGCTACCTGATACCATTTATCATTCTTGAAATCGTAACACTCAACGCTTCTAATAGCCTTAGGCGCTTGACCTCCAATAACTAAAAGCAACTTAGGTAAACCAACTGGGGTTCTAGGTTTAGCTCTTGGAGTTTGAAACGAAGCCTGTTTGTCAGGCTGGGAAAGGTGAAAACTTAAAGCTTCAATCAGAAAATCTTTACATTCAGAGTTAGTTTTAAATAATCTCTCTTGCTCAACCTTTTCTATTAAAGTAGTTTGCGGCAGTAAACACAATCTCACGTATTCCATAAGTTCTGCAACGTATTTTTGTCTACTCTTATAGTCGTGATTAATCCATCCAAGGACAGCATCAAATACTAGTTCTTCGGAGGCTACTGTAAGCTTTTCACTGGATATTAACTTAGATACTTGATCAACAGTCAATGCAAAGAATTCTTCGTGTTTTGTCACTTCGGAAAAATTTTGCTCTGTATAGGTTTGCGCGTAATGCACTAAATCTGAACAAGAATGCAGGTCTGCAAAAGCAAGAATACCCAAACAATTGGACGGATGTAACTGTGACTGCAAAAATTCACAACAAGCATCGCGAACTTCGGAAAGTTGTAATAAATTTGCAGCTGGGAGTAGGGTTTGAACATTCTCTTCGGTAACACTAATTTCTGATGTATACATAAAATCTATCAATTGCTGTAGAGCCTTTCCATCTATTTCCTGTAGGGTGACGCATGGTGCTCTTGCCTCGGCCAGTTCATTAGTAAACATAGCATAAAAGTATGGGCTGCAAGCTGATAACACAGCTCGATGAGCTGGGATTTCCAAACCATCAACTTGAAGGCAAACGTCGCATAACATACGTTGTTTTCTAAGTAGATTTAGTACATCAAAGGCTTTCTGAGTATGGCCTTGATGTTTATAAACAGGTCTGAGATCGATATTTGGCAGAGATGTATCCATCATACCGTCTAAATCATCCATATCAGCTTCACACATGTTTCTGAAAATGAAAAAAAAACATTAGCAATAATTTAATATTTACATACTATTTTCCTGTACTTTATACAGCCCGTGTAGGCTTTTAAAGAAGATTTACTATAGCGGAACGACATATTTTCAGAGGAATTGACAAACATAGATGTTCTAAAGGTATGTAAACAGATACAGTTGTCACGAATATTTTTCGTGACTTGATTGCTAATTTATGAAATAAAACATGATTAATCTTACCCAATCTCTTTGGAGGGAACGTTTAAATTCATGGCTTAAGATATGATTTCTTTTACTGATAAATAAGAATTTTATCAAGTCGAGATTTCGTAAAAACCGTATTCCATTGAGATTTATTTATAATTTTTCACAGGAACCGGAAATGAACACTCACACCACACTAGTGAAATGCACTTCCGTCGATGGTTTTTACGCGCCAATATCACCAGTCGTCAGATACTCTCTTCATTTTCTATTGCCAACATGAGTGGAACTATTGAATTCCCTTTGTCTAAACGTCCAAAGGAAGATCTCGAAACTGGTGAAACTAATGGAGTCAATGGAACTAACGGTAAGCCTAAACCGCTCCTTAAAATTGCTAAGCTGACCGAAAACGCTTTTTTACCAACACGAGGTTCAAAGCAAGCCGCAGGTTATGACTTATATTCGGCATACGACTACGCAATTCCAGCTAAGGGAAAAATTCTGGCAAAAACTGATATACAAATAGCTTTGCCTGAAGGTTGTTATGGGAGAGTGGCACCTAGGTCAGGCTTAGCCCACAAGCATTTTATCGATGTTGGAGCGGGAGTGATAGATCGAGACTACAGAGGAAACGTTGGAGTTATTATGTTTAATTTTGGAGAAGAAGAGTTTGAAGTAAAGAAGGGAGACAGAATTGCGCAGTTAATTCTTGAGAAAATCTACATCCTGGATATTGAAGAACTACCAACATTAGAAGATACTGAAAGGGGCTCTAATGGTTACGGCTCTACCGGAAAATAACACAATTTTTAATATTCCAAACTTATATTTCTAACATTTATGTAATTTCAACGATTTTTTAGTAGTAAACATTTTATTACTGGTTTTAGACGATATCGTCCAAAATTTTCCTGTTTAGAAGATAGAATAAGCCTCATAGTACATACAAAATACTTAATCATATACTTACTTCTGATCTTCAGTTAAATCCAACTTTTCCTGAATTTGAGCTCGTAATTTTTCTACTTTTTGATATCCAAAATCCGACATTATCTTTATAACATCAAAACACTTTTCAATTTCCTTGGAAGATACATACCACCCTCCAATCTCTAGCAGTGCTTCCTCGCTACAGAAAGATAAAGGACTAACATTAAAATATATATCCGAAAGAACATGACCGTTTACTTACGATACAAAACCAGATATCTTGTTTGCCTTTGCAATATACATCTCAAGCATTTTACTGGAAAAATATAATGTTAAATTTTACACTTGAACTCTTATAAATGTTATCTTACGAGGCATTTTCGTATTGATTAGCATTTGTATATATTTTCATAATATGTCCTATCATACCCCCCGTCAATCTGTAAAAAGAAAAAGGAATTTGCGATCGATAAGATACTCAAAGAAGTTAAGAAAGTTAGATGTTACATCATTGGCCTAGAAATTCTCATATTTGCTTCATCTTCTTCTGCTTTAGTTACAATACTCTCTGCCATTTCAACTAACAAACTTTGTAATCCATCTTCGTGTTTCTCCTTGGCAGCAATATTTAATAGGCTTTCAATTAAATCCTAAGTTATGTTAATTATTTAATTAGAAATATTTTATAAGATAAAAGTATGACTTTTCTCTTGTTTGAAACGTACACTTCTCTTGCTGTAGTTAAACAATATCAAATCACCCCATATCTTTGGAACGTAGTGATAACCTTCGTTCAATTCAATAGCTTTCAAAATTTCTTCCATAACGGAAAAGGTTGGAGTATAAGCGTGTGGAGTTACTCTTTCGTATTCTTTCATAACGTCGTCAATTTGTTCAAATAGACAGATGAGTTTCAAGAAATTGGAATAGTATATCATTTCACTGAAGAAAACAAGGATATAGATTGAACGAAATAAATAAATATTAGCATATAAAGACTGTTGAAATTACCTAAGGCCATCATTAAGGAATTTATAATTTTTCTCCAAATTTAATAGTTTATCTATTTTGTAAGCTGACTCTAAATCTTTTGACTCATATGCCTTTGTCATAGCAAAGGGGAAGAAGTTGACTTAAAGGAAAGAGAATGCAACATTAGTAAGTTGATTATTCTGGAGTAATAAAGAATATATTACAATCGGTTTCGTTGCTTAATTGAAATATTTGTCCTTCTAGTTTATCCATTACTTCACCTAAAATATTATTTTGCGCATCTGGAAGAGAACAACGAACAATAAAATTTTAAACATTCTCTTAACAAAAGCCCTATTCAGACCTGGTCTTCCATAAGATATTTGAAGTACGTTATACCATGTTGACAAATTTGGTTCAATATTTACCTCTTTCATTTCATTTATTATCTATACCAAAGATTAAATTGTAAAATTATATATATATAATTACTATAATACCTGATTCATGTAATCAAATGCCAAAGGACTCTTACTCATTCTTGTTATTGAAAAGAGTGCTGAATTAAATGTTGTTAAATCAGGATCTACATTATTTTTTTTCATATCATTGAAGATTTCCTAATAGTTTATAAGTAATTAAAACAGAATTTGAAATATATTTAATAAAGTTTTACCCGTAGTAATTGCCATTTAAGATTAACTCTATCTCTTAAAAACGAAACTATTGATAACATACCATTGTAGACTTTCAATGGCACTAAAATTTTTAATAATAAAATATTTAAAAGTAAAAAATTATCCATGATAAAGTTGATTACCATTCATTCCTTTACTTTTCATTTCGGTATATAGATCAAAAGCTTTATCGGAGGCAAAGTTCTATAAGGATTACATTATTTAAGAATTTAGTTCAATAGTTTATCGTACATTAAAAAAACATGAACAGAAAAAGCGTTTTACTTTTATTAATCCTTGAATCATGATATTATAAACTTCTGGACATTTATTCTCAATAGAATTAAAAATTTCGTCAGCTCCTGCTCCACTTCTGTCAACATACAATTGTTTTAAAACGTTTTTAAGAGTGAAAAATAAACATACTTCCATTTATTTTGAACTCGTTTAGATCTCTCCAAACCAAACTCATGTTTAAACCAGACTTCTTCGGGTAAGAGCTGCTCAGGTCTATCACTACTATTATAGAAACATAACAAAGCTAGTAATTTTTTAACTAAATCTTCAGGAATTTCTTGATTTTCATTTTTTAAAGACTGATAAGTTTCAAAAGCCTCTGATATCATACGTTTATCGACCCTTTCTTGTAAACCTTCGATCGTGTTTGGTTCAAAGACAGTAGGAAGTTGATAATCGAAAATCTATGCATTAAATTTGTTAAGTATATAGCTATGGTTTATTATATTAATATATTTCGTATTACCTCTAATTTCGGTTCCGTAGGATTGTATATAAAATTCTTGGAATTTATTTCTAATACGTATCTGGCTGCTTTTTTACCAGATGCTGTAGCTAATGAAAAAGCTTTCTGTTTTAAGAGAGAAATATTTAAAAAATAGATACGATTATCAATATGAGAATGAATGCTGAAACCTTATCTTGCGAGCCGTGGGGAATTAAATAAGGATCATCTATATATTTATATTCTGGGCCATGATAATCTTTCTTCACTGTGGATGCCAAGGCTTTTAATAAAGATAATTCATCTCTGTAAAGAAAGAATTTTAAGTGGGGAAGACGTTTACATTACAAAAACTGACCTCTTCTTTTTTTTTGGTATAGAAATTTGTTGTAGCGGTTGCAAATCGGTTGAGAGTCTAGCCGATTTAGGTTCGGGTTTCGGTTTAACTCTTGGTAAGATGACATGATGTGGAGTAGAACTTTTCTTTCTGGAGAAAAGCACATGTTGATATACTTCATTCCTATAATATCGTTCTCAACAATATTTATTTTTTAATTTATTGTTAATTAAAGAAAGTAGTATGCAAATCTAATATATAAATCAAACCTGTAGAAAAACTTTGTGTTCTTTCCAACATTTCCTAGTTTAAGAACATCGAAATATACTCGAAAACTCATATTTGAAGATCGCCGTGAGATGGCGCTTGTATAAAATACTCTATTTCGGTTGAATAAGGATAGAAACCTGGTACCTAACAAGGAACACTTCCGGTCGTCATAAACGATGAATCTGTTGACGAATCTTTAATATAATTGAGTACTATTTAAGGTCAATAGCAATATATCTTTTTAGACCTTTGCTTATAAGGAAAATAGGTAATTTCGTCTCTCTTTTTCTAAATATTTAAATCTTCTAGCTATCTTGTCACTCTATTTGTTTCAGAAATCACCCACTGTCTTATCAAATATAATTCTACTTGAGTTACAGTTAGTTTGATTTTAGTATATAATCTATTCATTAAAGAGTAATAGTCTGTTGTAGAAATCGTTAATTTAAACGATTGATCAGCTAATTTTATAAACCAGTTAAGTTTTACAATTCCCGGAAATGTGTTCTGCTCAACAATCATTCATACCTTTACCTCGGTAAAAAGCAGTCATCAATAATTATTTTAAATTATCTAGTAATTTAGCCAAGCAATTCGATATATTTGGCTAAATCTAACTGCAAATCAAAAAGTGCACTAATACCCGGTTATTTTCCATTGTTCTTTCTTTAGTAAAAAAAAAACAATAGATTTTAATATTGTTAAGCACTTTACCACTGAACAAAAATTAGTTATGAAAATTTCTCATTCGACTTATTTCAGCTCCCAGCACAATGACTGATCCGGATACAGAATCGGGTAGTTTCCTCGACCAAACTGATACATCTTTGAATGCAGTCAGCCCTGAAAAACAGGCCATTGCCGCACAAGCCGTTGAGGTACAGAGAAAAATTGACAAAGTTCTGGTTAAGATAAATGAAAATCAGAAAAAACGTGAAAACCACCTGGCTCAGTTCATCAATTTCGAGACAGGAGGATCTCAAGATCCTGGCCTCTACCAGCGCATGAAATCGTACTTTGAAAAGCACAATGAAAGGTTGAATAAAGAAACAGAGATGCTGCAGAAAAAGATGAAAAAGTACCAGGAAAAACTACAGCTATTGAAACTTGACGTCTTTCCAACTCCTAGTCACAAAATACAACATCCTGGATCTTTTATAAAAGGTGTTGCAAATTCAGTGAAGGAAGTGTCAGTCTTGAAAACAAGATTGAAAAACAAGAGGTATTATTAATTTACATAAGAATATATATATTTATATATAAATAGGCTACTTTTGTCCCATCTGCGCCTTTAAGGGAAAGTATATGTTTCCAACAAAGAACTTTGCAACATAGGAATATACTATCGGGCAAATTTATCATGTATATTTATCTATATATATATATATAAATATATATGTCTTATTACTGTAAGTAATCCTATCCGAATAGAAGTATTAGCAAACTAAAATTTAGTATAAACACCTAGGCTGCAAAATAATACAGCTAAATGGTGTATATTTCTGTTAAAATGTATATAGGAAATGGTAGAAAATTATATTTAGGCCCGATATTAGGCATCGCTATGTTTCTCTATATTGATTTTATAAATCAATCATTTGACATTAACAACTAACTGATAAGCGGCAGTATGAAGAAATTTATTAGAGATTTTGTAGATAAGAAATTTAAATCAGTAAAGTTTGTATTTTATTAACATTATTAAATTTAATTAAAATATTTTATTATCTTTATTCTATGTGAAGTTTTCTTCTTTTTTATCATTTATCCTTCAATTAGTATCTACTCAGACAATCATATATATACTGTAAACGAGTATTTTATCATATGAATTTAATAGTAGAAATTATATTTTTCTATATCCACGTATAATAAAACTATATCAGTATTAATATATCTATACATTATGTACTTATTATATAAACAATTAAAATATAAATTAGATCTTTCCTTTAAAATAAACTACTAGGTTTATATATGAATAAATAACGTCATGTCTTTACATTAATAAGCTTATTAAAGGAAGGAAATTATTGGTTGATAATAATAAAAAATTTATATATCAAATATAATATCTATATATTTAGTTTATTAATTAATAGGATTATATGCATTTGTGTTAATATTTTTAAGAAAAAGCGTAAAACTTTCCTTTAGTATTCTTTTATTCTATACAAACAAACAAAAAAACATCAATAGTTTATTGAGAAGTTTATAGAATATTTAAAAATATAAATAAGTAACGTTTAATAGAATTATTAGCGTTAGTAATCTATAGCAAAATATCATACTTGTCGTATTGAAAATATAATTTATTTGCAGAAGGGATGATGCATATCCGCTCTATGTTTTTTTAGACAATTTTATTACATTTATCATATATCATATATTAACATTTGAATTGTCGGTGTAGTATTATAGTTTTGTAGTTTTCAATTTAGTATTGACTAATGAAATTACTTGTAATAGTAACTTTGATATTATAAATTTTCAAAATATTTATTAAATCTTTTTACAGATATCCAAGTGCTGATCATATTACAACTAATACCTCCACGACAAGCTCAACAAACGATGACTCTAAAACCTGTAAAACCAGCCGGACACTTCCTTCATCCTTTCAACCTCAGCCAGTACAGGCTCAAAAAGCCTCGTCGACAGGAAATACTTTACCTAATCATGACGAAGATGAAGAAGTTGAAGGAAATTCTTCAGTTACGAACGAAAGTGGCGGGCTTCTCCAAACTCCAGTCATATTAAATCAAGAAATATTGGATGATTTAGGCAAAAAATACGATTCTTTGAATCATCGATTTGACAACTACGACCAATACCAAAAAGAAATTCTTCAGCAATTAACTTCACTTAACGATCGATTCATTAGAATAGAATCGGATCATTTGAATACCGATTCGGAAATTAAAATGATTCAGGAAAATGTAGCAGATATAAGTAATTCGTTCAACCAATTTAAGGATGCAGTTAATGAAAACATTTCACAAACCGATTTTAAAGTTGTAGAAACTGGGAAAGAGACAACTGAAAAGATTACTCATTTAGACGCTAAAATTACATCATTAGAGCATAGAGCAGATCAACAATTGCCTGATTTTGGTGTAGGTAATAGTGCAAGCGCAAGGGCTGTTATAACAAAGGTGGTTAACGTTGCTTTGGCCATAGTAACTGTAATTTTAGTAATGCTATCTATGATAGCAACTTTAAGTGGACCACTTCTATCGACTAAAATACGGACTGTTATGTCTGTAATCATGGTGGGGCTCATTGCCGTTGCTGTTCAATATTGGGATATCATAAAAGACGAGTTACTACAATTATATAGGCAATATTTGGCAAATAGGAGTTTATAGAAAACTGTTTATAGGAAAATGGCTTAGCTTTTTTCTTTTTTTTTTTCATATTTTATTTTTAAAAATTTCATCATTTACTCAACTGTCTCACAAACTGATTTACTGGACAAACACTTAAAAAGAGAAGAAAAAAAAAGAAAAGCAGAAAAATTTCAGAGTATATCAGTTTCTATGTCAAATTTCTTAACTTAACCTTCCTTCTCCTCCACTCCCTTTCCCCTTTTTTTTTCTTTTAAATTTATTCATTCCCTTAATCTTTCTTGCCTTCCTTTTCCCTCCTCCTCCTACTACTCCTCTCTATGTTTTTTTATTGGAAACTAGTTGCACCCTTTGAAAAAATAGAAAAAGAATAAGAAATAGTTTATAATAAAGATATTTGTCACCAAAAATATACTGTAACATATAAAATATATAAGAGCATAAACAGATTAGCCATGTATGTAATTTTATTAAAAGTCTATGATTTTTGTTTAATTTTAGGTTTTTTTTTCTTTTGAGATTTATATTATTTCAATTTTTACCTATGCCTCTTCAAACGTTGAAATTCATCAACGTTAAACAAGTTGATCATAAATATCAAATAAAGTTTATTTTTTTTTTTATAAAAAAAAAATATATATATAAATTTATATATTTGAATAATAAAACTGTAGCAAAGAGATTTTTTTTTAATATTGGTTTAGCATCAGTTATTAATGAAATTGCTAAAATAAGAATGAATCGTGACTCTTGACTTACAGCGGTCACGATTAGTTTGTAAATTCATAGCAGATGATAATAAATCTTTACGTACTTGTACTTTAAACTGACGAATAGATGTTTATCTTCCTGTACGACTGATAATCTTAAAACGAAACATATTTAATATATAGACATCAGTTGTTTTCATTACTTTTGCAGCAAATTCGTTTAATATTGGTGAATAAAGATTTAATATTAATATTCGTTATCGTTATGCCCGCATGATCTCTTATTACCTTTTTAAATATGACAATAATTACGTAATTTACTAGCTAACCTTATTTGATGCACTTTGTATGTCACACCAGATGGCGTATATGAACGGACTCGTTAATTTTTCTCAATGCAATTGTCTGTATATGCATACATATATATATATATTTGTTTTTGAAAGTTTCAAAAGTAGGCTCGGAAATAAAGAACAATGTTCTTAAGCAGTTATATAAATTTTTTGCAATGAAAATAACATTCTGCAATAAAAATAAAATGATATTTCAAATTTTTTCTAAAAATCCTTCATCCATTAAAATTGGCTCTAATGGTATATCGTCCATATTTGGTAGAACCAATATCCTTTCGAACTCTTTTACAAGTTTGTTTTCTATCCAATCTGTGACGTGAGTAACGCTTACTTGTCTCTCTCCAATTTTTGGAGTTGCAGTAAGCCACATGTGAGGAGGGTGTTTAAAACCCCACCATAAACGATCAGTCGGTGGGTGTGGTATATGCAATACTAGAGTTCCAACGCAACTTTTTATATCAACTGTCAATTGAATGGGTGTGTTAGATACTTCTTTCATTGCTCTTTGCACATATCTATTTTCAGCTGCAGCATGAAAATATCTGCTGTTTGTTATTCGATCTACTAACTGCATTATTTTCTTCTTATTAACACTCTTTTGTAAGCGAGCACCAACTCCAGTGTGCAGTCCATTCGAGTTTTTCTCAGAGTCGCTCACATCCTCGGGTTCTTCGTCAGTTGAACTTTCGGCACTATCCTCTTCATCGGAATCCGTAACGGGGCTTTTTTTATCGGTTGTTGGCGACGAGGTTACACTATCGCTTTTACGTAACTTCAAAAGATTCACCTTTGTTTCGATAGATAAGGCTACACCGCCACTATAAGCCATATCTATATCGATCCAGAGTCCATCTGAGTCGACATAGGGGACTGCGCTTCTTCTGAGTATTGGTACTGCTTTCCCCAGGTCTATTCCAACTATCACGAGATCATCAACAAAGACTGGTTTATTAATTTTAGCTAGTTTTTTTTGAATTTTTGACATTATTCTAGCAGCCCAAAGAGGCTGTTTTAGAACATCCCAGAGGATTCTTGAGATGATAGCGTTTATCCATATCATTGAAGGTTCACAAAGGACTCTTCCAATTTTTTCACAGCTAATTTTCGGCTTTGTACTACAAAGAGATTCTGGAGGTAGAATTCGAGATAAATGAAGTATGAGAGACTCCAAAGAAGCCTCTGGATTATTCATACTAGGTAAAGATTGATCTTTGACAAGTGTTTCCAATGCAGAGGTACTCAAACGTTTTTCCAGTGTTCCTTTTTTACCTATATCAGGTAACTTTGATGGAATGGGCATATTTAAAGAAGCCGAATTCATACGATGAAACCATTGCTCTTTTTGAAGGCAAGTTCTAGCAAAGAGTATAATGTTCTTTGATCCATCTGAAGGCTTTATGCATATCGGATATTTTTTACTCCAAAGTCTCTTATGAACCAATCTATCAGGAAGTAAAATAACATTACAATCTCTTAAATCGACCGTCATAGACTCATCAAGGAATTGTGCCTGGGCCGGTATTGGAAGATTGTGTTTATAGCATGCTCGGCGAGGGAGTGATTGCAGAGCAATTTTCACATTCAAAATGCAAGTATCTAACTGAACAAAAGCGCTCTTTGTGTCTATCAGATGAAAATTTTCCGAATTATACTCTCCGTTTGATAATATATTCATCCAGCCTTCAAATTTACAGGATCTGTCGGCTAATCCTCGACTAGGTGGCATAGGAGGTAAATCTTTAACATCTGGCAATGGTGGTGGGTTGAAATGCCATGGGTTGAACGTATAGATGATAAAAGGCACAACAAGCGCCGACAAACAAGCACCAATAATTAAACCAGACATAAATGAACATATAGGTGAACATATAGCTGCAAGTAATACAAGTAGAGCTAAAAATAAGTGACCTTTGCTGAATGACGGTTTCCATTTTGGATGAAAATTACTGGGATTTGACTTAGGGCGCGTTTCATTTACAGGCTGCTCTAGAAGTTCATTCAAATTTAAGGGATAAGATTTAGAGGAAGTTTTTGGCAAATGAGGTGGTGTATTATCAAAATCTTCGGTTAATTCCTCGCCTTCTTCATCCGCGTCATCCATAGAGGCAGGTGGGACTAATTCAAAATCAGGACTCAATTTGAAATCGGCACTTGAATGTCTCGAATGCTTTCCTGGAGAGCTTCTCTCAGAGGGAACTGTATCAACGCTAACGCTTTTTTTCATTTGCGACTCTTTCTTATCAGACGAATCTAATTTTTCAGTGATAAATGTGGAAATGGAGTCTGGCAAGCGATCTTGCAGCTCGGGTAGTTTCTCGTGCCATTTTTCCGATAAACGCCCTTTTAGCTCCTTCAAGTCTTTGAAAAAGAAAGATTTTTGTTCCATTTCCGGTGTCTTCTTCTTTTCGCAAACAGCTGTCTCAACTGCATCCCCTGTAAACTTGACCGATGTCATTAGTTTTGTCAATGACTCGGGCGGTGTTGTTGATCTTGGAGAAGTTGACATTGCTACAGGTAGAACAAAACTTCAATTAAATATAGGAAATAGCGTACAAAAAATTACCTCAATTAGGAAATAATGTGATAAAGATCAAATTGAGTATTTTAATGCATATGTTCTACATATATTACAATCGGTATCGGTGAAATTATCTAAATCTACTTACTGATCAATACTCAATTAGTGGAATATTTCCATTATTTTTGTAAATTACTTTCTATATTAACGAATTATATCAACACTTAAGAAATATAACGTAATTTCTTTTTCTATTTGTCTTCGTCATCTGCTGCTGACAAATAGCAGACTCGCACTGAATTATTCCATTCGACATTTAATTTTAACGCGGAGCGCGCCAATATCATAAAAATTACATTGGACAATTAACTACGTCTACTTTATTAAAACATTAAACAGTTAACTCTATATTTTTCACTGTATTAAATCAAATTATTAATGAATCTTTCATTTACTTATCTAACCTGTAGGGAAGAAAATTTCTATGTTTATACTATGTTTGGTATTTCACTGACGTATTTTCCGGTATTTTGTAGTAGTACTCTGTTGAAATATATCAAGGAAATCAAATCGTAGAATATGTTTTGAGTAGTACTCAAAGAAAAAGAATTTATTCAGAGAATAGGCCCATTTACTCAAAAGAAAAAAAAATGTTATATCTCTTAAAGAGTGCTTTTTAATGGAGAATTACTAATCTTTAAATTTTACAAGACTAAAAGTATAATATTACCATATATTTGAATTATACTTAAATAAAACGTTTAAGATTGTATAAGATTAGTAAACATGACAAAAAAAAATGAAAGAACCCATTCTTATCTTGTTCTATTTAACAACATTCTGTATAAATATGTACATATAACTGTAGTTTTTTCCATATTATTATATAAAATATTATTAATAACATGAAAAAAGTATTAATATTACATCTATTATCAAAATTTTAATATTTATAAAATACCTTCGTATTTTTTACAATAACAAGATAATTAACAAGATATTTAACATTTATTAATAATTTATTATAATAAATGGAATATATATATTAATAATATATATAGTTTATATATATTTTATAAAGTTAATTTTGTTCATTAACTATGTGATTGTTATTGATAATTAATTTTATTTGTACCTTTTCTTATTTAAAGTTAAATTGTCTTATTTCCCTTTTTATCAATAAAATCCTATTAAATATATAGGCTTGTTTATTCTTGTCTATTCTCTTAACAAATGAACAATCTTACTGTCAAGACATTTATTAATTTTCATTATTTTTACATACACTTTCAACTCTATTCCCAGTAGTAATAGTTTCGCAAGACAGATGGCGTTTTAAACTTCAATTTAGGTGAAGGTCATACGGTCATTTCTTCAAGCTGATATTTTTATATCATTATGTTAAGGTTTGTACAATTCAAATACTTTGTCATATTTATTGTAGAATATAACTTATAAAAAATCTGTAGAAACTGTCTTAAAGTTAGAGCTATCGGGCTATCGGTGAGATCAGTTGTCCATACAAATTCTAAAAGGTTGAGTACTTATCCCTTTGTCATATTTTATATTGTAAAATTGTTTCCAACTTTTTGACAGATCTTTAGCATTTAAAATAAATAACAGCACTGGAAAAAATCGTAAAGGATCAAGTCTTCTACCAACTATACAGTAAACTATCATTTTTTCCGCCGGGGTCGACTATCGCCGGTTTGATTATCGTCCAATATTTTCAGACAGGTGCAGAGAAGCCGATTCACGTCGGATGGAAGTCACATATCTATACCGCGTTATGTGCCCAGAGAAAATGAACCATTGCAGTCAAAGATTTCACGATTAGAATATCAGAGTAGGAAGAGAGGAATGTTGGAAAATGATTTACTTTTGAGTACTTTTGCCGACAAATATTTAAGAAATTTAACCGAAGAGCAGCTAGATATGTACGACAAATTGATAAATGTTCCTGATAACGATTGGGATTTATATGATTGGCTTATTGAAAAGAAAAAAGCACCAGAAGAATTTCAAACGGAAGTCTTACAAATGTTAATAAAGCATAGTAAAAATGAAGAAAGAGAGCTGAGAAACGCACAACCTCCTCTCAGGCATTAGTTTGTTCTATTTACTTTGAGATGAATACATCATATGGTGTTTTTTTAAGTTTATTCCCTCTGTTATTAAAAATAACCTTTATTCTATAAACGATAGACAGGGTAAATACACATATAAATTATTATTGTTTACAAACTGTAATAAGAAACTCAGAAGCATTCTTTACTTGAGTTTATATGGATAAATATTTAGACACGAATTATTAATATATTCTTTTCTTTTTTATAAAATTATAACATTTTATATAGTAGGGAAGAGAGAGAGACAAAATCCGATTTTACTTATTCTATATAGAAAAACAATGATAAATACAATAATTACTGATTGTTGTTTGTGATATGAGAAGAAGAAAATATTAAACCTTTATTCTTATTCTTATCTTTTCTCATTTTGTTCTCCTCTTTTCACGGTCTATAAATAGAATATGTGAGAAGGAAGACATTTCGACAAGTAATATATAAAAATTTATCGAATAGTATTTACTCTTAATACATTTCACATCTTCTTAAAAGCAACTACTAAATAGAAGTATAAAAAAAGGAAAAAAAACAAAACTACAACTCTAATACAATAATAATAATAATAATATTTCTTTGACAGCTTCCATTCTTTCTTTTTTTTCTTTAAAATTTTATTATCGCCTACAATGTAAAATAAAAATTGAATAAAAAGCTTCCATAAATTTTGCGAAATTATCAGCTCACTAATTTTTGTAGTAAAAAATAAAATAGGAAAAAAACAAAGCAATACAATACAATATATTATGAGCCTGATAGAATATTGACTAGTTAAACTTTTGCATTTAAGTTACAAAGCAATATAATGATACATGTAGGAATTTTACATAATAGATTTTAGCAAGATATCCATTTTCAAATTAATTCCTAACGGGAGAGGTAGGTGACAATGCTCCATTATCATCTTCATTCTTGACTAAAGCCATCCTCTCATCTTCGTTTAGATTGTTAATGTTATTTGTTGTGGATTGGACGCTAAAATATTATAATAAAAATAAGTCAAAAGAAATGATAAATACGGCAAATGTAAGTAATTAAATATTGAAACTTACACTTCATTGTTTTTGTGAGTGGCAGCAACTTGTGATGGTTTCTATTAAGAAAAAAAATATTCATACGAACTTTTTCAACTTAATAACTGAATAAACAAACCATAGTAAAACTCCAAAATTCTTTTAATTCACTTCTTACTGAAGCTAATCCAAGGTTAACAAATATAAGAACTGGGCAAATATATAAGAGAGCAGGTTGACCCTTTTCCATAAAATATAACGCGACATCGCATAAAACCAAGCCAACTGTATAAGCTATTATATTAGAAATGAGATATATGCGAAATTTTATTCCCCTCTTCAGATCGAAAAATGCAGCAAAAGTAGACGCCAGAGCTGTCGTTATCAGAATAAAAAAATATATACAGTTATTACTCCTCCTATACTGTTTATACCGTTTATTTTTCATATATACAGTATATAATACATTTAAAAAAAATTATTCATAATCAAGAAAACTCACCTGGAATTAAAACATCCCCAAATCCGAGTATTGTATACCCTCTCTTTTTGCAAACATCGTAGGGTGTTCTGACTATTCGATACATAGAGAAAACAAACGGCATCTAATATATAGATAGAAGGTTTTACATTAAACTTGAAATAATTTTCCCTTTTCCCTATAAGTCTTACCCTTTCTCCGCTTCCGCTTGCTGTAGCAACGCTACTCATTACGCTTTCACCAGACTGCATTAAAAAAATTAATACAAAGATGTCAGATAGTTACCACTAATAAGTTGTAAAAAAAATTAATCATTGTAACAAAAGTAAACCTTTGTGATGAATGGCGTAATAAAGACCATGAAGATATCATAGAAAAATGTTGCTGTTAATAGAATGAAGCATATCTAAAATTGGATAAAATGACAGCGAAAACACAATGTTTTTGAGTTTCTATTGTAGAAAAATTCATAAGTATATTTACCTTGAAGTTTGGTAAATGAAATGTCCTGAGAAAAACCATACAGAGAATGGCACTGAGAACGTTCATTGGCCACGCCATCCATCTATTAATTTATTTTTTTTAAATAATATACGATGAAAAACAAAGAAAGACATCTTAATTAAACTTTACCTCTCATTTCTGAATACAACCCAAAAGATGGAAACACCAATACACAATATTAAAATGATTATGTCAACAATGTTAACATTTTTACTGCGAGATCTGCATTTTATGTTGAATTCATATCTTTAAAAAAATACATATATTTTTAAAAAAATCGTATAAAACTATTATTAATCAAACAAAAGAAATTTGACGAACTTATCAGTGTTGAACTTGAACTTTTGTACAAGATAGGTTGTTACATAGTACAAGGAACACGTTACACCGAGAGCGTAAAAGGCAATCACCAGATAAACTGCAAATAATAACACAATAAAAATAATTAACTCTAATAAATAATGCAATCAATCAAAAAAAAATACAAAATTGTCTTTATGTGAGTAATTTTAAAACTGTTTCCTTTACTACTCACTTAAGGAAGTTTATACTTTCGAACAATATCAATCGAATTCTTTAAACGGTATTTTATAAATGTTATATTCACCTAGATAACGTATGAAGAAGTAGAGCAGTAGTAAAGTTATGACTAGACAAAGAACATAACCCAAAACCATGGTTATGTTTATTTGATCTCCAGAACTTTCATAATGCCAACTCTTGTAGCGCACCCTTTTTTGGCAGTCTGCGTTTCTATCATCATTGGTCTCACTGCTAGTAGCAGTCAATTTGTCTGCTTTATATAGTTGAAATTTTAAAGATGCTGACCAAACACTAGAGGCAGCTAAAATGAAAACAGCAAGCATGGCTAGGAGAAATGTTGCAGGATCTAAGGAAAGTCTATGAGGCTTAAGATATAATTTGGCAGTTATATTCGTCCCGATTGCCTGTTAAAATAAAATTTTCTATAGGTAAAAGGACCCTATTGATAACTAAAGAGGTAATAAATGGCTATATTCACTTGTAAGCTTTCATTTATTTTCGAATTGCCCACAGCCACGGTTATATAAGCCCTCCTTCCATCTCCAGTTATATTTCTCGAAAATGACTATTTAAACATATGGATATGCATATAATTGATTAAATAATTTTCCAATTAAAAACAATAATTACTTACTATAATAGAATCAACAATAACAATGGCGGATGCTCCATTTTTTTTCGCTAATATAGCTTTATCTGTATATGTGCAATTACCTCCTCCAATAATTAATATGGAGTCTTTGGGAAACGTATATGTTTTGTTTCTATTGCAGAAATTATCATCCGAAAGTTGAACTAAAGGATGATACACCTAAGGGGATAGAAAGAAAAAAAATTCGAAGAATAATAATAGTTTTTCAATAAAGAAAACTTTCTGCTATATATTTAGTTGAGTTTGTCAATGAACCACTTAACTAAATATCAAGTATTCCTGAAAGAGCATCAAATTAGAAAATTCTTTTAAGAATCTTTTATTATTATAGGAGGTTTTGTGTTATGTATAATACCAATATATCTTGCTATATAATTCTCTAAACCGTTAAAGATTATTATGTTTAATTAATTAATTAATTAATTGTTAATTAAAACTTTTAATTAATTACTGTCTTTAACCAATTACTTATTATTAAGTATTTTATAATATATACATATAAATATCGTTAATATCTACAGAACGTTCTATAAAGACCGTTTTCTAAGTCTAAAAATTTCTTAAAAAATCATTAAATTACCGTAGTTTCATAAGCTGGTGGTGTGTTGAATTTTTCTGAATACTGTAAGCACTCTTCAAAAGTCCATTTAACACCTTTATTATCTTGGTAAATACTTCGTAAAATGCAATCTTCGCAGACAACTCTTTTTAACTGTCGGGGAGAAAACACCAAAACGATTCAAAATGGTATCCTATGGATGGATATATTTCACGGATTAGAGCATAACTCACCAAAATGTGAAAGAGAATGACGTAAATTGAAATTCGATAGAGTAGTCCTTGCACGCAGTAGCTCATGATTTTAAATATTAAGCCAGCTGCAAAGGTTTATATGTTATGATAGAGCTACTGTCGCTAGTGAAGCTGATAGCACTAAAACACGCGTGGAGCTAATCGCAAATCCCTATAACTACTTATAAATATTTTGTATATAAACTTTAAGCTTACATATGCTTTGTATTAAATAAAGCCCGTAAACCATAGATATTTAATTATTCCTTGAATTTATCATAAGTCTATGAAAGAGAGCATTTTTTTTATTTAGAAAGATTTTGTTCTAAAGGTTAAATCCTATTGATCAATGGAAAAATGCTATTAAAATCTAAATTTTACACTTTTATAATTACAAATCTATTAAATCTAATTTAATTTAAATTTATTAACTTATATTTGAAATTAATGAATTATATCCTTTATAATAGTTTATATTTTGAAAAGTGAAAGTTTCTTTTATTATCAAACATTGACTGTAATTTGCGTAAGGATGTTTCAAATTAACTGTCTATCCAATCTCAATTCTATAATAGCTAATAGAATATATTCAGTTTGATGTATATTATACAAAATATACTGTGTATTAATATTTCTTTCCTTTGAGCGTTAGATGTAGATAGTTTCAATTGGATTATTGCTCTTGAAAGTAGGTAAAATGATTATTTACTTAACGTTCTTTAGTCTATTATCGCTAAGTACACTCTGTTTCTAAAAAAACATTAGGACATAAACAATCTCTGTATAATAAAATCTAACGTAAAAAATATAATATTATCTTTTATTCAATTCGTTCACTAATAGAATAATATAGAATTATTATGTAATGCAAGTTTTTCAACTGATTTTCAGTTTTTTTGTTAATAGTTTGTCTATTTCGTCTTATATCAACCATTTACTTCTTCTTTTAATTTTCTCCATTAATGCATTGATTGACGACAGTTAATAAATGAACATTTTCCAAAGCTGCTGCCACTCTTTCTTTATCAGCCAATTGTTTATTTACTGGAATTGATAAATTAAAAAAAATATGAATTAGTCAACTCTTTAAGTAATGACTTACTTGCTAATTCTGATGCATGCGTTCCCGGTGTGATAACAACATCTACCTTTAATTGATATAGGAAATGATTATTTATACTCACACGGAAATGGAATAATGGCTAACCTTAAAACGTTTTGGAAGATCCCTTAATAGTTTTACCCTTATTGATAACCCAATTAAAGTTGCTAATGAGCAATGAGGTATGGTGGGTGTAAATTGAACTATTACTTTGTTATTTTCATTGTTAACCTGGAGAAGGGTGAGTAATATATAATTACGGATATTTGAATCAGTAATATAAAAGTGATTGCGAAAGGTATGTGCTATTAATAATTAATCAGCACAAAAAACGGAAAATTGTGTGATAATGTAACATTAAGAATGCGTTATCTGTTTCTATGGTAAGAAAGGATAAGAAACCTCTATTAATGACTTTTCAAGTACATTTAATTCTTCCAAAGAGTATGGATGTTCAGGATCTTTTATATCTCGTATCATATGAAATACATCTCTTTCGTCATATTCGTCATCATCATTTTTGTTTATATATTCTTCCTCGGCAGAACGTTGAAAAACTGTTGGATTAGGATTCTGCAGATCCATAATATTTTGTTTTTTTACTATCAAAACGTGCTACAGGCCTCGTATCAAAATGGCAGCGGAACTTACTAAATGATGTTTGGCAGTACGTTTAGCACAGAAATGCTTGACACATGATAATTTATCATCTGAGAAGATATACGAATACTTTAACCTTACACAAGTGCGAACAAACAATAGAAGTAGTGCTTATATTTATTGCTAGTATAGTAACTTTTATTTCACAAAATATTCGTAATCAACATTCATAAAGAAACAAAATTTATCTGACTTAATTAAAAAGAAATATTCGTGTCACATATGTTGCTTAAGGAAAAAAAATATTTCCTCCAGCTGAACTTTCTCACAAGACAGTATAGACGTAAAAGGATTTACCGTTTCCTGATCAGCAAAAGAAGTCTGAAAAGTAGAACAAATGTTATCGTCCTTAAATTCCAAAATAAATAACGTTACAGCAATTTGCATATCAGGAATTTTTAATGATTTGGTTGTTTTTATTTTAACTGTGATTGTTGTTGCTCACCTTGAAAAAGATTTTAAATCGTTCTGTCATAAATTGCCATTTTACTTTGTTCCTATACTCTTCGCTAAGAGTTATAAATTCGTCAACCTAGATATTTTAAAAGGAATTTAGTATCGACTGTAAGTGCGCATTTTATATAAAAGAAGGATGCCAACAGAATGGTTTAATAAGGCTTCAACTGTTTTCCCTTCAAACCGACACATTTTCAAAGTTCCACATTCATCGGTTATTTCCATCGGTATATTAAAGTATTTAACGAAACCCTTGGTTGCGTGTTTTGTGGCGCAGCTTAAGTTTGAACAGCTTGAGGCTGATTTTGCTACTCTTACACCACAAAATTGACTGTAATGCATTGAATATTTAAACCCATTTGCCCATAAATATATACAATCTCGCTACCATTTATATCCATATAGTTTCTCAACAGAACAATCTAACGGAAAGAATGTTATATAAGCATACGTTATACCACAATAACCAAGGAGCCCAGCTTCTCCTGGTGGAATTGATTGAAGTTGAATAATTTCAGAGATATTATACATCTCTGTAATCTGAGCCACTGTGATAAAAAAACATTACGTCATTTATTCATTTGTTATATAATTATGATAAATGAGATAAATTGAGTCCTCTTTTATACAATTTATTGACTCGGCTGAAATTTTATCGTCACTATCAAACGTTACGGTAGTAGAATATTTGTACAAATTCAAAGCTTGATTTGTTCCTGTTGGAAAATACTTATAGACAGTATTGATTTTGATATCTTTTACAGACTGGGATTAATCGTTATAATTGTCTTTGACGTGGTATCTGCTGTCATCCTCTTTCGATAAAGATCATATTTCAGTCTCACGTCAGTTGCAAATAGAACTGTAATACTTTTGCTGAAGAAAAAATTAATTTTGTAATTTTACATAATACTTTGTTGTTTTGGTCTCCAATCTTCAGCCATTGATATAAACGAATCATTCCATCTATATGAATATTAATATATAATAATTGAGTTAGTTGAATACAAATAAAAAAGTCTTTATTACAGAATAAGACTGAAACTATCACACGACTGATCAAATAATTTAATTTCACAAAGCTTAGATTTCATCCCTTTCTTGTTAATAAATTTTCGAGGCTTTAAAACCTTTAAAAAATTAATTTTGATAATGTATATTATTTACATTAATGTAATTGAATAAGAAGTGTTTCTATTATATTCGATCAAAACAGATAATAAGTTGGGACTTACCTGACGAACCACTCCGAGTATATTGCATATACTTCCAGTTTCTTGTTTACCGGCCTCAATAATAGACTCGAAAGAGTAAAAATCATATGGAGATTTTGTAGGGATACGCTGAAGTTCTAAATATGATTCTCTGTCTGCCCCTAAATACATTTTCACGGTAGCCTTATGTTCTCCAGCGTGAAGAATAAAATGACTGTATTTGGTATCTATTTATGATTGAATTATACAAAATGTTTTTTCTATGACCTTGGGGTTGTTGGACTGTAGTAGTCCGAGCTTCCATTCAACGGCTTAACCTGAATAGTAGGATTTGAAATTTCAACTGAAATGAAAAAATACTATCTTTAAATACTATTGATAAAGAATTAAAAGTTCAAATTGTTTACCACAAGACCCCACAATGAATTCATAACTTAGGTTATTTATGTAATCTAAGCTGCCCCAGCAAGTCACATTTATGAAGTCATGAGCCGAGTCTCTAACGGTTAGTAGAAGGACATTTTTATTGACAGTATGATCTGCAAATAAGAATTGGAAATAATTGAATTCCTTTTAAGTTTCTTTCGAAGCGAATTTATTCTAACCTCGTTTACTAGGAAAAGAGCGCGGTCCATTCCTTCCAATTACAATCCCAACAATAGTCTTTAGACCAAAAGAACGTTTTAAGATACTTTCAAAAAAAATTTTTATACATTACCACTCCCGTCATTCCGTTTTGAAGTTCCGAAATATTAACATAGTTAGTATTTTTTTCCAATATGTTCATTATGTTATCTTTCTCTAAGACAATATTTTAGAATAAAGGTTTTCTTGTTCCAAAATTATTTTGCGTACCTAGGGAAAACTGGTAAAAAATATTCTAAAGGAACCGAAATTTTTTTTTGATACAATTATAGATGATTTTTATAAATGAATAAATCGGTTATAGCATTGTTAATCCATCTCTAAAATATTTCGTTTGTTAATTAATATTTATTGAAGATGTTTTTACATGTTTTCTAATTTATAAAAAGAATATTAGCTTTTCTTTATTTTTAAAAGATAAAGAAAATTTTTTTAGACTAAAAACAGTAAGTAGTAAAAACATTTGCATAATAATCTAATATTTTGGTTTCGTCTATTTGCAGCTTTATCAATGATTGTTTTAAAGTTATTTTTATTTGAAAATACTTATAGTGGAGTATTCAAAGTACTCTAAAATAGAAAAGGTGATTAGTTATTATTAAAGATAAAGTATATATAAAAAGGTATTCACTTTAAAGTTACTACACATCGAAAAATATAAACTATCGTAATCCTTCTCCTTTGAAGGAAAAAACAAAGTACTAAACTTAATCAATTTACAATTTATTAGGTTTATATGGAAAATATTTAGATTACAAAATGTTCATAAAATCAAAAGTCGTAAAAATACTCAATTTATTGATATCTTTGTCTAAACCCTTTTAAAATTAATTTCTCCTCTTCACTTATACCCTTGTTTAAAGAGCAACAATCAACACATGTATTAAATATGGATTTTAGGCTATTCTTTGCTGCAGTTGTCGACAGAAAAATTAATGTTAAACCTATAAGAATTCCTAAAATAACTAATCCCAAGTTGAAAGGTTTAATGTAATCATCATCTTTTATTAAGAAGATTCCATCTTTTTTTTCTTTGTTAAAGTCAATAAATTTATATTTAACGCACTCCTCCAGGGATACTGCTCCTTTTTTCAACGTGTAGTTATTTGGTGATGGACACTTTTTGCACTCGCTTTGACCCTTAAAAGTTTGATTTTTCTTGATTTATAAAATAGAAATTCTACAATGTAATCTAACATATTACCAAGTGGTCATTATAAAAATTGAAGGGACAATGTTGACATTCTGTCATAGGCTCTTGGAAAGCTTGTCGATAACTTCCTTTGTTACAATATTCACAAACTGGTTGTATACCTTGAATTAATCTTGTTCCTTTCCTACAAACTAACCGTCTTGCAACTTCCTTCTCCAAAGATAGCGCGTCTCCTATTGGTGAATTCCTAAGAATTTTCATATTCTCTTTAACGATAGGATCGAATTTATCTGTTTTAAATTTCTCCGTTTCCACTTTCATACACATTAACGACATTGAACAAGAGCCTCCTTGAATTATTGTATTATAATATTGAGGAGTTGTACCCAGTTTGACCTCAACTTTGAAAACTCTGTCATGATTGCTGAATTCCTTATTTTTTTTTTTGGAATATCGTAAACAAGTTCCTTGTATGTTTAAGTAACAAATTTTAGCTTCTAAGCAACTATATTCTTTCAAGAATATACTTTCACCTTTTGAAGAAATACCCACCGGCAATAAATACTTTAACTGGCCTACAAGCCCTTGACCAATTGAACAATTTGCTGAGTTTAATGGCCCTCCTTTTAGACGCACAAGAATTGTGTATGTAAATTCTACATTTGAGGCAACTATTAATTGTGTACTATTTATCTGACATTCAAAATAAGGAATATTAATAAACATCAAGATTATTAGCAATATTTTATGTATAGCCATTTTGAAGTGTTTATTATTATTTTATTAGTGTACATTTTTGAAAAGTTTACGTTAAGCTCTTCTATCCACATTTGAGATTTTACTCCTACTACATAAAAGAAAATATAAAAAAATTAATAATATAAAAGCAAATATAAAATAATGATATTAGTATAGTTTTCTTACAAGTGAAAAAAATGAAAAATCAAATTTCGGCCAAAAGTTCTTGAAACGGTCATTGACCGGTTCTCACTAAGTAACTTCAACGTGTAACTTTGACGGAAACGGAAATTGTTGTCACGAAGCCTTCAGAGAAAATACCGGTCATGAAGTTTTCTTGTATACTTTCAACTTTTCTTCTCTTTTCTTGCTTTATCTCACTCAATGCAAGTGGGAAAAGAACGCTTGTTCTTGTTGACAACTGGTCAGTGAGGGAAACTCACTCCATGTTCTTTAGATCATTGAGAGAGAGAGATTATGAAATGACATTTAAAACTGCCGATGATTCTACTCTAGCCTTGGTTAAATATGGCGAATACTTATATGACAATCTTATTATTTTCTCACCCTCGGTCCAAGAATTTGGAGGCTCGATCGATGTTGCAGCAATAACTAGTTTTGTTGATAATGGCGGCAATATTCTCGTTGCTGCAAACTCTAACATTGGAGAACCCATTAGAGAATTGGCAACTGAATGTGGTATGTAGTTTTTAAATTAAAAACCGATTGCAAAGATTATTTTTAACTTTTTGTTTTATAGGAATCGAATTTGATGAAGAGAAAACTGCTGTAATTGATCACTTAAACTACGACATTGCTGATTCCGGAAAACATACCCTCATCGTTGCTAAATCTGATGATTTGATCAACGCTCCACTAATAGTTGGATCGGCAAAACCCAATCCTTTGCTCTTTAGAGGTGTCGGAATGGTTGCTGATATCGATAACCCATTGGTTTTGGGTATTTTGCATGCATCATCCTCAGCTTATTCTCACAATCCCGATGAAAAGATCAAGGATTATCCTCATGCAGTTGGAAAGAACACTCTCCTGATCTCTGCTCTTCAAGCTAGAAACAATGCACGTGTTGTCTTCTCTGGATCAATGGACTTTTTCTCTGACGAATTTTTCACTTCATCTGTCCAAAATTCAAACGGCGGAACCAGACAAGAAAAATCGGGTAATTCTCAATTGGCTAATTCAATCTCTGCTTGGGTATTTAAGGAACGTGGAGTTTTAAGAGTTGGAAAGATTTTCCACAGTTTACAAGAGGTAAAGTATAATATCATATTCATACTAATAATTAACTGTACTAAACATTTTTTGTAAATATAGAATGCCAATAAAAATGAAGAAAATCCAGCTTTCTACACTGTTTTGGAAGATATTGTTTACACTATTGAAATTGAAGAATTGAAAGATGGAAAATGGGTTTCATTTCAAGGAAATGATGTTCAACTGGAATTCGTAAGAATCGATCCTTTCATTCGCACAACTCTAACAAAAAGTCGCGGAGTATTTCAAGCAAAATTCAAACTACCAGACGTCTATGGAGTTTACCAATTCCGTGTTGACTATGAAAGATTGGGCTATTCGAAATTGTTTAGTTCAACTCAAGTTTCTGTTAGACCTCTCCAACACACACAATATGAGAGGTTTATTCCATCAGCCTATCCATATTATATCTCATCCTTCTCTATGATGATTGGAGTTGTTGTGTTTTCTTTTGTATTTTTACATTTCAAAGATGATAAGGAGAAGACTGAATAAATGTGTATTTTTGTAGGCTATAAACCTAATTATTTTTGTTAAATACACTTATGAGAAATATAAAAGAACAACTAATTCTGTAATCGTTAGTGTTTCAACATTCTGATAATAAAATTATTTATTAATTAGTATAGATTTCATCACTTTTCTCCATTTTTATAATAAATGTCCTTTCTTTATACTTTAATATTCCTTTCCTCCAAGAAGTCGGTATAATGCCTAAATTCGTTATCAATTTGTTGCGGACTCAACTTGAACTGAGATAAAGTATATTTTTTAACTCCTACTTTCTTTCTTTTTTGTTTTGATAAACTCATGTAATTTTTTATTCTGCTTTCACACTCGTCAGTCCATTCTAAGTTGATTTGTTTGTAGACTTTCTTCATTTCATTTATTGGATCTTTCACAAGATCTGTGTAAGATATATCTGTGAATCTATCACCAAAGCCTCTTTCTTCTAGCTTTTTCCTATTTTCTATGGCCTTTCCGCTAAGATGCTTAAGATGATACATGCACTTTCTAGCGATTTCATAGGAGGTAAAGTCGAGTCTCCAATCCTCTCTATTAACAACATCATATAGCGTGGACCATGATGGAACAACATTTTGCATACTTCGGTGAGTTACCACAAATTTAGCATCAGGAAATTTCTCAATTAAAGCTTCTAGATAGAAGTTGTGTAATCTACTCTTTGCAACGTACCGCACATTTTGGTCTTTGACATACCTAAGGTAAACTTGTACAAGCTTCTCATATCTATTGTAGAGCTGTTTCTGAAGTTCTAAAGACTCGATAACTTCTATCATATATTTGTTGTACTCGTAAACAGCATTGTCAGGATAAATGCTAAATATTTCAAAGGAAATTCCAGCTTGTTCAAAAAGTGTGTGGCATTCTTCGGGTTCTCCAGCGGAATAGTCGTGTACTTGAGTGAAAGATGGAGCCAGGCAGTTGGTAAACATTTTAATATCCTCTGTATGTTTCTATTGAAAAGAATAATATCAAAAAGAGATAAGAAATCTCGATGAGCTAATATCAGTTCTACTTTAAGAGAATATATAATTTATAAGTTTTCCGAAAATTCACTAATATATATCTTACATGAAACAGTGGATCATCTTCCTTTGCTCCTCCTGCATACATGGAGAAGAACATTAACTCGTAATTCAAAGGTATTTTCAATCTAGGATCCAGATGGAGAAGATTATGTAATAAAGTAGTTCCAGTTCTAGGTAAACCAATCAAAAAAACAGGATTCTTAACCGGATTTTCTACAATACTAGGGTCATTTTTTATTAACTTTTCCATTTCTAATTCTTTTCGGAAGATTCTCTTGAAAGTATCGATGTAAATTATTCTAAAAATCATTAAAGTGTCGATTTTGTTCAGTGCTTTTATCATAATTCTATGTGGATCATAATCTTTATTTGACCGAAACATTTTTTTCTCCTATTAGAAATTAGTAATAAATTATTAATCAAATATTATGAATTTATTCAAATGATTAAAACTTACATCTTCGCTAAAATCTTTTATTATGCTTTCAAATTCGATAGGAAAAAGAATAATTCCAAAAAATGTTAATATCCTATTAAAAACCTCTAATATTCTTAGGCCACATTGTATAGCAAATGTTTTAAGAAAAGGAAACTTTTCAGAAGAGTGCATTATTTTTAAGTTTCAAATGAGGTGTTCAGCATAAGATTATCTTATCAATCAGCAGACTCGACAGGCTAAAGGGCAATTTTTTTTTTTAAAAGAAAAACATTACATTAATGATAACTGAATAAACTTACTACTTTTCATAGTTAGTTTATACTAATATAATTCATTCTTTTTATTTATAGATACATTTGAAAATAATTTCGTATAAAACAATAAAAAAATAACAGTAGCAAAGACGTCTATAGTTCATTGTAACAATTTTACATCGTTTTCAACTTTCGAAGGTTTATTGCCCGCAGCGGGAGGAGACCATAAAATAGGAACCACGCTATTGGTCCCAGTAAAATGAATATTGATCCAAGAACTAAACTTGCTATCCTTGGACCGGAAAATTCATCGTAAACAACATTGGAATCTTCTGTCACTTTCCCTCGAGGTATAAGTAGTAATATAATTGTAATAACTATAGCCAGAAATATCATTCCTATACCAATACTTTTTGCGCTGGATCTTGATCTAGCTACCAAGACAAATGCTATTAGGGCTATAGCCCATATAAAAGCCAGGATAAATACTCCAATTCCAACGTTAAGAACTCTTGCCATTACATGAATTTTTGCAGGCAATAAATCTACAAAAATGTTGTCTGCTAAAAAACAACAAATATCTACCAGTTTTCATAAGTTGCTATGTTAATTTTTCTCCCTCACGTGACAGTTGATTGTGTAGCTCAAGCTAAAATACTTAGTTGTAAAGTAGTAAAGAGTCAATATTACAAAAATGCAATTTTCAACAATAGAAAAATTACAAGAGCAACAGTAAGTTAAAATTAATAGGTTGAATCATACATTTAATAGTGTTTATATAGGACCAAAGAGGTTCACAGAGTAATGAGAAAATTGGTAAAGTATACTATAATGATGTTCTGTCTTCCTATTGCAACATACTTCGCCAGCAAATTACTTTTACTTGAAGGTACTTATTTATTTCTTTAAGCGTTTGATTAATTGAAAAAAAAAGTGTAGTAACAATCAGGAAAGTGTAGAACTTCTTCAATGATCATTCATTGTGAGAAAATTATAACTTTAGTTTCTCTTTATTCCACAGGTTTTTTCCATATGAGTAGTCAAGACAGCTATTTCTACGCTGCCATATTAGCAATTGTCGTCGTTCATATCATTTTGGTTCTTTTCGTCATAGCGGCAATTAAAGATGATAGTGGAGTAAATAAGGACGACAAGTTAGAATAAGGTGTAATTGAAGATTTCTAGAGATATTCTCATTAAAATATTTTCGATACAACTTAATACAAATTGAACAAAGAGACTATTATATAAAGAAATATTTGTACATGTTCTCTTTTATTCAAAATGTGTATTATAATCTATGCAATTCATTCCGATGGATATTTTTTAATGGTCAAGCCTTAAAATATTTATAATAAACTTGTTGAATTTTATATTTGAAAGCAACTAAATGATTACAAGTTTGATTCGTTCACAAACATTGACACAACTTCATTATATATAGCGCTTCAAGTTCAAATTTTTTCATCATTATTCTACATCATCTGCGATTTCAACAGTACTTGGAGGAGCTGTCCTAGATCTCATATTCTGTTCAAGCATATATAGTGTATAAAAAAAAATAAATTAGTTAATTTATTAATTACTTGAGTGACAATAGGCAAACGCGTAAGAATTAAGTTGAAGATTTGAGGTGGAATTGATTGTTGTAAAAGTCCCAATAATTGTTGAGGTTGTCCACATACTGCTACTGCATTACATAAATGTTCTACTCCTTCCTCCATTTGACCTGTAGCTAGGAGTTCTTCCCCCTTTTGAATTTCTTGTAGGAAGAATTGATGAAATGAATCTGGGTTGCTCGGGTCAGGGAACTAAAACGAAAAAAATCAATTACTGGTGGTTAAAAATTTAGTTACTATTATGGGAATAGTTGGAATAAAATTAAAGTTTTTAATAAGGGTTACAAAATCAAGTATAGTTCAGACTTCGTTCTAACCATTCGATGGTTTTGATGTCTTATATGGATTTCTCAAGGGCAAACGAGGACTTGAACGATCTGAGCATGATAAAAATTACCTCAGTATTAATTCCACTTCTGCTACCTCCCTTAGCTATTCTCCTTCCTGTAAAAAATTAATTGTTAGATTTTACGATCAGTTGTTACAAGATAAAAATGTAATAGTTATAAAGCGATATAAAAGAACTCGTTGGAGAGAGGTACTAACGTTCAAGCAATTTTTTACGAAAATCCGGATGGCTTCGTCTTTTGCGATCAAAGTAAATGCAATATGCAAGGAAGCTAACACCAGCACTAGCAGCGGCTACAATTAGAGCTGTTCGAGAAAACATTATTATACTTTCGTTGAACACGAGACGTGCCGGAAAGCTAAATGGGAGAGTCTAAAAATGACACTTGACGTGTATTAACAATAATATTGCAATGCAGAACCAAAAAAAATTAAAAAATAAAAATTTTCATATTTAATTCTGTTCTTTATTTATCTTATGTTTTAATAATCATTTTTCTTTTCGGAAAGGAGTGCAACTATCGAAAAAAATAATTTTTGAGAAATCTAAATATCAAGAATCTATTGAATACAGGCCATTACTTGTCATCAAAATATATATGTTTCAAATGAGTGATGAATTTTGATATGTTAGAATTAGATTTGATATAAGACAAAAAAAAGTATCAGTTTAAAAAATGATTTCTTAAGGGCGTTGTTTCTCATATGGACGATATTCAATGACAACAATAGATCATTTCCTAGTAACAAACAATTCCTAACATAGTTTAGTAATATCCCTTATTATTCTTGTAGCATCGCGCTCTTCGCACAGACGCGAAAGCTTTTCTTTTGACCTTGACCCTTTGAAACTTTGTAAACTGGTCTATTAGCGTTTTTTGTCGCCTTTTTATTCGCTGGGGAGGAACTGGACTGATCAAAAAAGGCAGGTTGAACGTATGTATTTTATTTTTATTTTAATTTCGATCATTTTATGAATAGTTAAACAACTAATAAATTTAAGGAAAAACCCGGTGGCAATAATAATCACTTAGATATCAAGAATACGCCTTATCTAAGACAAAACGCCTGCAAATTAGCTGCGGTAGTTCAATCAGAACCAGGATGATAATTCGACCTAGTTTTGCACCGAAAAATTTTAAACTATATTTATAATAAAAATTTTGAAAAATTTTGATTGATTATCTATATAAGAAAGGGATGAGATTCCTTATGGTTGGAATTATGCTAATCTGACTTAGCATTAGCATTAACCTGAAAAAGGCGCAGGCGGCTTCCTCATTAGTCAGAGGGCTAATACTATATGCGACTATTTACGAAGCATATTTTTGTTATTATATTCGAATAGGCTGTACTTGTTAAATTATTCGGTTTCATATACTAAATGTTATTATATTGCTCTAATACCAAGCATATTTAAAGCTTAACGTCAATTTTTTTTAATTCAAATGATAGGTTCTGTTTTCAAAATGAAACGTAAATTATCAATTGATAACAAAGAAAACGAAATGAGCAACGGCAACGACGAAATAATCATGAATGATGTAGAGGCTGTAGAGGACGACAATGATGGCTTGGATAAATTAGCTACTCGAAAGAGAAAGCTTCAAGAACAACTACGGAATCACGAAGCAACTTTAATCTTACTGAAGAAGATCAGGAGCTCTCAAATAGCACCGCAATTATCGCAAAACAATGCCAGTCGAAAGGTAACTTCTACAAACTCTTCTACACCTTCGAATGTTTCCGTTGTCAAGAGGGAAGTTAAGCAGAACAAAGTTACCACGCCACCAGTTCAGAGAACTCAGAAATTTGAGGTTAGCGAACAAAATCGTACTGCTGCTAAATTAGCTCTACGAAAGGAATTGGAAAAGACCTTATTACAAATTCCTCCACCAAAACCTCCACCCCCTGAGATGAATTTTATGCCCTCTTTGTCTAGTACCGATTTTGGCATGTTAATGGGATTGGAGGAAGTTGTCAAATTCATACAGGAGATAAGTAATAAGAAACCGGACGTCAAGTACGTTTTCAATCCATTTACTTGTGTACAATGTGGAACTGATTACACTCCTGTCTGGAAACGAGACAAGCCGGGATCGAAGTCGGTTATTTGTGAACAATGCGTGACTAGCAATCAGAAAAAAGCGCTAAAACAAGAACATACTAATCGTCTCAAGGGTGCTTTCGTGAAGGCTCTACAACGCGAGAAGGAAATAGAGCAAAAATTGGCTCAAGGAAATCTTAAAGATCCAATTATAGCCTCGGTTGTCACTCCACCGTCGTCTACAAGCTCTAGACATTCACATAGTGAAAAAACGTCAAGCAGCAGAGATAAAAGTCATAGCTCTTCATCCTCTTCCGCCGCTGCTGCTTCGTCTTCTTCTTCATCGAGTCATTCGGCTGCTGTTCAAGCCCAAGTGCAGGCCGCTATTAATTTCCAAACAATGCAGCAACAAGCCGTTGCAGCTTTGGCCAATCTAAAAATGACACCAGATCAAATTCGTCAGCATCAAGCTTTGCTTGTCCAAACGCAACAAGCTCAACTTAGGATTCTTCAACAGCAACAAAGCTTGCTACAAAATCCAAAGCATCTGGCAGCGTCTCTGGGTACTAACTATTCGCCGCAGCAGATAGCAAAGATGGCTGATCTTCAAAGGCAGTTTCTAATGGATATGATTCCAGGTTTGTCTGGAAATCAAGCCGCTCTATGGAAAAAGTGACATTCTTCATTTCCATTAGGTAGATTTGATTTGGTTTGGTTTTTGTTAGTATTTAATGGCTCTATTTATGATAATTTTAAAATCGCTGGTCCAGAGTCAATTAATATAATATGGATATCTATGCTTTTGTGTATAATAGTTAGTTAAAAAAAAAGAAACAAGTGCTTTATTGTGTTGTATACATCATTTAATAAATTGCATACATTATTCCCATTAAAAACTGGAAAGCAGATTGAGAATTTAGAAAGGAAATGACAAAATATTTTTGCGCGCAGGATCATTTATTATGTCTTTTTGCTAGTCTAACCCGACCTATTTTTTACTCTAATTAATCCTTTAATATATATATATATATATATATTAATTGCTGCAAACATAAATTTATTGAGTGAAAAGCTTGCGAATAAATTCATAGTTATAAATGATTTTCTTGTGTCTTTTTTATGCAAATTACATAATTAACATAATGGATTAAGAAGAGAAAAAAAAAGGATTGAAGACTTTCATGTCTAAAAGTCTGGAAAAAGATGAAAATTCCAATAAAATTTTCATAATTTATTATCTAATCAAGTATTATGGAAAATATCCTATACTACTTACTGTCTTATGCATTTATTATCGTTTAAGGGATTTATAAATGAACTAAATATTGCAAATAATATAATGACGATATTTTACGTTTTAGTTAATCAATAAATAGCAAAAATCGGTATTTCAAGTAGAATTGATGAAAAAAATGTACTATATATAGACTGACATAAAGTAAGGATAATATGTCATCTGTTTTTTATTCTACCTACTTCTTCTACGAGTTTTGTTAATATTTTAGGAAAGAAAAGACTCTATCTTCTTCATTAAAACATTATTGCAAAGAGTAAATATTCATATTATCTTCTTTCTATATTTATACATACAGTATGTATGAATGTATATACACAGATGTTTCTTGTTTTATTCATTTTGTTTAGTAAACACTCCGTAGCATTTTATCCAAGTTTATATTGAAAGAAAAATGTAAGTAATTGTACGTAATATCCAGGCTTGTTTCTATTATAGGACTAGTTATGAATATTTTCAAATAAATTACTCTAATTAGGATAATTGTGCATTTATTTAAATATCTTTGTTTTTCATAACCGTTAAGTTTTTTACGTAATGTTATAATATAAGAAAATAGAGAGAGAGAGAGAGAGAGAGATAGAGAAGAAATTATCAACGGCCAATAAGCTTTCATACATTATATATATATATATTTAACTATAGTAACAATATATTCTATGTATAGAATGTAAATTATGTAAATTCAACAGTTTCCTTTCGATGTACGAAATATCGAATAGTTAATCGATTATGTTTAAAACTCAACAACGAAGGCTTCTATTGGCCTCGATCACTATACGTAAATTAATGGTGAGAGATAAGATTACTCGTATATCTCAATCATACGAAATGGATCAGCCGCTAACAAAGGAACAAACTTTAAAGAGTAGAGACAAGTACATTGGGTAAATATAATTTTCATCTTTATCTTATAAGTGTATTCATAAAAGTTATCTAATAGAAATCTATACTTTCTCCATTTTTTCTCATTTTTCATTTCTCTAGAAAATCATGTACTCTGTTCTTTCGAGAAAATCCATTGAAGATTGTCAGAGCTAGAGGACAATATATGTACGATGAGAATGATGTAGAATATTTGGATTGTATTAATAACGTTTGCCACGGTAAGCAATATTAAATAATCTTTCATTTTGTTAAGAAAATATTAAAAGATGCTAATATCTATATAATAGTATATTAATATTAAAATATATATATATATATATATACATAATAGAAATACTTTCTTATCATTTCTTAACAGTTGGTCACTGCCATCCGGATGTAGTTAAAGCTGGATCTGAGCAAATGTCTATATTAAATACAAATTCCCGATATTTGAATGACAATATCGTACTATTAGCTGAGAAATTGTTATCCACGTTTCCTGCTCCTCTCTCCAGAGTTTTCTTTGCAAATTCGGGGTAAAAAATTTTTACATATATTATGGGGAACAACACGGGGGAATATCTTTTAATGAATAGTTAAAATGTCAAAAAAAGATCCTTCGTAAAATTCATTAAGAATTACTATTTCATTTATCTTCCTATAGTGAGCTAAACAATATTTTTTAATTCTATATTAAGTAACTCTTACTACTAGACCGCACTAATGAAAAGATAGTAGAATCAAATTGTCTCAAGGTTAGAAGGTTATGTATGATAAATAAATTAACCGTACTAAATAGTAGATATACCACCGATAGGATTGTGACAAACTGTTTTCTATAGGTCTGTTAATCTTATGCTATTAATAATCAATAGACAAATAATATAATTAAATTATAGTTAATATCATATTCTTTTGTCTAACTTGAAAGAGAGAGAAAAGAAGGATTTTTTTGTCAACTGATAGTGTTGCCCTATATTTTATAATCGAAGGTATAATTATTTAGGATTAAGATAAGATTATATTATTTGTTCATAGATCAGAGGCAAATGACTTGGCACTACAATTGGCAAAGGTACACACAGAGGCGCAAGATACTATTGTTTTAGATCAGTAAGTATGCCTATAAGATGCTTAAGTTGGTCTGTTTAGTCTGTATTATGAACTTTCTGGTATGATTTTGATAGGGCTTATCATGGGATCACCTATGCAGCTATGGCTATCTCACCGTATAAATCTATTTCAAATAGACCGGACTGGGTTCACATAGTAAGTATACATGTGTAGTTAGTTGTTTTTCAGCTATTCCATTCACAAACTCTCTTTTCTTTATTTATATTTAAAGAAAGTAGTGTTGAAATATCAATGAATACTGAACTAAACAAAAATATGAACAAACTTACAAATCATATAGGCTAATATAGAAATTGGTGGAATGAAATGCTAAAGCGCTCATTGTAACCTAAATTGGTTCAACTTAACCAAAGTGCCAAAGTACCAAAAAGAGGGAGAGAGCGGGAAGGGAGGGGTGGGGAGGAGAGAGATAAGAAAGTATAAAAAAGAAAAATGAAAATTTACATTATAAAATGTTATATTTTATAGCTTCTCTCTCTCTCTCTCTTTTCCTTGTTCTTCTTTTTTGAAGAGGAAATACATAAACAAAGGTCAATTGATAAAACAAAATAGATGAAACTATGAAAGTAAATTTAATCTATTTATCATATTTGAATAAAAACTAAAGTGAAAGCACGAGATAAGAATCAATTCCGCTAAGAGAGGAAGAGAGCAGACAATGGCAATAATTATAAATTTGTGTAGACAAAGAAAAAAAAAAGACCATAAGATATCATAAACACCAATTAAGCATTGTATTTTAATACAGTTATATTGGGTAGTCCAATAAGTTTAATGTGTTTTATCAATTAAAATGTACAATTTACTTATAAATTTTATTTTATTACGTCATAAAAAATGGCGGTAAAATATGAAAAGCTAATCTTTAAATTTAATATATAAACAGTATCTTTAACGTCTATAAACGGACATATACATATATATATATAGGGAGGGGTGTGTATTTTAAATCTATAGATAACTGTTTATTGTTTTAATAAACTTACTTAACTATAAAGATTGACAATTACGTTCTATTTGTTTTAAATGAAAGATGAAACGATTGTTTTATTGTTAAAATTTGTTTCCGTTTTGTTTTTATCTTTAGACTTCAAATCCTGACATTTATAGAGGAAAGTACAATACTTTGAAATACAAGGAGAATGAATTGGGATTATTATATGCTAAAGATGTTGAGAATTTAGTAAATGATTTAAATAGCTCGAATCGTAAGGTTGCGTGTTTTGTTCACGAAAGTCTACAAAGTTGCGCTGGTCAATTAACTATGCCAGAGAATTATTTAAAGAACGCTTACAAAATTATCAGAGATAATGGTGGCGTTTGCCTTGCTGATGAAGTTCAAGTTGGATTTGGTAGAGTTGGAAAATGTTGGTGGGCATTTGAATTATCCGACGTTGTACCGGATATAGTAACAATTGGAAAACCTTTTGGAAATGGGCATCCAATTTCAGCTGTAGTTACAACCGACGAGATTGCTAATAGCTATCTAAAAAGAGGTCCATCTTTTTTTAGTACTTATGGCGGAAACCCGGTTTCTTGTAAAGTTGCCCTAACTGTTATTGAAACAATAGAGAAAGAGAATTTAAGAGAAAATGCATTGAGAGTAGGAGATATTTTGATAAGAAAGGCTAAGGAATTGCAAAAAAAGCACAAGTATATTGGTGATGTTCGGTAAGCATTAAAAACAAAATAAAGAAAAAAATCAATTTGTTATTATTTATCCGTTATTGATTTGTGTTTTAAACAGTGGAATTGGATTTTATATTGGCATTGAATTGGTGAGTGATCTTGAACAAAGGAAACCAGCAACTAGAGAAGCTGAGTGGATTAAAAATTTTCTCAAAGAGAAGCATATTATAATTAGTCATGATGGACCGGATGAGAATGTCTTAAAATTCAAACCACCGATGTGCTTCAGCGAGAAAGATGCTGATAGGCTAATATCGCAACTTGATGCGGCTTTGACCGAATTGGTAAAAATAAATGAAAATACACCATCTACCATTTAGAGTTTATCAAGAAGAGATGCTTTTTTTATTTTAGCTCTCTCTTTCTCTTACTTATTAGAAGTTAATTAGTTATTTTGTATGATTAAAATCTTTGCACACCATTAACGATAGTTTCTATCATACTATATTAACAATGAACTCTTTATTAACATTTCTCTAATTTGTATTGTCTTCTCTTATTGTGTGTTTGTTTGTTTGTTTTTTCCTTACTTTATTAATATCTTCGTTAAAGAAGAGTTTAGAGTAAAGAAAAATGGGAAATACACAATTTATGTGCTTTTATTGAGATTTGAAGGTTTTTTATACAACTTATTAATCAAAAGCTGTAAATGCTTGTTTATATCTTAGAATATGCAATGTGCTCTCTCTCTCTCTCTCTCTCTCTCTTCATCTCTTCCTCTTCGTTTCTCTTTATCGGAAAAAACTACTTTCTATTTTGCAATAATACAACATAGAAGTTAAAATATTTCAATGTTTTCATTAATTTCATTCGTCATCTTCCGCATCTCCATCTTCACCGCCATCTTCTACAATATCCTCAACCGCTTTATTCTCCGCCTTATCCTCGTGGTGTTCACTCTCCTTTCTCTTACTTTCGTGATGCTTAACTTGCGAAGTTTCGGCCTTCTTATGATGAGTAGGCGGATGATGATTATGATGACCTTTGTCAGATTTTTTTCCATCAACCGAATTTCTGCGTTTAGTCTGAGGTTTTATATGATGCTTTACATTTGGATTGGAATGCTTTCTATCCTTTCCCTTTTCCTTCTTTACATCCTTTTTATCGGTATGCTCCGCATGATCAACTGAGTTTGTTTTCTTAATCTTTTCCACTTTCTTGGGCATGTTTCTCCAGAGTGTTGTAAATTTAAAATATCCAAATAACAATGTGAAGAAGATTTCAGTCAACTCTTGTTATTTTAATGAACGAAATCTGCTGTAAAATTTAATGAGAGCAATTTACCAGATACACCACCTAGCGTTCAAAAATGTGAAATAAATAAACAATCTGCCTTATTTGGTCTAAAAATAGTAAAAGTAGTAATTTTAAATAATAATTAATTGATATTCTAAAAGTGTTTGTAAGTAATTGATATTTTAGAGTTTGATTTAACATCGGAATACAGTTCTTATATAGATATGATATTTACTAAAGAAACAATAGTTAGAAGTAATTAATTAGCGTATTCTTATAAAAACTTAGGATTAAATTTAAGGAAATAATTAGTTGATTAAAATCGATTTTCTTTAAGATAAAAACACGAAATCTCTCTCTCTCTCTCTCTCTTTTCTTTCTTTTCATTTGTTCAAAATGTTTTAATTAGAAATTAAGGAGAAGATACGTAATTTATTGTTTATGTTCTCTTCATTTACCTCAAATGAAAGAAGGATAAATAAGAAGATAATTTAAATAATGATAAATATACTTAATTGTTTTATGCATAAGAAACATTTGATTCTCTGTTCAAGAGTTTTAAAAGATTAATTTGAACTAGATTCTTTTTTTAATTAAAGGAAACAGTTAGATGATTAAAATTGATTTTCTCTTTTTCTCCTTTAAAGATTTGTTTATATCGATTAAAATATAGGTTGGAAAATATAAAGAAACCTTTACCATATATATTCAAATAGTTTGTTTCGTACTTTGTTTATTATTTTATTGCATCTTTGCTAAATAATTGATATATTAAATTCTCTTATCGAGAATTGATTATAGCAATAAAATGATGACAAACTAGGATATTGTATCAATATAATAGTTTTATATCCTTGTATATATTGATTGTAATTGATTTTGAATTGTTTTCATGAATATCTTAAAAAAGTCAAGGACATTTTAACAAATATTGTTGTTTGTTTATTAATTCATACTATTGAAAGAATGATATCATAGAGAAATGACGTTAAATTTGATTAGTAATACCCTAAATTCTCCGAAGTTCAACTTTGAATAGAAAGAATAAATATATGGTCATGTGATAAGCAGAAAGTTCATTTTTTCCGAAGTTTTTATACTTTTTTATTAATATTAATAGCTTTGAGAAAACTTAATCAATTAAACTCATTTCCATCATAAGTAAGTCTTGCTATAAATAGTGCATTAAAAAACTTGCTACTGATGAATGCAATAACAAAATAGGGCCAATTCAGGATAGTCTCTTTCAACACAAACGGCTTGACTTCCATATCTATCTAATCTATTTACTTCCTGTATTTCTATATTCAGTATTGCAGTACGACTGATATCAAATGTAGCAGAAACAATTGATTCATATTGTCCGTAGAAGGCGCCTACCATAAAATTTACTTTATAAACTTCCTTGACTGTTTTATTACCTGTTTTCCTTCCGTTGTTGTTTTGAACTTTATAAGCTTCAAGAATTCTTTTGATCTTTACTGGTTTACAGTGTTGTCTAATTGGTTTCAAAGAATTTGTAATATTTGCTATTATAACTTCAGTTAGATGTTCAACAATCGTATCAGTTACACTTATTGCTTTAAATCTATCGCACATACAGAATTTCTTATGAATATTTGCAGCTGCACACGTTCGATTTTTCGGAAGAGATGATAGTAGGCTTGCAGACCGTTTATGAATTCTTAGTTTAACTTTATCATTTGTAACAAATCTGATAATATGGCTAAACGTAGCATAAATATCTAAAGTTGTTACTAGCACATCTTTATTCCTTTCTAAATTATTCGATTCTATTGGATGTAGTTTCTTAAAATTATCTGGTAGTCTTATACCATAGTAGGGATTAAGTATTTCCCATTGGGACTGTTTCATTTTTCTAATCCGTCCGAATCTTGCTCCATGATCAGACATTAAAATGAATATTGTATTTTCTAATCTTTTGGATTTTGTCATTCTATGCAACCATTCGGCCTGTGCTTTGTCAGCTCCGCTGATATCGCCAAAATTGTCGTGTGACATTTCCTCGTAATTAACGAGAGCCATTTTTGGATTCTTATTGTATGTATCCCAATATTCTTCAATATAATTTTGCAGTATTTCTAATCTAAGCTTTGACTTCAGACAATACTTCTTATGTTTTTTTTTATGGTGTTTTATAGCCAAGAAAAATGGTCTTGCGTAATGATCAGTAGGAGTTGCATTAAATCCAACATGTTTCCAATTGAAAGAACCAGTATCCGCAAAGAGTGTAGAATAATTTTGACCCTTTAAATCCTTCCAAATCCATGGATAGTCATCAATGCTTCTAGCACCTTTCTTTCCACGAACAGCCTGGTGAAGCTCTCTCTCGTGTTTTCCCGTTAAAAGAGGTAAAAACGAGCCCACTGTTCCATAGCCTATAGTGTTAGATCTTTCAAACCAGACTCCTCCAATTTCCTTAAAAGCTTCAACTGTTTTAGGTAGAAATCTCTGCCACGAAAGCCTTGACAAGGAATCAAAACACCATATTAAAATGTTCCATTTAGGTTCCTCGGATGATAAATCACTTTTTGGCGGATTTGAAATAATGTTCCTGTTAGGTTTAATTGTTAAATATAAATTTTCGAATACATAGTTGGAACCTTGAGAACAATGAATTGAGAAGATATCAGAAGGAATTTGCATTCCATTTTCTATATTCTTATAGGTTTTGATATCATAAACTCGGCCTTTAAATTTAGAATTTCCTTCTAAATACTCTTTAGTATCGATAATTCGTAATTCACAAGATACATTATTATTTAATATATGCGTCTTTGCAGTTGTTGTAAATATGATTTTTCTATCACGAATAATAAACCATTCCGATTCGGGTGAATCACAAACGACAGGTTCGAATTTGAAGCCATTTTTCTTGATATCCTTTGGCCATAATTCCAGTTTTGGTATTTTGCAATGAATCTTTTTCCCTAAATTTCTAAGTCTTGACACTTGAACAGTTTTCTTAGCAGAAATATTAGTCTCAGGCTTTGTAATGTCGACAAAAGTTATGTCTTTCTCACGTTTTAAGAAAGTTAGAATGAACACAAATGTTAGCAATATACTGATAACATAAAATCTGTTTCTCTTATAACATATCCATATATTCATGTTTAATGTTTTCTCCAGTTTTGCTGTGTTATAAGTTATATATATATATATATACTACTTCCATTAAATAGTATAAATGCATTAACCAGCTTTAATTATTTACCAAGCTTGAATATATCAATATTCCTATTTTCTTTTTGCTAAAGCTACTGAAGAGCACTATTGAATCATGGCGTCGATATGAAGAAAGATTAAATAGGTTTAAATAATGATTCTCGGAAATATTCGCCTGAGAATCGTACTATATAAAAATATCAAACAACTATTTAAAAGGAAACTACAGTATATTCAACTAAAGCTGTCTGAAATCTGCTTCATTGATTTTTAAGAAAAAGTAAGTTTCATACGTATTAAACAATCTATTCTATTTAAGCAGTTCTGTTTACTCAATGTTCTTTAATGGTATAGTAAACTAAAACTGAAAACTTTTACAGAAAATCTATATATCGACTCTATTTTATACGTTTTAGAATAAATCATTTACTCACAAATGAAGCTGAAACATTGATAAGCAAAGAAAGAGACAGCGACAAAGAGAGAGAGAGAGAGAAAATGAAGTATTACATTATTAATGCAATCCATTTCAAATTACTCTATTTATCCCACAAATTATTCATTTTATGTAAATTTATTCATTTTAAAAATAGAATAAAACTGTGTAAAAACAAAACAAAGAAAGAGGCAAAGAGAGAGTTATCGACATTAGTTATCTCATGAAACAATTGTATTCCATATCCAGAGATAGCGAAAGCATCTAAACTCCCTTCCATCTTCCTTGAATCATCATTGTAAATAAAATATCTAAAAGTAGAAAAAAAAAGAAAAGAAAAAAAACAAAGATTTGTTTAAAACAGTGAAAAAGATTATTTACAAAAACAGAATGGAGATAAGAACGCATATTCGTCACTTAGGCATGCCACATTTTCATAATTACCATAGCCATGATATCTATTTATATTTGTTATCGTTATGAAAGGTCTATTGGACTTATTCCTTATCTTAACGTTAGCTGACCCATCGTACATCACACCAACTTGGTCAATGATAAATTTTATATTATAGTTATATTCTTTAGTTTTAAAATCTCTTATTCTATTTAAAAGTCTATTATAGACGCTTAAAGACGCTTTATGTATTCTTAAAAGCTTTAATTTAGAACATTGACTCTGAACAGGTTTTAATCTTTCTGTAATATTTTTAATCATAAGATTTGCAATTGTATCAACAATGTCATCTGTAACGTTTACTTTCTTATTTTCGTTACAAGAGCAAAATCTTTGTTTAATATTAGCTTCTGCACATTTTCGACTATGTTTAATTTTGTTAAATAGACTAATTGAACCAGGATGTATAGGAACTTTTAAGCTTTTATCAGAAACCATATCAACAATATCCGACAGCATGGCATGAACATCAAATGGCGTTATCATTTTATCAATATTATTTAATAGATTTTCAGATTCCTTTTGATGTAATAATTTGAATAATGTTGGTACAATAATACCAAAATATGGATTTAACAATTCATAATTAGATTGTTTTGTTCTCTTAAATATTCCTCTTTTAGTTCCATGATCAGACATAAAGATAACAATTGTATTATCTAACTTTCCCGATGATTTCATATCTTCTAAAAATATTTTTTGATATTTATCAGCCAATTGAATATCTACAAAATTCCCATAAGACATTTCCTTATAATTAACAAAAGCAAACTTTGGATTATCTTTGTAAACGTCCCAAAACTCTTTTATATAATCATGAATTATCGAAATTCTCTTCTTAGAATTAATACAATATCTTTCATGTTTATGCTTTTCCTTTTCAACTTGCATCATCCAAGGTCTAATATAATGGTGTGTGGGCTTATATTCAAAACCCATATATCTCCTATTAAAAGTTGAACAATCTCCAAAAAGAGTAGCGTAGCCTAATTTCTTAAGTGGATTCCATATCCAGGGAAGATTATCTATAAAACAAGATTTATCCCAAGTTCTATAACCCGGATGTACTTCTTTCTCAAATGTACCAGTTAAAAGAGGTTGAATATTCGTAATGGAAGCTTTACCTAAAGCATTCATATGCTTCATCCAAATTCCATCAAACTTTTCAAAAGTATTAACCGTTTCCGGTAGATATCTATGCCAACTCAGTTTAGATAAAGAATCAAAGCACCAAATTAAAATATTCCATTTTGGTTCAGCATGCTTTAACAATGGTGGAGGCGTTAATGAGATATTATTATGACGCTTTATATTCAAATAGAGATTTTCGTACGGATGATTGGTATTCGTTGACTCGTATACAAGAGTCTGATTCAAATGGGAACATTTAATTGAGTAAATGTCAGATGGAACATTCATACCATCTTTAAAGTTCAAGGTTTTAATAATAAAAGTCTCTCTAAACATATTAGGTAAACTCTCACTATCCTCTCTCGTATCAATAATATGAATATTACATATAGTCTTATTTCGATTACGTAATCCAACTTTAGTAAATCTTAATATTCCGTTATTAGCTTGTATCCATTCAGTATTACTAGACTTACATACTGATCGTTTAGGTGGAGTATTTATATCTCTTACATCTCTTGGCCATAATTTTAATTCAGGTCTTCTGCAATAATTCATAGAATCCTCTTGTTCCATATTAAAATCTGGTATATCTATTTGAAATAAATTCACAATGTGAACTGGTAGTTTGGTTAAAGCTGGATAACAGCATACTATTACAAAAATTATTAAAACCTTTTTCCTCTTTAAATAATCGAATACAGTCATTGTTTCAATTAAAGAGGACAGTTTAGCATTGATTAGATATAATCAAATAAATAACAAAGAGGTAAGTACTGAGCAGTAACTCAATTCGTTAACTTAACCAACTAAACAATCAATATTAAAAGTTTAATTTTAATAGCTTTAAAGTAGAATTTATGCTTGAATTATCAAAAAAAAAACATTTATATAAATGGCTGTCAATTTTTATAATGTATTCAAACTAAAGGGAGTACATACAACAATAAAAGTAATAAATGTGCAGGATTTGATGTTAAAAAACACGAAAATAAAAAACGCAACGAAAAACAAAGCAATTGCGATACGTAACATGGAAAAAGCCATCTAAAACTATAAAGTATTTTAGATAAAGGTTTTTCCTTTCTTTTCTAATATCTACAGAATGACTGTTTTACATTTGCTTCTAATCAAGCATCTCATTTCTATATTTCAAAATTTGCAGATTTGGGAGATTCTTCAACTTCTCCTTTTCCTTTACCTAATAGTACATTTAAACACTTTAAATGCTCATTTCTCTTTGCTTCATCTATTGAGGTTAATCCGTGTACGTCCTCCAAATTTGGGTTGCATCCAACACTAAGCAAGTATTCTACCAGCTCTACATTTCCGATTGAAGCTGCAATATGTAGAGCGGTTCTCTTGTCAAAGTTTGTAACGTTTGGATCTACCCCAGCTAATATCCACGATTTTAGATTATCTATATGATTTGTTGCAACTGCATGACACATCAGCATAGCGGTTCTCATTGGCAACACTCTAAGAACGGCTCCAGCCTTTCGAAGTGATGATATGATTGCATGCTTATTAAACCTAACTGCATCATCCAGAGCAGTGTGCCCATATCTATCTTTAACGTGAACCGATGCCCCATACCTTAAAAGATAGTCAACTACGTCCGTCAAACCTTCGGACGCAGCAACGTGTAACGGAGTTCTCAAATCGTAATCTCCCATACTAAATATGTTTCCTTCAGTCTTTCTGATTCCTTCTAAAGTATCAATATCATTTGATCTAGAAGCAGCGCACATAAGCGATGGCAAGACAGTATCTTTTAATAGCTGAACATCTTCGTCGGAGCTTACAATCAGTTGTTTTGATAGTTTAGATAGCAATGAATAATTAACAAGAGATTTTGATGCTGGTAAAGTTTTACCTTCTGATACTCTCATTTCACCTCTAATATTTTTACCCATTACCTCTCTCTTCTTCTGAAAACTCCAATCTTTCTTGGCAAGAACATAGGCTAGTTTGGTTAGAGCAGCCTCAGGAGTCAAATCGGAACCGAAAAGAATTCCAGCATCCTATGTAAATGAAATAGGTATTTAATTTCAACTGTTGAATTGAAATTGAAGTAATAAGTTATTTATAACACTAACTAAAAGAGATCTTCCAGCTGCGTAAGAAGCGGAAACTGCTCCTCTATAACATTGCGTGATATTAACAAGTAGAACCCCTCTGTCAGTAGCCTCCTTAAACAATTTTAGTAAATCTGTCCTAACATCGGGGCCATTACCAGCACCATATGATTCTATAACCAATCCAAGCATGGGAGGTTGCAAAAACGATTTCACGGCTTCTGCCGTAATACTTGGAAAGAGGCGAAGTAGAGCAACGTGTGGTGACATTTCCAAACATGCTTTAAATTTAGCAACTTCTTTTGAACTGCAAAAGTAAAAGAAATAGTAAAAAATTTTAAATTATGAATAGATAGATGAGTTAAAAATAGACTCAAATTGTAATTCGAATCAGAACACGTGTTCACTGATAATAAAACATGTAAGATACAAGGCAATATAGAATATTAGATTACTATTCAAACTATATGTTAGGAATAAGATTCTATTTCTATATTTAAAAGAATGAAAAAGATTATAAAGATTATGCTCATTTTCATAATATTCTGTATAGATAAGGAACTTATTTTAAAATTACTCTTTAGCCGTTTAGAAACATTAAATAATATTAAAGTATACCGATAGATAGCAGCCCAATCAACGTGAATGTCTATTTCCAAATTAACCAAGGGGGGTAAGTTTGGCGATTGGAAAGCTTCAAATGATCCTGAATCAATTTTTGTCGATCTATTACCGCGTAATAGTTTCCTATTGAAACAAATTGTCACTTCTGGAATAACGAAATGACCAGCTATAACAAGAGCGTCGCAAAAGTTCTCTAAACCATCACTTCGAACTTCGAATATTGGAATCTAAAAGAGTTTTTATAAGAGAAAACAATTCTTTATTAATTCATTTGGATAAATTACCTGTGAGCCTGTTAGGATAACTGTTTTGCCAAGATTCTCAAGCATGAACGATAATGCCGAAGCTGTATACGCCATTGTATCAGTTCCATGTAATATAACAAAGGCATCGAAATCATCGTACACAGACTGTAAAGTTTTAGAATCTTTATTCAATGTTTATAATATTGATAAAGTACTATTTCGGAGATTAAAAACCTCAATGTCGCTGGCCAATTTTGCATAATCAGTCATGGTCATATTTGATGAATCAAGGAGAGGTTCATATTCGTAGATATAATAAATAACCCGTTTACCTTCTTTTGACAATCTAGAATAGATACTTAATGTTTAATTAAAATTTCTTTATCATTAATGAAATACTTACGGCATTACAAGAGGTCTGCTATCAGTGTACATTGCCTGAATTCTCCTGGCGTATTCTTTGTCGTGAAGATTGGGCATTTCTTTTACTGCTTGTTCCAAAAAGTCAGGTTCCGGTGAGTAGACTTGAAAGAAGAAATGACTTTTCATTATATTCAAATAGCTTTTCTTTAAATATAAATTACTTACCACCGTCATGACTTTTCATTCCAATTGTTCCACCACTGTATAATACTAGGACGGTTGAACGCAGTGCTTCTTCTTCTTCAGAAGACTCTATGTGTATCAAAGGTCCACGACCTTTTAACGTTTTCGGAACAAATGAAGGATCCAAATAACTGGCTTTCGCTTTGTTCATAAAATCCATCAGGCTGGATCTTCTAGGAATAGATTCTAGACGTAGTGAGTCCATGCTTGTCACCTTGGCATTGACTTGTAGGATGAAACACAGATAGCGCTAGTTGTTATAGAAGCAGTCAATTTATACTATATACCCCCCAGCCTAGCTACAATTGTCCTGAAGTAGGCTTAAAGGGGTTTCTTTTTTATCTATAAAAACGTCTCTCCTCAATTTGTTCATAACCATTTTTTTTAAAGAAAAGAGAAAATAAATAAAAAAACCTTATGCAACGAAAAGTCGAATAAATATTTGGTTCGAGTCAGCCGATCTCATTTCTCGAATAAGTTTAGATAGGATTGACGGATATATAAATTGTAGTTTTACGCAGTTTTACGCTGTCTGTATTCTAGTTGAATATCCACACGGAGTTTAGTTATACCTCATCGATCGGTGTTTACGTTTAAAATAATTGAATTGTCTCCAAGTCTTGGGTTAACTATTCAAATCTATAACAGGTGAACGAACGTTGATAAAATGATAAGGAATAGTATCTATTTATTATTTTTTTAATTTTAAATCATGGCTCTAACAGATCACCTGCAAATAGGAATGTCCTCGGATTTGAACTCTTTTTTGCAAGTCGATGATGACCTCCTGCAGTCTATTTTGAATACGCAACTTTTGGATGACATCACGAAAGGTATTGAATTATTTAAACGTAATAACGTAATTATCAGTAGTTTTCGTTTGTAATAACTAAACTATTATATAGATCTCTATGATCGGTAATCGCTCTATATAATATACCATATCATGTTGAGGGTTAAGTAAAATTTTAATGAATTTTCCAGAAAAGGGTCAAATTGATGAACCAACTTTCAACCAATCGGCATATCTTGGACAAGACATATGGGAAGAAAAACTGTCTTTGCCGGAAGAATTATTAATAGATCACACAAATAAAGAATCAACAGAATGTAGCGCACCAACAATAGCCGCAATTCTCCAAGAACCACTCGATAATGATTTCGAGAAATCCCAACCAAAACCTGTGAGAAAACGTCCAAAACAATACGTTCCGGACGATGAAAAGAATGAGAGATATTGGGAAAAACGCTATAAGAACAATTTAGCGGCAAGAAAATCTAGAGAAGCTAAACGACTGCGTGAAAATCGGGTAAATAAACAATAGAATAGTTGTGTTCTTTAAAAAAATGGGAAATATTATACACAATCTAACCCTGTTTTTGTATTTTTATTCGGCTTTTTTAGCAAAACTTTGAGCATATCGAAAAACTTGAACGAGAAAAAAAGGATCTTCAGGAAAAACTTAATGACGCACTACGTGAAAACCAAACTCTTAAACAGAAAATTGGCCTCCAATTTTCAACTGTTGTGTAAATGTATCAAAAACAAGAATTAATTGTGATATTTTATTAAAACAGCCCTCTAATTTTAAGAGTTTAATAGAATAATTAAATGGTTACGTAATACTTGTGGAAAATTGTGTTATTTTATTGCTAAAATGAACAAATCGATGTTATTTTTCAGTATGAAAAGTCTTATAAAAGACACAATCATGATGAATTTGAGTTTTTCTGTTGTAAATTGATAGATAATAAAAAGATTACACTCTTACAAGTCTACGTTCAGTGTGTTGATTTTCCCTAGAGTATTCATAATTTTCAGTATAGATGTCGCCACTATTAATACCTAAAAATAAAAACTGGTAATATGTGTTATTTGGTAAAAGATAGCAGAAATTGTATTTCGATAAATTGCCTAATTCTTCCATAGATATGGACTCAACGTCGGCAACTGCTGCCGGAAACGTTTGTACACAATGTGGATCGAAAAATCTGGACATAGATCCAGTTCGTGGAGATACTGTATGCACCAATTGTGGAATGGTTCTTCAGGATACCTACATTGTCTCTGATGTTCAATTTTCAGAAAACGCTCAAGGCGGTAGTTCAGTCATTGGACAGTTTGTATCTGGCGAAGGTAGTAGCGGTGCCAGACCATCTCATCCACTAGGAGCCTTCCATCAGAGTATTTCGAGAGAATCTCGTGAAGTTACTTTGGAAAAGGGACGAAGATGTATTGCAGAAGTTGGCCATCAGTTAAAATTAAATCAACATTGCATAGACACAGCGTTTAACTTTTACAAGTTGGCCGTAAGTAAAAGTTTGACAAGAGGCAGACGAAAGAAGCACGTTGTAGCCGCTTGTCTGTATTTAGTATGTAGAACGGAAGGGACACCACGTATCCTTTTTTTATAATAAAAAAAAAGATCATAATCAGAATTTATCTTTATATAATCGATTACTTTCCTTAACGTAATAGATATGCTTCTCGATTTCAGTGATCTACTTCAGGTTAACATGTTCGACTTGGGCAAAGCTTATAATCACTTAGCAAGCAAACTGTGCATAAATTTACCCACACTTGATCCTTGTTTATACATTCATCGATTTGCGAATCAATTGCATTTTGCAGAGAGTGATCATGCGGTTTCTATGTCCGCTTTGCGAATTTTACAAAGAATGAAACGAGACTGGATGGCCCAAGGAAGACGTCCATCGGGACTTTGTGGTGCTGCATTACTAGTTGCGGCTAGAATGCATAATTTTAATCGAACTGTAAAAGATGTTATAAAAGTGGTTAAAATTAGTGAAATGACAATACGTAAAAGGTTATCAGAATTTGAAAAAACTCCATCTAGTTCATTAACTATTGAAGAATTTAATACAATTGATCTTGAAGAGGAGATGGATCCACCCTGTTTCACTGAGGGTAGAACGAAAGAGAAACAAAAGGTTCTCGAAGAACAAGGAAACATTAGCGATATATCTGCTGAAATTGCTAGGCTGCAAGCTCAAATTGAAGCGGCGTTGGAGGAAACAACGAAAAAGTATAGTAAACATATAGCAAAGAAGAGGGAGGCACCTACGGCGGAGGAGTTGGAAGAGGAATTAATTAAAAGTGGAAATTATATAAACGTAGAAACATTAGAAAATTTATTTAAAAATGAAAGTGATACTAAAGCAAAAAATGAAGAAGAAGCTGAGGTTGAAAGTGTAAAAAGAGATGTTTTAACTTCGAAAACTACTGAAGGAATAGGTCTAAGCGAACCAATAAAAGAGTGTTTAAAGGACGAAGAAAAAATTAATCAAGAGACGGACGGTCAGTTAGATTTAGATGGTATTAGTGATACAGAAATTGACAAATATATATTAGATGATTTTGAAATGAGAACGAAAGCCAAGCTGTGGTTAGCTGAACATGCAGACTATTTGAAACAGCAAAAAGGTACGCTATACGATTATTTACTATTTATTCTCACTTTGTTTACATCAATAAACCATCATTACCAATATATTTTTCATAAATAATAGAAAAGGAGGATAGATTGAGAGAAAAACGAGAGCAAGAAGGTACTAAACCAGAAAAGAAGGTATAATATATAATAAAGCAAATTAGTGTTAATTAATGTAATTTATTACGCATTGTATATACTGTATAAGTATATTTTTCTCTCTTTTATTTTCATAGAAACGAAAGCGAAAATCTAGAAATCAAACTAACCAAGCTGCTCCGACAGCTGGCGAAGCAATTGAAAAAATGCTACAGGAGAAAAAGATCTCGTCAAAAATCAATTATGATGTGCTTAGAGATTTAGATAAGGTTGCTCCCCTAACTGATGCGGAAGCTAATGGTCTTGCAAAACAAGCCATATCGGAAGAAGTAAAACAAGAAACGAAACCCAACAATATATCACTGCCAAAGAGTAGGTTTAGCAAGCCAGCTTTATTAGTAAATAGTCAGATATCAGCCAGTACTGCCCCAGAATCGCCTTTAAAGAAGCCAAAGATAGATGATTTAAGTGACGAAGAAATTCCAGAGGAGGAGGAAGTTGAAGAGGAACAACATGTCAGCGCTTTACAACTTCTCGGAAGAACGGAAGTAGAGGAGACCTACGACGACTATTATGAAGACGAAGATGAAATGTACTAGTTTCTATTTGAGTAAATTTTCTAGGCAATTTTAAATACAATATACTCAAATTATTCGTTCTTTCTTTAATAAGAAGATCCGTTCATTTTGGTTTCTTTTACATATTTGTAACATTCAAATTAACCTTTTATTTGTAATCAAGAAATGGTTTGTGGATAATAAATTGTAAATTAAGGTTCGCTATTGAACATTTATAATAAAATGAAGTAAAAATTACAACTATAAAACTAAAAACAACTTATTGCTTTGTAAATTGAAACAATTGACATAGGACTACAAGTTTTATGATATGACCAGAAATATTTAGAAAAAAATTCTGTCCATATAAAATAATGAATTAAAAAGTGAAAACATGACTGAAATACTACACTTTATGAATATTCTTCTCCTAAGAACTATAAGTAGGTAGAGAGATTAAAATCCTTATATTTTATATTCTTTGCTTGTGCAGATTGTATATGAATATATAAACTGACAAGTTTAGCAACTTAGCCAATATCTTTATCTAATAGAAATTTTCTTTACAATTTAAAACAAAATATAAAGGAAAAAATGATTTCTCTTTAAATAGTTTTTAATTGGCACGGTGTAGAAAATTCATTAATAAATCATTTATACTAAAAAGAAGACAAAAAATTTGATGTTATTATTCATATTTTTCTCTCTTTTTTCTCAAAAAAGTTGAGTGTTTTTTTTTTTTGTTTTTTTTTTTTTAAAAGACATAAGGCTTTGTTTTCATAGAATTTGAGATTTTTTCCTGAAATTACCAGATAATAATCGCAATAATCTTTTAAAAATACTTATAATAATAAATTAGTTAAGCAAAAATCTACTTTCAGTATATATGCATATATATTTATATATATATTTATTTGTAACCTGAATCTTTGTCTTCATTTTTTCCCTTTGATTTCTTTAAATTCTCTTGTAGTTTTCTTCTAATTCATTTATTCTATGGTCTTAATTAATTTTATTAAAAAGACCATTCTATAGTCTCGGCACAAGTTATGTTGTTCATTTCGTTAGATAAAAATTCATAGTCGCTCTCGTGTCCTCTTTCTAATCTTGATAAAGGCCTTATTGGTAATAAAAGCTCTGGAAGAGCTTCCGAAATACTTCTCTTCTTTGTAACCTTAAAGAAATCATCATGAAGTAGTTCAACCGCTCTTGGTCTTGTGTGAGCATCCAATCTAAGGCAGGATTCAACCATTAGATGGAAATTATTAGAAAAGGTTCTGTCACAACTTGGAACTGTTTTTGAGTCCTCGAGCATAGGAACAATTCCATTTATTTTTTCTAATAGCATTCTCATCTTTGGCATATCGTCGAATGGAGGACCACCGTTGGCGAGTTCACAGGCAGTTATTCCTAAACTATAAATATCGCTTTTCACGGTATATCCTGCTAAGTTTTGTTCGAGTAATTCTGGACTAGCCCATATTAGAGACGATTGAAAACCTACATCCGGAAAATCGTGTATAACTCTTCGCCCAGATGAAAGATGAGTCGGTTCCAAGTGGTCAATTGCTCGACAATAACGCAATCCGGAGAGTTTGACTCGACCTTGACTTCCAACTAAAATATGACTTCCCCTTAAAGATCTATGTACAATATTTTGTTTGTGTAAATAAGCTAATCCTCTAAGTGTTTCCTTCAGAATATATGCAATGGCTTGTTCCGGCAAACCTCCTTTAAAATGAGCGTGCAGTAAGTCTCTACACGATCCATATGACATGTGATTGGTAACAGTAAATATGTAAGAATCGTTGGTGAACGAACATAAAAAACTAAGAATGTTCGGGTGATGTAAGCGGCCCGTAATCTGGAGTTCATCCTTAAAAAACAAGAGATAAAACCAATTGTTACACGGAAATTACATTGATAATATTATTAACGTACTTCAAGCAATGATAGAGGAATTTTTAAATATTCTAGATTAACACATCGTATAGCTACCGGCTTCTTTGTATCTTTCCTTTCAGCAGCATATATATTAACACTGTTTTCGCATGAGCTTCCTATAGAATGTTTTAAATATATTAAAATATGTGTCGCCAAACAAGAAAATATCAATAAAAGAATGTCTAACCTATTAATGGTCCAAATCTGTAAAGGTTTATATTGCACAACTCTGCCGGATTAGATGCCAAAATCTCCTCTTTAGAAATGTCGTTGGCCGATTGACGATTTGACTAATAAAACGGATTTTTTAAAGCAATTTTAAATAATGTATTTTGAGACAATATTCTTACGCATGATGAACGTACACAATTATAAAAATCCATCTCTCGAACAAAGTGAAAGATTTTTTATCCTGTGTACAAGCTTTAATCAAATTTACTTACAAAAGCAGCCATGTTTACGTACTAAAATGCTGGAATATCGCTCACTTACTATACATATGATAGGCCAACTAAGACTTTCATTAACTTCTATGTAATCATAGTTAACTATATAGGCCGTTTCTTAGAAAAAACTCTACACCTACATTTATACACTTAAAACATATATTTACGTTTAAAATTTCGTTGATTCTCCTTAATATTTTCCAACCATTCCAGCAGCTGTACATCTTTAGGAAAGATGGAATATATGAAGAGATTTTCTCACAATTTTATATATTATGCTATTTAGCAGTAATATATATTTATATACATATTTAAGAGAAATACATAAATTTCGTTATTTGTATCCTTTATCGTTCTAAAATCTATCCAACGAAATGACAATCTATTCTATAGAGATTCATTAATTATTTGTATAGAAGAGTTTGACTGTTAGTTCTCCATAGTTGGTAAAAATTTGAATAGATTATGATTAATAAAAACATCTTTCATTTATATAAAAACAACAAATTAACCAATTTCTTCGTAATATACATTTTCATTATATAATTTACGAAGTTTACTTTTAATAACATTTTATCAATAAAAAGTCAACATTATTAGTTTATTAACAAATAGAGCAAGTGTTATTTGTTTATTTATTCATCTATTCATATATTCCTTTGATTATAGGAAGAAGGAATAAACAGATACAATATTAGAACATCGATTATTACAACTATTTATTGTTCGTTCTATAATTTATTAATCCTCTTAATTATACTAATCCTTCAATTTTGCTATTCTTCTTCTTACTTGCTTTTTATAAATATCATCCTAAATATTGTTTATAAGCACTTTTTTTAATAATCTCTATTTAGTGTGACTTTATTACTATTTTTTATTATTTCGCAATATTACGTTAAGATATTAAACTTTTAACAGCTGTAGATGGCGCGAGTGTTTGCACGATTACATCTTCATTTAAAACATCTAATATCGCTCTCTATCGGCTCGTTTCTACTTTATCTTTAGCACTATAAATTTGTATTCTCTCTTTATAGAGGGGTTTTTTAAAATAATTTTTACTATTTTAATAATTACTTGAAAATATTAAAAATATTTCAATTTCAACTAAAAATAGCATTGAAATATGAAAACAATATTTTTAATTGTCTGTACGGAGCTTTTTATATTTACTTTGATAAATACTGCAAAAGAGGATGAGAAATGGAAGAAAAAAGATGTTAGAGATTATACCGATGCTGATCTAGAAAGACTTTATGATCAATGGGAGGTAAGGTTTTAACTTTACTGAAAATTACAGGTGTTTATGTTCAAATAGTAAACAAGTTTTTATATAGGACACTGATCCTGATGAGTTGAGCGAAGATGAATTACCAGATTATAAGAAACGTCCACCACCTATATACGAAAAGGATATACGCAATGTGAAAGATCCAGAAGAAGTATTAAAAATGTCAAAAAAAGGACGAGTGATTATGTTATTTGTGACCGTTTCAGGTAAAAAACATCATTATAATATTCATATTTTCATCATTCTTCTCTAAGCTATAATTGAAAAAAAAACAACAAACAATCATATTAGGTGATCCAACTGAAAGAGAAACTAATGACATCACTCGTCTATGGCATGGAAGTCTATTTAATGCTCATTTTGATATTCAAAGGTATTATAGTACAATTGTAATGGAATTATTTTACAACAATCAATCTTTTTTAGGTATGTTATAGAGAAAAATAGAGCGATATTCAGTGTACCTGATGGCTCAAAAGCTTGGGATGTTAAAGACTTTCTTATCAAACAAGATAGATGTTTGCTAGTTACAATAGATGGAAAAGAATACTATGGCAAAGCTCATTCAGTGAGTAAAATGGAAAGTCTATCAAATATTAGAGTTTTAAATCCCCTCTTTATCGTTCTATTAGAAATTTGAAGATGGAAAGAAATCGACAAAATTAAAGAAAGATGAATTTTAAGAGTTTAAAGAAAAGTAAAATATTTTTTGTCCTCTTATCATTAAATACTTAATTTAATACTTTAATACTAAGTGTTAAGTAACTGGAATTTGTATAAAATTGAATAATAAAATAAATACCATGTAAAATTCATAATGTCTAGGCTTTCCCGCCAAATTTTTGTTTTTAATAGAGGGCGTTAGTAACATATTGTCATAGTAACAAACAACATGTCGGAGCCAGAGGATAGGTAGGTATTTTAATCTACAAAAAAACATTTTATATGATCTAGATATATTAACTTTTATATTTTAACAACAATTGAAATAAATAAACAATTGTAATAGACGAAAGACTTTTAAAGAAAATTTTTTAGAATTCTGCAATTTATCATATAATCCTTTTTCAACAAAAGAAATTTTTTAAAAAATTGATTGAAAATTGGTAAAATTCAACCTTTTGCAGTGTTTAATTTCAAGATTATTACTTTTTGTAAACATATCTATATATTTAATGCACTTTATATGCAAATTCTAGGTCTTACAGCCCTTAATTTTTCAGTGAAACTATGTAAACGTTTGATTATTAATTACATAAAAATTTTGTTTTTATTGTTTATTTTAGAAAAAGAGAACATAAATATAAAAGAGGGTAAGGTCCAATATTAAGGAAAAATTATATATGTAAACGTATTCAATATATCTAAAAAACTGTTCGTTTATGTAACATTCTTACGTAAAAAATTCATACTTTAATTCTAAATTATAATGTTTATTCTATTGAAATGATCAAATTCATCTTGCCTTTTGATTGTTGTATTCTTTCATTTAGTATATATGTATAGATATACAAAGAGCTAAATTGATTATCATTTCATTTATTCATTATATTCGGATAAAATAACATTATATTAACTTTTTAGGCCCCCCTCTCAAGTCGGCAACGTTGTCAGCCAAGTTACAGTTAAAGCACTTCAAGAAATGGATACTGGCGATATGGCTAAACGTAATCCGAAACCTCCTTCTAGACCGCCTTCGCAAGGTTCCAGACGATCTTCAGCCAGAGGATCTAAACCTGCCTCACCCAGTTTGGAAATTGTGGGATCTAGACCAGGATCTGCTACTCAAAGAGATGAAGATCGTCCAGCTTCTATAGCCCAAGGAGCTTCTAGACCTGACTCAGCCGTAAAAGGAAGTTCTAGACCTGGATCAGCTGTGAAACGTGAGTCAAGACCAGGATCAGCTGTAAAAGGTGGCTCAAGACCTGCGTCTGGTGTAAAGCCTCCCTCACGACCTGGTTCTGCAACAAGAGCTGGATCAAGACCGACTTCAGCTGCCCCAGAAGGATCGAAACCAGCTTCAGCTGCAAAGGCTGGTTCTAGACCACCATCTGAGACTGGACCGATACCTCTATCGAATTCCAGACCAACATCAGCTGTAGGCAGAGACTCCAGACCAGTATCAGCTGCGGGAAAAGAATCCAGGCCTTCTTCGGCCGTAGGCAAAGATTCAAGACCAACTTCAGCTACCGTTAAAAATTCGAGACCTGGCTCTGCAACAGCTGAAAAAGCAAAAACAACAGAAGAAACGAAACAGCCATCACCCTCTGGGTCCAGGCCTATGTCTCGTCAAGCACCAATTGGTGCAGCAGAAGAAGAGCAAGTAGACAAACCTGCATCTAGACCCAATTCCCCAGCGCAAATTGAGGGACAGAATAGACCAGTATCTGTTAAAGGATCGCGACCAACATCTGCTCCCGCTGAAGATAAAGATAAACCAATCGAAGAAAGAACTCAAGATCCTGCAGATGAGCCTACAGAACCTGTTTTAACAACAGATCCGATGGATAGACTGGATTTTCTTGAAACATCTCCTATTCGTGATAGTCCTTTGGATGATTCAAGACAGAGAGGTGATGGAGGAGATGGTGGCGACGGCGGTGATGATGGTGATGACGATCATGATGAGCACGATGATATGTACGAGATTGAAGATGAAGAACAAATGATGGCTGAAGAAGATGAGGAGCAGGAAATGGTTGTGCTTGACCCAGATCACGTAAGTATTAAATCTCTTTAAAAAAACACAATCCTGACAAAAAACTTTATTTTAGCCATTGATGGTCCGATTCCAAAAAGCCTTGAACAAGCACTTAAATCAAGTTAATGATAGACTTACTTTGGAACTTCGAGAATTGGAAGAGTCTGTTAAGAAGAATACAGTTGAAAGAGAGGATCTTGGTGTAGATTTGTACGGTGTACAGCAGGAATTAGCTAAATATCAAACTCTCTTAGAAAAATATCATGATGAACAAGCAGAGAAAAGGAATGAACAATTACGTTTAGAACAGAATTTAGACGAAGTTCGCAGAGTATATAGTAGAAAACAAACAGAACTCAATATGGAAAGATCCAGATGTAGTAAATTATTAAGCGAAGTAGAAAACTTGGCTCTTAAAACTCATTACATGGAAGAAGCCAAAAGAGATATGCGAGGAGATTTGGCAGTTATGAAAAGGGCCGCTGAAAAAGCGGACACAGAAGTTTCTAAGGCAGAAGTTGAGAAACAAAAGCAAGATCTGTATGTGAATAGATTAATTGAAAGAGCCGATCGGTTAGTAAAATATTAATTTATGTTTAACGCGTCTAATAAATCAATATGATTCTAGTTTGAGGGAAGACATTGCACTTTTTGAAGCTCAAATATCAGCTCAAAACGAAGAGACCAAAGCGGCTAGAACAACTTTAGGTGAAGCTCAAATGGAAATTGAAACGATAAATATGGAAAAGAAACAGCTTTTTCAACAATGGAATAGTAGCTTAATAGGAATGCGAAGAAGAGACGAAGCTCATGCTGCAATGTTACAAGCTTTAAAGGAACAGGAACAACGTGTTCTTACTCTTAATACGGAAATAGAAGCCTATAAGAGAAGTATTTCCAAGGAACAAGAGAAGAATGAAAAGCTTACTTTGATACTAAATAAGACGGAAACGGATGTTAACACTGTATATATCTATATCTTTTTTAAGGATGTAATTTCCCTGTTTCATAATTTTTTTCAAACAATTTCAGGTTAGAAAAGCAATGGCCCAATGTGCTAAAAAGTACAATGACGCCAAACACGAATATTCAACTAGACAACGCCTCTTATTCGAAACTGAACAGAGTTTAAACAAAGCTATTACTGATAAAACTCTAAAAGCTAACGAAGTCGAAGCCATACGTAAGCAAATTGAAAGAGAATACGCGGAAAAGGTTAAGGTTGAAGATGAAATTTTGGAGAAGATAAGATCTCAAATGACTATGGATAAGGCTGCAAAATATACTTATAAAATGACACATAAATTGAGATCCATTACAAGGGAACTAGAAAGTACAAAGGCGAAAATTGAAAACGATATTTCCAAGAGTTCGTCAAAGGTCTTTGATGTTCAGACAAGAATCGACGGACTGAAAGGAATCTTGGAAGAATTGGATAAGGAAGTTAAACAGAGAAATGAAACCATATCAAAGAGTGAGGTTGATATGAACAAGAAGAATGCTCTTGTTGAAAGAAAGCAACAGACAATCGATCTCTTCAATAAGAAATTAGAGCAAATGATTGAAGCTGCCGGAGGTGTTGAGCTAGGACCATTGGAAATTCAAATAAACTCTCTTACTAAATCCATTGATAGTATGCAAGCAGAATTGGCTGATTTACAACAGATTTGGCTGAGAGATCAATCGCAATTAGTAAGATTAGCAACTGAAAAGGATAGTCAATCATCAGATATTGAAAAATTAAAGAAACAACTAACAATTCTAAGCCAGAAGAAGATTAGAATTGAAAGTGATATTAACAGACAATTGTCTCTCATAGCCGATTACGAAAGACAGATAAGAAACATGCAAAATGATATGATAAAATTAAATACTCTTGTTCATAGAGAAAAGAGTTTAGAAGAACGCTTGAATGCTGATAATTCATTATCGGAAAATGATTTCATCTCTAAGCTAAGAGAAGCGGAGCGTGAATCAATTGAAATGCAAGAAAAAATGGACAATCTAAAAGAGGAAAAGGAAAGATTATTAAATAGCTTAATAGAAGCTGAACGTCAAATTATGCTCTGGGAGAAAAAAACTCAATTAGCTAAAGAAACGAGAGCTGCTGTTGATTCTGAAGTGGGTCAAGGCGAAATCAAAGCGATGAAGAGTGAAATTCATAGAATGCAAGTTCGGTTAGTATCTAAACACTTCAAAGGAACATTAGATATAACTTGTGATGTTAATATTTAACGTATTTACTTCAGATATTCGCAATTGATGAGGCAACAAGAAAAAATGATTCAAGAAATGGAAAAAGCTGTTTCAAGAAGAGATACAATTGTAACTAGGGGAGATGCGCAGTCAAAAATGAATAAGAAAACAATTACTAAGGGAACCTTTCATAGAAATCTTGCTCAATTAAGGCAAAAGATTAAGCAAACAATTCAGGAAGCCACTGAATGCGATAAACAAATATCTGAACTGAAGAGAGATCAAGAACAACTAACAAATCAACTGGAGGATAAACAATTGAATGTTCATCAACTGAAACAAGTTTGTGAACAGATAGAAATTGATATCGATCAGCTAAGAGATACTAAGGCAGCAAACAAATTTGACCTATTAAGTAAACAGCAAAAAACAAAATGGCTAAATCAGCTAAAAGAAGGAAAGTACAATAGATTTTGCAGAGATCAGGAAGCTGTAGATATAGAATTAAGTAAACAAATGGAAAGAACACAAGCTCTAGCTGCTATCGTTGATAGGTTAAATCAAGAATTTCCACAATCTCAAATATCTTTAAGAAGGGTTACATTAGCTTTGAGACAGCATACTTCATAAAGAAATGGGAAAAAAATAAAAGTTTATATAAACTATTTCATCCAGTATTCTTTGAATTTGTATTCTTATCCTTTTCGTATAATAAATCATAAACAAACAAACAAATATTTTTTTCGATTTTACAATCAACCTCTTAGACGATTAATTCAATTTGGCATTTTCCCTTATCCAATCAACATAGTGGAGAACGTTTGTATAAACACCTGGTATTCCTAATCCACATTCGTGGCCGAAACTTGTTATACCATATAGAACCCATCGGTTACCGGCTCTACACGATAATGGTCCTCCCGAATCACCCTGTAATTCAAAATTAGTTTTAATAGTAAATCGATATTGAATTGGATAGAATGATAACTTACAAAACAAGCATCTTTGTTAGCTTCTCCTCCTGCACAAATCATTCTATCCTTCCATATTCTTTGCATACGATACAGTTTAAAATAAGCTGTAGAGCATTTAGCTACGTTTACGATTGATATTTGAAGTTGTTGTAGTTTATTAATATCTCCACTTTCTGTATATTAAAATAAAACATGAATAAAATAGAAAGAAAGTATTTTGTATAGCATTATCTTACTTTTTGTTAAACCCCATCCAGTAACGTAGCATTCCGCATGCGTTAACTCCGCATCAGGTAAACATATCTTTCTAACTTTTTCATTTAGAATAGCTCTTTTATTGAGTTTGATCAAAGCTATATCGTTTAAATATGTATAAGATTTAAAATCTGGATGAATGATTATCTTTTCAACTGAAAATTCCTGTTCGGTGTTGTCTTTTGTCTTCCTTCGGTGTTCTCCTAAAATAACTTTATATTTGGACAAATCCGTTGTTCTGTTTAAAAAGAGAGAAGATTTCTATGAGAATTTTATGTTTCAACTAGGCCCAACAACTTACAAAGTAACACAATGAGCTGCAGTTGCAATATATTGGTCTGATATAACAGTTCCACCACACCTGGGTATGCTATTTCGTAAGTGAACATAAATCAAGGCTTGCCAAGGCCAATCGTTAGGTGAAGAGTCTACACCTCCAATAATACTATTTGATATATAATCTTTCGTTTCTCCAGGTCTCAAACCGCAATCTCTTTCCAAATGAGTGGTTTTAATGCCTATTTTAAACCCACCCGCTGTTACACTATAATCGGATTTAAACTGTAAATATAGATCTTTTCCGGTAGCAATAAACTGGAAAGTTTTCTTAGTCCCACATAATTTTTCACTATATTTAGAGCTATTTGTTGGTGCGTTATATATCTCTAAACTATCGTAAGCGCAATTTTGACCATTCTCCAAATCGAATGAATAGAAGGTCAGCATGGGCAACTGTAAGAGAATAAAGAGAATTATTTAGGTTTTGCGTTAAAAATTAACCTTTAAGTATATACGAACAAGGTGGCCATCACTCTTTATTCTCCAAGAGCAAAATACGTTATTAGGATAATCTTTCGGATAATTTAGAGAAGTTATAAATTGTTCTCTATTCGTTGCTGTTAGAATCATTGTTGATCCTTTGCAGGGACCTGCAACTGATAAAGAAAAGATCTATAGAATATAGTATATTAAAAGTGGTCTAATTAGAAATGAACCTTTTTTAGGAGTAAAATAATAGGCCAATCTAAATCCGGTCTTTGATAGATAATCATCAGAGTGGAATGTAATAATAACTGGTTCATTTTTTATCACAATGTCCGATGGATTTTTATTACCGCAGAATTTCTTGGAGGTTGAAGAAGTTTCCACTCTTACATAATCATATTTGCAGTTTGTTCCATATTCAATGTCGAAATTTTTGAATACTAGTTTAAGCGTCTAATTCAGAAATTAAAGTATATTTAGATATTCTTAGCGTTAAATTATGTAATAATAATAATAATATATACTCCCGATTGAGATGGTTTTAATGTCCATTTGCAGTTTTGACCTAAATCATAATTTCTATTATTTCCATATTTAGGTGATGAGATATAACCGTTTCCTTTAACAACTATTTCTTTATCTTTTGGGCATTCAATTTTAGATTCTATAGTTTTAACAATAAAAAGAAGAATAGATATTAATTTAATATTCTAATAGATTTCAATGAATTTTAATAATAAATTAAATTTTCATGAAAAATTACCTTCTCTTTTAATAAGCGTATTAAGTAGATTTAATAATTCTTCATTTGATGATTCGGTTATAATTATATTAGTTGAAAAGTATATCAGAAACGTTAAAAGAATACTATTTAATCCAATAATAGTCATCTTAGTTAGGACCTAACCGTACTTTAAGAACTATCTTTAAAAATAGATCCAGTACGAACGATCGGCAAACATGTGGTATTGTAAATTGTTAAGGTGGTGGGGGGCGTAAGGCCTTTTAATAAAGAATAAAGCTATAATGTACAACAGAATAGGCTTGATACCAATAATTCGACTAACCAGGCCCTTTTTTTTTCTTATATAAACAACGTATCCAATAGACTGTTATTAAATAAAGCTATATTATAAATATTGATCAATATTTAGACAAAATATTCACAAAAAAAAGAACTCAGATGAATATTATAAAGATAAATCGTATAAGAAACTTGAAACTGAGATCTTATTTCTATCTTTAAGAGAACATATCTTTTTGAACGAATTATCATAATCGCAACATATATGTCTCTTCATTAATTGCTACATAACTATTGATAATTATTCCAAATTAGTATATAATTTCTCTGTACTAGATATCAGACTTTTAACTAAATATCTATTCTAAATTTCATCGTCTCTTGCATTCATATTTTCTTCACTATTATCAGTTTGCTTCTTCAAAAGTCTTGGACCTGATATTGAAATTGCTGCTGCGCCAACTGGAGCTGTTACTAAAATAACCATTACAGCAACAGCCAATATCTAAAATATATAAAGAAATCAATTAAATCAATTAATACAGTTGTAAATAAATGTTTAGCTTTATTACAATTAGTCCATTTTTCTCCTCAACCGAATTGAATAGCTTTTTCTCTCTCGTTATATCTAAAGCTTGAGAACCAATAGCTGCTTGAACAGTAGCTTTCGGCAACCAGGCAAGTGGAATAAAAAACTTTTCCTTAGTATTCAAACCTAATCGTAACACTGCCAAGAATGAGGCGATTACTCGAAACAATAAACCTATAGCAAGGACAGCTAGACCTAAACCTGTATAATAGGATAAGCTTTGTATAACAAACTCAAAAACTTGTAATTATTCTGATTGAAATTAACCTATTGTAGAGCTTTTAATTTTTGTAATGTCGATTTCTGCTCCAATTAAACCAAAAAGAAGAGGCTGAAAAACTATCCATAAATTAGCGAAATATTCAGAGATGATTTTATCGCTTCCTTCGTCTTTCCTCCAGTTTATGGCAGCTACAAATGGTATAGTTAAACAGGCAAGAGCACCAGCGCCCGCGAAGTCTAAATTTTTACTTCCAAATACGGCTAATATACCGTATCCAAACAGAAATATAAATCGAATAGGATGTTTGTTCTTGCTTGTCGCAGTAGGAATAAACCATAGTATAGTTCCTAGAATAACTCCGAAAAGAACTCCGCCAAAAGCCTCCAATGGTCCTTTGGCAATTAGAAGACCAAAACTTCCTTCGCTAAACGCTATGCCAACACACAAACCAAACGCTGTAATGGCAAGGACATCGTCTACGCTGGCGGCTGCTATAACCAATGTTGGAATTCCCTTATCAATTCCATAACCCCTTTCTTTCAAGTTAAGTAAAGATGGCACAACAACAGCAGGTGAAACTGCTGCTAAAACAAATCTATAAAAGACAAAACAGTTATTATATACTTGGTATTAGATAATAGTAAAGAAAGCAACAGACAAAGTATGTTACAACCTACCCCAACATAAAGCCCCATGACCATGGTAAATCAAGAAGAAAGTGTGATACAACACCAACCGTTAATGCCTCTACAAGGCATGGTATAAAAGCAAGCCTAATAACTCCAAAACTTAATTTTTTGAGGGCAACAGGATCTAATCCTAATCCAGCCCTTGTTAAAATGACTATAAGGGCTAAATTTCGTAAGGCAGAAGACCAATCTTGGTTTATAGATTCTCCTATGGTTTTAATTCCGGGAACATTTCTTAACAGACAGCCAGTAATTAACATACCTGATATGAATTTAAATTGATTACAAATGTTCAATAACAATTCAAAATGATTGATACCTAATAGAGGAGGCATTTTTAGTAAATCAGCTAAGTCTCCTCCACAGATGCAACAAATGCATAAAACAAAAATAGAGAAGAAATTCCCTCCAGGTAACGCTTCCTTTTTAGTGATTGACCAGAGAACACACCATATTAAAAACAATAGAATTATATAAGCTAAAAATTTGGCAAATCTTCCAAACGGCGGACATAACAAACCATATTTAAAACGTTGTAATTTGGATGGATTTGAAGGTAATGGATTTTCATTTCTAAGACAAGGTTTAAAAAAAGATCTGACGATACTACAACATTTATTACAACGTGAATTAGGTTCATGGGTCTCGACGTTGAGTTGATTGTTTCTATTCCCTGTTGCAAATGCTACTAAGCTATTTTCTTCTTCTTCTCCTTCTTCATTGTGTATTTTTATTGTGGGTATTTCAATTTCAGATTTTCTTGCATCTTCAGATCCGTGAAAATTGGATTTAGATGACATACTATCCATTGAAGTTAAATCTTAGTTAAGATTGGTTATCAGTTGAAGAGTAATTATTGTAGAAAGTTGGCTATAAATATCAATCTTGTGAATGCGGCATCGGTTCTATAATGATTTTAATTGCATTGATAGCAAAAAGGGAAATTCTATAAGTTATTAATAACGCAACTTTTGATAAGAGATAAATAAAACTTGATAAGAATGGGAAAGTGACCGACCTCTATTATACCAGTTTTCGCGCCAGAAATAATAAATCATTTGCATATGATAAAAAAGTTAAATTGCGATTTCTGCATAGGAAGAATTTGTAAAAAAATTAATACTTAATCCGTTACTTCTTAATTATAATTTTATACGAAACTAACATTGTGCCACATGATTAAGCCCTATTTTCATTGACATCAATATTCCGAGGTATCAAATATTGCAACTTTTTTCTTCTAGATCGAAGCATCCAGCATAAAATTTACAAAAATCAAATAGACTTATTGACTAATTCAAATAAAACCTCAAAATGAACGTTGTTGTTGCCGTCAAACAATATATTACAAAAATGATAAACGATAGTGGGCAGGGAATGAAACTACTATTGATGGATAAAGAAACGGTTTGTTTTTAAATATATATATATTAAAAGCTTTATTGTATTGTAATTTTTTCCAATTTAGACTTCAGTGGTTAGTATGGTTTATGCTCAATCAGAGATACTTCAAAAGGAGGTTTATCTTTTCGAACAAATAGAAAATAATAATAGAGAAGCAATGAAACATATGACTTGCATATGCTTTATCCGACCAACTCAAAGAAATATAGAAGCATTATGTAGTGAACTGCGAAAGCCTAATTATGGATGCTATTATATATGTAAGTGAATACAAGCTCGATAACTTAAAATAATGAAGAATACGTAATTAATTTTTACATTGTTTTCAACAGATTTAAGTAACGGTCTTTCCAGGCAATTAGTTAAGCAGTTAGCTGAAGCAGATGATTCTGAAGTTGTCAGAGAGATTCATGAAATGTATGCTGATTACATTCCTCTTGCCCCTCACCTCTTCTCTGTAGGATATCAAGTTGGGGATATTATTGAAAATCGTTCTTTCAAGCAGAAGGCATTAAATCGGATTGTTCAAGCTATTTGCGCTGTTTTATTATCATTAAAGTGCTGCCCAGTTATCAGGTACCAAGCATCTTCTGAACTTGCTAAACGGCTTGCTGACAATGTTCGACAAGCGACTTCGAAAGAAGCATCTTTATTTGATTTTCGTCAAGAATCCGCACCTCTCTTATTAATAATAGATAGACGGGAGGACGTCGTGACACCTCTTCTTAATCAATGGACGTACGAAGCTATGGTTCATGAATTATTAGGCATTCAAAATAAACGAGTTGATTTATCAAATGTTCCAGGAGTATCAAAGGATTACGAACAAGTTGTTTTAAGTATTGATCACGATCCTTTCTACGCTCAAAATATCTATAGGAATTTTGGAGAGATTGGTTCAAATATTAAAACTTTAATAGACGACTTTCAAAAAAAAAGTCATAATCATGCGAAAATTGAATCAATTTCTGATATGAAATCTTTCATTGATAATTACCCGCAATTCAAGAAAATGAGTGGAACTGTTGGAAAACACGTAACAGTTGTAGGGGAACTTTCCAGACTAGTATCTACACATAAATTGCTAAGTATTTCCGAATGCGAACAACAATTAGTATGCGAGGAACAGACTTATCAAAGAGTTGAACAATTAGTCTCTGATCCAGGCACAAGAGAGATCGATTCTGTTAGATTAGTTTTACTTTACGCCTTGAGATACGAAAATCAAAGCAGTCAGATCAGCTCATTAATACAAGCGCTTACAAGGAGAGGGATAAACGATAAATTCCGAAGATTAATACATGGAATTATAGAATACGGCGGTCAAAAGGCAAGATACGCGGATAGTTTATTCGGTTCCACACCAATTTCTGGTATAACAAAGAAACTTCTTAAAGGTTTAAAAGGTGTTGAAAATATTTATACTCAACATAGACCACTACTTCACACAATTCTAGAGAATTTATTCAAAGGCCAATTAAAAGAGAGCCAATATCCTTTTATTGGTACTTCAATTAGCAGGCAAAAGCCTCAACAAGTAATCGTATTTATTATCGGAGGAGCTACTTACGAAGAATCATTCTATATAAATGAATTTAATTCTACTTCACAATTTGGAGCTAAAGCAGTACTAGGTTCAACTTATATGCATAACACAAAAAGGTTAATATATGAAATTGTTAACAGTAGAAAGAAATACATTATCATTTATTTCTTTATAGCTTCCTGGAAGAAGTCCGACTATTTCTGGACGGTTCCTCGATGAATTATCGGTAGGCTTATATCATCTATCTAACTTCTAGTCAATTAATATATAGAAAAAGAGGAAGAAGAAGAAGAAGAAATAAAGGAAATATACTTAAATTTATTAAACAGTTTTTATTCTTTTTTGTTTTTTTTCTGTTTATTTTTCTTTTTTTTGGATTTTAAAATAAAACAAACATTTATGGTTTTTTTTTTCTCTCTGGGCAGGAGATATACTTTACTATATAAACAAATGAAAGGTATCTCCATTAATGCAACATAATATATCTTATTTATATATGATTATATATATATATATAAATATAGTTTGTTTTTTTGAAACAAATCTTTAATAAATGACAGTATCAAATAATTTAAATAAAGTTTAATTATATCTTTTATTTATTTATTTATTAGTTAATTTAAATAAATATGATAATTAAATATAAACTATTTTATTGGTTTATTTTAATATTATGTAATTTTATGTTCTCTTTATCGATTAAATGTGGTATTTGTACTATTTTAAATAGAGAATTGAGATGTACCAATTGGAGAAATAGACCTGATTATATTATTTATCAGGCAATCAATTGCTTGAAATATCACAAGGATATAACCTCGGCTATACTTAGAGTACGTACTACTGAATCTGAACCATTGACAGAGAAAAGTATGCTACCTTTTAGGAGGATTCACAGTCTGCACTTTGACGATTCTGATTTAGGAAACATTGCTAGGGACTCTTTTAAACAATTAAACCATTTAAAGTATTTGTCTTTACGAAATACTAATGTAAATTGGGAACTAATTCAAGATGTAGTTGCGTTCTTACCTAAACTTAGAGGAATTTATTTAGCTAAATTAAACAAAGAATGTAACTGTCGCTGGTTAAATTTAGAGAAATTTTTACATAGTAGGAATATTACTATTATGGATGGAAAAGATGAAATTCCAACCTGTTCATCAGAATTGAAAGATAGCTGTCAGTATACTGATGCGCCAAAGACAAATAGTCTTATACGATCGGTTAATATCGAAACTAAAGAAACTGGAAGACCTAGAGATCTTTTACATCAAACGATTGAATTTAATTTACCTTCCTCAATCATTTTCATTCTTGTTCTTTTCACAGTTTTTGTATTGATAGGAACTATGATTATATGTATTTTTACCTATTATAATCTGAAATACGAAGATTGTCGATCAAAGTGGTGGCCTTTCAAAAATATAAAAAGGTGTAAAAAATCTATAATTTCCCGAGATAGTTCCAAAGTATTTGATAAATATACACCTTATCCTTATCCTCAGAAAAATGATACTGAAAATAGAAAGATTTTTAATGAACAACAGCAGAAACTACAGCAAACTGAATCTGAATTATTCAAATGTCGTACAAAGTTAACAAAGCTTGAGAGTAAATTTGGTAAGATTTACGATTCGCCATCATCAACACAAAAATCTGATATGATATTGAAAGATGATCTCAGTTTAGATGAAGTTGAAGAATTTCATAAATACTTGAAAGATATTACTTCTAATGAGAAATCATCTTTCTTGAAATGGTTGGGAAGAATTCCTAAATCGGATTGTATTTTATGCGTTCGAAATCAATTACAACAATTTAGGAATGGTAACATGCTACTTAATTGGCCTTATCAGCAAATAGAAAATGATCAAGATACGGATAAGTTAATTCGAACACCTAAAACTCCGGTTGATAATCGAATATCTAGAAACATCGCTCATAATTCTATACAAACTCATAGAAATAACTATGAAACGCCAGATAATGTTCGTAAGGAGAATGTAAAGCTTTTTGCTAAAGAGAATCAAGTTAGCCAAGGGATACGATCAAAGAAAAAGACATCATATCCTAGAATAAAATCAGAACCATTTTGTCAAGATTATTCATTAAACAAGGAAACAAATGAAAACAATACACATTTTGAAAGAGCAAATAGACCTCACAATTTCGAGAAATACTCTGAGAACACTGAAGAGAATTCATTTAGTAATGAAATCGAATCTCCTAAAACTAAAAATAAACTTTCAATGTATCGTCAGATCAGAAGGGAAACTTTAATGACGAGAAGAGACGAGAACAATGACGACAACAATATTAACTTCGAAAATAACTTTAAAATGTTAAATCTTAATCAAAATCAAGCATATGCGAATCCGATAAATTTAAATGAAAAACAAAGTAGCACACTGGAAGCGGGTTTAGATAAATTAAAAACTCTTTCAGATGTTTCTTCATTAGCTGATGTTCAATATTAAATAATTTTTTATTGTTTTATTAGAATTCACTTTCCTTGCAACAAGTAGCTATTAAATTATGTCGTAAAAGCAAAAACCTAAAAGAATAAGCATAAATCCAAACAATGTTAAAAAGATATAGCGATAATAGGATATTAAAAACTTTCTTCCTTTTATCAAATTGGACAAAAATAACTAGAGAATGATACCGAAGATTTTATTTGGAAAATTTTTTATGTTAACTTTGTAATTATATTTATATATAGTTTCGTCTCTCTTATAGAAAGTTAGATTTAAGAAATTAACCGTTATATAGATGGCGCTGATTAATACATTTTCCGAATCGGGCATTAAACCTGGCCGCGCAAAAAACAAAAATGGCGCAGGCAAAGTTAACTGATTTTTTTGGTAGCCGTAAAAGAAAGGCTGATAAAGCTCTTAGTAATAAGGATAAAGTTTTAAGAACTGATACTGCACCGGTTCCTGCAAAGAGATTTCTGAAAGAGCGTAAAACAGCAAAAGCTTCGACGCCGAAAGTTGTGGACAAAAGCTCAAAGACTCTAATCAATGAAGCTCTAAGCGATTTTAAAAGTCGGAGAACTAAAATTTCTCCAGAAACCAAATCAATACCTTCAACTAACGCTAAAGCTCTGGCCACAAAGACACTTCGATTTACCACATCTAAATCAAACACTTCTTCAGATGAAGAAATTTCGGAAGCCGACAAAAGAGATATGGAAGAGAAAAAGAAAATTCGTGATGAAATCTTGGAATTCAGAACTCGTAAACCCAAAAATGAAATCTCTGATGGCAATAAAGAAATTAAAAACATCAAAAACGAAATTCTTAAATTTAGACTTGAGTCAAAGTCTATTAAGAAAGAAATTGAAGAAACAACCAAGGCTACGAAGGATATACGTAGTGAAATATCAAATTTAAGAAAAGGTAGAAGAATCCTAAGAATTTCGTCAGATGAAGAAGATAAGACGGAAATCAAAGTGTCTCAAAAGATCCCAAAGAAATCGCTGCCTTTGCCTCCTTCTTATCAAAAATTACTCGACACATTCATTCATGTGGATACTGTTTGCAAGTTGGCACACAGACGCAAGCAAAGAATGACGTTTGAACATTTGAAAACTGAAGTGGAGCGCTTTCAAAAGAAGAACTTCAGTAAAAAACAACTGTCGCAGATAAAATACATCTATCCTAAAGCATTCAATTACGTGCAAGAAAGAAAGGAAGGAAACGATATCAAATACGAACTTGTTATCGAACCATGTTTAGATTCTGGAGAATATTCCTTGGCTACTTTCATTTCACGCAAGGCGACTTTTGAAACGACTCTCATCGAAAAAGTTAAAGAAGAACATGAGAAATTTCTCAACTGCCTAACCTCTCCAATAAAAGTGAGAAAGGAAGAACTGACCAGATGGCATCCAAGTTTTGATATGACAAAGGTATGTTACATTTACGAAGGGCGTGTCCAATAAAAGTAACAAATTTTTTCTTCAAAGGTTCCAGATATTCCTGAATCTGCTCTTCCAGAGTCTCCAGATATCAGAAAGTTTACATCTGTGGAGGATGCCTTAAAGAGGCTTCAGCCTGAAGAGGACACCTCAAAAGTGCACGAACCATCTACTCCTGTGAAACAGAAGGAGTCAGAACCACCAAAAGTGAGCTCTAAGCTAAAGGGTGTTTCATCTTCTCTTCTTGAACGTATTCGTGCTAAAGAAGCGAAGAACATGGCAAAAAAACTAACACGAACCCCAGAGGAAGAAAAACGCTTACGAATGCTGGAACGTTTGTCAGATATTTCACGTATTGTTCGTCAGGTCTTCGTTGGTCACACTAGATTTGCAATCCCCCTTGAGAAACTTATTGAAAAAGTGAGGGACAGCATCAGAACAATGGGCATAACTGAAGCAAAGGAACATATACTATTTCTTGAAAGCGAGGTTCCTAATTTCCTTAAAATCATGAAAATTGATGAGAAATTATGGGCTAAATTAAATATGCAAGCAAACATGAATCTTATCAAAAAGCAGATTCAAGACAAAATTGATAAAGAAAGAAGTTAGAAAACTTTTAGCTATTTTATTATTTTTTTTATACATTTATATATTTTTAGTGTAACGAAGCGCTTAGTACCTTTTAAGACACATTTATAACCAATATAAACTTTGTTACTCTCTGGCGTATCGTTGTTTCTAAACGAACTTTAATACATTTTCTAAACAATTATAAAAAATGCTTGAAAAGCATAAATAAAGTTTTACTTACTGACTCGGCTCAGGTTTTAGCTATAACCTATGGAAATTAGCCAATAAGCGTTGTATCTAAGGTAATTCTTATAAAGTAAACCTTAGATACATGGACTTTTTATTATTGTTTTACAAAGTACAATCATAATGGAAGACATCGATGATGCTTTGTTATGGACAGAGCACGATGTGAACGATAAGACGGATAGTGATTTATGGCGTGAATATCATGTTAGTGGTAAAGAAATAGAATGGCAAACCCAAACAAGTCCATCCAATTATCGACCTCCTTCTGGGAATTCCGCAGACAGCGGAATGGGGGAGGAGGAAACCCAGGAACCAAAATCTCTCTTACCAGCAAATTGGCCGAAAATTGAAGATCTGGGAAAAAAGAAAAGTTGTATGATGAGCGAATGTGTACATCCTTGCGTTGCGAAAGCAACTTCACATTTGGAACTATTGCAGGTTTTTTATATTTCACAATACTAATCTCATCTGTTACGTAACATAACATAAATTAAACTTATAGACGCTCTTAGAAGATTGGCATTTAAGAGAAGAAACTGAGTCAAGTTTCGATGAGGAAACTGTTGACAAAACTACTATTCCTAGCAGATCAACAAAAAGAACTACAACTTCTTCCTCAATAAGTGATAAAACTGAAATGGTAACATCTTCCGGTACTACGACACAGTCAGAATTAAAAATTGAAGGAACTTCAGCATTACAAGGTAATTTTAAACATATAAAATCAAAAATCTACTAGTTGTGTTTATTTATTCAAGCCACGTATGTTTTTATATTCAATTTTTACATTTTAAAAGTTAGAATTGATGAAATTTTACAAATAATACTTTATTATATACAGTAACACCACCATCAACGGGGATAGAGGGTCCTGACATTATAACTGAAGTAACAAACCTTCTTGCCCGTTTGGAGTGTGATAGACAGTCAAATGAACTAAAACTCAAACAACAACGTAATATTGTCAGATGGTTGTTAGGTCAAATTGATATTTTGGCGGAAAAACGATTAGAAACTTTACCCATTGCCGTTCAAGAAGGTTTTTCTTTTAATAGTTAAGGTCCTTTGGATGTTTAATAGTTTTTATAAACAATTAACAGAGCACGAAGCGTGCACAATAGATATTGCTGAATTAAATTGGCATTGTACATATAGAAATCGAGCTAAGCAAAAAGTCCATCAAAGAGTTGAAGTCTCCATGAATTTAAATAAAGAATTTAAAAAAGATATATCTTTCATTGAAAAACACGTGTAAGTAGAATTTATAAAGTACAATAACATTGTTAATTCTATAACAAGCTACTTCATTACTGTCAATTAGGCCATTGATAGCAGACAAACTCGAATTAGAGTTAGAAGCTATGGAAAGAATAAGAAGAGCTCAAGTTGATGTAAGAAACAAACTTTAAGCCTAATTAACATATTAAATTTATACAAATGAACTTGTTCGTTGATTAGACCAACGAAGAGCTAGACAAAACACTTAAAAGATGCGCTGAAGTTCAAGCGAAATCCGATGATGCTCACAAAAAAGCTGAAGAAGAACGTAAGCATATGAAAGAAGACTTGGAAAATGTTAACAACGAACTAATAGCTATAACGTTAGATATTTCCTTATTATTTCTTTGATATATCTTTATATAGTAATATAAAAATGTCTACTTTAGGAAAGAGCTAGCAGAGGCGAAAATGACTTTCAATCAATATACACATAATTGTCATGACTATCGACAACATTTAAGAGAAAATTCTCAGGAACAGAGTATCTTAGAGGTAAAAGAGGAAAATGTAAGAACCTCTGAGGAGATGCTCTCAACAAAAATTGCACAATTGCAAAAAGAAATTGTTGATGAACAATTCAAACACAAGCATTTTGAAGATGAGGCTCTCTTCCAGAAGCAACAATTAGATAAAGTGGTTTGTAAAAATTTCACTTTTTTAACGCTTTTTCAGCGTTTTTATTCACTAATTATTCTTTTATTAATTAGGTATCATCGAACAAAGATAGGGAAAGGGAAATCCTATTAGAAGTCAGCTATAAGGAGTCACAATTGAAAAAACTCACAAGAATGCAAAATGATTTGATTCTAGAAGTAGAAGATTTAACTAAAAAGATTAAAGATTGTGTCAAACAAAAACAAATAGATGAAAAAACTTTATTAAGAGTTGATCAAGAGCAGGCGAGGGTTGAAGAAAGGATAATTGATGCCAGAGAAGATATGGAGAAGGTATCTTTACTTTAATTTGTTATTTTCTGTAGTATTATTTTTGAAACATAATTGATTAAGTTATCTTCTGATACTTCGAAGAAGGTACGTTTTATCACGATATCATCTGCAAAATAAATCATTACAGCAAACCGTCTTTCACACTTATTCAATTAGCAATTTTCATTTTCTATATCGTTGATTTAATCTTGAAATAGGTTCAAGTCATTCACGCGGCTATAAAAGATAAACTCCAATTGGAAGAGGAAAATGCAAGTCGGCTGGAAGATCAATTGAGGGTAATTTTTGTTTTTGAACCTAATTCAAGGAAATAATATTATTATTCTGAACAGTCAACTGCTGAACAATTATCTAAAGCTGTTAAGGAGGAAATCCATTCTAGAAATGTTCTTGAATCGAAAACAGCAGCCGAAGGAGTAGAATTAGAAAATGATAAAGTGGAGAAACAAGAAAAGAAATCTAAGGTGATTTGTTTGTTTGTTTGTTTTCTTTTTCAAATATTAATATTAAATACGTTTTAGACTAAAAAGAAGGTTTTACAAGTCAAGGAAGCAGTGCAAAAGATTGTTGAAAAAGTAGAAACTTTAAGAAAAGAATATCAAAAGCGTGTAGAGGTTTGTTGAATTCATCTCCATTAGACGGGGAAGGTTTATTTAATAAAAATATTCTAAGTCTCCTTTCATCACTTTACAATAGAGAGTCGCTAAATTAGAGAGTTCTCTTGAGGAATTAAGACAGCTATTAAAAACTGCTGAAGATAAGCATAAAAATCGACTGGATGAACTCGATCCATCTATTCAACGTCTAAAAAAGGAAACACTTGATCAAGAGAAGAGAATTGATCATATGGAATGGAAGAGCACAATGATTATAAAAAAATTCGAAGAATATGATAATGCTGAAAAAATGATGAATAAGTCATTAAAGAGAACTCTGACTTCTAACGAAAACTTAGAGTAAGAGCCTATTTATTCTTTCTGATCTTATACAACGAGAAAAAAATATCAAGGCGTTTTTTTTAAGCCTATATTTGACATATTAACTATGATAATTTCTATTCTAAGATTTATGTGTTAGATATTTCATTTAAAACAATAACAATAGGCCTATACTGGATGAATTATCCGTCGAAGAGGAATTTCGTAATTTGGAGGAATATCAACCGCATATTCTACTTAAGATTGAGTAACTATTAATCACAAACAGATAACCAAATATGGCAATATTATCAAAATTATATAATAATAATAATAAAAAAGAGAGAAAATTTACAATATCACAGAGAACTTTTTATATTTTTCACAATCCAACAAATATCACTAATTATTATAATTATCTAGGCCTATTTTAATGGGTTTATAATTGATATTTTACAGGGAAGAATTAACAGAGTTAAATAAAAAGATTGACGACGCAAAAGGAATGGAAGAATTAATGAATAACGATTTAAAAAGTATTTTAGGTCTATACATATATATTGTTTTAAGCTTCTCGAATAGTAAAAAGTAATGTTTATTTATAATAGACAGAGAATTCGAACAAGCCCACGAGCATAAAGTGAAAATGAAGAAACGACGAAGTGACCTTGATGTTTTATTCAAAGATATGGAATTAGCGAAAATACTTAATGCAAAATTAGCTTCGGAATATAGAACTTTACAGGTAGTTTTAATTTTAATTAGATCTAATATAAGACCATTTAAGATATACCTGAAAAAACTTCTAACAGAACAAGCACTTACACTCAAAAAACAAGTTGATGAACGTATATGATAAAAGAACGGAAAGGGAGAATATTCTAAAAGATCTTCAACAATTAGGAAAATTACAGAAGAGAATGAGACTGTCTTTAGAACGTTATTACAAATTACGGGGTCGTTATAACGAAGATACACTTAGAGATATTGATGAAAAATCCAAAAAAAATGCAGTAAGAGTAGGACAATTACAAGATGATATTGGTGGTGTATTACTGCAAATGGAGGCATTCGTAAAGGTTTGATAGAACACAAAAGTTTTTAACGCTGACAAATTAGTTATATTTTTGTAGAGTTTGATAATTTTTCTTAACAGAATGACGTTTTACCAGTTGTTTTTCGACAACGTGTTGCAGTTGCCGATAATTAATACGCTGTGTGTGTGTGTTTTTTTTACTTAATCTACCTGGTAAAAAATTTTTGCTGTGTCTTTTTATTATTATTTATAATTATATCTAATTATTATGTAGAGTTGGGGAGGGAATGAGGGAATTCTAGAGTAAATATAGATTGTCTAAATCTAAAGGCTAATCATTTAGAGTAGGTTTATTTCTATTTTAATGTGTAATCTGAGCTTTATTAATATTGCTATTATCGTTAAGACAAGTTTTATAATCGTATTGCATTTTTTAGCAGTGTTAGCGAATGTACCTAGGTATCATTTTATGATTATCCAAATAATATTTAACCATTATTCCAGGGACAGGTAGATGGTAATCTTGTTCGTGAATTAGCTATGAAAAAGGCAGCTAGGATGGAAAGAGGAGAAGAAAGTGAACCACCAGGTATTCTTCCAGGTCTGGAAATTCAATCCCGTCCCACAACAACATCGAGTTCTATTAAAGGTTATACAAAATTGGTTGCAATGAAATAAAATCCAAAAAAGAATATGTTATATCTTTTAATATCTGTTGAAATCGTACACCTATTTTTTACTAATTTTTCAGGCATAAATATGTAAAAATAACAAAAGTAGGTTTCTCAAATTACAATAAACACATAGCCAATGAATAAATGTAACAGTCCAACATATTAACTTAAGTGTATATCTTCTATTGAAAACAGTTTCAGCTTTTCTGCATTCACTTTGAAACATCTCACACGAGTTAAAAAAGAATATGTACACTACATACTATATACAAAAAAAAGAGCAGTTTAATTTCTATTTCTTCGTATATTTGACGGCTTGCTGAAATTTAGTCATTTCTTGTCCACTTTTACCGCAAGTGCCAATACCAACTCTACCTGATGTTGAATCTGGAGAAGCAAATATACTCTTCTTAACCAGACCTCTTCTAGTTTTCGCAAATGCTTTGCTATTAAAAGATTCCCATTTTCGCTTATCCACTTCTCTTTCTTCTTCAAGTTCTCTCATTCTAAGTTTCTTTTTTTCAGCTTTCTTTTTACGATATTCTCTTTCAGTGGCGAGCTTATCTCGTCTTTGCTTAGACTTCTTTGCCAATGCAGCAGCAGCTTTTTCGTCATATTGTCGCAGTTGAGCGATCTGAATTTATGAGAAAACATATTAGATTCTAAAAGCGTAGCACATTAATAAATGACTTATTTTTAGAACACAAGATTGTATAAGTGAATGCATTCTTACCAAAACATAAGACGGGTCTAGCAAAATGCACCAGCCTCATAATCTTCGAACCTATAAACACAACTTACAACTGAACCCGATCCTTATATATTATTATTTACGATATTTCTTTTAAATTTAACCTACAGGAATTTCAAAGAATTTCACACTTTGCTAATATCAGAACAGATAGGAGAAAATTAATACCAACCCTGTTAACATCTTTGTTCCGATAGACATCAAACGTCACTTCAACTGTTCCATCAACCAAAATTGAGTCGATTGTAGCACCATAATACCTATAAATAAATTATTAGCTTTTATTTGCAAAAGTAAATTTAACTTACCTGTTGTCCTGTGACCATATGGCCATGCATTTGTCGCCTACTCTCCATGATTTTGGATCAATAGATACTAGACCCTCGAAGGATTCAATAGCTTCCTCCTTCTCTTCCGATTTCTCTTCAGTAGCTAAATCTTGAGTGAGATTGATAATTTCCTAATTGAGAGTTCGAGTTAATATTTCCAATTCCAAAAGAAAAAATTGATTTATTACTTACCAATATGTCTTGCTTTAATTTGAGAAGGTCGTCGTTCGTTGGATCTTGAGTTAAAGCAGCTTCAACCTAAACATCGAATAAAAAGAACGTTCAGAAAAGTAAACAATCCATTCATTTGATAACCACGAGGCCTAAAATAGTTCCCCTCCCACAAATCCTAAACCTTATCATTCCAAAGCCCAACAATTAGCATAAGAAAACAGCTAACCTGCTCTAATTGAACTTTATAATTCTCAATATCGTTTGACGCCATCTTGAATATTCTCGACTTTCCAGTTCTAATTAATGCGGTTCCGTTAACGCCAGTAATAATATTAACTTTAAAATAATTGAAACATCTAATAAAATATATATTTTCGAGCAAGACGTTTGATATATTACTTTTGAAAAAATGAATAGGGAACGGAACAGGGTTCCTGACAGTTTGGTTAGCATGTCCAATCAGCAGCTTCTAGGTTTTTGGTGCATCGCTCACTTACTTTCTGTTCGTTTTTATCTTATAATGTACTAATTTTTTTTCATACAATCTTATTTGACGGAGATTTGTTAAAGAACGATATGTGGTGAATCTACTTTAACGAAAACTGGTTCGTTATTAGTCTTAATAAATTAGTCAATTGTTTGTTTACATAATTTGATATATCTTTGTATTTATCAGCAGTCTTTCTTTGTTCTATTTGGTCTAATTTTGTTATTTTTTGATAAGAAGTTTTTTAACAATCGTTACATAAACAATATAACATTATAACACGATTTAAAATCATGTCTCGTTTAATCATTACTCTTAAATATTAGCTCATAATTTGTCTTTATCGTTACAGATGATCTAAGAAATTACGATTTTTCTTTGAATATGGCGGAGAGCAGCAAGGCTGAAGGCGACAAAAAACAATTTAAGACTTTAGATCGTCGAAATGGATCTAAACGGATTTCATTAAGGCATTTCTTAAATAGGACTCCTTTTCGACCAAATCGTTCATACTCTGCAGAAGAAACACACTCTATAACAGAAAAGTCTGTACCTCTACGACAAGAACCTACGGCAACGACAGTGCCGAAATCTATCAAATCCTCAAAACTATTGGAATGTCCTTTGTGTCTTAATTTTCTACCAAAAGACTCTTTTCCGGAAGTATTTACATGCGATCACCGATCCTGTGTTGAATGCTTGCGTCAATATTTGCGGATTGAAATATCTGAAAGCCGAGTGAACATAGCTTGTCCAGAATGTAGCGAAAAATTTCATCCAAATGATATTAGAGACATTTTGAGTGATAAAAAACTATACGACAAATATGAGGACCGTATGCTGAGGAGAGTGTTGGTTTCCGATGCGGATACAAGATGGTGTCCAGCGCCGGATTGTGGTTTTGCTGTTATAGCGGCTGGTTGCGCAAGCTGTCCTAAAATTAGATGTGAACGGCCTGGTTGTGGAACCTCGTTTTGTTATCATTGTAAGAGTTTTTGGCATCCGAATCAGACTTGCGATTCAGCTCGAGCAGAACGAAACAGACCTTTTAACAGGCATGAATCTAGGTGGGTTTTAAAGGACGATGTAAAATGTTGCCCAAAGTGTCAGGCATTGATTATAAAAATGGAAGATGGAAGCTGTAATCACATGACTTGTTCTGTTTGTGGCGCTGAATTTTGTTGGTTGTGTATGAAAGAAATATCTGATTTACATTACTTATCGCCATCTGGCTGTACATTTTGGGGTAAAAAGCCCTGGAGTAGGAAAAAGAAAATTTTATGGCAATTGGGAACTTTGGTGGGTGCACCGGTTGGAATAGGTCTTATTGCTGGATTAGCAGTTCCTGCGATGTTGATAGGTTTGTTATTTTTCTTTCATTTTCTTAGCTATGTAATTAAATTGAATAAAAATGTAGGAATACCTGTTTGGGTTGGTCGTAAAGTACACAATAAGTACTCAAACTTACCGAAAGGACGAAAGAATGCTCTCGTGACAGCAAGTGTCGCTGCATCCGTATTAGTCAGCCCTGTGTTGGCCGGATTAGCCGTCGGTATAGGAGTTCCAATACTTTTAGCATACGTTTACGGTGTTGTTCCAGTAAGTTTGTGCCGATCAGGCGGTTGTGGTTTGACCACAACTGATAATGGAGGGGTACGAATAGATCTAAGAGACGAGGAGGCAGCAGCGGGAGCCACTCACTCTGAAAAAGTAAATCCAGATAAGAAATCCATAGGACCATCAATTGGTGAGATGAGTTTAGGTTTAAATGGTTCGTTGAGTGTTAGCGGCAGTCAAATGGAAAAAATTGGTGTAAGAATTGATGAAAGTGACAGAGAGAGTGCGTCTCATAAAGCAGTTGCTGGTGGTTCTATAACAGGAAGTGTTTCAGCATCCACCACAAATAAATTGGAAGTTCAGGCAGACATTTCTATTGTTACACCATCAAACCAAACAAGGGCAAAGAGAGCATCTCTGAGCAGTGAATCGAATAAATCGACGATGGACCACGAAGCAAGTTCAACCAAGGGGCTAGCAGGTTCTTTGTATAGCACAGAAATGGAGCGTCGGTCTTCACCTATTTCTCACAGAAGCGCAAGCCTCGACGAGACAACGAAAGTAGGAAAAAGGAAAGTAGGCTCGGATGGTGATCGTGTAAGCGTAAATTCGTGGGACGAGGACAATCTAAAGCGTAACAAGAGAAGATCGCCAAGTGACGATTCGTGCGTCTTGCCCGAAGTGGAACCTTCAATTGTTGTTCGTCGCGTTACCTTGATCGAAGAAGAGTCATCTTCGCGGCAAAGCTCCGCTTCATCTCGTTTATAATAATAATAATATTCGACTATCGAAATGGGACCACTAAAAAAATATATACGATAATAGAATTGGCTAAAAAAATCTTTTTTTTGATTCGCTGACTTGTTTATTTTCCAACTGCTTTCGGTGTGTTAAGATGAAAATTGTTTTATTAAATACAACTGTAGAAAAAGTGAAAATTATATAATTTTATCCGACATTTTTTAACGTTATTATTTGTTATATTAAAAGATAAATAATAATGATAATAATTATGATAATAAAGGTCTATTTATTTTTAAATATGTTTACTGGTCTATATTTAATGAGTAAATGGTGAACGACCGCCTTTTAGAAAAGACGATAATAATAATAAATATGACAGAGTTCCTTAATACATTCCGTCTGTAGAGCGGTGTATTTATAGATATATATTAGACTTCTATTTGGATACATGTTTTGTTTTTTTGGTCAAAAACCACGCCTGTATTACATAAAAAAACAAGTTGGGCTGACACCTGGCACTGATGAATAATATCTTGCTTTAAAGCATTCAATTTCGTAAGCTCCTTTCTGAGAAATTTTTGAGAAATTTGAGCTTTTTTGTCAAAACCGAAGACTTTCGTTTTTGATCTATTAATTTTAAAAATAATCCTTATAAAGTATATTCAATACATACTGGCTTATTGCATATATATTATATTATAAATCACATAGTAATATATAAAGTTCTGTAATAAAAAAAGGGAAATAACTCTTTAATAATCATTCTTTTTTAAATTCTATTTTTGTTTCTATATAGTTATTCAACTCGATAATTTCTTTTATTATATAAATGAAAAATTAGAATAAAAGGTTATTGTTAAAATTTGATAAACAACATAATTAAATGTACAGAGTTTTTTTATTGATCATTTAGGCTTGTTTTTATTTTCTATTTCTCTCTCTCCCTCTCTCTCTCTCTCTCTTCTCTTCCTCTTTATACATTCAGCTATCTCTAACCCTATCCTTATATCCGCTTATTTATATCTCTATCTTTAGATCACATCTCTATGATTTCAATTTGCATTTATAAACACTATTATTTATAAACAGCGAAAAGGGAAAGTCTGGCAAACAAGTAAATTATATGTTCTTAGTAATCAGTTTTTATTTATAGGCCTACGACTATTAACGAGATTTGACGAGAATGAATGAAAAGTTATGTTAACACTATAAAGTAATAATTTTATGATAAACATTGGATAAATTAATTGTGAATTGCTTTATTAATGAATGATGCAGAATTGTTAAATGTTCAGAATGTCTTGCTAACATATTTACTTGCTAACGTAATGGTGTTTAGCTATTATAATAGTAGAAAGCCAATCTAGCATAGAATATCGTCCCTTGATCTTAACTGTTTCCTGCATTTAGTGGTACCGGCTAGTCTTTTCCATACAAATATTACAATCAACAACATTACAATTTATCCTGTAATATTTATGACGAAATCAATCTGCTCATTCAACAGAATCAAGCTACAAGATTTAAATACTGCTATTAACAAAACTAGAAATTTGTCATATCTGAAAGAAAACTTAAAATCATTGGCATTTAGAAGTATTGTCCCTAAACCACGTGTTTCTGAAGAAATAATAACACAAAAGAAGAGGAATAAACCAAACTTTTTATTAAGAAGTGATTCTCATATAGTTCAACCTATAACTGACAAAAACTTTTTATTCCCTTTATTGAATCGATTTCAGAACATCTTAAAAGATCTTTACATTACAATGGAAGACATAAAACCTCCATCTCGAGTGAAAGGTATGAAGATATTGCAAAAAGGGGAATTCGATACAACATATCTAGTACCTGCAGTGAAAATAGAAAATGAGCGTATTAAAAAGTTTTTACAGGAAAATAAAAAATATATGTTAAAGCAGAGGGCCGTTAAACCAATTATAGACTTGGAAAATGGAGAGAAGCTAATACTTCTCAACCCGTCTAGTAAAGAATATCTACAAGATTTACAACTAGAATATCATAATTTAGAATTACATTATGAGAATTTTAATCATCTTGACATCTTTCAAGCAATTTTACCGGATCATCTAGACAGAGTGTCATCATACAGTTCAATTGGCCATATCCTCCATTTAAATCTTAATGAGGACACCTCAGAGTACAAACATTTAATAGGTTATTATTAATTATATTACGTAAACAAAATACTATTGTTTGCCATCTACAGGTCAAGTTCTTCTGGATAAAATCCCTTATGCTAAAACTGTTGTCAATAAACAAAATGTTATAAACAATACATATAGATTTTTTGAAATGGAAATTTTAGCTGGAGAGGAGAATTTTATTACAAAAACGAAAGAACACGGTTGTATTTATGAATTAGATTTTAGTAAAGTTTACTGGAACCCTAGACTAAGTAAGTATACACTAACACACACACACACATATATATATATGGTATTATAAACTGCTTTTACTTTCCAGGTACTGAACATCAAAGGCTAGTTAGTGAGCTTTCCCCAACAGATATCCTTTATGATGTATTTGCTGGTATTGGGCCGTTTGCTATTCCTGCAGCCAAAAAAGGATGTACAGTTTTAGCTAACGATTTAAATCCGGAATCATATCGTTGGTTGGAGAATAACGTAAAAATTAACAAGACAAAGATTTCAACGTATAATTTGGATGGAAGGGATTTTATTAAAACAGCTTTAAAATCACATTTGATCGATATTTGGAAAACTAACAACAAGACCAATATACATGTTGCAATGAATCTGCCTGCATTGGCTATTGAGTTTCTAGATGAATTCGTTGGTTTATTCTCCGATTATAGCACGACATTGCCTGTTGGAGAAATGCCAGTTATACATGTTTATGGATTTGGGATCACAGAACAAGATGTTTTGACATCGGTGATATCTAAGCTTCCTGGCTTACAATTGGATGATCTTCAATTAAGAACTGTTAGAAACGTTGCACCTAACAAGAATATGTTTTTAATTAAGTTTAAACTCTTAAAGAGTATTCTTTTTAGAAGCGATTTCGAAGAACCACCAACTAAAAAAAAGCTCTGCTCCAATTAAACTACGCATTCTTTTCTCTCTCTCTCTTATTTTTAATTAAACAAAAATGATTAGTAAAAGAGAAAGAGGAGATTTAAAATAAAATAAAGATGTTTGTTGAAATTGTTAACTGCTAAGATCTTATTTTTCATATTATTCATTGAAGAAAAACACGAAACTTCTTCAAAATAACCGTTAATTAGATGAAAAAGAGGAATATATAATATACATAATTACATTTTCTGCGAAAATCATCAGAAATGATAAAAATTATAATGATCAAACGAATTTATGATGTAAAATACTGCAATATCATAATGTTACTGACATACTGACAAGAGTAATTTAACAGAAATGTTCATCATTTTTTTGTTCTTAAGGAAAGAAAGAAAGAAAGAAATAATCGTCTAACTCTCTTTCTCCCTACGTAATTCATCGTTAGACAACGGCCTTAGATTTTCCGTAGCATTTCCATCCGACGATAATGGTACCAACTGTATTTGTATACTTTGTTTAGCTGTTATGGATTCTTTAATTCTAGCAAATTCTTTCGTTGAGTTCGTTATCCTTTTAAAAATATCACTTAATTTCTAAAAGAAACAACAATAGTAATTGTACTGTATTAATTAATCAATTAGCTTAAATTTACAGGATATTTACCTCTTCTTCCGAAGAATTTATAAATATTTTTGCTGATTTATCCCTTTTAATAACCTCTTCAATTTTTTTCATTTTGACTTCAAAATCTCTATCGTCAATCTTTCCTTTTATGGTAAACATTTTAAATTCTCTCTTCTTCTTTTTAAGTCTTTGCTCTTCCTCCCCTAATTCTTTTAGTGTCATCAATTTATAAATTGGATATTGATCTTCAATTTCTTTTGATAAAATTAATTTTAAATTATTTGATTTGGCTTTCTTGCTCGCTTCGTGATAAGTTAAAACGCCTAGACATTTTTCGCCCATAAATACTTTAACTTTAGAATCCATTGGAGGTAAAACAGTCTTTTTTATAATTGGCTTAGTTTTTGAAGTATTCTTAACTAATATCGGAGATGTATGGTAATTTATAGAGTTTAACCTTGTTAATTTGAAATTAGGAAAGATTAACTTGTAACGAGTGGAGAAATGTCGAATTGTACTCATTGTCATTAAAAATTATTTGAAAAAGTCTTAAAATTTCTGTAAGAATCGTTAAATATTTTAACTTGTATTCTTTGGCCAAGGTTTTAAGTGATTTCTTCAACGCACACGTTGCTCGAAGCAGAGTATAGATGTCGTCTGCTAATTTAGTTACTTATGAAGATATATAGCCTGCAAGTGTAATATTACTTTTCGATATATTTTGTTTATTGAATAAAACGAGTTGGTCAGAGTGATATCAGGTAATATACCTGTACAGTATATTTGTCAAGTAGCTGTCTCAAACTAGAGTTACAACGATACCAATATCCCTTTATAAACTGGTCCCCGGGCTGCCCATATTATCATTCTAAGAGTAAAAGGTAAAGATATACTAAGACTATCAAGCTGGAAGATTTCCTTTCAGATACTGTATTATTAAGTATATGAAGATGGGTAAAAATGGGGACAAAGTCAGTCTTGCATCAAAATATTGTTTTTGTCAGTTTTTTTATTCGTCGATGGCATTATAAAACTTAAATAATTAAGGTTTTTAAAGTCTAATTACTATTTACAAGAATAACAGAGTAGTAATCATATAATAAAGCTGTTTTAATATATTTAATTATTAGGAATATAGGGCAAAGTTATTACAACGTAAAGATAAGATTAATTGATACTTAAGTCAATCATCAGTTTGTTTTTCTCTCTCTCCGTCTCGCCCTTCTCTTCTTAATTAATAAGACAAATGAACACACTGAGTTTAAATCTCATCTGTTATTTTTTATTAAACATCTAAATAAAATGGAGCTTATTTGGCTCTTAAATTAAATAATCTAGATTGACCATAGAAAAGGTTTAACTAAGTTCATTATTAATATATATATATATATATATATATACAGTATATGAATACTGTAAAAATGGTTAAAAATTCCTTTTTAGCATTGGAAATATTTTGGTTACCGGGCATTAAATTTAGATGAAAATATTTTAGCTATGCGCTTAGTTTGTTCAGCGGTTGGAAGAGTTTTTAATGAGAATGATGGCATTGTTTTCTTTTCGTCAGGTTTTGAGGATAATGAGATGGTAGTCTTAAAGGGAAAGAAAAGAAATAATTAAATAAATTTTCCAAGATAGTTGGTATCGTTATTTAATTATAAATACCTTTAATCGATCTGATGGCATAGTTGCTAATAAATTTAGATTTCTTTCCTTTGGTATATCATCCAATTCGAAGGAATTATCTTGTGAATTTTGATCTTCAATTTGAGAATTTACTTCTTCATTATCTTTGCGGATAGAAGACACAGATGACCTAACTTCTAATTGCTCTTCTAGTTCGTCTAGTTCTTCCGGAATGTTGACGTCGTCGGGTATTTCTTCAGGTTTATAAGGATTATCAGTATTATCTTCTACCGGATGTATTTCGTTTTGATCTGATTCACTCGAGTCTAATTTTTCAGCTTCTGAGATTTCTATTTCGACCTCATCCTCGTCGCTACTCCAAACTAAACCTGCTGCCTCTATTCTGTCTCGAACTCTCTCCCTGTCGGTTTTTAACGAAACTTCATTCGTTTGAAGTTCTGTAGATTGAATTTCTGAGCTATTTATAACTTGGAAATTTTCGGCTTCAACCGATTTTTTTACGGTTGAATCTTCTTTATCAGACAGGCCCGGAAGACTCACGTCGAGCATAGTGGAAGACGAAGACTTTCTAGATGTTTCCTCTTTTTCTTCATCATCTAAAGCCTTGTTGGGGAGGAGCTTCTTCTCTTGATCACTCTCTATAATAGTAATCGGCGAAGAAGATGTCTTTTGACTGTTATCTTCCTCTGTTCGGTTTTCATTTATATTTTCACTAGCTATTTCTTTGCTCTCTACAACTTCAACTATCTCTTCCCTTAAAACCGCCATAGTATTCATACCAACTTCCCAATTACTAAAATCGACATCTGAAACATTGTTTAATGATTTCGGCAACAAAATAAGTGAATTGCTTTGTAACTCTTCCTCCAAGTCTAAATCTCCATTCAGTTCCATATCGGTGTTAAGCATATCCTGACTTTTCGAATGATGGGCGGAAGATATCCAGGAGATTTCCCTTGAATTTTCTTCCGTATAAGCAGCAGCATATGCATTAGCTTCTTCGCCATCTTTTTCTTCTTCTTCGGCATTTATTGTATCATTTAATTCCTCTTCCTTATCACTTACAAGCGTACTACTATTATTATTGCTATTATATATCCTATCTTCAGAGATGCCTATATGTTGTTGTGTTAAAGTTTGATTATACCTTCTTGGTAGAAAATCGGTTAGGGAAGAATCAGGCGATTTTGAGGTATTTTCTGATGAGTTTAACAAAGCCCTAGCTCTTTCTAAAATGGGAAGAAACTCTTCGTCTGTCGATCTATTTTCGCTGGGAGACTTATACCTATCACTTTCTATCCGGGGAGGAGAGAAGTTTAATTTTTCTTTGAGCTTTCCAGTAATATTATCTAATTCACTCATATTCGACTTAAGCTCTTTCATCAAATCTGATCTACTTGGAGAAGATGGCTGAATGTCATATTTCGCTGTGCGAACTTGCTGATGCCAATGACGTAAAGCAGAGAATACATCGGAAGATGACTTTGACATTGATTTAACTTCAATTTCAAAATTTGGTGATAGAGGACGAATAGGAGCTGGAGTTGTTGATCCAAGTTGAACCTGAAATTTTCAATATAATATATACCCTTTAATTCCTCTCATTGTATCTAATAGAAAACAAACGATAAACCAACCTTATCAATATTGGAACTTCGAATAAGAACCGGTGCCACGCAAATCTATCGATAATTATTTATAAAATATACTGTATAACGTTGTACATCTATACAAAATGTAAACTTACAAATATCTGACCCTGGCATTTACCAACAAAATCCATTATATTATAATAACCACTTATTTGCTGTAGTCCGGCTTTTAATGGCTTTAAGTCAACAGTAACATAACCTAAAACCTTATCCGTGCTTATCTCAGGTAATAAATCACTCTTTCTGGCGTGCCAAACTTTAAATATAAGATCCTTTTCTTTAGAATGAAGCAAATACTTGTATAAAAGAGTATCAGCTTCATAATTCCAAATAGGATTTGATGATGTTTGAGCAGCAGTGCAGAGAGGATCATCTTTTTCGGCACTTTGAAAAGTTACATAAGCGGACGGAGCTATTTTATCTTTGCTGTAACAAAAAAACAAAGATATTTTTATAGCGATAAAGGTAAATATAACTTACGTATTGGGACAATCGACTAGAGGTAGGTGGAAGGCCCTTTCTATGCAGATTCTCGTTAAAAAACAATCATCTGGAACGTCATCCACCGTTCTTATATTTGAATAATCTCCTACTTTGTCAGTAATACTGGAATGCATGTCTAACGATACATGAATACAGGCTCCTCCCATATTCGAACATGCCGGTTTGAATAATGGATAAACACCACTAATTTTTCTCGACTTTTTCGTTGGTAGCAAATCTATGTAAGCCGAACCGATAAGTTTGTCTTTCTGAACTGGGCGTTCTTTCGTGCTTCTTGGCTCTTTCGTAGACCAAACTTGAACCTCCAGTTGTTCTTCTCTCAAATACCAATTAAGAGATCTTGAAGACTCAACCTTAAATTCTTTGTGAAGGTTTGCATCGACTGTTGCGTAACCATATGAGTTTACTTGGACTTTCCATAGATGAGAAAAAAAGGGTGGATTATTGAAAAATCTTAATTTAATATAGACGTGAAGCTTTTGTTCTGATTCTTCCTTATTGATAGGAAATGTCAAGTGATTCACCTTGAATGAAAATGAACATTCTTGACCAGTAAAATCTTCTTCAAAGTCGTGTTCGACTTGTTCAATTTCATTATCAGGTTCCCAGCCGTTTACACGGCCAATATCTACAATTCGCCTCCAATCATCTATACCTCTAGATAGTTTCATTCCAACTTCTAATCCTCCAACGACATTCTCCAACCCGTACTCGGGCGATAGATACTCTTGAAGAGATTTATCATTCTGTTGAACAGCCTCCGCAGTTTGTAGAGGGAACCACGATCTTATTCCAGATGGCTTGGTTAAAAGATGACGTAAAGGCACTAAACATATGGCAATAAGCGAGTCGGGTGAAGTAGAATAAGTTCGACGGCTCCTCGAATCCATTAATCCTTCATTGGCTTGATGCCAAAGTTCCAATATAAGATACTCCCTCTCAAAGTCCTCTGCTAAAGTCCTTGTGTCATCTCCTTCAAACCAAAGAAGGGGTAATGGAAAATCGAAATGACATGAGAAATTGCCCGCTAAAGTTCTAGCTATAGTTTGAGTTATTCTTTCTTCATCTTTTGTCAGCATTGATAAATTGACTCTTAAATAAGGATTCAAGCCTATATCAGGCGTAAAAGAAAGGGACGGTTCACTTTTCGAAGCATTGACAGCAGCCGCGCGTAAGCCACATATTTTTTGAATATTAACCGACAGTCGAATAGTGTTCTGATCGCATTCTTTATCTTTTAATAAACGCGACACTTTAGATTGATAATTGACGGAAATTTCTAGGAAACCGGACGGCTCTGAATGAGGAATATCTGCTTCAGGATCATGATCTCTAGCATGTTCGGGAAGGATATTTGAAAGAGGTAGATGAAACGTTTGCTCACTAGGTTCACCATATCTATGCATTGTGGCCAGCGCACATAATTTAGCCACAGGAAGTTGAGTCTAAAATCAATGAAACAAAAAACATTTATTTGAAGTAGTTTTATAGATTTAAAATCCTACCTTGGCAACAACTTGATCCCTGACATTTGGATGATAAAATCGACACCATATCTCGAAGGATATACCTCCAGCACCACCACCAGCTCCAGCGCAAGCACCAACTATTTCCCTTTGAATTGCGGAACTTTCTGCCAGCGTAAGTTTATGTCTCAACTTATCACCGAATTTTGGATCCGGTATGCAAAGTGTTGTTGCAGTTCTATAAGCTTTTAAAACAGGAGCCGGTTGAACATTAGGATTCGTTCTTTCCCTAATTTGTGTAGGGAAATGATATTGAACAAAACAATCCGCCTCTCCCCATAAAAGACTATCAAAATTTGCCAAAGACTTGATAGATTCAATATTTACTTCAAAGATATGATCAACTATATCAAATAAAGAGAAAAATATCTCGAATTTACAAACAATAGATAAACTTTGTTTACAAAAGAATACAAACTGAATTTTTCGTTTTCTTGCTGATTTACTGAATTTGGTTCAACTCTACAATAAAAGAAAAAGAATAAAAACAAATAACGAAACGTGTTTAGTTGTTTAAGAATTCAATTAAAAATGTTCTCTTTCGTATCTATTTTTCATACTTCTTACAATTATCATTCATATTCATATACGCATTAGCGTTTCTATTATTATCTAATTTTGTAGATGATAAGACGGGTAAGCCTATAACTGCTCTTGATGGTAGTAGATCAAAAATTGAAAGTGATTTTGGCGATCTCTCTTCTCTATAATTATTCTTACTTTTAGAAGTTTTCTTATTTTTACTAAATATTAGACGCCAATCGTCTCTTGTAGCTGTTGTATTTTTTATAACCTTTTCCTTAATTTTATTACTTTTCCCAAATTCGTCAACGCTTCTTCCGGATATGATAAATTCAAATTTTTTTCTTCTATTTACACGAACATCTTCACCAGATTCATCTTCGGTGTCAAATGAATGGGAATGCGAAAAGAAATCCTCTTCCCTCTCTTTATATTTACATTTACAATCGGCCCTAAACTCTTTTTTCCCAGAGTTCTTTTTTGATTTTCTACTATATTTTTCATAGTTCAATTGGATTTTTTGAGGTGAATCCTTCGATTTCGATTGTAATGAAATCTTTTGAGGTGGATCATAAAGAATATCAACACCTTTAAATGACTTTTGACAATTATCAATAGTTTTCATTGTTCCATTGACAAAAGAGAATTTTTCACCAGTTCTCTCATTTATAAAAATATCATTATCATTTATACTAAAATCTTTAAGATTTATTCCTTTCGATTGCATTCTTTCAGAACGTTTTAAACTCATTAAATCATTATTTCTTAATATTGGCATTCCTTCGGAAGTATTGGAAGAATCCTGACTACTACTTTTTAAAATATCTGAACTAATTTTAAATTTATGTAAAGGTAAAGACTTCTTTTGATTATTATCATATCTTCCTTCTCCATCTTCGTTATCATTCGCCAATAATTTTTTATTACTACCAGCTGAACAATTTCTATTTTTAATTTTCTTAGAATATTTTCCTATAGATTTTTTTTTAATAAAAAAATGTTTCTTTCCTTTTCCGAACGAATCTCGTTTAAAAACTAATTGGCTATGTGCACCATCAAATAGATTACTTTTACTATATTCTTTCGTTACAGCTAATTTGTATCTATTTATAGATAGATAGATAGATAGATAGATAGATAGATATGAGAATTGCTTTACAACAAGGAAAAGAGAGAAAACTAAAAAAATAGCAAACCTTTCGTTATTCGTTTTAGTTTTTTGTATTTCAGTAGGTTTTGAATAATTTTGTGACCTTGATCTTTGAAATCTAAATATCTATAAGAAATTGTTTGTTAAAGATACGTATATAATATGAATATATATAAAAATAGCTATTACTTGATCTTGAGTTCCAATTGCCAATACTACTTTGAGAGAACCATATTGTTTATGAGATATTGGATGAATGATTGGTAATACACCATCGATAGCAATAACAGGATACTGTAAAAGTTTTAAAAACAAACAAACAAACTTATTCGATGAAATCTTTTAGAAAAGGAAATAATCACCTCTGATTGAATTAAAGATTCAGCAATTGCTCTATCCTTGTACGAGATATAAAATTGATGAACAGACAACTTTACAAGACCAATTAGCTGTCACATATATATTTATAATAATATATTAAATATGTAGACAGAACTACCTGATTTTCTTCCGAATTAACAGACTTGTTCCATACTTCGATTATCGCCCAATTATTTTTAAATCGTTCTACCATCGTTTGATCAAATATAACTGGTGTAACCTACATTAGATAATATACACAACAATCATATTCAAAGTGTATATTTTAATAATATTTAACAAAATACCTGAACAAAATGATACTCTGGATCAAATGTTCCCCAGCATGTACAAGATGAATAAACTTCATCACTCCAAAACATCCGACAAGATAGAAAAGAATTTCTAAAACTTTGATCTTGCATTGTAACAGCCGATTCGGTTGATGAACTTTTCATAGTTGATATACCTTGAAACGATATACCAGTTCCTTGAGGTATCATTATCATAGTTTGCAGAGTGATAGGCTAAATTATATAATAAAAATATATTATGTAATATTAAAAAACAAATAAATCAAAGTTCTTACCGAATAAGGAGTCGAATTATTATTTATAGATCGATTCTCAGGTTCTTGCCGAACGACCTCAATAGCTGTGAATAAATAAATCTAGTATATATAAAATATAATATAAAAAATTAGTTATAAATAACAAACGTTTAATAGATTTCAGAGTACTTTCAGGAGTAGTTAGCATCTTTAAAGTTTTCGAATCGCTTACATCAGCAACTTTTGCTTTTTGAATTTGTTCTTGAAATTTTTCATTTTCATTTCCAGCTAATTCAAGAGTTACTTTTAATTTTCCAATTATTGGACAATTAGCTTCATTTCCGGTATCTGAACTAATATCGCCGTCTCTTGCTCTATCGCTAAAAAGAAAATAATTATTAATAAAACATAATAAATATATCTTCTCTATTCTTCTCGCTAATTAGACTAACAAATAATAAGAATTTGTGAAATCATACCGAACGTCTAATCCTTCGCTGATAAATAGTTCAGGTGACATAATAACATTCTTCAGATATAAAATACTTGTACCAATTAGTTTCGGCTGTTAAGAAAATGGATTGTTTTAAGAAATATATAGCTATTTAAAATAAAAAAAAACAAACAATTCTATTTCCGGGAGTTTTAGAGAAAACTTTATAAACAATTTTGGATTTAATCCATTTTTCAATACCAGATCCATCAAAAACGACTGGAAAGGCCGTCTTATGTCCAAAATTTATATCTAAAACAAGATTTTATAATGATATTCTCAGATTATAAAAATAGTTCAAAATATCAAACCTCCATCAACGATCTTCTTCGATGCAAATCGAACAATTTCAGTTCCCATTGAAGATTTTCTAGACCGCGTATCGGTTACGGAACAAGGAAAATGATATTCAATAAAATAAGTAGATGATTTGGTCCCAGAACCAGGTCTTGGAGGCTTTCCTTTCAGATCTTTGGCTTTCTTCTTTTTTTTTGTACTTTCTAAGGATTTAAGAGATAGCTTACTAACGTTTATTCGAGCTACTGAAACTTTTCCCAACAATGCAACTCTATCTATAGTTAACGCTTTCGAGGTATCTAATTTCTTCTTTCCCAATTTACGTCGTCTTGTCTCACTATCGGATGCGCATCTTTTCTCGGATGAGGAACTTCGTGTTCTCCTTTTCCCGGCACTCTTTGAGCGTTTTCTTCCAGCTTTTTTTACTCTTGGGGTCGATAATGGTGTTGATGTTAGACTTCCAGCAGATGAGGTTCTTGACGGAGGTCTCTGTTAATAAAATTTTCCTTAATGCTTTTTCAATTTTGCTACGGTAATCATATAAAAAATTCTGTTTACCTTATTTCCATCACATTCTAAAGATAAATTCAACCTTTCGATACCCGCTTTCTTCTCAGAAGAAGATTTCATTGAATCCTTCCCAAGAGTTCTAATTATTTCCTCTTCAGCACCATCCGATATGTCACTACTACTTAATACCTTCAATGATATTCTAAAGTTTAAATACAAGATATCTAATATGTAATGATATCTTTACCGTTTCATTGTATAATAAATTATTCAAGATTTTGTCATCGTATATGGGATCATTGACATCTGTCATAGATGCGGCATCAGACGAATCCAGGTTATTGTTAAAAGCTTTTATCGTCTTTTAATAATAATGACAATTGATAGAAGATAAATCAATCAATCAATAAGTTTTTAGTGTAAATGAAACAATGTAAATATATCTTACCCGAAGTCTTTCAGTTGCAAATGTATCTCCAACAACTAGGTCTACAGCTCGCTTAAAGCCATCATTTTCATAATCACTATGCTTTAGTATCTCTTGAGCATAAAGACCATCGTCAAAGTCGTATTGTTCTCTGAGTCCAAAGAACTCATCACTTTTCCTTAAGCAGCTCTTCAAAGGTTTTGAAGATCTACTAGATATTGCCATTTCATTACGTAATTTTACGCCTCTTTCTAGAATATTTGATAATAAGTCTTCTTTACCACTTGAACCATTTTCTTTAATTTCAATAGGATTGTCGTTCATAACTAACTTTTCAACATCGTCACAATATGAGCTTCGAACTTCATCATAATTCAATCCATTTTTATGATTAAAAACTCCTTTTTTGTCTTTTTTGTCAGTTGATCCCGATCTGGATCGAGATTTCGAAACTTTACGCCTTGAACGAGATGGACGTTCGGTACTAAATTGTTGCAATTTTGAATCAACTCCGCTTGGAAAACTCTAATAAAAAATTGACAATTAATTGATATAAACGTCATATGGATAGTTGTGCTCCTCTTAATAAATACCCGATTAGTATCAGGGCTCATGAAAGGATCGTCACTTATATCTACCCGAGGTTTTTCCATGCGAATAAATTGAGGTGGATTTACTGGCTCAGGTTCAATACTTCCAGTAACACTGATATCAGGTGTAGGGATAGATGACGTTTCTGCGTTATCTAAGAGTATCAGGAATTATAAGATAGATAGTGAGAGATATAGCATTTAATAATCCCTACCGGCAATTGATTGAAAGTGTAGTGCTATTTTAAGTTCACCCATATTTTCCCCCGATTGAGTTCTTATGGGATATAGTCTAAAAGAGATTTACGAAAATATTTTTTTTATAGATAATATCATTGATTGATATTTAACTATTCTCTTTACCCTGATATATTTGTTTGAGCATTTAGCTTCTGCAGATTTGGTACTGTGGCAACACCAATCGGAACATATCCTTCGGCCAGCACCTCCAAAATGAGATTACCCATATCTTTGTGTTAGAACAGATTAACGTATATTATTATTATCTATGGTTAGTTAAAAAAAAACCTTTAAGATAGGCCGAAAATTGCTTTGGCCCAGATCGTACTTCGAATTTCGAATCTGTCTCTGCTCTTGTACTCCCATTATCTAGTCTTGAGTCAATGGGTCTAACCATCAATGGAAGAGAAAATAAATAAAGCAAAAATTGCATCGATTGAGATAATACCTAAAAACGGTACCAGGCCCATCTTCGCCCCACCAGATTACCCTTACAAATGTTGTTTTTGGAGGCTTGGCAGTATACCATAGTACTTCGTCAACCCGTAATCGTAAATAACATCTTAATTGGCCTTGTACTTTTGGCGGCAAAGTTGTTGAAGCTTTAACAAACCCTCTTATCCACTTTTCGGCTAAAACGATTCAAGTTGCAGCTTGCCTAACAACGTATGTTAAGATCTTTTAATATTACCTCTTTTTGTATATATGTTGGACTTTGCTGTAACCTTCTTAGTAATTCCTGATTTCATTTTATTTGATCGTAAAAATACTTTATTTAAAATGATGGATAAAATTTAAACATTTGTTAAACGTGTAATCAAACGTTTGTTTGTCCGCCATTTTCATTGAGGTATTCGGGTCGGTATTCAGTTTTTTAAAGTTCTTTAACATGTTTAAAGAGGAAGATGAAACCATACTAGATCGAGTGTTTTACTTTAATTTGGCGCTAAAAGTGTTGGAACATTGTAAAAAGACATAAATCATAAGTAAAAACTTTAATTTCGTTAAATGGGCAATATATATATATGATATATTTTATCAGTTGCTAACCTCTATAAATAGTGCAATTGGTGCAAGTTAAGTTAATAATTCATTGATTAGACAATACTATCATTCATAAAGAAAATATAACTCTGATAATTATCGTCATGTATTTATTCGTAGTATCCTGCTGTAGAACTATTGTGTACAAGTGAAAAATAAACTAAAGAGCTCTAAACACTATAGTCAATCACATCAAGATCAAAATACAACATATAAATACATGGAACATTTAAGCACCTCATGTTTCATAGCATACATAGGTAAAACACGTACGTTTAATATAAATTTTAAAGTCAAATGCAAATCATCGAAAAACAGGTTACTACATTACCATATAATAAAGCAAAATCCCGAGGATAACTTAGATACAGTCGAAATTCTTCAAGAGTACATTGTAGTTTGGATAAACTGAAAAAAAGGACAATGAATATATAAACGGTTTTCAATATATTACATCCTTTTAAAAACAAATTGATGGTAAACTTACGCAATCCAAATCGAATTCAGCCTTTCCACGAGGGCTGGTCTGCATTTCTTTGTAAATGTCTATAAAAATATAGAAAAAAGAAAATTAAAGTTAAATTATTGATAAAGTTAGAAGGAAAGTGACTAATATAGAGAAAATTTTTTACATACCAAACATAGTTTTCATTCTTGCTATACAATGCACAAAATCATCGAAATAGATGCAACCATCTTTATGAGTATAGCGTTTAACCAACGCATTAAACGTCGAATTACTGAGTTTAAATCCAAGAGCATGGAAAACAGCACGTAATTCGTAACTGTTGAAATTTCCACTCTTATCCTTATCGTGTTGCTTGAAAACAGTCTAAATAATAAAAGAAAAAATTATTAAATATTCTAGATAAATGATATTTGAAAAAGAACAAACCTTCCACATTCTTATATCAGTCCAAAGCTTCTTAAATTCTTCAAATCCTAATTTACCGGATCTATCATTGTCAAGCAGAGCAACCATACTTCTACAAGTTTCTGCAGAGAATCCATCAAATTTGAAATCTGTTGAAAACAATAGAAAAATAAATATTGAACTAATTGAAAATACACAATATTAAAAATAGATTAGAACAACAAATATGGGAAATTTACAATAGTTTTGAATAGTAAAAAAATTTTATACATAAGAAAAGAGAATTAAAAATTATAAACGTTATGAAATAATAGATAGATAAAATATTAACATTTACGGATAAACCGAAAATTAGGTAAGTGACAATATAAAGTTATAAAAAAGAAAAAAACATTAAATAGGCCTTTAAAGCTATACGTAAATGAATAATTGTAAATTTTTACCTCCCGCTGCATAGTTAATAAATAGAATTTGATCAGTAACAATTACTTAAAAATATGATATGTTAATTGGATATTTAAACATATTCAATAGGTATTTATATTTATGGTAGATTATTTAGAATATGTGTTTAAAGTAATATTTCATTAAATACCTCTTTTGAATGCATTGTCCAAAATTACTTGTAATTCGTAAGCGTCAATTTCCATATCGGCGCCAGCAATACTCTTGAAAGCAGCTCTCATTTGCGAATCTGCATCAGGATCAGCAGGTGGCAAACTTGGCTATGAAGAGAACAAAAAAAAGGATAAATCATTTAAATCAAATCTTTACAATAAATTAATATAACAATTTTTAGTTTAATAGTTCATTCCAACAGTTTAGGATACACTAGTTACAATAACAGCTTTATATAAAAACATTACATTTGATTTAGACTCTTCATACTCTTAAAAAGAGATGGAAGAAAACGTTTAAATCATAGCATTTACTGTTAACAAGCTCATGCATAAATAGATTATTAAATCGATTTTACATTCTCAACATTGGATAAAAAGTAGAGGATTTATTTTATTTATTAAATTGAGTTTAAATAAATTTATAACATTCTTAAAATACTTTACCGGTACTCCTGGCTTTGTATCATCCTACACGAAAAATTAATGTGAAATAATTGTATAGAGAAAGGTGATTGATTATATGATAAATAGAAAATGTGAGTGGTGAATAGAGACGCTAAAAAGTGAAGGTTGTCTTATATTTCTTTTTTTTTTGTTTCTCTTTCGTAAAAAGTGTAAAATTGCGCAATTTCTGCCTGATGGGAAAAAATACTTACTCGAACATTTGTAATACAGGTTTCTTCGTCCAATTCTCTGTTGAAATAAATGTTATTAGTGAAAGGATAACGGATGGATACAATTTACAATTCAGAAGTATTACTTACTTTGAATCGTTCTTTTGTTCAGAAAAGATTCTCATTAGGAAATCGGCTTCATGATTGGGTTCAAAAGTTGAAGGTATTATGCAGTAGTTTCCGGGTTTAAGCTTGTGACGACCACAAACTTCTCTCATATTAATGAATGATGGCGATCTTGCCTTCGATTGGTTGTATTTAAAAAATTGTACATCCAAAGGTTCAGCTCCAGAGTCTTTTAACTGTAAATAAAAAAGATTGAATATAACCAGATCTTAAACTCCAACCTGAAACATTCTTTTTCATTCATAGCAAAGCCAACAAATGATATTTATTTCTTTTAAGTCGCAAAGCCTTAACTTCATTCACAACAAAAAAAACGATAAAAATAGAAGTATTACAAATAGACATTTTAGCTGTAAGCTTATTTTTATAAAAAGAATAAAATAAAACACATGAAATACGAAGAAACTAATTGTTATTTTTTCCATTATGCAATTTAACAAAATGCCACAGTGGCGCGAGAGAAGAATATCGAATGCTTTTATTTTTACTTTCTATTCATAATCTCTACCTTATCTGGAACCTTTCGAAAATTTATAAACAATAAAAGTAAACCGCCAGATCGAAATATTTATAATCATTTAATTTGAAATTACAAGTTTCTCTTTGTTAATTGAATTAATAACATATTATTATATTAAGTAAATGGAACAAACCTCGTAAATGACATATCCAATAGTCAAAAGATCTTTTCCTTCCTTACGTAACTTACGTCTTCCTATTTTGTTTTTTTTTTAAAGAAAAAAGTTTAATTAAGAAAGGATTAATAAAATAAAATTTGAGAATATTTTACCAATTTGCATAAGTCCTACAATTATTGTTCCAAGATTTTCTTCATCATCTTCATCAGGATCAGTTACAGTTACACGATATTGAGGATTTGTCCAAAATGTCTCTGGTTTTTAAGTATAGAAAAATTCAATTAATATATATTTATAAGTCTTAAATTCTGTTGTTTATACCCAAATAGTTTCGGCAACCACCAGCATTGACGTTCCTCTTCCAGCATCCATTTTGTTTGGTGCCTTCCCATTTACGTTTGTGAGTTTTCTCATCGAGAGGAGATTCAGGACCAAGATTACAAATTTCCAATTTGTGGAAAGCAGTTGAAAAGTCTTGGAAAGACATCCAGAATTCACCGTCATTGTCGAATACAAGCCCAATCTTTTTTTTCTCGGCATCGCTTATGAATTTCCATTCCTTAGAGCCATCACACCAAGCTCCTCGCCATTCGGCCTCATTTCCCCAAGGATTACGTATTCTTATCATAGGTATTTTGCCTGTTTTATTAGGCGTAGATACTTCAACAGTTCTTACGGCAGTAATAGTATAAGCGTGACCGCAAATAAGACCATTAGTGAGTCTAGCCTCTGTCTGATTAGGAATAGCTTCAATTGAACAACCCATCATTGAATTGCGTTCAAAAGCTTTCAGCATGATAGTCCACAGGTTTGGAGGTTTTGTCTTGGGTCTGATATCAAAAATTTCAGTGACACCGCCAGTAAAATCTTCCATTGCCTCAGCAGCAGATCCTCCTTTCAAAGCTTCATACGATCCGACCAATTTAGCATAAGCCTTCTCCAATAGAGCAGTCCAGAATTCATTTGTTTCTTTAGAGTGCATATAAACCAAGCGATTTCTATATGTTGGAAGACGATCATCAATAAATATGTCAACCCATTCTCCAAAACGCCAGAAGCTAAAGTGGAATAGACCACAATAGCCTCTGCTCTTCTCAAACGATTGTTTTGGAGGAACAACTTTGAAAAGCAGTTCTTCATATAAAGTTAAGCCAGCGATGGCGGCTAGAAGCCAACAGTCGCCAAGCTCTCCTTGTTTAACATCAAATCTGCTAGCTCCTTCCACGAATAATTTTGGATCATCGCACAGTTCCTGAAAAAAGAGTATGAGAATGTTTATAAAACTTCAACCATTAATAATAGATATAAATAGAAAACTATACAATTTCTGTTTAATTTTTTATCTTAAGTTGTCTAGGCGTTCTCAAACTTATAATATCTAATTTCCATTATTGTTAAAGAGTGTTTCAAGGCCTTTTCGTACGGGAATGTGGAAAAAATTTGACCTATATAAAAGACAAAGTCTACAAAATAAAGGTTTGAAATTTAATACTTTAAGTTTGAACGAATAATGAATTCAATAATAAAGAAAGCAATATTTCCCTTATTTTTGTTTACAAAATAACTTTAGTATAGATATAGACATTTCAAAGTCTGTGATTCATTCCAGCTGCTATGCTATAAAGACTCTACCAACTCTCTCCCCAGCTCTCTCTCTCTCTCTCTTTCTATATAGAGTGAGTGTATTTCGTATACATGCATGCAGCGACCTACATATACCAGTCTAGCATTTTTTTTATCTGCATAGCTGGAAAAGGCTAGGTGCACCTAAAATTCAAAGTTTACATACAATAATAAAATTAGATATGAATATATCTATATATATATACTCTCTCTCTACACACACACATGTATATATATATAGAGACAAAGAGCTAGAAGATCTATAGATTTATAATATTTAAAGTTTATTTTGTAAATGTCATTTTCTAGAGATTACTTAATCTATATATAAAACGGGACTGTGGGAGTTTGAAATGGAGTTCGTATCGTTAAGTATGATACATATCCGTGTCTTTATTTTATCTTTACCTTATGTTAGCGAGATATGAGATCATTTGCATACAATATATAGATATATATTAGTTTGTTAATTTTGTCAGGGTTAGCATTAGCAGTTTCAACCGATATAAGTGTAATTCGTGTAAGAATATTGTAAAAAAAGGATACGATTTTATGTGGAAAGTCATATTATAGTATAGGCCTATTACGCTTTTTTCTCTGACAAGTCAATGTGAGCTGTAACGTTTACTTTGGTAAGGTCTGTGAATGAGAGTATTCGCAACTTTTATATAGGCCTAGCGTATTTTATGTAGGCGTTAAATTCCCTCTCGTACAAATATCAATTTTTTTGCACCTAACAATTAGAATATCGGGAAAAGTCGTTATCTGATAAATTATAACCGACGCTTACAAACTAAATAAACAATCGTACAACCTTTTTGTTATCTACTTTATTAAGGCGATAATAAATCACTTACGTGCGGTCTCTTCCACTCAATTGACCGTCCAGGTCTACCACTAAACACTAGGCTTGAATCATCAGCATGAAAATCGGGATCTTCAAATAATCTGCCCTCCCTCTGGCATTGCTGTATAACCTCTTGATAAGTTTTCCCCTCCAACTCCATGGGAGGTCCCGCTGGTGGTCTAGTCTCTCTTCGAGAGCCCCAACCCTTCGAATACCTCGATCCTCTTAAAGCCATATCTGGTGCAGAATGCCTGGCAGTGATGCCTTGTTCTTGATTTCCATTTCCACCGTAAGAGTAAGTTTTCGTTTCAGTTCTAGTGCCACCCGGTCCAGAAAATGTACGAACTTCAGTAACTGTCGACTTGGACGTCGGCCCCGTGTTTGAATCGGAATAAGAGTAGGTAGTTTTTTTGGTTGTCGTGGAATATTGATTCGAGTTCGACATGCTTATTTACCGTCTTATCCTGCAAAATGTATACAGCTATAATAAAAAAAATAATATATGCCGAATACGTAAATAGAACCATCTTGTTATCATTCAATCCCATACAAGCAACTTAACTTACGAATAACTAGGAATGTACAACTAATCTTTAACAAGTAGTTAATTTTGCCACAACGACTGATAGATAAAATTAACAATCAACCTCTTTCTATTAAGGTGATGGCCTGTCAGATTACTTCGGTTAAATTTTCTGTGTTGCTCTAGCAGTACAACAGCGCTGGCTGCAGGGAACTCCTAAATCGATAAAGCATTAATCGAAAAAGTCGATTTCCTCTTTGCTGGAAGATCGAGATCGACCATAAGGCCTATATATTTTGTATTTCCCAATTAGAACAGTGTAAATATAAGGCTAAAAGTATAAAAAAGAGTTTTAGCTAATTCGAATTAAATGTTAACAGATATTGATATCTATTGTATTCATATTTTCGAGCTGTGATTTAGCTACCTTCGCACTTAAACAGCCCTTTCTTTAAAATACCCTCGCTAAATTAAACACAAGCACTATAAAACTGTAATAAAAATTGAAATATTCATATAAAGCAACATTAAATAGGATCAATATATAATAGAGTATATATATACTGTATATATATATATATATATATATATATATATATATATATATATATATATATTCCAATAAATAATTATAATAACTTTCGTATATTAATAATTATCTTGATCTAATTCTTTCTTTCTGATTATATCATTTATTCATGAAAAATTCTATATTTATATATGTATAAAAAAAATCGACAAACTGTTGAACTACAGTTATTGATGATGGAATGAAAGGAGGGGGGAATTTTTTTTTATTGAATACTTTAATCAATAGTTTTGCTTCAATGATTTTTTTCCCTCCTCTCTCTTAGTTATAATTCCTATCTATATTTTAGCACACTTTTATTTATCTTCTGTTATATTTTATCGTCATATACTATAAATATATAACATATTTATATTTTTTGGACTATATGTAGTTCTATAAGGTTGTAATTTACAATATATGCAGGGAGGTACAAAAGACGGGGTTGTAAGATAGGGTTGTATGAGAGAGAACAGGATTTGAGGCATATTAATAAAAAATAGGCTTATTTGGTATGAACGTGTAAGGATTATTTTTTTTAAAATGACATCTGCATGCGATTTAGTAAAAAGTAGTTAAAAAGTTAGATTAAATGAAAGATTTCTCTTTCTTTCTCTCTGTTGATATTTTATAGAAAAATTGATTTTTAAATTTCTCATTCTCCTATCACTTTTTGAGGATAAAAATTAATCATTGATAGATAATTTCCTTAAAGTACCTCTTTCAAGTAGTTATACTTAAATGTATGATAAAGCATTTCACTATCTATAAAAAGTTTATTTTAGAAGTAATAAGTGGCATTCTTCTTATTCATATCGTTTTAGAGGAAGGAAGGAAGAGCATATTTCAGCTTTTTATTACTATTTATTAGAATTTAGCTACCTCTAAAATCTCATATTAGCAAATAAATCAATATTTCTTCTTTCTTTTAAAGCATTTCGTCTTTCTAAATCTTTTTCATAATCAAAACTATCAACAATATTTTTTACTATATCAGTCCTTTCAGTTAACGTTAAATGAGGCTTCATTAAACTATGCTTTTCGTTTCCAAATAAAGAATAGTAGGCTTCACCTGCTCCAAAAAAAACAAAAAACAAATATTTAATAAAAAATAAAGTAGTAAAAATTGATTCAAAAGGTTTTCAAGAGAAGAGATAATAAATTTTTATCAACAAAGAAAGAAGTTTACCTTCTTTTTTTAGTAAATTCCTCAAAGCAATATTTCTTTTTTGTAGTTTTTCATAATATTCTAAACCTCCTTTTCCAATATTTGGATGTAATTTTGCTGCTTCACGATCGGCTTTTGCTTCCAATAAACAGATATAAGTGTCTTTCAAAACTTCGTATGCCAAAAAATAAAAGCCAGCAAACAGAGTGTACATTCCAACTCTCATTTGGCGAGGTAAGCGAGCTTTTAACTGGAGACGATCATTAAAAAAGTGTCCAGTACAATAGGCTCCAATAATTGCCAAAGATCTTATAGCTGATATAATTACTATGCTATTTGACAAACTATACTCCATTTCTCTAGCTATTGCGAAAGCTTTGGCGCGATAAGATAGGGTTAAAGCATCTGCTAGATTTTGACCATCTTTTGATTCCCAATTAATTTCTTCTCCGCCTACTAATAGGTCGCTCTAAAAAAGAAACAAGTAAACAAATTAAAGAATTTTCAAATGAAAACAGTTTTAAACAAACCTTTTTAACATCTTGAACGGATTTACAAAGAAATGTTGCAGGAATACCAATTATAGCACTAAATCTCCACTCTAAATTTCCTTTTGTGATAGGATTCATGTTAGCTGTAATAAACGGCTGAATATCTTGCTTTGTTGACTCTTCCAGATCGAGTTCAACACCTAATTTTTGAATAATTTCATTTAGCTCGTCGTCTAAGCCTTCTTCTTTTCCATCCTTATATTTTTGAAGGAACTTTCTATAAATGAAAATAAGATATATTGTTGGTTCTAAAAACTCTGGGAAGTAGATAACAAACTTATATCGTGATAAGCCGAGAGTTTGTGGAATGGCCGAAACAAAATATGTCACTGTTCCTGCACAAGCGACTGCCACTTGCCAATAGATTGGGTAGTGGTCAGGTTTAAATCGAAAGAATACCATTATATCGCTCGATAAAATTAAAGATTATGCACAATCAGGAAACTTTGCTTCATGTATAATAAATTAATAGTTGAATAGACTAATTATGACTTTCGAAAGTGATTTACTTAGTCTGGGTGGGTGACAATTTCCCTAAATTTAGTTTTAACTAGAATAAAGTATGTGCGGTTAACTTTCAAAGAACTACAACCATTTTGAACTTGCGATCCGAATTTGCATTTACTTCGGTCCTAGCCGGAATTTCCGGTCTGAGAAAATGATTACTGAATATCAACTTCCCCAAAGAAATGCTGATGTTATCATAAAGTGTCTTTCAGACCGAGAACTAACTAGTGCATACATCTCGGTGAATTGGCCATAAGCCATTATATAATCAAAAGTTAGAATTAAATCGCTGAAGAAGTAGCTATTTTCCATAAAATCCAAGTAGTACACTCCCTTGTAGATTTATAAATTGGCGGTAAAAACTTGGAAATGAAGCGGAAACCACTTTATGGGACAAGGTACCAGACAAAGCTAGGGTCATGTAAACAGGTAACAAGCTTGTGTTTTGGCATGTATGCGGTATTATTGTCTCTGGTGTAAAAAATCTTTTTAAACAAATGGATCGTTATAAAGGACAAAGTAGCAAAAATCAATCCAAGAAAAATTCCACGGTAGAAGATATTTGTAATCTAGTAAAAAAAAGAGGCTTATTTGACAAAATAAGAAAGGAGGTTTTTAAAGATGCAGAAAATTCGGTCTGTTTTCTATTGGAAATTAATGAAATGTTAGCGATTAAACATTCCCTTACATTTAACTAGCCTGATTTAGAGAGATTAAAGAGCCGTGTTCGGGATTACGTTGAATCTTTCACAGCTAATGTCCGTTGGCATCCAGGTTTAAATAGAAGCAAATTAAGGGAAGAATTGAAACAAGAATTGATGAAGTAAGTGTGATTACTATTGAAATATTCATACTAAATTTAAAAAATAATATATACTTATGTTTAATAGATTCTAAAGCTGTAATATGCAATATTGCTATTTGATACATTATACTTGTGATCCTAAATTTTAACCTTTCTATTTAAAATCTTTTGTTAAACACAGATCTAAAACATTAAGTAGAGGAGTCGACAACATTATTCGTGATCATTTAAGACCAACAGTTAACAAATACAGGTTTTAAAAAAGTTAATAAATATTAGTACAAAACACTTATTTTCTACTGTCAAACTCTTAGAAAAGATCATGACAAAATAGCTTGCGAAGTTTTTGACGTAACTTTCGAGGATTTTGAATCAAGAGATAAATATTTTACGGAATATGAAAGAAATCAAATTGGAGGTAGTTATTCCATTAATTTTAATTTCTTCTAAATATTTCTCTTAACGATTTCTTCATCTCTAGAACCATATTATACACCGAATACCACTGCTCATCCACCCCCTTCGTTAAGAGGTCCTCCTTCAGCTACAAATACGCCTGTAAACCTGTCACCTGGGGCTGCTATTCATCCTATTCCACAGCAGAATGTTTTTCGTAATTATCTGTTTTTAATCTTTTATCTTTTTAGTAAAATGATTCTTTCTTCTCTAATCAGCATCACCTCCAAGTATTCCTAGAATGCCTTCAAATATCATACCTAATATGGGATGGTCGAATCAACCGCCATGTCCGCCTGTCGTTCTGCCGCCTCCAGAGGACATAGGTCCCAATATAAAGCCACCTTTACCACCATTACCACCACCATCTCCTCCAAAGCCAGATACTCCTCCTCCTCCACCTGAACAACCGCCCGCGCCTCCTGTTGAGGAGGAGACTATCTATGAACAAATGGAAACTCAAATTATTTCATCTTTCGAAAACAAACTACCTGACCACATTAAGCTTGAAGATAATTTAATAGAGACACCGAAAACAGAGAATTTAGGCGTTAGTCACGAGGACGTAGATATGGATATTGATACAGATGAAGAGAAACCGTTGATTATGCCAGATATACCAAAAGAAGACGTTGCTAAAGATGACGAGAAACAAAAAGAAGAGAAAATTTCTCCATGGAAAAATCAAGTTGCTCAATTTGAGGATTTACAACTCAGCGATGTGACTGTAAGCTCTGTCCACACAAGTGACATATCTCTCACTTCGTCTGATGATGATAAAGATGTTGAAAAAACAAAAACTCCCGAGCAGAAAAAAGAAAAGAAAGAAAAGAAGAAACGAAAGAAGCAAGAAACTGTGGCAGAAAGGCATTGTAGACCACAACGCAAACGAATCGTCAACAGAAAATATGCTTCAAAAGATTTTTCGTCATTTTATAACGAATTAGAAAATACAGATTCCGATGCGGACAACAAAGTAACATCTACGTCCTCTAAAGATAAGAAGCCTCAAAAACAAAGCCCATACTCTTCGTCGACACCTTCTCCCTACTATGTCGCTGAGGAACAAGCAGAAGCTGCACCTAAAAAACTGGAACGAACGACAAAAAATCCAGAGGTTGATACACCTAAAGAGGAAAAACCAGCCAGAGAACCATCTCCTAATCCGAAAGGTAGCTCTAAACGATACGACTCATCAGATTTGTACAAACCACGCACAAGCCTACGTCGATCTCGTCGACAATCGTCTCCAAAGTTCGATGATACTGATGTTTACGCCCCATATAGAGGATCTGAAAGGGCTAAGTCTAATAATAAAACTGTTTCGAGAAGATCATCCTCAAAATCTGAATCCAAAAAGTCAAATATCAACACGCCAGACTCTCCTGTTGCAAACGAACCCACTGAATCAAGTACTGCGATTAAAACTAGACTGGGTCAACGTTCATCAGGTATTCCCACAGATCCCAGAAAGAAAGCTAAAGAAAAAGTTTACGAAAGTGTATCCGAAGGGGAATTAATTGATGATGATGATGAGAAAGATATTAGGAAAGAGAAGAAAACTCAAAAAGTAACTAAGCCTCCAAGACGAAAGTCGGAAGAGGAAGAGGGCGAAATAACTGATGGATCTCTATCTTCCATATCGTTAGACCCTATTTAGGAAGCTCCATAATAGATTAGTCTCTCATATTGCGTAACAAATCACATTTCTACACTAAACATCAAAAAAAAAAACTTGGAAGAAAATCCACGAGGTAGTTAGCGGATAGCAAGAAATAAATAACAATTCATAAACTTGAAAAACATTTGATTTACAATTCTTTTTAATATCTAAGTGAAAGAATGAAATTAAGATCATTCGAAGAAAAGAAAAGGCTTTATATTTATTCGTTATGAATATTATAGTGTCAAAAAAAAAGAAAGAAAACAAAAACTATTAAAAAATTGTTTTTTTTTTCTTCTATAAAGTCAATTGGTTGTTTATAAAATAAACTAGAAGTTTAATTTGTAGCTCTTTTTTATGCAAAGAAAATAAAATGTTATGAAAGATGAACTAAACAAACAAAAACAAACAATAATCAATTTCTTTTTATAGTAGTATATACTGTATACTTATTTATCGGCTGATACATCTTGTCTCCATATAAATTCCTTATTGTAAATATTTGAATTACAATTTTTTGAACATGTATATATTGCTAAAATACCCCAGTCTAACCCTTTATCGTCTTTTTCATCAATTTCTAAATAGTTAATAAGTTGAGGCATTATTTGAAATTCAAATTGCCTTCTAGTCCCACATTTACATGGAGAAATATCTTTGTAAGACACTTTATTCTCGGAAGAAATCCACAACGGTTCACCATCTAAATTATATCGAATAATTTGATCAGGTTGCAATTTGATAACATTTCTAAAGTTTGAGAAAGCTTCATCTTCTGTTCTTGAAACAAAATTTTCCAAATCTTTTTCTTTTAAACTATTGTTAAGCTCTTCAACTTTGCTATCATTGTCATTCTCATCAGCCTCGTCTTCACTTTCAAGTTCAGTTAAATCTTCTTTTTCATGAATTATTTCAAATTCGGGAAAATGGAAATCTTTTATTTGAACTTTATTGGCGACAGTCTCTGGTTGTTTACATTCTTTTTTATGACCAGATTTCCAGTGAATTAGTTGGTGTTTTTTACAGCAATAAGATACTTTCTTACATATTCCACAGCTTAATGGGCCATGAACTCCGCAAGAAGAACATAACTTTTGAAAGTTTTCTGCTTTTGGATAGTCAGAAGATAAATCAAATTTAAAGTCATCTTCCTCGTCTTCATTCACTAATGGCGATTCTGAGTAAAACTCATTTTTTTGAGGCAACTGACATCTTAGGACTACAAAGTTCCCATTAGTATTGGGTCTAGAACATTCGTTATTTCGGCAAACGAAAACAAAAAGGGTTCTATGAAAACAATCATCTCTATCTTCAATTGGAGCATATAGTTGCAGTAAGAATGAACAAGGCTCTTCACAGTATTCGCAGAGAATATCCTTACACTCAGGGATGCCTTTAAGGGCAAGCCAAGAAGGCTTTCCTCCAAGTTTACTTGGGAAGAAAGGGCTAACAAGCTTCCATTCTTGATTAACAGGACATTTTTCGGCAAAGCCTAAATCCACATGTTTTTCGGCTGCAGACGCCATCCCTTAAAACTGGTAGGATAAAGAGAGGATTACTGTCTTTTAGTAAAAATTTAACAGAATTTTTCAGTGTTGAACTAGGGACCAGTTAATTCAATGTGTTTTACTTTTATAGGTAAAATATACTCGTCATTGCTACAAACTGGTAGTAGATATTATTAATATTTGTGTTCTTTAATAAAAAGAAAATCCGTGATTAATTAAAAATCTTGAGTATAGGGAAACACGTAACATTAGTGTATTTCTATATAGCATTCTTGATGTTCACGTCTTGTTAGTAATTTCCAAATAACTAAAAAAAATAATCAGCTGAAATGGATGATAATAAATCAACAAGCGAAAATTCAGAAATTCCCAAATCACCTACAACTCCAACCCCGAAAGGAGATAAAGGCAATAAATGATATATTTAAAATTTACAATATAAAATTCTTACGATTAAAATTTATTCAACAGTGGATATATTATTGAAGAACGTCGGATCTGCTCCAATTTTGACAAAGAAAAAATGGGCAGTTGCTCGAAGTAAAACAGTTTCCGAGATTGTAGAATTTGTCCGAAAGCTTTTAAAACTCGAACAAAGCCAAACTCTCTTCCTTTATGTTCAGCAATCATTTGCACCAGCTCCTGATGTTGAGATTGGCACTTTATATGACTGCTTCGGATCTAACTCTCGTTTAGTATTTCAATATTGTCTAACAACTGCTTGGGGCTAATAAGCCTAAAATTTTTTAATATCGAATGACATTTTTAACATTGTATTAAAATATATATAAGCTATTTTATTAATAGATAATTGGTTAAAAACACAAAATATCCCATTTCAATCTCAGTTGCATTAAAATTTAAAAGCATTCAAGATACGACCTAATATCATCAATTTTATTTTGATAAGATACACAAATCTAAACTATTAAAGATAAGGTAATGGGCGTTAACTAATAACTAATTAAGCATAAAATCAATCAACGATGGAACAAAATGATCGGCAGGAAATTATAGGAAATGATGTTCTGTCAAATGAGCAGACAAATGAACAAGTAAATGATGAAAAGAGTGAAAAGAAGGTTTTTTCTTTTTGAATCAAATATCATTAAGGATTTAGGGACTGTAAATATATTTAGATCCAGGATAAGGGACTATCATTGCCATTGACAGCTTTCTTCATTATAGGAGATATTGCAGGTAGTGGAATGCTGGCCCTACCAAAAGCATTCGACAATGCGGGTTTCATAGGTCCAGTGTTACTGTTATTGGGAGCTTTGTCATCAGGATACAATGGAATTAGGCTCGGTCAGTGTTGGATGATAATCAAAAGACGATATCCAAATTTAGGAGAGCATATTCGAAATCCTTATGCTACAATTGGAGAGAAAGCATTTGGTTCAAAAATGGCGTACTTAAATTTAAATAATTATTTTTTCACTGGTTAAATCTCTTCAACAGTTATTCAATTTTTTTTCAGTATATTTGTAACAATCTGCGCAAATATATCACTCGTAGGAGGCTGTACAGTCTTTTTACTAATAACAAGCGAAAATATTCAATCAATGCTTCAAAATGGATTTAAAGCTAATATTTCATTTTGTTTTTGGATACTGATTATAGGCGGATTACTCATTCCTTGTTGTTGGTTTGGATCACCAAAGAATTTCAAGTAAATAAATATAACAAATATACTCTAAATCTCAATACCATCATTTGATAGATTGATAGGAATAATTGCAGCAATGGCTACTATTATTGCAACGTTTACAATCAGTTCTGATATAATTGTTTACAAAGTAAAGCATAAACCTAAATTGGAATTCTCTAATACAAAAGTTGTAAATCTATTTCTTGCATTTGGAACAATAATGTTTGCTTTTGGAGGAACGGCAACATTTCCAACAATACAACACGATATGAATAAACCAGAAAAGTTTCATATATCAGCGACATTCTCTTATATTGGTATTAATAATTATTGAAAATTTATAGTATACCTATATAGATTAAATGATTATTTTTATGATATTTCACAGGTATTTTATCAATGTATCAATTAGTAGCATTACTAGGTTATTATACTTTTGGTAATCAGTTAGTTGATAACATTCTAAAGAGTTTATCTATTGGATGGTTAAGATACACTTCAGAAATATTAATAACAATTCATTTAATATTCGCATTTGTTATTAATTCAAACCCAGTGTTCCAAACTGTTGAGCATATCCTAAAGATTCCAACAAGTATATTTTATCTATTATTCAATACATTGCTTTAATAATAATATAAATAAATTAAATATAGATTTTAATTGGAAGAGATGCATAATTAGAACAGTTGTTATACTATTCATCATTTTCGTGGCAGAAACAATACCAAAATTTGGAGCCTTGCTATCTCTAGTTGGAGGTACATCAACAGCATTCTTAACGTTTGTTGCTCCAAGCATGTTCTATTTAAAATTATGTTCTTCAAAAGGAGATTGGCAAGAAATGTATGTTGAATTAATTGAAATATTCTACAAATAAGCACACGAATAAACACAAACTTTTTCAGCAAAGTACCACTTCATCACAAAGTCATATGCTGTCAACTAATGATAATTGGAACATTAGGAGGAATTGCCACAACATATTCCGCTATATCAACAATTAGCAGTTCAAAAACATTTTTCCTACCATGTTATGTTAACATAACAGCCGCTGATCTTGCAGTTAATCCCTAATATTATTACAAACTTTTTATTATTTCAACAAAAAAAGGAAATATTCATGTTTCTCTTTGACAACAAATATAGCAAGCTAGAAAATCAATCTCTATACATAAGAAAATAAACATTATTGCAAATGGTTACAGAATACACTTGTATAGGATGAAATTTTCTATAGGTTTCACTCCGTGTTTCAAAGACAAAAGTGTCTTATATATCATAAAATATTGTGTAATAGATATAATTAAAAATACCGACTGAATTTATTTCAAAAAAGATATCAAATATATAGTTCTGCAATCAAGTTTCAATTTCATTACTCTTTATCGACGTTGAATCTGCGTATTCTTCGGTAAGAACCTCTCTATCATCGATGAGATTCTAAAAAAATATAATATATTTTATCCCTTAAAGAAAAAGTATTATTTTAATATTTACTTGATATTTGTCCTGTCTTTTTATGTATAATGAAAAGAAAATGAAACAAGATATAAGAAGGAAAAGGCATCCTAAACCAATGCAAAACCATCTTAAAATTCCCAATATCTTCATGGGAGTAATTGCTTCTTGCTTCATCAAATTTATAGCTTTATCGTCAGCTTTAGCACTCTATAATTAAATGATTGAATATAAAGATAAAAAATAAATGATTTTATCTTAAAAACTAACTTCATTTAACCAAAATAATGGGAAAATCACTGGCGTGTCGATATTTTCTGTTTGCCTGAAAAGTGATAAACAATAGTAAAGAATCTAAACTAAAATTTTAGAACTTACAATATTCCATATTGTCCTATTTTAGTCAGATAAGCATTTATTTGAATCTTCTTAGCAACATTCATAGAAACACCAGTATTTGGTTCAATCTCTAGAAATGTTTGATGTTCACCTGACTTTGGGGTCATTCCATTAACACCATAGATATATTTTGTGGATGCTTGAAAGAAATGGGGCTGAGAGACAACAAGTGGAGCACCGGCTCTAACTCTTGATATATTTAAAACTCCTGAATCAAGGCATCCAGGTGTACAGAAGCACCTATTATCCGGATTAATGGTAATATTTCCCAAAGTGTGAAACGGGGCAGTAAAACGGTATAGCTTTATTCCCTTAAGGTTGGTTTCGCTTTCATAAGTGGTGCATATTGAACGACCCAAATCTCCAGTAAACACACAAGGTGAAGAATTTTTGGTCACTCCAGGCGGATATAGAGAACCATCAGAACCATTTAACATGTTACAATACCGTGTGTTCCAATATGGTAAATATTTATTATAATTATACGTTACGTATTGACCAATTTCATTTATATTTTTCGTACCCGACATAATTTCGTAGACACCATCATCAGTACCATTTATTGCTTTACCTATGTAAAATATTCCAAATGTTTCCATTGTTTTCAGTTCCTCTTCGAATTTCTTTAAGAATGCTTTTAATATTGGAAACTTTTTAATTAATTTTTCAATATCCTCAGCCAATTTATCAATGATTGGTATTTTATAACCCCAAAAAAATTCGCGAATTGTATGTCTTTCGAATAAATTTATATGTATATCTTCCAATATTGTTTTAACACCGATTTGAAGAAAACTACTCGAAATAGACCCATTTAATTTAGCCAACACTGTCTATATTTTTTGAGGAGGAAGAAAGAGAAGAACATAATTTAAATGGAACATTTATGATTGAAAATATAATAAATTTACAAACCAGCAATGGTAGGTTTATGACATTAACTTCATTGTCAATTTGCTCATTAGATAACTGAGGCTGAAATACATATGCTTTATCTTCTCTATAAAAAATTGTGCCATTTGCATTAAAAGATAAATTTCGCTTGTCTCTTATTTCTCTACGAAAGTTAAATGTTGTGTGATAACATTCCATACACTGTATATTGTAATTTACTTACAAGTATACAAAAGGACCAATCTGTGTCATATTAGCCTTTTCCTTACCGGCTATAAATTCTTCTGGATTTGTACAATTCCAATACCAGAATTCCATATAAACAGGAACTGGTGGCTTCTCCCAATTTTTACCCGAAGAGCTAGTATTCTTGAGCGGTAGTTTCTAAATATATAAGATGGTTATTATCTCTTATAACAAGATGAAGCACTTACATCTCTTATCTGGTTATCTATAATATAGGGAAATAATGCTAATGAAGAAAGTCCAAAAGCGACCAGAATGAACCCAAGTGCAGTCATAAGTATTGCCGTAGCAAGGGGACAAGAACAAGTTCTGCCTTTTCTATCCATTCTTGACAAATCAGTGACTCAACAACTGATTTATCTCGTAGTTCTTAGAACTAACTTGAATGCTAATTTAACAGTAATGGTTTTCAGTTACATCAGTTTTTATTTGTCAAGTGGGAGATAACAGAATGTTTTTTTCTATGTATCATGTGACTTCATGGATACTACCAACATTTGGAATTAGTTTCAAATAGATTCGAATTCGAAAACTGGTAAAGCTGATTTCGTAGGCGTGGATCCCTCGTGCATTATAATACAATAAGGAAAAAGCTCATTCAGTTAATTAAATAGTGTAGATTCTTAATTAGCTTCGAGCTAACTGAAATTTCTCGTATTAGACGTCAGGTTTACAGAGAATGCCTTTTCCTAGTCTACCTGAACTCTTCTTCAAACGACGTTCAAAAGAATTCGAAAAGTCAAATTCAACTGTTACAGATTCTCTATTTATGGAATTGGAATATCAAATTAAAAAAATCGAATATCAACAAAGAAATCGACTAAAAGAAGAAAAGCTTAAGAAAGCATCTGCAAACTATAAATGGCTTATGACATCGAATTTAAAGCCATACAAATTATCTCAATCCGACAGAGAAGATTTGAAAGGATATTTTAAACAAATTCAACAAAGTGAAAGACAAAGAGTGATAATATTATTCAGGAATGGTTTGATACTAGAAAAAGATCCTAAAAACTTAATAAATACAATGAAGTTTTCAATTGAACAAGTGCTAAGAGAAAGACCTAAAGAAGAAATTATTGGCGTACGCCAACACAAGTATTTATGGAAATTAATGAATTTTATGCCATCTGCAAGAGTTACTCCAACTATCTCTAAAGCAGAGTTAAATCAATCTAAATCTTGTGCTAGCTTGAGAATATAAATACTTATTATTTATATTAAATTATCTTTATATATACCAATTATCAGCGCAAAACCGGTAAATAAGATAAGGTAAGACGATGAAAGGCCATTTACCATAAAAAAGAACATTAGTGTGCAAAAACAACTTAAATACACAGACTTATTCACCATGTTAATTAGTTCAAACCGAGATTTACATAATTGCAGTTTATGTTACACTATTTGCATGATGATATTGTTATCAAACCCACCCTTTTCCCTCCTCTAATGCCAATTTCTATATTTACTTGGTAAATATGTTGTCAAGCCGATGGATTTATTGATGAAGCTGTACAAAATAAAGAAATACACTGTTTTCCAAACTATATTTGATCAATCACTAACAAACAAGAATAAATAGAGGTTTGGTTATCTAAAAAAGTATAAGTTTATCATACCACTTTAATAAAATGACTTTTAGCGTAAACAAGTACTTATAACAATGAAAGCGTTAATTGACTAAGTTATTAAATGCTACAACAACAAACTCTGTGTTCCATAAACCAAAATGAATTACCATGGCAATCATCCATACCAATAACAATTATTATTACTACTATAACAAAGAGCAATACTATCTAATACATTAGGCTAAAGATTCTTTTTTTATATACAATATTTATGAGCAGACTTACTCAAAAACACAATATGTTTATTTGAAATACTCGTAGCTAGGTTTCTCAGTCTTACTCATGTTCCCTATTAGTTCATTAAACATTAATCTTTATTTTAATTAAGCTGGAAGAAAAGTTTCCTTTAGAATGTCTTCGTTTTCAGGTGATTGTATGTAAATATATTTCTCGAGACAACTTGAATAGGAGTATGTGGAGGACAATAGCAAATAAAAAAAATTAATTCTGTATATATATATATACAATTTTCTGAATTCTGATCAGATATATTTAAAGTAAATATTTATTGTTGCATTCTACGATCTTGTTCAAATTGTTTATCTTCTAGCTTTCGAATTCTGAAACCTGATATAAATAAGAATATTTCGTCCGCTATTCCTTACTCCTATTTTATCGCTCCTCATGAATTGAAATATAAACTTTACATTCGATATCTCTACTCTAGGTATTTTACTCAAATTTTATTATAATTCGTTGTTATCCCTATCGATTTGATAATAATTTAAATAAACTACCGATCGGCAAACTTTTTTGGGTCCAAAGTTAAAGGAACAAGATACCAGCAGATGCAATATGATGCATGAGGGTGTTTTAAATATGTTTAATGAACTAGCGCATATGTGATACAGGCTTGCTGGTACAGGAAGTATATTTATTTAACCCAGAAAGCACAACTTCAGTTCACATTCTGCTTGGGACAGTTGTGAATGGAAAATTTCTTTAAGAATCTCTAGTTACTGCAAAGAAATATTCGGAAATTTATACCATTTTCCTCAGCCAAAACTGGATAATCACAAAAATTATCGAACTTTGCAGATAGAATGGGTGTTGCTGCCAGTAAAAGTGAAAAATTATGGGAAGCTTGTGGATATGGAAGAGTGGAACAAGTCAGAGAATTACTGCAATTTTCCGCAATCCAAGTAAATTGGGTTTCTTATACTGTAAGTGTATTTTTTTTTATGATCACCTAAAGAGCAAAACACTATTATTCCTTCAATTATCAGCACAATTCATGCCCAATACATGCGTGCTGTGCTGCTGCACCAAGTCAGAAGGAAAAAGAGATATTAGAGATGCTTATTGATAAAAGATGTAATGTTAATGCCAAAGACGAGGTATTATAGCCAACGACTTTTGTTCCGTATCTTTTAAACTCTTTGAATTTCTCATAAGAGAGGTTGTTTAGCACTTCATCATGCTTCTATGAAGGGTCATTCTGATTTCATAGCCATTCTTGTTAAAGCCGGTTCGGAAACCGATGTTCAAGATAAGGTTTGTATGCAACATAGATTTATTGTATATAATAGTGATAGGCTTGTTCTGCTTACAGAATGGATGGACAGCATTAATGACTGCAGCCTATTGGTGCCATCCTCAAACTGTAAAAACTCTACTAGAGTTTGGAAGTGATGTTCAGTTAAAGAACAGAGAAGGTCGAACAGCTCTACACGAAGCATGTAGAAGTCGTTCTAAAAATGAACATCAAGTCGAAGAAGTGGTTCGGTATATAGTCAATTTCGGTGCTCAAGTCGATGATAAAAGTAGTACTGAAGGAGAGGTTTGTTAAAAATAATTGTTCATTAAAAGTGATAAATAAGCCTATCAATATCCCACATACAATTAGGCTGACTTCACACCCTTAATGTGTGCCGCTTATCACGCTCATAACGGTGCTGTTAGGGCTTTAATTGAGGCTAGTTGTGATGTTAACGAGCAAGGAACAGTAAGATTTTATTTGTATAAAATAATTATCTAGCCACTGGAAAACGAATTTGCTTTTACTTAGAATGGATGGACTGCGCTCCACTGGGCCGCTGACAAGGGTCACAAGGATATTATTCTACAACTTCTTCAAGCTGGGATAAATACCCAACTAACCGGCAAGGTATACTTCATGATTAATGAAGCCTTGTATATTTTTTTTCTCTTGCTTCTGAAAAAGACAATTTACGAGTCTTCTATTTGCAGTTAAACGAAAGGGCAGAAGACCGAACAGAAGACGAAGATATAAAGAGTCTAATAAGGAATTTTAAATATACACCTACTGTCCCTAAAATATGCGTTACTGGTCAAACAAATGATGCAAGAGGGAGGACAAGAGTAGAAGATTTAAAAGAATGTTCTAGAAGAAACGATGCATCACCAGCAAGATCAGCTGTAAGCACAATGTCACCTCCATCGAGCAGGTACACAATTTCGACAGAATATTAATTTATAATTAAATTGAAATGATTAATCATTTTATATTTTGCAGAAGTGGTAGTATAAGCGACTTTAGCGACGAAGAAGATGTATCTAAATCTAAAAATACTACCGTTTAGTTCTAATTAATACCGCTATTCTTCCTACTAACAATTGAACTTATTAATCTACCGTCTTATTACCATGCAGTATGAATGTTATAACCATATGCAAAATGTAATAATTTAAACTGTATAGTATGACAGACTTGACCGGCTTGTTTGTAATTATTTTGATTATGAAAAAAAAAACGCAAAATGAAAAAAAACCCAAAAAAAAGGCAAGATAATGAAGAAACTAAATAATTTAACAAATAAATAATTTTTCAGTATCAGTGCCATTTACGTGTATTAGAAGGCTTTAAGGGAGGAGAAAAACTGATACGGTGTTAGATGCGTACCATTAATATGGAATATATTAATTAAAGACAATGAAATAGTATCCCAAAGAGACGTCTTCAATCCATAATATTTGTTTTTTTTTTGTTTTAAAATTGCGAAAATCCACTTCTACAACAAAATTTATCGCCATAATCCAAATTTGCACATCCATTTGCCATATTTCCAAACGAGCCGCAACAAATATTATCACAAAATGAAAACTTCTCAGGAGTTAACTTTGGGCATTTTTTAATAAATTCTTGTAGGGCAGAGCCGCTAAGCCTAAATAAACCACTAAAATCAATATTTTCTAAACTCTGCAGACCGTTTCCTGCTCCCAGACAACGCAATGACAAATCAGTTAGCTGAAAACAGCCTGACAGACTAATGTACTCCAGTACTGATGCTCTGTCCGAATGTGGGCAAGGGCAGGTGCTGTTTACGTCATGGGCGAGATTTTCCAAAGAAAATGTTCGCTTTTCTTTATCTACGTCATGGCTTTCAGTTTCACCTCCAAATTGACGACGTCTGCTATTGGAAAAAGACATTTCATCACCAGACAATCGTCTGATTCGTCTCTCTGCAGTGTTTTCAGATACATGACACAGACATTTCGGTAGTTTATCATCCATGTCGAAAAATCTTACAAAGGAACAGACCTTACCCGTCACAGGGGCAGGAGCTGGTAAGCCATAATGTATAGCTGATGATACCCTTAGAATAGCGGTATCTGTCAACTTAGAGCAAGAGGTTAGATTGAGATATTTTAAATTTTGCCCACTCCGTTTCAAGCCAATCCTTTTGAAAGCAGCATCACTTATTTCCGTATAGGATAAATTCAAATGTTGAATATTTGGGGCATAATAAAAAAATTTGGATAACATGGTATTTCTTATAGACTTCGAACGACTCAAATCTAAAGAAATGAGATGCTTTCCAACTTTAGGAAGGGCATATTTAACGAAACCAGAAAGGATTTTACTTTCTCTTTCAAGTTCAGATTCATTCATTTCCATATTGTCCTCATCTTCTCCTGGTAAAATTCCGGGTGACCAATCACCTTTAGCCCACTTTATGGGATTTATATGCTTCCAAAATGTACCGTCAAAAGTTAAGGAATGAAGCTTTTTACAAGTTTTACCAACTTTTATTAAATCAGGTTTGTCCAGATAGAGAAAGATACTGATTAGAATTTCATCAGGAAGTTGAAGAATTGGACTGCATGCAGCCTCAGAATTTGATTCACTCTCTTCATCTAATTGAGAGTGTATCCTTTCCGAAATGAAGTGTTCTTGAAGAACTCTTCTTTTTAGAGCTCTCAGTTCGTCATACGAAAAATATTGCTGTAGCAATGGTTGAAATACTTCCTCTTCTTCTTTCATATGTGGGAGAAAGTCGTCGGTGAATTCATTTAATGCTTCCCGAAGCTCTTTGACATAGGTTCTCCTCTCGGAAAAACTTCTCAATTTTCTATGACCCATTCTTAAAAGGTCAAGAATGTAGAGTAATTTGCTATCTTTATGACAGTTACAAACAGCATCATTTTCTATTGATAATTGGCGAAGCTTAAGCTTCAGGCGTTTTATAATGAATTTGTTTTCAATTTGTTCATGTGCTTTAAACTCTGTAAATGTTGACTGAAGAAGTGCTAAAGCCTTTTTTAAATGACCGGAATTGTGAAAGTTTGTTTCTCTCATCTGTAAACAAGGATGAATTATGTGTTTGAGGACATTAGAAAAACTCGTAAATTAAAGAGTAATATGTCGCAAATTTCAAAAATAATGATAAAAATAAGTATTTACCATCATATTATACTCATCAACAAGTTCTTTCATTCTGTTGTGAGGTATAGAAAAGACATTTATATCAACGGGCATATCTACGCTGGGCGCCATTTTGCATTGAAATACACTACTGCCATCTACTGAATGAATGAGCCCAATCACGTCTAACATTTAAACGTTCAAAAACTACTTCAAAAGTAGAAAACTTCCAAAAATAGTAAGTCACCCAGCCAATCTACATGATTATCGTTTCATATGACAGTTATAAAAGTAAAAAAAGAACTCCGTGTCGGGGAATCGAACCCCGGTCTCCTGAGTGACAGTCAGGGATACTCACCACTATACTAACACGGACACATTGGTCCAAAGTTATTAATGTTTAGTGGTTCCTTCGTTTGACCTTACAAACAAATATAATTTAATCTAAAAAGAAAAAAGTTACAACTCCGTGTCGGGGAATCGAACCCCGGTCTCCTGAGTGACAGTCAGGGATACTCACCACTATACTAACACGGACATATTGGTCCAAAGATACCAATGTTTCGTGGTTCCTTCGTTCGACCTCTACGAACAAATATAATTTGATCTAAAAAGAAAAAAAGAACTCCGTGTCGGGGAATCGAACCCCGGTCTCCTGAGTGACAGTCAGGGATACTCACCACTATACTAACACGGATACATTGGTCCTAAGAAACCAGTATTTTATTGGTTATCTGGTTTACCCCCTCCAGAAAAAATAATCCATTTCAGAAAGAAAAAAAAGAACTCCGTGTCGGGGAATCGAACCCCGGTCTCCTGAGTGACAGTCAGGGATACTCACCACTATACTAACACGGACACACTATCCTGTAAAGTAAGTCCATGGCAAATTCTGACAACCAAGCATTGACTCAAAAGAAATCAATATCTTTTATTATAATTATCTTATTTTGGTAAATGTAACTAATTTCAGTTATACAAGTAACTTAAAGACAGCGAAAAAAAAAAAAGAACTCCGTGTCGGGGAATCGAACCCCGGTCTCCTGAGTGACAGTCAGGGATACTCACCACTATACTAACACGGACACGATATATCTAGGTCTTAGTTCTGTATATGACTTAACCGTATTTATTTTCAGTTATATTTTGTAACAACATGGAAGTTTCTCTCTATAAGTATTAATTTGTAGAAAAATTGAATCGTATTATGAATGTATATTGTTCAGCTTTTAGTACTTTACGTTAATTCATTAGGGTTAAAACTCGAAAAGTTTATAGCTTTATTCATATTAACGACACTGCTCCTGTCTCCGCCAGAGGTCTAATGATTTTGTATCTCATTATATGTTGTTCTCCTTTTTTCAAGTCGATTACTTCTTCTCTAAACAAATTTGAATAATTCTTATTAGATTTAACGTCTGCCTATGGTCCGTAAGTGTTTAGCAAACCTGTTGTCAACGGTTTCTTCTTCCACGAGGACACCTTCTACATCTTGGTTTACTCTGAAAAATACATATTCGTCCAAATTTGGCTTGGAACCTGTCAAAAAAGGAAATAATAAAAACTGATAGGACATATAAAAAAATTGTTTTGATAATATATTACAGATCTTGTCTTTTTCTAAACTTTGCATGTTAGGAGGCATATGTTGGAGGACAAGATTCTGGAAAAGTTCTAATAAATTCTTTTCTCTTCTGTTAGAATGGCACATATTTGAAATATTTACTGTATAGTCATATTAAATTTTATATTTTCAACAAACTCTCTAGCAAATTGTAGTTCAGAGTCTGTTAATTTTGCATCATCTGGATCTCTCTTCCCATCTTCCATCATGATAGCAGTCGCATATTTTTCTATCTGAGCGTAGTCGAATTGATATTTAACGACAATTTTTTTCATTAATCGTTTTTACCTTTTTAATTCTGATACGTAAGTAGCTGGTAAGAAGGTATCGTATTCTTTCCAATTCCATTTTATGAATATAAATTTTTAAATCATTTGTTTTTACCCGTTGAATATTATTCTCCATCTCATTAATTTGCTCCATCATACAGTCAATAATATCGCTCTTGTTCATCAATAATTCTGGACTTAGTGCTTCATTCATCCATGCCTAACACAACATCAAAATATAGAATTGGTTCGTGTGCGAAGTTAAAGAACCTATTTAAATTTACCTCTTCCAATTTTTGAAGGACTTCCCCTGCTGTCATAGCTTCTTCATCATCACTCCCAGAAAAAATATTATCTTCCTCGTCTTCCATATTTACTTGAGAGTATTTAGTTATCACTTTAAAGCTAACAAGTTAATTCCAAACAATTCCCGCACTTTTTATTTTTTGCCGCTGGTCCAAAAAGCTTCCAGAGCTTTACAATGTCCATAAATGGTATGGTATTCCTCTTTTATTTTTTCACTAAAAATATTCTCAATTTAGTGGAAATAGGAAGCCACTTATGATACTACTAAACTATGTTCAAAAATTTGCAGTCTACTGTGTTAGTTAAGTTTAAAAGATCAATTACACCAAATAATAAATATCCTAATAAATATAATAAAAAATGTTTCATTTTTGAGAACTTTCAGTCCCATTTACTAACTCTGATTATTGAGGACTCGTTAGAGTCAAGTTACAGCTATTTAAACTTGCTTCATGCCAATCTGTTTATAGTTCTACCGTCGTTCACTCCTTTCATAACACGCTGGTGATCAAGGTTTAGCAACTAGTACTATATTTATTTCTCCAGTTGACCGGTTCTTTTCTGTCTTGCTTCTCAATATGGAATCTGATAAGAAACCTACTTTGACATCTAATAATTGTGCAAAAGCTTATGAGGATAGTTTGCAAGTTCCCGAATCGGCATCGGCAATTCCTAAAAGACGGTAAAGTTGCCTAAATAAATATAACTGTATAACAACTGTTCCTCATTCCCTAACAATTGATTTAAATTATCATTCAATTTACTAGTTCATAGAGTCTTTTCATTTGTAAATTGATTTATTTACAAATGGACTTTAGTCCTGTTTATCTTATCATATAACAATCTGCTACTTTTTTAGACAGGATTTATTAAAATGGAATGGTTGGGGTTATAAAGATTCCCATTTCTTCGTTAACAAGAATGAACAAGGAGAATTTACTGGGGAAAGGTGAAGTTTTATAAACAAAGTTAAACAGGTTTTCGAAAGAGAAACTTAATTCATGTAACAACAAATTGTAGATATAACATTTCCGGGACGATTATGCCTGGTATGAAAGACTTTATGATGCGAAAGGTTTCTATAGATTTGAACAAAAAAGCTCCCGCACAGGTAATTGGATTTATTGAGTAATTATTAATAAGCTAAATAAAATTATTTTGAATTTTTGTTTTTGCAGCCCGAGCTAACCGCAAGAGATATTCCTGTTCCTATTACTAATAATGAATTTACAAGTGAAATCAAAAAAGCCGGTATTTCCTTCTCAGATGATGCACAAGACCGATTATTTCGAGGTCACGGTACTGTTATCTATTAAATATCTTTGGTTATATCAGAGAGTGATTTTTTGTGTTTCAATAAAGGACATACTTTACACGAAATATTTATCTTAAGAGAAGGACGATTTGAACGACTTCCAGATTTAGTTGTTTGGCCAGAAAAGCATGAAGACGTTGTTAAAATTGTTGAATTAGCCATGCAACACAATGTGGTTGTAATACCTTTTGGAGGTGGAACATCGGTTACTGGCTCCCTTCTCTGCCCTGTTAAAGAAACTAGAATGATTGTTTCTTTAGACACAAGTCAAATGGTAAAATTATATATTTAATAATTCTATACTTTACAACTAATAAGAATATTAAAAAATAGAAAAAAATACTATGGGTTGATGAAAAGAACTTAACCGCGTGTATCCAATCAGGAATAATCGGACAAGACCTGGAGAGAAAAGTATAACAAAGGATATAGATATTTAAAGATATGACAATTCATTTTCTATTTTTCACCTTAAAAAGCTCATGGAAAAGGGATATTGTACAGGTCATGAACCAGATTCAATGGAATTTAGTTCTCTTGGCGGTTGGGTGGCTACCAGAGCTTCTGGAATGAAAAAAAACGTCTACGGTAACATTGAAGATTTAGTAAGTTTTTATTCGGATAAATTCGTAGAAGAATTGTTAAAATTTAACTTTGGTTTTAGATTGTCCATTTTAAAACTGTGACAGGAAGAGGGGTAATTGAAAAAAGTTGTGTAGTTCCCCGCATGAGCAGCGGTCCAGATTTGCATCATTTTATTATGGGTTCTGAAGGTTACTTCACTTCTTTTTCATTTTTCAACATTCTATTGAATACATTTATTAAATAATAATTAGGAACATTGGGAATAATAACTGATGTTGTAATGAAAATAAGACCTCTACCCGAATGCAGAAAATATGGATCAATAGTCTTTCCAGATTTTGAGAGTGGAGTAAAATGTATGAGGGAAGTTGCTAAACAAAGATGTGCACCAGCGTCGATACGGCTATTAGATAATGATCAATTTCAGTTTGGTCATGCTTTAAAAGCTGAGAATAAATCCATCATTTCTGGGTTTATGGAAGGAATTAAAAAACTTTATATTACCAAAATAAAAAGATTTGACTTGGAGAAAATTTCGGTTGCTACTTTACTCTTTGAAGGCAATAAATCTGAAGTTGCTGCTCAGGAAAAACGAGTATATGAAATTGCAGCTCAGTTTGGGTATATATAAAATATTTCTTTATATAAAGAACTGTATTAGTTTTATTTTCCATTTTATTCTTTATAGAGGCATTCCTGGTGGTGAAGAAAACGGTCAAAGGGGATATATGTTAACCTTCGTCATTGCTTATCTTCGAGATATCGCTCTTGACTACAAAGTTGTTGCCGAAAGCTTTGAAACTTCAGTACCCTGGGATAGGTTCGCTTTTTTTTCAAGCATACATTGATCCCTTTTCCTCATAACATATTGTCTTGTTAGACTATTGGACATGTGCCGAAATGTTAAAGATAGAATAACGAGAGAGTGCAAGGAGAGAGGACTACAACACGCACCTTACGTAACTTGCAGGTTGGCCTATCAGTTTATTTGATATTAATTGTCTTCTACTATAGCTATTAATGACCATTCTCTTCAGAGTTACTCAAACATACGACGCTGGAGCATGTGTATATTTTTACTTCGCTTTTAACTATATTGGTACAGCAAATCCAGTACACATGTATGAAAATATCGAAAATTGTGCTAGAGCTGAAATCCTAGCTAATGGTGGTAGTATTTCTCATCATCATGGAGGTAGGATAATCGTGATGCATATATACATTATATATATATTTATATATAGTAAACCTAATCTGAATTTTTTTCCATACCCTAGTTGGAAAAATCCGTCAAAAATTTTTAGAACCAACAATTTCCGCTCCAGGAGTTGGAACTCTACAGGCTGTAAAAGAATTTCTAGATCCAAAGAATATATTCGCAAATGGAAATCTAATGATCGACGTTAAATCAAAAATATAGACAAAATACGATTGATTAATATTTTAACTTCTGAATAACGAAAAAAATATAAAATAGTATCCTAAATACATTCCAAAAATGTTCAAAATCGATTTTTTTTTGCCATTTATCAAAACTCTTGCAATTTAGGATTTAGAAGGGATGGTAAAATCCTTTAATGAAAAATATAATCTACTTCCGGTTATATACACTCTTTTTTATGTTAGCACGACATCTAGTACATAATAATTTAATCTTCTCAATTCAGAAGTGCTTTAATTCACTTTTGTCTGCGTTGCACAAGCATCAACAGCTAGAATCGAAAGATTTTTATTGCATACTCTTTTTTGCGCCATTACAAAGTTGATGACTTCTTTTCTTTTTCAATTTAAATTAGACTTTTAAGTTTGTTATTGGAAGAAGAGAAATGGTGTAATGCTGATTACATCATAATTTTGAATTTAATTTTTTAAACTGATAAATGGAATTTCGCCTTGAGGAATTTATTGGTACAGTTTGCTGTATAAATGCGTTCAAACTGGCCTTTTAAATTTCTCGAGAAGGCAGATTCACATCATCGTTAAAAGTACTGATACCTTTAAAATTGGTAATTTGTATATTTTCAATTTAGATGTTGTTGCCTAAAAGATTTACAAATTAATATTGAATTTATGGGATTTCTATTGGCAAGGTTTGAGAACATCACCAATGCCCTTAGAAATTCTACGCTTTCAATATTCTTTTTTTTCGTGGCTCTTTCATATATTACATCTCGTTAATAATCATTGTATATTGTTTTTATATAACAGCAAAATTATTTTGATCTTTCAGCTTACTTGAAAATTAATTGTAGCACAGCTAAAAGAACAATAATTTTATTAAAAGTAGCTTTTAATTCGGGGTTTTTACAATTAAAATTTTTTTCTATTATTAATAGAATTACGTTTTAAAAAGCTTTAAAAATACTAGATAATATATTATTTTGAATTTTTTTAAATGAAAATTTGTTCCAAGTCTGCAATGTCCAATAGTACGCATGCGCAATTATCTTTACGGAAATATTAAACAGGAAATATATTGAATTATCGGCGACCGTCCATGTCGATATAGGCTAGATCTTGATACTCCGTTCTGTGTTTAAAGAGTGATCGTTTGATTTGCCGGGCACATCATGCTTAAAGCTATGGCTACTCTGGGCTCTAGGGTTCTTTTTAGAAATCAAACTTGTTGGAAACCCGTAAAAAGTACGTATTTACAGATGTTAAAACATAATTATAAAAATTATTTTGACTTTGCAGATTTATCAAGGTTTCAAGTACCAAAACAGAAACATCATTTTCAAAAATCTACTACTCTAACGAGTCTTTTACAAAATATGTCGATTTCAGAAAGCTTCTCCCAAACATCAAATTTTCATACATCTGTACAAGTTGAAATGCCTCGATTAGTGACAATCAGACATAAGAAAATGAAAAAGCATAAATTAAAAAAATTTAGAAAAAGAATGCATTACGTCTTGAAAAAAGTTAGTATAAAGAAATTTATCACTTTGTTCATTTTTTAAAAGATGTTTTTTTTAATGATGTAGAATTCATTTTATTTTCGTATTTTTTCATTTAGCAAAAAGAACAAAGGCTGAAAAAGAGACTGAAAGCTATAAAAGCAGAAGAAGTAGTTTTATTAAATGAAGCCAGGAAATGGAACCCAGAGAAGGTGCTTGAAGAAGAAATCGAAGCTGCTAAACGAGGAGGCTGGAAAGTTGATGTTTTGGAAAATTACAAAAGACGACAAAGCTTAAATTAGAATATCATATAATTTATGTATTGTTTAGGGAATTTTAACCTAAAATGTACTAATAAACGTTTGTTGAAATTTTCAAATTCTCTTAATCTTCTCTGTGCTAGAGAGCTTAAATGTAATTCTTGGATTATGTAGATCACAATTTTGTAGGATGTATTAGCAACTAATCTAGAAATGTGCAACAAAAAAGTCCTTTTCCTTCTAATGTGAAACAAAAAAGCAAATGTTTGCAAATTCTACAAAAAAAAGTAACTCCGTGTCGGGGAATCGAACCCCGGTCTCCTGAGTGACAGTCAGGGATACTCACCACTATACTAACACGGATGCGTTATACTTCATAAATTTTTGCAGAACTCAATTGCTGCTATGAACTAATCTCTGTAAAAAAAACAAAAATACAGAAGAAAAAAAGAACTCCGTGTCGGGGAATCGAACCCCGGTCTCCTGAGTGACAGTCAGGGATACTCACCACTATACTAACACGGACACATTGGTTCAAGGTAATTAATGCTTATTGGTTCCTTCGTTTGACCTCTACAAACAAATATAATTTAATCTAAAAAGAAAAAAGTTACAACTCCGTGTCGGGGAATCGAACCCCGGTCTCCTGAGTGACAGTCAGGGATACTCACCACTATACTAACACGGACACATTGGTCCAAAGTTATTAATGTTTAGTGGTTCCTTCGTTTGACCTCTACAAACAAATATAATTTAATCTAAAAAGAAAAAAAGAACTCCGTGTCGGGGAATCGAACCCCGGTCTCCTGAGTGACAGTCAGGGATACTCACCACTATACTAACACGGATATGCCATTCTTTGTGGTGACAACATATCCAAAATTACAAATTGGTTATGTTGATGAAAAGAGAAGTGGACGATTGAAACAGGTTCGGCGTGGATTATTCTGCCTCCAAATTTAGAGATTATTATAAGCGAAATAATATTTATATTTATTGATAATCTGTAATAATTATAGATGTTATTCTTTGTGATGTTTATTTGATTGCAATGTTTAGCAGACGTTATAGCATTCAAATAATTTTAAATTAGCTAATAGCCTTGTATTGTAGGGACATCACATATATGTGCTACTTTCATTTCACGCTTTAACAATCAGTTATTCATCTTTTTTTTTGGCTTCCTACAATCTTAACCAGTACATGCTGCTTCGAAGTCTACCATAATCCGGTAATTGTTCGACTGGACCTACAGCGGCTACTGCTGGGCATTTGTCATATATGTATTTTGTACAGACGTCTCGTACAGTTTGTGCATTGATAGCTGCAATACGGGCGTCTAATTCGGATGGTGGGATGCGTCTTCCGTAACACAAGATTTGACGGCCTATATCCTCACAAACTGGTGTCGAACCATCGAGCATTAGCATTAAATGTGTTCTAAGCAAGTTCTTTGCCCGTTCTACTTCGAATTCGGTTACAGATGTGCACAAACGCATCCTATTTTGAATTATAGAAATAATCATTAAAATTTTCAGTGGTAATGGATTTAAATAAAACTAACCATTCCTTCTGCAAGTTGAAAACAAAATCTTCGATACTCAATTTATCGCAAACAAAATACATTCCCCACAATCCAGTATCTGTATAGCTTGTATTGAAACTTTGGAAACTGTGTGCTAAGCCGGATTGTACACATTTCTGAGCTAGAATAGAACTAAGATTTTGACCACCGCCATGAGACCTATCCCACGATCCTAGAAGGGTATTGGCAATCATAAGCGCAATATTGTCACTGTTTGCCCATCCACAACTTTCAACAGCTATGGCGATGTGAGCTAAAGGCATATCATCATCTCTAACTCTCATTTCACTGCCGGTGAATCGGCAAGGCTCGACAACTGGAACGGCGCCTTGTATATCATTACTAATATTGCCAAAGTGCTTTTGTGCTAAGCTTTTCAAATCGGCATGATTAACACCTCCTGCACCAGCCAAAACCATTCTTGGTGGTTTGTAGTGGGTGGTGATATAGTCTATCAAGTCTTGTCGCTTGATACTGTTAATATTTTCAGTAGGTCCTAAAATGGTTCTACCCAAAGGTGTTCCCTGGTAGGCGGTTGCATGTAAGAAGTCAAAAACGACTTCTTGTAAGTTCATTTCGACTTCTTGCATTTCGCGCAAAATGACTCCGCGTTCATTATCGATTTCGGTTTCCCCAAGTTTACTATTCTTAATGATATCAGCCAAAACTTCCACGACTGTTGAAAAATTTTATAAATAATCAAATGAAAAAGTTAAAAAATACTTACTATTTTCAAGATCGTTGGTAAAACCCTTAGCATAATAAGCAGTTTGTTCTCTGGATGTATACGCATTAAGATGAGCTCCTTTATTTTCAATATAAAGTTCTAAATCCTTTTGGGATCGTTTATCCGTACCCTAAAAATATTTTGGTGAGTGACATATGAAGGACAAGAGTTAATATACATACCTTGAAAATCATATGCTCTAAAAAGTGGGCAACCCCATTGGTTTTCTCAGTTTCATATCTGCTACCAGCATCAATCCATAAACCAACCTAAGAGTATAAATGAAATTACAAAGTGTTGATTGTAATAGAAGAAAAGTTACTGTGCAAGTTGGAGATCCGGTATCCTCTGATGCAACCCTGAGTCCGTTGTTGATCGTAGACACTTGTGTTTCAGGTATGTTTAACATAGCCTGCTCGTAAGTTACTGCACTTTGCCATCTTTTTGGGAGGTAACTTCCAGACAGGGGCTAAAATAAAATATATAGATGTTACATGCGGCATTTGACATTGTAGCAATTAAGGTCAATAATACGAAAAGGCATAAATAATCTGGAAAGTAGACCAAACCCTCAGTATGATAATATAGATGTTATTCCCACAAGTCAAATAATGTTAAAAATACCTTGCTGGGTTTTGATAAATTCTGTCCTAACTTTAGCGAAGATCGTAGTATCTTGGACGCCATTTTGGTGAAAACTAGGAGGCATGCGCACTGAAATATTCAACCCGTATTCAACACATTTTTATATTTGATGCCATTTGTTTCAATTAATTTTAAAATCTTTCTTATCGACGATAATAAATTTTAAAGACAAGTTAACAGAAATTTTCGTGCGCACCTGCGATTGTTTATTTCCGCTGCGGTCAATGTTACTTTAGACGGGTTTTTAATTTGATGTAAATTTTTTATATAACAAATATGACAGAAACTCCTGTTTTAAGTATACGATCATGGATAAGGGAAGCTTTATTAGGTTATTAATATGTTTTTAGAATGTCTTACGGAATATTTGTACTCGATAATGTGTTATTTCAATAGTTACAACAAAAATTCCATTAAATTCTGCCGGTTCAGTTTTAATAAGATCATTGTTTTACTCCTAGGCTATGCTTTCTGGTGTTTATTCCAAGGACTTGCTCCAATTATTTGGTTTTTTCCTCTTAATGAACTCGAATTATCAGGTTATGAAGCTTTTGCTGTATGCCTCCTTAGTCCCTGTATTTTGGGAATAACTGCTTTTAAGCGATTTTTCAGTCAAAGGTACTACATGCTCATCTGTTAGATTACGAACATATTGAATTTTGTTCTATACTCCATCAGATATTCTATGGCGTTACTACGATTGATCGCTATAGCTGGTTTAGGAAGTTTCCAATGTCCTTCAACAATAAGCCGATTAATTGTATTATGCGCTGGATTAGCCAGTAGCTTAATCGTCTTAGCTGCATCGATTACGAGCAAAAATCAACTCAAAAGGTCAGTATATCATTTTTAATGTAAGAATCTGAAGACAACTTTCATTAGACATACAACGGCTTGGGGTCTCATTCTTGGATTGCTCACGTTTGTCTCAGTAAGAGTATGGTTTTTATCATTTGTGCCAACCTGGTGGAATGATACCTGGAATTCAATAACCGTTGCGTTCGGTATAATAGCAACAATTGATAAAATCGCTTCAGGTTTGAGAGAATAACTAAAATATTCTCTATCTTAAATATTGTATATCTCCCATAAACTTTGTTTAGGAGAAGATTCAGAGCCAAAATCGAATGAGAAAGATGTATATAATAGAAATTGTCTCATTATGGGATGTGGTTTGGGTACTATGCTATTTCAAACTCAATTGCTATTAGGAGAATCGTCTATATTATCAAGATGGACAATAAAAGAGTATCCAGATCCTGGCCCGCAACCCTTTCCACACGGGTATATTGTTCAATTTGATTTATTGTCTAAATTACTATTATTTTAATATAACTCTTATTTAGAGCACTTATCATTTTTACCTTATTAATTGGAGTATTTTTAATATGGAATGGAATTTTTAGACGAAGTAAATTAGCTTGTATAGTATATACTATTTCCTTTTTTATTCTTTATTACTTTCCTCGAACTACGGGTTTTAGCGGTAAGTTATCTTTTAACATTTTTCATTATTATTAATAAATGAATTTCATGTTCCATAATATAGCTGGATTGTTAGTAATTTTATACACATTTCTGGTCTGGCCGGAAATTTTAGACGATTTAACTACGTCGAGAGCTGCATCTACTTTTGTTATAGGCGCTATTGTTTATCTCATTGAAATTTTCTTCTCTGTTTGGACGGTAGCTTATAATTTCGTTCCTGGTGGCGTCTTTACTCGGGAAAGAACACATGTACTAATCGGAATAATGACTGCTACATTATCTTTATATGTACTAACTGGTAAAGATCAAAAAAAGAATAATTCTCCTGCCATGATTTTGAATGCTAAAGGATCTAGAGGAACAACTAAACACGCTTCCAGCTCACTTATGATCAGTAATATATAAAATTTATACACTAATGTTTGTAATAAATAACTTATCTCTTTCAGTTTGTATTTTACTCTTATTGTTTGGTTTTGGAGGTTTTTTCTATCGTCTACCAAATCAAGAATTTAATCATCCACCCAAAGAACATCCCAATGCAAATTTTACGGCTGCTATTTGGACATATCACTTTGGCTATGATAATCGAGGATGGCCTTCTCTAGAAAGAACTAAGACCCTTTTCGACAAGATAGATGCTGATTTTATAACACTATTAGAAAGGTAGTATTTGTTTTTTAGGATATCATCTAATCTCTAAGTATTTTAAAATACAGCGATGCCTCCAAAACTTTCCTCGGCAATAACGATCTTGGTTTATGGTTATCTGAAAAGATGGGTATGTATGTTGATTTCGGACCATCGACAAAGGATCACACTTGGGGGTAAGTTATTTATCTTTTTTTATTATAAAAACAAGTCTAAAAAGTGTCGAAATTTTATCAGGAATTTAATACTGTCAAGATATCCTATTGTTAAGTCTAAACATCACCTCTTACCTTCTCCTGAAGGTTTGAATACTATTTTTAAACTTAGAACTTTTTATTAATTAAAAATTTCATTGACATCTTATTCTAAACAGGGGAACTTGCTCCAGCAATAACAGCAACAGTAAATATGTCTGGAAATTTTATAGATTTTGTTGTAACTCATATGGGAAATGATAGAGATGTTTTGGATAGGAAACTTCAGGCGGAAGTCTTATCTAAAGAATTAAAAAAAGCGTAATTATTTTCAGAATTAATTGCCTTTCTTTTTTTCCAACGATAAATTTTAAAACAAGCCAATATCATTTTGTAGAACAAATCCAGTTGTATTCCTTGGATATGTAACATCTGCTCCCCAAAGCCGGGAGTATCTTCAACTAATCGAGAAGGGTAACGTCAAAGATATTGATTCTACAGATATGGATAGATGGTGTGAGTACATTATGTATAGAGGATTAAGAAGGTAAAATTACCCTAAGTAGTCTATCTATTTTCGTAATCTTCTTAATTCTTTTCAGATTGGGTTACGCACGCATATCAAACGGAGGATTAAGCGATACTGAAATACAAGTAGCTAAATTTCAAATTCCAGAAAGTAAAAATTTCAAAGACAACGATAAACTAATAACAAATCCTTCAAAAATCGAAAGAATAAACAGATTTAATCCATCGTAAGTTAATTAATTTAAAGTATTCAGAATGTCAACATCTAAATTGTTTTTTAAACTAGATTTGGTGAATTTTCACATGGTCATAATTGGATTGTTGATCATCGTTATCATATGAGCACACCAAAATATTTTCTGCCATAGAGAAGAATACGAAGAAAACCTTTCAACTCTTTCTAGTTATCACTTTTAGCGAATAATCCCACATTGCAACATATATATATATTTTGTTGCTTTATATTCAATAGCTATCATATAGGTTTTAACATATCGTTTTTTAACTGATTTATTCTTCTAATATATAATTTTACAACTTTTTCTTTTTTATTTAATAAATTACTGTAGTACAGTTTGATTTTATGATTTTATTTATTAGTCAACTTCTATTGCTTTCTTTTTCGATTTAACATCGTTTTCCATTGGAATGGAATAATGTATGCATTGCCTCAAAATAAAAAGTAGTTCTTCTGTTTGCATCTCAGCTTGATCGAGTCTGAATAATTTTAGAGAATATTAATTATACATACTCAAGGAAGGAAAGGAGACAATCAATAGTTCTTACTGGCTATAAGCTTTGCTTAATCTTTCAATTTGTTCTTTCTCGCCAACAGTTGACATTTCTTCAATTTCTTTTTGACATTCTTCTAATTTTTGCTGAAAAAACAGGAACATTACGTTTACATTTAAACAAATTTCCAATCAGTCTATATTTAATTCATTATTACAGCGTGATCTGGAGCGGATGGATCTAAGGCATTAGTCATTTGTAGGGCGATTGCTTCAATTTTAGATTGTTTCTCTAAGAGTCTCCTATTAGATGGTAAAATTAACTAATCAATAAGATTTATGAACAAATTTGACTATTTTTTTATATATACTTGGATTTCTTTCCTTCGTGATCTCGTCTTGAATAGAGGTTACCCAAAATCTATAAATTCGAATATGAATATTGGAATGACCAGATGAAAAGTAAGCGATACTACTACTTACCATATAGCAGTTCTCTTCAAGTTTCCTAGCTAGGGCATCAATATTAACAGAAAATAAATAAAAAGTAGATCTAGGAGCGTGATCACTTGTCTTAGGTACTTCCTATAATGAATTTTGCACGATTACTCACTTTTACATTTCCTAGAAATCTTCAAAACTCACCGTTACAGAAACGTATTGCTGTTCAACCATTCTATAAAGTAATTCCTTAGCTTCCTTTGCTGGAATCATAACGCAATCCTCAATCTTTTTGAAGGAATAAAGAACGTCTAAAATGAGAATTTTTATACTTTCACTGTTAATAATATTAAACCTTTTGTTGTTCTAAATTTCCATTTAATAATAAAACTTTGAATATTCTAAATGCTTTTGAACCAAACTTTTCTTGAATTATTGATTCAATATGGCTAGTAGCTAGATTTTTCATCGCTTTTGGTAAATCTATGGTGTAATGTATTAATTAGAATGTAATACTTCTTACATTGTACATGTATATTATTCACCTATTGCATATGTTCCTTCTCCACTGTCGGCTAGCTTAATGACGCAATTAAACTATAAGGAATGAGTATGAATGAAACAATATTAATTCTTGAACTGGTGACTAAACGAATAAAACCTACAGAGTCTTCAACAAGAAGAGACATATACTGAGTAAGTATATCTTTACTTATTCCAAGTTCTTTTTTTGTAATCGGAGATAACTTTTTAAAGATGAAGAACGATAAATTTTATGATAAAATACTAATTTAACAAGGAAACAAACTTCAATCATTGAAATTCCTTTTGTACTTGTGCAATTAGGATCCGTTCTAGTTTCACTTATTCGAAGTATTATTTTAATAATTTCGCAGGCGTTCTATAAGATAATGTGAATTATAAAATAGAGTACATAATATATATATATATATATATATATTATGATTATTATTAATATTAAAAGTAGAAAATAACTTACGGAATCGATTCGTCTTTCAAAAGCTGTTGCTATTTGGCAATCTCTTAAATATCTGTGAAATCTATCATAATTTATAATCCATAGAACTAGATTTTCTGTTTCTTCAGTTTTTTGTCGTTTTTCTGGTGGTTCACCTGAAGTAAAATAACAAATATCTTAATAATAAATGCTTGAGGTTGATTTAAAATATATGTTCAATATAAAGTTATATATTTACTATCTGCCATTGGTGGAACAAAATACAAATTGTGCTTTTGCTCACTAAATATAGGAACACCATCTTCAACTCCAACAACTGAAGGAAATCTTTTGATAAATTGTTCTGAGACTAATTTGATGAAAATAGGGTGAATTTCTTCTTTTTTGATGTTTTGATTATTCCCTTCAGCATCAGTTTTCATAGTTATGTTTTTAACAATATCATCTAAGCTTAGATTTCCGTGAAAGCATAATTCTTCAACAATAAATTCAGCTGTATCGCCAAATAACGATTTGGCTGTAAATATAAATTTTGGGAATAAAATCCTGTTTAGAACAATGTCAGTGTGAATATAATATTCCAAAGTGCCGGAAGTGGATCTTTTAAAAGTAACGAGATTATGATGAATAAAGGTATATAAGCATTTTTTGACCTGTAAACTTTCATGTACATTAAATTAAATATTTCATAACATTCGAATTTCTTACAGTTAGAATTCTTTCTTTGGATAGTCGGGATAATTCGAACAATGATGTATGCCCTTTAGCTAACAATACTTGACTCACACGACCTGCAATGTCTCCAAAACCTTCAGAAATTATAGAAGAGCAAAGATGATTTAAACTTGACGACATGCTATCTTCTACTATTATTGAGCTATATTATCGCTCAGCCGAATCGAAAAATAGCAATAGTTTTCTACCAGTTTATTGTTGTCTCGTTTCCTCGGACTCAAAGGCTAATATCAAAGAAAATGACAACTGACTCGTCAGCGTTTGGCTTTATTTCAACACTAGCAAAATTAGTGTGTCCACAGCCGTGCTATGATGAATTCTTTGTGAAATTTAATTTTTTTCATAGTTAGTACTTGCTAATAAATGCAAAATAAGAAATGATCTAAATATTTTATATATTTATATTCCTGAACAGTTGCCTGTCTCAAAGTTGTTCTTAGCAAATGTCTAGGATACGGGATTATTTTGGGATCGGTTTTAGGTTTGTAAGCAAGAAGCGTTTTACTTACTAACCGTTCTAAAATTGTGTATACAGTATATTGTATGATTAAAGGCTTAGCTGTTTGACATTTGATATCTACTATATATGTTAAATGTTCTTAATTTAATTTTACAGTAAAAGTACCCCAAATCTTAAAGATTCTCTTCTCAAGAAGTGGAAAAGGAATAAGTCTGGCTTCATCAACTCTTGAACTATTATCAACAAGTTCATCTCTTGGCTATGGAGTCGCTAAAGGCTTTCCTTTTAGGTTCGATTATATTACAATAAATTCTTAAATATTCTCAAACGTTCTTTCAATATTCTAACAGTTCGATTGGAGATTCATTCTTTTTAACAGTACAAAATTTAATAGTTGTTGCAATGGTTACTTTGTTCGAAATTGGACTTTTTCCTTCGATTATTTTTGGTTTACTCTCCGCACTATTCTGCGTGTTTGTTTGCACATCTCTGGCTCCATTTTCTCTGTTATACTTCCTACAGGGTTCAGTTATACCTATAATTATAATTAGTAAGGTTAGTTAAATATAAATAATAGTCTGTTCAAATAAAATATTTTGAACGTAAATTATTCTATATATTACATTTTCTATTTTTACTTTTCAGCTTATTCAGGCTTTTTCTAATTTTAGAAATAAATCTACTGGACAACTGTCTGCAATTACAGTTTTCTTGTTATTCTTCGGTTCGATTGCAAGAATATTTACAGCCATACAGGAAACGGGTGATACGATGATAATACTAGTATACGTCTGTTCAACGTTAATGAATGGCTTAATTGTCATGCAAATGATACTATATTGGAACAATTCAACGAAAAAGATTAAAAAAGCTAAAAAGGCTTAGATTAACTAATCAATCCTAAGGTGATATTCCGTGAAAGATTAAGAAATTAATTAGATAAATTGAAAAAATTGGAATGTTTATAAAAATTTATTTCTCAATTATTCCTTTATTAAAAATAATACAATGACAAAGAAATTAGATATATTTTTTGCATACAAAACAAGGCTCATTGTTTTCTTGTTCAAGTTGGTTTTTCTTAATTTTCAAAAGCTTGCCATCTTTTTGACAATAAATCAAATATCTCCACAAGTTTTGAATATTTTTCAGAACGATTTGGACAAGTTCGACCGTTAAATAATAACTTGGATTGAAATTGCTCATCAAATATTGATTTCAAATTATCTAGACATTGAAGATTTTTAGTATTGTAGACTTTCTCGTAGGATGATAGCTGACGAAGTACGCATCTCATCTCTTGGAATATTCTAAAATTCTTTTCCAGATCATTCTCCTTAGGCCAAATTGAACCTACGGAATTATCATTTTCCATTTGCAGTATAAATGGAAAAACATCAGGTAAAACTGGAGTTTTTGTCTCAGCAAGATCTTCTTTTAATTTCTTATATTCTCCTTCGATAAAATCCGTGAGAATTGCGTATCTGGCCTTGGTTAATTCCCAAGTTTTTGTTAGCTTGGAAATTTGAGGTGATTTTAAAGCGAAAGTAATTAAGCGGAAGGTAAATAAATTTCCGATATGGAATAATTGATTTGCAACTGCATGCCAAAATCTAAGGCAGTTTACTCTATCATCGACTGAAATACTGGACGTTAAAATGGTTGATAGGATAAAGAAATGTAATGAGATCATATGATCTAATAATTTCTTTCTCTCTTCTTCGCCAGTGTGTAGAGTTAAAAGTTCGATTATCCTATAATTACCCGTTCTATCGAACAATTTATGAAAATGAAAGAAAGTAAGAAATTCGGCCACGGAACGTACATGTTCGTTTAACAGACTTCTTCGAACAGTTACCATATTAAACTTTTGAGGTGCTGTGTAAAAAACCTCGGGTTTCTTCTCTTCGGCCGTCGATAAATCGTAAAGAACTTCTTCGGCAACCTTATCGTATAATGGTTGTTCAAACTCCGGCTCAATCTCTTTAGCCTTTGGAACTGTGTCTTCATATCTAGGTATTGTAACTACAGATAGTTCTTTTTTGGTAAACGGCTGACTTCCCGTCCTTTTCCTGGGTAATGATGGACTGTTGCAGGCGCTTTTGCAGCAAACTCCTAGTGGTATACCACAAGGTCTGGGTACTGGCTTAGTAATAATAGCTTCGGAGTTGGAAGAAATTAATTTCTTTTTTACGATATAGTAGTTTATCAACTCATAGACGCTGTCAAACGTATCCTCTTCAAACTGATATTTATATATCTCTGAATCATTCACTTTATGCTTATTGATAACGAAATGCAAAGGCTTAGATTTACATAAGCAAGATAATATTATCTCTCCCTTTTTAGACGTTGAATTCCTAATAAGAAAATCTCCATCAGCTTTTAACAAAGACTCAGCCGTCTTCCGGCAGATGGCGCCATAGAACCAAGATTGAGATTCTAATAGCTTTTCCTTGGCCACTTTTATCTTCCTCCTTAAAAGAGGTGAATTTGGGGCACTACTGCTAGCACCAGGCGTTGGTGGAAGTGGTTGGTGTTGAATCTTTAGATCAGTATAGTTTTTCACTCTTAACTGCTTAGTCCTCATTGTTAAATCTATATGTAAATGAATATATATATTTTCAATAATAACTAATTTAAATGTAAATGAATTCTTATTCTTTATATACATCTAAAAAAAAAGAATATAGAAAACAAACATACCGGAAATACTGTCTCTAACTAAAAGTAACTTTGCATAAATTCTAGCTCTATCCTCTTCCTTTTTAATTCCCAATTTCTTAAAATCCGATTCAGTTGAACTAATAATATCCTATTTAAAAGAAAGAAAAGAATAAAAATGAATAAAGGGAAAATAAAAAACAAGGATTATTCATTAATAATAAATAATTTTTTCAATTAAAAAGAGAGAGAGAGAGAGAGAGAGGAATACCTCTTAGTCATTATATTTATCACGTAACTGGCTACTTTATATACATATCTCCCCCCCCCCCCCTCTCTCTCTCTCTCTATCTGTCTATACATACATATACAGTATATATGTATATACAATATATAAAATTTAACTATTGTTATACTGTCTGCTGAAATTTTTTTTAAATGACAAAGTAATTATTTCAATGGCTTTATGGCAAAGTATTACGATAGTTTGTGTACTATCCATTCATTATTGTTGTTGCGTATAAACAATTAAGTAAAAGGAAAAACTATCATAATTAATGATATAATCTATTGAAGGTAGATATATTTATATATATTGCATAAGGATAAATGCTATAGTATGATTAAGCATCGTCGTCATTTACTACTCATCATATTAAATGATTATTTTCTTCCTATTTTGGGCTTGCTCTATTGATTTCTCTCTTTTTACTGTTGTTGTTGTTGTTACTGATGATGGATTAAGTGAATAAATAGCCATAAGCTATAATAAAATTATCCTCTCCTAAAAATATTATTAATAAGTTCACCTAAAAACAACAACGATAACAAGACCCTACTATCTTACAGGCTTTATTTATATTTGAACAACATTGCCAAACCAGGCTAATTATTATATTTTAAAAAAGTGATTTTATATTATAAAACAAACAAAATCTTTAGTAGTTCGATAAAAACTTTAAAAGGATTGTAGTCCTATAATGCACTTACGTTTAAGCTATCAAACTTTTGAAAGTATTTACTGAAACCTTCTAAACCGCAAGATGATAGCCAAACTTGGACTGAAATTTTATCCAATCCTTTTTCCATGTCTTTTCGTCTAAAAGGAGAAAATAAGATGATTAGATAATGTTAATAAAAGGGTATATAGGGTTAAAGTAGAAAACAGACAAAAAAGAATTATGTAATGAATCATATTTAGGAGTGAGTCATATGAAAACAAGGCAGAAAAGGGGCTGACAATCGATTGGGGTTCATCTCAACAAGTAAATATGCAAATTTTTATCAAATCTTATCACATCATCAATTAAAATAAATATGAATAATCTTGTTAAGAGGATAAGGAGATAAAATTGTAATAAATCCCTTCTTCATCCTCCTAGCAAGAGCGATAAAACAAGAGAAATTTTATGTAAAATACTTACATGATGTACCATTGGAGACAGCTGAACTTACTCACAAAGAATGAATGTTACAGTAGCCTATTAATCTAAGCTTTATATTAGAAAATATGAAAAAAAGTCTTCAATTACATAAAAGAAAGGAATCGCTTGCAGCAATTTGTGCAGGGAGAAAGAACATAGGACGCTCTCTCGCTACCCCGGCAAAGCGCAAACTGCAAAAAACTGCCAGGCGTCTATGGAACTCTGCACAAAGCCGGCTATATGCAAATGAGGCGTTGCACGCTCTATACGCGCACAGGTTTCGCCGTGTGAAAAAATCGATGATTCGCTTCGTCAGCTTTATTTCTACTATTTTATTGACGATCGCGTATATTTCTTTAGTACTGAGTGTACAGTTTAATTGACTTACACATTAGCCCTAAATGTAATATAATGATTAGCAGGGATGTAAAAGTTAAAGAAGGGAGATTAGCGAGTAAAACGTGAGAGTATTTATAGACGGAAGGAAGGAAAAAGATGAAAGAAAGAAATATTGCATTAATACACGAGTGATATGAAACAATGAGGGCGGTATGGGGGTAGGAGGTATGATGAGGGACAGATGGTCGGGGAAGGGTAGCATGTTGGATAAGTAGTTTAAAAATAGAAGTAGTAATAGGAAAAGAGTATGACCAAATCCTATTTGTTACGCCTGATGGCCAAACTTCTAGAATTACAACAGACAAACAAGTTACTACTCCTACTTTCTCTTTTGCCTCGTTGGGGTAAAGGAATGCTTGAGCTGATAAGATCTGGAATTAACTGCAGCCCTGTCTATTGGCGTGGGTTATTTTCTCCCTTTATGTTTGGTATATACACAAAATCAGAAGGATCTAAAGTAATTTCCGTAAAAGAAAATAAAAATAAGGAAATAGGCCCGTTTTCCTTTCGTATTATCTTTTCTAACCCTTAAAAAAACCACATCTGCTATTAGAGTATGTATAGATTGTATACTGTATATATCATTAATCTATCGTGCGATAAATGACGGAAAAGAGGCGGAAGTGGGCGGACAAGTAGGATGAAGGAAACTTGTGAGAAAGTACGAAAGAGTCGAAAGAAGTATCTAAATTGATGGGGAGTTTGGAGAGGTTCGTTGGGAGAAAAAATGGCAAACGTATAAGTAGTAACTGTGCAAGATGAAAACAACATGAGGAAATGGGTGAAAGGAGGAAGATTATATGAGAGAGAGGAAAGGATTTTTGGATGAATAAGTTGTTTTATGGTCGTAGAACGAATAATTGATGAAGAGTGTAACCTAAACAACGTCATATAATCTATCGTAATAAATCAAATATAGTTGTCAAGGCTACATAGAATGATAATTGAACTCTTCTACTCACTTTGAACGTAATACTTAAAGTTACCCGGACCGCATCCTTCTGTTACCGGAAATTAAAACCGATAAGGGGCGTTTAATATTTCAGAAACGCTATTCTATTCTAGCAAATTATTCACATATTAAATAAAAAGTGATATAGGTGTACACATATAACCGATACATAAGAAAGCGTGACATTTAATATAATGTATAAACTCTGTTTTCTTCATTTTTCATATGCTACAATCGTCGTTTAATTTCTTCTCATTAACCTTCCTGTTTTAATTCACCATCTCCCTCCTTCCCTCTCCCCCCCCCCTCTCTCTCTTTTCCTTTCTTCCTTTACTTTCAATTAACCTATCTGCACTATACAGTATATTTTTCGTTATAAATCTCTGAAATAAACTTATCAATGGATTTTTTTTGGGGGGAAATCATAATTCCTTACGCGTCAAACACAATTTACCCATTAAGTGGAAAATATATTTGTTTTTATACATGTATCTAAATAATCAAAACGGAACTCCCAAAGCGGAAGCGGTAACGCCGCAAACCTTTTAGTTATTTTCTTTCATCTCTAGTGTTTAATTTTCATACGCATCACAACGTCCTTATTCAATTTTTCCCTTATTATCGATCATAAACCTTTTCTAAGAGTTAACAAACAAACTTTTCTTTACCTACTAAAAAATAATAAATCATTGTTTCTTTGCGTCTTTGACTCTCCTATATAGAAAAAACAAAATCACAGCCATTTCAATATAAATAACTTTAGAAAGGATTATATTATTATATAATTATTGGATCTTGATTTTATCCTTTGTCTTTTTTTCTTTAAAAAAACAAAAATTTCCTAAATAAATAATTTTTTTTGTATAGCTTTTGCGTGTTCTTAAAAAAAAATGGAATACTTAAAGTAATTTCGTTGACAAACTGCTCTAGTGTAGTGTGTAATTAGTTAGCTAATTATTCTGTCGACGTAAAATAGTTTACGCTTTTAGATTTGGAAAAGAAATTAGTAATTCGACTGCTGTTTCTTTATATAAGCAAAGGATTAAGTTTCCAGTTTATGCATACAACATATGCAGCTTATTCTTTTTTTCGGAGGAAATATAGTAAGCCTGGAAAAAAAAAAGAAAGAAAAGGAATTATCAATATTTGTCTAGTTGGAGAGAGAGAGAGAGAGAGTGAAAGAAAGAAATTAAGCCCAAATTTTTTCCTCCCTATTCTACAAGGAAAAAAGAAGGGGAGCAAAAGAGTTTAGTCTTCAATTATCCGTAAAATTAAGAAATAAATGCTTAGGCTATCCGAATTTTTGCAAATTGAATGAAATATTCTCCCTTAGGCCTAATGTGGGGAGATGTTGGCTAAGAAATAAATAATTTCTCAGTGGATAGAAAAGAGCTTCTGGTTTTTTAATGCATAGGTTTCTTACCATTAATTAAAGTCTTCCTATAAGGTTATTTAATAATGAAAGGACCAAAGTGTAAAGCAGAATACGAAAAGAGATAAAAGAGGACAAGGAGTAAAACACTTTTTAAAGAATATTGGCCTTTTATTCATTGATTTATTATCCATCGTAACATTCCACTAGACAACATCAATTTGTTATTTATCAGATAATAACAACCAGAGAATTTATATTCATGTTGTTATTAGATAAGATTTTAAAGAAAGGAATATATAAATAACACAACAACAGCAACAACAAATAAACAAAGTGATAAAATGTAAAAAAAAAAGAGAGAGAGAAAAGGAAAAATAAGGAATATGCTTCTAATAATAATTAGTTGAAGAGAAAGAATAGAAAAAGAAATAAATAGAAGAGTAAGAATAGGAGATAAACAAACAAAATCAAGTTAAAATACGAGAGAAATTTACCAATTACTCGGAGTGCACTTTAGCATAAAATTTTATTTATATTTATAAAAGCCTCGATCAGTTAATTGAGTAAGATCGTTTGGAAAGCATTTTGATCCACTTCCTCTTTAATCCGATTATCAAATGCTTCGTCTATCTCCGACAAATTTTATTATCATCTTTTTAAATATTTAATTCTTACAATTCTTCTTTTATTCAAAATCATAATCATCATCTTTCTCTCCCTATCTCCTTCTTACCATATTGTTTGCATTAGCAATACTAATCGTACTAATAGAAATTTGGCCTAAGAATTAAAAGATACCAATAAAGAAACACGAAAGGTATAGAACACACTTTCAAGTTGATCAAGGTAAAGCTTTCATCTTACATGGATTAATAGCCAAAGAAAATGACATATATATATATAACATGGCATCGTACTGCCTTTAAAAAAATTTGCACTTGATAAAAGCGCTTTAGTCTTATGTTATATATTGTTTTCATTTAGGTCTATTTTATATCAATAACAGTCTTGTTTCATTTGAAAATATATATTTCAACATAGTATAAAACATATAATGTATATATAGCGTTCTATTTTAAATTAGAATATATTTTCTCTATTGGAGGAATAGGTTGGGATAAATTTTTACATTACTGATTCTCTTTCTATCCTCCTCCTTTAACATCTTGTTTGTTTAGATAATTTTAGATAAAATACATATATTAAAGTTTATTCAAGCTTTAATTTATTTACGATTATTATTTGTATTTTTTAATGGCTATCCATTAATAATACTGTTGTTATCCCTATCGTGAAAATTGATGAAATGTAGAATTATTCGTTTTATAGTTGTTTACAGCATATAGTACTCATAAATTATTCTTAATGTAAGTAAGGGACTTTGAGGATGCGTTTTAAATAAGGTCGAGTCAGCTAGTCGCATCCATATTAATCAGTATAGTATATTTACCATTCTGAAGCAAACTGATAGAAAGATAAAATAAAAACAAAATTTACCAATTAAAATCATGACGTCATAAAAACGTTTTATATGTATAAAAGTACATTAAATACGTATAATTTCAATACGGCTAAGTAATTAATAATTATAGATATTCAATTGGATAGAAATTTAAATATATATTGTATACGTATATATATATATATATATATATATATGTAGACAGAGAGAGAGAGAGAGAATATGATTGAGAGGCTGGAGATAGTTGCACAAACTAACTAGAGAGAAAAAGGTACGAAAGTCGAAAAGAAAAAAATCTTCTCATTCTAACTATCTTCCTTCTCTCTCCCTCTCTCTCTCTCTCTCTCTCTCTCTATTTTTTAGCTTATATATTAACTATATTAGGCACAATGTCAATATATTCTCTTATAATGATCATGTAAAATATGTATAATATTAATAAAGAATTGATTAGTTTTGTATAGTGTAATATCATATAGCTAGCTATCTATTGATAAAAATGCGTATTGTTTTAATACATTTTTTCCATTCGTCATTAATGGCGTTCATTAAGACATGATAGTAACTTATTAATGGTATTTATTTGTTCTAATGTATTTTTAATAGAATAATCTTTCCTAATGAATATTAATTGATCATATAGATATTTCTTTAGCCTATCATCAGCTTTAAATTAACTTTTAAACAAACAAATGAAGGACTAATAACGTAAATGTTTTTTTTGTCTCTCTCTTCATATCAATCTATCTATCATTATTCTTATGTCCTCTTTTCTTTTCTCTTTTGTTCACATTGAAAAAGAATAAGTTGCTTTTTTTAATAAAAAAAAAAAGAAACTATATATAATATTCACTTTTAGGCTAATTAAAATAACTTTTACGTATTAGATTTTTGTTTGTTAGCAAATTGATTAATACTCTCTCTCTCCCTCTCTCTTTCCCCCTCCCTAGATATTGTTCCTTTCTAAATCTTTCCAGCTCAAAAGGACCCTGGTAACTCTTTGTTGAATTGAGTGATACTTTGTATCGCTTGCAAGAGAGGGAGTTTTTTTTAATATATAGAAATAGCTCCATCTACAGCGTGTCAATAGAATTACTCGTTTACTCACCTTTCGTAAATTTTCCGGGACTGTTCCAAGCGCCACAGTACCGGGTTTTTTTTTCGATGAAGAATATCAACAGGATACCGCTAGTGGTTAATAGTCTTTTATGATACATATAAACAATAACAATAACTTCAGGCTAAATCAGGATTTAAAAACATACAGATTAAAAGGTAAATTCAAAAAATTGTGTTTTTCATTTATCGATTTGTTTCACAGACCACGTGACCAATATTAGTAATACTTCTCCTTATCGATATAGAAAATTGAAATGATAGATTATAGTTGATTAATGTAAGAAAGAAGAAAATTAAGAGATTAAACAATTAATTAGTTAGTTATTTAGATAAATAAAAAAGGAGAAGAAGTCAAGGAAATAGACACGTAAAAGTTTTTAATTCTTAAAATAGATTCAATATTGAACAGCTTTGTAATTTTCTAACATATAGTTTTAACTGAATTATTAATGAAACGAACAGGTATATAATCAAATTAATTAACGAATAAAAGGTTAGAAAATATGTCCCTTTTTTGTGTTTATTTTATAATTCGTCTATTTTTTTTTCTATTACCATTTTATATAAAAATCAATAGAACAAACAATATATTGACAATTATTTATAAACATTATGTAAATCTTCTTTCTTAAGATGTCAACTTAGTTCTTGTTTCAATATTAGTTTTATTTTTAAAATATCTAATTAGTTTCAAAGGTCTATTAATTGTTATTCTATTTTTTTTTCTTTCTTTCTCCATATCCGGTTGGTATCATCTGGTACGATTTTATAGCCTATTTTGTTCTAAATATTTCATTTTTGATTAGAAATGTCGTGATACAAGATATCTTTAGATTTTATGTTGATAAGAAAAAATTAAAGATACTCAATAGCATTCTATTGAAAAAAAACTATCGAGTTCTTTCTTTTCGTACTTAGTTCATATTAAATTGAAATAACTGTTGGAGAGAGGAAAAATCGTAGCTTTTGGACGGAAACAAAGAGCCATATAGATGTCGATAGGCCTATATAATTTAATGCTTACAAAGCTTAGTGGTAGGGGAAAAATAAAATCCAACTAGATGTAGCAGTCATGCTATTTATAAAGCATTCATTGAAAAGAGACGCTTTATATTTATAAATAGAATATTATGTTCTACTAATATACTGTTATGTATTAATGCATAAAAGTGTATTTTGTCTGTTCAACAATTTATTAATTGAGTAGTATTAATTACAATCCTTTGCGCAACTACAGGCAAAAATGTAACAATATTTTTTAACTATTCCTTTTATATCTGTACTTGAAAAAAAAATGTTTATATAATAGGCCTGCAAAAGAATATTGGTACCAGTCTAAAAGGCCTTTGAACTGCGTGTTACGATAGCGATCATTGTGCTATTGGCCGAGGACGTTGAAACAAGTTTAGAGATTTAATAATTTAACTTTTTTTTCTCCTTCATTCTCTACGCTCTCCTCTCAAATTTTCCTGAAATTTATCATCACCATCAACCTAATTCGGTCTATTACTTGATTATTATTAAAAGTGGACTATAGTGAATTTATTGAAAAACCGAAGATATTCTCATTACTTTTGAGGAAGAAATAGAAGAATTCTCACACATTTAGCTTGGTTATTTTTTTTCCTTTTTTATGGACAAATTTCTCAAGTTCTTTACAAAATATCCTACTTTTGATTAGTCATCTGCTCCAGGCATTCGTCTACAGCATATAAAAAATAATTTATAATATATATATATATATATATATATATATATATATATATATATGCTGTAAAACATATTCATATAGTTTTAGATGAAAATCAAGAAAAGAGAAGATCTCTCGATTTTTCTACCTGAAAAGTTAACAAGTAGAAAAAAAAACGTCAGTTAGAAATCTTTAAAAAATAATAACATGACAACTGTTTAAAACTAAAATTGTATAAGAAAGAAGAACAATAGAGATTGAGATATGAATAGAAATAGAGGAATTAGAAGATCGATTGTCAGAGGAGGAAAAGACGATAAGATCGTTTTAATATTTGGCGATATTAATACTGGTAAAACTTGCCTGGAAGATGAATTTAGACCTGAAGACGATTTATCTAATACAACTTCCCTTTTACATCAAGGAAATAACTATTTGAATAGATTAAACTATGGAGAAAAAAAGGTAAAGTTTATTTTATTTTCCCAAAGCATTTATTCATCGGTAAAATCCCACAAGACAGCTGTTTCACCATTGTATTTAACTAGAACATATAGAGATATTTCTTTCAAACTCTATATAGGATATAAAGTGTAGAATATACTATTTATTTCAAAAGGAAAAGTAAGAAAAAGCCTACTTCTAGTTTACCAAAAAACATGATCAATATTCAGATTAGTGTACGTCTTTGATAAAAGACAATTTTATATATATATATATGTATAGTATAGTCGTATAATACGAGTGTAAAAAAAGAAAGCCTATGTCTTTAAAAGACTAGATTCGTGATAGATAATAATAGAAATATATCGGTGAATGGTTAATAGAGGGCATAAATAAAACTATTGTTGATCGATCCTTAAATAAATTTTTTCTAATATATTCTACAATCTCTTCTTTCTTATTCCTCCTCTGTAGACTAATTAAAATGAACAGTCTCTTTTTATTATTTTGAAGGGAAGAATGCTGTAATAATAAATTATGTTCCTAGAAAAATTGAGTATTCATAGAATTATGCTTAGTTTGCAAAATAAAATAAAATATAGTGAAAAGGAGGACAAGGAAACAAAACGAAGAAGCTAACCAATGAATGAATTGAGAGAATGTTTTCTTCTTTTATTATTAGATTTTTTTTAGATTTATTGTCTAAATAATGTTTATTAGCTTTAAAATGTCTTTTGTGACGATTATATTGTATAATAGCTATTATTATTGATGAACAGAAAAAAATTATACTATTCTACTAATCTTCAGATAATCTTCAAGTCAGCAAATTGTAATCACTGCAAAGATATTGCAGGTGAACAGCAATATGATGTAATATTACTTTGCTTTTCTGTCGATGAACCAGACAGTGTTGAGTCAATAGAGAGTGGTTGGTCGCCAGAGGTAAGCGACATAGTAAATTTGTTTAATTTGCAAAATATGAAGGTAATAAGATTTTTCTATTGTTAATAGCTTAGGCAGCACTTTTGCCCAGGTAAACCGGTTGTTGTTGTTGGGACAAAGATAGACCTCCGCCACAACGAGATCACTAAAAGAGAATTAGAAAGAAGGGGCAAATATCCAGTTAATACTTTTGCTGGTAAAGCATGTGCGTCACGCTTACACGCCGAAGCCTATGCTGAATGTTCAACTAAAACAGGAGAAGGTCTAGACGATCTTCTCAGAATCGTAACAAACATTGCCGAGAAAGCTGATAAGGAGAGAAGGAAGAGACGATTCTATGATTGCTTAAGAACTTGGTGCGCTTGTTTCCGTTGCTGCTTTAGAGATAATAAGTATAAATTACAGACTGATTAGCCTTCCTCCATAATCAGTCAATCTCTATTCACTTCGAAGAAATTAAAAGCAACGTCTACTATTTCATAAAGAGGGAGATTGGGGGAAGAACATTCAATCCTTCGTTTATGAACACACGTATACATATATTATATATATATTAAATGATTACTTGTCTATTTTATACTTTTATCACACATTGAAGCTATCAGATTATGATAATCTGCCATCATATTGGATTATATTAATGTATAATTTGATGGTTAAATTATCAACAAAAAAGAGGAAAAAACAACAAATTCAAACTACTAGCTTATGTCTTTTTGTATTAATTGTAATTAACTGAACTAACTTTATTATTACTATTATTTTCCATAAAGAGAGGGGGTCTGACTATCCTGCAATGAATAGTTCTTTTTAGTATCATTAGTATTCATTTATCATACAGATATTGTGTTGTTGGATAAGCACAATACACTCTGTTTTATATACATTATACAGTATACAGTGTATATATATATCTTTTTTGTATTGAATCTTAATTGTTTGCTTTAAATACAAACTATACAAAAACTAATAGTCATAACGATTTTTATTATTGCGCAATAAATGTTCTTTAATTAATATCTGTCTATTCTTCTATGTTTTAATTTCATACTCCCAAACAAAAAAAAAGGATTACCTAAGCTGTTCAATAAATTGTTATACAGATTTCTGCTGAATAAACTTTTTCTATGTTATATTTATAGATAAGAAACTGGTTTTAACACGTTTTTCTTTCTTCGTATACATATTATCTACAAGTGTTGAAACTTAAAATAAAAAATCACTTTTTTTCTAGTATAGTCCTATATTTTTCAGTTTTGATTGAATTATAAAAATTATTATCTCTTAAAATAATACTACTTTTGATTTATCTATAATTAATCTTGTCAAGTCTTTTATGATATTTTGAAATTTGAATATCAACCGAAGAGAATTTTTACTATTAAAGTCATAAATTATAGTTTTTATTCTCTGTTTTACAAGTGCAACAAGTTTAAAGAGATAGCCTTGACAATTTTATTTATTCAATGTATATTCTATATGTAATATGTATTAATACATAAGAAATTATTCCAAAACATTCTTCTTCTATTAATTTAAAAACAGATAGTATTACTTTACGTCTGGCTAATAATAATATCAATAAAAAAAACATCAAAAGGTTAAAAGGTTAGAGCATTAGAGAAATTTGAATAAATGGGAAGTTTTTACATATATAGATATTAAATTGCCAAGTATGAATCACTGTAACAAAGAAAATTGTAGAATCATTGAATACAAGATACGGATAACCATGTATAACTGAGGAAGAAAAAAAAAAAGAACAAAGAGCCAAATTCCATAAGAATGAAAATGTTTAATGTTTGCATATTACAATAAACTACTTTCTATTATAATTAAAAGAACTATTAAAAGAAATAATAAAACATAAAGTTTAAGAATTAGGACAGAAATATTTGCTTCGACAGTTGACTATATACTAGTTATTAGTAATTCGAAATTACTATATGAATTGGGCTTAACGAGAAGAGAATTTAGTTCAATTAAGAGGGCTATAGAAATAATTTAATATAATATAATTATTATAGAATTTATAAAGGTCATAAGAATAGAAATGTTTTTTATGAGTCATATAAAACATTTCCATTTTTAGTTTTAAATTTTTAAATGTTACGAAACGTAAAAGAAGAAAAGAATAGAAAAAAAGAATTCTCTATTCTTAAACTAAAAAGAAAAAGGAACATTCTTTCATATAGTTGAAAGTTATTCATACTTTTGAAAAGTTTTTACTTTTCATCATCACGTGATTATTTATTTGTCACTGTAGTAGTATAGTAGTATAATTCTACTTAGTGAACCCATTTCTCTCTATACTTTGTAAACAATTTACATTTACTTTAAATTAGTATAATTTACAAATTTTGAAACAATACTTTATATCCGTTGTAGAAGATTTAACGTATCTTATGACTTGGTACAGTGGTAATAACATTCCCATGATCATATTTCTCATGTAGTCTAATGTCAGCCTATACTTGCTTCTGAGCAAACTATTTACCTTCTATAATCAAAATTTACTATATTTAGATGAAAAATTAAAGAGAAATACAATTTCCTTAAATGAAAATCTCTTTTTATAGATATGGTATTTGGCGAAGAGATACCGTTTCAGTTGTTGACGAATCTTGAGAGGAAGATGTAGAATATTTCTTCTTTATGATAATTTTCTCCTTAATTGATTTCTTAATAGTTGAGTCTACTTTGAAAATATGTAATGACCGATTTATCATTTTCCCTACTAAAGTTACAACGTAATCTTCGTGATGTGTTATACCGACTGTAAAGACGTCAGAGTCGCATTTAATTTTCCACAGTTCTTCACCTATTAGACTATTCCATATTTTAATATATTTATCATCAGATCCGCTTACAAGGAGATTTCCTTCTTGAGCTAAAGCAAGACTGTTTATTTTTGCTGTATGACTACTACATTTAAGATGTCTATCTTCGCAAAAATACGCGATATTTATCGTTCCCGAAGAGTCTCCGCTCGCTATAGTATCGTTGTTTGCGACTAAGCAAGTTAATTGAGAAGTATGATAACCTAAAATCCTTACATCCGCCTTAGGTGAGTTAAGATCGATATGAACAATGCAACCCTCCTTTGTGCCCGTGATCATATGACCCGAATCCCTAACTTGTATTGTTTCTAATAAGATTGAAATTGATACTGGTATTGTCAAATCGTATTGAAATTGCCATAAAACAAATGCATTGTCCTTTTGAATAGTTATTCCCCATTCTAGAGAATTATCAATAAATATATAACTGGGAGATGACGTTATAAAAGCCGTCCTTGTCATTATGCATTTTCCCGTTAATCTTTCAATAATCTTTATTACTGTACTTAACGACTGAAATTGAAGAATTCCAATATGTAAACAATTACTAGTCACGTGACAATTTTCACATGGAATTGTCTTTTCACCATAATAAAGGGAATGTCCATTTTGTAGATTCCATTTCTAAATCGGCCAAGAAAAACAAAATATAGAACAATCCTCTATTATAAAAGTACAACTTCTTTAAATTATTGTACAACTTACGCATAGAATGTTTGTCTGACCTAAACATTTTATCTTAAGCCTTGCTAGGCCAATAATTGTGTTTTCAATAATTTCTAAAATAGTAATTATACAATTGGATCCTTCTGCTAGTTCCAAAGTGAAAATGGGATAATTTTCAAGTAAATTCCATACAATTGCTGAGTCATTTTCCCTGCAAGTAATCAAAAACTGATCATTTTTAGACAAGAAGATCATAGAAATTCTATTTCTATATTCTTCGCATGGAAAGATGATTCGGGGTGCAACGTTTCGAATCCATTTAGATTTTTTGGCTGTCCTTTGATTCCTTTGATTATTAATTAAATTAAGTTGGTTCCCTACTGGTATAGTTTTCTTTATTTTATTTAAATTTGACAATTTGTCATAAAGGTACACTTGTCTATCGTTTTTAAGATCTTTAATCGTTTGTACTGTCACCATTTCTGACTTTTCGGTAAAACGAACTTTATTTCTAGCATTCACTTTAGGAAAACTAACTATCCAATTATGTTCTGAACCCAGCAGTGTTGGTAAATGCCAGACGTGACATGAATTTTGACTTGAGGAAGTGATTATGACGCTATTTTCAACAGACGCTAAGCAATTCGCTACTGAACCGTCCGAATGAGCTAAGAAATCATGCAAAATGGTCAAATTTTCTAAACTATAAATAGTTACATGTCCATTTTGAAAGCCTATAAGCGCAAATTTGTTTGTTAAATTCATAGAAGTTGGTATTTGATAAAGTAGTCGGATTGAAATTTTGTCAATAGTTGAATCGATTGGGTCAAAAATGCTTAGACAAGCTTCAGAAGTTCTGCTATTCGTGCAGACCTTAATAACGTTTGTAAATGTAATATCAAGCATTCTTATTTGCCAGTCTGATCTTTTCTCTTCGATTGACGGCTGATGTAGGAATAGCTTTTGTCTTATATCAAATACTGCCAAACAATCGTTTGTACAGCCAACGATAGCTTGATAATATCTTATACATAGAGTTTTAGGTATAATGTCTTCGATAAGTGCGAAAGTATGAATATATGATTTGGGAATAAATTTGTCAGGATTATCTTCGTCATAATCCCTTAACATACTAAATTTTATGAGAATTATACTTGCTGGCTTACTACCGTCTCGCGATAAACTTATTAGGATATCGCTATAAGTTGGAGTATAATTAACATCGCAAATGGTTTTTCCAAAAGCTTCTATGGGCGGTATCGATAAAATTCTACGTTCTCTTATGCTTAATATAATTAGTCCCCTTTTAGACATAAGATCATAAACATTCGCATCATTTATCTTTATCACTGCGTGTCTTTTTTTAGACATAGCCATTAATTGAATAACACTATCCAATTGGTCTATCTCCCTGATAGTTATATCTATGAGCTTTCTCATAGCTATTGGAAAGACTTCGATTAACTGTAAGAAACTACCAGTTTCTAGAAGCCAAGAGAAAACTTGATTTCTTCCATTCGTGTGATAAATAATACCTCCTACTATCTTTATGTCATCGTACAACTTTGGTTTACCTAAATTACCTAAAAATTGCCCATCAGTCAAATCGCAAAATGCCAAACCTAGCTCTGAACCATAGATTAAGATAGTCTTTTCACTGATAATCTCCAAACAATGAGACACTCCCGCTATCGACGCGATACGGATGCCACCAGCTAAAGTCGTCATTGGTAACAATGGTTTTAATAAAGGAATATTCAATTTATGAAATACATCTGAAGCTTCTTTTCTCAGAGATGTTAAATGGTGAGAATTTGTACCGGCTTCAGGGATATGATAGAAGATAATTGTTGCTAGAGAATCTGGATCGTTTTCTAATTGATCAGTAATGTTTAATATTAAATCTCTTAGGTAACGAGCGTCGTGATGTGAGTCTTCTGCGAGATAAATGTCATCAAGAATAGATTGAATACCACAGCATTTTAGCTTATACCATAACCATTCTAAATGAAATATAACCTTAGTCTTTAACATCTCAAAATTATCGTCTAATTGAGCTAAAAGACTTGGAAGAATATTAAATAACCGAATAGAGTTTGGTTCTATAAACCGAAAGGATAGTCCTCGATTGGCTTTTTCAATCTTTAAATTCCTTTTGGTTAATAGCAAATCTCTATGACGACCATTTCTCCCGCAATTCAAAGTTTCTATTAAATGTTTAATATTGAATTTATTAAGATCATAACGAATAAGTATTCTATCTCTTATCGCTCTATACTGCCAGCATATAACTACGTAATCGTGTGAGATATCAACTCTGGTGAATGGTTCAATAGACTTGCGTAATTTTAACCAAAGCATTTCGGGAAATCTAACATATTCGAAAGAAGTTGGATCGTAATCGGTATAAATATAATTCATTAGTTCATCATCACTGGATAGTGCATCTAGCATTTCGGTATCCGTTATACCATAGACCATTAAACTAATAAATGATAACGACCGATTAATAAATAAAGTACCAAATTGGCTTTCAAGAAACTCGAGCCATCTATCAATAACATCATCAAGGCAGGATGAGAAGGGAAGATGATAGATATCATTCCAAGAATTCCACGATAAAGATAAATGGACATTAATCACTAGCGCAAGAAGATTCTTATGAATAGAGTAAGAATTTTGAATAATAGCTTTCTGTTTTTCATTCAAAGTTCGTTTATTAATGCTTAATAATCCATCTATGAGTAAACTAGCATCATTATCAGTTATACTTTCAATTCTATATAAACAATCGTACGATAGATGAGGTGTCAACGAATACAAACAATTATTATCAGCATTAATATCGCAAGACACTAACAGATGTACCCTTGATGGTAGTAGTCTTGGTATCCACAGAATATCCCAACCTCCTCTCTCTAATTTAATTAAATGTATATCGCTAACCATTATAACTAGATGTTGATCGGATTTTAAAAGATTACCGGCAAGGTTAAGGGTTTCTTTAAAATATAATCTAGTATTAATCTTTTGAGTTATTGAATCTATGAAATTATCCACTTTCAATACAATTCTTATATGATTACATAGTTCTAAGAGAAAATTGCCAATTGAACTTGTCTTTTCGCTTGTTCCTCCTAATCTTATAATTGATATTGTAGAATCTCCTAACCATTTACGTATATTCTTTGACATTTCTATTAAAATACTTCTTTTACCTATTCCAGTTTCTCCATATAATACTAATGGAACTTGAGGATCGTCTAACATAAAGATTTTCAAATCTTCAAGGGTATTTTCCCTACCTATAAAATACTCCGAAAATAACGATGATACTCTCTTTGCTTGACAAACAACCTCATTTTTAAACAAATCTTTGTAATTAGATAAATCAATAGTTGCATTATCTATACAGTTTGTCAATTTTTTGTAAAAGAAACTCCCTATTTCTTTAAGATATTTATCACTATTTATAGTTAAGAGATCGTTGTATTTCAGGTTTATGATATTAATATTCTCATCACTTAATTTATCATTTATTATCTTCTTAACTTTACTTAAGGCGGCTAATTTTTCAGGATAAACTCGTCCATCCCTATAGAAAATAGTTAAAAGCAATAAAGAATAATTCAGATAAGGATAGCGTCTAATTTTTACGTTGTCAAGTCTGTAATAGGCTGATTCTTAAACTTATGCCTAAACTTTTCAAGATTGGTAATATTTCTAATGCAAACAAGAGTAGTGTCATCTTTTTTAGGATTATCAGAGATTATATAAGCGACCAGCCGTTCGATGTCATAGTATAAGTATTCCAGTGAATTTTTCTTATCAATTAGCTGATTCCTTAAGGCGTAACACATAGTTTCACTGATAAGATAGTTCAATTGCTTCTTAATATTTAGCCAATCAATTACGCAATGATTTCTAATCAACTCGTAATCTTTGCTTGTAGTCGAATAAAACGGAAGTATACTATCGATATCTAACAATACATATTCTTCGGGAATTGAATTCTTATCCAGTCTATAGCATTTCCTGAGCAAATAATCATTTTTCAATGAAAATCGATCAACGATAGTATCAATAAATTTCCATTTACTTTTATCTATCACTCTGGGAATTGACCTCTCACCGCATTTATCACCGACGAAAAACTGTTTTGCATAAATTATGCAAATATAGATATATATTTTAATAAATAATTAACATATTTATATTATATATACTGTACAAAAGACAATTACTAAATAGTAAATAAGATTATTATCGTATTGTAAGAATTCCTCAAGAGAATTGAATGGTAAAAGATGATTATTATCTATTTTATTTGTACCAAAATTTTGATAATTGATAATATTTAACTCTAAATTCTTTTTATAGCAATACAAATATAAATCTGGTAAAGTTTCATTATAAAATGCCGATAATTCTATTTTCATATCATTTCCGGGGGATATTAAAAAAACTGTGACAGATGTTTTAGGTAAACAAGGTAAATTTTTAAAGTAACCTGTATATAATTCATTTAACAGATTATTACAATTTAATTTGTTCATATTTAAATTATTATATATTAAAAGTAAAATGAATATTTAAATTGATTAAATGACCTAATTAATTTTTACGAAGTAAATAAATAACGTTTTCTTCTTTTATATAAAATTTCCTTTTTTCGGTTCTAATCCGGCATGAATACGTTGTTTATTGAGTTTTTCTCTTTGAATTTTTATTTCGGCTCTTAGATTTTGAGCGAAACATACAGCTAAAATCTGTTATTGTTTTGAATGTTAACTTTACTTCCTTTTAGGAAAGATTATTCAATTAATTTAAAAGATTATCTTATTTACTTGCACTCCGCAAAGGGATATTGTTATTATAAGAATAGGGATTAGATTCTCCGATATCCAAGCTGATCCTTTTTGCATACAACCTATTGTATATATATATTTTCTATAATCAGCATCGTGCGTCTTTTTCCTCATATCGTAGCCGCATTGTTTATTGATAACCATTTTACTTGAATTTTTTCTGCAACATGAAAATGGTACACCGCAAGCTTCTCTACTAGGAGATTTACAATCAAAATATTCATTTTCTTCCCAATCCCTAAATGATTCAATACCGCAACATCCCAACCACGTATCTTGAATCCAATCAATTAAATTCTTCAGATCTGGATCCTCTCTACGAATAAAACAAGAACAAATTTACAATAATTCCTTTCTCTAATAAATTACCGATATTGTCGAATATAATGAATAAGGCTACTCCTTATCTTCTCTTGCATTTGATCTTTAAAAATAAAAGCCAATATTGCAATAACAATTTGGCATAGGAAAATCAAACCAACAAAGAAAATGTACTGAAAAGAAAAACGTATTTGCAATCAATATTTTCGCCCTCATTCAAATGTCCAACTTAGAAAATGAAAATAAAGAGAATTATCTATAAAAAGGTGTATATTTACAATCAATAACACAAGTCGATTCTCTCGTAGTGCTCCAAAACATCCAGTAAATCCAACAATAAATATTACACAGCCGAACAATATACACATTGCGGCGGGATCGTAACGTAAATTAGTGATACTCGTCATCCTCCGAAAAGTTTCCTTCTCCTGATAAGCCCAAATACCTATACCTGCCACCAAACCACCTAAAAGCTTCATAAAACATTAAATAATAATTGATTTTCCATAAACATAAAGGTATAACACTCATTCATCCCTTTCAACATACCCAACAAATGACGTTAAATGTAAATATAATATATTTCATACAATAGCTAACCTCACTACGAGGTATAACAGTTTTCTTCGCTTTTAATGCCATGCTCAATATCTCGTTTATTATAATTAATATTAATTAAATAAATAAATAAATATTTTAAAAGTTTAAAAAAATCAAGTTTTTTTTGTTTTAGGGAAATAATTGAAGGTAGCCATGTTTCTTTTGGTATTTCATATTTACATACACATGTATATATAAATGTATATGTAAATATTCAAAAACATGAATATCGACGGATAACGTGAAATTTGATCAACTAATTTGTTTTTATTTGTCTCCTTTTTACAAATATATACGACTTAAGAACCTTCTAAACTTTCATAAAAAAAGGTATACATTGAATGAGTTTCAAAATTAGTTCACTTGCATAGCATTAATTGAACCTTCACATAAAGTTTGAATATATTCGTAAGCTACTGTAAGAGCGTATTGGAATGAAGTATCCGATGACATAGTCTGTAAATCTTCAGAGTTCAATAGATTTTCTTTTTTCGTTAATAAAAAGAATGGATCGGCTCCTTGAAAAAATACACACATACATAAACATAAATATAAATATATACAATTGATAATTTACCTTGACCAATTGACAATTCTATTGTCTTGAAAAATACAGTCTCTCTTATTCTATTTATTATATCGTCAGGTTTGAAGCTTGTCCAACTAGTTGAAAAAAAAAAGGAATCAAGTGGAAATTTAATATTACTTTCTAAATGACTTACTTATCAGCTTTAATGACCCTCGCCCATATAGACGTTTTTAATACTTCGATTTTCTCATCTCTATTAACATAATTTGGATCGACATATTGAAGTAAATCTAAAGCTTTTTTAAAGTCAACTTCGCAAGCAGTTTCATTCAGATCGGAGATGCAAAACTATAATAGAAAATTTACAAATAAAACAATGTTTTCCTGTACACAGTTAATATATTTACCTTTATCATATCTTCGGCTGATAAACATCTCATATTATTTCTATCCATTCCCAAATTTTCAATAAGGCAGCTTGGCAAAGTTTCCTGATTTAGAATCAGTTCCAAATTTTTATTTATACCTGCAATATTTACATTAGTACGTATGAAGAAAAACATAAATATAATTAGCTTACGCTCAATACTTTCTTCTACATTCCTCTTTGAACAAACTTCAAAGTCAGCGAGTGCCGCCAATTTACTCAAACTCAAAAGGGTCTATCAGATGAATATCAATTGATTAATATAAATAAGAAATCTTACAATAACCTCTTCAAACCTTTTTTTTGGGTAATGAATCAATTTCTGCATCTGCTAGTTCGTGTAAAGTTTTATGTGCCTAATGAATATTATAATATCACAATTTAGAAATAAACTTTTTACAAGTATTATTTTAATTTTATACTTTAATGAATGAGTTGGTTTTGATTTCTTGAAGCCAACCCAAATGCTTATTCTTTTCACTTTGTAAAAATGCCTGTAAATCTGGATGGTGTGCCAAAGATGGAATTGAAAGAAGTTTTCCAACTTTTTCTATAATGTAAATACAAAAGACTTAAATATTTAGAGTAATGAAATTAGCGATTAATAACTGTTACCTTGTTCTGAATACCATTTGAAAACAAATTCGATAAAATTCTATTAAAAAAATCACGTCAAACATCAAATAAAAATGATTTAAGATATTTAATTGCCTACTTTATTGGAGTATTGTTGTATATATCTCTCTAATCGGCATTTATCATCATTCTTTTCGCAAATTTCAATTAATATTCTATAATCACCATACTTTTCAGCTATAATAGCACACTGCTCGCACCCGTGAGCTGATATAATAATAAATTATACTTAAATGAGCTGAATGTAAATTAAATACTTACGAAATAGCTTGAGTATGTTGTACCGCTTTTCTGCAAATCTACGTTGAAACATTTTATATGAATCACTTGAAGTATTCGGGATTCGATTTAAATGTGATTTGTAAGCATATAAAAGTATATCGGTTAAGGATGAAATCTTTGGTATTATCATCATACTCTCAGTGCCAGTTTCAACTCTTGCTAATACAGATCTACATAACAAGTTTATCTAAAAAATAACAAAAACTTATGAAGAACTATCACTTTTAAATAAATAGAATGTGTCTATTATAACTTTATACCATTCTTTCAAGAGCATGAATGACAGATTGTTCTTTCTCGAGATCCAACCAAGAAAAATATGAAATTTCATCGTTAGAGATTTGATTATAACGGTATAGAGAACTTTTATTTTTTCTATATTGAATCGCTTCTTGTAAAGCTCCCTAATTGATACAAAATTTCATTATATAAATTTATACATTTTCTCAAATATTCTTATTAAAAGTATTAATATGTTAAAGTTTCATTACCTCCATAATACCGGCTATGGAGGAAGCCGTTGTTAATATTTCCATTTTGGGTACTTCATCAACTTCTAATTTACTCTCAATAATATCAACTAAAACAGTAAATATCCAATCTAGTCGGGAGACCTTTTAAAAGAAATCAATTATTTACCATACAGAAATATTTCTTATTTGTAACTAACTTCTCGATAAAATATGTCAACATGTCTTAAATTGGGAATGTTTAGGGCTTCTTTTCTTCCTTCAACACAAATTGCAATAGCATGTTCCATTATGGCCCGATACGATGAACTAAAGCAGATATAAGTTTTAATTTTGAAAAAGATATAACGAAAAAAAGTATATTCACTGCTGTTGCACGGATGCGAAATGAAACGCAGACATTAATTTTTCACCCAATTCTTGTAAAAGGATGATGGTAAGTATTGGACCATTCTCAGTATTCAAGGTTGTCAACTAAATAAAAACACGTTTTCATTATACTCAAATTAATAAAGGGATAACATACAGTTTCGGTTATTCCAGAATTATTCAAAAATGATATAAAAGACTCCAAAACTTTAAGTTTATCTTGTAACTGATTAACTAATATAACTCTTCCTTCTTGTTGTTCCTCAACTAAAAATGCATTTGAATAAAAATTATAAAAATAGATAACAACCATATCAGCTACTATACCTTGTTGGTTTAAAGCTTCAGCCCAACGAGGATCAGAAAGAGGTGCAGCGTCAATAAAACTTTCAGCAAGAGACTTTATAACTCCATCTAAAGCTTCTTCCGGCTGTCTAAGATCTTTGAGGAGTTTTATTGCTTCAGTCTGTAAATGAAGACATAAAGATAAGATGATGATAAAGAGTATAATTTTTTTAATTACCCTATTTCCAGAGACAAAAAAGTAAAATGCGGCCTTTAATTTATCAATTTTATTTGATCTTTGACTTAATTCTTTCAAATGTCGTACACTCGGCATATTTGGTGGAAGAGATTCATCTTTTTTATAGAAAGATGAATTATTCAAGTCTGGTTTCCTAGAATGAATTCATTAAATTAAAAATATCTTTAAAACAAAAGAAAAGAAATATACATCATATTGTTACTCTGCGAAGCTTCTTTTATAGTTACAAAACCTCGATTTTTATCAACAAGGATGGTATGTTGGTCAAAAATCCCTTTAAAAATGTATTAATTGTTATTATCTACTTCATTTGGATAAATTTATTTTTAACAAACCAAATCCAATCAAATCTTCAGAAACAAATTCAATAGTTTCACATTCAACTCTACCATATTTACCATCTGAAGAAAACGTTATCTTAAACTCAAATAAAGTTACTCTTTTTATTGTAATTTTTCTGAAACTTACTGGGAACGCAAAGAAGCGTTTTAGAATCTATAAGATAGGCTGAGGATTGTGAATCAGGTGCTGACAATCTCTTTCGGATAGTATTTCTATTAATGGCACCCTAGGAAAATTCATTGAATAATTAGTTATTTCATTCGATTCAAATCATTTATTACTTCTATTGTCAACTTTTGATCGCAGTGGTAAACGTTCAAGAAGCTTTGGGGCGCATCATTGCCATGAGTATGAATTGATCCTAAAAGCAGATAGACATCGTCTGATACATCTTCATTGCAGCAAGCCGCTAAAATTACAACGGCGTCACTGGAATTATAATTGAATTAAGTACATGAACATATGCCTATTACAACTTTGAGTACTGACGTAGAGTAATTCATATCCAATAAGCATACATTTAGAGATGGCAAATTATCCGCTGCATTATTCTGTAATAAGAAAATAAACATTTGTAATTAATTAAAAGGAAAATTTGTACTTTTACCCATATCTGGCGAGCACTTGCTTCCTTAAACCACGCAGTTACATCGCAGTTGTACAACATCTAATGAAAGTGAATGTAGTGATTGGTTATGTAAATTAAAATCAAATGTTTTCTTACTTGACTCGAACCGCCAACACACCACTTTTGCAACTGTCTTCCAGCCAACAAGTAGAATGTATGTAGATCGTGAGAAGACTCTTCTCCCAAAACCATTTGAATCAAGGGCTGAAAAAAATTTTAATACAATACAAAACATTTATGAAACATTAGAGATTACTTCTGCTCCTTCAGTACTGGTTGCTGCTCCAAAAAGGAGGGATGACATCCGTCTTCCAATACCCCGCAACATACCTCGTCCTCCACCAAGTTGTTTGTAGATAATCTACAATATATTTCTTCGATAATGCTAATGATGTACTTTAATGTTTACCTTACCTCTCTTTCGTTAGCCTGGAGTTGGTATAGCATTCCGTTTTGTGACGCTATAACGTAAAAACCATCCTGAATTTTTCGTAGAGAAATAAAGAGTAAAGTTTTTTGAATGATTGATAATATGCTTTGATAACTACCTCAAATCCAATGAGGTTGACAAACACGGTGTTAGGTATTACCATGTTTGTGTCCACGAATTCTTCTGGTCTACGGATATCTTTATAGTATCTCATTTCACCTCCAGGGGTTGCCAGAAAGCAAGAAATTGCTCCATCTCCATCATCCAAGATTGAGACCAAGTCAGTGGATGTTCGAACAGAAAAGGAATTTTTCGGAAAACTTATCTCATATATCTTAATGAAAAAAAAGTGTCAATGCACAATTTATAAGAAAAAAAAATATCCAAACTTTATCTGTGATATTGTTTTTGTTTATGGAATATATTAAAAGTCTTTCTCTATAAGCGAAATATGTGAATCCTTCTGGTTTTATACATGCTGATAGATACGAGGGATCTGCAATAGAAACATGTCATCGATATTCTATATTAAAAACGCATATATACCTTCCAAAAAACATCCTGAAACAAAATCTTGAACTTTTGGTGGAAATCCTGATACTCGAGGCTCTAATTTATATTTGCTCGAGGTTTGACGGGGTTTCAGTGAGGTCGATAACGGAGTAGCGGGAAAGGAGAAGCTAAATGAGTGATAATACAAGTTCAAAGTTTTAAACAGTAAGCAGATAACTCACGAGAAGCTATTATTCACATCTTTAGTTGTCGAAAGTAATGTGCGATTTTTTCCAGATGCACTAGCATTAAGATCAAAGCGACGAGATCTTCTTATATGTTTCGGCGTACTAAAATTCATTTCGCCCGGCGTATTAACTCTACAATACGATTCGGAAATGTATACTATTTTATCAGAAACAGGAAAGAGAGCTATAATTACGTGCGCATGCGCCGTTCCTAAACATTCAAATATGTGTGAAACGACTGGTTTCTTCCTTTCCTACGGCCGCCATTGTAGGGTTCACACAGCGACAAGTGAAAGGGAAAACGCCTACGAAATACTAAGTTAGTTTAACTAGTCTTACTAAAGCACTAAAACAAGTAAGTATAAGAACATATCTACTGGCTTTTTACAGACAATTTTTGTCTTTAACGCCCAAAAACTTCGTTTTTCTAAAACCTCGTGGTAGTTAATATGGCGTATCGCAAATGCACTTAAAATTTTTTTAATTATCCCTCTCTCGTTTTATTCTCTGACGATAAAAATACCTCTATATTCTGATAATAAATATGTAAAAGAGATAAAGTTAACAAAGTCAGTCAAATACCTCGTGGTGGAATAGAATGATTTTTATCACGCAATTCGCATTAACCATGTGGTCGACGATATACTTGTTAACCTTTACAACCATTAAACAATTTTTTTCAATAAATTTCAGACACTAAATAATGGCGAAACAAGCAGTTGGTATTGATCTTGGAACAACCTACTCCTGCGTAGGCGTTTTCCAGCACGGAAAAGTTGAAATTATTGCTAATGATCAGGGAAATAGAACAACACCCAGTTACGTCGCTTTCACAGACAGTGAACGTCTCATTGGAGATGCCGCCAAGAACCAAGTAGCAATGAATCCTTCAAATACCGTTTTTGACGCTAAACGATTAATTGGTAGAAGATATGACGACCTTACAGTTCAAAATGATAAGAAACATTGGCCTTTTGATGTTGTAAGCGATGGCGGAAAACCAAAAATTCAAGTCGAATATAAAGGAGAATCTAAAACATTTTTCCCCGAAGAAGTCTCTTCAATGGTCCTTACTAAAATGAGAGAAACAGCTGAGGCCTACTTGGGCAAGACCATTGCAAATGCTGTTGTAACCGTACCAGCCTACTTCAATGATTCCCAACGTCAAGCAACAAAGGATGCCGGAACTATCGCTGGTTTGAACGTTCTTCGTATCATCAACGAACCCACAGCCGCAGCTATTGCATACGGTTTGGACAAGAAGGTTGGAGGAGAAAGAAACGTTCTTATCTTTGATTTGGGCGGTGGTACCTTCGATGTATCTGTTCTCACCATTGAGGATGGTATCTTTGAAGTAAAATCTACTGCTGGAGATACTCATTTGGGAGGTGAAGATTTTGACAACAGAATGGTCACTCACTTTATCCAGGAATTTAAGAGAAAACATAAAAAGGATATGGCTGGTAACAAGCGTGCTGTTAGGCGTTTGAGAACAGCTTGTGAAAGAGCAAAGAGAACACTTTCATCCTCTGCTCAAGCTTCAATCGAAATCGATTCTCTCTTCGAGGGTATTGATTTCTACACCAATATAACTAGAGCACGTTTTGAAGAATTAAATGCCGATTTATTCAGAGGCACCTTGGAACCAGTTGAAAAATCTCTTAGAGACGCTAAGATGGACAAAGGACATATTCACGACATCGTTTTAGTTGGAGGTTCCACCAGAATCCCAAGAATTCAAAAGCTTTTGAAAGATTTCTTTAATGGTAAAGAATTGAACAAGTCAATCAACCCCGATGAAGCTGTAGCTTACGGAGCTGCAGTTCAAGCTGCTATCTTGATGGGAGATAAGAGCGAAGAGGTTCAAGATCTTCTCCTCCTCGATGTAGCTCCTCTTTCATTGGGAATTGAAACAGCTGGCGGAGTCATGACAGCTTTAATCAAAAGAAACACCACTATTCCTACTAAACAAACCCAAACCTTTACCACATACAGTGACAACCAACCCGGTGTATTGATCCAGGTAAATACTTTTATTTTTTCATTTGTATTAGATACTACGTCGTGATGATACCGTACGCTTGCCCGTACATTCGCGGTTTCTACCGAATTCTTTATGTGGACTAAATCTTCCTTGGCTGTCTGAGAATTTAAGATGCACAGCATTTAGTTGCTTATAATACTTTATATTAATCCCTAATTTCTCTACAGGTTTATGAAGGTGAAAGAGCGATGACTAAAGATAACAACTTACTTGGAAAATTCGAACTCACCGGTATTCCCCCAGCACCAAGAGGAGTTCCTCAGATCGAAGTTACTTTCGATATTGATGCTAACGGAATTCTTAATGTATCAGCTGTAGATAAGAGTACAATGAAGGAAAATAAAATCACTATTTCAAACGATAAAGGAAGACTCTCAAAAGAAGATATCGAAAAAATGGTCAGAGAAGCCGACCAATTCAAAGCTGAAGATGATAAGCAAAAAGAAAGAATTTCTGCTAAAAACGCTTTGGAAAGTTATGCTTTCCACATGAAGCAAACTGTTGAAGATGAAAAACTCAAAGATAAGATTAGTGAAGAAGATAAAACCAAGATTGTTGATAAGTGTAACGCTGTCATAAGTTGGTTGGATGCTAATCAGGTAAATTCTTTTTATTACATAGTATTTCGATACTAATATTGATTATTTTCAGTCTGCGGAAAAGGAAGAATTTGAACATCAGCAAAAAGAGGTCGAAGGCGTTTGTACACCAATTATCACCAAATTGTATCAGGCTGGAGGTATGCCTGCTGGTGGTATGCCCGGTGGTATGCCAGGAGGTATGCCAGGAGGATTCCCTGGTGGTGCCGGTGGTGCTCCAGGCGGTGGAGCTGGTGGTGCTGAATCAGGCAGTGGCCCCACCATCGAAGAAGTCGATTAAAATGAAATAAGTTTCTTGCAAAATAATCGACAAAATAGAAATAAACATGTTTAATATAAAGTAATTTTTTTTTTAATAATTTACATGCACTTGTACAACAATCGCTGCTGGAATGATAGCAAAACACGGCTCATTTATTAGAAACAATATTTACAAGACCGCTTATATTAAATTTTGCACACTAATCAACTAGAAGATTACAATGTACAAAACAATAAAACTGAATAAAAGTAACTATCTACAATTTCATTTGTTAAAACTAGACAGTTACAAGAACATTGAAATTTGGAGCGATAGAGGAAATTTCCTACTCCTGATTATTAATATCATGTGATATTACCCTTCGTGCCCTCATTTGAACAATTGATTTGCGATGCCAAATCAAAGAATTTCGCTGTATAATCAAGACTGTTTTCATTCATGACTGCATCAACCTGATAAGAATGAAATAAGATGAATATTTTAATAAAGTTATAACGAGAGCTTAATACAAACATCTGAAGTTTTAATGAGTGAGTCTCTTGAACTATCTCCCAACATTTGTGAAACACTAAAATTTGAGCCACTGGGAAGAGTGAATGTTAAATTTCGGGAACTATTTAGCTGATCAGTCTAGTGTAGGAAATTTAATAAAGTAACTCATAAAAAATTAGCAACAAAATTACTCACATCGACTTTTACGGGAGTATTTAAGTTTGAACGATAATTCGGCATCTTTTGTGGCGACAACTGATGTAATAGTTTCGGATCTATGTCTGCAGAGGCCAGAATAGTTTGTATGCTGTTGTCGCTGACTCCATTAACACCCTCGTCATTTGTGAAATTTAGATCTAATAATGTTGATAAGGAAATTGAATCGTTGTTTGCCACCAGCACTTCCCTGTTGGGTGTTTGATCCTCTAGTTTATTATTCATAGATGCCTCCTTGACCGGTAATTCAGGTGGTAAAGCAGATTGTTCCTTGTTTGTAATTTGCTGAGACTGCATATTCGGAGACGGTGTCATGTTTGTAGTAGATTGTTGATTTACTACAATGAATATAATGTTACGATAAATGACGATTTCTATATAACGATTAAATTATTACCTTGAGGGGAAACAGCAGCAATAGTATTTTGTGGTAATAATACTATTTTCGGCGTCCCATCGGAATCAACGATTTGCACTCCTACCAGTGTTTGCTGTTGAGTTTGAGATCTGACAGCGGGCAGTAATTTCCTATTATTCGGTTTCGGTAGAGTCTTTTTACATCCTTTCCTTAGAGGCAAAGATATAGATATGTCCTGCTGAGGGGATACAGGAGTCAATGGCGAGGCTTGTATTGGCAAAGGCGCTTTAAATGACACATCTTCTTCACGTTTATTCTTTTTTCTGCCCCTAGGCTTGGGCACTTTTGGACTTTTGAAGACACCGTCTGTTGAGACATTGTTATAATCTTGCAACATATTTAAAGTCTGGGGATATTCTCTTCCGCATGGACATTTTTCATTTTCAATCTCTGAAAATGATTCTTTGTAAGACGTTGCTAGAGGTATAAGAGCCTTCAATAAACTACTTCGAATTGCTACTTTGTCTTTGTCAGTCGATATAAAGTCATATTCTAAGTGAATTTGATCAGGTTTCTTTAGCATGTACCATAATTGCAGGGCCGTATAATCTTTGCCGTTCTCCTTATTCCATCCATTTAATTTGATATCGTTGACTTTTTCTTCAAAACTGTCCTCATAACTATTGTAATCTTTCTCTAAGTCTTTTAGTTTTTTTGTTAATATATTCACAAATCGATCTTTTTCTGTGTTTTCATTTTCATCAGTTCCGTTTTTCTCAACAGGATCGTTGTCATTATTTTCAGATAATTGAATTTTTGTAGATGTCGTCTGTTTCTTACTTTTCTTCGACGTTTGCCTAACATTGCCATCGGCACATGTGTCCTTATATAATTTCAGGGAGAAATTTACATTTTTTTGACTAAAATCAATATGTTGTATGGCCATATAGGAATGCAATTCTGCACCTTCTTTAGGAAATAATCGTAATTCTTCGTTACTAGACAATTGAAAATTCCACCTTCTTTCTATAAAACTTATAATACTTGATAAACTTTGTTTTGACTGCAAATTTAATCTTAATCGAGGATTATAGGATTTTTGTTGAACTTTAATCCAGCATTGAGTATTTCTAGGCAATAATTCGATGACTATGATATCTGGATGCCCACTTTCCTTTTCATCTCCTAGAAAAAAACAGGAAAGAAGATTTAAAATATGTATGAAATTAATTTAATATAAAGATAAAACAACCATCAGTTAGATCCTGCTTGTGTAGGTTTCGTAAGGCTTTACACGTAGGTGTCTTAATTCGTAAAAAGCAACCTTTTCCTTTACGAACATTTTTAACATTGCAACTTCTGCGGAGGACAACAAATTTCATCATTAAAATTGTTTGCTGTTTTTAAATATATTATTAAAATTTACCCTTGTTGTACTAATTCATTAAATTTAAATGCGTTTTTCTTATTTAAATCTACAATAAAAGAATAAAAATTAATTAAATTTCTCAAAACATAAGATTTTAACTCACATCCTACACGACGTTTAAATTCTCCATAATTAATCATTCCATAAAGTTCGACTGCTTTACAATTCACGTCTAAACAATAGACATAAAAATTAATTAATTATATTATACATATACTGTATATTAACATGTTGAAAACAAGGAAGATATTAAATAATTTACCTTTGGATTTGTGTATTTCCAGAAATTTACTAACTTTATGCCATGTTCTATAATAGTAGTGTCTTATCTGCTCACGACTTTTTAAATCTTCATTTTTCTTCTTTTGTTTACTATTGATATAAGCCAATATTTTATCAAAATTTCTTCCGTTCTATAAATAGATAATGTTCTTTTATTTAGCTTTGCGGTATTATAATCTTTTTATATATCTTACGTCATTTAAGGCTTCAAAAAAAGCTGCTTGGTCATCGCAAGACCATAATTGAGGTTGAGATTTTGTACCTGGCTGAATAGCACCGTTTGTGTTATTTGTCTGTTTTACTTCGCTAGTTGCTGTTTGATAAGAAAGAATTATTAAAGATGATATTTTCGTTAAGTAGCGATAATTACTTAGTTTTCTAGTTGGTGACAATGAAGAAGTTACAGCATCAGATTTTTTTGGTTTCTTTAGTCGTCTAGAACTGCAACGTACTGGTTGCTGTGTAAGATTTTCCTCTTTTAATTCTTGTTTACTTTCCTCTATTTTACCATCCTTGTCCTCAAAGCCATCGCTATATGTTGAAAAGCAATCTTTAATTATGCCATTTACCCTTCTTTTAAAAATAAAATCGAATATAAATTTTGAAATATTGTTTAGGTTAGTTTTAAATTTTTTTCTACATTTATTAAAAGTATAGTTACTAAAAGTAAGATAATAAAAAATAAAGATGGCGGACATTAATCCAGAATCAAACCTATATTCTATGCCAGCTCCACATCCCGATTCAGCTGTAGCGCTTTTCCGACGTTTCGGCATTCAGAGGATCATCTAAGAGGAAAACGTCGAAATAGATGCTGGAAATTTGGCCTAATACACTTTGATTTGTTTATTAGCTCAAAATAGAAACGATTGACGGTTACTGAGATTGAATATCCCTTATTTTTTTTATTCACAATTCTTCATATTGTTCACATTATAATTTAATGGTTCCATAGAATTTGAAGATTAGATTCCGACTATCTGACGTTCATCCAGTTACAGATTACGCGCGAAATCGTGAAAAATTGTCGGTAGTGAAGCGAAAGATAAACGAGCTTGTTTGGTCATGTGACTGGTTTAGTTTACACCTGGGGTTGAGAGGTTATGAATGATCAAGATGCTGTGTAATAATCAATTCATATTTTTTATCGTTATAAACAACATAAAAAATTATTCGTGTTAAAGAATATTTTAAGAACAGTTCTATTTAAAGATGAATATATTACAATATAAAAATTCTAAAAATTCTATATTTCTAAATTAGGATGACAGTTAGCTTTAATTCCATTTTTTGAAGAAAATGGCAAAAAATAATTGATATATTCATTTATTAGGAGTAAAATCATCTTATTATTGACAATTTATGACATGATTGCTTTGCTTCGATATACCGACACTCCCCGCAATATGAACTTGCCCATTTAGGTTTAGCGCGAAATAGAAATTGTAGTTTTTTACTGGCTACTATTCTTAACTCCATAAACCAATAAAAAGTTCGATTTATTGCTAGACATTTTAACCAATGAATAATTTTATTATATAATATTAAAAGATTTTCTATTACTTTCTTTAAAATTGCAGATTGGTTTGGATCCTCTAAATTAGGAACAAAGCTGATTGTTTTGTTCTTTTTTCGAATTTTCGGTTCTTTTCGAGATTTCTTTAGTTTTTTGTTACATTATAAAAGAAAATGTTTTCTTCATCGGTTAAAGATTATATTGTTACCGACAAATTAGGAGAAGGAACTTATGGAGTAGTTTATAAGGCAAAGTTTAAAGAAACAAATGAAATTGTTGCTATGAAAAAGATTCGTTTAGAAAATGAGGATGAAGGTATTCCAAGCACAGCTATTAGAGAAATTTCTATGCTACGAGAATTGAAGCACCAAAATGTTGTTCGGTAATTAACAATTTTTTTTTTAAAAAAAACAAACTATCTCAAGAGTAAATAGCCTGCAGGACATAATACTTGAGGAAAATAGAATATACTTGATATTCGAATTTCTTAGTATGGATCTCAGGAAATATATGGATGCTCTTCCAGATGAAGAACAACTTCCATTTGACCTTGTGCAAAGTTATTTGCATCAAATTATAACGGGAATGAGATTTTGCCATGAACGAAGAGTACTTCATAGGGACTTGAAACCTCAAAATTTGTTAATAGATAGGACTGGCTTGATCAAATTGGCTGATTTTGGGCTTGCCAGAGCATTTAGTGTTCCTGTGCGAGTCTATACTCATGAAGTTGTCACTTTATGGTATAGGGCCCCGGAAGTTCTTCTCGGTTCCGAATATTACTCGACGCCCATAGATATCTGGTCTATTGGATGTATTTTCGCGGAAATGACTAATAAAAGACCGCTATTTCATGGTGATTCAGAAATTGATCAAATACTAAAGATTTTTAGGTTAGTTAGCGACGTCATTAAAGTAACATTTATTTGAACTTAAGAATTTCGTACAGAACTTTATCAACACCAACAAACGAAACTTGGCCTGGTGTTGAAAATCTACCAGATTATAAATCCATTTTTCCAAAGTGGCATTTAAACATTTTAGCTGACAGGTGCCCGAATATGTGCGCTGAAGGTTTGGATCTGCTAAGGAAAATGATAAGTTATAATCCCCGTTCTCGCATTAGTTGCAGAGAAGCAATGTACCATCCTTATTTTGAAAATTATAGAGGTTTATAGGTTAATGATGGCAAAATATTTTTATGAGGAATAAGGCCCGAATGTGGGCCTCCCATCCACACCTAAATTTTGCCAGTTTATCCATGATAATCTTGCGGTTAAGTCTATAAAAAAATATGTTTATTAATTGAAAAAAAATATATCTCTGCAGATGATAGTAAATCAATATAACAGTCGTACCGCTTGTATTCCACAAAACCGATTCTCTTTCTTCAGATCTTAAACATGTGTCAATATACTGAACTGGATGAATGTCAGCTTCTAAGAGGTCGCCCAAAAGTGCAATATAGGCGATTGCCAGCTTGAGGGTATCAATTTTTGACAGCCGTTTTTCGTATGGAAAAGTAGGAACATGAACTCTCAGTTCTTCAAAAGCACTATTTATGCTCATCATTCTCCTTCTTTCTCGAACATTAGCGGCCTGCCTAGTCTGGATTGTGTAGGGAATACCATTTGGGTCGTAGTGAATTGTTAATGAATCATCTCCGCATCTGTGTTATCCGTTTGTTAACATTAAAAGAAGCAGAAATAAAACAAAACAATAAGTACACTCACCCACAGTCGAATTGCTGATATTCGTAAAGGCAGGAAGAACGATATTCACTCTCATCTTTTGCTAATGTAGACATGTTAATTGTTCCCCAGCGTTTTTCCAAGTGTCGGCGTTCTTGTTTATATACTCCTCGCGATTGAAATGACAAAATCATACGGCGTCGACAAATTAGCGTTAAGACGGTGTCAATACCACTCGACCGCGATTACGCGCCGGCGTCGCTTTAAAAAGAGCGTCTGTCCGTGACAGCCCTTAAGGGCGTTCTTTTAGCGGTGTTCACGCTCTACGTGCGTAAGTGTTTAATTAAACTCGCGTGTAATTTTTTTTTTGTATTTATTTAGATGTTAAAAAAATATATATTCTGCATTAGTATTCCTGATTGTTTACTCATTACTAACATTCTGTTCTTTCTCATTTTCCCAATGTCCACACAGGGTTTTTAAATTGACGGCAGCTTGTAAAGCTCTTGTGGCAACTTTAAGTTTACGACTCGCATTAAAATCTTTCAATTTAGCCAAGGCATCATTTGGTATCGGCATGGACGGAGCCGCTTTTCCTTCGACCCATCTATGCTTTAAAGCTTTCGTTGCGGATGGGCGCTTCTTTGGATCTGCTTGCAGCAAGCTAGCTATAAAATCTTTTCCATTTTGAGATACATCATCCCACCAAGGATGGGCAAATTCATAATCGCAATTTAAGATCTTCTTATAAGCAATTTTATCATCTTCATGATAGAACGGTTCATAACCGCACAATAGAATGTAGGCTATAACCCCAACAGACCAAATATCAACTGACTTGTCATAGTCTTTGCCAAGAAGGACTTCAGGCGCGCAATATCCTGGTGTTCCGCAAACGGTAGTTGTCTGTATTTCATTCGGTAGCATCTTCGACAAACCAAAATCTGCGACCTTTAAATTAGAATCTTCAGATTTATTTTCATAGAGTAGATTTTCAGGTTTCAAATCGCGATGAACAACATCATTTTCGTGTAAATATTCAACTGCCTGTAGCATATGCCTTACACAAGTAGCAGCATCCCTTTCACTATAAAATCCTTTTTGGATTATTCTATCAAATAACTCCCCTCCTGTGACATATTCTAGGATAAGAAAGATTTGGTCATCAGTTTCGTATACTTCTTTTAAACGTATCTGAATATAAACAAAGTACAGAAATCATTACACGTAGTCAAGGAATACTATTACAAAAAGATCAATTAAATAAACAACTTACAATGTTTGGATGATTGAGTTTTAACAGTATACCAATTTCTGTTCTAACCACTTTCTTTTCTACCCTTTTCTTAATTATTTTCACTGCCCATTCCTTTCCAGTTTTTCTATGTGTACATTTACGTACTACAGATGTTGCGCCACTTCCTAATTCTTCATGTAAATCGTATACATCAGGAAAAAGAACATCAGTTAGGCTCTCTTGAATCCATTTCTTGTCAGTCTTTGGCTTCGGCATATCTGTTTTCGTGTAACCAAGCAACGCGCCATATTTGACCATGACCTCCGATTGTCGCCGGAAACAGAAACAAATCGATAATAAAGGGTTTCACAGGCTGAACGTTTTCAATTTTTTTTTAAAACATAGATTAAATTATCAGTTTGGATTTTTCATTATATGGCGTCTTACCAAAGACGACGTCAAGGAGAACGAGGTAATTGGAGTTTTTTTTTTAGAAAATCTTTATTTTTTATAACTGTTTTAGGAGAAGATTATCCAAAAAAAGGTCGACCTCCACCAGGTCTTAAAGGAAGAGAAATTGGCCTCTGGTACAGAGATAGACAAAAGCAGCGTAACAAGGAGCTGGAGCATGAAAATCGTGAAAGCGTCAATATGAATCATGCAAATGAAAAACGTTTAAATGAATTGCTGACAAATATTAAATCCAGTGGGTTTGAGGATGAGAAATCAGCTGCCGAATTGTTTGAAGGAAGTATTCCCACCTCTGCTGGACCAGCTGGTCTATCAGGAGGTATGATTTTAAAAGATGAAGTTAAAGAGTCTTGGGAAGATGAAGATTCAAGCGAAGAAGAATCAAATAATGAAGATGATTTTGAGTTTGAGGAGACAGATATTGTTTTCTTAGATAAGGAAGATACAGCGAAATTTACAGAATACGCCCACTTACAACCAGATAAAAGTAAAAGTGAACCATTTGAAGCAAATACCGATCAAGACTTCGAATCTAATATTTATGACGAATTTCAAAGTAAAAAAAGTTCAAAGGAATATAAAGAAAAGCTAAAATTTAGACAAAAATTGCCTGCTTTTGAGAGAAGAGAAGTTTGTATTAAAAACAAGAAAAAAAAGTGATAAAATTTCAAAATAACTTTTATATTTAATAGGAAATTATGGAAAAAATCAAAAGTAACCAAGTTTTACTTATATCTGGAGATACAGGATGCGGTAAAACTACCCAAGTACCTCAATTTATTCTTGACGATGCCATTGAAAGACAATGTTCTTCATCTTGTTATATAGTTTGCACGCAACCTAGACGAATCAGTGCTATATCCGTAAGTGCATAACACATAAAGTATCGACAATTTTATGACTATTTGATTTTGTTAATAGATAGCGGAGAGAGTTGCCCAAGAACGAGCCGAAAAAGTTGGAAAAAGTGTTGGCTTTCAAGTTCGACTGGAACGGTATAGACCTGATATTTTTTTTCTATCAAATCCAAGATAACTATTAGACAATCCATAATATTCATCTTATAGAACTGAGTCAAGAAAACAAGCATCGATTCTTTATTGTACAACAGGAATTATACTTCAGTGGCTGGCAAGCGATAGGTAATGCATGACTGCGTTGGTCCAAAATAGATTAGTATTTATGACATATCTACTTTATCATGGATGATTTTCCTTAAGAATATTTGCGCTCAAGCATAAACTCTGTGAAAGAAAATATTTTTACGTTTATAGTTCACTAAATATAATTTTCTTTGATAATTATTCATTTATATAATTGTCAAATTATATTTTATCTCATATCCTTTATTTTTTTCCTTTCTTTAGAAATCTCAACAAAGTATCTCATATTATCGTTGACGAAATTCACGAAAGAGATATGCTAACCGACTTTTTGATGATTGTACTAAGAGATTTGTTGGAAATTCGATCAGATTTGAAGATTATCTTAATGAGTGCCACGGCCAATGCCGACGAATTATCAGCTTATTGGTACAATTGTCCTATTTATTTTATACCGGGTAGAGTGTTTCCAGTTCGCGAATATTTTCTTGAAGATATTATTGAGATGCTAAGATACGAGGCAGAAAGTAGTTTTGGTCCAAGGTCTAGGTTCAAGCAGAGCGAGTTCATAAAATACGAACAGTGGCTCAGATCGTTACCTCATAAAAAATATTCCTCTCTTACTATTGAATCATTAAGAAGAGCAAATTTCTCAAGAATAGATATACCTCTAATAACGAAACTTATTGAATATGTATGCCGAAATTACGGGGACGGAGCTATATTAGTTTTTCTACCAGGATTAGGAGAAATTAGCGACCTAAATAGAGCTTTATCTAATTCACCAGTTTTAAGATGCATGAAAACACTTATTATACCCCTACATTCTCTAATGCCAACGGTTAATCAGCGTGAAGTATTCGAAAAAACAGCTGGAGGCCTCAGAAAGATTATTTTAGCAACGAATATTGCCGAAACGTCTATTACAATTGATGATGTTGTCTATGTAATTGATTGCGGAAAGCGTAAACTAAAGAAAGTGGACTTGGCATTAAACGTTGCAAAATTAGAATTAGACTGGGTAAGCAAAGCGTCGGCCACTCAGAGGAAAGGAAGAGCGGGTCGTTGTCAACCGGGCGTTTGTTTCCATCTAATTAGTGGATTTCAATACGAACGACTGAGCGAATTTGACTTACCGGAAATTTTACGAACGTGTCTCGAGGAAGTCTGCTTGCATGTCAAATTACTGAAGTTAGGCAAAATAGTTCCGTTTTTGACAAAGGGAATATCGAGGCCGGAAGAAAAAGCTCTTGAGAACGCGTTAAAAACTCTCGTTCAAATTCATGCCTTAAACGCCGATAATGAAGAACTTACGGCACTTGGTTGGCATATTGCAAGAATGCCTGTTGATCCCCACTGTGCCAAAATGTTAATATTCGCTGGTTTATTCTCTTGTGTTGACCCTATTTTGACTATAGCAGCTGCTTTGTCCTACAAAGATGCATTTTATTTTCCCCTTTCAAAGGAGCAAGAAGTTAGAAAATGTAAAAGAATTTTAGATGGTGATTCTCAAAGTGATCACCTTTTGTTAGCCAGAGCGTTTAGCGGCTGGGAAAAAGCTTGTTCTAACGGTGCTGCGGCCGGAAATGCGTATTGTGACGAGAATTTTCTTTCTAAATCTGTTTTAAAATTATTATCAGGAATGAGACGTCAATTAGCAAGTCTCCTCAGGGATATGGGCTTTGTTTCTTCTAGTGATCCTTATCATGGTGCATCAAATTACAATTCTTCTAATGAAAAACTTGTTAGGGCCGTGCTGAGTGCTGGCCTATACCCAAATGTTGTAAAGATCCGTTATAAGGATGGGAAACCCAAACCGCATTGTCCTCGATATGTTATAGAAAGCGAGTCGGGAGGGAAGAAAATACATATTCACAAGAGCTCAGTAAATTTTTTGAGAGATATTTTCTCCTCTTCATGGCTTGTTTATCACTTAAAAATGGCAACTGATAAATTATATATTTTCAATTCTACACCAGTTAGTCCTTATTCTCTGTTCTTTTTCGGAGGTCAAATTCAATTTAGAAGGGAAAGAGATCAGGATTGTATAGTTGTTGATGATTGGATTGTCTTCCGGTGCTCTCAGAAAATTGCCAATTTAATAGGGGTATAAATATTTATTATATTCAAATTGGCCTATTTTTCAATTTTTTTTCTATAGGAATTAAGAAACGAACTAGATTCGTTACTGGACTATAAAATATCTAAACCATCGCCAACTAACTGGGACCGGCAATCAAAAGAAGGAGCTCTTATGAGAGCAATAATTGATTTAATAATCACGGAAGAGGCTTCTGTTCCAAAAAATGTTTTAAAGAAATAGTCAAATCAATTATTCTACTTATAATATTTGACTTAGTTTTGTAATCAATAATGCAATACATTCTAAATGTCGCGTTGTATTTATTTTTCCCGCCTTAGTAAACGGACGTCAGCTTTAACCTTGTCAATAGAGCTTCATCTTCAAAATGACAGTTCAAGACATTCCCAAATACACGCGAGAGGGGGAAAAAATCAACCAAATCCACGTTGAATCTCATATGACTAACCCTAAGCCCAACTAACAAGAAATGAAATTCCTAAGGGAAAGTTCCCCAAGTTGGTATGAAAAAGAAAAGGCAGCAAAAATTTACAAACACAAATTCTTTACATCTCTCTCTCTCTCCCTCTTTTTCTTTTGGCGAAAAGCTTAGATTATACAAAATGATATCAAATATTTATGTTCTAAATGATATGCGATACAAGTTATCTTTGTGTACATAAAAGTACTTTTAGTTGATTGATTTTTTTCCCCTTCATACACATTTTATTTCCGGTTTACTTAAATTGCAAATAAAAAAGCTGTCAGTTTTTACATGTATGATTTATCATTTATATTGATTTATTCTTGACAAAGGCTTTTAAAATAAGCTTTATTCCAGGGTTTTATATCATTTTGTTTTTATCTCTTCTCTTCTTTTTTTTTATATTGAATGATTGTTACGAAGACTATTTACAGGATGTTTTTATGAGTACATACTCAAAAGCGCCTATAAATATCTTTCATTCTCTATCTCCTTCGAAATGATGGATTTATATTACCATATATACTATATATATAATATAGTATATTTATATTGTTTATATTGTATTGTTCTAAATGGTCAGCATACGGAACAATTAGATTAATAGTTTGCTTAAATAAGCAAAAGAAATTTCCTTAAAATCAACATTATCGTGTATATTTATATTCAATTGTGCCAGCAAAGAAGTCTGTAGCATTTGATTTCTGTTTTTCATAAACATAGCTCACTAAGAAATTCGTCTGTAATAACATTTTCTTTATCAGTAGTAATATTTATCATAAACTATATATTTTTTAATGATGATTACAATTATTATTATTATTATTATGAGATCGAAACATCTTGAATCTTTTATTAGTGTGATGAATTACTTTCATCTTTTTTTTTCCTGTTTAATTATTCATATCTTAAAGATTTATGAATAGCAAACCATATAAAACAAAAAAAATGATATTACGTAAATATTGAATGATTTTATTAAATATGTAGATTTGATAGTATTACTCTAAATAGATATACTTGTAAACAAAACAATTATCAATCTATCTGATGTAACACACACTAAATTTAGTTTTTATTTGAACAGCGGTTTACAGTTTCAAAGCCCTTTCCGGCTCCTGTTCATTGGTTAATTTCGGTAAGTAACGCCATCTATCAATTCGAGAATTTTTAGAATTCGTGAAAATTTGTTAAAATAAACGAACTTGTAGCAAGTTAACAAAATGGCGCTTACGTGTGCGAGTAAGTAAACAAGTTTTTTGCTTTATTTTGCATATTAGTATGTTATTTTTTGCGATTATTAGAATTAACTAATGCATTGTAATGAGAAAGTATAGTTTATAATTTGAAATTTGAAACAAAAATGTGTACAATAACAAAAGTCTCACATTGGGCGATAAAAGGATACCGGGTGTATCGCATTCTCTACGTTTGGGTCTCGATAACCACCTGATGCTTATTTTTCAGTAAGTAACGAAGTTCCCGAACATCCTGTTATTTCACCTGTTTCGGGATGCATTTTTGAAAGGCGATTGGTAGAAAAGTATATAGCTGAAAATGGAGTGGACCCAATGAACCATGAAAAGTTAAACGAAGATCAGCTAATACCTGTAAAAAGTGAGTGAGATACGATATATGACGTAACATAGATTATAAATATTAAATACTTTAGCTTCTACATTGGTCAAGCCAAGACCACCATCAGCTACGAGCATTCCGGCTATTTTGAAATCGCTACAGGACGAATGGGTTAGTTTGATTTGTATATTGTTACAATAAACAGAGGTAATGTAAGAAATTATTTTCTATCGCAGGATGCGGTTATGTTGCACAGTTTCACATTGAGGCAACAACTTCAAACGGCTAGACAGGGTGAGTGTTCTGAAGATAATTTTAAGTTTAACTTGACGTATAATTGCTTCAATAAATTCCTCAACAGAATTATCTCATGCTTTATATCAACACGACGCGGCTTGTAGAGTTATCGCTAGGCTTACGAAGGAAGTTACTGCCGCCAGAGAGGGTATTTTTATCTATTGTAATTATTTACTTATATTAAATTGATCAATTTCAACATCTATAGCTCTGGCTACGCTTAAACCTCAAACTGGAGTTACACCCGCACAAACTCAGCCGACAGCAACAACAACTGTTGTTGCAGCTGCGGACCAAAGTGTCGAGGCTCAAACGTCAACAGGCATGACCGAGGAAATTTTAACAAAATTGCAAGATACCGCCGCAAAATTGACCTCAGAAAGAAAGAAACGTGGCAAGACCATACCAGAGGGATTAGCGTCTACTGAACAAATTCAATCCTACAGAAAAATTGCTTCGAAAACCTCAAATCACAGTCCCAGCGTTCCAGGTATATTGTCTTTGGATATTTGCCCTAAGGATACGAATAAGATAATAACCGGAGGAAACGATAAGACCGCTGTTGTATATAATAAAGAAACAGATTGTTTAGTTGCCACTTTGAAGGGTCATTCAAAGAAGGTCACCCATGTTGTCTATCATCCGGAAGAAGAACTAGCCTTTACTGCTAGTCCAGATCAGACAATCCGCGTCTGGGGAGTTAAAGAGTCAAAGTGTGCTCACGTGATCAGAGCCCACGAAATGCCAGTTACGGGAATTTCTTTGCATGCAACGGGAGATTATCTGCTATCGTGTTCGCTGGATGGTTATTGGGCCTTCTCAGATATAAGAAACGGGCGGGTTCTTACAAGAGTTGGCGATAAAAATTCCTCTGTACCTTTAACGTGCGCACAATTCCATCCGGACGGTCTTATTTTCGGAACGGGGACTGAGGATTCGACAATAAAGATTTGGGATTTGAAAGAACAGGCTAATGTGGCTAATTTCCCTGGAGATGCGGGGCCTATAACGTCCATTTCATTTTCGGAGAACGGTTATTACTTAGCGACGGCTGCTGATGATTCGACAGTAAAGTTGTGGGATTTACGTAAATTGAAAAATTTCAAGAATATTCAATTAGATGAGGGTTATGAGGTAAGGGTTTATTTATTAAAACATCCCGACTAGTTCTAAACAAGTTTTCTCGTTAGGTGAAATCTTTATGCTTTGATCATTCTGGATCTTATTTGGGCGTAGCGGGAACGGATGTTCGAGTTTACGTTTGCAAACAGTGGTCGATGGTAAAGAGCTTTTACGATCATACAGCTACGGCTACGGGAATAAGATTTGGTGAAAACAGTAACTTTATTGCGTCAACTGGAATGGATCGAGCCTTGATGTTTTACGCAGAAGGATGAAAGGCTCACGTTTAGACTCATTTCCTTTTTTGTAGTAAATTTTTTTGTCACTTATATTACAGTTTTATCGACCATGTTTCGTAGTTAAATCAAACAACTGGCCGACGCCCATTTTCTGTAATTTTAGACGTGAATGACCGCATTCAGCTAAACATTAAAAAAATAAAATATGATACCTTAAAAACGAGCGTCATTGATAATTCTCTACTCAAACTTAATAATAATGGCTAAACATCTGTCGTTTCTTATTACTAGACATGCGTTAAAAACGAACTATCTGCCACTTATCAGTTCCTAAACAGCCACATAACTATTACAATCAAGCCAATTAATTAGCTAAACTTCTAGTGTATTTAGTACATTGAATGTACTGCTGATCTGTTTAGTTATACCAATATAATAGCCGTAAATTTTATGCCTACTTAAACTGCCATAAAGAATGCCTATCCCATTTACCAGCATATTACAGTTTGCTATAAACGAGATCTAAATATATACAGTATATGTCTGTGTTTCTAATCTATATACGCGAACTGTGTAACTGTATCCGTACCAATTCAAAAAAGAGGTCAAAAACTTGGCGTTGACTAAAAGGTATTAGTCTATTATGTTTCTCTATAAAGTAAATGAAGTATAATTTTCTATATAAAATTATATGGTTTGTACTTGTACTGCTCTACTACTATTGACGTAAGTTTGATGTCACACAACAAATGAAGTTTTGCAAATTAATGAATATGTATGATTTATACATAGAAACGAAATATTTTAAAATTAATGTCTGCCATTGTCTTTCATGATTATCTTATTGCTCGTATTAACTTTTTATATAGAATTATCCTTAAAAACAATACAGCAGCGAACAATAATGAATATTTTTCAGTTTTAAAGGAACACAATGAGAAGAAATTGTTTTTTTTTTGTACCACAATAAACACTACTAAACGTATTTTTTTGTTCTCGTTTACACGTTAAATATTCCATATTTTATCAAAGCATAGAAGAATAAAACAAAAAAAAGAAGAAAAAATAAAACAGTACAAGAATAAGCAGTAGCAATTTATCATCTACGAACCCAAATTTTCTGATACGTCATAAACAAACAAAAATAATTATGATAACAGGAAAAAGATGAAAATAAGCTTTGTAACATATTATAAGATAACAATACTGTATAAATGAATGTACATTATATATGAAAAAATAAAAACATTCGACGACATTTTTAAGGAAATGAAATTCACGATAAAGAGTGCTGTTTCTTTTGTTTTTTTTTCTTTGTGTTTGTTTACACTTAATAAAAAAAAGTTACATTTTGTTTTTATAATCAATCAAAAAATTCGTTATTCTTTTTTTTATCTTTATTTATTTCTTATTTTTTTTGTTTTTGTCTCTTTTAAACTTAATTTCGATTTGTTCTAATTAGAAAAAAAATTTGCATGAAGAATATAACTTTTTCTCTTCTGTTTTTCATCTAAATTATTAAGTTAAAGCATATTTTTTTTCTATATCCATTTAGTTAGAAATTTCTTTAAAAAAAGCACCCAAAAGTAGAAAAAACTTTCATTTATGTTTGTTTTTCTTTTTACAATAGAAAAGCATAAAACTATATATATATATATATATAGATTTATGTATATACATACATACATATGTAACTTTAAATTAAAAAAAAAAAAAAAGAAAAAAATCTTTCATATTCTCTTTTACATCGAAAACTGCTGAAGAAACAAGCAGTAATGAGATTTTCTAAGCTGTTAAAAATGCAATAAACGTTAATATTGGACAATATGCCCAAATGGAATGAAATTTATTTTACCATTAGCATTATTACGATCCGAAGAAAATTTGTGCTTCATATCATCGTCTCTGTTGTTTTCAAGAATACGATAATTAATAAGGTATATAGGTAGACATATATAATTTTGTCATTATAAAACAATTATATATAATCAATATGAGAAAATAGAAAAAAGGAAAGATAAACGAATAGAATAGAATGAAAGCAAAATTTTATCCATAGAGAAAACGAGAAAAAACACTTTTCTACACTAATATTTTATGGAAAAACATTCAAAAAGTTTACTTTGGCAAACGTGAAATTAAAGTATAAAAGCTCAATGAAAACAAATAAATAGCGAAAAATAAATAAAATGGCAAATACTCACTCTGTTGGCACTTTCTTCGCTCCTATAAAAATTGTATGAAACAAAAAACGGAAATAAATTGACATGCTCTCGTCTATAGGCCTAAACTAAATCATTGTATTGTTTTTTTTAATCGTTATTCCTTTAAGAGGAGGTTGAAGACTAGAGCAACATTATCTACTCTTTTTTTCTGTTGCTGTAGACTAGTAGTACAGAGTTAAAAGAGGTCAAAAATAAGGAAAAAATAAAACTACAGAGAGAGAGAGAGAGTAGTACAGTCTACAATTTACTTGGAATGATGTACAACTATAAATATCTATGCAATATACAACTATATATATATATATATATATATTATACTGTATATACATACTTATGTGTAATATATACAGTATAAACGTTTCGTATATACTATAAAAAATAGCTAACCTGTTTGTGACTTCTTGCGACAGTAGTAGACGACAACGGCACCGACAATGACTAGAATGATAAGGCATATCACAACGCCAGCTGCAATGGCTGCTGTTTGCGAATTGCCTAATAGAAAATGTAAAGAGAAATTCGATTAATGAAGTAGAATTGTAACATAAAATAAAAGGGAAAATAAATTGTAAGAAAAAGGAACCTATCTCCCTCACCTGCTTCCGTTTTCTCTTCTTTTATATTATCTACCACGATATTAAAGGACACTTTTCTTTCCACTCCTTTAAAACTATTCGGATTAAAGAAAAACATAATAAAGAAAAGGATATAGAATTTAGTTAAGTTGTACAACAAACGGATGAGCAAAAAAAAAGAAAATGACAAAATGCGCCAATAGAATACTCAATTTTAATTTGTTTGCAAATTAGAATTGACTATCTTTTCCTTACCCCTTCGACTCGACTTTACAAGTAAAATTCCTTCGAACTTTTCTCTGTTCGCCATGTTTCTCTGGTATTGCATCTTTGAATAAGCTCCTATCAAAAATTAATTGTTCTCCTTCCCCAACTTTCTCTTCCGTCTCATCGGAAATCCAATATATGTTTGGTTTAGGATTGCTTTCGACAATGCATCTAACCGTTTGAGGTATTCTATATTCAGTTTGATCAGGTTCGATAGAAACTACTCTTGACATATCTATAATTTATTAAGTAGTAAAGTTTTTTAGCTATTATCATTTTCTAAGATATAACACTGATAAAAAGAACAATAACTTACATTGTACATTTAATTTTTTAACGCATTCGGTAAGTAGGCTAAGGGTTGATTCAACACCAGACTGGAGCATATATTTCATTTTTAAATCCTGACCATTCATATTCCTTGTAAGAGTTAACTTAAGAAAAAAATTAGAAAGGATAATCATTAGCATACAGTATATTTGACTATTCGAATTCAAGCTTACATTAACTCGTTGCTTATACTTTTGTAGTCTGAAATTAATTAGCAAATATTTAAATAAGCCTTCATTCATTAATGATAAATATAAACAATTTACATACTCTTATATAGTAGTACAGTACTATAAAAAAGAGAATAATATTTATACACTTACTCTGCACTGTCTCCAACGACGATATCTCTTTCAGTTAATTTCTTATTATTTAGAACTCTGTTCAAAGATAAATAGCAAATGTGTAATTTGTCAGACAATATTCAACAAAAAGTGCGTCTGTTTTATATAACGCTTGTTCTTTTCCTTCTTTTATTTGTTATCTAATATATAATATACTGTTAATAAAAGTAATACTTACGCTATCCATGATCCATCTGTCATATCTTTGTCCATTGTAGATAATTCAACAGAATGCATAAATGAAATTTTCTCTCCTTCTTTACTATCAGCCGAGTTGCTTTCGCATGATTCTTTCTCTGAAAAGAAGAGAATTTAGGATTTCAAGTTGAACAAATTAAATTGTGATTTAAAGAGACAAAAAGACATAATTAAAGTTGAAATAAAAGTGGAATAGAACCTTTTAAAGCTATAAATGTCAAAAACCTATTGAAGCGATATTTTAGAAATAACCGATTCTAGTAACGATACGGAACATTAGAATGCATTAGAAAGAGAAAAAAACCATCATTTTTATCAGGCGACTAACAGGAAACTTTTAAGTCGTATAGATCTGCCGCATTGATGGGTTAATAGATCGGTAAAACACCGTTTAATTAGACGGCTATATTTAGTAATTTTCTTTTATTCATACAACTACACATTTACTATATAATAATAGAACTAGTGTACTAAAAAAACGCAAAAATTTCCCTATGAGAAATGAGGTATTAAAGAAATATATACAAATAAACAATCGTTTAGAATAACATAGAAGGGTGGATTGTAAAAAGAATAACAATAGGATTATATAGTAGGTTATAATCGCATAAAACTTGAAAAATAAAAACCTATCTAAAAAATATGAATAGCATTTTCTATTCAATAGCAATAGATAAAAATAAAACTAAGGTATGCTTAACTTTACTATAATGTATTAATGATTTTCAAGAGCATTTAAAAAAGTATAAAGTAATAAAATACTAGTAAATAGATAGTGTTTTTTTTTCTATATTTATAAAGAATAAAGCAAGCAAAGACTTACCAACAAAATGAAATCCAAAATCTAAAAGATTTGATTCTACTGTGCAACTAAATTTCATGGATTTGGCAAATTTTTTAGTAATATCTTTGGAAATGTATAATATTGGAACTGATAGATCATTCTCTTTAGCAATGATAATATCGGATACACCGAGATCTTTCCATTTCTCATTTTGTAGCATAGTCTGTTAACAGATGTAAATATATATAATTTTTATTTATATAAACTGTACACTTTGACTAATCAGATAATTAATGATTGATTAATGCTTACGCCGTCGTCAAAAATTTTCTCGCCGTTTACGGAAAATACCACTCCCTTGTAGAGATAAGCTTTACCGTATGAGCAGGTAAATGGGTAGTCTTCTTTCACTCCAGTCTCCCGAAATACATGATATACCATCGGTTGCAATTTAGCCAACGTAGCTGTATTTAGAAAAGGTATATAATTGTCAAATTAACGCCATCTATCGATTTCCTATTTTTATTGAAATTCGACGACGGTGAGCGGATTCGGGCAGTAATTAGACGGCTAGGTTGTCCCGGGGGATCTTTAGTTCGTTCTTTTGTGATGAAAGAGGGAAAAGATATCTGTCAACACGAGCAGATGTCATCTCCCTTACCGTTTTTAATTTTTCTATTTGGATATACACCTGCTCTTAGTCAGAGTGTTTTAAAGTATTAGCCCACTTCTATATACGTCAAAAATGTTCGTTTGAGCGTAAAGGCGATAAAAGACTGCAATATGGACATATACGGACTCAAGCCGATTAATCAAAAAGAGAACGACAAATATTATACGCGACCGGATAGCAATTTATATGGATTTTTGCTGACGTAGGAAGTTGAACAAACCGGACAAATAAGGGGGAACAGCTGCCCTTCATCAACTAACTCAAACCCATTTTAGTTAATCTCTCTAATCGCTACTGCCACCACGCCCGAAACTTTCGTCCCTTTCTTCTGTTTCGACTTGACAAACAAAAAAAAATTTCTAGAGCGCGTGTAGCGCGCAACCCTAGTACGCGTCTTCCACATGTTGAACAGATTGCCTCGATTCTTTCCGGCTTGATGCCTGCCCACCAAACGGCTTTTTGCAGGTGCAGGGCGCTAGATTTATAGTAAACAGAACGTCTAAGGCGAATTTCACAGACTGACAAACAATTACTTGGGAATCAAGTCTGTTTGTCACACAGAGCTTTGGTCAACAGATACGCTCTCTTTATCGAAGAATTTATGAGAGCTATATAGAGATTAGGGAAAGTTCTTTACTCTTTATTCCGGTCTTAAAGCAAACATTTATAACAAACAAAACTCTTTGTAACGTCAGAATATATGGAGATAGTTTATACCACGACAAGGAATGTATATCAGGGCGTTGATAGGATACATAAATCTGCGACTTGGGACTAATTTTAGAGCGGTTCGTATTGCACACATGCTATTTCCTATTAAGGACGATCCCCTCTTTTTCAATCTGGTAAACAAACACGCAAACAATTTGACAAAGCTGTTTGTTTCGGACGGGGAGTATGGCGGTAGAGTACTGAATCAACTGTGGAACATCAGAAGGTCAGCGACGATATTCTACAGAGATCCGTCTTTGTCTTTATCAACCCAATGTAAATGAGACGTTGCTATTTTTAGTAGCCTCAAGTGTCGTAATTAAGTCAAAATCGCAACTTAGGCAGATGGCGCTTCGAAAAAGGGGAAAAATCGAATTAGTTTTCCCCAATAGCAGAAAAGGAAACGCCTTACCAAAAAGGCGCGGCATTCGAAACAGGCCCCATCCCGGCTTTTCTAACGTAACTGTAGAACCTACTACAAACAGACGACCTAGTTCTTGGTGTATACGGTGAGATTAGCGAAAAAATTGCAGTTGAGCTTAATGGTTAGCGGATAAAGCTCTCTTATCGCACTACCAATGATAAGTCATATCTTATCTCAAAATTGGTCAGTCTGTACAGGCAGTAAAAATGAAAAAAGGATATGAAGGTGTTGTAAATTATTTCACTAGAACAATAGCGTATTGAAGCTATTTCAACCGCTAGATCAACTTCTTAGTGTGGAAATATGCGCAACAAAGGTCATTGGTTCTGTTTGCAGACAAACTGGAAAACGTGAAAACCGTACAGAACGGACGCCTTTGTTTAGACAAACAACATCACTTCCATTTTGGTACAAGCCGTCGAAAACGAACGCGTCAATCATTTCTCGGCACGTTCTACATACAAACTCGAGACAAACTATTGAAATCGACCGGCCGACATCTGTACGCGCCTTAGGCCTACTTCACATTATCGACCGACATTTAAATAAAAAGTGTAAAATATCTTGTGGTAGGGCAGATTGAAGTGGAAAGAAAAAGGAAATAAAGACAGCCGAGCGCTCAACTGGATAATCCGTCGACCCTAATCCACTGGGCCGGAAACGGGGCCGAATAAGTGGAATTGGCGGGTAGACGGCAAAGTAACGAAATCAACGGCCGGGACGCTTATCTTCATAATCTATAGCGCGATCAATAAATCCGATGCAGAGCGATATTACGCCGTATTAGAGGCGTTTGAGGGGAGTAGAGAGGAACGTTTGGAATTCGTGCTTGAGGTTGAAATCGAACAGACGGACAATTTATTATCTCGTGCACGCGAAAAAAAAGCTCTCTTTGCCAAAATATGACCTGAACATAAAAGAATCTATGTTCTAGGTTATAATGGTATATTCAACAGATAGACATCAAACATTCATTCATTCATTCTACTGTTTGTTCTATTAGTGTAAAATAGTAGTATATAGACCTAGTTTTTTTCGCCGAAATAATAAAGGCAGTAATGTCGTATTCCCAAGACGGTCGTTTTTAATCAAAATCTTTGGCGCCTTGTGGCGTACCTAGCTGCGGGATATCGACACAAGCAAACTCTTTACTTTCGTCGATTGAGGGCCGAAAAAAGGCGACCAAACATCAGTAAAACTAAGGTAAACATTAACGACAGCTCGATACTCGAAAACGAATCAATAAAATTTGATTATTTGCGCTTCAGTAGTAATGAGCGATATTATAAAGTATTTTTCTCCTACACTAAAGTCGTTTATTACAAAAGTGTAAACCATAAAAAATATCTGTTAAGGATATTCGACATTTTATGCCGATATTTACCTGATATCAACTGCTGGACTGAGGTCAGAGGTCGATAAGCGCTATGCAAATAGAACACGCGTTTCTAGGCCTAAACTCTTAACGTACTACAGCTGTTCAAAAGGGCGGCGACTGTCTGTTTACAGTGATCTTTACGCAATTCGGCCGAGGCGAAGAAATTTTGTAAAAATAGCCCTAAGGGCCGACAATATAAATGGAGCGCGAGGCGATTTTCTAAAGAAAAGGGTAAAAAGATTGGGGAACGGGGGAGATGAGTGCCACTTCATTCCCTTTATTATAACCGAGAAAGTCGATTATGGAAAGGAGAGAGTGAGATAGAGAACAATTTTTACATTTTTAGGGCCTAGATGATGAGGGAGATGGTAAATAAAGAGGCTCACGAACCCTGTTTACGTTTCATGCGAAAATTCCGAAATGGATATATAGCCTATTTTTCAAGCTCGAGTAAACATCGAATGGAGTCGAAATTGATTCTTATCTTGCTGCTCTTTTTTTGCCATTCTAGCGAAACGTTAAACCGTATAAGGGCGGGTGGAATTCAAAAAGAAAAGAAAAATATAGAATATGACTCGAAAAATGAAAATCGATCTTTCGTCTAAGTTGACCGATTACCGTGATTAAACGCCCAATAGACGCCCTACAATTAAATGTATTCTTCTCACCCTCTTTCGACTTCTCCTCTATAATGTGTGTACAGCTGCGATTTTGAACGTATAATAATATTTTCTCTTTGTTCAGCTGCGGATGATATTCATAAATATATCCCTTTAAGTTGTCAACCGTGACGAATTCCATTAGTCTTTCATGCTTTTCAACCCTCGAAAGTTTGGGGAAAAACGAAAGCTATTGCATAATACCTTTCCGTTTATACAGTAATAAACCGTTAAATAGTATCGCGTGACTAACGAGGAAATGTTTACAGATTTACGCTTTGGTTCGAAAACTGGAAGCTCAAACGGGAGCTTTTTTTTTTCTTCAACTTCCGGATAACGGGAGAAAGGAAATATTGCGTGATAGGAAGGGGAGGGAGGGAGTGAGTGAGTGAGGGATTGAGTGAGTGAGTGAGTGAGAGAGTGAATGAGCGACTGAGTTAGAGAGACGGGGTAGAGGGAACGGGTGGTGAATTGAAATAAAAGAATAAAGATAAAAGTATAAATAAAACTGAAATCACACCCTGTCGAGATAATCCGTTCTAATCTTCTCCCGGAGATAGGTTATTAGTCGAATACAATAAACTCTGTCTCTTAATTAAAACGTTCAAAACAGGAATACTTGAGTGAAAAAGACTTACTGCACTCCACTATCAATTAAGTAGGACGGAGAATAAACAAATCGTCTTGTAGGCCTTTTTTCCCCTTTTGAATAATTAACGAGTGTCATCTCTATAGCGATAAAACAATTTGTTCCTAGTTCGTACTATTTTATAGATATCTATATATGTATATATAGATATAGACATGTATATATATAGTATATAGTAACCAAATCAAAAATCCATCCGGCGCAGGCTGCCATTAATCCCGAATAAAAATGCAATCGTTTTCGTTTGTATAAGCCTAGTTACACTACATCGCCTAGTTGGGCGTAAGATTGAACAGGTGTTTGTAAAAAAATATATTCTAAAAAAATATAGCATCACGTGGCTTACATTCGGTTTTGTGAATGAAAAATTATACCTACTCAACTTACAATTAATCAAATTGTCAAACCCCGATTTGTGAGTTTGAATATCTATTCATCGACTCTCGTAAAAGAAAAAGCAGATACCGCCTGTTTTCATTTTGTGTTGTTATCTAGTGATAAAAGAACTTTATGCCCTCTTCCAGATACGTTCGAACGTAACTTTACGTAAGCGAAAAATACGTCGGACGTGATTCGGCATCGTTATGTAACCGAAGGTGAAAGCGGGAACAAACACCAATAATAAGGGGAAATGTTGATTTAAACTCTGGTAGGCGTTAGTAGAATGCAAACAAAACGAGTTAATTAATCAAGAGAGAAATTTGAGAAGATTTGGCGGGCGTCCCGAAAAACCGCCCCTACTATAAAAAAAGCTATCGTAAAACGCTCTCGAATTTCTCGCGCCAAAAAAATGAATCAACTTACCTCCAATTATAAAAGACAGAAGCAAAGCTGATATTAAACGCATTGTTCTGATAGTCTCGTTAAATAAACCAGAAAAGTCTTCTTTTTATCCGTTATTTTTTTAGAAAGTTTCGCAGTCTTCAGTCGATGTCTGATCCAGCTCGAGATCGGGATTGCAATGACCGGTTAGCAACCGCACAGGCGACATCTATTGTTGGATTATTTTTACACCAAAAGATGGTGCTTTGCTCACCTTTAGAAAGGCGCTTTGTGAATTGAGAATAGCTCGTTTAAAAAGTTAACTTTTACCGATAATGGCAAAAATTAAACGACGTCTTTATTTATAGTAATTAAGTAAAGACTAAGCTCGAAGCAAAGATATATTTCCTTTCTAAAGTGGTTCCTGGGTCCAAAATTCAATTACTCTAAACCAATACCCTATTAAATAAACAGATTATTGTCATGGACGGCGCTTTGAAGCAAAAACCCAGTTATTTTGTTTAGAATCGATTACTCTTGGTCGTAATAAAAATGAAAAGCTGCGAAAATAATTGGTTTTTGTAATAATATGCCGCCCAAGCAGTATATATATATAACTAATACGGTGGCTACGTTCATTAGAATAAGTAAGAGGGTTTTGTTATTTAATTAGCACTTCAAACTTGAATAAGTAATATAATCCCACCTGAACTTTGTTATACTACTGAATGGAAACAGTTAAGTTAAGCTATGGTAATGAATCCGTTATCCTTGCTAAATGTGTACTTTTAATTTCGTTGACAGGTTACACCCACAAAAATATACGATAAATTAACAATTATACTATCATATAAGAAAAGACTTTCATTGTCTACTTAGGTAGCAAAATAGACAGAAAGAGTATAGCTTCTTCAAGTTTTATGTATTTCCTAAATAGTTTTAAGTAAACGATTAAAGAAAAAGAAGAAAAATTTTTACATTTAACTGACTAGTTTAAATCTTTTATGGACTGTTCCTACGATAATAGATTCTTTATAAATTCGCTTTTATAAGCGGGTTGCCTTACACAAATCGAAATAGGCTATTTTAATAACATAGTAAAAGAATAAGAATGGGGAACAAGGTGAAGAGAAGAAGAAGAAGAAGAAAAAAATCACTTTAACCATTATATAAAAGGGTAAAGAAAAGCCATCCTATTAACCCATATATTTATCTGGCTAAAAGAGTTTATTCTAACATTCTATAAAGAAAAAAGCAAAGTTGAAATATTTAGATTTCAAGCCTTTTAAAAACAAAAAAAAAAAAAATACCAGTTTTTTTTATCAATATCACCAATTAAATTAGTTTACACTAAAATACAAGACGTGACTATACATTTTATTTTTGAATTGGGCAATTTTAATATCGGACGAAAATCGTATAAAAAATATTCAACTTTTTAGTATTAACATCTTTATTACGTTTATAAGGTTATATACGAAGTTAGAAAGATTTACTAAAGATAATTATATATATATATATATGCATATGTATATATAAACTATCTTATTGTATAACTAATTTATTTGCATACTGTATACCTTATACTATGATATACATATTTGATTTATTGTATTTACAAGGCATATTTTCTTTACTTTCTATTCTTTAGTATCGATTGCTGTTAACATCTGTAACAATAAGGTTTTTGTTAATAAATGACTTTGTATTTTTTTTTTCCTTTCTATTTGGTATATAGAAATACTTTGCTTGCTTATGCTCCCCTTTTTTTTCTCTTTCTTCTTTAATAGTGTCTAAAGATATGTCTTTCTTTCTCTCTCTCTCTCTCTCTCTCTCTCTCTCTCTCTCCCTTTTCTTTATTATATAATAAATAAGATATATCTATATATATATATATATATATATAGATATACTGTATATATGTATAAAGAAAGTTTATAATTCTGTCAACATAAAAAGCTCCAGCATGTCTTTAATTGATAAAATATGTCGATCTTATGATTTGTTTTGTAAACATCTTAACAGTCCGTTTTTTATATTATATATTTTAGATAAATGTTTCTCTAGAATTGGATAGTTTCGATCCTACTTCTTACTTTTATTATGAACAATAAATAGAGATGGCAGCACGGATTTTTAAGTCATTCTCTCCTATTTTTTCCCATTTATTTTTTTAAAACAAACAATCATTTAATTATTGAATTCAATAATTAACTTTCTAGACATGTAACTGTTTTTTATTTAATTACAAACTTTCAGATTAAATTCAAATATTCAATTTACATAAAGAGTAAGTTAATAGGACTTGAAAAAAAAACAAAGAAAGCTTTTCAAATGGGGGAGGGAAACAACTGTTTATGTTAATTTGGGCTCACTACTATTCATATAGCATCAGAGCGTTCATCAGTAAGGACTATGGCAAATTACAAAGGATATTTTCTTGCTTTTGTACTTCTACTCTCAGTAACTGACCATGTATTATCAATGGAAGTAAGTTTTTGTACGATTTTAATAATTAATCATTATTTATTTAGTTTTAAAGCTTTTGAAAGTGAAAAATTGACAAATTTGGAAATTTTTTCGTTACAGAGGGAAAGTTTTATGGATACTGATATTTCATTTCCAAAGCGTAACCCTTTAACCATTAAACTTTTACGGAGTTTACAAGGTGCCAGAAGGAAACGTAAGCAACACTGCTGTTGATAAATTTCTAACCTTTAATTAATTCTTATTGTTTTTGCAGGTACAAATTGCTTTGATTTATCGGACATGTGTTGTCTCTGGAACGTTTGTCCGAATAATAAGCGTTAATCTTATTGACTATTCCGGTTAATTAGTTGTTTATTATTTATGTCGTAAATTGCTAGTTTGAAATAAACGCTCGTGAATGTGCTACTACTATCCGTGCGCAAAGTAAAGCGTTACGGTTTCACAATATATAATTTAATAATTTAATAGTATTCTAATATTTTCAAAAGAAGAATAGAGAAAACAATAGAGGCTCATTATAGACCATAGTCGACTACTATGTCAAATGTATTAGTTAATCTAATTAACAGTCGAATAATTAAAAATTGTAACATAAACACTTAATACCAACCATCATAGATTACGGCGGTCTATTTATATTATTTTATGAAAGGAAAATTTGTACTAGTATTACTCTAAGCGCAAATATTCTAAGTGTCCCTCTGCCTGAATTATCCTTGTCTCTCTCTCTCTCTCTGTCTCTCTCTCTAAGATAAACAACGACAGATCAATTTATCCAGGAATGAGAAAGTTTTAAGAATTTATAGAGAATAAATACCTTTTTAATATGAATATTTATCACGATATAGAGTTACTTAGCTAATTAATTCTTACGGTAAAAGTAAACTTATATAATGCAAGGAAAAGTTTTCTTAAAGAAAATATAAAAAGACGGAAAGAAAAAAAAGAAAAAGAAAAGTAAAATAAACTTTTTCCCAAATGGGTAAGAAATAACACCCACTAAGGTTCGGAAAAGGGTGGGAAAGATGTACAGCTCCCTGTTTAGCTCTATAGAACAAAGACGATCGGAAACATCTGGAAAGAAGGGAGAGAAAGTAAATGTAAAAGGCGAAAAATTCTCGCTTCAAATTATGTTTTGTACTGTTTCTCAGATGAGATAATTAAAAAAAAGGTTATTGTAGTTTGTCATAGTAAACAACGATATATGACACAATGCTAAAAAGAGATATGCAGATATTATGTAATAAATCTTTTAAGAGAAAGGCTAATGTTTTATGTTGTTTGCTGACTGGAATACCTAAAATAGGTTATTGGTACAGTGACATTTAGCCTATATATGATTAAATGTTTCCATAACAGTATTTACGTCAAAGGGTATTTATAAGAATAGATAAAGATCTGATTTATATATTCTGAAAGCCTTGAAAACAACACAGAAAAATATTACAAACATCAATAATCCACTAATAGATTATTTATTAAAGACGTTTTTAAAGACATTTATTGTATCATTGTTTTTATTATTGTTTGTCTCTTTTTATCTTTGTTTCCCTCTTTGCTATCAATAAACGACAAATTTCTTCTAGAATTACGTGTGATTACATCTCATCTTTTCTTCTCTATTCGTATGTTTTCTTCTTTCTATCTTTTTTAATGATCATATAAAATTGTTACTTTTCGAAGTAGCGAACACCTCGAAGTTCGTAATTAATTAGGTTTTCAAACGGTAAAGAATTGATTTCAACCTCATTAATGGCTATTGAGTTGTTTGACTATTAATTTGAAAGAAATAAACCTATTGCGGATTAATGATCCAAAAGAAAAGTATAGAGTTGCGTACAACAAAAGTTGTTCGCTTCAATTGCTTTTATTTCATAATCCATTTATTATTTATATATAAGTAGAATAAAAAACTCGAATTATCTGATAGGAGTCGGTCCCTATTTGAAGTCATGTATTAAATTCATAAGTTCGCTTTAAACAGGGGTACCTGTTCCGCTTTCTAATTAGCAATGAATTTAAAAATTTTACCAGGTGCCTATCAGCAGACATTTTGCTTCAAGAATTTGAAGAATGTGTTTGAAGGAAATGCGTTTAACCGTCAAATAGCCTTTGAAAGCCTGTATTAATTCAAGATATCACTAGAACTTTTTCTAATAACCCAACATGACATCGAAGTTCAAGCAGAAAACCATTCCAGTTCGTGTTTCGACAATGGACGCTGAGCTTAGCTTCAGCATCTCCTCTAAAACCACTGGCCAAGAACTTTTTGACCTAGTTTGCAGAACGATTGGTTTAAGAGAAACATGGTATTTTGGGCTTCAATACTCTGACAATAAAGGATTTATAAATTGGCTTTGTCCAAAAAAGAAGATAGTCGAACAAGACCTTCCTCAAAGTTTTCCTGTTCAACTGATGTTTTTAGTCAAATTTTATCCGGAAAAGATAGAAGATCTCATTCAGGATATTACACAACACTTATTCTTTCTACAAGTCAAACAGTCAATCATTAATATGGACATAGAATGTTCTGCCGAAGCAGCTGTTCTGTTAGCGTCGTATGCAATTCAAGCTCACTTTGGAGATTTCGATCGAACTGTATATAAACTTGGTGCTGTCTTTGCTCCGGAAGATCTTCTACCAAAGAGGGTGTTGGAGCAATATAACATGACACCTGCCATGTGGGAAGAGAGAATAGTAATATACTGGAGAGATCACGTCGGCTTTCCCCGAGAGGACGCAGAGCTGCACTATCTAAAGTTAGCTCAAGATTTAGAAATGTACGGTATTAACTATTTCCAAATTCGAGATAGAAAAAATATTGATCATTGGTTGGGGGTGGATGCACACGGGATCCATTTATATGATATCGATAAGAAATTAACGCCGACATACTCATTCGGCTGGAATAGTATTCAAACTGTTACGATCTCAGATAAAAAGTTTACTGTAAAGTTTGTAGAAAAAATTGACGATATGAAAGAATATGTTTTTTTCACATCGAAATTGAAAATTAATAATCTAATTTGGGAATTGTGCAAAGGTAATCATGAATTATACGATCAACGAAGAAAACCGGAATCAATGGAAATACAACAAATGAAAACTCACGCAAACGAAGAGAAGGCTAGACGCCTTCAACAATTGGAATTTGATAAGAAAAGCAGAGATAGAATTTTGGAAGAAAAACGTGACTTGGAACAAAAATTGACTCTTTTACAACAAAGACTAGCGCAGATGGAAGAGGAAATTAGTACCGCGTACGATGCTTTATCTCGATCGGAAGAAACAGTTGAATTACTCGGTGATAAAAATAGACAATATGAACAAGAGATTAGTTTATTGAATTCGAAATCAAAAGAAGCTTTAAGCTTAGTTGAAAAGATCCAACAGGAAAATATTTTATTACGTATTAAAGTCGCGAATGGCGAGAGATTAGCCATTGGTAAGTTGCAATCTGCTCTAGTATTCTTTTAATTAACGGTCTTAAATAATTCAGGTATCTTTGAGGAATGCGAGCAGCGCGGCCAGCTTATCGAAAAGCTTCGCCAAGAGAACGATAAATTAAGGAAGAACAGTGAAGCCGAACGTCAAAGGCGTCTTCAAAGCGACCCTTCTCTTTTATCACCCCTGCCGCCGTTCGAAACACCCCTGACTGATAATTTAACGCTAGAAATGGAAAGGGAAAGAGAGGATTATATTCAAAAAAGTAATAATTTAAAAGAAAGACTCGAAAATTTACGTTCAAATATAGAAGTGTTAAAAGTTGAGGACAGTTCCTTATTAGGGGAAGAAGTTGATGAAATTCAGTCAGGAACGACTATGGCCCGTGTAGCTTTCTTTGAAGAGTTGTAGCATGCTTTCGTTAGCCTTTTTTTTGCCTACTGCCATATATACTCTATAACCTTCCCAAAAAGTTTTGTTTTTTTTTTCTTAATAACTATTTATCACGTATAAAGAGGAAGTGATAGCTTAAAAAGTTTATCAATTTTTTTTAAAAGGTGAAAGATCATTTATTAAAAAGGAATGATCAAAAGGGTTATATTGTATTAAGTTTGTTACGATGAATAATACAATTCTGTTTAAAAAAAAATAGTACTAAACTTTTCATACTCCTTAAACCCTAATCATTGTTTATCCTGCTCAGATATGATTTATCAACCACTCGTTCCGCCGCAACTGCTACATAATGACTCACACGATGCCAAATGATTGTCATAGTCTTCTTTCATTTTGAAAATTTCTTCACATTTTTCACAAGTATATATATACTGAGTTTCGTCTTTCAATTCGTCGTCGTTCTTATGCTCATATTGTAAATGTTCATCAAGCACGCGCATATTCTCAAATGTTAAATTGCAAATTGAACAGGCAATCGATTTTGAAACTCTAGCATTTGCGTGTATGTAATAATCTCTTGTATAACTATGCCGATCTGTAAATGTTTTATTGCATATTTTACAATAATACAGCTCAGATGATTCAGCTCTTTGTCTGATAGATCTGTTAAAAGTATCATCTTCAGATGTTGAATAGTGACGACAAACTTTTTCGTGATTTTTCAAATGAACTCTATTCCTAAATGTCTTTCTGCAAGGTCTACAATAGAACTTTTCTCGATCTTTCGTAAATAGTCTACCCGATTGGCCTTTGCCATTGGCTTCTTCATTATTCAATTCCTCAGATTGAAGATCGCTACCACTGTTGTTCAAGAAACGAGCATCTCTCCATTTTTTTGTTTTACGCTTCGGCTTCTCAACTGATGAACTTAGGACAACCTCAGGTATAACCATTTTTACAACTGGTGTATCACAGGTATCATTATTCCTGACGCTTATGTACTCAACTCGATCTTTCGGTGGACCTATAGCACTTTCGTTAACATTAACTAATGCTACTTTTTTTTCATCTACAGTCACTGCAAGAAAACCTTCAATCCTAATAGATTGTTCGCATTCTAGCATGTTACGACTAAGCGCTGCAATTACTTCGCTTATGCAGTTTTGTACTCTAGTACGAGTGGATGCTTCTACGAAATCCATATTCTGCAGGTAGGACGCTAAGTGCATTAGGTTAAATGATGAATGATTGTTTACTTACTATACAGTAATTGTTAATTATTAGAATTACAAACACTGAATATAACGTCGTACTATCTTTTTATATATAGAGAGAGTTTCTGTTTCCAATGTATAATGCTCCTTACGTTCCTGATTTATACTCAAGTTGTTTTGCGCCACCTATTAAGTTTCATAGATCAACAGTACTCTTTAAATTTCCGTATAAATTGATTATTTCAGAAACTTTCTATTTAGTATTGAATTTATTTAAAAATAACGATAATAGTTAAAGTTCAAAATGATTGCTATTTCGTCCGAGGCATTGGCTTATAGACCATATCATTTCGAATGTGGAAGGACGGCGTAACCCAGGAGCCGCAAGTGCACTTGGAACCAGACCAGTTAAATCTTCCTATCTTTGCTTTACATTTAGGGCAGTAAACCTATTATATTATTATTTTTATTACTATTATTATCTTACATTAATATAAATTACTTTGTGGACATTATGAATACTAACCTTGCCCTCTAAAGTTTGAATGTTCTCCTCCATCCATTTTACTGGTTCAATAAATAATGAAGAATAACACGTTTCGGTCGTTTTGTCGTCATCATGTAAAATTATCGAATTATCGTAGAAAAGAGGCTTTCGACACTTTCCACAATAGTAAACGGCATCAGTAGTTCCATGTGTACTATCTCTGTCCATATTAGGATCTCTGGCCAATTGAGATCTTAAATTATCATCTTTAATCGACGCTCCTGCATCCAAGAGATTATTTAATAATTGCATTTGAAAGAAAACATTAATTCTACCTGAACTAATTTTATCTGCAAGATTTTCTAATTTATATATTTTAAATTCTTTATTTCTTTCGTCTATCGTGAAGTTCATTCTTTCGAATAGTTTTAACTGTTTGAGAAATCCACTATTTGGTCTAACCCCAGGACGATGTGTTTTGATAAGGTCAAGCGATTCATTCAGAGATAGAGATAATTTTTGCATCAAATAGGCTACAGCTATCGTGACGCTTCGAGATATACCATATTCACTAGAAAAATAATATTTAAATATACATTATTTATAGTGCTAGCAATTATTAGTATATTAGATAATATTTACGATTAGTTTAACTACTTTAAATAGCATATAAATACATAATCAGTTATGTAGGATAAATTGCGTAACAAACCAATGAATAAGTGTTGCTCCCAATTGACGACCACTTTCTATAAAGTCGATACATTCTTGAAAATGAAACAATAAATCTTGTGACGGAGTGTCTATTGCATGTACCCATTTGTATTCAAAGTCTTCACGATATTCTATAGGAATTGGCTGAAATGAAATTAAAGTCACTTTCACTTTTAATTGTTATCATTAGTAGCAGGAAATATTGTTACATTCTGTTAATAACATACTTTTATATGAATTGATAAAATTTGTTTTATTCCCTTCTTTCGTAAATATTTCGAATCTATTGCATCGTCAATTCCTCCGACGAATAAACCATCCTGAATATAAGACATGCTGGTGAGCGATTTTTAGTGAATTTCCGAAATTATAATTCTTATCAATTCCAGCAGCGTTACTTGTAGTCTTAAAAGAGGGATCACTCTAAAGAGCTAAATTTAAACAGATTTTTGTTTTTTTATAGTATTAATTCTTTGGACTACTTCACTTACAAAATAATGTGCAATCAACAATAATTGTGTTTGAAAAAGTAGTCGACAGATGGAGCGTTTAAAACCTTTCTGTTTCCGGCTTATCAACGAACTTGGCACATTACGAAGTCTACTTTTTAATAAGCTAGAATTCCATTTAAGAGAGTCTTCAAGACTTGAGACATTGTTTAAACGTACTTTTAGATAGATTATGAATAATTGATAACTTTATATCAGTTTATTCAAGAAAAATCTACCTGCTCTTGCCAAGTATAATTCGAAAAACCTCCCCTCAGCGGATATTTTAAACATGACAGATCAATCTAACAATACAGATACATATTTATCTGCCAATCACGAAAAGGCAACTAGCGTGCAAGAAAGAATTGTGTTTTTTTCCAAAATAGATGAAAACCAGACCGCAAATGCAGAAAAGTCTGCAACAAAAGTGGAAACTAGTGCTAAAGAATTACAAAATAGACAGATTGTAGAAAACGTTGAAATTGAAAAGATTAAAGAAAGCAAAGAAACTAACAATCATCATCTTGTTATTGAGGGAGCTCAATTATTTTACATAGCACCTACAGGAGTAGTTTCTGCACCATCGTATCCTTCCCAATTAACAATTTCTCCAATTGCAATTGACGCAAATAATGAAAATTCATTGCCCGCTGTCGAATTGAAATTAGGCTCCTGGTCTTATGCGCTGGTACCTGATATATCTCCCGTTTTTAAATCAGATTATGGCTCATTTATATTCCCCAATGAGGAAATGGGACTAGAACATTCAGTTGGTGTTATTCTCCCCCAAACAACATCTGAATACGATAAACAGAGTTTTGAGAATATAATACAAGAATATTCTATGCTAAAAATTTCAGGAGAATATGGAAGAGACGAAGAGAAAACCAAAAGCGAAATAGTCTCTGAAAATTTAGAAAAATGTTGTTAAAGTTGCAAATAATTTCTATAATTAATTTTTAAAAAGGTAACTTTACTGACAGCTGCGGGTTGGATTGCCACAGGTGTTTTTAACGGCGTCTCCAAATTAGGTTGTTGGGTGAAAAAAGGCAATGATATAAAAGCTGAACAGTTTTCTTTTTTCACATTACTAAATGAATAATTCAACAGGAGGAGCAGGCTTAAGGGATAGGCTAACCCCAAGCGCAGAGGAGGTAAATGTTAAGCCAGAGGTGCAGAATAGCTTACAAATCGTACGGCAGTGCAGTGAAGTAGCAGCAAATATTTCATCTTCAGTCGGTGATATATCATTACATTACCACTTGACATTCCATTCCTTAAAATACTCTAAATTTTATACTTTTTATCGAATCTGTAGTTAATTACTTAAGCGGTGCTGTAATTAAGGGAGCTACTTTCGCCGGCCCGCACTTACGAAAAGGAACGGAAAAAGTTCTTCCAGATAGTTGGACTAAGGTCAAAGATACGAAAAATAGATCAAGATTAGATAATGCCATACTAATTGGTTCCGGAGGTTTCAAGGGCATGTTTAAAGTTTTCGTTAGTCTTGAGAATGCTGCCGCAGTTTTGGCTAAAAGTTTAGCCGAGGAATCAATAAAAACCATGAGACATAAGTAAGATTAAATTCTAGTGAAGGCGTAAGTTGCTATAGACTAAATTGAAAACAGATATGGAGAACAGAGTGGGATGGCCACTGAAAATGTTCTATGCAGCGCTATGAATATAGGAATGGTTGGCGAAATGGTTGAGAACTGATCAATTAAAACTAATTGCACGTTATACAACGTTTATTTGTCTTGTCTCTTTAACATCTTTATACCAGATGAGGATGGATGATTCTAACAACCAGTATTTACCAACATAAAAAAATTCGTTAATTTGTACGTTATAGTTTATTCAATAATTCATTCCAAAAGCAATTTATCACTTAAATTAGCATTCTTTTGTAACAGGTTTTTATTAAAAGTCAATTAAATGATAAGATTTTGTTTTGTCTAAATTACAGTTTTTTATACTCTCTATGTTCTCTTTTTGGCAGCCAGAAAGCTGTTTATCTAACTATAAATAACTTATTATATTCAGAGCTATTTAATAATCGAAAATTTTTATTACTAATTTTAAAGATAGATGGAGCCATCTCGCAATATATATGTATACTTGATTTCCGGTTTGATACTTCCGGTTGTAATAAACAAGTTTCAATTTAAAGACCAAAGCCTTGGTGATAAGCTGAACAGCTGATAAAATTTTTGAGAAACATCCTTTCCATTAAGTAATCATATCAATCCACCTCGATAAATTAGGTAACATTATTCTTGATGACTAATAATCTTGTGTCTAACACTCAACTTTGTATTTAGTTTAAATTATAAAAATGGCAGAGGCAATAGCTCCTCCAGCATCGAAACCTTCTGATAGTCAAATATCAGAAAGGTTTGATATCATTTTTACGAAAGCTTTAAAATTTGTAAGTGAAGCTCTACTTAAAGATGAAGAAGGTATTATTCAAGAAGCTATTGATCTTTACAAAACAAGCTTAATCTTTATTGAAGAAGCATTAGGAATTAGTAGAGGGTCAACAGAGGGAAAAAAGAAAAAACTAGAATCTGCAAAGAAGAATGTAGTTGATAGATTAAAAATTTTAAAAAATCAGCAACCGCAATCGAAATCAAACAATTTACAAAATCAAGAGAATGAACTATTAGAAATTATGGAAATTGATGGTATTGAAACAGCTACAAGTGATGAAAATTGCAATGCCACTGAATTATTAGCTATCTCTGAGGCTCAGATATTTTATATTTCTGCCGATGGTCTTGTTTCGGCTCCTTCGTATCCATCCAAGTTAGGAATATACAAATTTCGAAATGAAGCAGATAGAATTAGAACTGGAGCTCCTGCTTTTCTTAAGGTTGGATCATGGACATATCCATTAGTACCAAATCAATCTCCATCTTTACAATCAATTTGGGGAGCTTATATGTTTCCAGATTTGGAAAAAGGGGTTGATCATGCTATAGGTGTTATCTTACCAGACAACACCACGCTAACTGATAGACAAACCTTTGAGAATTTGATTAAAGAGTATTCTATGCTAAGTATTGAAGAGGGTGAAGAAGCCGTTGAAGAATCTGAAGATAAGTATCAAAGATTAGAACACAAAAGGGGTAGTGAAAAAGTTGCTGAAGGAATAGAGAGAAGTAAATATATATCTTTATTAGAATCTAAATAGCCTACATTTGTTATTAATTACAGCCGCCGAATATATTGCGAAAGGTGTTGATTTTGGGGTTCATAAAATAAGTGGATGGCTACTCAAGGGTAAGGTGTCATAGTGTTTTAATAACTTAAAAAACGAGAGAAATAAATACCAATTAAACATTCTAGGAGGTTCAGCAGTCAGAGATAGGATGGCACCTACTGAAAAAGATGTCCAAGTACGTCCAGATGTTCAAAAGGGTCTAAAAACTATTCGCACTTGTAGTAAAGCTGCAGTTTCAGTCTCCTCAACTATTGGTAAACCACTTCATTTAATCAGAAAATTGAATAGCAATTCCATGTCTATTTAGTTAGCTGCGTAGGATCTGCAACGAAACATTTAGCAGTATACGCTGCTCCTCACCTTCGAAAAGGGGCTGAGAAAGTGTTACCCAAGAGTTGGACTACCCCAAAGGAGAATCAAGAGTGCTCAAAATTAGACGATGCATTATTAATTGGAGCTCACGGGGTTCAAGGAGCTGTTACAGTATACTTAAGTCTAGAACATGCGGCGTTTACATTAGCAAGAGGGTTAGCCGATGAATCAGTGAAAACAGTTAAACACAAGTAATGTTAATAGTTGATATTAAATGCTGTTTTTTTCTATCATCCTTTTATCATTAGATACGGAGAACAGTCTGGAGCGGCAACTGAAGACGCTTTATATAGCGCAGTCAATATAGGCATGACAGTTAACAATGCAAAAAAGTAAGGCTATAATTAAAAGATCTTTAAAATAATTATTAATCCTATCTTCTTTCCCTGTTTTCTCTTAGTCTTGGAGTTAAGGCAGTAGCAAAGCGAATAGCAAAAGACACTGGAAAGGAAGTTGCTAAAGACCTTATTAAGACTCGTACGGAAATGGATAAACCTGGTAGTTCGAAAGATGCTTTGTAATCTCTGTCCTTTTTGAAAAACACACTGCAGTTTGAAATATACTTAATGAGATTTTTTGTTATTTAAATTCAATTTCTTATTATTTATAAATACAAGAAAAGTATTGAAAAAAAAATAAAAAACCTTCTAATAAAGACATTTTGATATAAAAAAAAGAAGATTAATGTTGTCGAAAGTAGGTAAACAACGTAGAACGAGGGGTAATGTTGATACCACGGATATTCTGATGGGTGACATCACTGGGAAGAGTAAGTACTTATCTTTTTCTTCATCTTATACTTTTATCTGGAAATTTCATTTAGAATTCGAAGATAGGGCTTTCGATGAATTTGATAACGATAATGAATTCCATAAAATTCAAGATATTCCTTCAATTTCTCCAAAAGATCAACAAGATTTAATAGAGTTACGTGGTGTATTTTCCAGAGAAATTGAAACTTTACGTGATGAATTTAAAGAAACTACTATAAAGTTAAGAGAAGTTGAAAATCATTTAGGCATTACTAAAGATGAAGTTATACAACGGCGTCAAGAGGTTCTACAAACTCAAATGGACTTGGAGCAGATAACTCAACATTTAGATATGTTAAAGCAAGAATCAGAAGTCCTAAAAATTTGGCATGTCGATTCTCAAGCTGAAAACGAGGTAATATAGAAATATATACAGTACGGTATTTATACGAAATGTAATATTTTCGCCTTTCCTTTTTAAAAGGGTTTACGTATTATGAAAGAAATATCAACTGCATGGAAAGAGGGTCTTGAAGGGCGAAATCAATTACTAAATTTTGATGAAATTCTCAAAGGTATATTACCAGAAGATAAAACTGTTCAAGATTTATTAAATGAACGGCGTCCCGACTTATGGAGTATATTTAATCCATTGATTGATCCGGAAAAGCAAAAACTTAAACATGCAAACAAAAGTAAAATTCAAGCAAAATCCGCCTTTAAAGCTCATTCATTGACAAGATTTTCTCATAGAATAAATAGAACTTCGTCTAAAATTGTATTTCATTCTTAAAATATAATCAAAATAAACAAATTCAATCAAGAAGAATTGTATATCTGAAAGCAGATATTAGTGATTTGTAAGAATCTATAAGAGTTTCCTCTTTGTAAGCATATATAGTGAGGCTATACCGCCAGCTATTAAACCAAAATATAGTAATTTTGTTGTAAAACATGACTTATTCTTAGCTCTTAATCTTGTTTGTAAACAAGAAACTTTCTCCATTTCTGCTGTTGATACAGTTCCCGGGAATAGCAACTCCGATACCTAGTTTTGACAAAAAAATAACAATATTATTATGTAAATCATATGCAAATTGAGTATATAAATTTATTAAGAACCTCAAGTGCTGCTCTTTCACCAGCTTGAACGGCACCGCTTATATAGCCGCAGCAAACGTTAGCAGATTCAGTACCGGCAAAATGAACACTAAAAATACACACATCTTGTTTAGATAACTAGCTAATGTGCACTCAGATAAGTATACCTTCCGTGTTTATCCCTTAAGCTACCGTTTAGCAAAGACATTAGACCTGTACTACAAACAGCTACAGGGCATCCGCCGTTGTAACGTTCCTCAGTCCAATTCTTTTCAGCGTACGAAACATAGTCTAATGCCTCATTTCCGAAGCATTCAGCAAGATGAGAAGTTACCGCTATCTTTGTCTCTTCAAGCGTTTTAGCAGAATATTCAAAATGTTGAGAACCGCCTATAAAACCAACTAAAGCCGCATCATTTTCTAGTGTAGTTGCATCAAAAACAATACAATTTGGACCTCTACTGCAATTGGGAATTATTGACTGTCCACCAGTGGTTAATATTTCGCCGGAAAAGCCATTATCTCTCCAAAATGGTTTCTTGTATGTTATTATAAACTTGGTAAGATGTCCCAAAGGTAACTTTTGAAGGACATGCATCCTTCCAGAGTTAAGACTTGGTGTAAATTGAATTTGGGCTACAAATAGTGAATGTTATTTTTTTGTTAAGAGTTACTCATTAATTATTTGTTACCGATAGTTTGTGGAGGAATTGCCAAAATAACGTATTTGCATTCAAAAGTTTCTCCATTCAAGCAAGTGACAGTAGTGATATCGTTTTCTTGTTTAATAGAAACAACAGGACAATTAAGGCGAATATTATCTTTGCCTATATATTCGGCTAATTTATCCGCAATTTGATAAGCTCCTCCAACAATTCTAAGTCTTTGGGCATGATCTTTAACATCACCAATTAGCCTATCAAATCCATTTGAAGTAGCCGAAAAGTATACAAAATATAGAAATGATATATGATTTATATCCGCTCCAAATAAAGTTGCAAAAGCTGCATTTAAAGTTTCCTTCATAACTGAAAAGATAAAGGGATGAATGATATATTTTTCATTGAAATCTTAATAATTCCTATACGTTTTGGGAAAAAGCTCATTTGGTCCAATGCTTCTGCAACAGTTATATTATCCCATTTTTCAGCATTGGGAAAGGAATAGGGATCGTCCAAGGGGAAATTTTTTGTCATTTTATTAATCTATTAATTAATTAATTGTTATAATATACTGTACATATTTCATTGATTCTGGATATTATACTTTGTGTAGAAGATAAGCAAAGTCCAAGAGAGCATACCAGGGCATAGATGGAATATTTGTTGAGTAATACCTTATTAAATTATCGCTTAATTGCAAAATCTTCTTTCCTTTCATATATTGAGGATATGTATCTAATTCTAATTCTTCCAGTAGTTTCATTACATTTGTTTGATAGCTTAGATGGAATGTTATACTATTAACGAAAGCAACGAAAGAAAGTAGAATATTTACTCTCCAACCCATTGACCTCCAAGATCCCATTTCTTAGTTTTTCCATTACCGCAATCGATATATTCTCCATAAGTTCTTCCGCCAATTCTCTCTGCAGAAAAGATGAAAAAATAATGTTATAACACTGTATTTTAGATATTAAATAAAAATTATCAGATTATTTTGTTCACCTTTTGCTTCCAAAACAATTAAAGATGTTTGTTTATTTCGTTTAAGCAGCGTTCTAGCAGCTGTCAAACCTGAGACACCCGCACCAATTACAACAACATCAAACTTTTGATGATCGTCTTCATTAAATGATGCATCCATCTCTTTATTATATCCTCAATGTATAAACACACAATGTATATCAAGAAATGATACGGTGCAACATACTGTACTAGCTTACATGTTAAAAATTATCAGTAAAGTTAATGTGACCTTAAGATAAATCGCATTTTGTGTTAGCCTATACACTAAACCTTAAAAATGTGGGACTGGCTGAAGTATGTGTGGAAGGAACTAAGAAAATGCAAAAAAATATTTTCAACTTTCAGTATATGTGACTGGTACCAGTTCGAATACATATCGATTTTCCTTCATACGTCTATAATGATCTTATCAAACTATAAATTTTCACAAATAGTTAGTAGATTAGTTAAGTAATTAATTATCTATTACGCAAAAATACATATTATTTGCCTAATTAGTTATATTTGCTGTTATATCATTCCCATAAAAAATGTATTAAAGAAAAGTTGATTTTTGAATGTTCCCTATCATTCAAAATATAAAATATTAAAATTAATAGAAGTTTTATTGATTCAATTTTAATCAACAGTAAAAATTCTCTCAGAAATATCAGTTATCAACCAATCAATTCCTTCCAAGAGTTTTTCTCCCGTAACTGCACTACACGCTTCAATTTTCCATTTATGAGACGTTATTTTCTCTAATTGTAATTCTTTTTTAATTTCTTCTCCACTCATAGCTCCAGGTAGATCTTGTTTATTAGCGAAAACTAGTAAAGTTGCACCCGCTAGTCTCTGTTTACGGTTTTTATAAATTTAAATAGAGTAACAATTAGCTTTCAATACAAATTTAAAATTACTATCTTACCTCTTCAACAAGTAGATCATCCAACTCTTTTTTACAGTCCTTCATTCTTCTCCTATCTGCACTGTCAACAACCCAAATTAAACCGTCCGTGCTTTCAAAATAGTTTCTCCAATAAGATCTTAAAGATTTCTGTCCACCAACGTCCCAAATATTCATTTTAAATCTAAATAAAAGGTAAACAAATTAAACTTGAATCTTATTTAATGCAACTGTTCAAGAAGTAAATAACCTACCCTTTATGTTCTAAAGTTTTAATATTAAAGCCTAAAGTTGGTGATATGGTATCAATATCTTCTCCGTTGAACTTTTTAAGGATAGTGGTTTTACCGGCATTGTCTAATCCGCTATTTTCCAAGAAGTAGACAATAAATTACATAATAAAATTAACAAATTATAAAATAATCTAAAAAATAGAATATGTATTTACAGAATTAGTATTCTGACTTCTTTCTCCTTTTCACGAATTTTCTTAAGAATTGATAACAAACCCATTTTAGCCGAATTTATTAAAACTTCCTTTTGTTCTTTTCAATTTCTGGTTGATAAGAAGAATAATAATAATTTATTGATTTCACAAAGAAAATGAAGAATGTTTTGAGGAATCAAAAAAAAAAACTTAAAATATTAAAACTGTTGAGATTGAACAGTTTCGAGTCGTTTTAATGTTATTTGTTCAAGAAATATAGTTATTCTATGTCTTATTCAAAATTTTATATGTTAATTTGAATTCTGATATAGAAGATAGTAGAGATTTCAAGATATTTTTAATGAAATGCACAAAATACTTCATCAGTTATTCGATGGACTACCATTAGGATTTTTTTCCTACCAAATCAACAGCAATTATTATTACATAGGGACATTAATTGAAAGGTTACAAACTATTTTTTAAGGGATTTTTAATAGAATATCATCAACTACTTACAATATATTACTAATAGTTCCGGTAGCTTGCGAAATTGACCGCAGAATTTGTTATGTAGAGGTCGCTTTCAATACTAATGGATAGCATAAAGTGTGAATTTTGAATTATATTCGATAAAGAAAAATGGCGACAGCTACGAAAGCCGATGTCAAGAAATGGCCTAACAACAAGGAGGAATATGAATTACATCATGTTATAGGTAGAGAGCTATCTTTTAAAATAATAATTAACTCTATGACATTGGTTTTGTAACACAACAGTGTTTTGTTTAAGAGAAAAATAAATATTATTCTTTTCTCCGGGATATAATTATCTTTCATATATTTAAGGTTTATTTTTATAACCAAGTCTCTAAATGTAGCTTTTGTTAAATAAAAGTCTAACAATAATTTCAAAGCGATCGGTAAAATTGCTTATCTGTGTAGGAGCGGGAGCAACGGCCATAGTTCAATCCGCCTACTGTATACCCTTAAAGGAGAGATGCGCTATAAAGCGAATAAACCTAGAAAAATGCAACACCACTCCAGAGGAATTAGGGAAAGAAATACATGCTATGAGTCAATGTAATCAAGAGAATGTCGTTAGTTATTATACTTCGTTTGTTGTTAAGGATGAGTTATGGATGGTAATGCAATTATGCGGTGGTGGTAGCCTCTTGGATATTATAAAATTTAGAATCAAACAAGGCGAAAAATATAGGCATGGAGTTATTGATGAAATTACTTTAGCTACTGTTATGAAAGAAGTACTCAAAGGTCTTGATTATCTCCATTCAACAAATCAACTGCATAGAGATATTAAGGCAGGCAATATCCTATTATCAGAGGATGGTTCCGTTTTAATAGGAGATTTCGGTGTTAGTGCCTGGCTAGCAGATTCCTCAACAAATTCTAGGGGAGAGAAAGTAAGACATACATTTGTTGGAACTCCCTGCTGGATGGCACCTGAAGTTATGGAACAAGTTGCTGGATATACATACAAAGCCGATATCTGGAGTTTTGGAATTACAGCCATTGAATTAGCCACTGGAACTGCACCCTATCATAAATTTCCACCAATGAAAGTTCTCATGCTGACTTTGCAAAATGATCCCCCTGGCCTTGATACTGGAGTAACTGATAAGGAACAGTATAAAGCATACAGTAAAGTTAGTACGACCTTTATAACAATTGAAAAAAATTCAACTATTACAATTTACACAATGATCTTGAAAAAAGTTATGAGTGCTATTATTTCAGATGTTTCGCAAAATGATAAGTGATTGTCTCAGAAAAGATCCAAGTAATAGGCCTACTGCCCATCAACTCTTGAAACACGAGTTTTTCAAAAAAGCAAAGGTGCACTTAGATTTTTTTTTATTAAGTGTTCAAGAGCTTTTAGCTTGAACAAATTTTTTTTAATTGTTATAATATTTTTTACTTATCAGGATAGGGATCATATTCGAAAATATCTCCTGAGTGATTTATCCCACGTTCAACAAGCAAAGGTTAATATATTTTTCATTAGCTAAACTTGCAATAAAGTAATAATAATATTTCAGCCAAAACGTGTACCAGGGTCTAGTGGCCGCTTGCATAAGACTGAAGGTGGTACTTGGGAATTTTCTGATGATGAAATGGATAAAAATTCTGAAGAAGGAAAATTAGCATGCAACGACGAATCAAGAGTGAGAAAACCATTTGAAACATATATAAGTACTTTTTAAATGTTAGATCAAAATAATGCAGACTCCACGTGTGAAAGAAGCTTCCCCAGTCGAGGAGGAGGAAACAGCAGCTCCAGTACCAGAAGCAGCTCCAGCTGTTGGTTCAACGCCCCTTAACTTTGTTTTGAGACTGAGAAATACTAAAGGAGAATTAAATGATATAAAATTTGAGTTCACCAGAGGACAAGGTAAATGATCTACTTTCCAAACTTCCAACAATTTAATGGAATGAAAATGAAATTGTTTAACAGATACTGCAGATAGTATATCTCGGGAATTAGTGGAGGCAGATTTAGTTGATGGAAAAGACATGATAGTAGTTGCAGCAAATCTCCAAAAGCTATTGGACAGTGATGAGAATACTAAAAATGTTACTTTTGCCCTGGTTAGAAACAATTTGTTAAGAGATTTCAAATTAAACATGTTTTTGTTTACAGAATTCTACCGGAAATGTAAATGAGAAGCAAGACGAAAAGGCACTGCACGGCTTTGCCCAATTATCGCTTTTAGACTGAATAGTTTTTTGATACACCTCTCTAACTTAAGTAGATGATTTATAAGAAGAAACCAAAATGATTTTTTAATTTTCTTCAAGTCTTGACTACTCGTTATTCAGTAAACTATAAGAAGCTCTTATCGACATAGCATTTTGTTTACTTTCCGGCTTGTTGATTTTTTATTGACATTAGAAAAAGTAAATAACTAAAATAAAACGTTTCTCATTCTCACAATAAACCTTGACGTTTCAAGTCATCAAACGTTTTCTTATTTACAACATTTCCGGCAGAATCTTCGTATTCTTCTTCAGTTTCCGGCTTCCAACGCTCAACGTCTTTTGTTACTTTTAACTTTTGCCATAAAGCAATTGCATCTTCAATATGTGTAACGTTTGCAAAATGAGCTGTATTTGGTATACCAAGACATCTCATGCCGTGTGCGTGTCTCCACTCAGAAAAATGCCTTTGAAAAGCTTTCGGTCCTTTGTAAGTATAATTGCCACAGATTTCGCAGCTATAGCTAAGGTTGAGGCCGTGTAACTTGTAAAGCCAATAGGGTATTGGTTTTCCATCCCAACCCAAGGGTAAATTTTTTGGATTGTATGGAATATCATCATCATTGTCATCATCGCTTTCAATGTTAGGTTCTTCCTCGTCGTCGCTTTCATCTCTTTCATCAGCTCCTCTAGCTTGTTTTCTTTGAACATTGTCTCTGGTGGCTGCTCTCTGCTCTGATAATAATTCTGAGAAACGATAAACTTGAGCTTCTAGGAGTGCAATTTCCCTATGACGTTCCCTGAGTGCCTCATTTTCTTTTTTCTCTTGTTCTTTTGTCTTCGTTCGAGCAAACAAGCTCGGATCAAGTTCATCAAGACTTTTTCCTTTCGTTGCAAATAATCTTTTTGCTCTCTCCTCCAGTGTACCTCCACATTTCAAACCAAGAGCCATAAGAGCTGACTTCAATCTGTCAAGACCCAAGGAGGCAAGTTCGTCTGGAGTGCTAAACGCTGAAAGATCCAAATGAGCGCCAGTATGAGTCAAGGCTCCAGCAGTTTCTTTCTATATTATAAAAATTAGATATCACTCTTTTGTACATATATATAATATAAACTAAAAATCAAAACATACAGGCCATCCTGGAAAGGTTCCATCCATCCATTTTATTTTGAATTCATTTATAATAATATCCATCTCTTGATTGATATCAAATAAAGGCTGGACTCTAAGCAAAAAGTCATTGAGATAATCCAACAGAGATTTTAGATAATCTCTATAAGCATTATTTTTTCTCTCTTTTGATATTTCAAAGAGTCGGTCAAATGAAGTGAGATAACTTATATAATCAGCTTTCTATTTGTACAAAAATAGTATCTTTGTATTAAAGATTCAAATATATTTGAACCTAACATTGAAAGCTTACCTCAACTCCTTTCAAATTAATAAACATTTGATACATGTGATGCAAATCCAAGTATTTACCATAACCTTCTTCATCAGAAAATTCAACTAATGGAACTGTATCCATTTCAGGATTTTCTCTAAGTCTATCCAATTCTTCGAATTCAGCTGCCATGGGGACGCTTACTTGCTGTTTTCATTTAAATTTGATTGAAATAAATCCACTGAATTTATATATTTAATAAAATTTACTTACTTCATTTGGATGTTTTCTATGGAACTCTTTTATGGATTTCAGACGCATGTAAAATTCTCCAAATTCATTAGGACCTGAAAGAGCAGCAATTTCTTGCTTAACTGCTCCATCCTTGTCATCGTAGAGCTCCTTTAATTCTGATGTGGCATCAGTATACCTCTAAGGAAGTTATTGGGAGATTAATTAGACAATCTATGGGTTAATATTTAAATATACTTACATCGAGTAACAACTTCAATCGATGGTCTGAATTTATTCTTTCTCTATGCTGAAATGATAGTTTTTAATAGATTTCAATAAGATTTTTATGAAGGGTACTAACCATTTTCTTTTCGTACAACATCTCCTTTGCCATAGTATCCATCAATCTTTCTCGCTCTTCATGAAATCTCCGTTGTTGTTCCAAAAGAGTTTCCATCCTGTCTGGATCGCTTGAGGGAGAATTAAAATCCAAAAACGTATATGAAGAATGTCAACAAATTATCGTTTATACTACGATTCCACACTCGAAATACCCGGCTATTCTCATCCACTACGCATGCGCTTAGGTGCGAATAGTCATGCGCAAAAAAAGGATACTATAGAGCAATCGGAATAGTATTTGTCATGGAAGCCCGCAGATTTTTTTAAATGTGGATTAATGAACGTGTTTTCGAACAGTCCCATCTGTTACATGTCTATATTTAAAACTATGTTGGGCATTTAAGATTAAAAAAAAGAATATTGATTGCATTGTTAACCTTTTTTTATCGACTTGACCGTTTAATAACGGTAAAATAATATATAAAATACGAGCCGTTTATCAGTTTTTAGACACGTCAGGGTTGTATTCAGAAAGTAATTGCAGATTATACATATTTCACTAACAGATGGACTATCTGTAATGCTATATTAAATAGGGTTTTAATATTTCTATTTTATAGGGTAACACAGCTATATACGGAAATAGACTTGATTATTTTTTGCAGAGAGTTACATAAACATTATATTCTCTCTTCTTCTATCTTCATTTCAAACCCAAATATATCCAAATATGTAGTGAATAACATTCTAATGATCCAAAATACGCAAATTTCCAGAAACGATTTTGTTTTCTAGCATGGCACCGTGAGGTATGTCAATTCTATCCCCATGATTAGCAATAATGATAACAGTTCCCTTTAAAATGATATTAATTATTGAACAACTGAATATTATTGTAAAAATGTAACTTTACTTTTAACGCAACTCCTTTTCCAAACGTGACGTCTCCAGATACCGTCAAGTGATCCAATTCCAACAAATCGGGAATATCCGCAAAGCGACTCAAGAAATCCTTCACTTTTTTAAAGGCTGTGCCTAATTTAACCAAGGGAACAGATGGGAACGATCTTAACGGATTCATAGTTAAAGATCCGGCTTTAAGACTGTATAAGTTTGACATGACAATTAGCAAGTCAGAGGTTGACTTTACGGGTAAGAAACGACTCCTTGGCACATTGATACCTTAAATAAAATTGCAACAATAAAAATTACTCTAAGAAATAGATTTTTTTTTACCAATAGCTCCGTCAAAACTCTTAATGGCGGCACCAACAGCTCTTTCAAGTTGTATAACATTGACTCCATTATCCAAGGTCTAAACAAATCAAATTATAAATATAAAATATTAATATATTCCCTTTGAACAGAACAGTTAAAAGGAAACAACTAATAATTAGATATATACTTTGGGATTAACAATAATTTCCATATGTAACGAATCGTCTTCGATTACTCTTTTGATTGCTGACAGCTTGATCCATAAGTTATTAGTGTTAAAAATTCTATCAATTTAAAAAGTTTATTATATAAACATTGAACATTTCGTTAAAATTCTATAAACCTGAATTTGTTTACGCTCTTAAATTCGTCAACGTGATCTTTTGGTACTTGTGCGATTTCCAACAATCTCATTCGACCCTCATATTCAACGAGAGTACCACCCTAAGGAGTAGTAGGTAAATGTATAAATTCTATATAAAATTATTATAAATATTCAATTCATACCTTAACATCGGCCCTTGTTTTATCGGTAACCTCCATCAAAAATTCAGGACTGACAACCGATTGGCGTAGCAGAAAATTTAAAATATCTTAAAAGAGTTAAGGAAATACTTTTCTTTTAATTAAATATATATTTTTTTTAATAAAAAGCCAAATATAAACTTATTATTATTCCTTAAAAAGGATACTGACATCAACTGTGGCTCCAAGATTATCAATATTTGATACAAATACATATTCTTTACCAGCTGCAATAAATTCATCCAATAGACCAGAATTGTTGAAGCTCTCGTAAATGTCACCGTGACCAGGAGGATACCACCTATGGAAATACATGAAAAAAAAACTATTATTACTATTATAATTATGATTTACGGTTAATAAATTTAATCTGTCCTATTAATAATAAATCAAATAATCTCTCTAATCCATAATCTCTCTAATCTTATCCTCGTAAATGTTTTGTCTTTAATAATAAACCTTGAAAGAAACCAGAAATTTAAAAAACATCTACATCAAAAGAGATATACCGCCAAAAATTATAAGTGGAACTGTTTGCCGTGATATTAAATAATAAATAGCAAAATTCTACATAAATGATTAGATATAAAATAAAAAATTGGGACAAGATTCAGTTAAAAAAAATTCCATACTGAGATTCTCTGAATGAAAATTGAGATAGATTCAAAAGATTAACAGTGAACAATATATACATATATAAATAGATATTAAAAATTCTGATCAATAATATATTAAGGCATTAACAAAATAATACTTTTTGTTAAATATTTGTGCTTGAAGAAAAGATAACTAATAAGTAAATTTTTTACCCTTCAAGGTCATTGTTTGAATAACCTCTTGGTATAGGCAATAAAGATTCTTTATGAATACGCGGATACCTAGAAGAACACAATAGTTATTAGCCAGTTGTTTTTTTTTATACAGAATATATATTTTTTTTACTTGAATTGCATAAAGCTTCTGATGTTCACTTTGATGTTATTATATTTTCCCAAGACTTTTTCAGTATCTTCCTCAGTGTTAAATGAATTCATCAATACCAAAGGTACATCGCAATCGTAAACTTTGTTCAAATTCTAATAGTATAAAAATTCATATAGAACCACAAACAGAAATTAGACTTATTATTTTATTGTTTTAATACCTCAATTTGTTGTACAGTCAAATCCAAAAATGTAAATTCACTTCTTACAGATATTACTGATTTTGGTCCAGTACAACCCATAGTTGTACCTAAACCACCATTCAATTTTAATACTACTAATTTGTCCAACATGGATTTTATTTGAGACTTGGAGGGGGTTTCAATTTCAGAATAGGGTTTAATCTATAGAAGATATGATAAAATATTTCATAAGAATAGATAAATATTATTAATTATATCGGTTATCTAAGCTGTCATTATAAGTTGCCGAACTGTTGATATGGTTATGATCTATAAATAAAACACTACTAATTGATAAAGAATGATTTTTCTTGATAGTAAATATTTTAAAGTAAGGAAAACAAAAATGTTATTATACTGTTTTCATAGAGGAAGTAAAATATACAGTTTATATTATTTCTAATATATGCGTTCAATAATCGATTACAATGTATCCTAAAATAACCTTAAACGTGCTTTTGCTTTGCCACGTCCTTTCTTTGACTTGCACGATTTTCAGAGATTTTCGGGTTATATAAACGTATGAAGTTTTTTTTGCTTTATAAATAGCGTACATTAAATTGAATACACTTACCGCTTCCTTAGGAAGTAAGTTAATTTTTTCCCATTGAACACTTGGCCCAGTTTCGCTAAGGAAACGTTTGAAAATCCTTTCATATCCATCCAAGTCAGCTCTTACTTGTTTCCGCATATGATCAGGACATGTTAGAGCTAAATGATCGAGTTCCTTATGCATTGCTATTTGGGCATCTCTTCTAGTTGCTTCTCGAAAATCGCCCGTGTCTGACGACATTCTCCTATGATTTTTTACTTGACCCTATTCAAAAGAAAGAGTATATATATATAGTAAGATGTAACGCTTGAAAAGCCTCATAGAAAATATAACATAAAATACTATATAAATAAAAAAATTAACAGTGAAGCATTTAAAACAAAAAGAAAATAGAAAAGAAAAAAAGAACATTTTTCAATTAAATCTTTATTTAAATAGAAAATTAAAAAAAAAACATTACATATCCGTAATTGTTAAAAAAATTGTTCGAATCATATCTGAACATGGTAAAGCAACAACGTGTTAAACCCGAATGTTCTGATAAAATTGGCCGACAGAAGACCTATTTTATATTCACGAAAGCAACAATACGAAAGATCTTTTTTCTTACTCGCGAAAACTATAGTTACGTTCGAATGTAGGAGAAAAAAACTTTAAAGTTGTGCAAATTTTTAAAACAAAAGCCTCTCTCGGTCTGAAACTGTGTCGATATTTGTATTCATTGTTTAAAAAGCTGCTAGTTAAAAGTTGCCGATATTTTTCAATACGTTTTATGAATTATTGTTAGTTGCAGAATTTTATCCAACACAAATTGAACGTTGACAGAATTACTTACACCTTCCTCCGGCATATCTGTAGAGTTGCTGTCTATTCGAATTCCGTCCTTGAGCAGAGTTCACATTGACCTTAACATGATCTTATTGGGCGTCAAGACATTTTCGTAGTTTCGGAAATGTAGCACAAGCGTTCGAAAAAGAAAACTTGTTCGAACAAAACAATTCGAATTTGAATTGATAAATCATTGAATTCTGAGTTAGACATAAACTATAATTATGGCTCGAGTTAAACGTAAAGTTATTAATACAACTCATACAATAGCTGATCATAACAAGGATAAATTAAAAGAGTCAGTTTTTAATTGTTTCTTGGTTTAACTTGCATTATCGCTCGTATATAAAACAGTTTAAGAATTACCAATAAAGATGAAAATTGGAATAATCATCTGCTGTTTAGTATCGGTTCCTTCTGTATAGCTTTGTCAGTATATGTACGAACTGTTTATCCGTCTATACCAGGAGGAGATTCGGGTTAGATTTGAGATAAACTGCACAATATTTTCTCCAGCACATTTCTTTTCAACACATCTCTTTTCTTGTATTGTTATTAAATTTGAAATTCGTTAGCAAATAATACACATACCTAGCTATAATGTGAATGAAATTCTTGATTACATATAATTAAACTTATTAACCGTTCTAGAAGTCTTTTTTTTTTAGATTAATACTGACACTAAACAATTCATAAATACACATAAAATATACTGATTATTTCAGGTGATATCATAATGAGCGGTTTCGAATTGGGAGTACGTGAATAATATCTGTTACATCTAATTTTGTCACAAATTTTTTTATTAAACGTATCTTATTCAAGGTCGCTCATCCGCCTGGTTATCCTCTTATGACACTACTTTGTTACTTTATAAACAAAGTAATACCTTACGGTAATCCTGCCTGGAGGGTCAATATCCTAAATGCTGTAATAGCAGCTTCGGCCTCAAGTCTTTTAACTTTTTTAGTGTTGAGGTGAATATTTCTTTTTAACAAAAAGGATAACTTGAACGTTAATGTTTAATATTAATATACATTCAAGCTGTTTTTTTTAACAGAAAAACAAACTGCTATTATTCAAGCTTTATTGCTTTTTTGTTATTTTCTTTCAACCGTATAACTTGGTTATGGTCTATAACAGCTGAAGTATTTGCTCTAAATAATTTCTTCGTATGCATCCTATTCTATTCTTTATTTGTATTCAATTTGAAAAAAGATAAAGACGAAATATATCAAGTAAGAATAAACAACTATTGTCACCGTCCTTCGCCCCCTTATAAATATTTTTATATACATTTATACAGTATATAAGTGTGTATACTATACTTCTTCAATAGGTTGCGAGAGTTGGAGCTTTTATATGCGGACTTTCATTATGCAATCAACATACTATTGTTATTTATGTTGCTTGTGCTGGATTTTGGGTCTTCAGTACACTTTTAAAATTAAAAGTATACCTTTAATTACAGATAGAACTATAAATATAACGTTACATTTTCTCCAGTTTACAGTCGGTGAACTTACTATTGTTAGCCTTTGGGGGATTATAGGCCTACTACCATACGTTTATTTACCATTAAGCGATTATTTAAGTAACGCCAGATGGTCATGGGGCAACTGTTCAACGATTAAAGGATTTTTAATTCATATATTCCGATATGAATATGGTACTTTTAGTTTGGCAAGTAGAATGAAATATTTTTTTCTTAGCTCGTAATATCGTAGTCCATTGTAAAATCCTTCCTTCCTGTTAAATAGGCTAAAAAAGGAAAAGATGCAACACTTGTAAAACATTTAAAGTAAACAACCTTGACATTTCAAATCTATTTTAAAATATTATTACATTTTCCTCTTTAATTAATTAACTAATACGATAATTTTTATTTCTTTCAACTAATTAGCATAGTTTTATTAGTTTAATTAAGAGAATTTCAACGATTACAACATTAATTGTATATTTAATAATTACGGTGTTGGGTTTTAAGTCTGCTCTCTTCAAGTAAGACTATTTATGGCACTTAAAACAGCAATTTTTTTTAGATATTACGTAATACATTTCTGGAGAGATGCCAAACCTCCTTTTTTCTTCTTAGGAATTCTTGGTATATCTATTTCACTTAGAAAGTTTGTTATATTATTATATAATATATATAATTGAAATACGGTTAAAACTGAAAAAAACAACAACAACAACAGAAGTATAAAGGACAGGAAGCTCAACTCGGATGGATTGTTAATTATCATGATTTTCACATATCAGATATTCTTTTCATGGAGAGCTAATTTAGATGTTGAAAATGACTTGTACTTAGGCGTGGTTGGTTGAAATTGCTTATTTTTAAATGTTGATTAAATATTTTCATATTAATGTAACTTTTTCAACAGATTGAAAGATTTTATATGCAAACTGATATAGGAGTAATTATCTTCGTTGCAACCGGATATAAAGATTTAATCTTGTAGTTATATTAATATTTATATAGACTTGTGTATTTTACCTTTTTTTGTTATTACAGATATTTCAAAAAGTATTTAAATAATACTATTATATATATATTTAAAGCGATTTCAATACTATTACTTCTCTTTTGGCAAGGAGTAAACATTTTTTTACTATCTTATTCTTTTAGTTAATGAATATTCATAAGCGTTTCTATTTTCTTCAATAGAAAAATTTTGACCTCTGCAACTTCTCTAATACATCAGTTGTTACTGATTATGCTAAACTAGTGATGGATACAATACCTCACAATTCAACAATTTTTACTCACGGAGATCTATCCGCAACAACTATCCCTTATCTACAGTTATGTGAAAATTATAGGCCTGATTTAAAAATTATAGATATGGAAGTAGGAATAATTCATTTACCTATTGTTTTCTAATTGTTTATGAACGATTACACAAATACTTTCTTTACCTCCCCTTTAATTCATATAAACAAATAGCTGATGACCTATAACTGGAGCGTTCCGAGATTGAAAAACACAATCAAGTCTTTAGAATTTCCTGCTGAACAATGGCATCTTAGAGACACAGAGACAACTTTTACATTGAACAGATTTTTGAAAGTGAACATTTTTGAAAAGTAATTGTTGCGTTAAAATTAAAGTGTCTATTTTTAATGATTGATTTTATCTATGACACAGAGAAACTACACCAGGTGTCTACGTTTGTATCGGAGCCCATCAGGAGGAGATATCCTATCAAAAGTCTTTCTTTTTACTACCTATTGGTGTATGCCACCAATTTTATCCAAAAGACAATGATATTTCTCTTGTCTCCTACATTCAGAAATATGGATATCTATACGATTCGTGGCCATATTCGTACGATTCAAAGTTTGTTGTTGAAAATTAATTAAACTCATTTAAAACAATCTATATACTGTATGTATTACTTAGATTCGATCCTAAATCATGGGAGTATATAGCCAATAGGATAATTTGGGATGCAAAGTATAATATCTTCTTTTAATCTTTATATTTTCATCTTTATATTTTTTTCTTTGTGAAGAATTAACGCTGCTATTTTCCTCTTCAACTTTGCATCTACGTCAAAACATAATGAAATGAAAGAGAAGGGCTACTATTCAAGTTGGAAGGTAGATAATTCTGTTAAAAATAGCCACTATTCAAGTTGCTATATAAAAATTCTGTCGATAAGAGTATTGTATATATTTTTAGATATATAACCATCACATAAAAAAATACGAAAGGAAGCAACCTTTTCCAGTTTTCTGGATGAAAAATTACGCTTTAGCAAGCTTTTGGCTATATCGTCAAGGGCATGTAGAGGTTGATGGAATAAATCTAATTTTAGAATCAATTCAATATTTCCAATCCTATTTAAACACTGAAGAAGGTAGAAGAGATAAAGAATTTTATAATATTTCTAATCTTGTCAAGAGTTTAAAAGCAAATTTATAAGTACTTATATAAATTTATTATTAACTTAACAATAAATAGTATTAAAAAAAGATAAATCTTTGTTAATAAGAACAAAATTAAACGATAATGAGGACAAAAAAGACAAAGAATAAAACTAAAATGAAACTCTTCTTACTCAATTGTTTTGTTTTTTTTGTTATTTCTTTCTTTTATGTGAATTTCTAAAGTTGATTAAAATATAAAGTACAATTTCTTCCCTTTAATAATAAAACTATTTACATCTTTTAAGTAAATCTTGTGCCAAAAGAGCCAAAAAAGAAACAAGACATGGCTTTTAAAAAATAACAGAGAAAAAGAAATTAAAACTAACAGTGATTGTACATTTTGTTTTTGGTTTTTTTTTTTTAAAAAGTACTTTTACACCATTTATTAGCACTTCGTGGAAAAAGATCAAGTAGAAAGGAGTGTATTCCAGACTTTCTTCAGGTTATTAAAACATTATCAGACTGTACTTTCGTGCCGGTACTAAAACGTAAAAAAAAAGAATAAAATTATCCTTTGTTGGTCATTAATTTCAATTATAAATAATACATACCTCAGCACTTTGGGGCTTATCAATAGCAAAATGAGGTTTTGAAATTCTAGTTCCACCTTCAGTTATGATACTCTCATCGAAGAAGCTAGAATTTCTCGATTGATGGCGTGATGACGGTCTTAATAGATTATCCACACTGAGATTGAAATCTCCCGATTCGAAACTTGAATTTAATGATTTTACTTCGTATTCTTGGATAAGTCTATTTACATCTTCATCAACGTCACTCATTTCCGATAAAGCCAATTCTTCGCCATCCGTTTCCGTGTCAGTACAAGTCGTAGTGCCGGTATCGTGTTCGAATTGCTCCATTAAGTATGGAATTTTAGAGGCGTCCAAACCGACTTTCAAGGCTTCTATAGTAGCGTACTGACCTCTATCTTTCCACCAACGTCTCATCATTTGTTGTACCTGATTTGGCAAATAACCGGACCATTTCATGCGAATTTCTTGAATCATTCTCCTTGTCGAAGCTTCAGGTTGACGTTGAGCGAATAATGAGTAAGCCAAATCTTGCCAGTTTGAACCAACTTTGAAGAAGATTCTTCTTCCAGCAAGGTCTAATTCAGTAACAATCTTTGTCTTTCCTCTTCTCGTTTTCTTCTTTCGACGTCTTACTGCTCGTCCTCGGACAATTACCCATTGCGGAGTTAGTTTATTGTCGTCTGGTTCTGGAAGTTCAACTTTAGGCGCATTTAGTACTTCCGCTGGAATTCTTGATCTAGCTGGAATGAAAACTTCTGAACTCGTCGATTGACGGTTCAATCTGACGTCCTCTGGAATGTCATTAACCATAGTCATATACATTGTTTTTGACTTTTCAATCGGTGGAGGGGGTCCAATTCTATCAGCAAATAGTTTGGCTGCCAGACCAAATTTTGTGTAATCTATCTCAGCAGGCTTTTGATTTTCATCTCCAATATAAACTGGAGGTGTTGTATCATTAGTATGAGGTGTTGAAGGTTGTTTTTCAGGAAAGCCCATACGTCTAGGCATTAACGGCCTCCTAGGGAGGGAATTAATAGGATCCAAGTCACCTCGTGATTCATCAAAACCTTCTGTATCGGCTTCGCCTTCGCTTTCAAATCTATTAGGCCTACTTCGCATTCCAATATCTCCATCTTCGTATCGTCCATGATGTCTCAAAATAGATTTTCCTGATTGATTCCCTGAATTTTGTCTGTAAATTCCACTGGGCTGCGATTCATCGTATAAACTGTCTGAATTTCTATTCATACCAGGCTCATTTTCAGATAATCCTGCAGGTGAGAAAATAAACAATAAATGATAAATTCAGTATAATTTCGTAAGAAAAAAAGAAAACAATCATCATTTAATGTAATTTGTTACTGATAAAAAATTAATATCCGAAAGGCGTACTGAAGCACTTCATGCCGCCACAAATATTGTAAAAAAGAGGTATACTGCTATAATACAAATAGACTAAATGATGATAAAATAATAACAAAGATATTGAGAAAATAAAATAATATAATAAAATACAAAAATAATAAAAAATTGATTTACACGTGGCCACAAAAAGATTTTTAATCTCTTTAAAAGGCGTGTTTCAGTGCACCTTTATTAGTTTTCTTTCTCTCGCTCTCTCTCTCACTCTCGCTCTATTTTTAATATTGTTTTATGATAATATATATTTGATTTTAGTCAACTATCATTCTCTAGGTAAATCATAATCAAGTGTGAGAATCTAGTTTAGATTATCTAGGGATAATTAGGTATTATTTTACTAACTGCTTGATTGATTTGAGGCTGTTGATCCTCTTGTTTGTTTTGGCATTTGTCGTACTTGTGTAGGATCAGGCTTTGTATTTGACCATGAATTGGCTAGCATTTTATGGTATAGAGACGCTGGAGTCTCTTTCTCTGCAGTTATTTGTTCATTATCATCTTTACTTAAAGGTCTCTCAGAAATATTACTTGTAGGTAAATCGGAATCAATATCTGTTTCTCTAACTCTTAATTTTGGTGAAGTACTTTTTAAATCTTCGTCACTTAACAAAGTCACAACGGGCAAAACTTCTCCGTATGCATCTATTAATTGACCTTTATCATTTACGGGTTGACCATAATCATTAAGTAATTGTCCTTTTTCATTAACAAATTGGCCCCTTTCGTTTATTAATTGACCTCTGTTATTTATCATGCGACCTTGTTCGTCTACTAGGAATCCTTTTTCATTTACTAATTGACCTTTTTCATTTATTAGTTGACCTAGTTTGTTAATCAATTGACCTTTTTCATTGATCAATCTTCCATTGTGATCTATTAATTGACCTCGGTTGTTGATTAAGTGACCTCTTTCATCGACTGGTCTTCCGAAACCGTCGATCAGTTGTCCCTGCTCGTTTATGAGCCTGCCGAAGCTATCAACTAGCTGACCTTTTTCATTAAATAATTGGCCTCTGTCCCTATGATGGGGTTCGGTTTCTGGAATTCTAGGGTCTATTATATTACCCTTTTCATCAATTATTTGACCTATTTCATTGATCAGCTGACCCTTTTCGTTGACTAGTCTTCCTCTGTTATCTATTAACCGGCTCCTAGAATTTCTTTGGTATCCTTGATTGTTTGTGAACCTTTCATAATTTTCAAATTGATGACCTTGATCAGTTTTTAGTCTTCCGTACTCATCGATCAATTGTCCTTGATCATTTATTAGCTGTCCTTGATCATTGATCAATTGTCCTTGATCATTTATAAGTTGTCCTCTGTTATTTATCATCCGTCCTCTATCATCAATAAGAATTCCTCTCTCATTGACGAATTGTCCCCTTTCATTAATAAAGTTTTTGACTTCCCTCTCTGGTGACACAACATCGCTGCTGCGTCTTTTTAGGAAACTCAGAAAACCTGCTTTACGTTTTGCTTCTTTAACTGTATCAGATCGCTCAACGCTAGAGCCCATAACAGTCTTTTCTATACCGTAAGGCTGACCATCAGGAGATATAGGGACATCCTGTGCTTCAGATTTACTATCTTTCTTCTTTCGTAAAGAAGGGAATTTGAATATTGATTTCTTTTTTGGACTGTCGTCAGGTCCGAAAGATTGTTCGGTATCATCAAAAGTTTCACTTTCTCTATCTTTAGATTTGCTTCTCTTCCTCCCCTTAAAGAAAGCAGCCATTTTAGAGGCATCCCATGATTTCTCCCTGTCTGTATCTGACAATATCTCCTCATCAGTTTTAGATCCTCTGGTAACTATTCCTTCATCATCTGATTTTGCTTTTGATTTCCTAGTTAGTGATGGAAATCCTTTAAAAAATCCTTTACGCTCATTCGTCTTCATAATATCAGTATCTTCTTGAGCAAATTGTTCGTATGTTTTTTTGTCTTGTGGCTCGGATTTTTTCGCATAAACCGTTTCTGGATTTGTGTTTATAGCACTCGACCAAAGCGCGCTCACTACGTGGCTGTCACTCTCCACGTAAGCTCTAGGGGATCTTATAGGCAAGTCATATACCTCATCAGCAGCTGGTGACGTATCTGATTTAGGATTTATTTGGCCCGGTACGAATTTAACTTCAGTTGGTCTATAAACTCCTCTAACAAACGTCAAGGGTACTGGTTTACGGGCTTCGCCAGTCGGCTTAGGAGGTGTTTGATTGGTCGATTCCTCTTTAGCTCTGCGTAGCTGCTCTAATTGCCATTGTTGATCCTCTGTGGGAGATGGAGGCATTATCGGAGGTTCAATAAGCGATTCAGGTCTAGCAGAATCACTATATATGGTTTTGGACTCATATTCTTTGGGCTTGCTGAATCCTTCAGTTGGTGGATATTGTTCATGTATTTGACCGGTCTGTAAAAGAGGCTCTTCACTTTGCATAGCGAATGTTGAATCCGATTCCCTTGGAAACAGTTCAACAAGCTGTTCTTTCTCAAGCTTTGTTGGAGAACTTATCGCCTGAGGTGGAAGTGGGGGTGGATCTCTAGGTCGTCTCTTTGGACTGCCAGTTTTCTGACCTATCGGAGATATTTGAGAGGGAATTGCATTCCTTTGTAGGCTGGGCGGAGATTCACTTGCAGGTGATGAGGATTGAAGAGGTAGTGCTCTCCTATCGTCAATTTTACGAGGAATGTTTTCGATTGATTCTGATGGCTCCTCAGCCTCATAAATAGTAGGAGACATTGGAGATTGAGCAATGATAGATTTGGGCCTACCAGGTACGGTGGATTTTGGGCTATCTGGTACAATATAAAATGAGGACCTCTGCTGATCCGGAGGAGGAGGACAATTGGGTAGTGGAGGAGAAAGGGGTGAAAGGGGTGCACGCTTTCTTTTGTTTTTAGATGTTGGCCTCATAATTTGCTCCGGAGCAGGGATATTTAATTCCTCTGAAGAGTTAACTTCGTCATCTGATTCCTCTTCAACAATACTCAGTTTTAAGTTTCTAGGCCTCTTGCTACCAGGCTCCTCGGAGAAGTCATTTAGCTTGTATTCAACCTCACCATCACTACTAACAGAAGACGAGGACGAACTATCTGAAGATGATTGGTCAGGTTCAATTGGGGCAACTTCTATGCGCTTATCAAGTTCTTTCTCGTCCTCCTCACTTGTTTCTCCACTTTTACTAATCAATTGTATTTCATCATCTAGATTTGTTTCCGTACATGGTTCAGCCGCTGATTGATATGCTATACCTCCAACTGCAGCTGCTACTGAAGTTGCAAGTATAGGATTGTTCTGAGCAGTTTTAGGAAATGTTTGATCTTTTTCAACTGCATCAGATTGATATTTTGGAATGTCATCAATATTTGTTTCTAAGTGGCTCGTTCTAGTATCTGGCCTTAGTGGTGAGTCTTGAGCAGCTTGTTCGTCCTTCAAAAGCCTATTTTCTTCAAAGTCATCAATATTAGTTTCAAAACCTATTTTTTTCATTTCTGAAGCTCTGTCGTCAATTAATGGCTTCTTAACATCACCACTGACAGGTTTCGTTTCACTGACCACCATCTCAATAGGAGCATTGTCTATGTCAGTTTCTACTGTATGTGTTTTCACATTTTGTTGTTCAGCTTCCCCAGCATATAGTTCAGGATTTCTTCCTGACCTTGGTTCTCTGGAAAAAACCATCGTTGGATCGTCAATATCAGTCATTAAAAATGGTTTTCTTTGCTCTTCTTCATGGTAATCAGATTCAGTCGCTTTAGGTTTATTTTCATTGATAGGCAAGTTATCAATATTGGTTTCTTCTAAAACCTTTGTGCGTGTGTCAGGCTCTTTTATCTTATCAGGCGTTCTACCAGATTTTGGTTCTTTCAAAAGTTCCTCAGGTAGCTGTCCGAATCCTTTATTTTTCTCAGTATCTTCATGAGAAACTCTTTGCTGAGCTCTTGGAACGTTTTGAGATAATTCTGACGATGAAGAAATATTCGTGGGAAAATCATCAATATTGGTCTCCATATGTTTCTGAGCACTTTCATCTATTGGCATTGAGCTAACTGGAGGATCATGTCTTCGACCAGACCTCGGTTCCTTATCGAAAACAGTTGAAAGATCGTCGATATCAGTTTCAATATGACTTTTTGGTTGAAGGTTTGAAGAATCATCCTCTGGTCTTGACGAATTACTTTGCCAGTTATCGATATTCGTTTCTTGTGGATGATGTCCAATAGGCTGTTCTGAAAGCTTTTGAACAGCTCTTTTTCCTGATCGAGGCTCTTCAGAATATTCATCAATATTTGTCATAACTAGGCCAAGTCCTTCAGCAATCTTTTCAGTTTGTTGTTCTGAAACAGTTATTTTGGAACTAGGCATATCGTCAAGATTTGTCTCGTGGACAAAACCTGATTCCAAGATTGGTTGCAAATTTTCTCCTTTCACTTTATTTTCACTTCTTAGAGCCGGTTCTATATTTTCTTGAGCGATATCATCGATATTTGTTTCTAATCTATCCAACCTTTCGTCAATATTAAGTGAGGAGTTACTTGAATTGTCAGTAGATTTATTACTATTGTCTTTAGTCTCAGATATTGTTAACTTATCGGCCTGAATTTCTAGTAATTGATTTGAATTTCTATCTATTTCAGTTATAGATAAAACTCTTTGAGGTTCATTAAAATCATCTATATTTGTCTCAATTCCAGCGTATGCTTCTGTCGAAGAATATTGAGTATGTGGTTGACCGAACTGTTCATAAATATTTACGTTTGTATTCCCTTGTAAACCTTGATTGTGACCTTTAATTGCTGTTTGAGAAGAATCCTGTGGTTGTGGTTTTGATTTTTCTTGCATTTGTATTTCACGTTGTAAGTAATTTGGTTTTGATTCTTCATAATCATCAATATTTGTTTCCATGTGACGTAAATCAGTTTCTTTTGGTGTATCTATTCTTTGTACAGGATTCAACGATGCTTGATCTAAGTCTGTCTCTGTATGCATCTTTATAGATAAAATTTCACCTGCACTTCGTTCAACGGTCAAGATTTCATCAACATCTGTGACAAAGTCTTTGTTTTTCGTTCCGTACCAATGTTGACTTTTATTTTTATCGTCTTTGCTTTCTAGTATGTAAGGATTAGATTGTGACCTATCACGCAGTGACGGTTCGTTATCTATAAGTACTTCATCGTCACTCTCATCAAGGACAGGGACCGACGAAGAACGTTTTTGTGTACTACCTTCTAAATCAGAGTTTACAGAATGTCTAGAGCTTCTTATTGGAGACCTAGAAATCGGAATGACATCCTCGACTTTGTCTAAAGAGGAGGAGCTCTTTTTTAATACCATAGAAGATGGATCGTCAACCGAAGTTTCAAGGTAGTTTAAGCCCTCAAGTGTAACACCTTGAGGAATTTCCGGTTCATATTCTTCGCTACTGCTAAGATCGTAAGATCTTTCCGATGGGTCAGCTTTCAAACTTATAGATGTCTCATCAATATTATGGGGTCTGTCTACTTTTACACTGGTTTGTTCCCTTAATACTTCAATTTTCCTCCGTCTTTTTGGTGACCCATCTTCCAATTCTGTTAATTTAAATCCAAGAGCCTCTAATTTATTTTTAACCTCTTCCGTCTGAAGAACCCCTTCCTCGCCAAATTCTGCCTCACTTTCACTTTCCGTTACAATATCCTGAATTTCTTTAGCTGTATGAGATTCGTAGAGCCCTATTTTATCTCGTACAGATGCAATGTTTACTCTTTCCTTAAGTTTTCTTGATGACTCTGATGAAACTATTTGCTCATCTTGTTTAGCTAGCTGTTCTTTGACTTTAATTTGATCAGCTGCCTCAATATTTTCCGATTTCGCTAAGATAAATGTTTCTCTTTGAGTTAGTTTTGTTTCCTTTATTTGAATTGGTTTACCCTTGTTTGTTTTATACTCAGCTAACAGTTTTTCAAAGTCAGTATCTAAACTCATAGTAGGTATGTTGGGTCTAGGTTCGTCAAAATTGAGTGACGGAGTTGATTTTGCTCCTGATATTGATTCATTTTCCTCCTTTACAATTAAACTACCATCCTCTCTTGGTTTTATTATTAGTCCAAAAGTAAACTCCTCGCCTCCTAAAACCTCACTAATTGAATCCATTTGGGATTTGTGAATTTCTGTGGAGCCATGTTCGCTCCTGGGTATAGAGACAAACTCTTTTAAAGCATCAGTGTTAACATCAACTTTACCGAATGATTTATATGGTTTGGGTACGGCGGTGGACAAAAGAAGACGGCGATTAGCCGCTCGACGTGCATAGGGCGAAACGTACAAATCTGATGTGGACTTTGCACGAACAGTTTGCGAAATAATCGGAGGAGGAGTCGGAGGATTATCGGAGAAAACGCTATATCTAGATATTTCGTTCTCTGAAAGCTCTCCACCAGATTCAATATTGAGGGGTGGTACAGAGAAGAATTCTCGTCTCGCGATGTCTCTATCATGCATTCTAGCCTTTATATCAGAAATATTCGAAATTGGGGCTGTTGATGATGAAGAGGACGAAAGGTTATGAATGCTTTCGGGTGTAACGATTACACGTTTTTTGCCACGCGGACTTCTAGATAATAATTCGCGAACTTCCATATCCTCTGTCGGTGAACTACACGCAACAGGCGAAATTACACTTTTCTCATTTGAAAACTTAGCGACTTGAGATGTTATCAAGCGAACCTCATCATCTGCTGAAATATTCGGTAAGTCATTGCTACCTTTAATTTCCAGCCGCATTCCTAAGTTTTCACTCAATGTCAACATTTCCTCCTTTTCCTCCTCCTTCTCCCTATACTGTTGTTCCAAATAATGTTGTCTCTGTCCTTGCCCACTGGGTTCTCTTTGATTGTCTTCGCCGACGTCAGTTTTTATATCTTCGGTGGACGAAGAACTACTAGATACCACTTCGATAAATTCAGCAAAACCTAACTGAGACGATTCTTTAGTAACAGTTTGTACTACATCGTTATCCTGTTTTTCGACAACTGTCTCCGCTTCAGACGATTCGCTAACAATAGAGCGTCTTGAGGCCGTTGAATCGCTACTTACGGCTCTCGTGATAACGTAACCTGTTGGAGTTCGGTTATCGGTCGAAACAAGCCTTTGTGGCCACGCGTTATTATGCTCACCTGCTTTGGAAGACGGATTATTCACTGTCCAAACTTCATCAGGCCTATGCTTTCTTGCAGCTGCCCTAGGTCGCTGAACGGCATTTCGAAGACTAACATTAGGAGTGAGATCAGGGGAGGTAGAACCATCTTCTACTCTGATACTATCATCAGCTTTAGTTTTGCATAAAGGTGTCACAGCTTCAGTTCTTGGAGGAGTAGACGGGTGAGATACGTATCGGGGAGTCGGCGTTTTTGGAGTAGAACCAGTATAATCTTTTACTGTTTGGAGGACAGCATCGCTCACCTGCTGATTTGGCTCCTCAGATTGTGTTATAGAAGTATCAAAAGATCGAAACGATGCATTGGTAAAGTCAGCACTGTAAAAACTGTCAGCATCGTTTCCATTATATACTCCAGCAGATGGCAGAATGACAAGGCCATTTGCATCTAAGAATAGCGGCTTTTTGTCAGCATCAAAAACCTGTTCTCCATTTTGATCTAATAAAGGTCTGTACCCAATAGTCGTACTTGCAAGAGGCTGCGAGGAGGCTAAAACTGGTTTACCACTAGGATCAATTATGGGTTGACCATTAGCATTTGTTGCAATTAATTTTCCAGTGTGCGTTATAAAAATAGGACGATCAAAGATATCAACTCCCTGAATGATCGTAACTGTTTCTTGCTGAGGTGGTGTTATTTGGAGATTCATTGGACGACCTTCGCCATCAAGAACAACTTTTCCATTCATATCTAATAAGAAAACTCGCCCTTTTGAATCTACATATGGTTTATAACCTTGAAGTTTCAGCTGTTCTTCAACTTGCTCAGTAATGCCTGCATTCAGTCTCCTTGTCTTTTGAACTTCTTCTTTCTTTTTCTTCTTTTCTCTTTGTTTGTCAGCTTCTTTAGCCGCCTCTCTTTCTCGATCTTCTTGTTCAAGTTTTAAACGTTGTTGTTCCTGTTCGTATCTTATACGTTGCTCTTCTCTCTTTATTCTTTCTAATTCTTGTTTTCTTTTAGCTTTCTCTTCTTCTAGTCTTTTAATTTCCTCTTCTTGTTGTCTTAATCTTTCTTCCTCTTCCAATCTTCGCAATTCCTCTTCTTCTTGTCTCCTCCTTCGGAGTGTCTCTTCAGCTCGAAGTTTTTCTCTTTCTTTTTCTTCCTCCAATCTCTTTAATTTTTCCTCAATTTTTTGCTTTTCTTCTTCTTCCTCTTTCATAAGAAGAATTAATCTATCTTGCCTCTTAGCTAACTCTTCTTCTAATTCCCGCTTTTTTCTATCTTCCGCGTCTCTTCTATCAAGTTCCTGTTTGTTTAACGATCTTTGAGGTCTTTCTGATCTGGTCTCTGACCTGGTCATTAGTGGTTCATATGCAGCACCCGTTCCTGTTGATGCATCGTGCAACTGAAGATTCGAAGTTTGAGTTGCATTTTCTCGACTAATATCTAAACCTCCCCTTTGCTTCGCGTCATTTGGGCCACTTTTCATAGTGCTAGTTTTGTTAGGCTTATTTTGTTGTGGTTGCTCAAATATAGAATTTATAGATGTTCCCGCTGTCATATTTGACATTCTATTATGAGGTCTACTGCCGTAGTGGCTAGTATTATAATGTTCAGCTTCAGTGCCCATATAGGCAGAAGTGTCATGAGTTTTATTAAGATGGCGTTTTGAATTCGGCGAGTGTGTTGAATGATAAATGAGTTCTTTTGGAAGGGTCTGTAAAATAGTTATATTAAAAATTTGGTCAAAATAATTTTTAATCTACCTCTGATTCAGCAACACTGTATTCCCCAAGAATTTGCTGTAGTCTAACAGTATCCATAGAATTTGAAAGATCAGGATTTCGGGGTCTAGAATGCATAGCATTTTTCAACAGTTGTTGAGTTACTGTATCGTTCCTTGGTGTTACATCGATAGGTTTTTGCCCTTTAGAATTTTCAATAAAAGGGTTTGCTCCCAGAGCTAATAAAATCTCCACAATCCTTTGATAATGATTAGCAGCTGCTAAATGAAGAGCCGTCTCTCCATGGATATTTTTATCGTTAATTGCGACTCTATGTTTCAGTAGAATTCTTGCACAAGCAGTAAAATCATCCTTATCCCGCATTCCTTTTTGGGGTAACCATTCATTTAATACAACACAATGTAGAGGAGTATTTTCGTGGGAATCATTTATATCTATGGCAGCGTTAAATTGTTCTATTAAAGCTTTCATGGCTTCTCTATGTCCATTTTCGGCAGTTATGTGAAGAGGAGTTTTTTCACGCCTATCTCCGAAACATGGCAATTTTATATTAACACAACTAATTTCTCTGGCAGAAAACAACTGTAACAAATGAATATGGCCTTCTCTCGCTGCAATATAGGGAGCAATAGCTCCATCTTGTCCTTTTTGAAAGACGTCTGCATTGTGATGCAATAATAGTCTAACTAATTGCAAATGGCCATATAAAGTAGCAGTATGTAACGGAGCATTTTGTTTAGAGTCTGTTAACTGAGGATCAGCTCCTCTAGAAAGCAACATTCTTGCCATAATTCGGTCTGGTTTCTTAACGGCGATATGTAAGGGGGTCTCGCGATTATGATCACCAATGTTTGGGTTTGCACTCGCCAACAGTAACAATTCTACTGTTGCATAAAGACCTAAGTCAACACTTATATGTAAAGGGGTAAGTTTCTCTCGTCGTCTAGAGCTATAAACTGTTTGATGAACGTAATTTGGATCTACTCCTTTTTTCAAGAAATATTCCATTATTCTTGGATCTTCTTGTCGAGAGGCAAGTATAAGAGGACATGCGAATTTTTTAGTCGGCCTATGTTTGATATCAGCAATGACCAACTTTTGTATTTTATGTTCAGACTTTAATTCTTTCTCAAATATTGATTTAAGCTTTTCCAAATCATTTTCCCTTATCGCCTCCAAGATATCAGAGCCATAATCTTTAATTACGGTGGTGACACCCATATTTGAAGAGATATTAAAGAGTTCCTTGTTGTTCAGTGATTCTCGTATTAGCTTCCAACGGTCGACTTGAGGTCTATTTAAAAGAAAGACAGAAAAGTTTACATCTAACAAATATAGTATAAAGTTATTTAACTAAGAAGGACAAGATTAAACAAATAAACACATTCACAAAGGGGTGTGGTCCTTTCAATTATCTCCTACAAGGAGGATACAGTTACCATAAATTCACATAAAGTAGTTAATGGGAATTTTCCCTCTTGCCTAATAAAAATATGACTCTTTATGGCCAGTCAGTTTGTTCTATTATTATACCTTAAGATCTCTGCAGTATTTTCGACATTTACTGATTCATCCTGATTTAGATTCGTCTCTTTTGAAATCCAATTGGAGTTTTCTATCTTTTGATCTGAAGGAACTTTATGACCATACCGTTTATAAGCGAAAAGAGAGATTGAAAGAATTAAAGCTGATACTGCTAAAAGAACACCGAACATATAATTTGGTAGAGGGAATCAATCGTGCAATACTCGAAATTGAAGCAAATATAGACTGTTCTAGGTGAATAAAGTCAGAATGATCGTCTGTTTGCTATAGCATTCCAATAATAGGCCACTTAGGCCGACAGGTAAGAGATAGGAATTCTTATCACAGATAAGCTTTGATAATGGAGCGTCTTTCCGTAACCAATCAAGAATGGGATATAGTTAGGATGATATATAAAGTACACTTTTATATCTATTAATAAATTAAACATTCTCTTTCATAAAGAATGTATGAAATATAACTAATATTGGCTAATAATCGAAGATAAAAGCTATTTTTAAAAAAGTGAATGTTTTACATACCGTTGCAAGATTCAAGGATATTCTTTACGCATAAATATTTCTATCAATAAGATACAATTGAGCAAATAAAGCTCTTAAACAGATTATAATTCGGTGTCCGTTAATAAGTTCTTTAGTTTCTTTAAATAAATCCTTATTGTTGTATTTAAAATTCTAGTATATTTTAACAACGAACATATTGTGAATGTTCTGGTCATTGACTAAGGTGTGAGAACAATGATTTCTAACGCTTTTTTGAGTAATGGGGAATTCCCTAAGTGCTTTGCGCTGGCACACACTTTTTTCATAAACTTTTCTCAGATAAGGAAGATAAGTCATTGGAAAGGAATGCAAATCAATTAATCTCAGAATATTTTATATGAGCAAACGGTATAACTACATTTTAACAAAATCATGTTACAGGGCTAAATTTTAAATGGCAAAATAAACAACTATATTTTTTTAGTATTACACATTCTATGGAACCTTAAGGCTTGATTATACAATAATACACAATGCCAATTTAAAACAACCAAGAAGATAACGCTAGGGCTCAATAATAAACAGAAGCTCACCTTTGCCTATATTCGTTAGGATCTATTTACCTGTACAAGACTATCTACCATTCTATACGTTTTGGGTGAAAGCGGTATATCTCTATTGCATGTATGATTCGCTTAATTCACTATGTCACACCTGAAAAAAAACATAGTGCGCATGCTCACATGATTGCAGCTCCGTCTACAAATATAAAGCAATTTCAAACTTTTTATTTTGAACATTTTTTAAAAAACGAGCAGTTGTATTTAATTTATAGAACAAAAAAGCAAATCAAATATTTGTAAATAGATCAGTTAATTTGAAGAAATGCTCAAATACTATTGAGCAATCAAAATATAAAAAATAAAAACCTCAAATGGTACAAAAGATGTGCTCTTAAAAATTCAACTTATTTTTGGAAATTCAATAGACATATTCTTTAGCACTTTTTGGCGGACCGGGTGTAGCCAGAGTTTCTTGCATATTTGCTTCTAATTTATGATACCTAGTTGACTCGCTTCTTTTACCTTTATATTGCTTTCTACCTTCAATAATAAACCCTAAGATCTGAAACATTATCAATTTAAAATTGAACAAAAGTACTTTTCTTACAAACTTTTCGTCTATTATGATATGTTATATAGCCACAAATGGCTAGTACCACAACAGTCACCAGATATGCCATAAACCTACTGGAACTTTCCTTTTCTACATCTTCTGTAGGTTTTTTCAAGTAGTTTTCTATGAAAAAATTAATGCACAAAAAAAACAAAATTAAATGAGGCAAATACATAAAAATCACTCGTGCAACATGGAAAGTTTATCTATAAAATTCTTTTAACATTTAAAAAAATATATCAAACCTGGTATCTTTGAATTTTCTGCAGGAATAGGATTTGGTATATCTTTTGGTTGGCCATCTATGCAAATGAAAAGTAGATACTAAATAATCACGATCTAAAATGATATTTATTGAATGGTATTTAAAAATATAAAACCTGTTTCTGTTCCTTTTGGTTGATCATGATCTTTTTCTGTTTCTTTTGGTTGATCAGAACCTTTTTCTGTTTCTTTTGGTTGATCACCTACTTTTGGTTGATCAGGACCTTTTTCTGTTCCTTTTGGTTGATCAAAACCTGTTCCTACTTTTGGTTGATCAGGACCTTTTTCTGTTTCTTTTGGTTGATCAGAACCTTTTTCTGTTTCTTTTGGTTGATCACCTACTTTTGGTTGATCAGGACCTTTTTCTGTTTCTTTTGGTTGATCAAAACCTGTTCCTACTTTTGGTTGATCAGAACCTTTTTCTGTTTCTTTTGGTTGATCAAAACCTGTTCCTACTTTTGGTTGATCAGAACCTTTTTCTGTTTCTTTTGGTTGATCAGAACCTGTACCTAATTTTGGTTGATCAGAACCTTTTTCTGCTTCTTTTGGTTGATCAGAACCTGTTCCTACTTTTGGTTGATCAGAACCTTTTTCTGCTTCTTTTGGTTGATCAAAACCTGTTCCTACTTTTGGTAGATCAGGACCTTTTTCTGTTTCTTTTGGTTGATCAGAACCTGTTCCTACTTTTGGTTGATCAGAACCTTTTTCTGTTTCTTTTGGTTGATCAGAACCTTTTTCTGCTTCTTTTGGTTGATCAGAACCTGTTCCTACTTTTGGTTGATCAGAACCTTTTTCTGCTTCTTTTGGTTGATCAAAACCTGTTCCTACTTTTGGTAGATCAGGACCTTTTTCTGTTTCTTTTGGTTGATCAGAACCTGTTCCTACTTTTGGTAGATCAGGACCTTTTTCTGTTTCTTTTGGTTGATCAGAACCTTTTTCTGTTTCTTTTGGTTGATCAGAACCTTTTTCTGTTTCTTTTGGTTGATCACCTACTTTTGGTTGATCAGGACCTTTTTCTGTTTCTTTTGGTTGATCAGAACCTTTTTCTGTTTCTTTTGGTTGATCACCTACTTTTGGTTGATCAGGACCTTTTTCTGTTTCTTTTGGTTGATCAGAACCTTTTTCTGTTTCTTTTGGTTGATCAGAACCTGTTCCTACTTTTGGTTGATCAGAACCTTTTTCTGCTTCTTTTGGTTGATCAAAACCTGTGCCTACTTTTGGTTGATCAGGACCTTTTTCTGTTTCTTTTGGTTGATCAGAACCTTTTTCTGCTTCTTTTGGTTGATCAGAACCTGTTCCTACTTTTGGTTGATCAGAACCTTTTTCTGCTTCTTTTGGTTTATCAAAACCTGTTCCTACTTTTGGTTGATCAGAACCTTTTTCTGTTTCTTTTGGTTGATCAGGACCTTTAAAAAGTAAACATAAAGATATTCATATTGTCAATTGTTGAAGAAAAATGAATATATGCTAAATTTATTTTTTCCTAAAATTATTACAAATATATTTAAGTTTGTTTTGTTGAAATGAATGCTGGCAAAAAGATTTTTATTTTTTCCTCAAATTTTGTTACATACCATTTTTGTTGTTTTTATATAGAGCATTTGAACTAATTTTTTAGTCGTTTTCTGTAATTGCTTACCACTGATTGTGTGACTTGAATCAGCGTGATGAAATGGTAAGAAGGTTGTTGTGAGAACAGTTAAAATTATAATAGTTTCCCGGCGTAATAAGGAAATTTTCATGATTACACGTAGCTGAGTCTAATCTATAAAAACTGGTGGAAAAGCGAAAAATATTCCTTATGAAAGAGTTGAGTGTCCACTGACAACAAAATAAACGAATAGCTCCAGTACTGCAAAAAGAGCTTTGTTGTTCTCAATATTTTTTAGGGGACAGTTATGTGTATTAATTTTTATGATTTATAAAATCTTAAATCTTTTTGTAAAGGATTTTCTTTTCCTTTCGTTTTCTGAATTTTTTGACACGTCTTGCGTGTAGATGTTTTTAACATAAATTGTTTCCTCTTATGGAAATAAACGAATATTTGTACTTTATATATTAATATATTAAACTAATTTTTAAAGCTTTTTTCTCGTTTTGATGAATTTAAACTAAAATTTTTTTTCAAAGAAGATAACATTAAAATTTAGAATATTTGTTTTAGTGATTCATTATAGTGATTTATTTACGAAATCCTCTCTAGCTGTAAGAATAGCTATTTGTCTTTCAAGCTTTACTTTAAGCAAACGACGCTTTAATCTTCTTAACAACCATAAGCTAAAACACCAAGTCATACTAAACAAAATTAAGCAGGAAATAATTGTTAAAGACAATAATATATTAAAAATAGGCCCTCGGTAATATCTATAATCAAAAGATTTTCCAGAGCAAGCTAATTCTCGCCTTACTGGAGGAGGGGATTGACAATATCGCTTCCTTACTTGAAGGCCTAATGACAATACAACATATTCGTTTTTAGAAATTTCTTTACAAGCTTCCAAAGTTTCTTTAGTTTTGTTCCGCGTTCCGCAATATGACCAACCTGTCCATGTTGTCCAAAAGCCTTTATAGGGCCTCCAACAGATTGATTGTTTCTTCTCATGGCAATTCGTTCTGCTTAACTTATAACTATTGTTCTTCTTGAATACTACAGTCACACAATTTCCATCTTTAGAGTTAAGTTTCTTGCGAAGTTTGTGGTCATCGTACCATACCATATTATCCCAAACTAACAAATTTTTATAGAATATTTTAATTGATGTCCAACTTTCCAATTCTCCAAATGTATCATAAATATATCGGGGAAGCTCTAATTGACTTATTTCATCTGATATTTTAATTAGTTGCATATTTATTCTTTTACAAGACTCAATAGCTGCTGTTTTATTTAAAGTACCAATATTTGCCAAGCAAATTCCAGTATTGTTATTTTGTAATAGAGTAGGCCTTTTTAGTGAGCATAAATTATTCGAACCGTCACCAAAAGAAGGTGAACATACGCCATTGGATTTTCTATATATTGTTGAATCTGTCATATCGAATGCGCAAGGTTTGCTAGAGGTAAAACATATTCTACCTTCCTCAGTGTCTTTGAGAACAGCTTCAGTGCAATTTTTAAGTTTTAAACATGTATTTATGCAATCTTGTTCCGTTATTACGTCTTTTTGCTTTCTTATATATATTGAAGCTGTTTTTTTATGACAAATGTCTTTTATTGTCGAATCCACCAAATTCATTTTTGCGGTATTATCAATATTTAAATTTAAACAAGCCATATTTTGTTTTTCTATTCTCGAACCTGTGAAGAACAAGGGATATGGCGGTGGATCATTATATTCACGTGTTCTAAACCTAAGATTAGAATCTGTATCATTCTGACAACTACACTCTGACCATTCTGACCAAACTGACCAATCTCCAAAAAGAGGTCGATAACATACAACAGTATTTTTTTCTGTGCAGTTTGTTCTCTTTATCAAGGTAGTAGAAGAAGACGATCTAATAAAACAATCTTTATCTTTTGTATCTCTATTTCCCAGTAAATTAATACCCTGAACTCTTCTTAGCTTTTTATTAAAATTGCTGTCGTAAAAGAATTGACCGTTAATCACTTTAACCGCTACCCATATGTTCTTGCCGTTTAATTCTTCTGCTAGTGAAAAACTCATTTGCCGTAACACGTTCATTTCATTAGTTTTACAAAACTTCAATGATTCTTTATAGTCTAGATTCTCTTCAAGAAGAAGACACCAACCATTTTCTTTGTCAAACTTATAACTCTTTTCAGCCAAATCAGTTGCTCTTCTGCAAAATCTATAAGTTTTAATATATATAAATACGCCTGGTGGTATATATCGTATTCTATCACTTTTATCATCATCACAACTCCGCTGAGGAATCCTACATCGAATTCGATTTTCTACAAACACAACCAGAAAACTTCGACAGTCCGAGAATTTTGTACACTCCTTTGCACATTCGTCAACAGACTGCACTGTCTTTCTTATTTGACTTAAATCTTCTAATAGACTGAAATGTTTACAAGTTCGGTCTGATAGTTTCAATTTACCAGGTTTGTAGATTTCGAAAGTATAATAATTGTATTCGCCGAATTGGCTTCTTTCCAAATGCTGATATAAGTTTCTAGGAATAATACGAGAATCTTTGAACGAGCACCAAATTTGAATTCCCAAATTCTTAAAACAATTCGATCTTCTTTTTATTCCTTTATGTTGAAAGAAATGAGCAGCTGAAGCATAATCTTTAGAAAAAATATCTAAATCTAAGTTTAACGTAAATTTACGAAACTTTCTCGGTATAACAACATTTAAAAAATGTTTGTAAGATAAACCAAAAGAATAACATATACTTTCAACAACTGATTTAGTTTTCAAATCAATATTTTCGGCTCCGGTAGGTAGAGTTAAACAAATAGGACTCCACATACCTTTCCACTTAACATTAAGCATACCGCAAAATATATCTTCATTACCTCCCTCAAACTGTATCATACTACAATTAAATGAGCTGTATTGTTTTAAACTTAGAAGATGATCTATTGAGTTAAGCTGTGTTATTCCTTCACTTGACGAAGATATTAAAGACTTTTTAACCTCATTAGTGTTTTTACTAGAAGGAATTTCGTTGTAAGGGGGATAGCATGAATTTTCAGAGCAACTCTTTCCCAAATCGGAGAATTGAAGCTAGAATATATTTTAGTTAATATATTTGTAAATATATATACTACAACAACACTTAAATACTTTACATAACTCTGTTTCTCTTTTATTTCTCTTGAAAATAGTTTAAATAGAGCGCTTTGTTCCCATCCAAAGCGAGGCCTATAACAAATTGCTGTAAGCCTAGTTTTACATGTTGTAATATTTGAAAAATTTGCAAATTTTGTTTTCTGATATCTATTTCTATGTCTCGTATCATTCTTATAAAGAAGGTGTGTTGAAAAACAGTTTCCATTGTCTAAAGATTGAATGGGAAATGTGAGAGAGTCGATTTTATTACCTCGTCTTCCTTTCATCTTATCATAAGTATTCTCCCAATAATAGCCACTGCCAACTCTTGTTGCTCCCACCCAAATATATTCTCCTTCTGAGAAAAATGTTGAAATGTAGTTGAGTAGGTTTTTATTAAGCATAATAAGACTCATGTTTAAATGATTGCATTCTTTTATACCATTTTGATAAGTTACACTTGGTAAGACAACTAGGCAACTTTCTGATATAGCATCATGATAATATCTTATATATCTCGAAGAATAATCCCCACAAAATCTAGCAGTTTTTTTATATACATACTGTCCAGGTGCCAAATAGCTGTAAATAGGTAGAGGCTTCCTGAAGCCATCAGAGTCTAAATCTAAAATATCTGGACAGTGATGATTAGTTCTATAACACACTCCCCTACCCATCGGCAATATAGAACCAACGAAAAGAAAAGCTTTGCACATATCATCCGAAGCACAACTGGAGCTGCACTGTTTAATCGTCATTGAACTATCATAGGAATCTCGAGGATTTCTCCCAATAACATAATCATATATTAGTTGTGTAGGCCCGCAATATCTCCAGGAAAAATACTCTCCAGGTCGATAGAATTGCATACTGTAATCGAAAATATTAATATGCATATCTGGATATTCTTTATGATCATCGCATGATACAAAAAGTGCTGATTTTCTATTGCAAGTTTTAGATCTTGGTATTCTCATCAATTCAAGGTAGTGCCGACTAGACATTCTAAAGTTGTAACGAAAATGGTTGATTCCGATGGCACTTCGTAGGAAAGGTTTCTTTGTCCAAGAGCTCTTAGATGAATGAAGCGAGCGACATATTGCACCAGCAGTATCATCATCATTTAATTTGCTGCCTGATGCACATATTCCCGCCAGGCTTCCCAACCATCGAAGATGAGCGTATCCACAAATAGCTTTTGATGTCAAATTTTTAGAGCAATCCTCACCAAACCTACGCAAAACTATAAATCCATCAGCTGATTCGTACTGTTCTAGCTCATTTTCTCCGCACGACTTATTTCGCCCTGCTAAGGATCTAACTGAACTCTTGGAAGATATACACATTTTGTAAATTTGCGTTTCATAATTGGCGCTTGGTAGATCGTTAAAGGAAGGTTTGCATAGATTGTTAGAATTTGTTATATCTGAGCCTTCTGGGTCGCAAAAATAGTAACGAATTCTGAAGTCATCTCCAAAATACTGATTAAACTCTAAAATAAAAATTTATTAGCTGATTTGTAAACTCTTACTGGGTTTTTGGCTCGATTCCTTCTATTATTTTCTTCTTCAAGGAATTCAATATAATTTATAGATCTACTTATTCCTAGAAGGTCCAAGATTAAGAGTAAGATAAAGTTAATTAATTTTAAATTCATTTTATTAAAATATAAAGTGCAAAATTTAAATTTTAAATAAATATATTTAAAATCCAGACTACGTCCCAGTGAAAAGTGTAAAAGTTCAATTAAGTAAAATTAATTATCATTACTTATATGTCATTTGGAAATGTTTTGTCGTTGCATTATTTTAAAGTACTTAATTAAGGGTTTTTCATATCACCCTATCTCCTGAGCTTGAACCAGTCTAATTTTTCGGAACATTCCACATTCCCTTATTATCGCGAAGCACACAATCTTTGCCGACAATCACGTGACCTAACTTTTGGCTCCTATTTATTTCTTTGTTTAAATTTGATAGCGAAGCACTTGCTCCCACCTTAAAACACAAGCGGATGAAAAGTACGTTTTGCATGCATCCTTTTCTTGACAACAAAATTCCTTTACTTTCAAATTATTGATAAAGACACCTGATTTACAGCTTGAACAAGTTAGAACGGGTTCACCCTAATAACGCTGCGTTATCGCCCATTTAAACTCAGTTGAGATGAACAATTTCGAAAGACCCGAGGAAAATGAGAAGGAAGGGGTATCATACATGTCTTCTACTTTGCAAACAGTTCGTTGAATCTTCCTTTAGGTCTATGACATACTTTTCTTGTGTTATTTTAGGATACAAGCTTAGCAAGTTTATACTCTATTGACGCGCTGAATCTTAGCATCAGCAGCGGAACAATTAAAGCGGAGAATCGCTCTCTAAAATCTCATGTCAGGGATTTACAAGAGGAAATTGCTAATTTACATCAAAAAGTTACGACATGGCGTAAGAAATGTAACGATCTGGAAAGAGAAAGAGTAGATACATTTTCTAAGAATAATGAAGAGGTAAATTTATTTTTAAGCATAATATTCATAATTTGTTGTAAAGTTATAAACTTTATAAAAATCAAATAAAAACTCTTTTCTAGTTGGGGGATGCTTTAAATGACGTTGCAAAGATTCGGGCACAGCTTGAAAAAAGCGAAGCAACCAGACAGAGCTCTGAATATGAAATGACCAAGCTGATGAGAGATTTAAACAATGAAAAGAGAGCTAACGTTGATAAGGAAAAAGTTCTAACAGAACTTAATGAGAATATGCAAAGTAATACAATATCTTTCTTATATCTTAGAGTATGAATTTAATTGGTATTTATTATGTAAAACAGAGAGAATGACAGATATGTCAACAGAGATAGAGAAACTATATGGGGATCTTAACAATAGTAAAGGAGAAGCGAGAAAAGAGGCAGAACGACACATGAAAGCTCTAAAAGATCAAGTTTGTAGTTTTAAATTAATAGCTTGTTTATATTAATATTTATTAGTGAATTCCTCTGCTTAGGAAGCTAGATTGTCCGATTTGGTATCAACAAACTCAAAGCTTGAAAGGGAGAGAGATAAGTTAAAAGTCGAGTTCGAAGACAGAGATTCGTAAGTCAATTTATGCATTTAATCATTAACAATTTATTTTTTATTTCTTCTTCAAGGCAAGTCAAAATTTTAAGTGAACGATTGAAAGGAATTCAAATAGAAAAGAAACAGCAAGCTGACGTTATTCGCGATAATTTTGAAGAATTGAATCACATTCGCGAAAAAGAACAAAATATGATTGTTCAATATGATGTAAACAGTTTTCTTTATTTCGCGTATACAAATTTAGTCATGATTCGAAAATTTCGATTAGATATCTCAGGAGAGAGTTAAACACCTGGAAGATCAGTTGGAATCTGAAAGAGCTGCCCACTTGGAAAGTAAATTTAATGCAGAAGTTCTTCAAGTAAGTCATGAAATCCTGAAATAATCATCTTTAGGAAGTGTGATTTCAAATTTAGTTGAAGATTAAAGATCTAACCGGAAGTATGGAAGTTGAAAGAACATCGAAAATAGAATCCATAGAAACCACTGATAAACTGAATAAGCAATTACTGTAAGTATTTAAACATTCTTATAAAAAAATTCAACTATTTAATGAATTAAAACGTATATATAGAAATATTCAAAGCCAATTCGAGGAGGAAAAACAAACGTCTCACGATATTCGCCACAAATATAATCAGTAACAGTTTTTTTTATAAATATATTATCCATTTTCTATTGATGAAAATATTTATACATAAAACGTTTATAGACTTCAAGCAGATTTTAAAACGCTGAAGAAACAACTAAAGGAGGAGCATGGAGAGAAAAAATCAGTTATGACCAAACTTTGTGGTCAATTAGAATTACATCAAACTCATATAGACCAATTAAAAAAAGAATTAAATGAGGTTAATCAAAAAATATCTGGCCAAAAACTTATCTAACTGTCAATGTTTCAACAGGCCAAACAAACTCAAACTGATCTGAAGCGAAATTATGAATCGAATATAGCAGAAATTGAAGGCTTACTGAATGGTTATCAGCTTCAAGATTCTCAAAGGAGAAAGGTTTTAAAAAGTATGTCATTTGCAATGCTGTCTTTCGTCTATTTATAGAAGAACTGTTTTTAATAACAGATAGCGTCACTTATTCTGGATCTAACTGCGTCAATGGCGTCCGTAAAGTGCTACAGGAGTATAAAAAGAAAGTAAAAGAGCTAAGTGAAGAGGTATGTCTACATGATCTTCTGTAAAACATTATTAGTATAAGGATTAATATTACAACAGAGTTCAGCTGCTAAAGAGAATATTAGTAAAGAAAAGAGGGAAAAAGAACATTTTAAACAGCTTTACCATGCAAAAGAGAGATCCCTAGAGAATACAAAGCAGGCTCAAGTAGCTGCTAGTAAAGAGCTTAAAAAATGTAAAACGGATTACACAGACAAGGAAACCTTTTTGGCTAAATTAAGAACGGATTTAAAATCTGCCAAAAATGGACTGTCTAAAGAAAGAGAGCAGAGAGAAAGCTTACTAAGTGAATTCAAAAAACTTCAGGAAAAATTGAAAAATGACGAAGAATCAAGAACGAATTATATACACTGCGTTTATCATCAATTAAAAAATGGTAAATTTGTCGGAAAACAACCAAATGGAAGTTTAACGTGGTCTCAAGTCGTCGTTCTTTTGAATGAACAAGTTGCCGTTGTAATTCAAACTCTTTCTGAGGCAGATGAAAAACTACGAGAATTACAAGAAATTGTCGAGAGACAGTCTCGAGCAATAAAAGAAATAGACGAAAACAGAATTAAGGAAATAGAATCTCTTAAGAATGTTAATGACGAACGATCAAAACTCTGGGAAGAACAGAAAAATGCCCTAGAAACCCATTATAAACAAGTCCTTAAACAAGTCGAAACTCAGCAAAAGCAAACCAAAGCATTAGCCGATCAAGCTCTAAATAGAGTTAAATCAAGCGGTAATGTGCGCGCCTCACTTCAAGAGGAAAATGAACAATTACGAAGCTCTGTTCAAGCTTTTGCTCAGCAGCAAAACTCTTTACAATTAGCTGTAACAATGCTTTCAGGAGCATTGATGCCACTCCATAATCGAACTGTAAATTTAATTAATCAGCGTCGTTTGATCCTGAAAGAAAATAAGGCACTGACAAATTTTAAAACCGACGTACAAGCTTTGATATCAGCACTAAATTTCGAACAAGATCATCCAAAACTAAAATCTAAATGCACAACTTCTCCTTTATTAAAATTTAGATCGATTGTTATTTGTGTAATAGCATCAAACCGATTGAATACTCTTCTAGCACAACGCTCTACCTTTATCGTGGTTGACGACGCAGTTTCCGGTTTAAAAAGAGTTTGCGTTCAACAAACTAACAATAATGAACAATCCAATTTCAAAAATCAAGCTCTGATATCAGATGTTGCATCTAGTATGGTAGATTTACAAATCGTACTTTCTCAAAAACAACGTGAGTTTCCTATTTCTACTATTTTTATGATGTAAAAATAAGTAAAAAAATTCTCTTTCTTTAAATTAGTAGAAGATAGAAAATTGATTGAAAACTCGTCCAGAAACAGTTTCATGAAAATGTTAACTTCGCTTTCAAATTATTATAATCATGTAGATAATGACTTTAGTAAAGATTCCCTTATTAGTCAACTGGGAAAAGGGTTAGCAAATGCTCAAAGACGTACAACTTATAGAGATTCAACAATTCAAGCAGTCCAAGTTGGCCTTCAACAGCAATTGCTTAATTTTACAAAGAAACTACATGCTTCAGAGTTGCACAGGAGAGATTTACATTCTGAACTTTTACAACTGAAAGCCGACAGTGAGGACAATGAACGAAAAGATGCTGATCTATCGCAATTAAAATCTGAAGTAAATGATTTAATTCAACAAGCTGGAAATATGGTGTCAAAACAACAATTAGAATCAGTCTGTGATGAATTAGCTTCTGCTCTGAAGAGAGAAGAGAAGGCTCAGAAATTATTGAAAGAGCAAACAAGCCAATTGGAAGAATTGAGGAGACAAGCCATTAAAGACGCGAGTATCGCTCAAGAGAACAATTTCTTAAAGACCAAACTTAAGAAGCAAACAGACAGAGGCGATAACTTGGAGCGTCAGACAAGGAAATTTGATAAGGATCATATTCGTCTTCAACAAAAAATTGACGATGCCGAGAAATCTTTAAGAACTGCTTCAAAGTAAATTTTTCTTATATGAAATCGATAAATGAAATTTACATGTTTTATTATTTCAATTCAGAGATAAACAAATTTTAAAGGCGTATATGAAAAATGTTGAAATTGCATTAGATAAGGTTTGAAATAGTCGTACTACCCACTGAAATTTGTCATAAAAATATTTGTAAAATTTAGATTATGCAACAAGGAATGTATGATACTACAACTGTGGATTTAACACCTCTTCTATCTGCTGATCTTGTGCCATCCGTCCCAAAACCTGGTGCAGACTTAGCTCAATGCCAGCTACTTGTAGCGACATTTGTTGACGCTTACCAAAGAATTAATCAGCGTATATATCAATCTCATGAAGAATTATTAAATTGTCAGGAGGAAGTGACAAGACTTAAGAAAAATATATCTCAAATGAAAAGGCCTAGCTTGGATCAAATTAGAAAACCAGAATATCACTTCCAACCCTTGATTATGTAAGATAATTCTTAAATGAAAGTTATCTTTGCATGAATGCTAATGTAATTTTTATACAGTGATGAGGGATCTCCCATTATAGCTGGGTCTCTTGGTCCTGACGGAGAGTAAGTTTATTCTCGTCTTATTTGATCAACAATATACTATTAATGTTGTCATTTTCCTCTCAGTGGATATCAAACACCAAAAGTTAGGGGTGAGCAAGTCCTGAAGAGTCAAGCTGAGAGCGATGCAGCGTAACTTTTACTAAATTTTACACATGTTAATTTTAAGTCTGTGATATGAGAGCACTTTTTTTTTTAATTAGTGAATTAGTTGATTTAAGATGAAAAATATAGTTGAATGTTTCAATCTAACTCTGTTTGATATTTATAACATTCTAGTTAAGATTTAAAGTTATACTCGATTTTTTTTATCTGAAATAGCTTTTACTTAAACCCACATTGAGAATTTTTTTTTGAAGTCTTGACTTGTATTAATCATTACATTAGAATGAATGATAATGAAATCACCGTACTATCAATCAGTAAAATTTATGGAGCAGCATTACCAAAAAACTAAATAAATGAATGATTTTTATCTACTAGAGTAGAGCTCCTTTTAATTAGATAAAATCCAGAATCAGCTCTTCAGATAAAACAACTCTAATAGGGTTAATATTCCTTTGGAAAAGGGTTGTCAAGAGATACATATTGAATAAAAACAGATCCCAAATATCAGCTTTATTGCATGAAACTTTTTCTAAAATAAAATTTCTAAAATAAAAATTCAACAGCTAAAAATTTGCTTAGAGATTTAGAAATTCACTTTCAATCGTCTGCAGTTATTGATAAGGCCTTAATGTCACAAAGGTTTTTTTCAATGCCCTCAATGCAATCTTCATCCGAAGGAATAATTACACATATGCTATTAGCAGCTTGTTCGTATCTTTTATGAGCTTCAGTTGCATAATTTAAGCGATTTTGAATAAACGAATGAAGACTTGGCCTAACATAATCCACTCTGGTCTCATAAAATTGCGGTAGCGATAATTTTAGTATTTTCTGTTGCGTTTCATATTCTTTTCTGCACTTATCCATCATTCGTTTGCTCTATTTAAGAAATTCTTTTTTATTGTTTTTGTAATAGAAACAATAGAATACTTTACATTTTCAAGTTTAACAACATTACTTCCAGTCCTTTCTCTACCTTGGTATTTTTCAACTTTACTAAAGCATTTGCTATATTCCTATGAATAGCAGCAAGCATAATTATATTTAAATGAGTTTATATTTTTGCATATTAAAGAAAGAATACTTACAAAAAGTGATTGATTTCTTTTACTGATTGCCTGAAGAGTACTTGGAAAATATTGTGTAAATCTGTGGAATATAAGAAATATATACGTATATCTATAGCATTAAGCATTTAAAACTATTTATTATATTTACTTTTTCATTGGTTCCGTAAATGTTTTCTGAATATTTGTAACTTGCTCTCCAGTTAGACTGGTTAGAATAGTTACTTGAGCATACCATGCATCGAATAGTACCTTTAATTCATCATTATCTCTACCTGAACTTGACATTTCATTTGCCAATTTACTTTCTATTTTTGATTGATCTTGTGAAGTAAACATAGAATTTACTAATCTTTCTCTCTCTCTCTGTCTGTCTCTTTCACTCTATTTTACGTTATCAGTTTTACTTACCACTTAAAGCCTCTTGAACATTTTTCATATCTTTGTATAGTTTTCTCGAGTTTTCCTGAAGCCTATAGGAAATGTGTTGTATGAAGAATGTTTTACTAATTAACTGAGATTCTATCTAAATATCTTACATTTCTATTCTTCGAACTTCTTTCTCAAATTCCTTTTCCTCCTAAAAAATACAAAAAGCAAATGTTTCGATTTTGTGTTGCAACGTATAGAAAATTTAATACCATTTTGGAGATCGCATTTGTTCTAGGCATAATAACATGTTTTTGAAAAGGATTCCTGAAAATTATGACATTGTTAGATGTATATTTTTAAATTTTATATGATTGTAATAATTCATACCAGCTCATCTTTAAGATGCTGTAAATAATCCAATTAAAAATAAAAAAGGAGGAGAATTGTGTAAAGTCGCTAGGCTGCCTAATCCTCTTAAGTTGCTAAACGTTAACAATTTCATATGGCTACAACCTGACTAGCGATTCTAGTATGGCCAGTACTCTTCAGCTATCTATTACAGGAAAAAAATGATGTTGACAATGTCCATGGCTCGACTTCCGGGTTTGACTTTTGCATGCAAGTTTTTTATCAAAGTCGTTAGATTCATGCTCAAGCATCCAGAAGTAATAGCTTTTATATCGGCCGTAGTATTCACATACGTTAATCAATATTCCTATGGGTAAGTTATTTTTTAATTTTCTACCAAGAAAAATATATATTATAAAAAGTAAACAGCCTCATTGTATTTGAGTAGTTCTTTTTATTCGTAGTGTTCGAAGTTTAAAATTTATCTTTTTCATACAATTATAGATCCGGAAATAATCAGCAATCTATTACGAGGGAACAACTTCCACCAACGCCCTTTTTTCCCCCTACTTCTTATGTCATTGATGCTCATAATGGAGACATGCAGAATGCAATTAAATTATTAAAAACCGGTTATTATATTCTCGTTTATTATTATGCCCCATGGTGTGCTAGGTAGGATATTACTTAAAAGCTGTTTTTCGTACGATAATAATTGTTATTATAGATCAGTATCAGCTCGCAGTGAGTTTGAAAAAACATCAAGATACCTTCTTACAGAGCAAAATTCAACTTTACGCTTTGTTGCCATAAATTGCTGGTGGCCAGATGGTGCCTGCCGACAACAAAATCGTTTTCTATCTTTTCCTACTCTGTATTTATTTAAGCAAGGATGGAATGGTATTAAATATAATGGTTTATTAACTTCAGAGGAGATTATTTCATGGGTTTCTATCATGATGAAACCTTATACGTATCTCCCAACAATAGAGAGAGTAGAATCTTTTACAAAGTTAAACGAGGTAGATACTATATAATTAAATGCAAAAGAACAACGCTTACTTAACATATTGAATTATGCTTTTCTAGTTCTCTGTTATTGCTTTTATCGACCCTTTGGCAAACAATAGAACAAACTTGACTCAATTTCATTTCGCTTCGATTCGTTTTCACGAAGCAGATACTATTACTGATGTTAAATTTGGAGTGGTTACAAATATTTTTACCGCTAAAGTACTTCATCTTCATCAATCCGGTCAAATTGTTTTCTTAAGAACATTTAACTCTTCAATCTATTATACTGGTAAAGATTTTACAAGTAGTGCACTCAAAGAATGGGTAACACTATGCAAATCACAAGTAACGTTTCTCTCTATTTATTATCGTTTGAATATTAGTTTAAAATTGTTCTTTTTCTCTCTTAGAGTCAGACGTTTGTCGGGAAGTGGCAACCGTCTTACACTAAAAGTTTAGGTCTTTCAAGTTTGTTAAAGAGTAAGAATTTGTTACTTATATTTTCACCTGAACATTCATTACTGCCTCCTAATGGCAATTTATCTTATATTGTTCGTTCCGCTGCATTACAATACTATTCCTGCTACAACGAAACTCCTGTAAGAATTGATACGATCCTTAAAGAAATGGAAGATGACTATAGGACCAAAGTGAAAACTTATTCTGAACTGGCTGATTTCTGCTCAAATAATAGAAAAACGTTTCTTAGGACAAAGTGCTGTGCTTGCACATTAGTCGGAAGTGATATTTGTATTACTGGTCAATCTCCGTGCAGTTTTATTGACAATGCTGTTAATTCGATTATTCCTGCAACCTATGCTCATTCTATATCCAATAGAATAAAGCATGTGGAGCACACTAGATGTCAGTTACAAAATTTTAGGAAAGCTAATCGTTGGACTTCAAGCAAAACAAATCTACCCAGCGCTATAAATTTAGAGGGGAATAAATTCCAATTTAATAATTGGGGTTGTTCTAATAAATCCTTAAACATTCGAATACTCAATTCGAAAAAGTCATGGGTTTTGGCCAATAGATTGGGTTTAAAAGATGATGATTTTAATATAGGAAAAGCTGTAATAATAGATAAAAGTAGAGAATTAGTAAGCATAATGAAAGAAGAAATAACATTTGAAAATTTATCGAAATTCATATTCGACTATCACGAAAATAATCTCAAGGAAAACAAGGCCGAACCAGAATCAGATATTCCTCAGTGTAATCCTTCAGCACCAGCCTGTGTTGTCTCTTTAAATTCCAAAAATTTTAAGTCTTTCATTTCGCAAGACAAAGATGTTATTGTATATTTTACAAGCCCAAATTGTGCTTCTTGTTTGACTTATAATCATATCTACATCGAATTAGCCAGGTACTTTAATCATACAAAATTTTTATCATTTGGAAAGATAGATGTGAGAAATGTTCCCATAAGACTTAAACCTGTCAGAGTACCATCTTTAATATTGTTTCCAGCTTATGATAAAGATGACTCAACTGTTATAGAAGCCAAGAAATCAAAAGAAGAGCTAGTTGCATGGGTGGTGGAGAATATCCAAGCTCGCCTTGTCTTATCCGACGGATTCAACTGTAATAAAGAATGTATTGAATACAATCTAAATAGGACAGACTATTGGATAAAATTCTTATACAATCAGATAGAAAAAATTGAGACTAGAGAAGTTCGTCTCAATCAAAAGAAAAATCTTAAAGATATTGAAAGTTTTTACGTTAAATACTTAGAGCTTTCTAGAACTTATAAAAAAGAGCAATTAATTAACATATACAGAATCAATACTTTACTATCTAACTCTGATATTCATAAAGATACTCTTAGTAATATTTTAGGAGAAAGCAAATTGAAAGAAATCTTTAATAGTTTGAAAAATCTGAATATAAATGGTGAAACTCGAGGTGCTGGGTAGTAGCTTTTTTCGTTAATTGAATATAATTCATTGTTCTTTAATTCTTAATGAATTTTTTTCTAATTGTGAATACTTTGTTAATTTATTCATCATTTGAAGAATGTTATATTTTTTTCAATATACTACTTCGAAAATTCTATTATAACATTCAAGTTTCCCGCGGTTATGTCAGGAACCTACTTCTACGCTCTTTTCAGTTTGGTGTTTTATTTATAAAACTTATATAGAATAGAGCACCTCACTTCTATCCCATAATTCTATCGCCTGCATCATCCAAAATGGCGACAGTAGAGGATGATACTTTGGAAACTTTATTAAGTAATATCTCGTTTATTTAATATTGATAATGTTTTCAATTATGCTTGATAAAGAGTTTAAGAGAGATGCTATTTAAATCCTTTCAATTTTATTGTAAACAATACGCCAGTTTGCTTATTCTGTTCAAGGCCATCGTGAAACCGGTCAAAAAAATAAAAATTGTGAATATTTTTTTCCAATAGGTAAGATTACTAATCCATCAAACCAAGATGAAGATACGGACGTTATTATGGCATTTTGCGATCAAGTCAACAAACATCTAGAAGGTCCCCAAATTGCCATTCGCCTACTCGCTTACAAAGTACAATCGCCTCAAGAAAGAGAATGTTTGCATGCATTATCTGTAAGCATATTATATTTATTATCAAATATATTCATCATAAAATATATTCCCTAGACTCTGGAAGCTTGCGTAAGGAATTGTGGTAAAAGATTTCATCAAGAAATTGGAAAATTTCGTTTTCTCAATGAAATGATTAAACTAGTATCTCCTAAAGTATGACATCTTTGAAATATGTTTAAGAGTTAATAATAATTATAAATTTTCAGTACGCAGGACCGTATACTACAGATAAAGTTAAGAAAAAAGTTATAGAGTTATTATACAGTTGGGCAAAAGGTTTGAAACAAGAAACTAAAATTATGGAGGCCTATCAAATGTTGAAAAAGCAAAAAATTGTTAAAGACGATCCGACATATATTGATCAGGTTGTACTAAGATATATTCGTATAAAAAATGAATAATACCATTGTATATTTATTAATAAAATATAGCATATCGATATCTTGGTTCCTCCCACTCCTGAAAAAGAGCGCAATTCCATATTTAATGACGATACAAAGTCGAAGCAATTGCAAAAATTACTCAGTAGTAAAAATCCAGAAGATTTACAGGCAGCTAATCGTTTAATTAAAAATATGGTTAAGCAAGATGCTGAAAGAATGGAAAAGATATCTAAAAGAACATCAGAGTTGGAAACTGTGAATAACAATGTTAAGCTGTTGAACGAAATGCTCAATGTTTATCACAATGCAAACACAGCTCAGTCAGATCGAGAGATTATGAAAGAATTATATGATAATTTAGAAAAGGCGAGACCAAATTTGTTCAGGTTAGCCAGCGATGCAGATGAACAAGATAATGATGGTATTAATCAAATATTGGAAACAAACGATTCTGTCGCTAGAGTTATGACTTCGTTCAAAGAAAAAATATCAACCGATGCAAATTGCTCTACAGTTGCGGCAACAAACAATGATCCCTCTTCGTTACTTGACTTGGACTTCGGTGCTAAGAATTCAGTAGATATTTTGCGAACGCAGCTTGATGAGCTAGGATTAAATACAAAACTGGAGACGACACCACAATTAGAACCTACCACTACATCTGAACAAAAAGATGATGACTTGGTCCAATTAGGCGATATTTTCTCCAATAGCCAAACTACATCAATATTTGGTTCAAACACTAGTAACCAAATGGCCAATCCTCCAATTTACAACCCACCAGTTTATCAACCACTATCAAATATTGGTAGTACAGCTACGGGCAGTATTCTGACTCCATCGACACAATCAGCTTTTAGCTCAACAAATAGTACGAAACCGAAAGCCACCATTGGAACAAACGCCTTTGATGATTTGGATATTCTTGGAAAATCCCTAACAACTGAGAATAGCAAGTAATTGAGCACTTGTAATTTATTTTTTATTTTTATTAATTTCGTTTTCATGAACTAGACCCGCAACGTTTGATCAGAAACCGGAGGCTAAAACTCTAGCTGAGCTGCAACAAATGAAAGTGTCATCCGAAAGTCCGAATAGTAAAAGCCTTATTGACGATCTGCCAATGTTAATTCCCAATTCTAGTCCTCCAGAGCCAGTGACTTTAGACAACGTTTTCGTTGCATTAGATACTATTCAATTCGGTATACATATTATTAAGTGAAAATTGTTGGTAATTATAAATAATTCATAAATATATATCCAACAGCCTCAACAACACCCTTAGTTGGCTACGATAAGAATAATGTTCGAGTTATGATAAATTTCACAAAAAATACAGTTGCCGACAGGCCTGATGTAGCTGTATTCGTTGTATCAACATTAAGTACAAGTTCTGCCCAATTAACGTCTTTTTCATTTCTCGCTGCTGTTCCTAAGGTTTGTTTTCATGAAATAAATAAATACATTTGTAAGATATTGAATTGATTACCACTGATATTGTAATAGGCAATGAAAATTAAATTACAACCCGCATCCTCAACTTCATTAGCAGCATTTAATCCAATAGTACCCGCCTCCCCTATTACACAAGTCATGCTGATTTCCAATCCAAATAAGGTTTTATTTTATAAATAAGTATTTGGAATTTTGTTAATAATTTACAAATTATAATATCTACAGGATAAAATAAAGTTGAAATATAAAATTACTTATAAACTCGGAGAGGAACAATTTACTGATAATGGTGACGTAACAGAATTTCCAACATTCCAATTATAAAAGAAAAACAACAACATACAAAAAAGATTAACGAGAATTATAATTTTTGTAATATTTAAACTATTTTCAATTTGAATTTATATATGTTTATGTATAACAATAACATCAATTAACTTTAATAATTTAATGATGTAACTGTTTTAAGCTGATCAATGTTTTCTGAAAATGATATTTTAAATGAGTTTTCGTTTGATAAAAGAACAAATTGTGCAAATGTACAATGAATTTATTATAATGCAAACTTTATTTTCATATTTTCATTTGAACCTTTCCTCTCGTGCTTATCAACTAACATTCGAGAGTTATTAATTTCAATGTCACTGTCTTCTTCTATATGTATCTTTCACTCAAAAACCTTTGAACGAAAAAAAAACACCTGAAGGACTTCGCAACTGACATTACCTTTCTTATTTTTAATGAAATACGATAAGAAGCTACTTATTTATAAAATATTTTTAATTCAAATGACTGAATATATGTAATCGGTGAATTAAAAATTACATTTACACATTAAAACTTTTGAACTTTCGTAATAATCAACAGTTTGAAAATTTAGCAAGACCAAACCGGAAGTGCAAAAATAAAAACTGGTTTTGAAAAATATACGAAATATATCCAAAAAAAAACACTATTGGCGTTATCTTTCATTTTCTCGCAGAATTAAGGTCAAGTTATCATGAGAATAACATTAACATCAGTCAACGATGAGATTTATTCGCTGGACGTCAGTGAAGACATGGAACTGGAAAATTTTATGGCCTTAGCTGCTTTTGAAACCACTGTACCGGGTGAACAACTTCAGTTGAAACATAATGGAAGGGTATTATCTGGAAGGGAAAAAAAATTGAAAGAATTTGGCTTGAAAGATGGTGATGTTGTACTTTTTGGTCAAAGAGGAGGCTCATCTAATGGTTTGTGTTTTACACTTGGTTCTTAAAATAGCGCGTGCAGCTAACATTAAGTACAACAATTTATAAACGATTTTTATCTAGTACTGGAGCATTTTATCTAAAGAAAGTTGAACAATCTTTCAAAATAGCCATTAACTTTGAGGTAACTTTATAGAATTGTTTCAAAGCTCCCTCAAAACTATTAAAAGGTATAATGTTAGGTTACCAAGTGAACTGTAGGGAAAATATTCTTATTTAATTTAATGAAAAAGGACATTGACTAAAATTTCATAACAAATTATTATAAAGTTCTTACACAATATATAAACGTTTTTTTTTTAAGTTTTTATAATGAGCTGTTGAATAAAATAATGGGTTATCTATTTAACCATGTAGTTTTGGACTTTTCAAATATTCAAGTTCCGGTAAATAGGCCAACACAACCGCAAGCTAGTGGTGGACAAGAAAACCCAGCAGTTCTCATGGAAATGTTAAGAAACTCCCCACACGAATTGGCTCTCCTTAAAGAGAGAAATCCTCCCTTAGCTTCAGCACTTGAAAGTGGAGACGTTAATAAATTTACACAAGTTTTAATGCAACAAAAAGCTGATAAATTGAAAAGAGAACAAGAAAGATTGCAATTGCTCATGAGAGATCCAATGGACCCTGAAGTTCAAAAACATATTGCTGAAGAAATCAGGTACAATTGATTTTATTTCCTATATTCAGGTTTTCATTTGGCTGAGAAATTATTTATTTTTAGGTTAAAAAATGTCGAATCCAACATGGAAACTGCTATGGAGTATTCTCCTGAGAGTTTTGGTCAAGTGGTTATGCTCTATATAAATTGCAAAGTCAACGGTCATGTTGTCAAAGCATTTGTGGATTCAGGTATCAGTCATTATTCTAACATTATACATTCATTACATCTAAAGTTTAATCAAATATTCGTGTTAGGCGCTCAAATGACAATCATGTCCAAGGCCTGTGCTGAACGATGTAACATTATGCGTTTAGTCGATACTCGATGGTCTGGTATCGCAAAAGGGGTTGGAACCCAACAGATTATCGGAAGAGTTCATTTGGGTAAATAGATTGAATAGGCAGCTGTTGTAAATTAGTATTTGAATTAATTATAAAAGGTCAAATCCAAATTGAAAAAGACTTCCTTCAATCGTCGTTTTCTATTCTTGAACAACCAATGGATATGCTACTTGGATTAGACATGCTAAAAAGACATCAAGTAAGCATTTTGTCGATATTCATTCGAAACTGTCTTTTTTCTACGTAGAATATACATATGATTAAATATTTCCGTAGTGTATAATTAATCTAGAAGAAGATTGTTTAATAATTGGTTCCACAAGAACTAAAGTTAAATTTTTACCTGAAAATCAAATTGCTAAAAAGTCGAAAAAAGTTCATGATAAACAGTTAATATCTAGTTAAATTCAAGTTTTAGTCTACTTTGTTTTGTTATACTAATGTTTCTTATTCTTTCATAGTTTTTAAGTTTAGAACAATAATAAACAATTTTTACAGTGTGTCATCGACTTAAAGCTCAATGAACTTGTAATAGGAACAACAGGAACGAAAACGAAATTTTTGGCAGAGGCTGAACTTCCAGACAATGCTAGATTAAGTATGCAAGCTCCAGACGATGGAACAGTAACAATGGAAGAAGATAGACAATTAGCTGAAGCTCTTGCAAAGAGTGCTGAGCAAGTTACAAGAACTCAAGGTTTTTTTTGTTAAATTTAGTTAAATGTGAAAAGTTCATTAACCTTAGTCTGCAGATTGATATTTTAAATTGTTTAAATTTTCTCTTTTTCAGTTCCTTCCGCAACGGCAACAGGACCTCAAAGAACGTTTCCCGAATCTGATATTAATAAAATAACGAACTATGGATTTTCTCGGGATCAGGTCATTGAAGAATTAACAAGAAACCATGGCAATGTTGACCAAGCTATTGCCACTCTTTTTGCAAGATCTCTAGCTGGCCCAAAATAAATGCTATCAAGTCATAACCGCTTTACTTTCAGAATAAAAAATATTTCATCTATAAAAAGCTAATAGTATTTCAAATATTTTAAAGTGGCACACGGTATGAAAAAACGGCTAAATACCAAAGATTTATACTAAAATAATTTCGTAATCTTTTGACATGTTAAACAAGTCTTAAATTTATTAATAGTAAACAAGAAAATTTTCAAAAGTGATCATCAAACTCGTAGTCTCCATCTTCGTCCATTCGACTCATATTACCTAAGGCCGATTCAAGCTTAGAAGAAAGATTTTCAGCTACGTTATCTACAAAAAATTTTTTAGATGTTAAATTCGTACAAGAACAGACAGATTTATCACTTACTTGCTTTCTTTCGTTGTCTGATCATTTTTTTATAATCTTTCTTTCTATCTTTATTTAATTGATTTCCTTCAAATCTATCTTCTTTCTTTTTCTTATTTTTAAGCATTCTTTCAACGTCAATTTTAACGCTCTCTCCGTCCTCTTCCATTTCGTTTTCGTCGTCATCACTTTCGTCCTTCACAAAACTTTCAACTTTTACATGGTTATCTCCAACACTTGCTTTTATTGTGTCAAGGGCAGTTTTTTCCTCTTCCAGTAGAGCATCAATATCAAATTCAGCAGACATTCCTTGCACTATTTCTGAGCTCAGGTGACTATTTTCAGTGGGAACTTCAGGAGGTTCTGTATAGTATCTAATTCTTCCCTGATTCCAATCATTTATCACTACTTTTCCGGCTGCTAACAAATCAGCTTTACCCCCTCGCTTTAATTTACCTTGTTTTATTGCTAGTTGATTCAAAAACTCGTCAACATCATTGAAACTGGGAATTCCATATAAAATTTGTAGATGTTGTTTTGGACATCGACGCATAACAGCGCTTACAGGGGGAACGGGATCACTAATCGATTCAACCTTAACACAGTTTTGAAGAACATCATTTTCAGATTTTTTTACAACAACTCCTGGAGAGTCAATTAATTTTATATGCTTATCTAAGACTATTTCTTGTAGTGATTTCGTTACGCCAGGCGTTGCTCCTGTTGCACAAGCTCTCTCTCTCTTCAAAGAATTAATTATAGAACTTTTACCAGTATTTGGGAAGCCAACAATTCCAACCGATATTGCAGTTTTTACGTCACTCTTTCTACAATAATTACCCAATAATTTCATTAAGATGTCTGCCCCAATGCATACCGATCTTTCAGTTGAGTGTCCTAATAAAAGCAAATAATAAGTAACTTATGAATTAACTTTAATTATATCAGTGAAAATTATATAAATATATATTCATATCAACTATGAGACTTTGATGATTACACTTTTCTTTAATAGAAAGTAACACGCACCCTTTCCATGACCCAGTTTGCTTTTCTGAGTTTGAGTTGAAGCTTTAAATGCTACTGTAGGTAATTGTTTTCGAAGATAAACTAACCAATTATCCAAATTATTTTTCGGTATCAAATCAATTTTATTCAACAATAACACTAGTTTTTTCCTACCGGAACTTACAACTGCTTCTTCTAGAGCTTTACACCTAGTTGCAATTGGATCTCTGGCATCCAAAACTTGAATAACAACATCACTTGCTTCTATCACTTTAGATAACTCCTTTGAATATTGTTTGAAAGATTGTTCTGAAAGTGAACTTTTCATTTCAAAGTCGATATCGTCTTCCATCATTTGTTCTTTCATTTCAAATTGTTTTCGTTTTTTTTCAGCATCTTTCATAATGTCATCTAATCCTGGTCTATTTTTATTACGAGCTTGTTCTCGTTGTTTTTGTCTCTGTTTTTTTTGTTTTGCCTTCTCTTCTTCAACCTAAAACATGTAATTTAAGTATGTGATTATTGTGTCTACTTTATAAATTATTTTTACTCTTTTTCTATGCGCTTCCGCCTCTGCAAGAATCTCATCTTTAAATGGTAAACTGTTTGGTATACCAGGATCTTTGGCTGTAAAAGAGAAACAAAAATGACCTATTGTTTAGAAAGAATTTTGTCGATAGATTAATCTTAGATACATAGGGAATAATACCACTATATAGTACAACTTTTAGAGGCTCAACATACAATATATCGATTTACAAACTAAATTGAGATATCATTCTCAGTTATTACTGCAATTATAAGAGTTTATAATTTACCTTTCTTCTTGTTGCTCTTTTTTGCTTCTTTTTTAACCTTTCGATTGTGTTCTCGAACCTGACAGAGAAGCATATATATCAATAGATCACATTATCGCTCAAATTATACGCACTTTTCGGGCTATTTTATATCTCTTACGGCACGAGATACGCTTGCTGAGCTTCTCTATTAGAAAGAATTTAGAAATTAATGTTACAATTGATTATTGTTTTTATTCAACTACTTTTAAGGCCTTTTGTCATCTTTTCAGAGATAGATTCTCACGTGGTTAGAGAATTATTATTTAGTTTGCCTGCCCAATTGTATATCCGGTAGCTGTCAATAATGCCATCTGTCGTTACTATTTATTATTTTATCTAGTATATTCTCATTTCCTCCATTCATAAATACCTAACAGCCAGTTTCATAAATAAAAAAGAGTTTTACTAATTTTTCAATTAATTCAAAGAAAATTTGAAACATTATTGCAATACAGGAGGTATTAACCTCCATTCAAATAAATTCTCACAATCTTCAGAAAACGCCATCTGTATTATTTTGAGTTTTGAATTTTAAAGTGGTTGTCATTCCACGTGTCTTGATACTTTGCGGTAAAATCAACGGCAAGTGCCTGCCTGTTGTGAGAAAGAAGATAAGATGCCTCCAGCACGTTCTACATTCGCTCCTTCCGGAACAGAATTTGTAGAATGGAATGATATCGAACAAATCGAGCGGAAAGTTATTATCGGGGATATGAGTGCTTGGGAAAGAACTGCCAAAACTGTTGGGAAAAGGAAACGGTTTCAGTTTAGTCTTCTAAAGGAAATTTTTCTTCCATTTGGCTACCCAGCAAGTGTTAGTACAGACTATATGTCCTATCAAATTTGGGACAGCTTTCAAGCTTTATTCAGCACCTTAATGATGGCCATATCAACTCAAAAAATTTTAGTAGGTATGGGTGTTGGAGATGCCGCAGCGTCTGCACTCTCCGGAGCAATAGCTTGGATATTAAGGGATGGTATAAGTATGATATCGAAAATCATGTTCACCTGGTATACTGGCACAAATCTAGACGACTATAACAAAACTTGGAGACTTGCTGCCGACATTTTCAATGACTTATCTTTTATTGTTGATTATTCCATCAGTTTCTTTCCGGATTTCAAAATTTACATTCTGTGTATTTCTGGTATTCTTAAGTCTATTGTTGGAGTTTCAGGAGGAGCAACTAGAATGGCAATCACCCAGCATCAAGCAAGAGATAATAATATCTCAGATGTATCCGCGAAGGATGGGAGTCAGGAAACATTGGTAAACTTGTTAGGCCTTATACTTAGCCTAACCGTTCTACCATTGTTGGGTAATAATGAACAAGTTACAATGATCATATTCATTTCATTAATGCTTGCTCACTTGTACAGTAATTGGAGAGCTGTAAAAGCATTGAATTATGAAACGTTCAATATGAATCGTTTACATATTGTTTGTCAACAACTTGTTCGATCGAATCAAATACTAAGCATTAAACAAGTCAACAAAAAAGAACCTTTATTTGGATTTGCTCCTAATTATAGATATTCAATTAAGCTTGGTGTTCCCTTGATAAAATCTTTTGCTGTCGGTTGTGAAAGTTATCTTCTTAAATATAGAATTAGTTTTAATAATGGGGACAAATCAATCTATGTTAGTCTTTCAAGTGACGCAAGCACTGAGGATATTCTTGAAGCTGCAATTTCAGCTAGTATTATCAATACTATTATAGACGCAGCTCTTCGATGTAACAGAACGCCCGTGGAAGAGATGGTAGAGGACATAAAACTAAGAAGAGCTATCGAAATTTTAAACAGTTCAAATAGATGTGAAACAGATATAATCTGTCTTGTCTTGGAATTTATGTCGAAAAAGAGAATAATGCTACTGGATAGATTAAAACACGCTGGATATGATTTGACCGCATTTCATTTTTCGATTGATTCATGGAGATACAGTAAGCGGTAAGTAAAAATCTATGCAAGAAAGCATATATTCCGTGTTTTATAAATATTTTTTAATGCCTTATAAGAGAAATATTGTTTTGTTTTGATTTGCTACTGTTTTATTCTGTTAATGAGATCTGTTTTGTAAGGAAGAATTAGGTCACTCCTTTTCTATATACTTTAAATACAACTTGTCTTTGATAGTAACGAAAAAGAAAATTTTATTGTGTATATAAGCTTGCGGCAAAAACAATGTCACGTTTTATTTTTGTGGACGCTTCCTCCATCTTTTTGAACATTAGGGGATCGCCTATCATTCTAGCTGCATTTCTTACATCTCGTATAACTTCGTCAAGTCTCTGAATACAACGAACGATAATCCCTTCTTGCACGTCGGTTAATTTAGTTATTTCTTTAAATGAAGTTCCTCTTGCCCATTCATACACGACTTCCATTAGTTGAAAGTTAAATTTGCTGAGGAACTCTTCGGGGCCTTCTCGTCTCAGGAATTGTTTTTGAACGTCATCAACTTTCGACGCAACTCTTTCAAATTCCCTCTTAGCCGCAAGTAGAGAATTATTTAATTTCGCTTCAGATGCTCTAGATTGTTCGAAGACTATAGAAGAGAGTATAGCAGCAATTTCCTCCGGTTCTAAGCTATTTAAGGCATTTTCAAAAACAAGTTCTGTAAGAATTAGTTCGGCCTGGCTCATTTCGCAGGCAACTCTTCCTTTTAATTGAACAATATCATCTTCATCGATATAGCCTAAATGACGAAGAACTTGTAGCTTTTGCCGATATTCAGGGAGTAGTTGGAGACTTTCATCGGACAATAAATGCCTAATAGATTCATATTCTTTTTCCATTATTTTTCTTTCACGTATAGCATCGAAATTCTCTTCAAAATTGGCACTATGAACACAACAATATGTGGAAAGAATATCTTCCAAGTCTTTTGCCCTCTGACAAATGTCAACTTCTGTAACACCTTTTAGCTTAAAATCCTTATAATCAAGAGTAATCGGATTTTCATAATTCTCCTCAAGATAACTAATTAATTCTTTCATAGCTGTGACTGTAGACTGCCCGGGAGGATCATTTTGAAAGCGGGGGATAGCTCTCTTTTTCTCATCTTCAATAATACGATCACCGTTTACCTTTATTACTTTATTTAACAAATAGCAGATATTTTCAAATTTTAATTTCGACGTAAAGCACTTTGGATTAATTACTTTTTTCAGCTTTAGTGGCAAAATAGTAGGCTGAGGATATTTTATATTTTCTTTACTTTCGTTTCTCTCTACCAAAAGGAAAGCTTGAAATGATTTATCATTAAAATCCGTTTTAAGTACTGCAGCCAATCCACTATTTGTTATCACTAATCTACCGGGAATGAATAATTTCTGAGCGGTTAATGACCCAAGTGACGCTTCTAAAGCCATTGTACGATTTTCCAAATATCGTTCATTGGTATCGTAATAAGCCTCTAAATCTCCACCAAAATCCAAAATTTCTGGTAAAGATTCCCTTTTCTTTTCAAGTTCTATCAATTTTTTCTCTAAATTATCGGTTTGGCGTCTAGAACCAAATTCCGAAAATGATCTTCTCATCATATCCGTAACTCGTATGTCCTTTACGCGTAAAAGATTTAGAATCATTGAATAAGTAACCGTAAATTGACTTTGCAGTTGAGTAGGTGGACCAGTCATCATTCTATGCAAATCTGATAATTCAGCTACTTCTGTTTTGCAGAGAACAATAACAGTTCCAGTTGTATCTTTTCCTCTTCTGCCAGCTCTCCCGGCCATTTGAATATACTCACTAGGAAGTAAGTCCCTAAATTTCTTTCCGTCGTGTTTCCTACACGAATCAAACACAACAGTTCTCGCAGGCATATTGACACCCATAGCGAAAGTTTCAGTAGCAAATAGTACCTTTACTAGACCCATGGCGAAAAGCATCTCTACAACTTCTTTCAATATTGGTAGAATACCGCTATGATGTATACCAATACCTCTCATAAGAATATCGCGCATTAGCATCACTTGAGGTAAACCTTGATCCGATCTTTTCAATTTAGATGTTGATTGTTGAAAAAATGTATAAATTTCATTCTTCTCTGTAGCCGTATTTAGATCTACCGATTTTAAATGTTGAGCATTTTCATCTATCCTTCGTTTAGAGAAGGTGAAGCAAATTGCAGGTAACTTTTCTTTCTTTTTTAACATTTCTATGACGGATAGCCATACTCCTCGTTCATTGACCGGCTTTTTAGTTTTTGAACTCTCTTTCTTTGCATCGCAAGCTTTAGTATAACCGCTTTTTTCAAATTTTGAACCTTTAAGTATTAAAAATAATTCATTAGTGTTTTTTACAGAGCTTCCGGTATATAAATAATGTTCTAAAGGTACTGGACGCTGCAGTGTACAAACAACGTAGACTTTGCGTTTTTTATTCCTGGCTACCCATTCAGCAAATTCTTCGGCTTTTGGTATTGTTGCCGATAGGAGAACAACGTTTACATGAGCCGGGAGCATAATAATAACTTCCTCCCAAACAACACCTCTGTCAGCATCGTTTATATAGTGCACTTCGTCAAATATTACCCACTCCAGATCCCTAATCACATCCGAACCATTGTAGAGCATTGATCTTAAAATTTCGGTTGTCATGATTAAGCAAGATGCTTCTTGATTAATTTGAACATCTCCCGTTATAAGGCCAACATCGACAAATGTTTCTTTGAAATCTCTAAACTTCTGATTAGATAGAGCTTTAATTGGAGATGTATAAATGGCCCTAAAAGAATAGATATATGATATAACAACGAAACACTTTTCATTGAACATGACCTACTTTGTCATATGCTTTCTAGCTAGGGCAATGGCGTATTCGGCAACTGCAGTTTTTCCCGCAGAAGTATGGGCGCAAACAAATACGCTATCTCCCCTCTCAAGGCAAAGTATGGCTTGTTTCTGAAAGACATCCGGCTCAAAACTCCACTTGTAAGCGGCATCAGGTAACAGTTCTTCAAATGGTGGCATTTTCTCTTTAATACTTAAAACTTGGACATATTCATTACCAATTATCTGTTTTTTGAACTTAGCTTCTTCAACAGTTTCTAATTTGATAACATCTCCAAATTCAAATTCATCACTAGTTTCATCATCATCATCATCTTCTCCTCCTTCTCCATTATCGTTGCTGTCGTCTTCAGTATCGTCATCATCAATCTCAACCTCTTTATTGTTACCACCACGACTATCATCACCATCACCCTTCTTTCTTCCTCTAATTTTATATTCTTTGCCAAGAATGTCAGCAATATCAAACTTTAGTGGAGAGATGGTTTTCTTTTTAAATTCCATCCCATTTTCAAATCCAGGTGGTATAGTTTGCAAGTTTTCCTCAAAATTTACAGTATCAGTTGGTATGTATTTACTTTTATGCTCAGGTTCATCCAAACTTCCTACAATACGCTTGTTTATATTTTATACGAAGAAAATTATTATCACACATTTTAAGCATAAAAATTACAAACCAGGCCAAAAAGGAAAATTTACAGAACTTCCTTTAATTCCAACAGAAGGATCACCAGGCTTTCTTGAAAGTGATAATGAATTTAGAGCGGTATGACCAGTGCTTTCTAAGAATTCTTCGCTTAATGCAATTGGTTTTCCGGTAGCTATATCCCTTTCAACAACAAAGTCTGTTTGAACTGGCATTTCTTCCATATAGTATAGACGCTCTTCCTGTGGTATTCTATGCTGAAATCTGCAACATTTTTGATAAAAAATGGTTAAAAGTTTTATTAAAGTGTACTTTTGAACATTGTCTAAATTTAATATATCTCCATCGTCTGATAATGTAAGGAATTCTTCCAGTTGTTCTCTTGGAGTCGGTAATATTGGGGGTATTCCGACTGGTAGCTAACAAAACAATTTCGTAAGAATTGATATGCATGTACAAACCACTCACTAACTGTATGTAGTGGGAAATGTGTGTCACATCTTTGAACTTGTACAACTTCAACATCATTGGAACTTCCTTTTACAAGTAATTCAACGTTACCGGTAAGTTTATCCATAATTCCAGAATTTGTTTTGCCACGACCAAACGGGCAAAAAGCGGATACGGAATTAAAGACCTCGATGAAAAGCAAAATTAGCAGAACGATACGACCGCTAGGTGGATTTCGCTAAATCAAGTTCATGTTATATGTGGCGGGAAAAAGAGTTACATATTAAGTGTTGTTCTTCTATAGTTTCTGTATTTAGCACAAAATTTTATAGAATGGCCAACGATTAGTAAAAACAATAAAAAACCTTCTAACCTAATACAGCTTTATTTCACTGCTTACCTTAAAGATAACATTATTTACTACAAACAACAATTAACACAAAGGAAATGATAAATATTCTATTAGAATGAAGACCTTCGGGCAAAGTGCAATCATGCTCAATTAGCCTGAATTAACCCTTCCATTCTGTTTAATTAAACGATAGTGCTCTAGTTCAAAATCCGGATGTTTTCCTAAAATCTCAAGCCATTCATGTTTAAATTTATTGCTGGGAACGACATGTCTCGTTATACTTAACTTATCTTAAAACTTCACGCGATTGCTCCAGATTACGGAAGGAATTAGAACAAAAACTGCATTCTTTTTAAAAATTAATATAATTACATATTTGATGTTGTTTCTTCTAATAATTGCTAAAAAATGCTTAATTTCACTTGTTCCTCCCGATTTATAAAGCTATTATAATGAAAACTATATAGTTTAACTGTTCAATGTAGTAAATTCTATATATAGAACAATGTACAAACAAATAAAATGTAAAAATACTGTTTGTCATAGAAAATTGTGAATTAATCTGATTTAGATTGTTTGGTTGTAGTTATCTATGAAAAGAAAAGTTATTTTGGTCTATTTTTAGCACCTACAGTATTTATATTTGGTTTTTCTTATATTAAATGCATGTTATGGAGATTGAACTGTTTGATTGTGTGATATATTAAAGCAACACAATTAGATAGAAATCTCAGTTAGGTAACAGCTATAAAGTATATTACCTATTTGATTGCCTTAATTGATCGTATGGGGCAAACTGAATCTACTGTTTTCGTTCTACTTGAAATATTTAAGTTCAAAATGAAAAAAATTCTTTCGGGTTTCAAAGGTTCAAGTTCATTTAAAACCATTGCTTAATTGTCAAAGTGCTACTCTTGAAATGCTCTTGAAAAAAAGGAACTATGTTCCTCACCTGATGCATTTTAAACAGACTGTTTGACTTTCAAGGCGATTAATAATAAATAAAGATAAATCGATAAACAAAAATAACATCAGATATACAATTTAGAAACAAATTAAAAATGAACGATAAGGATAATTTTATTATTGCAACTATTGTAAAACTATTTGTAAGATGTTATAGGAGTTCATTATAAAAAGTATCTTATCCCGTACAAGTGATATACTAGTTTCCTTATAGATTAATTCAAATATATTGGTATAACTAATATAGAATTCGTATCTTTTGAATATTCATGACAATATAATGTTTAATTCAGTATAATGTTTATAGAGAAAATTGAACAGTGAAACGATGAAATACTTTATATGAATACTCAAATAAGTTAAAGGGAAAAATTAAGTAGGGAAGACAAAACATTGGCACTTCTCACATAAAATTGCTGAAGTTCTACGTGAACGCGTCCTTTGTAGAAATATATAGAAGCTCAGAGAGAGAATCTTGTTAATATAAATTCCTTTTGCTAAGAGTTGATATAGTTCGTAAGGATAGACATGACTAGAGCCCTCATACGGCAAGATGAAATATTATACAGAAATGTTAAATCCAAAAACAAAATTTATCAATAATTTCAATATTTATAATCAGACACATTACTCCATGTTGCATTGTTTAACGAATTCACTTAAAATAGTTCTGTTGGAAAAAAAGTAGTAATAGTTAGCAAAAAATAATAAAAATAATCCAATTTTTCAACAAACCTATACTCTTTCGGATGTTCTTTTAAGTGACCGGTGTGCATACCCTTTTCCCATTTATGATTTATAACTGGTACTCCTTTACGCTCTAAACCCTCTGCGACACGATCGACCGCATTCAAGTCAATTTTATCATCATCTAATGCGTTTACAAACAAGCATGGAGCATATGAAGGCTCATCAGCAAAGGAATCAAGACATTCTTGCAACAAGTCACAAGTATGAACACTCATTGAAGTGTACCACTGCTTAAGTAGATGAAATGTTACGTTTCGTAATATCGGTCTCTTATCCAAAGCAATTCTGGCTACTGTATTAGCAGTAGCATCACCACCAGCATAAATTCCGCTGTCAAAAATGTGTCCTGCCATTTTTGGGGCCATGTGACCGAACTTTTCCATATTTCTTCTCATTGCTCTCCACATACCAAAGTACAAATATATACCTCCACTAATAGCATGAACAAAAATTTGTTTGCGATCCTTAATTTCAGGATGACTAATCATCATATCCATAGCTTTGTGAGAATGTGCATCACCCAATGGAACCCAAATAACCATACCCGGATGACATTGAACAATAAGAACATCCCACCCACGGTCATGATATAATTCTCTGTATTTTCTGACAGCCTTGTTGCCGGCAAATACCCACGGCATTAACAAAACCAATTTATTATCATTTCTATTGTTTTGTAATTTATATAGAACGTAACGATCCCCCAATCTTATTCTATCAATTCCCTCCTCCACTGAAACGTGGGATTTCGTCTGAGTGATAATTTCGGGTTTCGGAACGGCAATGGAACTTTCCTGTCTGTTGCTTTGGTAGGAACGAAGACCAAGGCCACTGGGCTATAGAGATAAGAAAGAACATATGTACCAAGTTATAAAACAACCGATAGAATCAATAGTATAATTATTTAGACGTATACTGATAAGATGGTGCTACGCTGTGTCGGTACTCCTCGCTAAAAATAGAACAAGTGGAACTTGATACTCAAGATTTTCAAACTGTTTGAACTTTGAATAAACGTACGGCCTCTGAAAGATTTTCTTATCCTATTGTATACATATTTTTTAAATTTATATACAGGCCAATATCGTTTGTTATAGTCAAAGAGAGACGCCATTAAATTATTTAGTTCAGGTAAGTAAATATTCACTAGACTGTTTAGTTGTTAACTTATTTTAGTTAATTACTAAAAGTGAATAACTTATTTATCCAATACGTCAATTTAATTTTTATATATATAAAGAGTAATTTTTATACTTTATTAATCTCTTCAATAATTTATAATAAGATATAATTATAACCAATACTCTGACATACTTTCAGTTTATATTCAATACTTTATGAGTCATTCGTATAGGCGTACATCATTCTCTGATGCACTGTAGAATGTTGCTCTTTACATAAAGCGATAATAGAAACAGATAAAGATGAGCTATTACAGATGCTTTGCCACTATCTAAGCGTTATTAAAAGTATATTTTGTCTTTGTTTAAATTAAAATTTCTTTAACAAAGGAAAATTTTTGGCTCTTAAACATGAATGATAAAACCTCAGAAGATGTTCTAATTTTCAAATTTAAATTTTTCATAAATGAATTACACACTCACCAAATAAAAATTAGTCTTTAGTAACTGTGGTTGAATTTTTCTTGCAATACTGAATGTTCTTCTTAATGAGATTGTTAGAAGCATGATGGATGTTTAGTCTTTGTCAATTTAGATAGTTCTTCTGACTTTTCTCTCCAGAAAATGAAATTTTTTTACTGATGGTGCTTGAACGGCCTTATTTCTATCAGCCTACTTCCTTAAGTTAAACCGATATCGGCTAATTCATAATATATCTCGATTATCTTATTTTTCCTTGTAAAAACCGGCAATTGGTTCGACGATTAGGACACGTGACATCAGCTGATCGATAGTAGCGCCCTCTGTTACAAACTGGACATTGTATGGAAATCAGAATTTAGTTCATTGAACTATGTTTGTAATTTCTTTTGTTCTGATTTAAGATTTAGTTTAGTAGTAAAATAACTCTATTGTAACTTTATTTTTATCGAAAAGATAAAAAATTTCAAATATTTTCTTCGCAAGATAATACTTTTTAGATATTCTTGATATTTATTTTCTTTTTTTGACTTTTCGTAAATTTCCCCAATTATCACTCAAGAACACGATGTTTCGCATCTTCACTCATCGAACCTTGGTATTTATATGATCGCTAAAGTTAAAAATATTATGACATTTACCAATCAATAGGTTACCAATACCACATTACCTAGAATTACAGTTCCTGTGAAAATGCAGTATAAACTGCAGAAATCACAACAAAAACAAGATGTAAAACGATATAGAGAACATGTAAGATTTGTATTTTTAAATGAATGATAAAATACATATATTTACGATTGCTTTTTTTTCCCTTTCTAGGAAACAAATCATCCAAAGGGTCAACCTATTATAACTTGTAAACGGAAACAATTCAACCATTACTATGGGACAAGATACCGACCTCTGAGCATTAAATGTCTAGCGTCTGCAGGTTGGAAACATAAGAAATCGTCCAGTGATCATTTTACTTTAAATCCTTTTAGTTCTGTACGTTTACTAAAATATCATAAGAAGGGGCAATATACATCAATTGACTTTCGTATACTTAGAATCCTTCATTTAACAATGATAGAACATTTACCGATTTGGAAATATTACCTGATTTAGTGGAAACGTTAAAAGATATGAATATAAAGGATCCAACAGCTGTACAAGCTAAGATTATACCCTATTTTCTGAACGGGAAAAACGTGTTGTGTTCAGCAGAGACAGGTTATTTGAACTTTATCTAATATTTACAGATATACATAACTGACTCTTGTCTACCACATTTTACAGGAAGTGGGAAAACTTTAGCCTATCTAATTCCAATAGTTCAAAACTTATTATACTCTCAATACCAAAAAAGTGGAGAGACAATACCTAATCAACCTTCAGCAGTTATCTTGGTTCCCAATAGAGAATTAGCTGAACAAGTTTATGTACAGATTTATACTTTATTAACTAAATAACTTTTTTAAAGATTAAATATTTTTTGTAGAACGTTGCTTGTGATCTGTGCAAACATTCTGATATAAGGCCTCATTACTTTGTTGGCGGTCGGAGTACAAAGGTTGTTCATTTTTAATAGGATAAATGAATAAATTTCATGCAAAGTTTATTTACACACAAATACAGAGATTTATAAACAATCCAGAATTAAAGAAAATGGACATATTAATTTCAACACCTGGATCGCTAAGTAAATTATTGACTAACAAAATATATAATACAGATATGGTAAAGTATGTAATAATCGATGAATGCGATACCATGATGGATGACAGCTTCATGCATTTAACATCCCGAGTATTAAGGAAGTTAAATGTAGAATCATCTCTTCATGATGGATTAGAATTAGGTACTCAAATAGGATTGTTTAGTGCAACAATACCTAAAGATGTAATTTCTACTCTACGTGGGCTAGTTGATGTAAAGTATTTTAAAATTTTTTACTTGTTGAATTATATTCCATCACTTTAATAGTTAGAATCCCTTGAACGAATACAAACTCCTGCAGTTCATAAGTTGATGCCACATATATCACAGAAATTTGAGAGAGTAAAGTCATCAGAAAAAGATGGTGAAACAAAATTATATAGTAACTTTAAACAAGATTTTACATACAACTTCAACAGGTCTCTTATTGAAAAGATTACATCATAACGTTTTAAAAAGTACAGCCACTATGGTATTTTGTAATACATCATCTACTTCTAGTTATTTGAGCTATCTATTGGCCGAAAACAACATTGCACACGAAATGGTCAACGGTAAAATGCCTCAACGTGTTCGAGAGGGACGTTATAATAGATTTCAAATGGGAGAAGTTGAGGTTTTAATAGGAACGGATATACTTTCTCGCGGATTGGATACTTGCAGAGTAAATTCATATAGAAATTTTACTTATTCTTTCATTTATATTACTTTTTCATAATGATAATAATCAGACGCAACACGTAATTAACTACAACTTTCCAAGTTTTCTGTCTGACTACATTCATCGAGCTGGAAGAGTAGGACGAATTCAGAGCCAGGGAACAGGATTTGTTCTTAACTACATATCGAATATTTGGGAAGTAGATTTGGTGTGGAAGATTGAAGTATGAAAATATCAGCCTGTATAGTTCAAATTAATTTATATTTTTTTACAGTTGGCAGCCCGAAAGGTTGGAATATTGGACAATGTCGATGCAAATATTAGAAAGCAGCTAAACAAAATTAATACTAAAGAATCCTCATTCATATGACCTTTGTAAATATTATAAAAACTTTGTTTATTATTAAAAATTTTAAAAAAGTAAAAAATATAATAAAACAATTTTACAAATCAAAATATTTAAACGGGGAGAATATGTTTAAAGTTTTCTCACTTGTTCACTTTCAGAGCACAAACAACGAAGAAGCAAAAAAAAATAACTATCGACATCATTGATTTCTTTCATACAATTAGAAAAAAATTTCTTCCAATTAATTGTATAAAAATTTGAATCTAAAAAATAAATTTCACTTTATAAAATAGGAAATGCAGTGAACTTTCAGTGCTCACCTTGAAAGTGCTTGTGGAAGTCCAGCTATAATTGGACCATATCCTTGCGCATTATCGTACAATTCAAACAGTGGAGCGGCGACTAGTTTATAATTTCTAGGTACAGCAAATAAAGCTGTGGAAAAATTGTAATTAATATTAGCATTTTTGTTAAATATAAAATAAAACCTTTTTCAGGTAGCTGAACCAAAAACAACCATTTATGCTCCTTTGGTTTCGTTATATGAGCAGGTAGATATGGATACTAAAGAAAAGTATTGCATATTATTTGGCTTATTTCATTTAAGTAACTTTATTTCAAACCTGAGAGGGCTCAAAATTGGGTCTCCACCAGTTACCTATTGTATCTTCTATAACCCAATCAACTGGAACATTATCATGACGCCCAAGAAGATCGGTTAAAAATCGTTTTAGGCCTTCAACTTGATCTTCCCCAGGCTTTAATTCGCCACCTGGAAGCTTAAAGAAGGATTGACCCAATTGAAGCAAAAGGACATGGGGTAATCCATGTTCATGAACAATGAGAACTCCATCAACACTACGTCTCATTCCATCTCTTTCATATTCTTCTCGCATACGGGTAAATCTTGCTTGGACAGAAGTATCTTTTTCATAAATTGGATCTTTTGTACCAAAAGTATAATTTGTAAGGGGGTAACTGAAAATAACACGATCCAAATTAAAGAACCGCATAAAAAACGATCACTTTGTTATATAAAACAGCAAATCGTGAAAAATACTTTACAGGTTAATAGTCCTTTCTAAAGTAACCGAATTAGAGCTATGTAGCTTTTGCTTATCCATGGTTTGGGGCCAGCCCGTACCAGGTCCTGTCGTAGAACTTCTCCGAGAAGCCGTCGACGCCATTTTTTTTTAATGTCAATAATCCTACAAGTGGGAACTTCGAGTTTGTTTGGCGTTTAACACTGTACCATACCGGAAGTTAAGAATTAAGCTCTTTTTTTTGAATGTGTAATATTTTTTAATTATCAATTTGGTAAATAATTTATTGTTTATTTATTATTATTGTAAATTTACTATACATTAGGAAAAAACTCGTATACAACTTTTACGACTTTTTAAGTATTAAAGGATTTTTGAAACTGTTTATTGTATATAAGACTTTGGAATCGTTTTCTTTAAGGAAACAGCTTAGTGGGTTAGCTGTGTGAATCAAAAGTACTAAGTGAAGCTCTTATAAAATCAAAGTTTAAGTGAATCAAGTGCAGAAATATGACATCTATCTAAAAGAATGTCTTAGAATGTGACATGACTCTACAAATCATTGACAGGCATGAACATAATCCAACAATGTAAGAAATACCTCTGGCTGGTTGGCGAATTGGTACCTGAAATAAGACCCTTTTTACATCTATTTATATATAACAATTAAATAACAAAGAAAATCTCTAACCTGCATTGATATCATGTGTCCAATTCTTGCTAAAGTAAAAATTCTAAAATGTAAGCTTGCTGCTTGTTGACTCGGATCGGTCATTACGTAGAGTATACCAATCAGAAAAAAGGCATACATATTTTCCATGTCATTTCTATGGTTGCTGAATAACATTACGTATTTGAATACTCTCGATTAAAATAGCTTAGAAGGAAATTACTTTGTCACTCTCTCCAATCCTTTAATGTCGTAGTTTGTTTTAGATGTAGTTGCATCTGGTTTAGGGTTCTATCAAAGAAAATGTAAATCTAAAAAATTCACAATCTATTTATTATTAAAGTGAAACCTTTGTAAAATAGCGTCTATATAATGCCAAAAGAATCAGGGAAAACATTTTTGCTATATTGAAAGCTCCGTGCATTGCAAATTGAGCAAATATAGGATTTTCAAAAGTTAATAGATTAGACATATTTCCGCTCTTTCGGTTGAAACTTTTTAAAAACTATGCCTTTTCCAAAGAATTTTTGTTTAGGTACAGCTTCTAGAAGAAAAACGTGACTCATTAAAAATTACAATCATTTGTTTCTTATCTCGTTTGAATCAAAGAATTTTTATTTGTGCTTCCTGTGAATTACATTTAAAGTTGATCAGACTGCTGACTAACCGTAGCAATACACTGTCAAATGTATTATAACCTGATATGATTTTTAAAAATTATACATATAAGCTAATTATCGCAATGTTAAAATGCCAATTTTGTAGATATCGCATGGGATAGAAACAGATAGAAACGCTTCCGGTCCATTAAATTTCCGGTACTCGATTTATTTTACAAAGTAAGTGATTTATGAATACACTTGTTTTAATGTCATCTCTACCGTTATTTATACAAGTTTGTTTATAACATTTCATATTCCATTACATATTTCGCCAAAAAAATCAACTGTAAGAGGCGCCACTGTGAAAATTAATTCAGAATTAATGTAATCCATAGTACCTTATACAGTTTCTTTCTTCAGGTCAAGGTCATCGTCATTCTTATGTGGTGAACAAGTGTATTTAATCAACTTGGAACGATTTTATTTTCTCTTGAATTGAACTATAAAGTATTCTGATTTCCGAATAGCTTTTTAAAACAAGCTTTGACACTTTAATTCTATTGGAGTGACGGTATATTTATTAAATTTTTGTTTCCTTAATAATCGATGATTACTATATAAACCTATTTACGAATAGAATTGGTTGAAGACAATAGCGTGATATTTTGCAATTCTTCTTGCAAGAAAATTACACAGATCATTTCACATTCTGAGTGATCTGCCACAATGTACACTTCAACAATATCTCCAACGAACACAACGATTGAAGTTAGAAAAATTTTTCTTCAAACAGCTGCGGCACAAGGAATCGCTGGTGTATTCGCTTTTAGTGCCATACTTGTGACTGTTCATCAGGTACTTATATTTCCAAATATAAAATTGCTCTATATAAATACCAATTGCGAAGTGAGAGTTGAATTCAATTTAGTTCCCAGATAAAACGCTATGTATAAAATACTAATATCATCTTATTGAACATACGATAATTAATTTTATCTTGATATTAATTGATATAAATTCTTTAAAGAAAACAATGGAATACTATCAGTTAAAATTGATGTTAACTCTGCTACAGAGGGATATTTCCTCGCCGCGCCCAGCCTTTATATTTATTTTTCGTAAAAAGAGACTTATTCCAGCGTATATTTTAAAGATTATTTCCTTTTTTTGGAACCAATAAGTATCATCGTCAAACAAACTAATTTCTGTAAATACTTCTGATAGTGGTTTTTTGCTGAGTTTTCATAACGCTTCAATCAATTATGCTGTTGGCGTTTGACGAATCATTAATATTTAAATACATCTTATAGAGGATATTTAGTGTTTGTAAAAATACAGAATAAATCTGATACAGAGTATTATTCTTTTCTGGGATACGATTTCAATATAGATATCCCTCTCATAGGGATTAGTGATTCATTTTCTCAAACGTAATACGCCAGTAGGCTAAGGTTTTTGTTTATTCATACCTTTCTTAAAATGTCTCACTGGTTCAGATATATTGACTATTTGTCTAACATATATTCATGATAACAGATATATCTACATCTCCGTTACTACTCCTGCCCATCTGAACAAAGATGGATCGTTAGAATTCTCTTTATTGTGCCCATTTATGCTTTCGATTCCTGGCTAAGTCTCATGTTCTTTTCAAGGGAGAATTTTTACGTTTATTTTAGTAGTGTCCGAGATTGCTACGAAGCATTCGTAATCTATAACTTTTTAAGTTTATGCTATGAATATCTCGGAGGAGAAAGTGCGATCATGTCGGAAATAAGAGGAAAGCCCATTAAGTACGTTTATTTTCATATAATAAACAGTCGGTTATTTGCCTATGTTTCCGTAGATCCAGCTGGTCATATTGTACGTGCTGTTTGGCCGGAAGACAGTATACAATTGGATTTTTGAGATTCTGTAAGCAGGTAAAGTAAATTTTTCTTTTAATTTAAGCATTCAATACTACTTTTTTATTACATAATTTTTCCTCTTGATAATCGTTATATAAATATTTGAATTGCAGGCAACACTTCAATTCTGTATTGTTAAACCTGTAATGGCCTTGTTAACTATTATCTTACAAAGTTTCGGATATTATAGAGATGGAGATTTCAACGTAAAATGGGGCTATTTATATATTAGCATTATCTACAATTTTTCTGTCAGTTTATCTTTGTATGCTCTTTTCTTGTTCTATTTTGCCACAAAGGAGTTACTACAAAGTTATGATCCAGTCTTAAAATTTTTAGTAGTGAAGAGCGTCATTTTTCTTTCATTCTGGCAAGGTAAATATAATTAACATTTGTATTACATGTATGACTATGACAAACAGATATTGTTTATATTTGTCTTTTTTTAGGCTTCCTTCTAGCTATTCTTGAGAAAGCTGGAGTCATAAATCCCCTCTACCTTGAAGCCAATCATCGTCGATCGATACGGTCTGGTAGTGTTGCAGCTGGTTACCAGAACTTTATAATTTGTATTGAGATGTTGGGAGCTGCTATTGCTTTGAGATTCGCTTTTCCTCATAGCCTCTATGCACAAGAAGAGGTTGTTACGCATGGAAGAACTGTAAGTCTACAAAGTATATCTAGTAATTTAAAGGTAAGCTGATATTTATAAAATATTTTATTTTTTCTAAATTTTCACGAAACTTTACTAGGAAACAATGAATCCAAAGGATATGGTTAATGATGCAATTCACAATTTTCATCCTCAATATCAACAATATACACAACAGGGAGCTAATGCCCCAAAAGAAGATATGGAATATGAGAGAGATCAGCAATATCAACAGGTATAATATATATTGCATTTAAACGCGAAAAATATTTTTCATTTCTCCTCTACCTATAAAGCAGCGAGAGGAATCATCTTCCCAAGTGCCCTCTAATGGAACTGTATCAACTAATCAAACGAATGAACCACAAGGCAATTCTAATCCTGTTCCTACTGTTCGTCCTCCACTTTTACCTGGTGCCAGGAGATTTAATGAAAAAACCACTTTACTATCATCAGACGAGGAAATGCAGTAAAATATTATATTTTAGCTTTCATATTTTCTTGATTACAGTGACTGTTGCCTATGTGTTCTCTTTGAAAATCGCTGCTAAATACTAATTAAAATGACCAGTGTATAGCTCCGCTATCTCAAAGTGGTATATTCTTTTTGGAATGAAGTATGTTTATTTAATGTTTATGAAATATTATTTTGCGAAAACTCTGCTGTATTTCAACTCTAGTCTGATTAGCTACACAGAACTTAAACTTTGTGACTTAAATTTTTGTTGCTATATGTTCAAAATTTCAGACTTTTTATGTTGATATATGATATGTAAGACACTCTTTATTAAATTGGTCACTAATTTTAATTAGATGCAAAGAGGCATAAAGAGAGTTGTTAAATGTTCCCAAGTCTTCCGGCAATGACATATCTAATGTTTTTAAACCATATAGGTTTACTTTAAGCGTATTGATATTTATGAATAAAATTATCCGAATAGCTAAAATTGTTCTCTGTAAAAGATAACTTCCAATAACAAAATCGACCCACTTAAAATGTTTTCACAGTCGAACATTGACAGTATCAAACCCAGACCGGAAATTGAACGCATGATCATTCGATTTCTTACTTAACGCGCGCAACTTCCACACATAGAACGTTTTCGAAAATATGGTAAAAGCGAATAAATTTTTATAAATGGGTGAAATAAAAGACACAAACTTTTATAAGACGTTTTCATTAATAATTTAATTTAAAGAGTTTTTTTTATTTCTACCTCAATTCTGAAAAACATTTTAATTTTGAAATTGTATCTTTTTATCGCTCAAAGTCGAAAAGAAAAGGATTAAGCGCGGATGAAAAACAAAACAGAATGCTAGAATTTTTCCACGAAACAGTAAGCTTTACAAGGCTTGTTAATAAAAATAAAATCTTACTTCTATAGAAAGGATTCTTTCAACTGAAAGAACTTGAGAGACAGTGTGCGAAGGAAAAAGGTATTCCTAGTATGACTGTAAAAGCCGTTCTCCAAAATTTATGTGATGATGCGAAAGTGGATACGGAAAAGATTGGTACTAGCGTGTATTTTTGGTCGTATCCAAGTAAAGAATTCATGCAACTAAAGAAAACAATTGATAAATTGGATGTCGAAATGAGCGAAAGGGCACAAAGAATTTCTGAGAAAGATAAAGAATTAGCACAAATTTCAGTTGGAAAAGATGATACAGTTACGTAGAATCTTCGAAAAGTATCTTCTATATAGTTTCTTGTTAATTTTCAGGAAGAACGAGCTGAACTTTTAAAACAGATTGCAGTTTTGGAAAAAAACTTAGAAGAAGCAAGAAATTCTCTCAAAACTTTATCGGCTTGTGATCCAATGGTAATGTTATTCAATTGTAAAAACTTTTTATTATCAATAGTTTTCTTAAAGTTCTTTGAAGAACTCAAACTCTCTAAGGAAACCGGTAAAGTGGCAGTTAACCGATGGACCGATAATATTTTCGCTTTAAGAGCATATATAAATAGTCGATTTCATATTCCTGAAGAAACTATAAACGGACAATTCGGCATTTCTAACGATATAGACTACGTTTAATGAAATTGTTGAATTGAAAATAATACATAAATAGATGATAAGTTGTTTCTATAATAAACTTTTAAACAAAATACTGCGAGTTTAATATTCTAAAAAAATTAGAACTTAAAAAATATATATTGGTTATGAATTAAAATAAACCGGTATAGCCGGCGAAAAATATCATTAAACTTTCGTATAAGAATGGATCAAGCGCCTGAGAAAACAGAAGCAGTGGTAAGTGTTTATACACCTTCCAGGAATCAGTTTTAAAAAATTTCTAATTTGTCGTATATGAATAGTCTGCGTTTTTTAAACTATTGAATATGTCTAACTTGCAAAAAATTGTAAACTAAAGAGCGATAATCGAGTATTTCTTCTAGATTGCCGACCCCGTGTTGGCGCAATTTGGATCAGCAGCGTCTTGGTCCTATGGGAACGAATTAATCGTCTTTGGTTCTAAATCAAGAGACGACTTGATTGACGATGGTACTAATAGAAGTACGGTGTCTCCTAAGCTGCATGCAGTAAAGTGGAATACAGATATCTATGCTACAAACTTAAGAAAAATTCTAAATGAATCGCATGGTAATGGCGTTTCAGTATATTTATAAAATCTATTAATTGAAAATTTTATAGGTACCTTTCTTGAAGCCCAAGAGATGGCGAAAGACAAGCAAACAGACACGACAGCGTAATTTTTCATGTAAACTTATAATGTTAAATTTAAATTGCATTCCCTAGCAGATATCTTAAGATAAGTCGGGGATATCGATCTATTTTAAAGGCAAACATTGAATGCATTAGGGATGATTTAGAAAATAGTGAGTATTATAAACTTAACAACTCCCAGAGAGATCATGTATCTTTTTAAGCACCAGCTATGGAAAATGAATCACAAGATTTACGAAAGACTCTTGAATCTGAGCTACAAATGATTGAAATAATAGAATTAATATGGCATTTAACAGAAATTTTGTATTTGCAATCATCAACCAGTGATTGTATAGTTCCTGTCTATCAAAATTGGATATGGTCGCATTTTCAAGAGCCTTTGACATGGACTCAACATATACTGCAACAACCTATCCCAGAAAAAGATGCCCGCTATTGGGATACTGTAAGATCAATCATAATTTTGAAACTAGTTTGATAGCATTTTTCTATGTCAACAAGGTTTATGGATTAGTTCTTCAGGGCCGTACACAGCTTGTTTTTCGATTATTGTCATCACATTCACATGCAAATAATTACGCTTTTAAAACCATACTTCATTTAATTTCAATTATGCCTGAGGTCTGTCGTTTTTTTATATTTAAATACTTAAATTTTATATATATTGTTCCCAAAAAAAAACAGTTCTCCAAAAGCCGCACTCCAGGAGAATTTGACAGTGAATGGAGAATGTGGAAAACACAATTATCAAATCTAATTTCTCAAGGCCAATTATCATCTTGTAAAAATGTTGAGCTATTAGCGAAGGTCTTAATTACTATTCTGTCCTGATTATAAAATATATTACTAAGTAATTAATGTTCTAGTTATTGATCGGTGACGAAGAAACATTGAGGACTCACTCAGAGCTATGCGACACGTGGTACGGTTATTTATTAGCAGTATTGCTGTACAAGCGTCCTACTGCTAAATTAATTGAACTACAAAATTTTACTCAAGAGTGCATTGATACTTTTGGCGGAGAAACTCAGCTGGAAAATTGGGATTTTATACTATTGGCAGCTATAGACTTAGATCTATTAAAAACAATAAAACTATGTAGTTCTAGTTTTTCTAATTGGTGGTTCCCGGCTCATCTAACTGATTTGCTATTCCATACGGGCAGATTAGACAATGAAAAGATGAAGTACGGGGAACGCTTAAGAGAATTCTTACTTTTAGATTATGCTTCAAGTCTTTTCAGCCATGAAAGGTGATAGTTAATAAATATTGGATACACAAATTGATAACATTTCTTTGCTTCTCAGTTTATGGCAAGTTGGTGTAGCATATTTGGATGAATGCAAAGTTTATGGAAAAAGATATTTACAGCGACTTCTTGAAAATATTCCCATTCAATCAGAGTATAAAGCGCGAAAAGTTCTCAGAGTTTGTCAAGATAAAGGAATAACAGACTCATGTAAGTTCTATATTTCTGAAAAAATTTTCTACAATTAACGTATTTTCAGACCAAGTTATTTGCCGTATAATGAGTACAAAGTCTCTGAAATCTCAAAGATATAGTAATGCTTTAAATTGGGCTTTGCTCTGTAATGACGGAAAATTGTCTGCTTTAATATCTGACCAGTAAGTAGCTCTATTTGACAGTCTTTTTTCGGTAATGAGGAAATTATATTTAATGTAATAGAATAATGAGAGAATACGAGAAGACAGGAAAATTTACAGCCAAAGATGTTTTGAGTAATTTGGGTAAAAGAATGCTATTATGTCCTGAATTAACATTTTTGGGAAAATACTACGAATTTCACGAACTGTACTCAAATAAGCAATTTGGAGAGTGCATTTCACTTATTGTTCAATTACTATCGTCTAATATTGCACCCAGAAAGTAAGTTTCATTCAGTATTAATGAATAATCAAACAGCATGAAATATTAATAAATCTTATTTATCTAGATACTGGTTTACTTTGATGAAAGATATTGGGCCGGTATTGAAAGAAACTCATGTTCAGTCAACAATTTTTGAAGCTAAGCAACTAGTTCATTTTGCAGCAGAATTAAGAATTGACTTTCAATTACAAAAAGAAAGCTTTGACTACAAACGTTCTGGTTTAGCGGCAAGAGATATTCGGGTAAGTTAATTCAAAAAACTAAATAATTTATTAGATCAAACAACATGTGAATTATTCATACAGACATTAAAAGAAACACAGAAAACGGTTTTGGAAACTTTAAATACCTTAATTTCAGAATATAACGTTCGATGCGTCGAATCAGTAAAAGAAAATACTGATGATATGGACATGTAAATTATTCTTTTTAAAATTTTGATTCTCATTGTCTGTATATTATTCGTGAAACATTCTCTCGTTAAGGTTTTTACAAATAGACCAAAATAAATCAAAAGTATAAGTAAACATTTTATATTTCAAATTTTTAAAAATAGTTTAAAACTAAAAAATATGAATAGTTTAAAAATTGGAAATCATTTTTCAAATATTAATAAATTAAAGACCATCAATTTTAAATAGATATAGATATTAGTTATGAATCAAGCTTTCCAAATTATATTCATTATATTACCTTTATATTCAACACCAGCAAGTCCTGCCTCTACTATTGCAGTATATTATACTCTATTTATCCTACTGAAACGTTGTCTTTTACCGAAACATCAATCTATACGCGAAAAGTGCTTTAATAGTCTAGTTTATATAATAGTCGCAGGAGTTTTAATAAATATGTTATGGGTATATCCAACACTCTGGATCTATCATTTTTTATTAAAGTGGAAGTTTGGTCATTGGATAGCTGCATTAACAAATACTTTTTCTGCCATTTTGTTATTACTTCTATACTTACCAAAACAGAATATATGGAAAAGGAGAATGATGCAAAGTGCAAAATTAAATAATTATGACAAGCCGATAATTCGAAAAAAGCGAAGCCGAGTAAACCAATACGAAGTATTGGTCAGAGAAGCAGGACTTTTCATACAAAATTGCGATGGAAAAAGGAATAGTAAAACCGATTTAGAGTCAAGCAAATAAATAGAAATATTTTGCAGTAATGGCATAGAATACAAAACAATAAATATCGATATACAGTAGATTAGTTAATAATTCAAGAGGCTAAATGAACATTTTTTATTAATGATTTCAAAGAAATTTATAGTTATATATGAATTTATTTTATTTTATCTTTTATTTTCATTGCATACTCTAAGAGTTCTTCTTCTCCGTATAAATATCTGCTTTCTTTCCACTTCTCTTTCAATTGTATTAAAATTTTACCCAATGTTGGTCCACTCTTTACTCCTCTTTCCAATAATTTATGGCCTAGATTCGGGAATTTTGGTGGAGTCCAATCACTAAACGATTTTAGAGTTTCTGAATCTCCCATATATTTTAATAGTTCCTTTACTCTTTCAACTGTGGGCTTTGTTTCTTTCTTTGGAACTTCCAAATATATAGAATCCTGGCACCAAGTCAGACGATTTTCATCAGGGAGAAGTGTTCGATATTTTATAATGAACCTAATAAGACCTAGCTCCTCGTTTGACATTTTCAGACGATTTTTCGCTTCAGCAGCATCTTCTTCGTCGGATAATAAGGCGGAGTAAAGAGTGATGGGAGACGGCTTGAGATCTTTAGACCTTTCGTAGACGATGTCCAATTCCTTTAGATTTCCGTTTTGTGGAAATCCTAATTAGAAAGAGAGAGAATAAATTATGTCACAATATAAGAATTTGACAGCCTCAAAACTCATTGTAATAATGCTATTTATATAAATGTTGTTAATTAAAAACTCCCTTACCAGTGTGTGTTGAAACTCCCGTGTCGTATATGACTTTAACTAGACTTGTTGCGTATTTTCCATCGAGAATTTTTTTTAGTTCTACCCATATTCTTTCACCTGAAATATTAGACAGACCGCTTACATTCTCTTTAATTGCCATTAGAGTCTCTGCTTCATGATTATTCTCAACTTCAGAAATTCTTCCATAAAATCGGAAATATCTCAATATTCTTAAATAATCTTCTCTGATTCTTTCACCTGCATCTCCGACAAATCTTACTTTCTTTTCTCGAAGGTCGTTTATTCCATTATAATAGTCGTAAACAGTCCCATCAAAGCCTAGAAATAGCTGGTTAATAGTCAAATCCCTCCTTAATGCATCTAATTGCCAATCTGTTGTAAATTGTACTTCAGCATGTCGTCCATCAGTTTCAACGTCGATTCTTAGTGTTGTTACTTCGAAATTTTCTTCATCAATTCTACACGTAATTGTACCATGTTTTTCTCCCTTAAGATTGATCATTCGTATATCCTCAGCCTTGAGAAATTCCTTCATCTGATCAGGTGTTGCTGTTGTTGCAAAATCTATATCATGTGGACTCATATTCAGTAATAGGTCACGAACAGCACCACCAGCAATTCGTAGTTCATAATTGTGTTTTTTGAATATATCAATGAGTCTACTAAGTTGTGGTGTAAAGATATCTTGGAATAGAGAGGTTTCCAATTTTTGTGTTACCAGATTTGCTTTATAATTCATTGCCCACTTATATATTTTACCTGCTTGACTGTTGTTAGAGCTAAAGAATACTCTACTTAAGTAGCGAAGGTGATTCAATTTCATATCATTGCATTATATTGGCAAAGAGAAATTCTGACGATAATTGAGCAATCTACTCTATCGTATATAACACGATATTCGATTATTTATTTCGATATCGATTAAATCTTTAAAATAGAATATTAACCAATTGTTGCGAACTTTTTAAGTAATCAAGTAACTAATACTTAAACTATCAAGCCGTAATGGATGGAAAAAACTAAATAGTATATTGGAGGACTCTTAAGTAGTACGTCTCTGTTATCGCTTCTGACGATGTATCGATATTGAAGTGGAAGCGGAAACTCTTTTCTTACCTACCGCCTATATCGACCATTACCCACGTGCAAAAACTTTAAATCATCCCAAATATAGTTTATTTTCTTACTTTCAACTCTCTTAGATTGAAGATTGTAGAGTAATGGCTAGTAGTGAAACTGAACAAGAACGAATAAAAGAAGGTCTTGCCGAAGTTTTCACGACATCATCTACTTTTTATAATCCAGTTCAACAATTCAATCGTGATACAACTGTAACTGTGATAAATGGATATATAAAAAATCAGAAAGGTTCTAAAATACGTGTATTGGAAGCTTTGGCAGCATCCGGATTAAGATCAATACGGTTTGCTAAAGAGATTCCAGGAATTTCAGAGATTGTGTGTAATGACTTCAGTACAGAAGCGGTTGAGTGTATTAAAAAAAATATAGAATTAAATGGTGTTCAAGATATTGTAAAACCCAATTGTGAAGATGCTATGCTACTCATGCAAAAATGCAAAAAAAGAGAATTGCAATTTGATATAGTGGATTTAGATCCATACGGATGCGCTGGTCCTTTTCTCGATGGAGCAGTTCAATGTATTAAAAACGGAGGCCTATTAGCAGTTACATGTACGGATTTGGCTATTTTATGTGGTAATGCTTTCGAGAGTTGTCATGCAAAGTACGGATCAGTTTCACTGAAATCGAAAGCTTGTCATGAACTAGCTCTTAGAATTGTATTAAGATCTATTGAATCGGCTGCGAATCGTTATGGGCGTTACATTGAACCTTTAATCAGTATATCAGTGGATTTTTATGTTAGAATATTTGTTAAAGTTCACTACGGAATGCAACAAGCTAAAAAAAGCGTTTGTAAACTATCTATGATATATCAGTGTTCTGGTTGTTCGTCTTTACATTTTCAACCTATGGCCACTCCGAAAACTGAGCATACATTTGCTTTTGCTAGAGGTCCACCTGTTGGGGAAACTTGTACCTTCTGTCTACATAAATTTCATTTAGGCGGTCCTATATGGTCTGATAGAATTCATAATTTAGACTTCATAAATCAACTTCTAGTTGACTTGGCAGATCTTAAGAATCTTGGAACGAAAGAACGTATTCAAGGCATCTTCACTGTAATTAAAGAGGAGCTGCAAGATGTTCCTTTATATTATGTGTTAGATTCACTAGCTTCGACTATAAGATGTTCAGCTCCATCACAAAATGCTTTCCGATCGGCCATTTTAAATGCTGGTTATAAAGTTTCTTATTCTCACGCTGAAAAAAACTCTGTTAAGACAAATGCACCTATGTCCTTGTTGTGGGACATTTTTCGTTCATGGGTGAAAAAAAATCCAATTAGCGATAGACATTTGACAGATGGAAGTGTTGTGAAAGAGATCCTATCTAAGGAACCTCAAACTACTATAGAATTTGATTTTCACGATCAAGCCATCCCCGATTCAAAAAAGAAAGGGCTCCTCAGGTGGCAAAAAAACCCCCAACCCGAATGGGGACCCAAAACACGAGCAAAAAAAACGAATGAAACCCAAGCAGAGAAACGGGAGAGGAATCAAGGAAAACGAAAAAAAAGAAAATTGGAACAGTCGTGAAAATTCAACCGATAAGAAATTCAAATTGACCAAAATATTAGTATTTAATTAGTTATATTGAAAGAAAATTTTGCTATTAATTATTTATAAGATCAAGATTTAATTAAACGTATATATACACAACTAGCAACTGACTGTACAATATTTTAAGATTAAACCCTAATTTTAAATTTGATATATTAGTATACTATGTTGTATACTATAAATCGCGTATATAATCTATACGGTTACGTAGGAAGAGAGCAAAAAATTAGTAAATATTTAATAAAGTCAAGTTAAATGGATTCGCCATGATCAGGTGCTAAGTGATTATTGCTGGGACTAGGCTTGGAGCTCTTTGGTGACCTAGGAAACGTTGGTGATGGCTGAACAGAAGGAGCTTTTCCGGATCGTTGAACCTGAATGCCGAAAATAGAAGCGACATTTTCCGGTAAAGCCTCATATGAACAGAGTTGTAGATAAATCGCTTCAGCTTCTTTTAACATAGGTTCGAGCTCAATCTTATATGACATATCGTTAATATGCCGTAAGATTTCCGTAAATCCAAATCTGGAATTAATTATTGTCTGCTTCGCATCTAACAGGACGGCTACGCACAGGAGCAATTGGAAATTAGGACATGGATTCATTGTCCAATATACTTCCCACAATCGCATGATTTCAGGAAATTTGAATTCTCTTTTAAATATGATTAAAAGCCATCGAAAACAGAAATACATATTACAGGAGTCATGTTGCACTGTAAAAATCCATAAACTTTGTATAAGAACTGGATACAAGAGTTACTTTATACTTACTTAAATATCTGTAAAATTCTGGATCGTAAAATTTGATCAATGTTTGTAACTGCAATAACTGGTTTCTCATTCCTGCTTGGTCTTTGTCAAAGTTATGTTGCTGCGTAATTGAACATTTTTATCAACATTATTATTCTCATGAGCTTTTGATTCTATGTAAAGATACTTACAACAATTTCCATAAAACCGGCAAAGCTCCAAAACGCATCTACTTCATTTTCCATCAGAGCTAATATTGGTGCGAGTAAGTCACTCATTCCCTGAACGTAACTTAGGTCGAAGTTATACATGACATACGTCATAAGTACGTCATAAAGCACGTCAACATTTTTCTTCTCTACATAATATTCATGAGTTCTATCCGTTCTGTTTACGTCTTTATCTATATTTTGTACATGGATTACATAAAAATAATTGTAATATTCCTAAAATATCAGGTTCTTTACCGATTAAGTTCTTCATATCCCTGATCTGGGAAAATCTTGTCTCTTGCTCTTTGCTTATTGATTTCCATTGTAGTTTCATACGGAAATAGTCGTCACTTTGTTATTTTAGATAAAACTTTAAAACGTAAATAATTAATGTATTACGATTACTCTTACACTTTAGCTTTTCTTTGATCAGATCTTGATTTGTAGTTTGAATCCCAACTATAATAGCCCAACAAAAATTTCCATACCTCTTTCCTAATCGAATGATCTACGCCCTTAAAAAATTTACATACATTTAACTATATATTGACTTTTTGCTTAGAGTATTTACCCCTCTGAAAATTATATCTTTCAGATTTTCAGGGTCTTTAACACGTCCTTCAGTATCCATAAGCTTCGACCACTGTTCTGGATTTAATGGACTTTTTCTTTGAATAGGAAGTTTATCCGCTAAATCAGGAGGCTATAAGTAAACATGAACTTTAGCTAACTCTAATAAAAGTCCCAATTCAATAAAACAAATTACTTTGTATACTCCGGTTGATACGACAGCAAATCCATTTTGATCAAAATCATCCTCAATAGAGACATACATTTCTTCATTCTGGTTAACTATATCTTCCATATTTCCTACACTATTCGAATTAGGAGAAAGAAATTTTTCGATAGTGTCCTTCACTCTACTAATTTTAGCAAAGCCTTGTGTGATTCCCTACAAGCCGTACATTGTAGTTATTTAATGTGGGAAAAGTAATGATTAATGAAAAATCATACCTGAATTGAGGAACGCTGATCAGACATAACGTCCAATTCTTCGAGAGACTTATATAGCGCTTTACTGTTATCTTTAACAATAAATAAGGTTTGATCTTTTTGTTCGTAGCTGATGTGCTGTTTCATAGCCGATAAAAAATCACTTGTTCCTCCTCGATGAAAATGTAATGCAGGGTAAGTCGTTCCACAATTAAGAATAAATATTAAGAAAGGTATCCCACTAGTCGGTTTTGACTTTTTAAATGATCGTAAATCTTGAATATTAAAATTAATAATATGGCTATGTGGAATAGGTAAATGCCCTTTGTTTGTAGCAGACGTTCCATTAGATTGTTGACTTTGCCCTGAAGTTTAGTTACAGAAGATCAATTATATTTTTAAATACTAAAACAAGAAATTTCAACCTTGATTATTTCTTTGGACGCCAACTACCTCCCATTCGTCATGCTTCTCTTTAGGTTGATAGGGTTGCCACTCGATAAACACACCATGTGACTAATAATTTTTTGGTATATTTGTTTAATTTACGTTTAGGTTTGTCTAACAAATTGTAACTTACATTTTTGAAAATTACTAATTTTCCGTCGCTTACTGACTCTGAATCATTATTTTGCCTGACATGTGTCCTAATGAAGACGCTTGGAGTTTGGTGTAGAATCTGAATTTGTAAGTTTAAAAATAATTTTTTTCATGATTAATAATCGTAACATCTTTAAATTTTTATTCGATACTAGTTGGTTTGGGAAATTAGCGAATTTAACAAAAATTAAACGTAATAATAGGTAAGAAACTACAAACCTTCTTTTCCATTATTGTTTTTCTACGTCATTTGCAGAGAAACCTCAGCCCGGTGGGATTCCGGAAACGAGCCTCGTTTTGGTTTCAGTCGCACACAAAATATTCATTGAAAAAATTCTCGTTTTTGTCGAAATTTTATGTTTATTCAAATATAAAATTTAATTTGAAACTTGTGGCCAGAACGATTAGATTTTACTTTTAATGCGAAGTAGGTATATATTTAAGAAATGTTTGTTAAACTGTTGATTTTCCCATTATTTTGAACAAAACATCACTAGTCAGGCAAGAAAAATATCACTGACCATGTTTTATTTGACTTCTAAGAAAAAATATCACAAAATACCAAAGAGCTGGTATTTAATTGTTCATTTGACTATTAACAAATACTTTTCTAAAATTGATAACAGAAATTCAACCAATAAAAAGGATTGTATGAGAACAGAAAAAGTTTAACTACAGACGAATGGTTTTATCGAACTAGATATGTTGAAGCATTCCTTGATTTTACTGAAAACACCGAAACGACCAATTTCAAACGTTTTATTACGAAATCTAGAAGTAAATATAAGAAAAAACGTTTCTGCAAATGATCCTTACTTGCATTGGAAAAATAAAACAAGATTCTTTAGTACGAGTAGCGCAAATGGTGAAGATGACAGTGAAGCAGGTAAAGTTGTCCGTAAAGTTCTCGAAGAACAAAGAACAAACGAGAATATTGCAAAAAACTCTGGGAACATTATAGACAAAACAAAGACTTTACTTCAAGGTTAAACTAAATAATACTTATTTTTTAAAAGACGAGAGTAATCATAGAATTCTATCTAATAGGAGATCAAACAAAAAGTGAAAATCCAGATCTTATCCAAAATAGCAGAACATTACTAAAAGGTTTGTTTAATCCAAGAATGAACGTCTAGCTATATTTTATCATGGGTGTTCATTTATTACCATCAGTGGTTCCAAGAAAACGAGAAAAGACAGATTTTTCTAAACCTCACACTGATAATATCTTTATAACACCAAGTAGAGCCTTGAATGAATATTCACTCGATTTCCGGTTTGTTTTTGTATAGTTGTTTGCCTTGAAATTTTCGTTTAAAGGTATTTCCAAGAAGCATTAATCATAATATAATTTGCAAAATTGTTGCAGAGAATTAACCTCTCTTACAAAGTATACAAGAAGAAGCCCTTATCCGGAAAGAGATGATATTACTGTCTATCTTAGAGGAGAGGTAGAAAAGAAGTAAATGAGAATTTTTTATGATCTTCCAAGATGTTTATAAGTGTACTTATATGTATATTTTTTCTTTTTTGATCTTTTTGATTAGAGCTATTGAGAAATTTGGTTCCTTTGAAGCTTTGCAGCAGCATAGAAATCGAAGAAAAGTTATGGAGAATATTGAACGAAATACTTTTCTATGTAAGTTTTTAATTGATGAAATTGAGTCAAAACCTTATATTTATAACGAACGCATCTCTTAAAAAGCTGAGGCTGATATTCGTCAGGCTATTGAAGATTATAATAAGCAACATGAAGATAGAACAATTGACTCTGACAATTCAAAGATCAGCGAGGAAAAGCCATATATTTTCAAGCCGCAAATAGTATATTATCAAATGAGATTTATCGTAAAAAATTTAACCCTAAATCCTTTCAGAAAGATCCTAATTTGCGTGCCAGCATTTTCAAAATAGGTCCAGGTAAAGTCATTCTATATGCTGTAGCCATGTAAGCAATTAAAATATTTTACCGTTTTCTCCATTAAACTAATATATATATATATATATAAATGTATTTAGAAACGGAGCCAACTGTCTCATGAAATTGATAGCGTGGTTGTATACAGGATCTCACAGTATGTTTTCAGAATTTATTCATTCATTGGCCGATTGTCTTAATCAGGTTAATTCATTTTATTTAAATAAAAGCTATTCATTGTTTTTCTGTCCAAAAGAAAGGAACCTATATACTTAAATACTTTTTAGATAATCTTGGCCGTGGGACTTCATCAGTCACTCAAACAACCAGATACACATCACCCGTAGTTTATCTTATTTTTTCGCAACATTGGCTTCTTTTATATATAAAATTTACTTTTTTAAGATACGGCTGGAGTAATTTCCGAAATGTTTCATCACTAATAAGTGGAGTGGGTATATTTTGTTTAGGAGCTGGCTTATCATGGTATCACGGAATCTTAGGTTTGCTTAATACCCAGCCGATAGATTCTTTGTTCTGGGTATTTATTCAATATTTTCCACTTTCAAATGTTTAATCTTGCTTCACTTCCTAGGCAATCGCTATTTTAGGAGGTTCGTTTGTTTCTGAAGGTGCAACACTTTTAATTGCTATAAATCAAATTAGGCAAAGTGCCAAAGCTCAAGGAATTGATTTTTCAACTTACGGTATTAGAGATTTTTTAACAAGTTAGAATATTCTCTTAAAATAAATCAATGATTTCTTTTTTAGTTTGGCAAGGGTATGATCCAAGCACTAATGTGGTTTTGCTGGAAGACGCTGCCGCTGTTCTTGGAGTATCATTGGCAGCTTCTTGCATGGCTATTACCCACATGACAGGTAAATAACCTAAGTCAAGGCTGATTCTTAATTAAAAAACTAATTACTACTTCATTCTTTTTTGAAGGCAGTCATATAGCAGATGCTGCTGGTTCGCTTTTAATAGGAACTTTACTGTCAGGTGTTGCGTCTTTTATAATTTACACTAATTCGGTAGCTCTGGTAGGCCGTTCTATACCAACTGAGAAGAAATTACAAATTACCGAAGAATTAGAAAAAGATCGCATGATACGCTGCTTACATGATGTGAAGGCAACAAGTATGGGAAGCAGCTTTGTGAGATTTAAGGCGGAAGTTGACTTTGATGGGCGAGAATTAACAAGGTTCTTGATATGTTCTATATATAGTTTATTGATAATGAAAAGATGTTCAAGATTTGACATTCCATTTTTTACTTCATAGAAAATATTTGGAAAGTATCGACGTTGAAAAACTAACCGAAGAAGTAAACGAATTAAAAAGCGTTGAAGATGTTGAACAGTTCTTACTCAAGCATGGAGAGAATATTATAGATACAATGGGAAGCGAAGTTGACAGAATAGAAAAGAAATTAAAGAAAAAACACCCCGAAGTCAGACATGTCGATTTAGAAACTTTATAAGAAAATGACTTAAACAACCTGTTTAATTATATATAGAAATTTTAAAGTATAAAAGAGTATAATAAAAGTATTAAAACACAGTTAAAGAGTTAAACATAGTTTTAAGTTAAATTATATTCATATTTTTCCTTGTTATTTTCAAAGATTTACAAATAATATAAAATGAAATGAAATTAACGTATTTCATTAACCATGGTGTATAAAATGGCAAAAATACGGCAACATTTCACACGAAACCGAATCATTTAGATATTACGTAGATATTTTTATTTTTAAGTCTGAAATTTTAGGTTAATGTAAAACATTTAAAAAAATTCTACAAAAAATAGTAAACGGCGTTTTTGATGAAGATAGAAAATGATAGGAACTATTTGGAAATCACATACCAGGAGTTTTTCCGCCAAGTACATCTATAAGATGTTCGTTATAGTTTCTGAGCATGCCATCAACTCTTTTTGAGACTGGCCTTATATCAGTTTCATGGCTTTTGGACGCTATAAACTCTTTAACGACAAAGTTGTTTTGCTCTAAATGTTGCCACTTTCTTTCCAAGTTAAGGAGCTGAATATGGGTTTCATTATCATTCAACTGAGTCCTCAAACCATCATAATCGCTTGACACATACACTAAAGCTCGTCGGAGGCTTTCACGACGTTTATATAAATTAATTTTGTCTTCTCCCAGTTGAAGTTTTCGCTCTTCTGCTTCGCGTTTTAGGCGATCTAAGTCCTGATAGATTGTCAAATCATCATCCATACGAGATATTTGTTCTTTTAAATTTGCCAATTCAGAAGTAATTTTGTGCTCTAATGTCTCAACCTTTTCCAAATCTTCTTGTAATTTCTGGCTCTCCATGGCTAGGCTTGAAGCGGTTGTTTTTGACTTTTTCATTTCGTCTTCCTTCAGACCTAAGTCTTCTCTCATAGCAGTCAATTCTTGAGTACTTGGTACGTGACCTACCGCTTGCATATCTCCAGACATAGAATTTAGTATAGTTACAACATTCTGTTCAAGCATGCCAATCCTATCGAATTCTTGTTGTTTGGTGTCTTCAAAAGAAGATAAGAATTCATTCATTGTTTCTTCTCTTTTCTTTAACTCCCTGTATTTTTGGCTTTTTGCTCCCTGATTCTCTTCCAAATCTTGATCAAGTTGCTGTATTTCGCTCTGAATGTTGCTTATGCGATCTCTTAAATCGAGTGTTTGTCTTTCCATAGCAGCAATTTCCTGGTTATCTTCTTTAACTTGTTTTAACAATTTTTCTCTTTCCTCTTGGGGTGACAAACGACTTGAGGTCTCAGTTATCAACTGATCTCTCTTTTCCTCTAGATCGTGAAGTTGCTCATATAATCTTACAGCTTCTTGTTTGACAGGAGAACTTGTCAATTCCTCATCTAATTCCTTACGTTTTAGAGACAATTGATCCAAGTCTCTTTGGCTTAACTCAAGCTGTCTTATGAGATGCTCATTAATTTCTTTGGATCTTATATATTTTTGTTTCATATTTGGTGGCATATCGGCTACCATGTTGTCAGCCATACTTTTTTCTTGTCGTAGTTCCAGTTCAAGAGCGGAAATTTGTTCTTGCTTCTTTTGTTTTTGTTCGAACAATGCATCTAGCACTTTACCCTCTCGTTCGTTTCCCGCCTTGATATCTTCGTAATCAATCTGAATATCATTTATTGATTCTTCTGTATTTAATTTATCTACTAATGTATTATAGTCTCCTAATTCTCGTTGACATTCTTTAATCTCTGCGGCTAAATTTTCAGCCCTTTTCTCATAGGTTACATAAGTTGACTGGTCCTCAACTGTCTTATCAGCCTCCCTTTGTAAATTTGATATTTCGCTGGATAGTTCCTGATTTTTTGTTCTCAGTAGGCCAAGAAAATACGTTCTATCTTTAACCAGGCGTTGATTTCTTCGAGGTCCTACAGCGGTCTTCATTCCACCAAGACCTTGCTTTGTCATTGGTCTATCTGCAACTCTCACCTGAGAACTTAATGCAACACCTCCCCCAGATTCCTGTCCTCCTCCTCCTCTAGCAGTTCCAGGAGCCTTTAAGAAACAATATGAAGAACAATTATATATGCTTATATTTAAAGAGAAGACTATAGAAAAATGAAGATAGATAGTATACCATTCCAGTTGTCAGCCTTGTGGCAGTTCCGGGAGCACGACCTGCTCCTCTACTAGCTGGTCTGCCTGATGATGATGGAGGAATATTCCTATGTATAAATAAATCATTAATTTTTAAAAGCCAAGTCTATAGATGATTTCAAACTGATTAAAAATAAGGTAATCGAATAAGAATATTAAATTTAATCGTTTTCTTTTAATAGAAGTGCTATATATCAACTTACATTATTTTTTTGAAAGAACGAAATTCGAACCGGAAATTCCAATGTTGCCAGAAAACAGTTTAACTTGTATCTAGGTTTAACTAAAACTCGGCCGTAATAAGACAAATGTTATAGCGTAAAATTTTAGTGCTACCCTCTAAAGAGGGTCAAGGTCAACCACAGCTAACTTCCGTTCATTATGCAACCTAAGCATAAAAGTTCACTCTAGAATTTAAAAGGAAATGTAGAAAGTCAACAAAAACAAAGCAAATATCTATTTTTACAACCAATTGTCAATTAATTAACAAAATATTTACTTCAATATAATAATAGAAAAAAGGGAAATCTCATAAACAAGTTATTTATTACGTAGAAAACATCTATGAAAGGAAAGATGGCTTTAATGAGATTGTAAAAATAGTACTCATATAGATTAATATAGTTAATCTGAAGTATTTAAAATATGTCATAAAATTAAAAAGTCATTGAAATATTAAAATCACACAAATCAGAAAGTGAATAGTTTCGAATAAATTAACTCAATTAACGAAATAAACTAAATAATATTATTCATAAAAAATTGTTTACAACTTTGTTTGATAACAAAATATATAGTTATAAAAGAAGTGTAGCATTAATTCATGAATGTCACGTATCGTATCCGCTTTATTTTAGTTATTAAAAGAAAATGTTTCTTTCATACAAAATGAAAAAAAAAACAGCTCATTTATTCCCAAGTTAAATATAAACTTAGTATTTTCAAAGCGATTATATTGGAAAAATTAGATGCAAATATGATACTTTTACAAAATGTCATAGAAAATATTCTTTATGGAAAAATTCGAGAAAAGAATTACTGTTTCCTTTTAAGGATCATCTTGCATATCAGATAAAACTGACTTTTTTAAAATAAGGTCTTTTTTTATTTTAGAAGACGATTTACTTTTCTGTTGAGATAATATCGATCTTTATATATATATATATATGAGTTTTGCATTTCTTCAAATATTTAAATTGATTGACAAGGACCATTGAAGGGTATAACCTGGACTTTTTGCATAGAACTCAATGAGTCTGACTTTCTTTTATGAAATCATTGGCTCACTGACACTTTGACAAAATCTATTAATGCAAGCAAGCAAGTCTCAATACTTAAAGCTTGCATTTCCGGTTAATATCTAATTCCAAAGCCGAGTATGGCCTTTTATTCAACACCAGATGTCAGCGCTATATCCTTTTATTCAATTCAACTGTTTAATATAGTATAAATCTTAATAAATTCTATGATACGGGACTCGCCTTAAAGAGTAAAATTTGTAATTGTTTAAAATAAAAAATGGAATTAAACGGTAAAAACAGGCTCTCGTCTAATATGACTGACATAAGGACGGATGCTCTTGCCAAGTCAACGGCTGGTCTTGGTGTTAGTGAGGCACAATTAGAGAGGGAAAGGATGGCTATGAATGAAAAAAACACTGCATACAGGCCAAACTTTTTTAATGATGAAGAGAGTAGAAATGTCCTTAAATCTATTAGCAGAACATTCAAGAAGTTTGAATTAGCTAAAAGATTAATAATGGTAAATATAGACAGTGTTAATAACTAATAATATTTATATTTAATTAAAAATAACTTCGTACAGAGTGAAGGAGAAAGAATGAAAAGATATGCAAATGATCGGTTACTTTTATCCTCAGATATTTGCACATATTCCAAGATTTTAGATGGACTGATAATGAAGGAAGAAAATTTACTAGACAAGCAGGGCTTGTCCTTCGATTACATAGAATTTTTAGATGAAATGGGAAAGGATCAAATACATAATCCAATGATGCAAGGCAGAATGTTTATAACAAACTTCCGTTTTATACTAATTACTTGCGAGCAATTAAAAGGTGCTTGATTTGTTTTAATACCATATGAAGTAAATCTGTCTTAAGGTAATTTGTATTTATGTTAGTTTGTTTACCTGCTTTTTTTTTGCTTAGGAACGATTCTATCAAGGTCTAACACTTCAAAAGCTAGAAGAGAAATTTACGAAATATCGTCTTATTTAAACGACGAAGTTCACTATAAAAGTATAACTTTAGATGAAATTGCTGACATAGAAATTCATTCGAGAACGGGAGGTAGAGCCGAAACTGAATTAAGGTCGAAAAAGAGACACTTCCGACCGTGGAAGAGTAAAGAGAAATGGGGATATTGGAAAACTGCTAGAGAGGGTGTTGAATATTCTGAGAAAGTTTTAGTAATATCCTCTAATTTAAGGCCGTTTGATGAAAGATGTCTTATAAATATTCATGTTGATGAGAATATGGATATAGGGAAATTAGCATCCTATGCAGCTTTCCTGCAAAGAAACTGTCTAAGATTAAGCGAAATGATACCGAGAATGATGAGCAACGAAGAGGTAGATGATTTCAAAAAAATGTATGATACTTTACCCCTTATTAAAAAAGAGGAAAAGAAAGAAAACACGGAGGAAGAAAAGCGTAATAGTAGTGAAAGTTTAAACTCTATGGAACCGGAACAATCAAACGAAAGAGAAGATGAAGAAACTGATAGAGAAAATAATAATGTCGAATACGTTGCACGCGAACCAAAGAAAGTGGAATCATCAAAAATAACCGATTCAATTACAAAAGAAGGCAATGAAGCAAATAACGAACATTTTTCCAATATAGCAAATGTAGCACAAGATAACTTAAGATTTATTATTCGTAACAAAGGAAAGTAGGTTGTTAATAAAAAATTTATGATCTTTCGTTATGAGTATTTGTAGAGATAGAATTTCTTGTGATGAATAAAGTGGTTTGTTGCTAGTTATTTATATATAAAAAAGTATAAAACATGGTTTTTTTTAATTATTGTATAATTTAAACATTAAAGGAAATATATGATGGATTATTAACGTTCGTTAGAAGAAATATCTAGATTACTTTCCGTTAATCGATTCAAACGAATCGACGAATACCGACAGAAAGATTCCATTGTTGAATTTATCGATCGATTCGTGATGAGTCACAAACTGAAAAGGCTGTATCAACTACACACGAAAAAATATGGACGGATTTTGATCGTGCTAAAAAGCAGGAATGAATTTCTTTAAAAAGCCAAAATCGATCAATAAGGATAATGATGAAGAGATCAAGCTGCCGAGCACTTTTATAGTCTCCTACCTCGGCTATAAAGAAGTTTATGGACATCAACGTATGAAACAGTGCGTGTCAGAGTTGTTCAATGCCTACGACAGACGGAAATCAGTGACTATAGTTCTTAATTTAACATTAGAGGATATGACAGTCAGTCTTCATCATTCTAGTCCCATAAAAGAAATTGATGACACCCTAAAGGAACCTATACCTATTCAATTCATATCTTACGTTTCACAAGATTATGATCATCAAAATGTATTCTCTTGTCTTGTGGTAAGGGAGTTGAGCTATACAAAAAAGAAAGTAGAATGCCACTCGTTCTTATGCGATAGCGAAGTAGAAGCCATCCGCTTAGGAAAGACATTTAGAAAAGTTTTCGAATTATTTGTTTCTTCGGTAAAGGGTGAATTTCAATTTAAAGTTGATCTACAAGAGGAAGTAAATAAGCAAAACGGAAAGAGTGATACGAAAAGTAAACATGAAGAAGCCGATGCATAAATTAAATTATCCTACCTTTTTTTTTCTATTTCATAGAAATATAAAAATCAATATACGTAAACAACTGAAGTTGTATTTTTCATTTTTCGATTGAACAGTACATCTTTTTTCTTTATTATCTTTTGCCTTTTATCCTTTTGTTACTTTTTCTTAGTCAAATAAAAATAAAAATCATGAAAAAATTCAACTTTAAAAGAAAGAAAGAAATAAAAAAAAAATCAATTTTTTCAATTATCAATTAGTGTAAAAAAAAAGCGAAATAACTACTAGTTAATTGACCTACATTTTTTTTAAATTAATGATTAAATGATTATTTTTTTTTTTAAGAAAAAAATTTCCACAATAACTAATTTTGTTTTTATAATTCACGATTTTATGAATAGAAGATATTGAAGTATAAAGTGATGATAAAATCTGTACAGTTGGTGTTTTATTAATAAGAATATAATACCTTTATTATTAATTAATTTGCTATTAATATATTACGTAGTATGCGCATAAAAATAATATATATATATATATATACTCGAGAGAAAAGTCTTTGAAGATCAGCTCATAGAGTGAAAAGACAGAAAGAAAGAGTGAGAAAAATTGAATATGATTATTTATGTTTCGTCCAAAAAAAGAGAATGTTAAATATAGAAAATCCATTGAAATTCTTGAATAGTTTCTTAAAGCGGTATTACGTAGGTCCTCTATTCATATTAAATTTATAATTCCAGGTAATTTTAGTGCAATTTCATTTTTCTTCACACTTGTTTAACGTATTTCTTTCTAACTAACTAAAAATGTCCAAAGTCAAAAACGCATTTCCCGTAACAAATTCAAGATTTACATTTCACAAAAACCTCCTAGGATACTTCCGGGAATGGTCGATAATGTTTCTCTTAATTACTCTTACAACTGAATTATTAATCAAGTATCCTTCTTCAAATGTAATATTGGAGAGTTGTCTTTCCTCTAATTCTAGTTTGTTCTATTGTTGGTTTCTTTAAACTTTAAAAATGCGATAGGATCATATAGGCCTTTCTCCCTAGTGACCTTCCGGCAATTAATATTTTGAAAATTCAAATAAAGTGAACCTATTTTGCACTTATTGACTTATCTTAGGTTTCTTGAGATTGTCCAAATAATTTCCCGAATAATTTACCTAAATAAATTTTATATTATAGTACGAATGTATTGTCTATTAATCTCTTCCATATCTAGGGTACCTTTAATAAATAAAATGAGCAAATGTACTTAAAACGTATTCAAACACAAAGAGGTTCTACAGTCCCCTGATTAAGATACTGTGGGGGAAGAGGGAGGAGCTTGTAATTATGTCTACAAACATACTACAATTTACGCAAACTAACGTAAATATGAATATTTATGATCTATATTTGTAGAATATACATCTCCATAATCGTCTTGTGCGAATAAAAATAGAAACATCTCACGCATTTCCTCAGGCATTGACGTCATTGACAGGGAAATCTCAACTGGCGGAGTACCGGAAGCTCAGTGGTCTCGTTTTGATATCAAAATTTGCTATACCGATTTTCAGATGAAGTGTGAGTAGAAATAAAAGCATTGTTCAACAGAAAAAAGATTCCCTTGAATCACTCCAGATGAGCAGTAAAGCCAATCTTCGGTATTTGCTATTTGATCGCTGCAAAATTCTAAATTTCGAGCGGTTCCATTCGTTCGCTCGACGCTATTTTTAATCCTTAGAGAATATTCACTAAAATTTGCTTTTTATAACCTTTTCCAGGATGGCCAAGAGACCAGCTGGTGGGTCTTCGATGGCTGTGCCATCACCACCATCTAAGCGTCCTCTACATGTTCAAATAGACCCTATGAAATTATCCGTAGCATCCATTGTTCGTAAATCAATTAAATATTATATTGCAATTGTTAATTAATAAATAACCCAACAGGAAGAACTAGACATCAATGTTCTACAGTTTCAAAATAGGAAACTAGCTGATAAGCTTCAATTTCATAGAAAGCAACAGGATGAATCCTGTAAACGGATTGATCAGCTTGAACAACGGCAATCGCGAGACGATGCTGTTCTATGTATCATTAATCGTTACTGGAATATGCTTGATGATAACGTTGGTATTCTCTTAAAAAGATTCGATGCTCAGACGGCCGATGAAGCAGAACAAGAAAAGCAAATGAAGTCAGTTACCTCTTTTATCGCTCAATTAGGTGAATGGGATCAACAAGAAATGGAAGATAAACTCTATCAGCGAGTCGAATTGTCAAAAAGATATATAGGAAAACTACTGCAAGCATATGATCGGTTGGTACAGCATCACACTAAAGTTTGGGATGTGCTTAAGGATGAAAAGTGTCCGGAGTCTTTAGTAAAGAAATATATAGAAAGTGAAAAAGAAAAAGAGGACGACGAAAAGAAAGAGAACGAAAAAGAGGAAGAAAGTGAAAAAGAAAAGGAAAAGGACGAAGAGGATGACAAAACCAAAGAAAAGAAAACGGATGATGAAGATAAGGTAAAAGTCATAAAAGAGTACATTGCAGAAGAAATGATCAGATTACGGAAAGAGAATGTGAGATTACATGAGTTAACAACAGGTTTGTGATCTTTAAAGAGAAAAAGTCTTATATATATAAAAATATTTTATATTTTATAAAGAGTTACACCAACGTCATCATGAAACTGAGTCTCGTCAGAGTGCCCTTATTGATAAAATGTCGGCTGCAGAAGCGGAAGCAGCCGAATTGAAGCAAAAAAATGATGAGTTGGAATACGATTTAAATGCAGCTAGCGAGCAAATATTTAAATTGGAACGCTGCTTAGAAGACAGTGCTAGGAAAATACAAGCTCTCCAGGAAGGGTTTACAAAAGTAGAGCCTACAGTTGTTGTAGACAATGTAAACCAAAATGTTGCTAAACAAAAAGAAGAAGATCAGAAAGAACTAGAGGAAGCTAGAGAATTATCAAACACTCGTCTGCTTGAACTAGAATCTTTACAGTTGAGTTATGAAAACGTTGTGAAGGAAAGGGAAAACTTGAAAGCTCAATTAGCAGATATTCCCGAAGAAATAATAAAAGAAACCACAGAATATAAAACTCTCCACTCTCAATATTCCGTTCTTTACAATGAATCATTACAAATAATGACGAAATTAGAGGACTCCGTGAGGAGAACTCACATGCAATACAATCAACATCAACGTCAAATCGAACAAATGGAAAGTGAAGAACTGCAATACCAAAAGAAAATGAGAACTGAAATGATGAATTTAGAGGAGCAAGTTTGCATTGTTAGAAAAGATAACGAACTCTTAAAACAACAAAACGAACAGATATCCGCAAGCACAGAGCAATTGGGGCCCATCAATCGTGAAATGAGACAATTAATATCTCAGTTAAGGACTCATAGTGATCAACAAAAAACTGAGATTGCGCGTTATAAGAAAAAAGTTCGTGAGTTACAATATCGAATTGAAGAGATACAACAAAATGCCCAAGAAGCCTCAAATATTATCAGCGAAGAAATTATGCCAATGAAAACCGAACCCGAGATAATAGAACAACAGAGCTCACCGCCAGAGCCAGGCGAAACAAGAGACGACGGAGAAGTTGAAGAACCAGATGACGATGAAAAGGATTCCAAGTCTTCTATAACCCCCGAAAGAGTATCTTTGTCGAATGATAGTGAATCTGATTTAAAATCTCAATTGAAAGCTGCTCTCGATTCAAATAAAGAGTTGAAGTTATTGCTAGATACATTCAAGGCTGCTTCTAAGGAAAATAGAGATAAAGCAACACTAATGGCTGGAGAAAAGAGAGCAAAACAAGAAGTTGAAGAGCTGAAAATGATTATTAAAAAATTAGAGAAAGAAAATCATTCGAGTAGATCGAACCATTCAGACTCAAATATTGATCATGAACAATTAGCAAACAAAAATAGAAAGATTGCACACATGGAAAAGCAAATAGCCAATTTAAAAAGTGATTTGCAAGCTAAAGAAGAGCAAGAAAATGCTCTATTGAGTGAAATGGATGTTACTGGGGAAGCTCTAGATGAGACCCGAGACCAAAATTATCGTCTTTTAACAGAATTGAAAGAAAAAGATGATGCCAATATAAATTTAATGTCTGAAAGGCTAAAAGCTCAACAAACCGTTCGATTGTTGAAAGAGGAGAAAAAACAATTAGCTGAAGAGATACAAATTCTTGCTCAGCAATTAGATGCTCAAAATGAAGTTGTTAGAAGTTTGGAAGAGAAAGAAAGAGGACTCATAGCAACTTTAACATGCTACGAGAAAGAAAGTAATACGAAACAAATGGCACTTGAAAATCAAAAACGCAAGGCAGTTGAATGTTCTCAAGCAGCTGCCGATTTAAAACTACAAGTAGAAAAATATCAGACTCAACTAAAAGAAGCTCAAGTTGCTGTTGCGGAGAAAACAACTGTCCTCGAACGGGAAATGTTTAAGCATAAACGACTAAAAGAAGAAGTTGCTAGTTCAAGAAAGAAATTAGAAAGAGCCAAAAAGATAGAGCAAGCTAGTTCAGCCGACGAAGTACTTATGGAAGAAATAAAGGAATATAAAGAGCAATTAACTTGTCCTTCTTGTAAAGTGAAAAAGAAAGATGCTGTCCTAACAAAGTGTTTTCACGTTTTCTGTTTGGATTGCTTAAAAGTTCGATATGAAACAAGGCAACGTAAATGTCCAAAATGTAACGCAGGCTTTGGAGCCCATGATTATCATCGTCTATATTTGACTTGAAAAAAATGTATTTTGTGAATATGATTTTAGTTGTGTAGACAAGATTTTAGACTTAAACAGTATCCTTCATACAAGTTGTATACCGTTTCTGTCTATGTTAACAATTTCTTTCATGTATATATTGTAAACAATATCATTCGCATAGATTTAAATAAATTAACAAATTAAATATATAGGATTGTAAGTATGTATACATTCTATACGTATTCAATTAAATCATCGCTCCCAGCAGTACATGCCCCTTTGCTTATGGAGAACGGTAATTAATATAAACAAAGGAAGAATAATCTACAATGATAATGGTTCCTTTTGTTTTTTTGATTAGTTTCATACTAATTGAGTTAAAGTAAATTAAGCAACTGAGTTCAAAGAGACTTCAGAGTAATCATATCGGGATAATCTTCCATAGTGAATATTTCACGTAGTGATAATAATTAATACCAAAAATAATTAGAATGTATTAGCCTTTTTTTTTATAGAAATGTGTACGTCTTGTATTTAAATCTCAACAAATAGAAGTATAAACTGCGATTGCTTAAAACTAACTAATTTACATGGAACACTTGGAATCCGAATGATGATCTCCTTCGAGATTTATTCTGTTTGATATCTATTCCGTTGTCGAATTTTACAAGTCCATGCTCAGTGTAATCTGCTCCGAGAATTTCATCTTCAGATGACATTCGCAGTCCAACAGCTTTCTTAATAATACTTAAAAGTATTATTGAACACATTGCACTCCAGGCCGCTATGCAAACAAGAGCCAAAATTTGAACACCTAGTAGATAAACCCCTCCCCCGTGAAATAGTCCAGCCCTTCCTCTAGTTACGTCTTCGATTGGATCAATATCAGCAAACAGACCGACAACAATCATTCCCCAAATACCGCCAATTCCATGAACAGCGAAAGCCCCAACTGGATCGTCTACTTTGAAATATTTAAAAATGGGATTCACAATAAAACTCAAAATTGCTGCAAGTGATCCTGATAAAATCGCTTCCCATGGACGAATTACAGCACAGCCCGCTGTAACGCTTACCAGGGATGTAAGAACAGAGTTAACTAAATCTGTTACTACAAATTTGCGCTTGTTAATTATCCAGCTAAACAACATTCCAGATACACCACCACCCATTGATGCTGTTATTGTAGTGACTGCTGACTTGGCTGCCAATATCCATTTTCCACCGGAAATACCAAACGTACTTCCACAATTAAATCCTAACCAACCCCACCAAAGCATAAACATGCCTATTAACGAATTAGTGGGGTTACCAGGAGGATCGAGTTTTCCGCCGTCATATTTTCCTTGTCTTGGTCCTAACATAACAGCGGCAACAAGAGCCGAAACAGCCCCGAGGACGTGAACTCCACCGGATCCTGCAATATCTACAACACCAAGATCTCGAAGGAAACCTCCGTCGACCCACAGCCAATGAGCACTCACGCAATAAACCCAAGTGTTTGTTAATGAATATAAGATGTAAGCTGTCAATTTTGTCCTTTCAGCCATTGCACCAGAAACTATTGTTGTTGCTGTAGTTGCAAACGATAATTGAAAGATGAAAGTTGAATAAACTATGCCCATTTCCTTTTCATTTTCTGAATCAAGTAGGAAGCTCCCAACTCCACAAAATGCATTAGCGTACTTTCCTTGACCGAAAGTTAATCCATAACCAAACGCCCAGTAAGTTATGCCGCCAAAAACGACATCGACAGCGTTCTTTACCATAATATTTACTTCATTTTTTGCTGACACACATCCGGCTTCCAAGAGACCGAAGCCTGATTGCATGGTAAAAATAATGAAGGAAGATGTTAATATCCATGTTGCGTCATCCCAAGTCATTTGTGGATCCTCCGTGGGGAGACGTGTTTCATTTTGGTTACAGGGCATGCTTGTAACAACTGATTAAATAGTACATAGTTTGTCAAGGAGGGGAAGAGCGCCATCTATCGTCCATCGTTTTCATATTAATCTTTTCTCGCTTATTGACAAGCATCAATATAGAGCGACGTCTATTTATAGTAATCCCACTTTACGCTGTCTTACTGCAACCTTAGTTGTCTTGTTTATGACAAAATGACAAACTAAGTGATTATCATCAGATGATGACGTCATTGTAGTGCTTGTGAGAAAACAAATTAAGCTAAATGTATTTTGGTCAATTATATTTTTGTTCTTTTTATAGCCATTACTGGAAAATTGATTATAAAAACTAGGTCATCTGTATTATATATGTATGTACCATTACCAAATACGGTATATCCCGATCAATGACACTTGGAAAGAGCGGTTAGGAAAGGTAGCCTTAACGTAAGGTTTCGAAACATCTAAAATACGTTGACGTATAAAATTGTAGCATCTAACTGAAATATTCTCTGAAGTTTTCAGACGAATCAGTCTAGGCCACGTGACGTCATTGGCCGAATAGTTTAGATAATTTAGATTATCTTTTTCTTTTTTCTAAAAACAAGCCTTATTGTTTCCATTCTACTACTATGAAGAAAACTACAATATGATAATTTAGAGAAACTTAAGCGTTTTGTTTTTTCTTTTCACCTTGGGAGAGAATATAAGGCAATGTATATTCATATCTATTACGGCGGAAATAGGAATCCAAATACGGCAAATGTCGTGACGTCATCGGAAGGTACCTACCATATAAGGAGATATTAAGAATTCTCGATAAGTAATCGGTTTTGATTGATAATATTTAGTAGAGTAAACTTATATTTTATCATTCCATATCTATATGAATATTTATTTGAAAAATATATGAAAAGTAAGACAATAAAGCGCCGGAAATAATCGAGTATTTTTCATACATATTTAAATGAGGAAGCTATGCAAGCTGATTGGCTGTCAGGCAGAGCGTATTCTTGTGAAGCGCTGCTGAGTATATATAAGGCAGTTTCATTCATAAAATCGTAAACGAGAGGTTAGTGTTGAGCAGTGTAGATCATTGCATAACTTTTATCCTCACCGAGAATACAAGCAGCCGTGGCGCAGCGTGATAACCCCAAACACAAGAGTGGAGACGACGAGATGATCATGGATAGTATAGACACCTTTGCTGCTTCCGGAGCAACTTTAATGCCGGATCCTGTTGGAAGTATGTCCTTTGAAGCATTTTCAACGGATAATGATGAAATTTCAAGCTGTTTAGCAAGCGGTTAGTTGAATTTTTTTCTATTATTATTTTTTAATTGTTACAATAGAATTAATAAAAGATTTTTTTATATAATAAAGTAAATAAAACACTTGGTTTAATTTTTATTATTTGCATTTCTAAAAAAGCATATTTATGACCCTGTCATATTTCCAACAGCCGTTGCTTTACCCGATCAAGTATCAACAGGAGAGCAATGCGTTACCTACAAAGGCGTATTCTCGACGACAGCGCCGTCACTCAGTCCCTTATTTATAAACCTGCTGGCGCAGGGCAACCAACCCGATGACTTGATGTCAGAGGCGTCCGAGACGCTCTCAGTTACAAATACCCCACCTCCACCACCTTATTCCGAACCACATCATATTTCTTTACCCGATTTGGGTGCAGGAGTCTTGAGAGGTATAAATATAAAGGAAGAGGAGTCGCCTGCGGCGTCTTCCTGCTCCTTGGCTCAACCGAAGATGAGAAAGTATCCCTCAAGACCAAGTAAGACTCCGTTGCACGAACGTCCTTACGCCTGCCCAAGCGAAACTTGCGATAGAAGATTCTCCCGTTCTGATGAGCTAACTAGACATATTCGAATTCATACTGGTCAAAAGCCGTTTCAATGTCGGATCTGTATGCGGGCTTTTTCCAGATCCGATCATCTGACTACGCATATTCGAACGCATACGGGCGAAAAGCCTTTCGCCTGCGAGCAATGTGGAAGAAAATTCGCCAGATCAGATGAGAAGAAGAGGCATTCTAAAGTTCACTTGAAGCAGAAGAAGAAATCGCCTCCCTCAGCAACGGCTGTTGCTCCAACTATTGTTACAACCTCCAGTTAAAGAAAAAAGGTCTTTTGTATACGCTTTTCTTTTTTAAAAACTTTTTCGAATTAGCGCTGGTTCGCAAGGGTCTTTTTTCAATTTTCTAATTTATTCATGAACAAAAATGTCTAATTGTATAGTTGTTTCTCTTGGAAATTTAGATGTGTGTCGTCTGGTACATACATTTGACTCTTTTCATTATTTTTAGAAATTTTTTAATTGTTAAAATGTCTGTTTCAAGCAAAAGCTTGATGAAAATAAACACTCTTGTCAATATATTTGAAAGACTATTTATATATACACAATGGAGTATCTCTAATGACGTCAGTACTATAGGATATACCTATACCTAGGCGAACGGCCTAAGCTTAAACTAGAGCGCTATGCAACTATTTCCGGTGGGCTTTTCTCGCTTTTTTTCAACGATTTTTGCTCTTTCCTCTGGTCAGGGGAAATGTGGAGTTGCAGTTTTTAGGGTAACAGGACCTAAAGCACGAAATGTTCTTTTTCAACTGACAAAAATGCGTAAATTACCGATTTCAAGGAAATCTCTATTGAGGAATGTCTATAATCCCATATCGAACGATCGAATTGACCAGGCACTGGTGACGTGGTTCCCTGCACCCGCTAGCTTTACAGGCGAAGACTGTGTTGAAATACACGCGCACGGAGGCAAGGCCGTTGTCTCTGCTATTTTACAATCTCTTTCAAATTTGCCCGACTTTCGGCCGGCAGAAGCGGGCGATTTCACAAAAAGGGCGTTTACTAACGGTAAATTGGATTTGACTCAGGTCGAGGCACTCGCTGACCTTATAGCGGCTGAAACTGAAGCTCAGAGAAGCCTAGCTATACGGCAGTTGGGAGGAGAATTAGGCTTATTGTACGAACAGTGGAGGAGGGATTTAATCGAATGTTGTGCTTTTATTGAAGCCTATATTGATTTCGGGGAAGAAGAAAACTTAGATTTCGATATAAAGGTGAATGACCGCATAAAGTGCTTATCGAACGAAATTAAGTGTCACCATTCAGAGACAAAAAATGCTGAACGTATACGTGTTGGTGTTAAAGTGGCAATTTTAGGACGACCAAACGTGGGAAAGAGTAGTCTTTTTAATCGATTAGTGGGTAGGGAAAGGGCAATCGTATCACCATACGCTGGTACCACTAGGGATATCCTGGATGCTGCTCTTGACATAAATTCATACGCTGTAATCCTTACTGACACTGCAGGCCTACGAGACGACATGAAAATTGATATTGTAGAACAGGAAGGTATAAAGCGGGCCATACAAACAGCTTCTGAAGCCGATTTAAAACTATTAGTTGTGGATGCTACGGACGGGGATGTTCCTTCTGAAATAAAAACTGATGAAAATACTATCATCATTTGGAATAAAGTAGATCTTTTAAAAGAACCAATTGTCCAAGATGGCATTAAGTTATCTTGTAAAACTGGAAATGGTATGGATGAATTAATTGAAACATTGAGTGAAAAAGTAGAACACTTATGTATCAATCCAAATTCACCGAATCCAATATCATCAAATGCCCGACATTCGTATCATTGTAAATTATGCTTGGAGAGTTTAGAAAATTATTCAAAGCTAATTAAACAAGATATAGTATTAGCGGCCAATGAACTTCAAATAGCTATAAATCATATGTCCAAATTAACTGGAACAATAACTAATGATGATATATTAAATGTAATTTTTAGTGAATTTTGTATTGGCAAATAATAATTGATATTATTATTGTCTTAATTACTCTTTTCATAGAAAAGCATGAATTTCTATAAATAGATAAAAAAATAAAAGTAAAAAAAAAAATAGATAGAAGTGGGAAATTGAAAATCCATCTATATAAAAAAAAAAAAGAAAATAGGAGAAAGGTATCAAAATCATATATGAATGAATATAATCAAAGAAAAAAAAGAGATAACAACATTAACGACCCAACTTCTTTAACCTTTGAACTATACAAAGAAAAATAAAATTCAAAAATATTTTATTACTTTGTTTTTTATTGTTGAAAGAAATAAAAACAAGAAAAATATTTTTTCCAAAAAAAAAAAAGTAACAGCATGAATTTTAATCATAAAATAGAAATTATGTTGAAAATTATATGATATATATATTATTGTTATATAACTGTATATGTATTGTTCTAATATCTATATCTCATTCACATCTTTTTATTCAACTGTCTAAAAGTTGTAGAATCTAACGGTTGATGAACTATAGAACTTTTATTAGTGAACTAAAAATTTGACAAGAAGCGTAGGAATTTCCTTGAAAGCTGTATAGTTGTAATAATTGATCGATCCCTTTACAGGGGCGGTTATAGATAAATAATAAAAAAAAAGCTTCGTGGAAACTGGTAAGAAATAATTAATCCTGTAACAATGAATGAGAATAAAAAAACATTTCAAGTTAACGATAGGTCAATCACACTTTGTATGTAAACGTTTGTAAGGCAATACTTAAGTGATATTCTTGAACGCTTGTAAGTCAATTTAGATACGTTGTGGAAAAAAAAAACCAATTAAATCACAATTCTAAATGTATATAATACATATATATTGTCTGCCATTTTCTGTGATATCTGATAGAAAATCGCTCAACATAATAACAAAGGGAAATTATTAATTTAAAATTGTGTATTGTCTCTCAACTACTCATGCTTATTGCCAATAAAAGATTGAAATGTTTTTGTTTTAAACATCAAAATAACATCACTAATTTAGTAATTACAGTTAATAATTAAAGAAAGTTAATAGGAATTACTTAATGCTCATAGGGAGGGGGAGGGTAGACATTGTGAAACCTTTTGTTTACAAAAACTATAACCAATTATCTCCTTTCCTTGAAAAGTGAAAACAACTTAGCTCTTAATTATCAATGTAGCTTCGATTATCAAACTAATTTGTTGTTTATGTTTTTTAATAAAGTTAATTTTTGAATAATGAGCAGGTGTGCAGTTTCAAACGTTTTTGTGGTGTAATTAAAGACCAGAGATCGTTATATCGTCAATTTAAAAAAAAATAATAATAATCTATATTACATATAAAACTTCTTATACTGGCACGGGTACAACAATTTTTTTAGTCTGTGGAACAGATGTCATTTTGTGTGTTGGGGGGGAGGGGAAATGCCAAATGTTTTTTTTTTCGAACCTATTGTACAACTATGCAGAAGTAAGCTATATTTGTTAGTATAACACACTTTCTTGGTAATCACGAGGGGACAACAAGACAAGTACTGCCGTTGACCTTTTATTCTGTTCAATACTTTTGTAATCTATAACAACTCAAGGATTACTTTACGTATAGACAGAATGGAGTAGGGTGGCATAATCTGATTAAATAAAAATAGTATGCATATATATATATATATATATCGTACATACTATATATATATATACAAAAACTACAAGTATATATAATTATGGGAAGATTTATTTCAAAAATAATTAATAATATAAACTAATAAAATATTACTAAATCTATAAATAGCTTTTATATTTTTTTCTACAATAAATCTATAACTTTAATTAACAGTTTGTCATTTTTTTTTAATTAAAAAAATAATAATTCCCGCTTACGTAAAGACTTTTAAAATGTGTCAACACGAATATTCTAATAATCTAAAATGGCAATCATAATAATAATAATAATAAAAATACCTTTTTCACTTCAATAGATTCTTACAGATGTAAACTAAAAATAAAGACCTGACAATTTCTTCCTATATATATATATATATATTTACTGAAATGTATAATATTTCAATGAATATTCATCTTTTTTTTCTTTATATATACAGTATATATATACATATATACAATACATATAAATAGAAATTAATACTTTTTTACAATTTAATTTTAAAGGAAGTATTTTATAATCGATAAAGGAATGAAAAGTAATAGGGGGAAATTTTACACATCTAGCTATTTTGAAATTTTAACCATTTTTTATTTATTAAAGTTAATGGAAAAAAGTAAATATCTACTTTATTTATAGATTCCTATACGATGAGGTTTTGGTATAACTTTTCATATATTTACAGAATAGTTTATACATATATGTTTATAATTCCAGCATTATAATACTATATAACGTATAGTAGATGTATGGAAATATTGTATTTATTATGTTTTCTTTTTGTATAATAAATATGTTTTTCGTTACATTATAGAAATTTTTTAAAACTACCAAGAACCATTCTCCATCAATTGAAATGCGCAATTTTTTTAACCATGTTAATTGTTTTTTTTTCTACATTTCTTACTATTTATCTCTCTCTCTCTCTATCACCTATTCGACAGGTGTTACTTTGTTAATTACGAAGTATTTTTTTTTTTGGTAAATAATTGATATCGGTCGAAAGTTGAATACTTTGTCCGACATAAAATCTATCCTGCAAAAAATTGACATGAACTTAGAATTATTCTAAGCGCTATCGGTAAATATTGATTTGTGATTTGCTTTTCGGACACTTTAGGCAATTGATCTTCAAAGAATTGATACATAAAACCTAGTTTTGAGAAATGATTGTTCGTCGTAAACCTTATTCATACTTTTCTAGTAAAGCTTTTATAGCGAGTCAGTTACCCTTTTATTGTTATTGTTATTGTTATTTTCGTAGGTGTTTTTTTTTTTATAAAAAAAAATTTGCACCCTTTTTACTATTATTACTATATTTATAATTATTGTTACTATCTAACAAGAGTCAAATAGAATAAAAAAAAATGCTAAATATAAACTAACACAAAGTAAAATTGACTAGATTGGAAAAAGAAGAGAGGCCTATTGCTGACTTTGCAGCTATAAATCATTAATATCAAAGCTGGAAGATTAATTCAACGGTCATCGACCTTTGTGACTCGTTACAGACCAGACTCGACAAATTTGAACTTGTTTTGAACTGAACTTCCACTTTTACAAGAAACTCATTTCGAAGAAACTAATTATTGATAAATATTTACCGTTGTATTTTAGATAATTGATAGATATTAGTCACATTGATTAACATATGAAAACGGAAGACTGCAAGTGATATTCAGATATAGTTTTTTCCTTTTTTTCCTTGCTTTTCAGCTGTTTTTTCCCTGGGATTAATCTTCGACATCAACCGACTCACCCTTCTTCATCTTGGCAATAATCGCCTTTAGTTTATTAATCTCCTTATTCTCAGCGTTCTTCGTTGCGTCGTTCGTTATCAATTTAACCCTTGCTGCGTAGGTCAAAGAAACAACTGATTCGTCTGCATTGTAATCTGCAGGGGAAATATTCACAAACATCAGAGTTTTCGAGTTACCTCCTAAAGAGTCTTGCATGAGCATCGTTAACTTGTTATTTCGGTATGGTATGAATGATTGCTCGCTTGATAAAGCCGATATAACATCGCCAAGGGCCGATAATGATTTGTTAATTGACATGGCTTCCTTTAATTGTTCGGCGCCGGCGCCTGTCTTTGCTGCTCTTTCGGATCCGGCAAGATCCACTAAACTTAGCTTACCTTTCAAAACTTGACCTGTCGATTTATTCCTGCTCTCAATCATAATTCCTATTACTAAATGAGACCGAGAACTTTCCGAGTTCATTTTCGTGGAAGCCACATGCCTGTTTTTGGAACCCAATTCGAAGAGCCCCATTAATTCTTTGCTATTATGAGCGCTCTTCACTTCTGCTCCCTGTACAAATACCATCCCCTTTTTATCCCGTTTAATTTCCAATTTATCGTCATCTGCGTGGGATGGTTTAGCAAAGAGATCTATAAGTTTGTCATTATACAATTCCAGCATATAAGCCGCAACTGCAAAAGTGAACTTCGAAGAATTTTCCTCGATAAGATTAAAGATTCTTTCGAAAGATCTTGGAGCAATACCAGGGAATTTTTGGTCGCGATCTCCGATTATTGTAAAAGTTTTTCCGGAGCCTGTTTGTCCATAGGCGAAGATACAAACATTGTAACCGTCAACGGCCGATTGTACAAGGTTGTTGGTATCTTCAAAGACCTTTTCTTGGTTCCCATTCGTATCTGGCATAAACACGGTATCGAATTGAAAATCTTTTTCTCCTCTTGTAGTTTTAATACCAATACTATATTCATCAACTGAATTTACAATTGAAAAATTCCCGCGTTTTGCCTCTGAATCCGACAGAGGGCGTACTCTACAGTACACTCGAATCTTTCCTTTCATATCTTCAACCATGTTGAAGTATTTCTTGCGAAGAACCCTCTCAGAATTGAAACTGTCCGCCAATTGTTTATTTTCGGTTAAAACTTTCTTCTTCTCTTTTTCTAATTCGTTTAATTCGGTTTCTTTAGTTTTTAATTTAGCCTGTGCTGTTTCTAATTTCTTTTCTAAGTCTTTTATAGCCTTCTCTAGTTTAACATTTGCAGTTTTAGGTCTTGCACTTGCCGTTTGTAAACTACGTAATTTGGCTTTGAGTTCATTATTTTCTTTTTGTAATTTATCACTCTTATCATTATTAACAGCTCCTTTCATCATCATAATGGGTATTTTTTTCTTAAATTTTTCATGAGCCTGTATTAATTTCTTAATATCAGCGTGTAATTCTTTAATATCTAAATCTTTCTTCTTTAAAGCGGCTTCTGATTCTCTCTTACTATCTTTGACTTGCCTCAACAAGTCCATTTCTTTTTCGACCATCTCTCTCTCTTTCTCTTTTAATTTACCATTAAGTTTCTCTGTCTCTGCTTTAGATACTTTTATATCATTTTTAGCATTTTTCAGTTGCTTTTGTAATTCTATAATCCTATCTTCCTTTTCTTTTTTCTCTTTATCAAATATATCAAATTCCGCTTCCAAATCTGCGATACGATTCTCTAATTCTATAACGCTTTCAACTGGTTTATCCTCTTCGATTCCTGTCATTCTGTTTTTCATCCTGTTATACTGCTTGACTAGCTTAACTATATCCCTTTCCATATCCTTTATCTTATCGTTTTTGAACTTTACAAGCTTCAAATGGTCTGCTTCTTTCTTTTCGGCTGCTTCAATTAGTTCATTTTGCTTCTCTTTTAATTCGGCTTTCTCCTTTTCAGCCTCTTTCAATAGCCTTTCCATTTCGGCCAATCTCGGTGAGAGGTTATCTTTTTCATCTACAGCATTTTGTTTCCTTGACTCCTCTTCAGCCAACTTCTTCTCTAGATGACGAATATTATTTTCGGCTACGGCTAAATCTTCTTCTAGTTTCCTATAGTCTTCATTATTTTTTAAGAGAACTTCGGTTACTGCTTTTTCCTCCTCTTCTATTTCATTTTCAGCCTTCTTATCCTTCTTTTCCAATCCTTTTAGCCTAGCTTTCATCTTACTATACTGCTTCAATAGATCTTCAATATCCTTATGCATTTCTTGTAGTTTTTCCTCTTTCAAATTCATAATTTTCTTATGATCTTCCTCTTTTCTCTTTGCTTCTTCAATTAAATCTGCTTTCTGTTTCTTCAAATCTTCATTCTCTTTTTTATTCTCTGCCATTAATTTCTCAAGCTCGGCTATTCGGGCTAGGAGGTCTTTATTCGCATCTTCCAGCAGAGCTCTATCTCTTTCTTTGTCTGCCAATTTCTTCTCAGCCTCAGCTAATAGACTCTCTAAATCAGAAACTTTAGCTAAAATGCTGGTCCTATCTGCTTCAATTTTGTTTTTTTCTGCTCCCTCCTCTAACAATTTCTTTTTCAATTGAACAACATTATCTTCAGATTTAGCAAGCTCTTCCTCTAATTTCTTATAATCATCATCGGTCTTTGCTAAAGGTTCAGCAACAGCTTGACTCTCTTCTTCAACAGTGGCGGCTCCAGTATGTATCATTGTAATGGCTTCAACTAACAACTCATCTTGAGTTTCGGAACTTTTAACACTATTTAATCGTTCTTCTACTTTCAGAGCAGCAGGGTTTATCTCTTGATTTACAGCTTTAGCTTCATTGACAACAAGTTCCAAAAGCTTCTTGGTTCGCTTAAACTTTTTCTTATATTGTGTATGAGCGATAATTAGCTTTTCAATATCTTTTTCCATCATTTGTATGTTCTTTTTCTGTTTATCAATTTTTTGTTGTAAATCCGCTTGTTTCTTCTTTAGTTCAACTTTATCATTTTCAGCCGCTGCCAGTAATCTCTCTAATTCTGCTATTCGATCAGCTAAATTACTGTAATCGTCTTCCACTTTATTCTTCGCCGCTTCCTTATCTGAAGCTCTCTCTTGCTCCATATCTTTTAGTAACCTTTCCAATTCATTTACTTTAGACCCTAGCAGTTCCTTATCATCCTCAGCTCTTTGCCTACTGTTCTCTTGTTCCAGTAGTTTCTTCTCCAACTCTCTTACTTTATTTTCAGCTCCTGCAAGTTCATCTTCAAGATTTTTAAAATCGTCTTCGTTCTTTGCAAGCGGTTCGGAAATAGCTTCGGTCTCCTCCTCTTCATCCTTAATTTCGGCAGCCCCTGTATGTATCATTGTAAGGCCTTCGATGAGTATTTCATTTTCACTATCAGTATTTTTTGCTTCAGCTAAACGTTCCTCAACTTTTATTGCAGCTGGATTGAATTGCTGTAAAACACTTTTAGTTTCTGAAACGACCACCTCCAATAAAGTTTTAGTCTTTTTAAACTGCTTTTTATATTGGGCATGAGCTTTAATAAGTTTTTCAATATCTCTATTCATACTAGCTATTTTCTTATCTCTTTTAGCCAGTTTTTTTTCTAAATCTTCATTCTTCTCCTCAAGAGCCTTATTGATTAGTAAAAGACTGTCTCTTTCAGAAGAAACGCTCTCTAAATCTGATTTAGTGATTGTAAGTTCATTTTGTAATTTTGCCTTATCTGCTTTCATAGCTAAAACCTGTTTCCGTAAACTATCGATTTCATCCCTTGCCATTTCAAGTGCGGCAACTATTTCAGGGTCAGGAACGAAAACTTTAACAATTCTCACATCTGCTGTTTTCGGGCGGATAGTCGCCGCTGTCATAGGTCTACCACTTTTTAGCTCTTTTAGGGCTTGAAGTTCTGCATTTAAATTATCCAACTGTTCTTGCAGAAGTTCCTGATTAGGATCGTCGGATTGTTGTAAAATTTCCTGTTCAAGCTGCTTTTTCTCTGCCTCTTTTTCAACTTCCTTTGCCTGAGCTTTTTCTTTTTCATCTTTTCCAATAACCACAACTGCGGTTAATGCTGCCAGTTGTGCTTTTATAGCATCGTAGTCGGTAGTTCTGTCAATTAACTCAGTGTTTTGAGCTTTAAGCTCAGCCGCTCGTTCTTGGACATCATCCAAGTCCTTTTGTAGAATGCGCCGTTCCGCGGTTAATTTTTCTCTTTCATCTTCCAAATGAGCGAATTCTTTTAATAACAATTCCCTCTCGCCAACCATCTCGGCTCGCTCTTCGTTCATTTTGATTCGCTCCTTAGTTCCTAAATCTTTAACGATTATTGTCGGTTCACGGCCTAAAGCAACAGGTGGGATATAGGAAAATGAAGACTCGTTAATGTTTTCTTGAATTACTGGTTGTATAGCTTGTTGAGTTTCCGCAACTATTACAGGAGCAGGCGCTTCCTCCTTTTTGGTAATGCGAACGGCTTTAACTTTTGATTTTTTATCAATATGTTGCTCTTCCTCAGCAGATTTCAATTTGGCATTTGTTTCATCTAATTGCTTCGTTAAAGCAGTAACAGTTGTTTGTTTCTCCTTTTCAACCCTCTCATATTCAACTTTATTCAACACCAATAATTTCTTTTTTTCGTTCATTAAATCCTTATTCTTTTTCTTTAAACTATTCAACATTTCATCCCAATATTGTTCTTTCTGTTTCAATTCAATTCTATGAATTTCAATAATTTGTTGAAATGTATGAACTTTTGATTTGTATTGCTGCCTTAAATTCAAAACGAACACATTGAAGTGCGACTGTGTTTCATTTTCAATTGTCTTATAGTTTTCGTCTATTCTTTTAACAATTTCGACGTGTCTAAATTGCATATTTTTCGTGTCCTGCACGATTTTTTCAATGTAATCTTTAGCGAAATTGTAAGGAATATAGGCGTGTTTCAAGTTCATTTCGGCAGGCGCAAGCATAGCTGTTGTTTTACCAGAAACTAGACTCGTTACGCTATTGGATCTAGATCTGGTACTGCTCCAGGCTTGAGATATTTTCGATCGGATAGAAGAAATACTAGGAGATCTTTTCAACTTTTCCGAAATTTGGCTAATTTGACTTCTAGATCTCTTTAACTGTGGCGTATTTCCTCTACTCTCTTGCCCATGAGTATTAGTTTCTTGTTCGTGCTTTTCATTGTCTTCCTTCTTCGGATCATTTGTATCATCTTTATTGCTACCAAACTCTTTTACTGAAATAACACTTCCAAGACTTTGAACAGGTGTCAAAGTTCTTTGACTAAGCGTTGAAAGAGCGGACGGAGGTCTATCAACTGTTTAGCATAGACTTTTGATATTATACATAATTCAATAGATCAAACGGTTATTATACACTTACCATCGATTTCTGTAGGCGTCGAGACTTTATTCTTTTTCCTTGTTAACATAATTAAATCTTGAAAATTATCATTATTAATCTACAAGATATTAATCAATGTAACCCTTTTTGTCTTCGTTAGCATTTACGATTATTTGGATAGTCTCGAAGAATGACTAAATCAAATAAAACGAGGACGCCATTTGTAAACAATATTGTTATTATGGTGACGGGCTCTTTACTGGATTTAAAACTTTTGTAAGCAATACGCCTGGTGAAACGAAGTACTATAAGGGCTTATGTTTATTCCTTTATTTAGCTTAGGCTTGTTTACTAACAAAAATTTAACGAATTTTATCGATACGAGATGGCACTTTCATCGTTTATTTATGCCTATACCAATTTTATCAATTTTAACTTATTTCCGTTCAATTCTTGGAACGAAGCGCTGATATAGCAACTTTTTATCTTTAGGTAAAACTACCTTTTTTTTAAACAAATCTTATCAATCAGTGTAAATAATTGCGTTTATAATCGTAATGAATATTCAAATCTAGATCATACTCGAATTCTTTAATGCGTTTAATATCAAAGTTCAAATCTATCATTATTTTTGATGATACAGCAAAAGGATATTTTGAAATTATTAATTATCTCAACGGAAAAGCAGAAAACCCAAATACAAATCTTAGCATTGAAGATTAACAATGTATTATATAGTTCGTACAAAGTTTGTAGAATATATTAATCTGTTAAGAAATATGTAATAAATCAAATATTTGATGAACCTTGGCCCAGAGGGCTCGCAAAATTTTTAAGTTTACCGCCTATTTTCATATTTTCTCTAAGACCCTTAGAGTGTTTAAAATTTTGCAAAGTCATGCTTGTCCTATAATCAGAATAGACCTTGACCTCTACATTTGAATTCTTATTGACACGTTAGTGCCTCAAATGACTATTGACTTTAATACTGTACAGTAGCTACCCCAAGATGAGCTTAAAATTGGGTGACGTCTTCCCGAATTTGTCAGTTGACACCACCGCTGGCAAACTGCAGCTGCATGATTTCTTTGGCAATAGCTGGGGAATCCTATTTTCTCATCCCCGTGATTACACGCCCGTTTGTACAACAGAATTGGGGCGTGCTGCTCAACTCACACCTGAATTTGAGAAGAGGGGTGTAAAAATGATTGCCTTATCTTGCGATTCTGTTGAAGATCACCATGGATGGACTAAAGACATTGAAAGTTACAACACTGTCAAAGTCACCTATCCGATAATAGCTGATAGTGACCGCAGCATAGCAAAACAATTGGGTATGCTTGATCCTGATGAAAAGGATCCCACCGGAATGCCTCTAACTTGCCGAGCTGTTTTTATTGTTGGACCTGACAAGAAAGTTAAATTGTCAATCCTATATCCAGCGACCACTGGGCGAAATTTCAACGAATTGTTAAGAGTAATCGACTCTTTACAATTAACGGCTACAAAGAAAGTTGCAACTCCGGTTGACTGGAAAGATGGCGACAAATGTATGGTCGTGCCTTCATTGAGCAACGAGGACGCTTCAAAGCTTTTCCCTAAAGGATTCGAAACAAAGAATGTTCCATCTGGAAAATCGTACATTCGCCTTACACCCCATCCTAAGTAATTAGGCGAATGAAAAGGCTGAACACTAATTATATTCATATTCAAAATCGATTGTATTGAAAATCTTTCGATTAGTTAATATGACAATGAAAGTGCTCAGTAATACATTAATTTAGTATATGTGACTGGCTTGTTTTCGTATGTAATAATCGCATTTATTAAGTTTTCTTTTTTGTTTATCCATACTTTTTGGGTTACTATTTGATGACTATCAAGCTCTTTTAAGTTTTGGACTTCAATTTGTTTCACTTTCAATGTACCAGGGTCGACACCACTTTCATATAGTCCATCGTATGCCCACGATATACATTCTTTATTGTTAACATGCCTATAAAAGTCTGTATGTCGGTATTGCGTTTTAATCGTATGATCGAAAGCATCAGCTGGTACTTCTGGAAGCGGGACACGAGGTGGTCCCTTTTCTTGTAAACTTAAACCTAATCCTTCAAAGTCTTTCACATAACTTTCGGGTAAATCAATGACTCTTCGGGACACTTTATCTGCTATTAAAATAAGAACTTCAACGCTACCAAGCTCTATATTGCCTTCTTCCTTGTAAAGTATGTTTTTCATTGAAAACGATTTCTTTGAGCAGTTAGTAAACTCTGACATTGTATATATTGGCTGATGTAACAAGAGCTCTTCGTAAAATGGCCTTAGAATTTCGACTTTCTGAGAAACAAGTAGTAATAATACATCTGAACGATTTAAACTAAGAGACTTCTTTCGCTTGAGGAGAGGATGAATTTTGTTCATTGTTAAGGAACCACCCCAAATAGCAAATCTTGCATCTTCGCAACGGCTTATCAGTGATCTCGTTTGAAATGATCCACCTTATAAATTGAAAGTAATGGTATTATTATTTGTATTAATTATATTGTCTTTATAATTTATACCTGATGGTTCAAAATCACCAATAAACAATGGGGAAGACTGTAATTTCCACTTATTTCCGATAATCGCCAAATGTCTATCATCAGGTCTAACTAAATCTGGACACAAGCTGTTGAACAATTTTAATAATATAAAAAAGCATACAAGATTTCTTCTAAAAGTGTTTTTCTAGTGAAGAAACATGTGCTTTACAGAACTAATCATAGATCCAAATACAAATTTCCTTTACAGTCTTAAAACGTTAAAAACCTAACCTATGTCTTGAAGAAAAAGCTCGAGTAGGAAAATTTTTGGTATGCTTGATGTAATTCACAAATTTCAAAGTTCGAAAACTCATTGTTTAAATATAATAAATGGTTTAAACAAGAAAAGAATTTACTCTTAGGTTCAACAATCGTCCCACTTTTTTTAATGGGTTCCCCACTCCTCAACTAAATTTGTCACACATTTCCAACGAGAGAACTTCTATACAAAAAAAAGATGTTCTGATCCAGAACACAATATTAACGCTGTCCAGAAAAAAGTCCATATATTGCACAATTATAATACTTATTTCCTGAGAACTTTAAATTTCGTAGAGTAAGTAAGTGGTAAAATAATGCGAAATGTGAAATTTTGTTCTTAAAGCGACTTATTTTTTAGTCTGTTTCCAAGTCGTATGGTTTATGAGCGATACTGAGTGAACTGCATAACTCCTGTAACTAAATGAATGAGTCGAATTTAAAACCTTCCTTCCAGGCCGTTGTCTTAGCGGGAGGGAAAGGGTCGCGAATGCGAGATGTCACGGAAAAAATTCCAAAAGCACTCGTTCCAATTGGAAATGTTCCTTTAATTTATTTTCCTCTAAAATCGCTTGAAAGAGTTGGATTTCAAGGTATTGCATTATATAGCTTATTATAACTATGATATATGTATATATATATATATATCTTTTTATATTTCAATAATACAGAAGCTATTGTCGTTGTTTTAAAATCTCAAAAAGAGATCATCGATACGGCAATTACGAATACCGACTTAAAGCTATGTGTAAAGTTTTTTGCCATCGAGGATGAGGATGACCTTGGAACTGCTGAAAGTCTACGTTTGCTCAAAGATAGAATTGATGTATAAACTACATTTATATGATATATAGCAATAATTTACTTCTAATTTTTACATAGATGGATATTCTTGTTGTATCCTGTGATCTGATAACTGATTTATCTTTTCATAAATTGGCCGATATGCATAGAGCAAAAAACTCTTCTCTAACCATAATGTTGGCTAAATCCTTATCTGTGGGTGAAATTCTACCCCCAGGAGGAAGAATTAATAGAAAAATAGGTTTTATTACTTCAATTACTCTGAAAAAATTTTTAAACTTTTCCTCACCTAGAAAATCAATTTATCGCTTTGGACAACAGCCAAAGGCTGATTTATATGGCAACTGAATCTGATTTAGAAGATGAAATAAGAATACGTCATAGAATAATTAAAAAGTAAAATATCTTATTTTATTTGAAATAGAAGAGGAAAGTAATAGTATTATAATTATTGTCTTTTAACAGCTATCCATGTATAAACATGCATTCTTCACTAATGGATAGCCATGTTTACCTTATTAGCAAGTCAACTTACGATTTAATGTTTGAGGACACGTAAGACAAATCTATTTTATCAACAATTCGAAAATAACAACGAAAATATTAATATTCTAGGAATATTATCGACCTAAGAGAATATATTCCTCTTATAGTCAAGAAACAGTTTGCAAAAGAGGATAAAGTGGAGAAAAATGAAAATGGTAAATTAGTAACCTGGCTAATAACAGTATTTATCGCATTTCTAAAATATTCTCTTTTCATATATAAGAATCTGAAACTGATGATCATTTAATTGACGAAATGTCATCTTTTCGCCACCAATCAACTTCAATTAATTTACCAAGATGTTTTGGTTACTTTTACGATGGTTTATGTTTTAGAGTCAACAATATAATGGCATATTGTGAAGCAAATCGTCGGGTAAAAGTTTAATAAATTTGACAGGGTAAAGGCAAATAGTAAATTACACCTCTAAAATCAATATAGAGTACCACCTTCTTGGAAAAGTTTAAAGGAATTCCCACAGTTAATATTTCTCCATCTATTTCTCTTCAACCAAAATCCACTGTAAATATATTATATAAGTATAAATAAATTAGAAAAGCAAAAAATTATCAACACTTTTTAGGTGAACTCCGATTGTTTAATTGGTGAAAAAGTGACCATTGGAGCTAAATGTGGTATCAAAAAATCAATTATTGGAATGAATACAGAAATAGGAGATTATTGTAAAGTTACAAACTGTATCATTATGAATAAAGTAAAGCTAAGGAAAGGGTGCGAAGAAACAAACTTATATGTTATTATATTCTAAACTGATCGAATGTTGTCTCTTTTAGCATAACTATTCAAAATTGCATTATATGCGAAAATGCCACTCTTGAGGAAAAGTGCGAGTTAAAAGATTGTATTGTTGGAGCAGACCAAATTATACATGGAATGGGTAAGAAGAAATAGAATCAAGTTACATAATTAATAAAAAAACACCTTCTTTCTCCTTAAAACAGCTAAACTGTCAGGTGAAGCAGTTCGAGGAGTTATGAATACAGGATTCGATTTGGATTAACAGTTTTAATGTATTCCATTGGATTAAATAATATAAAAGCATATATATTTATGTATATACGATATTGTGTACACTTTATTTAGTACAGACATAGAACATACTGTATATCTATATGTGAATGAATATGTTACCATCTAAATTCACTATCAAAATATTATTCATAGAAAAACTATGAATATTTAATAAAATAATTCAATAAGAACAAAAAAGAAGAAAAAAGAACAAATACTGTACTTAACAATTTTTTCTGAAAGAAGTAAGAAAAAGTTATGCCCTTGAGATAAATGATTTTAGTTCACTGTCATTTGTAAATTGAACATTTTTGAGGTTACCCAATCAGCAACAAATCCGGGTGAAAAATTCAAGTATTTTTCTAGAAAACAGTGATTCTGTTGAAAAATAACAGAATATGTTTAAATAAATTGTAAGGGCCATTTGGTTTAGATTATTTAAATCAATTATACCTTTAAGTTATTGGGACATGGTCGATTTTCTGGTTGTTTTTGTAAACTTAAAAAAGAAATTGTATATTTAAGAAAGTATAGCAGAAAAGTAGAGACAGCAACATACCATACAGCAATAAAGTCAATTAATTCGTTACTACACTTTTTTGCTCTCAACAGTCGCAAGGGTGGTGGCTTTTTGGGAATTAAAAGGAAATAGAAATGATTATTTGAGAAACTGTAATAAAAGTAATGAAAAATTACTTTAGTCACGATAAAAGTGAGTAATTCCATCAACTTAATTTCTTCCTTTGGTACGGGGAAGACTAAATGATATGGGAATTTACCCAAAGCCATCTATGAAATAGATCAATTGTTTGATTGAAAACATTAAATCACATACTTACTTCAAAAACAGACACTCCAATACTCCATACTTCGGATTTGATATCATAACCTTGAGCATTAATTCTTTCCGGCTAATAAATATGATAAATCAAACACGAACAGTATTTAATAATAATAGTAACAATGCAAACTTACGGCCATATAACCATTAGATCCTATGTACGTTTGTGCAATTGAATTAACAAGTTGAGTACTAACGCCAAAATCGCATAATTTTATCTCGCCTTTTGTGTTTACTAGTATATTAGATGGTTTAACATCTAAAGAATAGGAGATAAATGAGAGTATTATAATAGTTTGTCAATGAATTTATTATTTATTGAAATTACTAACCTCTATGCATAATTTTTAATCCTGATAAATAAGATATACCCTCTATAATGGATACTGCAACTGGACCTAGTATCGATTCTTCTATTTGACCATATCTATCTAAGGAGCATCCATTCATATATTCTGTACATATTGATATCCGATTTTCAACGAAAAAGGCACCGTAGAAACCAATAATATTGGGAGAATTACACTAGTGATTAAAACAAAAATCATATGATTAAGTAAAGTTATATCATTTTCTCTAGTTTTTATAAAATTAACCTTATACAAAATCTCTAGTTCAGCAATTATGCGTCGTTGTTCATCTTGCGTTGCGTCTAAAGCTATTGTTTTTACAGCCATTTCACATCCAGATAAAATATGTAATGCTCTATAAACAATTCCGCTTGCTCCTTTACCAAAAACCTCAATTTCCTGCAAGTCAGCCGCACTTACATTTCCACATGACATTATTTCGTTTAAATCGCTTGAATTAATAGCTTTCATTTCAGTGTCTTTTCTGTAGTCCACTGGAGGTAATGTTGGTGCAGGATTATGGCTAGTCCCTGAAACTTCGACTTTAAGACCAAAAACATTCTTTTCGCATGACTTATTGTATTTTGGATAGATGTTAAATGGCAAGTTTAAGTTTGTTTCATTTATTGAAGATTTTTGCTATATAATTGATATATACAAGTTGATATTAAAATTGTATTTAAAATTCTTTATTATGTAAGCTTACAAATGCAAGCATTGCAGACATTTCCGCGTCTGTTCTGACAGTAATTCTATCACCATCTTCGTCATCGTCTGTAAACCTTACAAGATTAAATTTATATATACATTTTATAATTAAAATTTTACACTCAAAAGCTGTAACAGAAACATCTGGAAGAACTTGATTCATAGCCTCCTATTTAAAGATAAAAATACTTTTATAAAAAAGGCAACGAAAATAAAGAACTAACCAGAACTTCTCTAAAAGTAATGTTTAGTGAATTTTCGAGTTCCCAATCAAATGAACCTATATCTGTGACGATCCTCAAAATCATCTCTATGATATACACTACAAATCAATAACTGTTACTACTAATTAATGAGGTACTCGCTGAATTTAATATATAGTAATTTAAGCCTATCTATCTGGTTAGTAATCCCATTCAATAGTTGACAGAAGTGCACCTGAACGGGGTCGGCTGCTTAAATTTTCTTTTTAGTAACTGTTAATATTTCTTAAGTTTGTTCGCAAGGTTAACGATTAAGTCTAAATTATTACTTTTTCAAATTATTTAATATATTTATCGAATATCAAATGCTGAGTATGTGTTCAAAGTGTTTGCATTCAGTTTTTATAATATATTAAACCAATTGTAATCGAAGTTACGAAAGAGACTAGTCTCTATGGTTGCGCGGTAAACAATGGAGGTGTGATAAATGTGTTATGTTTTTTATTTTTATAAGTTATATATCTAACTGAGAGTAATTATTAATGATGTCATCCATGACGGAAAATCAATCCAATGCCGAAGATGTGGGGGAGACATTGATTAAGGTATGCATTTAAAGTAGTTTAGGATTTTGATCACAAAATTATAGGCCTAATTTATCAATCATTTCCAGACACAAAATGATTTAATAAAGCTCCGAGAATATCTTTCCAAGTCCGGTGTGTCCGATATGGCTCCATTAGAGTCTGCTATCGAAAGAATGGAAGAAAAAATTCAAACCAGAACAGAGGAAATACTAGATCGGATTAATGGCCAAGTTATGAGTCTTCCATCACTTGAAGAAAACGATATGACAGTTTCGATACAAATCTTCGATTTGGAAAAATCTCAGCAGCAAGTTCCTAAGAAAAAACCTGAAGAAGCAAAAGTGAATGGTCTAGTATCTCCCTCTCCTGGTCAGAAAGTTAAATTGAAACAAGATGCCAAAGCGTTAGCTAATCCTTATAGTTCAAGGAATAGGCAGGTTTTACATGATAATCATGGTATACAATTACCTCTGTTAGTTGATCATAAACTTCCTGCACCGGAAGGACAAGTATATAAGGGATCGACGGTGGAAAAATTAGCTACTCTTTCTAGCAAACACGATCCGCAAAGTACCCCACCGCCAATTAAAGAGGAGGATGCGAAAAAGGGTATTCTTTCACTGACCCAGCGTAGATTAATACCACCTACAGCTGAATTACAATTTAGTCCATCCCCTCTCCAGCTTCAACTTGTTAACATGCGTCCAGCGGAAGAGAAACGAAATAGTATTGGACCGGGAAATCAAAAATCTTATTCTACAGCAGTTGTACCAGTCAAGAAGGTTGAGGAAGCGAGTTCTAGCGGTAGGCGAACAACATCTAGTAATAAAAACCGACGAACAACTCCAGTTGCGGTTAAGAATGTTGAATTAGGTATACACCAACCAATGCCGCCACCAACCACACCGGCTAGTGGTGACTTTAAAGAAAAAGGACATCGAATAGCCGTTCAGAATGGGCGTCTGCGAGAAGCAGCCCCCGAATTTCACGCATACAAACAGGCATATTGCCTTAATTGGGGCCCAATAGCAACTCTATTGAAGAGATCGTGCAAACTATTGCAGAACTATAATGTACCAATTGCCTTTATTCAAGGAGATAAAGCAGCTGAGTTGGCTTTCGAAATTGAATTAGAAGGTGATTTGACTATCCCTCAATTATTATCGATCATAGCTAATAGAGAAGACGTTGAAGCCATTATAAAACAACCTGGCAGAACTTTTAGAGCTACAGACACGGGAGTTCATAAGGCAGCCGCAAGAATACAAGCTACTTGGAAAATGTTCGGTCAAAGGAGAAACTATCTAGAGTATAGGAGAAAGAAATGGGCTGCAGGGGTAATAGCTATAAGTTGGATTATGAGCGTAAAAATGTCGAAAGTTCGACGTCAATTAAAGACAACTCGCCTCGAGCAAGTTGCATCCTTTAAAAGACGGCTGCAGGATTTGAAGAAGAGGTGGCCTTCCATTAAAGAATCTCGTCGTGTTATCATACACATAAATTCGTATGGATATAACGATTATATCCGTAAATCAACCACAAAATTAAACATTCGTCAAAACTTGCAGATGGCGCGTTTGTGTGACTTAAGGGATGATAACGTTGATGTTATTTATATAAGTTCGGTTACGATAAGTGATGAAATGACGCAATACTATTCAAAATTGATGGGACTGAAGCCCGCCATCGAATCGTCAAATGTTGATGATCAGCGAGACATTTCCGAGAGATTTACCATAATAACTCCAGATGCTATAAACTCCTTTCCTGCTCATAATATGTGTTTGGCCTCTTTACTCAAGTACTCTCCTAGAACTCTGAACAGGATAAAAAGCATCATTAAAGGTCGAGAAGCTTATATTTATACTGGTTTTCCTCAAATCGACGATTTGGCAGTCGCCGATGCTCTTAACGTTCCAATTATTTGTTCAGAGCCAAATATCTCATCATCGTATAGCTCTAAATCCGGTTCGAGGAGAATACTCATCGGAGCAGACGTACCAATTCCTCCCGGAGAGTTCGATATATATAAAGCGCAACATTTATACGAAAGTCTCGCTCAATTAATCATCGACAATCTTCAAGTTAGCCGTTGGTTAATCAAAATTGATGAGGAGATGGAGGGTCGCGGTATTGCGTATATTGATATCGATAAACACCTCCAATGCTACGATTGGGCAGTAAGAGAGGCCGCTAGGTACGGAGATAAATGGAACAAAAAGTGGGCCCAAGAGGCAGCTCTTATTAAAATTCAAACTGAATTGCCGAGTGTTATTCAACAATTCGCTATTCCTGCCTGTAGGGACATATATCCCACTTGGGAAGAATTTGAAAAAGCTCTGATATCTAGAGGAGGTGGCGTTGAGGCGTCACCTCCCTCCGAAAGTGTAACAGCTATTACCGCTGATATGATGATTGAACCAGATGGTACAATTCAATTACTAAGTGTTGGTGATCAAGTTCACGCCGAAAACCCTTTTCACTGTTGGGGTATATCCGTACCCCAGTCGTCAGTGGAACCGCAACAACTAAACGAAATCCTGCAGAAAGTGGCAGAGACGTGCCGAAATCGTCATATTGTTGGTCCAATATCAATTGATCTTGTCACATTTATACATCCAAAAACTATGGAGCAACTCGTTTGGGCAGTGAACGTTAATATGAAATACTCTGATACTATGGCTATGTTTAACATGCTTTTATTTGCAACGAATGCAAAATTTGACGCCGTTAATCATGTTTTAGAATGCCCACCACCGCCCCCTGATCCAAAGAAGCGGCGGGACGCTAAACCCCAAACGGAAACAAACAATTCCAGATACGCCGTTTTATCTACAAGATTGCAACATTCGAATTTAACAGTTGTTCACTACAGTGTCTTCTTCCAGATGTGTCGGGCTCATGGTATTGGCTACGATGTTAGGGAAAAACAAGGGACAATTTTTACGTTAGTCGATTCCTTTTCTCGAGATCGTCTCGGGATGTTAACCGTATCGGATACCCTCCAAGCTGCCTTAGCTAGTTTTGCTAGGAACTTAAGTGTTATCCATCAGGAGATCAGCGCTCCAAATATGCAAGGGGAAAGTAACTTTAGAGCGGTTATTGATGATATTGAAGCGATTCTCGGAACAACGGTCGAGAACGCAGATGAAGAGAATGTCGAGAATGAGAAATAAACCAGTTTTAGTCTGTCTTTATTAAATGATACAATATACATGGAAATTTTTTTTATATATATTTATATTTATTTTCTTTTTTCTAACTCGCGTGATTATTGTAATAGTTGCAATTGGTAGGCCTACAGTAATAATATAAAAAAAAACCCGTTAGAAATAGGTTTATTCAGTAAATTTATTGGGATATTGAAAGAGACTGAGCTCACGCATATACTTCAAGTACAAGCTCTAAATATATATATATATATATATATATATATATATATACTTATACATTTATTGCTACAAGGAAATATATATGCCGTAAAGGGTAAATATATAAATTGCATATACGTACGTACTGTATTCTATATCTATATCTATATGTATTTGTATACAAATATAAATATAGATATTAATATACAAGTATATCTAATCTATACGCTGTATGTAATTTTGTATAAGAACAATGTTTTTATACGTGTGTATATACGTTTAATAAACATATAATTTCATAGTTTAATCGACTAGGAGAGAGGAATGCAATTAGTTACTTGGAAACCTATTAAATGCAGATTGAGTAAAATTGTTTTAATTTTAGTTTGTACATGTTTAAAAGACAATTAATATATAGTTTGAATACATATATATATATATATATATATATATATATATGTATACTTGTATAACTTCTTATACAATATAAATAGGTAAACAAAATACAAACATGGAATTATTTATACTCAAGTTATTATTAATAATATCATTCATTATTCTTCTTTAAATTTTAGCATAGAACGTTGTATAAGCAGTTTGCGAAGATAGTAATAATAATAACTTTATTAATTGAGATGTTATTACTAAATTGATAGAATAAATAGTATTAACATTAAATAGCAGTATTAGAAGAAGTAATCTTAATTATGGTAGTAGAGTAATTAAAGATTGTTTAGTTTGTCGACCTAGTGCTTGTAATAGTTACATAAATTGTGATCAAACACTCTTATAGTTAGGAAGATTAGCGGAAGTAGAATAAACGGGAAGAAAAGCAGAAAGGGTAAAAAGGACGAGAAGGTATTAGGATATAATAGAAAGGAAAACGTAAATGAGTCAGTCAGGAAATGGTAGCCATATGAAAAAAAAATGAAAATTTCGAAACTAAAACATAAATATAAAAAATATATAAAACGAAGACAATGAATATAATAATAATAATAGTAACAAATAATAGTAATAATAATAGTAATAATAGTAATTATATAAAAAACACACAAGTGAAATATTGGAAGAAATCACGACATTCACTGGTTGACGAGAATATTCTTTGCTCTCTTGTCAGCTACTCTAATGCGATTATCCAGCGATACGGCCTAAACAAAAATAACGAAAAGGAAAATTTTAAAAGGGGAAGATCTATTATTCACGCAGTAGTTTATTAGCTCTCTTATTCGCCTCTTGAATACGTGTTTCGTTCGACATGCCCTGTGAGAAGCAGAGAAATGCAAAGCAGAAAATTAATAGAAGCGTTAATCGATAGCGTAAATATATCATGTGCTGATTCCTTCCGGCAGTAATCATTATGACAAAGGCCAGCAATTAACAAAGCGAAAATCTCTTGGAACAAGAGTAAAGAAGAAAAATTAAAAGAATAAAGTGCCAAACCTTCTGATTTATGCGGTCGATTTGTTTATTCTGCGATTCCAGTTCATTGCCCATATCCACAGCCATGTTCCTTAGATTTGATATCATACCACTAACTTCTCCCAAATTCTGTTCCATTTCATCCTCCCTTGCATCGTTAGTTATTCGAGTCACGTAATTACCAGACATTCCGGCTTGATTGTCGCCAACTATCATTCTTGGTCCGTTTGTGTTAACCTATAAATAATTTACAAGTGATATTATCATTTTTTACTATATTTCCTATTATTAATATAATTATACATAATATTATTATTGTTATTAATGTTATTATTAGTAAGAGTATCAGTAGTAGTTTAAGTAGTAGTAATAGTATTATCTTTGGTAAAAAACAATTTCTTTGGTCAGAATTCTATTTTAATTCTTCCCTTCATTAGCCTGCTTCTTATGTGTCTATTTCTGCTAAGAACGACAAAGAAGGGGTAAACTAAATCAACTAAACTAACCTTTCCATCTTCATTCCCCTTCCAAGTATCCTTATAAGCGGAATCTTTTTCGAAATTTTTACTCCTCTTCCACGGCAAGACGCATAGACCGCAACATTTTTCCATACCCTCCAAATTCTTTTCGGCATCTTTCATATCTTGATTAATCTGATCCATTCCTTCTTCGATCCTCTCCAATTGTTCTATAAGCGAATTTAATAAACTTAAAGCTAGTCTTTACTCAGAAATTTTCCACTCAAATAATTGCAATTAAACTAGAAAAAAAAAGGAATAAAACAAATCGTTCTTAATCAAAGATGATTGGAAAGCAGCTTATTTCCTAATCTGTCTAAGAATATCATACCCCCTTGAACTGCTAACGTTGCAATAGTATTCACCCCGGCATCTTGTGTCTGTATTTTTTGGTTTGTCAGTTTACACATACAAATAAAAAAGATAAAGATAAAAAAAAAAAGGAAAAATAAAAGGGATGGTTTTGCTATCAAATGCAGATCGAAATTGGAGAGTTTTTGCAGTTGACACCAAGATCAACGCAATGTACATATAAATTCGTTTAGAAAACGATAAAATATAACTAATAAGCACATAGAACTAAGAGCGGTTATCAAACAATACTGATACTATGAAAAATATGAAAAACGACACTAATAAGTACAAACCAGAAAAAAAGGAAAAAAAAACATTTCATATAATAGATAAGAAAATCAAAAGATAAGAAATTAGGTGAAAAGGACAAGAAAAAGAAATTGATCTATGTCGATTATAATCCTTTTATAAACAATAGAACGCTTTCCAATCATCGATATCGTCAGAATTATCACTGTTCTTGTTATTGTTGTTATTCCTTTTATTGCTTGTCTGGCGTTTATTTTTTTTTTTTGTATCTAAGAAAAATTTTCAAAACAAACCTCCTTGTTCGTCCAACATAACGAGCGTCCTAATTCCAGCATCTTTACTCTAAAAGGAAAAAATGCAACAAATACGAAAATAGACAAGTTACCAAAAGAGATATTGAACACACTCATCTACAATTATAGTACATACTTGTTTATAATAAATACTATAGACAGAAAAAACATCTTCAACTTAGGAAACAAAGTATAAAAGTGAGAAATGTACGTAATTATAATAGTAATAATAAAAAGAATAATACTATCGTAAATATTATACTTAATTAACAACACATTGGATTATTTATTACGTAATGGCACTTATTATTAGTTAAAAAAAATCAGTAGCATAGGCGAATAATCTAGCAAAACTATTGTATGTAAAAAAAGAAAAAAAAACCAAATAGGACAAAAAATTGATAAGTCACATGTAAATTAATTATACGATCTCAAACAATAATACTTGTTCGCTATTCTCCAACAAAACAAAAAGAAAAAAAAAAGACAAACAATACACATAAGCAGTACTAGTTATGCATAAAATATAATTTTAACTTACCTCCTCGCATAATGCCACCATGCGTCTCGTACTCTCCAAACTCTGTTTCGAAAAATGGCATTGATTATTTAGTATCTTTTCGTTAAAAAATTGAAATAAACAGGAGAAAAGTGGAGTTATCTGTTTAAACTTTTAAGTAATGAAACAATTATTAACTAAAGTTTTAAGATCGATGAATGTCAATTGACAAGAGACGCCGCTTGGTTAATAAAGCTTGAACCTGAATTGTTCCATTATTAATATCCAATTGAATTTGTTCATCTTCTGTAGGTGTTCGGATTGGACGCTCCTCCTCATTTTCACATTGTTTTTCAGAGTAACTCATTACATCGACCGGCGACCGTTTTCATAGTTCGAATATTCGTACAGGGAGACGCCGCGCGCGAAAATTACAACGTCTAGACGATAGGCGGCGTTGGACACAGTCAGATCGATAGGCAAAACGCAGTGTAATTATGTAAAAATCGATTTCAAAGCGTCCGCCCATAAATCGACAGCGACTGTCATAATGTAGAAGGAGAACCAAAACGGGGTGGGGAGAAAGGAGGCGAATGAATGAATTGTACTAACCTCATCAGTTTTTGCATTCATTTGCATGTGAATGTCCATGGGACCAGTAGGGCTACCAGCAGTGGGGCTTTGTGGTTCCTCCATATTGTTAGTCTGTGTATGAAAATAAATGATAAAAACACAAAACTACATACATAATATATCTAAATAAAGACTTATTAAACCATCAAATTGCTTTACTTAGTTAAACGCTTCAGCCTTATCGAATAATTTTTCCCTATTTATTTATTCAGAAACTAATTTCTGCATTATGATCAAGAAAAAAAAATTGACCGTCATATTGCTTTTCTTATTTATACAAATCGGTTTATCGCCAATAGTTGTGGCTAAAACATGCTTTAACCTTTACTTTTATTCTACTCAATATTATTCCGCTGACTTCCTCATATAACAAACTGTAACGCAATCGATTTCTTCTAGAGGAAGCCGAAAATTTCTCTTTAACAAAATTATCATTAATCCATCCATATCGGTTTATCTTATTCTCTTTTTTTTTTTTTTTTTCTCTTTTCATCCCTTTTCCTGCCTCCACTAACCGTCCCACCACCATTTACTCGGATCAATCTATCTATATCTTTTTCTCTGTCATTTACTCCCCCTCCTTTTTTTTTATAGTTTAATAAAAATGTCCTAAAAACCCAGCTGTCAAGGTAAAATAAAGATATATTACATAAGTGATTGTAAATATATATCAGTATAATATATTTATAAAAAAGATATTTTTCGCCTCTTCTCTTCTGCTATCTCACTCGCCCATTCACTCTTCCTCAATTACTGTCTTTGTTTCAAGAATTGAAAAGAAAAAAGATGACAAGGCCGAAACTTTTTGGTGTATATTTCATTTTAGAACATTACTTAAAACAACCTTTTTATTGATTAGTCATAATCATGTATAAAAATATTAGAAAACCATAAACTGTTGTATGAGTAATTAATAATACATGATTCATAAAATCATCATAATGTTCTTATGTGACACGTGGAGATATATCAATTGCAAACTGTTTTGCAAACGAGGTGATAGGATGAGAAAGAAGAAAACAAAATAAAATAAATTATTCCGGAGAAGATCATTCAAGCTAATAAACAATTGAAAATAAAAAAACAATTTGTATGTGTTTACAACAAGATCTATATATATTTTAGTGCCTTAGGAATGTTCTTCCAACAGCAATACTGCATTAAGACGTTTATATATATATATATATACATTCAGTACCAATATATATAGACTAATCCATAAAGATTTTATTGAAGAAATTGCGCATTCAATGTATTAAGACAGTTCTTGTCAACAGGCCAAAAACTAAACAAATTGCATGCAATTGGTTTGTTAAAATAAAAAATGAAGAGATAGGAAGGGAGAGGTGGGATGAAAGGATTGAGGTACAAAAATAAAAACACAAACCCTCTTGAGAAAAGGCTCACTCTCCATAACGTTTTTTTTTCTGATTTTTTTTAGCTTACATCACCTGCTACATTGGGTTAGTACATGCAAAGATATATAATAAAATTCTATCAACTATAGATATATATATATATGTATATACTGAATAATAATATATTCTAAAAAATCGCCTACGTAAATTGATGCAGATTATAAAAATTATATAAACAGAGGAACCGAGCGACTGTTAATGGTAAACGGACCAGGAAAGACATCATAGCACTGAATTAGAACCAATTATTCTACGTTAATTCTCGTTAACATCCACTAATTTTTATATTTAAACGATTTAATTATCATTTGAGACTATGAATTACCACAATCCACTTACGTTATAGCGAATTTAAGGGATTTAGAAGTAAAAAACCGCCTCCAAATCACTTGAGCGATATGGCTCCGATTTTTCTGTCCAATCAACAACCAGCTTACAGGAAAGAGTTATATTGGCCTATTAAACATTTTTGGCGCACATTTCACTTCATTCAAATTTCATGTTACAATTCTTTACAATTTTTTAAGGTGAAAAAAGGATAGTGATTTATAATTAACATTTATTTTCTTATAAAACTGTACGCAGAATAAATTAGACTATGAATAAATTAATTACATTATCAACATTTAAAAAGGTATTATTCTCTTCTTATTATAATTCAGCAATTATATAAAATTAGAACAACTTGCTCTTTAATAATGCAATCGGATCAAACGCGGGGAAAAAATATTTCCATAAGATACATTAATGGATAAATAAAAAGATACTCTAGGTATCTTTTAACATAGTTAATTCAATAAGTAAAGATTTAATCAAATGTAAATTTCGAACAAAAATCTCTTTTGTGTGTGTATCATTTACTTTCATTGATATTCATATCCTTTATTCAATTAAAAGAACACGTATAATGATTTTTTTTATTTGTTTTATCACCATATTCTTTTAATTGAAGGCTGTAAATCGTTAACTCTTTTACTTTATGCTTTATAGTTGCTTTGCATTTGCTTTATCCATATGAAAGATTATGCGAATAGCATGCAAATGGTGAATAATCTGAGAAGTAAAAATCAGTTTTCTCCCAAGTTCTCTCTCTTTCCTTTTTTAATTTATATTACAATCCAACGGTGAAATTGAGAGAAAAATGAGTTTTCTTTGATATAGTTTTTGCATTTCCTGCCTAATGAAATACTACTGAGTAAAAATTTTTCTCTTTGATTAGAAAAAGAATTGTCTTAGGAGAAGATTTATGGCATTTTTATGATTAATCAATGTAACGCGAAGTCTCTTTATTAGTTATAAATGTGACCTTAGAAATGTACTGTAAATTTTACATTTCTTAATCTTTATCAATAACTGCGAGATATTAGGAAATATATTAGCGTATTCTAATTAACATCTGCAAATCGAGACTTACGGATTTTCCGATTTCCGAAATCGATTTCGCTTTCTTTCGGAATGTAGTAATTTTACGTGTTTAAACTTGCAGTCTATTGTTTGTTAAGTTTTATTTTGAAAAATCATATATTTTCTTATTAATTTTGACTGTAAGTTTTAATATTAATAAGAAGCAGCTTTCGTTAGGAGGTGAACTAAAAGTGAAATTGTTTTGCCAAGTTATCAAAACATTTGGGCGATATTACATGGTTTTTAGAATAATTCTTTTACAAATTTAGTCATGGCAACTCTAAATGGAAACAAAAAATATGTGCAAGGAACAATTTATGGTTTCCGAGGAGAAAGGCCACCATTATCCCAGGGGCAAGGAATTTGTGAAGCCAAGTTACAAGAAGTTTACGACGAGTTAACAGAAATCAAAGATCATTTAAAAAGGGAATCAACAGCTCTCTCTGCTAAATCTAGGGAAATAGAATTTAGAGAGGAACGGTTGCGACTGAGAGAAGAAAAGATTTTAGAGTTGGAAGAAAAATTGGACAGCGTTGTGACGGAAGAGACCGATGAAAAGATTAATTGCATTGAAAGAGAATACGAGGAACGGTTGAACCGTTTAAAAGGTGGGAATGAAGAAGCGAAAAAAGATAACAAGAGATTAAGAGAAAGTATGAATTTATTGGGTAAAGAGAATGAGGGCCTAAGACGGCAGGTTGGAATATTGGAAAAGGAATTGGAGAAGACTCAGAAAAAATGCTTGTCGCTGGAAGGAAGAGTTTCAAATTTTGAACGCTTGAAAAATCCTTCAAATCCTCTGAAAGATATTAAGTTAAAATCGCAAAACGATAAGCCATCAAATAAAATCAAGCCAAAACTCGTACAATTCAAAGGTAAACAATTAATACTACAGCTTCTCGATTGGACCTCTGAGCACTCTAAAGATATTGACGAGTGCGTGAGGGTTCTTCCAGAATTAATTGACTTGTTACCCGAGTTTGAAGATAGCAAAGTTTCACCTTTTAAATTTATATATGCTATTTTGCAAAGTTTGCAAGCCAATCATCAACGTTCTCAGCATACGGCAACATTAAGAAGACTTGGAGAGCAAATATATGGACCCCGCCACCAGATGGCATCTTATTCTGACACTGAGTGTCTGATGTTGTCGGCTTTAATTATCCTCCATACTCCGCTGCCAGTTGATCAGCTCGCTCATGCTCTGGAAACAATTAGAAATCAGGTAAAGAATGAAGTTGGCCGAGGTCTTTTCCTGAAATATGCTGGGCCACTAGCCATTACACCTTTTTTGCGACCTACTAACAAAGCACTTCAGAACAAGTCTTTGGATATTCATATTCAAATGTGTGTTGAGTCAACTTTCCTCGACAACTTCCTCGACAGTCTGAGCAATGATTTATGGTTTAGAACGGTCTCGCTAACGTTTAAGGATGGCTTAGAAGCCGATAGAACGGCCGAAAAGTTGAGCGTTCTTCTTCAAAAACTTAGCAAAGATAGGAAGAATAAAAAGTATTTTGATGCCTTTGGTTTTATGAAAGTGGCTGAAAATATGCTAAAGTCTTGTGCTGATCAGGGATTTCTAGCTTTAAACTTAAGATCTACCATTAACAATTTGTCCTCTTGAAGAGATAAACTAAGACTATTTGATAATATTTTCCGTTTTAGAATATAAATGGGCTTAATGTCTTTTATGAAGAATTAATAATTAGATAGTACTGTATTACGTTTTAGTCTCGTAAAACATTAATCATATGAGCAATGGATTTGCTAGTACGACAAAAAGAAAAGAAACACTTACCCTTCAGATGTTCGCCTTATATAATTATTCAATTCTCACGACATTCACTTAAGTAAAAATTTTCTGAACAACAAATGAAACCCACTCAGAACTACTTGTAAAGGCGATCAATGAAAGACACGTGGAAATGAATATAAAATATTCTATCCGCTTTTTTATCAAATTTCCTACATATATATACACGTACACAATATATATATATATATATATATATATATATATATATATAACCATTTACGCACATACTCTGTCCTTCGACTAGATTTGCAAACGAACAGAAGAAAAACGTACACAACAAACTTGTGCAGCATATTGCTAAAAGCAAACGAATTTTCGCTTAAATTCGCTCATTTGATAAATTTTATAAAGCTGTATAATCTTAAATTTGAACGTCTTCAGAAACGTTCTGATTCTTCCTATCATTTTCCCATTCAACAAAATCGTCAAATAGAGAAGGCCAAGCTTCAGATTCGTCATATGCTGATAAATCATCACCAACTTGTTCGACTAGATTCAGGAACATATCCCAAGTATCTCTTGCTATAGCCCTTACTGATGAGGATTTTTCCAAAAAAAGAAGCCATGGTTTTAGGATGGCAGGCTCGTTTTCAGTAAATATTAAAGGCCAGAGGACAAGTGCCATTTCGATTGACAAAGAACGCTGGCCACTCTCCAAACCATATGAAAATGTCCATTTGTAGAAGATTTTGAAAGAGATTTTATCGCAGATTAGATTATTGATTAATGACGGTATGACCGATTTAAAGCCACCTATAGAATGAACGCCTAACTTTCGGCCCCCATTGAGAAATTCGGCTTTTGTAAAGCAGCACATTGAACTTGCGTTCAGAGCATGTGCGAGAACGAGTACCCGAAAGTCATCTGGTTTCAGATCCAGATCGAAACACAACCTTTCGCAACCATCGGCTAAAATGCAATTTATATCTTCTGTGTCTTTGTACCGGTCATATAAATCCAGCAAGGCTCTTTCTGCTTCTGCTTCGTTTCCAACGCCGCCTTCGGTGGCAGATACATCACCAGTAACATTTAATCCATCATTGGCGCCGTTACAATTCTGGCCATTTAAAATTCTGTTCCGTTCGTAGGCATGTTGTCTGGAATTTGTAGGTGCAGCAAGCTTCGCCGGATTCGAACGATGACGTGTGGAGCTTCCGCTCGTACAGCACCGGGATATGCAGTTGCCCATCGAGGCGCCAGGTGGCGCTGTGGTCATAAGCACCTGGAAAAGTCAACGTCGAATCTTAAATATATTCCATTCCTGACAAAAACATGCGTCTGTACAACATTCCCAAAGGCTAAACATTCGCTAAATTAACCACAGCGCGCCTTACACTATTGACAATTCTCTGCCGTGTTATTTCGAATAGAGAATATTTCACAATTCCAACTTATATTTGATTATACATCTATTCTTATCTGCTTTTTAAGTTTGGCCAGTATTTAACTATGAGTTTGTGTAATTATTTAAATTAATGCAACACACGTACTTTTTCTTAACTTATCTGTTACGTATTAATCAAGCTGCCAAAAGGTTTGGAAGCTTTCTTTGTTTGTTGAGGGTGAGTGATGAGAATTATGCGACGAAGACAAAAGCTTTCTACATAGAAAAGAAATCATGCTTTTTTAAGCGCTGATTTTCCTGAAAAATTCTGATTGTGAACTAGTCAATTATATATAATAGTGATGCAAATTAAATTTTAGAAATCTACAGCTGTAGGGTGTTTAGTATCTCATTTTCTGAAAACATCTACCAATTAGCACCAGTAGAGATGCTCTTTTCTGTAGGCCTACAATTTAATTTACAATGGCCTAAATATATAACCGTCAGATATTATACATTTACAACGGTCATATAATGACTATGCAAGTTACAGCTGTCCATAACATCTCAAATCTTCAGGACATTTTCTATTTTTATAAATCAGATATTCGTAAATTTGAAGTTCTAACTTTGCAAGTTAATTTTCCAAGAATACAATTAATATGTTACACAAAGCTGTAAATTAACTGCTAAAGGCAACTTTTGTATTCGAAATCAAAAGCTGTTTACTATACAATTTCTATTTAGGTCTATCCAGCAACATGTTGCTTGTAAAAAGAAAATGTCGTTTAAAGAATTCTTTATTTAGAATCGATGAACGAAAACCGAATAAAATTAGGTTACACTATGCTTGTTCCAATTAATTCCACGCTCAAGCGAGCGTCCATAAATCAACGACGTTCCTGACAAACCAGGAGCGTCTAATATAAAATATCGCTTAATACTCTCTCGTTTTTTTTTCGGCATCTCGATCGATAAAGCGAGAGAATTCTTTTAACTTTTTCCACATCCCGAGCGTTTCCTGTCATATAATATAGAAAAGCGACTCGACTGGTAAGTCAGCAGCAATCAGCATCATAAGCTGATTAATAAGCTACATTCAAATGTTCTCGGTAAATAACTAGTTATATTAATAGTAATCCCATTAGCAGTCCATAAAACTATCGTTCAGGTTTCTTCTTAAATATTCTTTTTAAACAAAAGCGTCAAGTACATGTAAATAACAATGACGAAAGGAAAAATCATATAACTCCTTTCGCAGTAACCTATGTATGGGAACGATGAAACTTAATGAGATTTAAGCTTTTAGAAAGTTTCTTTTTTTTATAACAAGTGTGAAAAGTAAACAATGTCAAACCTCAAAAAAAAAAACATTTTTAACAGATTAAATTTTCGAACCTCACCTTATCAAGAACAATTTCCTGCTATCATTGAATATTTTTTCACATAATGTTATTCCGAATCGGGATGATAAATTATTTAACGATTTAAAGAAAATAAAATCTGTAAAATTATCTTAAAACGCTTTTTGTTTGTAAATCGTGAGAATTCGTTGTGCTAGCCGTGCGAATGGCAGAATATTCCAACGTTGTTTGCCATGTTCGAAAGCGAGGCTGGGATTCCCTTTCGAATTTTTTTGCCTGGAAACGTATTCTTTCTAATTGTATTAAATAATAAAGAAAAAATATTAGTAATTAAATTTTTTTCATAGAAAATAATGATTTATCTGCCATCTGAAATGGCGGTAAATCAACGTACCCATTCAAATTCGGAGCCTAATTCGGGTTATATAACTAGAATCAAACTGCATAATTTTGTTATTTATGATGATATTGAATTCTTTCCTGGGAGGAATCTTAATTTAATAACTGGAGCGAATGGAAGTGGAAAATCTACAATAGTGTGCGGACTTTCGTTGGGTTTGGGTAATTCGTGCAATAATTTCTCAAGGCCTAAATATTTAAATCTTAATTTTTTCTCTATCAGGAGGTAAGGTATCTAATCTTGGAAGGGGGACATGTCTTGCTGACTTTATAAAAATGAATAAAGACGAAGCATATATAGAAATCGATCTCTATCAGTCGGAAACCAAAAATGTGCGAATTAAACATTCTTTCAGACGCGGCGAAAAGAAGTCTTACTGGTCGATAGATGGTAAAACAGCAACAAAACATGAAGTCGAGAAAGCTACATCTGCATTTAACATTCAGGTAGATAATTTGTGCCAGTTTTTGCCTCAAGACAGAGTTGCAGACTTTGCAAAGATGAATGCAAAAGATTTGCTACTCAATACCGAAAAAGCTATTAATGAAAAACTATATGATACTCATATAGACTTATGCCAGATGCATAATTTCGAATCTAATTTGAAAAAAGAAGTTAATTCGTTAAGTGAAAAATTAGAAGAAGCTAACAAGAAAGTTACTCACTGGAAATCTGAATATGAAAATCTGCAGGAGAGGAAACAACTGTTAAAACAACTGGATATTTTAAGGTGTAAAAAACTTGAAATAAAGACTCATACTGCTAAAGAAGACTTAAATTTAATGAAAGAAGAATGTAAAGAACACATCAGTCATTTAAAAGCAGTTGAAAAAAGCGTGGAACCCCTCGAAAATAGTATTAAAACTTTTGATACGCAGATCAAATCTTTTGAAAAAGATATTCATATATTGGAGCAGAAATTAAATAATAAAGTTGATAAAGACCGAAATTATAAAAATCTCATAGAAAATATCAATGAAAGTGTCAGGCAAGCTGAAGATGATTTGGAAAGAGCCATTAAGGAACAAAGTGATTTAAAAACTAAACGTCAAAACTTAAAAAATAAGATACAAGACCTGGAGGTAATATATGAGAATTCGGTCGAGGAAAGCAATCAAGCCAAAGTTGCTTTGGCCGAAGTTGCTAAGGAGACAAATGAAATTAAATCTAAAATTTTAGCCATTGAAGATCAACAATCAGGATTGGAACCAGATAGAAGACAAATTTTATGTCAAATGAAAGCATTGGAGAATGAACTTTCTAGAAATCAAAATTTAAATAAACAAAGAATGGACTTGCTCAGGCGAGAAAGTAGAGATGCTTATGAAGCAGCTGCATGGTTGGAAAACAATAGACATAAATTCAAATCAAATGTATTTTTACCACCGGCTATTACAGTGCAGTGTAAAAATGATAGGATGGCAAGATACGTTGAGTCATCAATTCCTAGAAGGGATTTGGTTTCATTTATGTTTCAAAACTGTGAAGATATGGATGAGTTTTTGAGTATTATTCGTGATGAGAAGAAACTGGTTGTGAACGCTGTTCAAACGCCAAAAAGACAACTTCATGAATTCAAACCAGATATTCCTATAAATGAATTAAAAAATTTTGGTTTCATTTCCTACGTCAATGACTTATTCTCTTGTCCAGATGAGGTAAAGGCATACCTTTGTCAATCTTATGGTATTCATAACTTACCCGTTGGAACAGAGCAGACACATGCAAAGGTTGTTAATTTTAAATTTTAAATTGTATCAGTCTCAAAAGTATTAAACTTTGTTTGGTCTCATTTTCAGGTCAGTCAAGTTATATCTACATTTGAAAACTTGCGTCAATTTTTTACTCACGATTACTCTTATCGAATTACGAGATCTCAATACTCTAACAATACATCAACTAGCTCAAATGAAATTCGTCCTGCTCGTTTGTTGGCAAATGCTTGCAATCATAAACAAGAAGAAGAATTAAAGAGAAAAATAGAAGTTTTGAAAAGTCAATTGAATGAAATTTCTCAAGAATATCAAAAGTTAAGGACTCAAAGGGAAGAATTAAACCATAAAATGGAAGGTCTTAGAAGTAAAAGAAACGATCTGACAAAAGCTAAAGATAGATTAAACCATTTGGAAGGTCGACTTAAGGCTTTCCGTGATCAATTGAATGGTTTAAGTGATATTAACATGGATGAAATCAGAGAAAATCATGATCTTACTTTGGTAGATTGTGTGAAAAGAAAATTATCTGTCATGTCTAAAATCAAGGAATCTGTAGGCGAGTACTCTGTTATTATCTTGAAAATAAATCGATTAGGAGCACAGAAATGTACAAGCAGGAGAGAACTGGAGCTCACGAAAAGTCAATGCGAAGATAAGTTGAATGAAAAAAGAAAACTTATTGAAATTGTTGACAACTTAAGGAAGGAAGAAAAAATTCTTTTTGACGAATACCGGAAATTATCATCTGATCTCTTTCATAAGCTTAATGATTTAAATATAAGCGAAGATGAGTTAAATAATTTAACAAATGATATAGAGGAAATAGACACAAAAATAGCTGAATTTGAAGCAAGAGCAGAATTGCAAGCTCGGGAAGTTGAAGACATTGAAAAGCAATACGAAGATTCTATTCGCAATTTAGAAGTTACAAAAGAATATTTTGAAAAATCTTCTAGCAAATTAGAAAACTTTGTCTCTAATAGCAAACAAAAAAGAGATGACTGGGAAAGGGAACTCAAGGAAGTAATTCAAACTATCAGCTGTGATTTTGGAAATTTAATGAGCTATTTAGATTGTGCTGGAGAAGTTAGCCTAAGTAAACCTTTAGAAGAATGTGATTACGAAAATTACGGAATTTGCATAAAAGTAAAATTTAGGGATAACGAAGAATTAATGGAATTGAGCTCTAAGAGACAGAGTGGCGGAGAGAGAGCAGTATCAACTGTACTCTATATGCTCGCTCTTCAAAAGTTAACATCAGCTCCTTTCAGAGTTGTTGATGAAATTAACCAGGGTATGGACTCTACAAACGAAAGAAAAGTTTATGAATTACTCATAAAACATGTGTGTTCTCCGAGTCAATATTTTATGTTAACGCCAAAATTACTACCTGATTTGAATTACCCAACTAACATTACGTTTTTTTGCGTTCAAAAAACTATAAAAAATTTCGGCTTGCCTTACGATTCACTGACGAATGCATACAACAGATTTTTAGATAGTTAAAAAAATGTCAATTTCAATGAATTTTTTTATATCATTTTTATTCTGAATCCGAGTGAATTAGCCGATTAATAAAACTTCATTCCAAAATTCTTCTTTTGTTATAGAGAATTGAAACGTTTTTTTTTTGATTTTTGTAAAAGTTGATTAGTGATTTTAGAAAGAAAAATGTGAGTGTTGTAGAAAGAAAGCGAACAAATGTGCTATCGTATTTTAAACTATCAACTAGGAAACAATGAAAATATTGAAAAAAACTTAAAATTAAAAGGTTGATGTAGCTTTTACGACAGCATTAAAAATTTTTGACAAGATATTTTTTAGAAGAGTGAAACTAAGTTATTACAAAAAATATTTGTGCATAGGTGTAGTGAAAGAGAATGAAAAGAAAATACTAAATAACACTTCATATCTTTACCTTACCTATTTACAATCTCTTAATCTAAAGAAGATCAAATTATATTATAATCGATATTTCAATGACGAATATTTTTTTTAATAAATCGTAAGAGAAAACAATTAAGGTATGTTAAGCTTATAATGTTGAACCCAATACTCATCTCCCATGCGATCCTCGCCCTGTTCTAAGAAATCCCCAACCATAATATTATCCCCATAATATTCCTTACTTCTTCCTAAAGCGTAAGCAATATCCTGTTTAGCCGCTAGAACAGTGTTTTTCATAAGCATAGCGACTGTCATTGGACCAACACCGCCTGGTACGGGGGTAATCCAAGAAGCTTTCTCGCTTACACCTATAAAATAATACTCAAGTATATTTACAGTGAGAATGAACTACTAATAATTACCTTCAAAATCAACATCTCCAACTAGTTTATATTTACCAGTTTGTGGATCTTTGACTCTGTTAATGCCAACATCGATGACGGCGACACCTAACAAGTTTAGATTTACATTTGTATTAGGAAGAATATTCCGATAATTACCTTCTTTAACCATGTCACCAGTTATGAGATTCGGGATCCCTGTAGCTACAACGAGAATATCCGCTGTCTTCACAAATACTTTTAATTGTTCGGGAGGTGTGTATCGGTGGCAAATTGTTGTAGTTGCGTCACCTAAAAAATGTTGAATAGGCCGAAATTATTATTTAATTACGAAAATTCAAATAATAACTAAAAACATTAAAATAATAAAAAATGTCAAGGCAGATTTTAAGGAAAATAAGAAAAAAAATTGGCTCTCAATCTCTAAATGACGTAACCTTGAATAAAATGATAAATATCGACTCTGGTAATTGTCTTGTTGTGATTATTGAAGCTGTGAACAATATTATAAAAGAGAGCTCAATAATTAATGAATTAATCAAGTCTAAAAGTGAAAATGAAACAAAGTCGGAATGTCAAGAGATTATTGATAAGTGTTTATCAAAATCGCATTTTATTTTATACAAGATTTACAAATTAAAAGCCTATATTTCGGAAACGGGAAATACATTACGAGAGCCAAATAGGCCTATCAAACTGCCGGCTGTCGAAAATAGGACAAGTTATCTGTCAGGACTGACGTGCAACGATTTAGCAAATGAAATGTTCAAGCTACACTCTAGGCTGACAAACTGTTTACCGAGTCTAAAAGAAATTTACTGTTTGACAATGAAAAGTAATGGAAGCGGCGAGCAAGAACTCGTGGAAACGGATTTATAAAAGATTATTGTAAGGAATTGATTGAACCTGCTTGGGTCTCTCCTTCTCCATCCGAATGGAGAAGCATTGCTATCGGCATGCCCACGTTCTTTGATCTACCGCACACAACAGCATTTTTTCCATATGTTTCAATGCCACTTCTTTTCAATAACTCCATCACTCCTGCTGGCGTAGCAGGGATCATTGATGTCAAATCAACGCAAAATCTAAATCATGGCATACAGCGAATTTTAAATTTAGCGAGAAAAGGAAGTAGTAAGTTATATTAACCTCCCGACATTTGTTGTATGAAATCCATCAACGTCTTTAGATGGAGTTATTGCATTACAAACTGTTCTTTCCTCGATATGCTTCGGAATCGGCAGCTGTCAAGTTCATGATTATTTGATAATTTTTTCAATAAAAATACAATCGTACTTGAACAATTATTCCATCAACATTTGGATCTTTATTGAGTTCATCAATTTTTTGTAGTATCTCCTCCTGAGTTGTTGTTTCTGGGAGAGATAAAGTATCGCTTTCAATGCCGGTGTACTTTGCAGCGATCATCTTATTCTTGACATAAGTTTGACTAGCTGGATCATGTCCAACAATCACTGCAGTTAATTTCGGCCTTCTTTTCCCTTCACTAAGCATCTTTTCAACCTCCGCCTTTAGTTCAGTTTTAATTTCTTTTGCTATGGCTCTTCCATCGATGATTCGAGCTTTTTCCCTGTGGTTATAGAAACGTAAAAGAGGTGAATGACCCCAAAATTGGTTTCCCCGCAATTTAAATAATGATTGTTGTACCCAAACCCGTAATAAATATACCTTATACTTGTTGTTGACAGTGGTAATTGTTGGCGATTGAGCAGAAATTTAGAAACGCGTAAAAAAGAAGAAAGTTTTCGAGACATGCTTTCACGTTGCTACTGGTCTACTAATTACGACAATGTAAATCCGTGAAAAAGGTTCAATCATCAAAATATGTTTAAAACCTCTATAATTTTTTTATAACGTATTTAACTATTAGAGTTAGGTGAAATTTCAAAGAGATAACGAAAATACGAAGATAAGTAAAAAAATGATCACGCTATAGTACCACTTTTTAAATGGCGGACAAACAAGAAGAGCCCGCGCAGAAGTTGGAAACTTCTACAACAGAATTAGGAGATGACAGTGCAGTTTCCTTGCCAAATCTGAATGTCGTTGAAGGAGAGGAAAGTGAGACGTCATCCGAAGAAGGAGTAGATGTAAATGTGTTCGAAACTAAGTCAACAAATCAGGAAAACAATTCCACACTACCAGTTACGACAACAGATGATCCAAAGTTAAAAGAAGGCCAAAAGAAAGGACCACCACTTAACTTTCGGAGTTCTTTACCTAAATCAAGACTGTTCAAATGTAAATATCAAATCGATAATTTTCTCAAAAAAATTTTAAATTGATAAAAACGATGTGGATGTGTAAAGTTTAGCTTCCAACGAATGTGACGTCAATTTAGAGCGCCGTCACAAGTAGGCCTAGTGTGATCGATAGACCTGAGGCGCCAAATGCTCTGTGCAGACGTTATTTAACCATATTGCTACTTATTATTTATCTGCTGATAATATTAATATTCGTTTTGATTCGAGATTCGATTAGTCGAATAAGAAAGTTGTTGATTCCACAACAATTGCGCCTATATTCATTGTAAACTTGATAAATAAGACAATTATGGCGAGTGAAAGATTATATTTATGTAATTTCCGTGTTTCGGTAGAAGGAGATTGGTTGTGCCTTAAAGAACTTTCGAACTCAGATAAGGGTTTTATCCCTCAGAACTTGAAGAATGTCGATGGTGCTTTTTGTTCTTTTTTCTTATAAAAAAAAAATCTACTTTTATAATATGCATTTTTAATTATTTAAATTTTCAGATCGAGATTCTATTACTATCGAACGATATAATCTTTTATCAGTATGCAAATTGGTAATAAAGGAACTAATAGACTCTTCACTAAAGCACGGTAGAATGCTTGACGACGAACACGTTCCACTTCAACAGTTTTTCACTGTATTTGAACACGTTTTAAGGCATAGATTAAAGCGTAAGAATATATAAATTAATTGCATAAATAATTCATAATAATATTTTACTCTATTTTTCTTTTAATCTATAGCTAGAAAAGGTTTATTAAAAGATACTTATGATATTTGGCCAGTTTTAGAAAGCGTTCAAAAGTGTATGCACGATGCTATTGATATAACAATAAGCGTTAAAGACATGCCCAATGTCAAGTAAGTTTATTGATTCTATCTTTTGTAGACATGTATGCGCAATGTTTTCTATATAATATGTAACAATAGATGATGTAGTATACTATTTACACTTTTTGCGTTATAATTATTTTTCTTTTTATAACTGTAGGTCTCCAGCTGGTAAAGCCAGAGCTTGGTTACGTTTAGCACTCATGCAGAAGAAGCTGGCTGACTATTTCAAAGTGTTAATTGAAAATAGAGATGGATTTTTAAGGTTAGGGTTTATTTTTATTAAAAAATGCCATTAAACACTAAGGTGATTATCTCTTCGTAACAGAAATTTTTACGATAATGGAGCGTTAATTTTGGAAGAAGATGCTACAGCAATTGCTGGTTTACTGCTTGGTCTTAACGTTATTGATTGTACTTTTTCAATGAAAGACTGTAATTTGGATGAACCGGTATAAAAAATATTAATAAATTATTCACTATTATTAAGAAAGAATACCGTACACAGTTAGGAGTAATAGATTTCAGTCTATATTTACCTGATCATAAAGCTGTTAATGAAGATTCGGACGATGATGAAGATAATAAGCGTAAAATGGCTGCAATTTTAGACCAGAAAAATTACTTGGAAGAATTAAATAGGCATTTAAAGTAAGTTAATTATCAACAAATCCAGATTAATTAGAGAGATAACCTATTGAACTTATACATATGCAAAATATAAACATATCTATTTTTGTACATATACAGTAGTATAGTATATATTATATATTTAAAACACAGTATATCTATTTGTAATCTATTAAGACAAATCGTTTTAGCTGATAAAAGATATAAGTAACAATAGTTTATTTAAGATATGAAATCTTATTTATGTTTTCCTTCTATTGGTTTTATTCTAGTAAACGTTGCTTTTTAGTTCTACAGTTACAAATTTAAATACCAAAGTTGAACTATTACAAACATCCAACACTCTAATGAAAGAAGATTTGGCTATAGCGAAGAATACTGTATTACAATTACAACACGACAATTCCAATCTTGGCAGGGAAAAAGAAGAATTAATTGGCGAATATAACCGACAGATGGAGGTACTTTTCTTGTTATTCGGATGCTTATTCTTTGGTAAAAATACTTGTTTATTGTAACCAATCTCTTCTTTTATTAGGTTATGCAATATGAACTAAAGAAGGAACGTGAGAACTGTCAAGTTGATAAGATGAATATTGAAGCGCACAAGAATTTACAAGAAGAGACAAAAATGAGAATTGTATAGCATTATTTTTTCTCCATTAAAATTGTATTAAGCAAAATCTAACGAAGATTAAAAAATAAGACAGGAAAAGAAAGTAAAAAATATACCTTTTTTCGTTTTAGGACACTGAAAAAGAATTAAAAGTACAAATAGGTTTAAAAAAAGAAAATGAGATGGCTTTGAGACTTCTCGAAAGGGATATACACGAAAAGCAGGTGATATTAAAATTCAGCCTATATAGCACGCGTTAATAGGGGTAAATTTTTTAAAACAGGATTCTCTAATTTCATTGAGAAAGCAATTAGACGAAGTAAAAGAAATCAATCTTAATTTGTATGATAAATTACAGGTTTTTATAAACAAAAATTTTTATTTTATTGTAATCTTCAATAGGATAATTAGCTGTTTTTTTTTATTTAAAGGAAGCTGAGACGTCGCTGAAACATAAAACTGATATGGTGAATAAACTGGAAGAAAGAGGCAAGCAAATGACTTCTAGTATACGCGATATGGAAATTCTGTAAGTTAATTATGTCCTCTTTCGTCGAATGAGATGCGTTATTCATTATTGATTCATTGTGGCAAACAAGGGTAAAGAATTTGGAGGCAGGTAAGAAAGCAGCGGAGGAAACTGCCAGGAAATTAGGACAGCATTTAGCTGAAAAGGACGCGAAAAAGAGTGCAGTGGAAACAGATCTAAAGATTGAAAGGGAATGGAGAGCAACATTACAAGGAAATTTAGAACAAGAAAAAGAAAAAGTTAGTAGTCTTATAGAGCAGGTGGAAAATTTAAACAACGTTCAACAAGTAAGTAGATTATGGAGCCTTCATTCTTAATCGTCTTAGCGTATAAAATATAAAACTCTCTAATAAGGAATACGAAAAATTAAAAAAAGAATATCAGATGCTAAAATTAACTTGCGAAGATCAAGAAAAAGCTCTGTCTGAGCTTGGCTCTCATTTGAGCGAGTAAGCTAACTTATTATTTTTGTATTGTTATTTGATGGACGTCATCTAATTCGTTCTGTGTCCAAAAGGTCAAAATTGCGCGTTGAAGACTTAAAAGAGGCTCAAGCGGTAATGAAAGATGCCGCATGGACGGACGATAAAGAAGCATCAGCCTGTAAAGCATGTAATAAGCAGTTTTCAGTTTCAAGGAGAAAGGTTTGTTAATTTAATTATGGTACGAATACTTTGTTAATACACTCATTTCTATTTTTCTTCAGCATCACTGCCGAAATTGTGGAGAAATTTATTGTAATGGTTAGTGTATTTACAATAATAACATTTACAATGTACATGTGCAGTACATGTATATAAATTTATATATATATACTGCATGTACAAGTCGATACAAAACAATAGTAAATCAAGTATGCACATAACTATTCACAATATACATGTAAATTTTTTTCAGAATGTTCAGACAATAGAATGCCTTTACCGTCTTTTGCCAAACCGGTAAGAGTATGTGACGCCTGCAATACTGTTTTATTGCAAAGATACTCTTCTTCTTAGTGTTTTTATTAAGTTATATTTTGTTTGTTTTTAATTAATAATAAAAAAAATTAATTCAACGAACAGCCCTCAACTATAAAATCCTCTTACGATATGTATTCACTGATACACATATAAATTACATTACACCAACAATTCAAAAAGGCAAAAACAAACAAAAATGTTTCTTTGGTATTATTCGACAACGAATATACATAAATATATATAAATATATTTATATATATATTTTTATATACATATATATAAGGTATGATTATTTATAAATATGCATACTTATAAATATTTAAACAACACAAATCATGTATAAAATATGGTGTTTAAAACATGTATACAACAATTGGCAAGCGGAGAGTGTCAATGTTTTGGAATGTTTATGTACAATTTTCCTTATGCTAACTAATGCCACTCAAGTGACCGTTGGCTAAATTCGTACCGTCTTTCACTTTACTACCTAAAATGTTTACATTTGTTACGTCCCCACTTCCGTTTATCCGGGACTGTGATGATGTTAAAGGTATTCTACTGTCATCTACTTCATCGTCTTCTTGGATAGGATCATAATCTGCTGGTTGTTTATTGGAAGAATCGGAGAGAGGTTCATTGATTGCACCATCTTCAGCTGGAGGTGTATAACTTCTTAACTTACTATAATAAGAAACTCTTTTGAACTTTTCATTCAAGTTAGGCTGTAAATGTTCAATGAGATCCGTAAAAGTTGGACGATCTCTAGGCTTGAATTGCCAACAATTGGTCATCATTGTATATAAATCAATAGGACAGTTTTCAGGCATCTGCATACAATTTCCTGCCTTTACGAATTGTAAAACATCGTCGTTACTTAGCCCCTGATAAGGTTGTTCGGCTAGCGTTGCCATTTCCCACAAAACAACCCCAAAACTAAACACATCCGATTGGGATGTAAACTTTCCGTCTTTTAAACTTTCTGGAGCCATCCACCTAACAGGTAAAATACCTTTGTTACCTTTACGATAATAGTCTGTTTCGTATATATCTCGAGTCATTCCAAAATCTCCCACTTTGACTGTTTTATCCTCGCTTACCATACAATTCCTTGCCGCCAGATCACGATGAACAAATTTATGACCGGCCAGATAGGCCATGCCATCCGCTATTTCCCCAGCCCATTGCATTATTTGACCAAGAGACGGAGGTTCAAGTTGACTATCTTCGTCTGGTCGATGCTTTCGAAGGTAAGATTTCAAGTCTCCATTAATCATGAGTTCCATAAGAACTAAAGGATTACTGCCAGTTTTCGACATGACTCCCAGTAATCGAACAACATGTTCACAGTGCAAACCTTTCATTACAGAAGCCTCATTTAAAAATTCTATTTTATCTCGAGGTGTAGCACTGTCACTGAGGCTCTTAACAGCGCACGGTTCAATGACATCAGGTTGATCATCTTTAAGTCCTCTTACTGTACCCTTATATACTTTGCCAAAGGCACCTTCTCCTATAGGATCTCCAATCTTTATTTTTTCGTTCTCTACTTCCCATTCATCAGGAACATATATTTTGGCGTGTACATGAAAATAATCTGGATTAATAGATGCGTATAATAAAGAATCTAACGGAGGCTTTCGATTCCTCTGATAACAGCAGTAACCGAAAACTGCTGCAAGAAATAGAAGAATAGCAACGACAGCGACTCCAATAATAATACTTATAGTTTTATCGCTATTATTTTTGAAAGGTGGATAAAATGATACCCACTTCGACCAATTTCCTTTACCAAATAATAACTGTGCTTGTATTCTGACACTGTGCTTGTTGCCATCGACGAAAACTGAACTGTTTATTCTTAAACCGTTTGTCCTTAGATAATCAGGAATAGGAACACAGTAGAAGAAAGCTGGCCTTCCTTCACTTTTTATTTCTAAATTGTAATTATAAATGTAGCCATTAGGCTTTTTTGGCGGTTTCCAGGTGATCATAATATCTCCAGTTCCCTCTTTAGGAATAGCTTTAATAGTTTCCTCATCAAGATTATCAGCATTTTCCTTCACACCCGTTATTTCACTAGCTGTGGCCTTTTTCGAACACATTCTTTTACCTGATGTATGATGACAGGCTCTAACTTCAATTGTATATGATGTGTAATACTTTAAATTATGAATTTTAATTTGTGTATCATAAACAAGTGTTTCAGTAATATCTTCTTGAAATGAATCCTCTTCGTCGATTGTTTCAGTCGTTTCTGGCCTATTTGTAGTTATTGGTGACACTGTCTGAGAGTCTTTCGTTGAGGTCGTTCTGTTTGGCGAAGAAGTAAACAAATTTCTATTCAAATCGCTATCTTTCAAATTAATGTTATTCATGTTCGCATCATGTTTCTTATGATAAAAACTATCCATAATGGTCAATTCAAGAAGTTGAAGACTCCTTTTCAAACTCCTCTGCTTTTGTACAGAATTTTGCCTTTTCTTATCTAATTTTTTAGCCTCGCAACTTGAATCGTTCCTTTTTTCAAATGAGTCGTCTGGCTTCTTTCTGTTATTGTCTGGCTCTCGACCACAAAAGCTACGATTATCATATTTAGAATAATTATCTTGCTGTTCCAATATAACTAAAACATATTCCGTAACGTTACCATTCTCATACTCTGGCTTTTTCCATGTTACATGTATTGTATTGTTGGGTAATGCTTTTGCTTGTAAGTCTACAACTTTTGAGGGTTCAGAAGGTTTGGTGTGAAAATATTTTATATTACTGATAAAAGTCTTTCCTTGAGGATCAATTGACACTGATTGAATATAAGCTGCATATTCGGTATAAGCCTTTAAATTGCTCAAAACAGAATTGTCTTTCGGTTCAGGAGAGTACCAAGTAGTTTCAACCGACCAAGCGCTTTCGTCACAAGATGCTGCCAAGTAAGGTGTTAGTTTCTTGCTTTTATCTTTGACTTCTTGATAATATACGGAATGACCAAGTAGATTATCAGGAGCCGAATTTGTTTGCTTCTTCCATAAATTGAGTAAACTTGGTCCATAAATATTGGCCGTATGTGTTGTTGTATTTACATGTGAAATTTTATAATGAACCGTATCGCACAGAGCGTTTTTACCGTTGGAGAGCCATTCAGTTTTAGTTTGACTCGATGGAGATTTATTTCTGACTGATTTGAAAAATTTTTCAATTTTTGACGGACATAATAAACTGTTTTTAAATATTTTAATTGACCCATCGCCCACAGTTATATTATTCGGAAAGTCCAAATCAACTAAATTTGGATTTTCTGCTAAACGAATCCTGACAGCATTTGCTGTAACATATGAGATTTTTTTCAAACTCTTAAAGATACTCATAGATGTTAAAGCCTGAGTTCTCATTATGTACAGTTGTTCGATACTTTCCAGTATGGAAAAGGCTTCCTCCATTGTTGCTTTTATATTGTTGATATCATTACTATGGATGGCGACATCCAAAAGTTTAACCGAAGTGCATCCTTTCTTGGCAAATTGCTTCAATTTATCATAGCTCTCTATAGTTTCTGTTTCGCAAGGTTTCTTGCAAATATGACCAGGACATTCAACACAAACTCTTGAATAGGGGCTTTTCCTTTGAAAACCAGTTGGGCAATCTAAAGTACACTTGTCCCCGTTTTTAACTGGCAGCTTCTTTGGGCCGGTTAAGTCTTTGAAGGGCATAGTAGAGTCGGTTGAGTCTTTACTGAATATTTCCTCGCATTCTGTCTCACTAATGCAAAACCGATTTCTATATATTAATTCACCAGTGCACTTCTCGACACATCTTCCATTATTGTTGGCATTTTTACAATTGTAACAAGCCGACGCATTATCTTTCTCGTAACACCCACCAAAACATTGATCATGACAGCATTTACCGTCAGTTGTACAAAACTCACAACCACACAGCCCCTTCGGTTCTGCAACAAAAAAACAAGCTCTATGACAAACGCGCTTTTCTAATTATAAGCTCAGAGCTGATGACGTCACTGCTTTTGACATAGACTTGTTTACATCATAAAATCGGGTCAACTTTTATAAAGTAATTACGATACAACATCAACATACATCGTTATAGTAACAATCTATCTTGTTATACTAAAAAACAGTCGACCTAAGTTCAAGAACAAAGCAGCTTGTCTAACAGCTTGGAAGCCGGTTAGGTAGTGAACAATAAATACTTACCACTTTGGCAATAATCCTGATTCCAACAAGAAACGGTGCGATCGTCATTTCGCGGGCAATTTGGCATCCCACAAAAATTCGTACACGCTTCAGCCACTCTGTTTTCTGAGAAAAGTGTTTCCACGTCTTCTGATAGTATATACTTCCAATTAATATTATCAATATAACAAAGCATAGGATTTTCAACGATAGCTACTGATCCTCTTTTTATCGAAACCAAACTTTTCAATCCGAGATCCATTATGTCCGAATTTTCACAAATGATTAATGCCTGATCATTCATCAACGCTTCACCCTCGATCACAGCTAATTTTGGAAACAGTTTAACTAAAGATTTCAAACCCGAAATTCGATAAACTGATAAATATCCAGTTATGACTCTTAAATTAGGGAATCTCATTTTTTCCCAATGGGTCACATTTTCCATGGGTCCTAAAGCTAGATTTCCTAAAATAATAGTGCAATTTTGGAGAGGTACGGCCATATCACCTCGTTTCTCTATCATTATCCTATTCTGTTCGCCTTTGCACACTATTAGCAAACAATTTATAAAACAAAAAGAATTTTAATTGTCTATAGTAAATTTTAAACTTACCTAATTCACTTCCTAAGGAGTAATAGTTTATAAGATACATATATCTATTCTGCGAAATTTTTCGATCACTGGCAATCACTACAAATGAATGATAGAGTAGGTAGAGGAAGATCAATTTGTTGACAAGTTCGTTCATTCTCTTTTTTTACATTTTCCTGACTAGATTTCTAGAAAAAATTGTACGCCGATCACTTACTCAGTCATTGTTTCGCACAACAAATTGTTAATATACGATGAGGTCAGTGCCCAAGAGATTCTTTAAAATAAATCCCGCTATCCACTGATCGCTGAGAACTTGTATTCACTTTTCTGTCTAATCCAAAATATTTGTAGTGTGATAATCCATAAAAATGAATCAATTCAAAGGGTTTAATGGGTTTTATGCGTGATTTCGCACGAAACGTTCAGTCATTTTCGTTCTACAGCGGAAAAGCAAGATGTAAACAAGCAACGACGCTGATTGGCTAGTTTTTTATTGTTCTTTTCGTATAAATTTTGTTTCGGTGCATAATCGCTAGCGGCCCCTGCCGTCGCGTGTATCAGCGTAAAGTGTACTAATATAACAGAAAAGTACATTTAAAAAGTAATGAATATTTAATAATTGCTAAGCCCAAGATCTGTTTTCTCTTATGACCCAATTTCGGTCCATCATGGAACCGCATTCTTTTTTTTTACTTTTAAATTGAGGTATCAGTAATACTACACCATTCAAACTTAAGTTGTCTTATTCTCTCATATCAGGATATTCTACACATTCACTAAATAAAGAACTATCAATGGCAAGTGTGTGGCGTAATTTCAACAGGCAGTAAATTTATTCAATGTACTGAGTTGTTTTTTCTCTTTTAACTATCTAAATATGTCTTGTTGAGCTCCAATTTCTCAGAATACTCAAGTTAGTACACCTGCAGAGGACGCTAAATTTAACGCTGCAGATGTCGCTAATTAGTTTTTCTATTGTCAAAAACACTGTAGAATCCTCCCCCGCTTACATAAAATTACATACAATTCCGGAAAATTACGACTCTTAATCTATAAAATTGTAATTATTAATTACTTATGAGCTATTTAAACTTTGTTAGATAAGATCCAACGTGTTTTTTTCCCTGTTGTATCATTCGATACGCACGCAACACATAGGAGCATCAGCGAAAAAAAAAATAACTAAATGACGTCACAAAGTGACGCGACTCAAGAAAAGTTTGAACAAATAGCTAAATGATGACAAGCGAGATTCCAGCAGTTTTCCCGATAGAAACTTAAATTAGTTAATTATATAAGGTCCAAGAATCCAGCTTGTATGCTGGAGACTTGGAAAGTTTGAGCAAAGCACTCACCATCTCAGATATTCGTTGGTTTAATAAAGAAACATCTAGTAGTAACTGGATTCCGTTTCTAGGGTCGGATTCCTTAAAAATTGAGGAAAACTCTCGTCTGCTTACTTATGCTAAATTATATTCTTCCTGTATTTCTGTGCTAGGAGGAATGTACGAAATCGACTTTGTTAGAGGACAATTTTATAAGCTGTTTTGGAGAGGTACAGATCTTTAGTACAATAATAATTAATATAATTGTTAGATTGAGGCTATCTTCAGACACAGACGTAATTAATATTATTAGAAGTATGTAGTTTATTATAGACGGTCGGTTGCCAATTAAAGAGGAATTTGCTGTAAAAGTCAAGAGCCATCGGCCATACGTAAAAAAAATGTGCTAGGATTGGAAAAAATTCGTAATAATTGCCCACAAAATGATCTTTGTAATTAGTAAGTTCCATTTATTACTACAATTATGTATCAGAAAATTAATTATCTTTACTCGCTGTCCGCCTGGGAAAATATACTATCAACAGAAATTTTAAATAGGAAGTTTTTTTTGTTTGTTAGAAAATTTCATAAAGCATTATCTAAGCCTAAATGCTAGATGGAATAGATTACGTAGGGAGTTATCAGTACGAAGACACCAATAAAGAAAATTTACCCAATACAACTCATTTAATATTAGTAGTAGTACTAGGTCTAGGATTGGAATTTTGCAAAAAAAATAGTAATAACAACAACAATAGTAAAGAATTTACTCACAATATTAAATAGTACCGTAAGTAGTTTTCTATTTTTCTTTGCCAGCAGCACTGAAGAATTTCTTTATTTTTTGACTTGACAGGTTTAGAGAAATTTGGATGAAAAATGTTAGCAGTCAGATAGATTCTAACAAGAAAGGAGAATTCATAACCAATTCAATGACTTTTATACCTAAAATTAGGTGAAGGTAAGAACATAGCATTCTTTCATAAAACTAAAATAATTTCTACTTTGTCTTTTAGATGTAATTGAATCAATAAACACTGGATATTGTATGAAAAGGTTTCGAAACATTAATAATCGAGGTTTCATTGACATATTCTATTACAATTCACCATTGTATAATATTGAAGCAAGTAAAAGCTATTCAATTAAGAAGTATATAAATGACTTATGAATTTGATGTTTGTTCTTCTAGATTATGAAATATCTAAGCAAAAGCTGAATAATTTATTCAATTTATTTCATCGAAAGGAATTCTTACTTTCGATCTAGAGGGAAATTTCCATTTTAGCCTAATCCCTTGGCAGGTAGATAAAAAATTAAATATAGACCTAAATAAGAGCTTTCAAGACAAAAAAGGCACGCATAGACGTATTTATTGACTTTACTTGACATACGTTTAAGGAATGAATAAAACGTATAATTACACATTTTAGTTTAGTGTTCTTATCTACGATCTATTGACTGGTCAGAATTCCATGAAACTATATACAAAGTACGGAAGATTTATTCTTTCTCATTCTTTATTTGGTTCGTCTTTCTTAAATATTTAAAGACACTGTCTATTCTATAACTAGAACAAAAGGCCACTGACCGCTCAGAAACAAAACATTCACAATACACGAATATCTAACTTAGCACGGTACGTAAAAGTTTTTTACCCTTGTTCATGTAAGAAAAAAGTCAACAAACCGCAATAGAGGTAAATAAGTGGTCTTCTTTCCACGAGACTAAAATATCCTCGAACAAAGCTGGAAATCTAACATCAAAGATAGAGATACCGAGATCAAAGTTCTCTTTAAATTTAATAAAACTATACATTTTACATTGTGCACGTAAACCGATAAAAAAATTACGGGGTCAACCGGATAGAGAATGATTCTCTTCAAGATAATCCAAGAAGATTATTAAAGCTTTAATAATGAAAGTTAAAAAGCTTAAGGGTGATTAATAAAAACAATTTTTTTCTCTTTACTCTATACTAATGACTTTAAGAGAGTCTTTGTTAATTACATTTCAAATCTTTTCTACATTGTCTATTCTTTAGTTCTGTTTTTAATGTTTTGTGGAAAGATTCTGTAAAAGGTTCCAATATTGATCATATTTTTCCAGAGAATGCTTTTAAGAATATTTGCAATATATATCATCCTGCAGATGTTGTTGTAAGTCAAAAATAGAAAGATATATGCATACGGTATATATACATACTAATATATATATATATATACTGTACATGTATTATATACACTTATTTATTTTTATACAATATATAAAAATAGCTTTTGGTTTTGTTGTTAAGCCTACAAATTGAGCCTGTATTACTACAAAACTTCGAAGAGTGCACTGCGGTGAAGATATATACTGTATATATGTATATATAGTATATATTGAAGTATTGGAGAAAAGTTACTCGTATAACAAAACACCATTATTAATGAATAACTCCAATAGAGAGAAAAATGTAATGAAGAATATAAAAGCTTCTAGGCCTAGATAGATCTATAAAGTCAAACGAAATATTACGTTCGTAGAAACATTTCTTAAATTTTGATCTTGAATAATTATTTCATTTTCTTTTACTTCCTTTTATTATTTATTTATTTATTTAATTGATAAAATTATATTAAAAATATTGATATTTCTTCTCCTTATCTTAGATGATAAATCTAAAGAATCTAAAGATTTGAATGATGCAAGGTTAAATCGTGACATATTCAATGGTACATCTTTTTCCAGAGAAACGATAAGGAACAAAAAAAAGCACCTATTTTAAAATATAATGATTGACTCTAGTTTATAGAAATAAAGAAAGATTATTTTTCTGTAGAAATAAAGATGATGATAATCAAAATGCTCACGAATATGGAAAATATTTAATTACTTAAGAAAAACAAATTAAGTATCTATTTATAGAATGGATTAATTATCAATTTATAACAAAATAAAATACAGGTAGAATAACACGTTATGATTTTCAATTAAGAAAGATGAATAAGAAGTAGTAGAAGTAGTCAACTATATGCGCTTATGCACGCATAAATTTTCATACAACGTACTGGACAAGTAATGATTTGGTAATGTGTTTGTTACTGCGTTTTCTTTTCCAGAATATAAATTTCGTTACCAAACGGAAACATAAGATACAAAAATTTTTATCAGTAATAGTATTAAGTTATCTTCAAAAATCTCAATATTTGGAAACGTAGATAATGATTAATTAACAGTCGCTATCTCCAAAACTATTTTAATCAAATCGCTAAATAGTTCTTGTCGTTTATATGTCGGTTATTGATATAAAAAAATGATATGAAAGTCTTTCGTTATAGTCAAAGTATAAAGAATATATTTCTCTTCGTCGTTTAATCATCTTATCTCTTTCCCCTTGTTTTTTAATTAAAAAAAATTATAGTAATAAAAAGTAACAACGCTGATTAATTTATAATTAATAAACTTTCTCTTGTTTATATCTCTCTAAACATGGAAGAAAATGAATAATCAAAAAAAAGATTACAAGAAAAACGTAATTAAAAGAAAAAAAATGTACAAACTTGCTAAAATCTAGTAACACTTCATCTCGGAAAAAATATTAAAATAACGTAATATACATTGATATGTACACATTTTATATATTTATACTTGCAGTTTAAAAATACAAGTATAAATATTACACGCATTCATAAAACAGATAAATACATACATATACATTTTATATATATGTATATCTATATATATACATATATATTGTATATATATAGATTACAATACATAAGAGTATGTATTTACACTTTGTACTTGGCTTAGTAAAAAGAGTTGAGATCAATAAATTAAATAGATACAATTTCATTAATTTACAAAAAAGAGACTGATGAAAAATAAAACAAATTCTAGTCTTTAGCAACCAATTAAACTTGTTCAGTCTGTAAAAGCTTATGTATATTCTTCTTAACTCGTAACATAGACAATCTTGCAGCTGGAGTTTCTTGCCAACATTCTTGTATTAGTCTATTAATAGGATTAATAGTGTCTTGTGGGATCGAATGATCACAGTTTAATTTTGGTCTCTGTTTTTTAATATACACAACGTCGTACATGTCTTCAATTGATGGATCGGGCCTAACAAACTCGTAATAAGGAAGACAAGCCTCTGTTGCTTCATCTAAAAAATAGTATATAAGTGATGTGAGTATATTTTAAGAATAATTGATTTTTAATGATAAAAATATACTCACTGTTCCAAGAAACTCTTTTATATACTTCCCACATTACTAAGGCGAATGCGTAAACATCCGCTTGTTTAAAAGCGTCTAATGCTGTTTGGTCGAGAGTTTCATTCAAGATTTCAGGAGCCATATAACGTCTTGTACCTTGTCTTGTACGATTTATAGGTATATCTAACTTTCTTGTTTCACTATTTTATGGTGATAAAAAAAGATACATTGAATAAATGATTGTTTTGCAATAGGTATAGTTGATAATAAACAAATGAATAAAAAACAATGAAGCATTTTGTACCTGTCGTATTTTACGGCCAATCCAAGATCTGCAATACAGCACACTCCTGAATGTTTTACCAGTATGTTACGACTTTTGACGTCCCTATGAGCCATTGCTGGCTTTCCCCTTGTCCCTATTATATCTGAATGGAGATGATTTAATCCGTTTGCACTCGAATAGAGAATATTAAGTGCTTCATTTTTATCTAGTACATTCTCCTTTAAGTAATCATAAAGAGAACCAAGAGGATGATAGTCCGTTATAAGCATTAATTGAGTCCACGATCCAGTTCCTTTGATATCCGATGCGATAAAGCCTAATATGTTCTCGTGTCTAATTAAGACAGTTTGATAAATATCCGTTTCCCTCTTCCAGCTGGCTTCTTCTGTCGAGAAAAAGATTTTTACTGCAATATTTTCACCCCTCCAGCTCGCTTTCCACACTTCGCCAAAACGACCTTTCCCAACATTTTCTAAAAGACATAGCTCTTTGGCAATCGTTCTTTGAACAAGAACAGGTAGTCCTGAACCAGAACCGGTAGAGGCATCTATCAGATGATGTATACCCTTACTACTATCGAGAGATTCATTTGGTTGATTTAAGAGCTTTTCTTTCTTTGGATTGTGCAGTCTTTGTCTGTTTATTTTGAAACAAAGTCATGAGCAACATATTTACAACAAACTCAAAAGTTGTCAATTAATATTGATTACTTACCGTCGAAGACAAAAACATACTATAATAGTGAGAAATGTACCAACACATGCTACAGGTGTTATTACTATTAACAAGAACTCTTTATTCGACTCTGAAGATAGGTAAATATAAAGTTAATTTCATTCAGGATATTGGTAATACGTAAAAGAAAGGCTTCGAATTTACCTGCAGGTAGCACCGTTGATTTCGAACTATAATTTACTCTTAAATCTCTATTGCATAGATCATAGTTGTTACAGCACCCGATCCCTTGGGCAATTAAAAATTGAGCATTGCTATTGATAGTACACTGCAATATAAATGAGTTTTTTTTATTGAGTAGAGCTCTTGTTTTTTTTTTATAAATACAAACTTGTAGAAAGGAAGCATCTGATAAGTTGTGTCTACTGGTACTAGAAACTTTTTTATGACCATCTAAACAGCCAAATTCCCATGCTCCCATTTCGGGATCTGGGTTATCGTCTTCCTGAATAGTATATGCAAAACACAATCCTCCAGATTGCAATATACAAGTCTCATTTGGACAATCATGACAATAGCATTGCCTCAAACCGCCTACAAGACGCACAAAAAAGCAAATTACTACATATCAATTGTGACAATCATATAAATTACATACCTGGGTTTGATGTTATAACTTGGCTAAAAAATAGGGGTAAAAGAGCAAAAATTACGCCATTCATTTTTATTGACATAGGCGCCATTTTAAAGGTTCGCGTTAAATTAATTTTTATAGGCAAAAGATTCGCATATCAAATAGAATTTAAAAGGAACAAATCAGTTGTTTAACCTTTATTTTAAAAAAATACGAGAATAACTCTTCTTATTAATTGAGCGCATGCGCAGCATTCGTGCTGACTTATTTGTTTACTCGCTCATATATTCTCATGATAACAGTTTATCAAAGGGTTGTTTGCATTTTCTGATTATTGTAAATGCTGACTAGAAACACTGTGAACCTTGAATTTTAATTTTCTTCATTCGATCATGAGCCGGTCTCCACTGACTGATAGAACCAACTACGATTTCGTCTTAAAGTTTCTCTTAGTAGGAGACGGTGATGTGGGTAAGGAAGAAATGCTTGATAACTTTGAAAATGGAGCTTCTGATTTACCTTTTGGGTTCCCAAGCGCAAACGGTAAGAGTATTGTGACATGTAGTTCGTTTCGGATCGTTGCCCTTGCTAATTGTTTGTAAATTTCTCAGGTACTGGAAAAATTTATAAAACTAAAACAATTTTATTGGATGGAAGAAGAGTGAAATTACAATTATGGTTTGTATAAACATTTTTTCTTTATTTTAGTTACGATTCATGATTGATCTATTAAAAGGGATGCTTCCGGCCAAGGACGCTTTTGTACAATACTCCGTACATATTCACGCGGAGTGCAAGGAATAATTTTGGTCTACGATATCACCAGCAGATGGTCATTTGATGGCATAGATCGATGGTTGAAGGAAGTTGACCAGGTATAAAATAGTTAGTCATGGGAAAAAATTATTTAAACTTTTCGTGTTGAACAGCTGGCGCCAGGTGTACCTCGAATACTCGTCGGAAACCGTCTACATTTGGCCTTTAGGCGACAAGTTAGCGAGTTGTGTGCAGAATCTTACGCTCTCAAAAACAACATGTCATTTTTTGAAGTATGAATAACTTACCACAGCTTTCTAATAAGTCTAATTTAAACAATCTGACATAGGTTTCATCTTTATGTGATTATAATCTGACGGAATCCTTAGCAGAATTGGCAAGATTATCAATTAAAAAAAATGGTATAGAATCTAGTTGGAGTCACAATAAAGGTAAAGAATATTTTCATTTTAGAATTGAATTATTAGAACATTTATTTTTCAGTCGTTTCTCTGCAAGAAATGTGTTGTCGAACCATTGTTAGCCATACTACAATATATGGAATAGATCATCTTCCACTACCTTTACCAATAAAAACACATTTGAAATCCTTTTTGATGGCAAACAATACACGATCGATAAATAGAAGAAAAGGTTGGACAAACGATTCAAAATCTCGATCTCTTCGTAAACGAATGCCATTAAACCCATCTTACTCACCGGCGACAAACTGTCGAAAATCGTGTTGTATTAGTTGATTATCAAGACTGATTTAAGCATTTATTATCCAACTCGAATGTTTTTTACATAGTTTCAATTTTTCGTTATATGACTGTTGTTGTCCGTTTTTTTTTTACAACATTAAAGTCTACTTTGTTTCTATTGATAATTGTTTTTTAGGCGTATAGTCTGACAAAGGAAAGAATTCCTGAATTCTCAAATACCATTGAATATCCTCCTGGAGAAATTAAACAAATTTATATTACAATTTAAAAATTTCGTTTTTGACTTACTTCAATCGCACCATTTTTTTTAGCATCATTTGTTAATGAATCGAGGTTAGTATTCAATTCTGACCAGGAGGCTTTTAGGTACTGAGATGATGCTAAAGAGTTCTTACAAATGCAATATAACGATCTAGCAAGCATTTCTGTTGTTTGGTTGTGAGAGGGTTTCAATTGAGGTATGATCGCTTTAATTAGCTTTTTGCTAACAAAATCTGATTGGCGATTCCAATCTTCTTCTATTAAATTATATATGATAAATGCCGATTTTGCTATACAGCGATCTATTCCACTACTTAACCATGATATCAGAGATTGCAAACCGTTATTTTTCATAAAAAATTGGTAACCATCTTTTGTTCTTATTAATGCTAATAGAAAAAAATTTAATTAATTAAGCTTGATGAAAAAGTATACATGCTTACTTGAAACTGGCGATAAGGCAGAAGATAAAACTGTATTTGGACACGAGCTATCGTTAATAATTTCTAGAATAGTTTGGAACCATTTCTCTTCAAGGGCAACTTTTTCACCATCTGTGTTATTTTGTACTAAAGATGATATTAATTGAAAACAAGCAATTTTAATGTCTTCGGAGCCATGCTTTAAATATTCAGTAATCATTAATGAACATCCGGAATTAAGAAATGCTGGAAAATAAGTTTCTAAGTCTTCATTTTATAATATCTTTAATTATATTACCTTTGGCTAAATCAATGTCTTCTACAAAATCTGCTATATCTTCTAAAATTTCAACTAAATCGTCCAAATTTGAACTATTATGTTTGGCTTTTAGTAAATTTATATTATGTTGTAATAATTCTAATGGGTGATTTGCTGCCATGCCTTTCATAACTTCTTGCAATATTTGTTGTCTCTGCAAAAGTACATAGCGAAATTACTTAGAGGCTAATAATATTAAAGTAATAAAATGAGCTTACCTCCTGTGGATTAGTGGACATCTCCTTCTTCGCCTCCTCCATATCTACCATGTTGTTTTCTAAGTGTTCCTGAACGGCATTACAGTGTTTCAAAAGCTGCTTAAAGTTTTGTGGATTTCTAGGGTTGTTTTCACTCATAGTTACAATTATTAAGCTACTATAACTATAATCTTTATCTTAAAGTAAAATTGAAATAGAAAATTCTAGAATCGAGTGGAACTTTTATTCGTCGTGATCAGGGTTCATAGTCAAATTTTTTAATTATAGAATCAACACATAGCCATAACCAGTTTATGATCTCCATACATTGCAGATGGCGTTGCAACATGTTGCACAACACTAGTCCATTTGTTGCACAATAAAATGAAAGTATGGGAACATTTAAAGGCTCTATAAATTGCCTGAGAGAATAGTTTTAGCTCAATTAGAGATAGGAAACAGAAGAGAAAAATGGCATTAAGCACAAGAGAGGCTCTGAGAAGATGCCTTCAAACCACTGATATAAATGAAGTAATCTCACTCAGTAAACACTCCGATCCGACAGTAAGGCAAAGAGCTTTAAGAGAAATGTGTCCCTGCCGAGTTAAAACAGATATAGGAGAATTTTGGGCAAGAGTTTTGGAAATGATTGACGATCCTGCAACAAATGTTAGACAACAAGTTTTACACACATTATGTGACGGCTCACCAGTTCACATGGAATATGATGTTGTGGAAGCTCTTCAAAAGTTCAATATAGATTCAGATAAGGAAATAAGACGAAAGGCTCATAAAGCACTAGCTTCATATAGCAGAACCGGAAAATGGAACATTTTGTGAATGAATTCTCATTTTTATTTGTACTTTATTGAATTTATTTTTAAAGATATAAACGGTTTCAATATTTAAATAAATTATATATTAAAACCAAAAAGAAAAGCACCAATTAATTTAAATAGAAAAGTATAAATATATTAAAATAAAATATATATTTATATAATATGGTCTTAGTCAAATACTAAGCATCCAAGGCCTGTTGTTCTGGAATGGATGGATTTGCTACATCTGATGGACAGACATCATATCCTAATTTCTTCATATCTTTGGTAACAATATTAAACGAAAGAGTTACATATCCTTGGGATCTAACACGGGTCACTACGAAAATTAATGAATTTAAATGTCAGTTGAAAAAAGAATATTTAAAACATTAATTTTTAAAAATATTACCTTCCCTTCCTTCTCCATGAGCTAGATTGGAAGGATCTACGTACTCTGGACGTCTGTTTGTAAGCCACCCAATTAATTGTTGAAATCTAGATGAAGATTCCGGCACAAACATGGCTATTTTTCGCTTATGAGTTCCTGGAACCAAAGGAATGTGTGTAACACCATATCCTCTAGGCTGTTCAGTGCCACGAAAGTCTGGTCCATGCGCACTTAATATAATTTGTGGCCCTTAAAAGATTAATTAATAAATATTCAGAAATATTCATAATTTAAAAAAGTAAAGCTTACATCCAAAAGGATTAGTAGATTTGAATGTAATGTCAATGGGAAAATTAAAAGAAAACTTTGCGGTTTCAATAAGATTTTTGCGCGCTTTCTGAGTGCATCCTTCTTCTAGTCCCTTTTAAAATTTAACTTTATTATAAACTTTTCAAGTGCATAAAGTATTTAACTAACTGATGTTATAACCCAGTCCTGGCCATAAACAAAAGAGTAGCGGCAACTGATTTCAGAGAATTCAGGAAACTGTCATGATTGTTTTTTAGTTTAGTTAATACAAATGAATTATGTGCTGTACAATCAAATAATGAAAATACCTCAGCACTTTCTATTTGACCATTTACCATCAAAAGAAAAACCGAGTGATCTCCCGACATACTGAATCGAAGGAAAACAATTTAGGAATTTCTTTGCTACTCACTCCTTTTTCGCAACATGCATTTCAAAATGTCTGCTCTTTATTATGCTATATTCCACCATTTTTGCTTTTTGTTTGTTGGCTTCCTCAAAATTTTAAATAACTTTTTGCACTATAAATCTTGTAAGGATTTTCAAAATGGCGTCCTTATATAGTTCTTTCGCGAATTCATTTTTATAATCTCTGATTGGTAAATTACCTTACATTTTATCACAATGGCTTGGCCTCTTCCTTTTCCGCTTTGAAAATGTCTGCCGACGTACAGTGGCTCGTGGTACGAAATAATTCTTGTTTTCTTCGCAAGAAAAACAAGGCCTACTTTAGTGCCGAACCTAACAACCTTAAGAACTTAAACTCCTTTCGGTTCAGCGGTCTAGTTCGTGACAAAACCCTCGGTATTGAGGCTGGCCAAGACAATAAGGGAGTCGTGGTTGTTAAGAAGAAGAATCATAACGCTCGCCGACCCAACCGAGTCTACGAAAGAGCACCTTTGAAGCATGGAGCCCGCAGAACGCTAATGAAAATTAGCAAAATGGTTAAGAAAGACAACTATCGAAAGGATTTAAGGATGGCGGCGATGAGAAGAGCCAGTGCTATTATGGCTAGCCAGAAGCCGAGAAAACTATCGAGGAGATCCCGTCTTCAAAAGAAGAAAGAATAAACTCTTTCGATAATGTTTTGCTTAATACAATTCTGTTGCTGGAATAAAAAAAAACGTTTACGCGTATATTATAGATATTTTTTAATCTTAGCCCTAAATTGTACGTAGCGTGAATAGATAGGCTTCATTAGCCAGTACAGCGAAGGCAAAAATTGCGACTGGTAATTTTCGACATTTTTTTAATGGAATTATTTTAACTTGCTTTCAAATAGAAGTAAAAAGACCATATAAACATGTAACCAGGATGGCCGAGTGGTTAAGGCGTTGGACTTAAGATCCAATGGACAAATGTCCGCGTGGGTTCGAACCCCACTCCTGGTAAAATTTTTTTTTAGTTTTTTTTTTTAAATGAAGAGGTCTAAAATACATAGTACCTGCTACAAACATAATTCGTATTCAAAGGCTTTAATGTGTAAATTAACAATAAAAAATTTTTAATACATTTTTATGATACATTTGTAATAAATATAGAAAATATTTAAAGACTTGTTTAGTAAATTCATTGTTCAAAAGGTTTTCTTTTTATTTAAAATGAAAAAGATGGCGTTTAATTGTATAAAAACATTTATTCGCTATCTCTTTTCCCTTTCTGAATTTCCAAAAGTTTAAAACAAATATGACAGTAGCCATTTAGGAAAAACATACAGAAACTGAATACATCTGCACCACGAATGGACGTTAACCATCAAGTATATATTAAAAATTTTTTTGTCATTTTTGTGTTACAATTAAAACATGGCCACCGCAGAATTTTTTAAAAAGATATCTTTTATATACATTATTATTTTTGAAATAATATTCAAAAACAAACAAAAATAGCCACCAAGAAAAATTGCAGACGTTTAACTTAAAGTTGAATATTTCTGTAGGACGACTTTGTCTTAAAACAGGTTGAACAATAAAAGTCTGTTTGAACAGAACCATAGAATTCGCAATCCGGATTCTTGCACCGTTCTTCTTGTCTCCTACTATCCTCAAATGGAGCGAAATCGTTGAATTTTGTGAAAAAGTTATCTTCGTTCTCTGTACTTTGCAGATATTTCGCTCGATGAATAGGAGGTAGTGAGTTGAATTTTTTAGGATCCATAATTACATTGGATTTCATTTCATGTGCTCCTGAAACAGGCTGATAGAATGTTGATTTTCCAACATTTCTAGGATTTGTTGCTGGAGTAAATTCGTGTTTAATAGGAATATTTGTAGGATTTTTCGTAATTTGAGATTCTTCTGTTCGTTTCATAGTTGAAGGTGAGTTTGGATGTGATTGTTCGATGTTTAATAAGTCTAATTTTTGCTTTTCGAAACACTCGAGACAGAGATATGTATTCTGGCAGACTACTTTATTGCAACCGTTTATACACTTACCCCTGGATAATTCTTTATTGGCATTGATACTATCCGTTGTATCAACTACATGTTTGGCAGTTCTTTCTTTTAATTCTGCTTCTCTTTGCTTGAAATGCTCTTTTTCTATGGCAAAAACTTCCTTCTTAGAAGCAATATAATTTTCAATCATTTTATCGTAATAATCCGCCCTCACAATATTTAATTTTGCACACATTATTGAATCCCTTTCACTGAGCATCTTAGCAGTTACCGGTTGCATTTTCGTTGTTTGTGTAACAGAACCGACAGAAACCCTCCTGTTGTTAGCTAAATCTGTCATTTTCTTTTTCCGACTTCTCCTTAAGCCACCAAAACCTTTTTTTATCTTTTTACCCACTGTTTTACTAATGTTACCAAAAGATTTAGCTACATTTTGCATTTGCTTTCCAACTTTCGCTTTCTCCTTTTCAGTTGATTGCTGTGTGTATTCTTGCCCCGATATGTTGTTTATAATTGCACCGGAAGGCAATGAACTTGTTATATGTAAAGAATTAAGTTCCTCTGATTCCGCAGATTCCGAATCCGACCTAGGCGTTGAACTATCACCGTTCATGGAAGACGGTCGAGGAATCGGAACAGCAACGATATCTAGATACTTCTTTATTAAATTTAACTTCCCCTCATCGGTTTCTCCCGATTTAATATCAATGTCTTTCCCCCAAGAGTAGTTGGAACCAGGATCGACTGTAAAGTGGATAGGTTGTAACTTAAATTCGGGATCAACAATAGGTATGACTGCAGGAGGTTTATCTTCACTAGACGCAACAGAGGCGCTTGATGATGGCACAGTTGAGTAGAAGCCACTTTCGGCATCGTTATAGCCTTCATTGACTGCCAACAATGCAGAGAAATGAGATGAATCATACGTGAGAATGAGAGGACTCCTATAACAATGTCGAACATCAACTTGAAGAGGTAGATAAATGCCACCAAAAGGGATAGGAGCAAGAGCTTCTCCTTTGGTATCCTTCAAAACTGTGTCGGCTACAACAATTATAGGCCTTTTGACGACATGAGCTAAGACAAACACGTGGAACTCTTCCAATGACTCATAGAAAACTTCTTCATCTATAGCATGCCTTTCCATCAAGCCCTTAGTAGCCGGACTCTGACAGCAACTAATTCTCGATGCAGGTGGATTTTGTGATCGTGGAACATCCGAGGCGAGTTTTAAAAGATTCTGCCATTCAATATTCCACTCTTTCTCCGAGTAAATTAGTCCTGACTGTTTATTTATCATTGCTTGATGCCAGCGCCATCTTCGATATAAAGTATCTTCTTTTTTTGTATTTACTAGCATGTTATATACTGCTTTTCGTAACATTAATTTCCTATCTTGAAATCCCCACATTCCTGAAGAAACATAGTTAATTATTTTTTTATTCAGCCAAAAAATACAAATTTTCTTACCAAGCGATGCAGCATGTAGCAAGCAATTACCATCTCCTATCGTGGCTAGGGGCATTAGTCTCTGACAAGCTCCAGTATCAGCCCACCAATTAAGACGACCTGAAAACCAATAAATAATTAACATTATAATGTTCAGTTAATAGAATTAAACTTACCAGCTTGTTCTAGTGTCACAAGTGTTGATGTTTCGATTAGTTGTTTGTGCAAGAAGGCTCTAAAATCTTCGGGATAACAACTCAAATCGGGTATAACGAAGGTGTACATGGGCGTCTCTTGTAATTGGTGTATACTGCAGTCTTTTTGCACTCTGTCTTGAGCTTTACTGACAAGAGCTTCGTTTTCACTAGTACGCGAAAAACCTCTTCTTAATGGACGCTCTGGAAAAAGGAAAATTAAAAGATAATAAATTGCAAGCTTCTAAGAAATAGACAAAACAGAAACATATATAGATTGTAAAGTTTAAAAAAAAAACACTATTGTCATCACAAAGACCAAACTAACAACACAGTGTACCTGCTTCCGACAGAGTCAGAAGAAAAGCTGAACGTGAAAAGGGAAATGTGAAGCAGGTTTGATATATACATATTTATATACATATATTTATAAAATTTAATTACTTTCGGGTAGAGGTGAGCTTGAAGATGCGCTTCCGCCGCCAACTATTGGAATTTTTTGAGTGGGTAAATTGTCCGTATTATAATTTTTTTCAATATTCTTCTGTGTACCACTAGGTTTTGAAGAAAAAGCGCAATACTTCGCAATACCCACTGCAGCTTCATAATTCCAACAATGTGCTGTAATGATATTTAAAATAAACGATATTATATCAAGCTTTTAAAAAACATAAATTTTAGATATACAAAATCACATTTCAAAATGGAATTTTGCACCTTACCGTTGAGCATTTCTCGAGCTAAATCGGGCTCTATATTGTAATCCGATGTTAGTTGAGATATTTTTTTCTCTCTCGAAGTCTCCATCCTGTTTATAAAAATAAATTGTATAAGATTCGGTGAGAATGATGACACGCCCATTGAAGTGTAATTATTTAACTATTTGTCGGTTCAAGACCTACCTAAATTATGAATTTATAAAGAGCATAAGCCTTACATTAGCAAAGAATTATAATTAATAAATAAGCCTAGACATCGGTCTAATACAATAATCTCAGGCAACCTACAATAAACGATGTTCCTGAATTATGTATTACATGACAATCATAGAAACTCTATTATGCAAGTATATTACCTTTAATTAATATGTTTAGTTGAATTTGCGAAGAATCAGTGCAAAGAATACGCTGTAAAAGCGAGAATTTAAAATCTCTTCATTAACGGGATTCGCCATTGATGACTGTGAGTTGATTGATTTGCGCATGCGCAAATCAGTGATATTTAGAACAGCACTAAATGACCTTCTTGTAGGTTTTAAAAATGGCCGATTAAATCAATAATACTCCGTCATTTTTGGGAAAGCATACTCTCAGTCATCTGGTCAACGTTTTGGAAATTTCTACAATTGTTTGACAATTATGTGGCCAAGGAATGAATCTGTGATCATCTCTTGAGCTCCGTTAGTATAGTTGTCTTCTTAGTGACATATCATACTGGATTGCATTTGAGGACAATTTCCGCTGGTTAATCTACTTTGAGAAAACTTAACTGAAGCATTCCGATATTTCGACGTTCTACCCAACCTTTAGGCCTAAGAACCAATAAGAGATGGAAAATACTACTTACGACTTAGATTATCGAAATTTTAACGGCTGCTGTTCTCGATACACAATTTTTAAGTTGAAGTTAACAGATAGCGCCTTGAATGCTATTGATCAATATAAAAATTTCAAAGTAATATGTAACTAACTCCACACGTGATATAAATTTTTCCTAATTTTGATCTATTTGTTACAGAAAACGTTACCGAGAAAGCCAACAGTTAAATTTCAGGAAAAAACTGGCATAATGACAATTCCAGTCCCTCAACAAGGTGATAAAAAATATCAACTAACCTTAAGCAAAATCTTGGATCCTGAGGATTGTGTTTTGCACGGGAGTCATAAATCTAACAAATTGGTAGCTATAGGTGTTCAAACTCATAAAATTCAAGTTGGAGCAACCGAAGAGATTTTTGAGCATACCAGGGAACGCATTAATGCTGTCGAAAAAGAAAGGCAGAAGGATGGAACACAGGAAATTACCAAAACAGTAAAAAAAAATAGTTCAAAAGGCGTAAACAGAAAGATCACTGACATGAGGACATTACCCAGACCAATTTCACCTTACAATAGGGGAAAGAAACCTACACCACCATCAAGCCAAACAAATGGTCTTCTTCTAAGCAAATCACTCAAGTATGTTGCCATTTCTATTCCTATAACTGACAAGATGAATATAACAAGAGACTATTTCTTCCAGGGAGAGAGTCATACATATTTTAGCATTAAAGCCATATAACAGACCAGAATTGATCATGCGACTGGACAAAGGTACATGTTTATGTAAATATTATTTGATTAGCCTTTAACCATGACAAATTTTTCTTTTTTAGACGGCCGTTCAGAAGATGCCCATAACCCTGAACTCCTCTCCAGCGTTCTTAAAGAAGTGGCTGTTCAATCACGTGACAACTATATATTAAACCCTCAATTATATGCTCAAGTTAAACCTAACTGGCCTGGCTTTAGCGTCGAAGATAGGGCATTTGTTGAAAACCGTAAAAGGCAGAAAGTTTCAAGACCAGATAATGAAGAAACAGCCGCAAAGCGATCGAAATTTTCTGACTTTGTGCCAATTAGAAAAACACGCGGAGAGCAGAGAAAAGAGCTTGAAGATATGATGAAAGAAAAGAAGTCCTTAGAGCAAAAAACTGCTAATAACGAGAAGGAAAAGCCTACAGAATTGAAGGTAGAAAAACTACCATCAGAGCCTGATTATCACCTCCAGTATGTTCCAATAACTAATGAAAAGCAGTATCAAAATTACGTTGAAGATTACAAATCTCAATACGAAGAATACCTAAATTTGCATAAGTTTTTAGCAGAAGTGTATGCCCCATTTCGAGAACTTCAACAACAGCTTAAAACTTCAACAGAGGGAACTAATGAATATAATGAACTATGCGTTAAGGTTAACAACGAATTTCAACGTGTGAAGAAGGATGAAAATTTTAGTTTAAAAAAAAAGAGATTTGATTTTCTTCATTCAAAACTCAAGTTCATAAAAGAATTAACGAAAAAGTATGAGGCAGCTGAGCAATCAAAAGTATCCAGGACTGAAAATTCTTACGCTGATTTATTTTAATATTATTTTAACGTATAGCATTGTAAACGCTTTTCTTTTACTATAAACGTTTGAAGTTCGTTATCTGACGTCAAATTAATAAGTGTAATAATTTTTCGGCTTGTTTTCGTCAACTTCATCGGGCCTCACAACTGTGAAAATTATTTCTCTATGTTTATTCATCGTTGATGGATTCTTTTAAACTTTATACTTACCAACATATTTTGCTTTGAACATGGCATAATAATCTTGATTTTTAGTTCTCTCCCAGACCTTATATGCAGCCGCTGGGAGACCTTAAATTTAAAGAATAATATGATTATGGGGCTGTGGAAAAGAATGACTTCTAATGTGCTGTACCTAGACCGAGTAGCGTAGCCGTTCCCAAGACTATTTCTGGTCGCTCATTCCAGCCTTTTTTGATCAGTTCACCAAATGTGTTCACACCTATTGATTAGAATAATTATTTTTATCTTTTACATAAAAAAGTTCGCTGAATTACCGAATCTTCGGATATACCAAGACATCCTGACCTTGACACTTAAATGATTCCTAACTACCAGTTTTCCTCATGAAAAACAGGGATCGTTGCTAGCGACGAAGCAGACGACGAAATATGAATCTAGTTCACGGAACCTTACTAATGTATGTTCTACCGCATTTTATCTTGAAAATTGTAGATAAATACTTTTTAAAAGTGTGATGTTTTCACCTATTAAATTACTTTCGAAAGACTTGCAATAACTATTTAACATTAAATGATTTATTATTATTGATAAAGAAATTTGTTTGGATGTTTGAAGGTTGGAAATTAACAAAGGCAGAAGAACGAGTTCAAACACGTAACTTTGTTAAATTTGATTTGTCCCTTAAATCAACGAAATACTTATACTCAATTAGTCTTTAACAATGGAAGGCGACGATGGTATATAGATCAGTTAACCAAAGCTTCTTGTAATATAATAAATTTTGAATCAGATTTAGCCAAGATCTGCAACGGATTACTTGCCGCTCTTCACGTTCCCCATCGGCTTAAAAATTGGCGGGATATAACAAGTCATGTATTTGTGCTATTGTACGAAGGATTAACCGGAGAACCATTAGAAGGTTGTATCAATCTCTCTATTGTTAATCCGAAATTGCATGATTTGTGTATTTTTAAGGTATAATTCGAAAAACAAAAAACGAATCTGAAGAGGTCAAAAACGTCCAACACATAATTGATACGTTACAAAATTCCGTCCTGAAAACATCTTTGAGCCATATAAATGGCGAAAGAGTGGTTAGAAAGCGGAAAACAGCCGTTTCAAATCTTTTAGAAATATTTTCGGGTCTCTTCGAATACATTGTCCACAAAATTGACGACGAAGTTAGTAAGAGTGGCGTCGGAACTGATTCAAATGGAGAATTAGAAGGCATATCGGAAGGAGCTTTGGAAAGACTTGGCGAAATTGAAACAAGGTTTGTTATACTGTATTTTAGAATCCTTTTGTTTTACAAGTTATTTTCTTATACGTCATTCAGCGGGTCAATTTCGAGGGAGCTCAAAGATACAGCAGACTACATTGCTCTTGCTGATACAGAACAGTTCGTTTCTAAACAATCATGAGTGAATGATTAATATAGGTCTGTTTTTTCTATTAGTTCTCTACCCTCAACTACAGCCGATACAAGAGAGTTAATCGCGTCAGCCGGTGGAGAGTTACCATCTAAGTATAACTAAATAATGAACACTGTATTCATTAATGTACAAAATAAATCTACAGAAGCGCAACTCAAGAAGACACGAGTGAACTAATTGCATTAGGAGACATAAGCAACTCAAAAGAGGAGCGAGATGCTTTGACGAGCCATAGAGATAAATCCGATAGGAATACAATAGAAACTGCAGATGAATCTGATTCTGTAACAAATTATTATACTAGCATTTGATTGATCCTTCAAAACTTATTCATATTCATTAATTTCAGCCGTTGAGGTTGACATTAAGTGATAACAGTCTGGAGAGGGATAAAAAATTTGATCACATTGGCCTTCGTCCTAAGCCATTTGATTCTGGCAAACATAAAGGTAAAATTAAAGATTCAAAGCATCATACTTATACACATCACTTATATCATCATATAGTCGACGGTAAGTCTCTAAAGGATTACCCTAAACTTCGTACAAGCTAATTTTATTGTTTACTCAAGAATCATCGAGAGACACCCTAACGAGATCACTTCCATTGTCAGTAAGCGATGAAAGACTGAATCATTCCCACACAAAGTCCACAAGTTTTTCTTCAAAAGAGGGATCGATTGAAAATTTGCAAACAAATCCTTCTTTTGCCGAAATCCTTAGGAAATATGATCTCTTACCAGAGAAGAAAGTTCAAGAAAGCCGCTCTTTAGACAGTTCTTTAAGTAAATCGATGCCAGTTGCATCAAGGGAAACAGTACCGGCTAAACATAAGAGAGAGATTCCAGAACGAATAGAAGCATGGAAACTAAAAGACACAAAAAGTTCTACTTGGAAAGCTGAAATAAATAACAGATTAGAAGCAGCTCACAGAGCGGCTGGTGTACCTATGAGAGTGTCTCCAACTGAGGAAACTTTAAAGTATCTGTCAGATAGGCCTGGTATAGACCAGGATCAGGATGAAGAGAAAAACTCTTGCATACAGTAAGTAACATAGATAACTTTGTTAATAATCAGTATTTAGACATGATAAACCCCTAAAGCGATAGATTAGAGCGTATGAACAAATCACTGGAAGAATTAGTACAGGCATTCGGTAACTATTCGGCTCGCTTTTCGAAAATCGGAAGTGAAAATATCGGAAATGTTGTAAGTCTGAGAGATAATTTGCTTGCGAAAAATATGCTGTAGTAATATTAATATATTTAATGTGAAAATATAAAGGACTCGCTGGTAGACGTAGACGAAGAAGAAGATGATGATGATGACGACGATGTTGAGAGTGACAGAAGATCAAACTCTTTTACAAGGTTACTAAAAGCAAATCTGTTAAATACTTTTTAAAAAATGAAATGTCTTTAAAATATCTGTTGGAAACAGACAAACGAATATGTCAGCTGAAAAACAGGATTCGGAATATTCCTCGAAACAAAGCCCTTCTTCGACAAAAGAGTAACAGTTAATTTATTTTACAAATTGTAAATATTTATTTGACTTTTAACCAACAGGTTAACCTACTCTGACGGGCAAGAAGCAGATATCAGTAGTTTCGAAAGAGAAACTAAAAATTACCGTCGTAAATTGGATAAAAAAGTCGTTCGATTTGATGATAAATTCGACAAAAAAGCCAGTGGAAACTTGGGTCCATATAGAAAACAATTCTTAGGAGAAGAAAAGAAAATGAGACGCCATAAAGAAGTAAAGCATTTTTAAAGTTACATACGTTAAGCACAGCATACTATAAAACAAAATTATTTTATTTCAGATGATAAATGATGAATATGTAGATGCTCTGGATAATTTTAAAGCTGCTAAGAAAGATATTTTATCTAAAAGTAAATCAAAAGGAAAGGAAATTGTAAGTGATCATTTCTTCTAAAGTATACTAAAACGAGAGAATGAATTTGAATTGCTTGTCTTCTTTTATTGATAATAAACATATAATTATATAATAATAATAATATGAATTGTAGGAGAAGAAGTATAAGAAGAGTGCCTTAAAAAAACCCAAAACAACCACATCAGCCAATATTATTAATAAATACTCGAGTAATTATATTTATTAGATTTATCTTTGATAAATATCTAATTGAAATATTTTTTTTTCGAAAGAACCTCGTTTGCGCTCTAAATCTTCAAATCGAACCCACCCAATATTAAATTCTAGAAAGAGATCTTCTTCAGAAAGTCCGATTAGACAAGTTTACACAGATGATCCTCAAAAATTATTGGGTATGCTTTTGAAAGAATTTCCGCACTTGGATTTATCATCGGATGTCCTTCATGAGTTATGGAGATCGGCTGCTCAACAAGCAACCCTAATGACTTCTGTTGGAAAGAATACCGGGCGAGATAAAGTCTTAGAACAAATAGAGGAAGCCGAGAGAAAACAGAAAATTTTGCTCGATATTATGAGAAAGGAAATGAACCACAGAGCTCGAATGAAAGAGATCGATGACCGAAGACATAGAGAGCAAACAATGAAAAAAGTCGAGAGGGAGAAGAGACAGCAAAGTGCCAGGGCACGAAGATACTATAATGAATACCACTCTGGTATTAAATCGAAACTATTGAAGGCTAGAACTAAAGAAGAAATTGTAAGTAAACTAAAACGGTTCTCGTCAGTAATTCTTAGATGCAAGCTTTTTTCTTAGCTCTTCAAGCGGCTGTTTAAAGAAGGCTTGGAAATTCAGAAAGATCGTCTCCGTGAACTTCGTAAATATGCTAAAGAACAACGATCAGAGAGAGCTCAGAAACAAAAGAACGAAATGGACTCTTTGGAAAACTTGTAAATATTTATTGCATATATTTACAATAATAATACTAATAATAATAATATTCGTTGAAACAACAGCTATAGGGATCAGTTTGAAATGTTGGCTGATTCGTTTGATAAAGAAAAGAAAGACTTTCAAATAAGAGAAGACGCCCAAAGTAGAGCACTAAAGAAGATGAAAGTTGAAATGAGAAAGAAATTAGAAAGTGATATAAAAACTTTACATGCTCAATTAATTAACGACAATGACGATGAATATTGGCGAAATGTGGACGTTGATCGTATAAGATTAGATATGCAAAGAGCCCCATTTACGGCCAGAGTTTAATCAAATTTTTTAAATTTTATTCATTGAATATTTTCTATCGTTCTATTTTCTTATTATTTGGAGAAATTATATTTTTTGTCCAATGTTCTTAGATAAAAATAAAACCCGGCTTCTTGTAATATTTCCTCTCCGAGCTGCTTGATTCGTGTAACGCGTTGGTTTGCCATGTTTGTACAACGGTTTCCAAAAGGCCAATCAGAGTTCAGTAAAATGCTGTTGCCATAGCAATATTTGCAAAACCCGATTTGGCTTAGTTTACGGAAGCTTTCAGTGAGATAAAGATAAAAAGAATTAACCGAAAAAGTAGAAATATGTATTGTAAAAATATAAACAAATAATTTTTTTTAACCGGTATAGATCTAATTTTTGAATAAGAAATAATAGAAAATTAAGCAACAAAAGTATAAAAGAGTTATAAATTATTGAAAGACTGAAAACATATTGAGAGAATATCAATCAATATGAATAAAACTTGAATAACATTCCTGAGAGAATGCAACTTAGTTTACAAATATTCGTCTTTATCACCAAACACGGTTATATAATAACAGCCTTACCGAATAAGGCAAGCATTACCCAGATCTACTATGACGCCACCTAGTTCTAATATAAAAGCTTGGTACTGAGACTTATCGGAGCACACCGCATTTTTGCATTCTAATCTTCGGTCGACGGAAGAAAGCATAAATTAACAAAAACTAATCATGTGTGACGACGACGTTGCTGCTTTAGTTGTAGACAATGGATCTGGTATGTGCAAGGCTGGATTCGCCGGAGATGATGCTCCAAGAGCTGTATTTCCGTCCATCGTTGGCCGTCCCCGTCATCAGGTTTGTAAAAACTTTTATATATTCAAATACTTTTTCAATATCATTTATAGGGAATAAACACACTTACAAAGTATTTTATGTTTCATAAATAGGGAGTTATGGTAGGTATGGGTCAAAAGGACTCGTACGTCGGTGATGAAGCTCAATCTAAGAGAGGTATCCTTACCCTCAAATACCCAATTGAACACGGTATCGTTACCAACTGGGATGATATGGAAAAAATCTGGCATCATACCTTCTACAATGAATTGAGAGTCGCCCCTGAAGAGCACCCAGTCTTGCTAACTGAAGCCCCTCTTAACCCCAAGGCTAACAGAGAAAAGATGACCCAAGTAATTATTGTTATTTACTGAAAAAGTGAGGGAGTGAATATACTAACTGAAATCTTCCCTTTCTTCAGATCATGTTTGAAACCTTCAACGCTCCAGCTATGTACGTTGCTATCCAAGCCGTTCTTTCCCTCTACGCTTCGGGAAGAACCACCGGTATCGTTCTTGATTCTGGTGATGGTGTTACACACACAGTCCCCATCTATGAAGGTTACGCCCTTCCCCACGCTATTTTGCGTCTTGATTTGGCTGGCAGAGACCTTACCGATTATTTGATGAAAATCCTTACCGAGAGAGGCTACAGCTTCACAACCACAGCAGAAAGAGAAATCGTTAGAGATATCAAGGAAAAACTTTGCTATGTTGCCCTTGACTTCGAACAAGAAATGGCCACAGCAGCATCGTCGTCTTCCCTTGAGAAATCGTACGAATTGCCCGATGGTCAAGTAATTACCATCGGTAATGAAAGGTTCCGTTGTCCTGAGGCCCTTTTCCAACCAAGCTTCTTGGGTATGGAATCTGCTGGTATCCACGAAACCACTTACAGTAAGTATAGAAGAGCAAAAATTTAAGAAAATATATCAGAAATATTCTAATTTTCCCTTCTTTGATAGATTCTATCATGAAGTGCGATGTTGATATCAGAAAAGACTTGTATGCTAACACCGTCATGTCCGGAGGTACCACCATGTACCCAGGTATTGCTGATAGAATGCAAAAGGAGATCACCGCCCTCGCCCCAAGCACGATGAAGATCAAGATCATCGCTCCCCCAGAAAGAAAATATTCTGTCTGGATCGGTGGTTCTATCCTTGCTTCTTTGTCCACCTTCCAACAAATGTGGATCAGCAAGCAGGAATACGACGAATCTGGACCCTCGATCGTCCACAGAAAATGCTTCTAAGCATTTTAATTTCGCTGTCTCTTTCATTTATATCTTTCTAGCATGGTCTTAATCGTGTGCTGAATAAACGTTCTCTAGACAATAAAGAATACAGACTTCTTAAAGAACGTTACTGAGTGAAACAATTGAATGTTGTAAATTTTATACTTCTATATATAGCTAGTCAGTTATTTAGATATACAATATCAACGGTACGATTGAATCTATTTTAAGCTTACGTTTTCTAATAGTATATGCATTTCCACGCCCTCTCTCCCTCCTGAAATATTCGTACGTTAGCGCCACCTACATGGTAGTTAATAATATTATCGTATTACTAGTCTCAACTTTTCCACAATGAAAAGCTAGTGAGAAATGCTTCTGACTTGACTCGATACTGAAATGATAAAGCCAGTTGGTAATAGACTGGTCTTTTTTCATTTCTATTTACTCAAGTAAAGAACCACTATAAAGATTATTACGCTTTTAAGATTACTTATTCAAAAAGAGACAAATAACAAGAATCGTAAAAGGTTGAAATAAAGAATAGCTTGAAAGAAGTTAACGGAAAATTCGAAGAATTCTTCAATTGATAGATAGTTAAAAAAAAACGAGTTACGTTTTAGACTCAATAATCTATGCAATTTTTGAGATTTACATTTTTTGTTAAAGGGAAGCAATTTTCTATTTATTTTTCGTATTCATATTCTCTCTCTGCCATTGTTATCACACTTTCTTTTCCTACACCGCCAGTTAGAAACACATTTTTGAGCGGAAATAATACAATTTGTGACAATATAATAACATTTATATATTATTATATATAATAATAATGATACTCTAATTTCTGCCTCGACAAATTTAGCTGGAAGTATTTGCAATACAAAATAGTACTACTTACATTTGTTGCAGATACGAAAATGTTTGTGTGTGTGTTTATGTTTTGCTTTAACTTGGACTGAAGAATTGATAGTCATTTATGAAGCAAACTTTAAATAGGAGTTAAAATACGGATGATACAAATAATCAATAATTATTTTTTATAAGATCACTCGAATATAGAGTTTACAATAAAAGTTTATAATATGTTTACATTTCTTTCTGTTTGTGACAATGATCACGGCAAAGTAAACAACTATTTCTAAGAACTAGGAGAGTTTGAGTTGTCAAAAGATATGATAATAATTACAGGCTGTATATATATGAAATATAACAATAGCAAGATGATCATTATGACAAGATAAAGTGGTAAGAGAATGGAATAGTTTTCCACGCATATTTTTTAAATAGTTGCTTTAATGATTATGGAAAGATGATATAATTATAGCAATAAACTATATACATATCTCTGAGAAGAGCTTCATCCGAATAAAATATACTCAAGGAATATATCAATTAGAGGGAAAAATGTGATAATAAATTTATACCTGTTTGACAAATGTACAAGTTATTCAGAAATAACATCTATAGCTTTACATTTGTCTCCAATGGAGCAAAACTTTCGCTAGATAGCAAATTTCTTTCACTTAGAAAAAAGCCTTCTCGCTAATGTGTTATTCTTTCACAAAAAACATTAGCATACAAAATATAGGTGTTTAATCAAATTATTAAAAAAAACATACAGATTGTATTGCATTAAAAGCATATATCAGCTATATAGTAAGTAACGTGTAATTGTTTACTGATTCATTGAAGTCATTACAAAATACTGTTGACGTAAAAAATATGGACATAAAAGGAAATGTAAACTTAATCAATAGTTCTTATAAATTGAAATAACCTATATTAAATACTTTAAATATGATATAGATTAGTCACCTCGCTTTAAGACGTAAATAATACAGTCTGTTTTGCTTATCATTAACACTATGTCTTGCAAAAGAAAATTAAGATCTCTACTTTTATAAAATATACTTAATTAGCAACATTTCTTATGTAGAATTGATAGTTGCGTAATTTTATATAAAATTTATTATTAATTTGCATATAATTCAATAATAAATCGCAAAATTTTCATTTTTAGTGGCAAAGGGCTATCATCAGTCATTTTATTGCGCAATAATCGACAGCCATTTTCATACGTTTTTATTACAATAACCATATATGGCATTAACTCTCTTCTTATTCATATTGACAGCCCTATAAGGAGCCCTTGTGAATTTTTTAAATTATTTCTGAATGGTATATAAGCTCAATTGATTTCTAAAACTTATCAGAGAGTGTTTAAACTTTATACGAGGCGAGTGAAAACAAAATAATTTTATAAAAATGTATTCAGAAGAAGCAACAGCATTGGTTATAGACGTTGGGTCTGGAATGTGTAAAGCTGGATTTGGTGGAGAAGATGCACCAAGAGCCGTTTTTCCTTCAATAATTGGACGTTCTCGATTCGCTGTTAGTACTTTTCTGTTTATTGCCAAATCTAAAGCTTTTATATCATTAATTTGTTTAGTTGATGACTTATTTAATATTCTTCGTTTTAGAATATTATGATTGGTATGGGTCAAAAGGAATCGTATATCGGTGATGAAGCTCAATCTAAGAGAGGTGTCCTTACCCTCAAATATCCAATTGAACACGGTATCGTTACCAACTGGGATGATATGGAAAAAATCTGGCATCATACCTTCTACAATGAATTGAGAGTCGCCCCTGAAGAGCACCCAGTCTTGCTAACTGAAGCCCCTCTTAACCCCAAGGCTAACAGAGAAAAGATGACCCAAGTAATTATTGTTATTTACTGAAAAAGTGAGGGAGTGAATATACTAATTGAAATCTTCCTTTTCTTCAGATCATGTTTGAAACCTTCAATGTTCCAGCTATGTATGTTTCTGTCCAAGCCGTTCTTTCCCTCTATTCTTCGGGAAGAACCACCGGTATCGTTCTTGATTCTGGTGATGGTGTTACACACACAGTCCCCATATATGAAGGATACTCAATTGCACATGCTATTTCGCGTCTTGATTTGGCTGGCAGAGACCTTACCGATTATTTGATGAAAATCCTTACCGAGAGAGGCTATAGCTTCAATGGGTCTGCCGCTAGAGAAATCGTTAGAGATATCAAGGAAAAACTTTGCTATGCTGCCCTTGACTTTGACAAAGAAATGGAAAAATCAGTAGAGTCTTCTTCCATTGAAAAATCGTACGAATTGCCTGATGGTCAAGTAATCACCATTGGTAATGAAAGATTCCGTTGTCCTGAGGCCCTTTTCCAACCAAGCTTCTTGGGTATGGAATCTGCTGGTATACATGAAATTGTCTATGGTAAGTTCCATCTCTTTTTAGAATAAGAACATATGTTTAAAATTTGTTTTACAGATTCTATTATGAAGTGCGATGTTGATATAAGAAGAGATTTGTTTAATAGCATGGTCTTATCAGGAGGAACTACTATGTATGCGGGTATCGCAGAGAGAGTGAGAAAGGAAATTGCAGCCTTAGCACCAAGCACAAATAGAATTAAAGTCATCGCACCTCCAGAAAGAAAGTATTCAGTTTGGATTGGCGGTTCTATTCTCTCAGAGCTGTCAACTTTCCAACAAATGTGGGTAAACTCGTCAGAATATAATGAATTTGGATCTGCAATAATTCACAGGAAATGCTTTTAAATTTCTAATTGGTTGCTGTCATATTCAAAAAAGAAAACATTTGATCATTTTACTCATATTTTTGTATGAAGATATTTGTGAATATGCCAAATAACTAATATTTTACCTCAATCATTTATATAGATATGATTATGAACGTAATAAATTTATCATTTGAACATTGGTACTGTATATCGCAACAGCAAAATATAATCAATATTATCTTGTTTTTAAAGATGTATATAGCTATAATTTAATACAAAAATTGAACCTAAAAAACCTATTTGTGAATATATTTTCAAGCTTTTGATAATAAAAAAAAAACAGGTAAGATATTTTATAAATACAAAATAATTGCCTTTCATTTTTGTCGTGATTATTATGATGTGACTTTGTTTTGTTCCCCTTTAAATATAAGCTGATATGTCTGGTATGTCATAACTAGGGATGTTAATTAATGAGCAATATATCTCAACCAGTAAAACAATTAGCAATCTAACCATCCAGATATAGAGTATTTTACTATTATAGAAAGTTAAAAGGTATTACATGCTCGTGTTCTTTAAGTTTGTTGCGGTATAAAAGTCGAATATAAAGTCTTATTGAAATAAGATTAAAGACAGTTGATATGCTCCTGTATCTTTTAATGTGACAGTTTAAAGCGAACCTTCAAATTAACGTATATTATTTCATTTAGTTAAGACTTTATCTGCCCTCTGAATTTAAACTCTAATATTACATTCTCAAATATAACTGCTGTTAGATCGATAGGAGTGATTATTTAAATAGAATACTTTTATAGATGATACGAAAATCAAGAGAGATATAGAGAACATTGAACTCCTTTGCGAAAGGGCGTTAATTTATTAGTCTTGTTTTTTTGCTAAAAGTAAGAACGACGCCAAGTTATTTCGTGCTAAAAACAAAACGATAAAAAGGATAAATACAACATAGAATATTTTTAAGTCCTTTTTTATTTTATTTTATTGTTATTGAAGGCTGTTAAGTTTTCTCATTGTTCCATCTTTTGACTTGTGTTTCCTCTCATTGTTGATTGAGTCATTGTCGTGATATTTATTTTGTTCTTTGAAAAGAACATTAGAAATGTTTTACGAAAACGTTTGCTGAAAATTATATAAATGATAAAGTTTATTGCGGAATTAAACATTACGGCCAGAGAGCTAAACTCTGAATAGTAATTATAAAATGAACCACATCCACCTCCGTCAAGCTTTAAGGCAACGAGTAGTCTCCTTACAGGATTCATTATTTGACAGATGATGAAAATTAAGACTACAACTATCAAAGTCCTTGTTATATCTCGTCCATCTCTGCCTCTTCTTGACATCTGATCTCTTTCAGTAATACCTGATTTTAAGTATTCAATTAGTTTGTGAGTCATAATTATTAAAGATAAGAGGGGTAGCAAGTAAATGAAGGTATAATATAAGAAGAGAGTGTAAAAGTACACATAAACATCTCCTTTTGTCCAAGAAAGTTTTGTTGATTTATTGTTTATAACTTTACTTTCAAAGAAACGAGGTAAGGTAAACACTAAGCTAAAGAGAGAAATTGCTAGCATTTGATATCTTGTCGACTTTATTGAAGAAAATGTAGTATTATGGGGAAAACGTACTGCTAACCATCTATGACCAGTAACCAAAACAGTTGTTAGCGTTGCGGCAAGATGAGAGACGCTATTTACAGGCCATCCGTAGGCAACAAGCCAAGGTTTCGAAGATTGATAGTTTGGCCAATCATTAAAATATTCCGAATACGCTGCAAGAGACTTATTAACGAATCGAACTATGACAACTACAGTGTCGAATATCGCCAAACAACAAAGAATAAAGTTTGTTGGGGACTTTCTCTTGTCCAAAGAGAGAATAATAAAAGATAAAAAATTTCCTGTAACACCAACCAAGAATAGAATACTTCCAATCACGAAACTTAACCAAAACTTAAAGAGAATGCATTTATGATTGGAGTCTGACACATCTGATCTATTTACAGCCATTCCTTGCTTTTGCAATGATATAACTGTGGTCGTGTAAAGCAATGCCTACTTAAAATGTATGCAGTGCTGCCTCTACTCTCTTAATATTATTAAGTTCCCAAATATTTCCCACAACTAACATTATAATTACAGAATTTTGAATGGCTGTATTATTATTATTATCATTACCAACAGATAAAAGTTACACAGCTTGTTTCAACAGTTTCGTATAAGTGCTAATTTTACTAGCCATCGACATGTCGATGTACTTATCTCCAATATTGACAATCATTCCACCAATGATTGACGGATCAACATTTGTCTCTAATGAGAGAGACTGATTCTTTTTCAAAAATCCTTTCAAAGCAGCCTCCAAATCGTTCAACTCTGCTTTATCTAGAGCTTTAGCTGTGGTGACCGAACAGACAATTTCTCCCCTGTGGGCACTCATAATTTTCTGGAAACTGCTTAATACGCCGTTTGCTTTAGGTAGTCGTCCATTCTCTGCTAGAGCTCCAAAGAGGTTCAAAGTTAAGCTGGAAACTTTCAACTTTTGTAAAATTTGATCCATAGCATCTATAAAAGTTAAATATATTTGTCAGATAAATATACTTCTATTTAATGGGTAAAAAAGTATTCATACTTTTCTTCTCTAATCTTTGAATGCTTGGGTTTTTAACAAATTCTGAGAATTGGGCGTCATCCTTCAACAATTTCTGCAAATAAATTTATGTAATTGTTGGTGGGGTGAAATAGTCAAAAGGAAAAATGCACTAATGACGTTGGAAATCCACCTAATTCTTTAGCACTCATTAAAAAAGAAAACCATTTAGTAAATAAAAGATTTATCTAACTTAAATTAATCAGTTTGAAGAACATGAGTGCAAATACTTTAACTTTTACGTTTTATATATTAACCTGCAACTGTTTAAGGTCCTTATCAACGGAATCTAACTTCTTTTCTTTAACGGCGGCAGAATATAAGGCATGAGCATAGCGACCCTCTACACCAAATACCTGAACAGGTGCCTGGAATTGAAAAATTAATATTAAGACGATTCGACATTTATATCGGTTTAGAATGTGGAAAGGCACTAAATGCTTTTAGAACAGCTTACCTGTACCAATTGAAGTCTACTAGCAGTAGAGCTTAATTGACGAACCTAAAAGTAAAATATATTTATCAAATTGCTACAATTTTGAGTAGTTTTGAGAAATACCGCAAAAGCCAATCGTCCGGTTAACATTTCTTTCTCTCTTTCAAGGGCAGACGAACAGGATACGGAAGCGGAACTACAATCATTTTCGTATTTTGATGTATAAATTTTAAATATTTACTCAAAAAATTAATCGAATAAAACTACTCATTTTTTAAAATATACTTATACTTTTTTCTACGAGAATGTAACATTTCACAAACATCCGGTTCTTGTGTGGATGAAGAAGAAATACTACGAGAAAACTGTGCTACTAATTTACATGTCCAAATGGAAACGCCAAAGCGTTTTGTGGAAGAGATACACCACACAGACCTTCAAATATGCCAAGTACGTTATTGTAATAAAGTGGTAAGTTCTCTAATCATAAAAAGTCTTTCGTTTTCAAAAGCTGGTAAACGAAGGGTCATTCGGAATTATTTCACTCGCCTATTGGAAGGGGCGCGAAGTTGCTGTCAAATTAATAGCAGACAGCAACAAAGATAGTTTTGTGGTGGAATTAAAACAATTATCACGTATTGATCATCCTCATATCGTCAAGTTATTCGGAGTTTGTCGTAGTCCATTTTGCCTTGTGATGGAATTCGCTGAAGGAGGCTCATTGAATAAAGGTATAATGAATTGAACACTGTTATTTTATAATTATGAAAGTACGGTAACGTGGCTTACAGTCCTGCATGAAGACACCAATGCTCATTTTACGCCCGGCTTGGCTATCAGTTGGATGTATCAGTGCGCAGTAGGAGTTGAGTATTTGCACGGCATTAAACCAAAACCTTTGATTCATCGTGATCTTAAACCAGCAAAGTAACAAGACAAATATATTTATTTAATATTTGCTTGATATGTGTATATATATATATATATGTATACATGCCCATACAGCCTATTGTTGATTGATCAAGGAAGATTTATGAAAATTTGTGATTTCGGTTTATCGAGAGAAAAGAGTGCTCATATGTCAGGTAATCGTGGAAGTGCCTATTGGATGGCTCCAGAAGTTTTCGCTGGTCAAGACTACAACGAAAAGTGTGATCTTTTTAGCTTTGGAATAACAGTTTGGCAGATTTTAACAAGGAAATTCCCAATGGCTGAACGTGGTGTAGATATTGCATTTAAATTAATGTGGGACTATTATAAAGGTTAGATGCAATAGAAACAAAAGTGAATATTTCAGTCCATGTAATGTTCCTCAATTTCCATAGGCAAACGTCCACACTCTATATCAAATTGTCCGAAACCTCTTGCCGAGCTTATGGTTCATTGTTGGGATCAACGACCCTCCGCTAGACCTACTATGACAGAAGTTGTACGTATCCTAAAAGGACTACAAGAAATGTTTAAGGGAGCGGATGAACCTGTGTATTATATATCAACACAAAAGGGTAAGCTATTGACGTGACCTCATCCAATGTTTTTTATCATTTTCGTTTCATCAAATTATTTAGAAGATGATCATTTGTCTTTTCTTACATCTCCGAAATCCAAAATTACAGATGACACACGTCAAACTTTAATAAAAAATACCAGTCAGCAAGAGGTATGACTATCATTTTGCAACAAAATTATGATCATAAATATACAAAAGCTTTAATAGTTTAAGGTTGAAGAGGAAAGATCAAGATCCTTTTCAATGACAAGCGCTCCAGCTTCATTAGCAGCGTCTATGGAGCAGTTAGATATTGGTGATAACAGGCCATCAGATAATGAAACTACACCAGTTCCAATGAAACGAGGTAATTATTAATATTTTCAGTGTTAACTAATGAATAACTATATAGGTGTCTTGCGTGACTCATCAATGTGATTTACTGTGATCATTAGTTAGAATGATAGTACGAAAAAAAATACTTAAAAGCCAATGCTATTTTTTGTAGAAAACAAAAAAAAATTAACTTAATTTGTTGTCACTGGGAATGTTAATTCTGCATATTTTCTTTCTTTGAAAAAATTTTGCATGCTTTGTAAATTGTTAGGTCATCGCCGTACTGGCTCGCATGGACAGAAATTTGTTACACCTCCCAATCAATTACCGAATTTAAACGAACAAAATATGTCCCGATTGACAGGTAAGATTAATTTGGTTTGGTGACGCTTCCTTTTGAATCTCTCTCAATTTCATCCACCTATTTTCAAATTTAGAAGTGTTATTATATCGATGACTAACGAACAACTAGCATACTATCTAATTGTTATATTTTAATTTTAATTCTACGCATTCTTTTCTTTCTTGAAGTTACTCGACAAAATAGATCCGGATCAGGATCTCAGGCTGCGAGCCCATATGATCCAACAGGATCAACAACATCTCTTACACCAGGAACTCCAATTGATATTACTAAGGATGGTTTGTATACTAAATTGAGAGAAAAGTATAAGATATTCAAAATGCTTCCTCTTCAAGCCACTTGGGTAGAGGCGGGAATCAGTCGAGATGATGTAAATAGAGTAAACGCATTGGCCTGTAAACTTGAATATCAGGTTTGATGTTTAAACAGAAAATTCGGAACTAAATTAATTAGACCTTTATTTCTCTCCTCGAACTTTAGCCTTTAGCTCCTGATTTTAATTGTCCTCAATCTATACACATATTCAATGAACACTATAGGGTAAATGTTATTAAATATTAAACTTAATGACTTTTTTCTTTCAATTTAAATAATTACTTTTTCTATTTATCTCTGTCAAAATTATTTTTTATTCATCAGTTAGCAAAATCATATCTTGAAACGCAAGTGGAAATTCAATTTTTGACTTCTCGAAAGTAATTTGCATAAATTTTCTACTTTGATAAACAAATGATTAATTATTTTATCAATAGGTTTGAGCTTGATAAAGAATTAGAGACAGATTTAAGAGCGGAACAAGCCGATGTCGAATTACAAGATCAGTTGGCAAATGAAACTGCCGAACGAGATAGTTTGGCAAATTTTTTGCATAACTTGCAACAACAAGTGAGTAAGTTAAAGCAGCAGAAGAGACATCCTCAAAATGTATGAATTTTCCGTTTTGTTATGAACTATGTTTTATAAATTAATTAATAATAGAGAATTTTTTCGCTAAAATACATGTAATTATTGAATTATAAACAAAAAAAAAACATTAAAAAAACTGCTTTCACGTATTGATTATGGATGTTATAAATTTTATCAAGACGGTGCCGGATAGATCAATAATTTTCCATTGATCCTGATGCGTGCGCGTTGTAAACTTTCAGGCCTAGGAATTTGCGGCCATTGCAGTGTTCAATCGCATACATGTTTTCCTTCTATATCTAATTACAACATCTATAGTTTACCTTTACTATTATGGATTTTTTTTTCGGATGGCAGTCAGGTAAATGTTCATTGTTTTATGCAAATTTTCTATTTTTGCCTTATCTTTTTCAAATTGTGATATTTATTCAATTCTCTCTCTGTTTTTTTAATAAAAACAATGCAGAAAAATCACGACTCGCCGAACGGGTACTGGCTTTGGTTTTGTTCTAAAAGGCGAGTGTCCCTGCGTTGTTGATGAGATTAGGCCAGCTAGTTCAGCCCTTGCATCGGGTTTAAAAATTGGAGACATTGTTATTGCTGTTAATGGCATCGACGTTCGCAATTGGGGCCATTATAAGCTTGTACAATTAATTCAACGCTGCGGTTCGACATTGGATCTCGTAGTGAAGAATAATAATATGGGTAATGAAAATGTTTTTCAATATTTTCAAGCATTCTCCTCATAACACATAGTTTTTACAGATTTGGGTAGGAATATTATCTCGACAACGTTTAGTGGACAAGCTGACTATCTGTTGACTAAAAGAGAAAAACAATTATTTAGAACTTCACTGATAAATTACAATTTGCATCATAATATTCAATTATTAGTTGGGGAATTAGAGAGAGTTTTGGATACAAATTCAAAGAAACAGCTATGGCGATATATTATCCAAAGGATGACACCAGATCATCAAATTTATGTGCTAGAGAGAATCTCCTTACCAAGAAAAGCTATTACGCCAACGAGCAGGTCCATGCAAGATGCCGTAACCGAATTGGCTCACAATCCGTCCAGAAAGTTAGCACCGAATAGTAATTGGTCGTTATTTAAGCAGAAAATAGACTTTTTACTAACACCAAATGAAAGACATGCTTTAAAACTTTTACTGCAAAATTACGCCAACCTTCGCCATGTAGAAAATTTATTAGAAAGTTTACAAAAGCTCTTTGATACGCCATCTAAACGCTCCTTATGGAAATTTGTACTGCCCCTACTCTCTGAAAAAGATAGGCGATATTGCATTTCCAGACTTCGAAATGGTGGTATACGTTCCTCAACGCCAGTTAGAAATTCATTTAGAGAAGCATCCCCCAGGGAAGGAGATGTTACTTTTCAGTCAAATTCTTATTATTACGGGGGTGGCAATACTTTAATAAGTACAGCGCCTAACTCGTCCTTTCAGGTATAACTTAAATTGACTATTATAACATTTTTTGAATAACAAAGATATTTATTATATTTCCTCAACGACAGTCGGACGATTCGTCTAACATTACCAGATCAACCGTTAGACGCCGTAGTGTGGATAGTTCTAATAGTTTGGGATTTCATAATCAAGACGGAGAGGTATCCGTCGTCACGGTTCAGCCTGATATTGTTGTTGATAAGAAAGAAGTTTCTGAAAGTGCTACTCAAACAGATGATGGTCATAGAAACTATCGAACTTTGGTTAGACTGCGCAGTCGGCCGGAAGAACAAGCTGATATAGTCGAAATGGATGATGATGAATTTCTAACAAGCCCAAATTTCTCCGAAATAGTTCATTCAAAACCGCTTATGCAGTCGGCAAGTATTCAAACTGAGTTGGTTCCTATAATCGAAAAACCTAGTGATTCAGAGGAACTTGAAGACAGCCAATCAGAATCGTATATGTATGCTAGAACCATGAGTGCCCTAAGAGTACTAGATGACGCTGTAGCGGACGAGCTGACAGATGATGTAGATACTCCAAATGAAGCTTTCGTACCTCCTGCACCCCCTATTCCACCCCCTCCACCACCACCTCTACCAGTAACTGTCAACAACACCGGTCCACCTGGTGTTAAAAGGATCAATTGGGAAAAAATTGAGAACATAGACGAAAATTCTCTATGGGCTCAAATACCCGAAGCGAATATGGAATTAGAAGATGTAGTTAAATTTTTAGAAATAGAACAACAATTTAGCACCAAGAAACTAAATATAGGTAGGCGTAATACAGAAGCTATATATTAATCATATCTAAAATAATATCTAACTGTAATCCTTCTATATTTATAACTAAAATCAATAGCACTAAAGAAACGTCAGCCGAGAATAACTATTTTAAATGCAAAAAAGGCCTATAACATCTGTGAGTTAGAGTCCTTTTATTTTATGCCATTAGCTATACAGACTTATGCATTTTGATAGCGATTCTACTTGGACAATTAAAGAAATCAGCCCCCGAACTAAGGGAGTCTTTATTGATGATGGATGATAATACGTTATCAGCTGATTTACTTAACCAATTACTTATGTTTTTACCAGATGCAAACGAGGTTGTTTAAATAATTAAATATTCATAAAAAGATTCTATTTATTTAAATTATGAATAGAAAGAACATTTTAATCAATTTACTGGTAAATTAGAAGATCTAAGCATACCTGATCAATACATATACGAAGTAAGAAATATCTAAAAGTATCCCTGCACTGTAGATAAATATTAAGATATAAGGCTTCTTTAACAAAATTTATTCCTATTTGTATATTTACTATTTTAAAAAAGATATCTCGAATACCATCGTATAAGGAAAGATTACGAGCTCTCTCCTTTAAGAACGTTTTCCCAGAACGAATACGAGAACTTCAAAGCCATTTAGAATGCATTCAAAAAGCGTCTTTGGAACTACAAATTAGTAAAAAATTAGCTAAGGCTTTAGAGGTAAAGTTTATAATTGATTGAAATATCTGGTGACTACTCTCAATTTTTTGACATATTTTCATTAGCTCGTCCTTGCTATAGGGAATTATATGAACAAAGGAAATGCAAGGGTTGGTCAAGCTGTTGGTTTTAAAATATCCTTCCTATCTCAGGTAACAATTTATAGATATTTAAGTTATACAGTATAATTTATCACTTTCTCGTCTTTTAACTAAAAATTTTTAGTTGGAGATGACTAAGACTAGTGACAAAAAGGGTACATTCTTGAACGTTCTGGCGGAAGCTTTAAATTCTAAATATCCTCAGTTAATCGATTTAAGATCAGACCTTCCATCTATCCCATTGGCAGCAAAAGGTAATTGATTTACTATTGATTTTTACGTCATTATTTTGCTATTTTTACTTACATCAAATTCACGGTTTTTTTTTCATTACTAACTTAAAAACAAAAAAAATTCACTTCAGTTCCATGGTCTAAAGGTTCGTTTAGTTGGGAGGTGCAGTGTTTCTCATTCTTTTTTCTGCTCCATTATATTAAGCACATTCTTTTTCAATTAGTAAATGTTTTCATAAAAAACATCACTATATATTACTCTTTCCTCTGTTATATGTAATTATCTATTATTCTACAGTATCCCTCGTTGGAATAAAACAGGAAATCGACGAAATTAAGGAAATCTTAAGGGTATCCAGTTACATTTTACTTCACTAAAACTTACTCAAAGGAAATATCCTTTTTGTATAATTTAGGACAGCCATACAGCTGTAGCAGTACATGGTGAAACAGCATCAAATAATCAAGGGCCTGATAGATTTCAAAGCGTTATGCAGGTAGACAAAAGAAAGAGGACGAAAGCTTTTTATCACCTCAAGAGTAAATCTATCTTTTTTAGGCTTTCCTTAAAGAAGCAAATGAAACTTTAGACGACATCACGTCCAAACATCAGCGAACTATAGACGACTACAATAATATGCTCAAGTATTTCGGCGAGGAGAACGGTGAGAATAAGAGCGAAATTTTTGAAATAATGACCAACTTTGTTAGCAAATTTGAGGTAACATTTTGTTGTTTTTAATAACGCTATTCCAGCAACATTCCAAATAAAATTTTCTCAATAATTAACTTAGGAGGCGCATAAAGAAAATTTAAGAAAGAATTATCATAAGAATTTTTCATCTCCAAGGATAACTAAAACTGAATACAAACGGCAGACTCGTCTAAAACCGAATAATTAATGTTTCATTTTGTGTATAAAACATATTGTGCGTCCTTAGAAAGCAAAAAAAAAAAGAAAATATCTTACGTTTAAAAAGCACTGAATGGATTGACACTTGTAGAATAAATGTACAAGTTAGAAATTTTGACAACATTATACACTCGCGTAATATAGACAAATGAAAAAACTTAAAAAGATATTTACAACTTACATATAAAATCGACAATACTTTGTTCTTTTAATTTACAGATATTAAATTTCGTCTGCAGACGTTTTCTAAACTATAGCTTATCTTCACTATAAATGAGAAAGCTCAGATATTGTCACTTATCAGTTTTTTTTATTAATATGCTAAGACCAATGTCTTATTCTTTTTTTCCGTTGCACATTTGCATCATTTTCGAAATTTTCGCCATCGATTGCAATCCTGAGACGTTGGCTGCAGTCTATTTGTAAAAAAAATATTTGATTATTAAAAATTTGTTATCTTCAAAAAAATTAAATCTATCTTGCTCACAGTCAAGGATAAGAAGCCCATTAGTTTATTAAGCATATACACAAGGGGTGTAAAATCATTATTAGGCAGTCTATTTCGTAGAACACTTTGAAGATGCTAAAATAGAAAATAATCGTTGTTATTAAACAAAAGAATATTTTAAGGATGTTTACCTCATCACTTTGGATCATACATCCAAGAGCTAATGATATAAAACCGGCCATTACGCATTCCTCCATATGTTTATCAGCAAACTTCAAACCTACATATAATAAACGACAGCTGTAATATATAACAAATAAAATCATTCAAAAATCACTGACATTTAGTAAAATTCGTTTCTTCATCATCCAAGTCTCGTCCCAGAGGTTTTGTTTTTTTCTTAACAGTAGTTTGACCGGTACTTGGCAGCCACTGCAATCCATTTTCGTCATCTTTCCAAACTCCACTAGTTTCCATTGGACTCGTTTGTAAATTCGTTGCTTTCTCTCTTTCTTTATCTTGCTCCTCGACTACTTTGTCAGCGGCAGCTTCTTTTTCAAAGAAACTTTCTATAAGAGCATCATAGAATTCCATGGTATTTCCGGAAACTGAAATTCGTCTTGTAAACATCTTTTTCCTGTTTGGCTCATGATGTTCGCAAATATTTAAAACAACGCTTAAAGAGCAAACTGTCACTTCAAAAACTTGTGAGCGTGTCAGAAATGAGTTTGCTGAGAAAATGCATTGAAATAAGGCATCAGGAATCCGCGGCTTTTGCACGCAAAGCTGGCTGGAAACTTGACTGTTATGCGTTATGTTCATGAGCATACCCAGACTTGATGATAAGCAGGAATACACAGATGAAGAATTAGACATGGTCCCTTTGGACAGAGTATTTAAGCAGATGAATAGAACACTGCAAAAAATGATAAAGACTTGTATTTCCGTATGGCTAAGAGAGAAATCTAAATAAAATTTTAATACTTGGCAACGGCTGGAATGATTTGATGATTGTTAAAATCAACGATAAATTTCTGATTTGCTTCTCTATTATATGATAACTGAAAAAGAAATTACTTTTATATAAATTACACGGAAAAAGTTTTTAAAATCTAAAAAAAATTACGTTTTCGATTAGCTTAATTATTTTAGCAAGCTTTTTAAACAAAACCGATTTTTCAGAATTTTGCGCTGCTTCCAGGGTGTCCAGTCTATCGATTAGCTCAAAAACTGTAAAATTCAAAATTCGTTTCTGAACTTATTGCTATATAGATATCTTACCAATATTTAGCACGTATTCTAATCCACCACCTGTACGAACACAGTCTTTAAATTCATCTTTCACGTTTTGATTAGTCCAACTCAGTAAACTTTCCAAGATCAGACTAGATGCATTCAAGTCATTCACCACCCAAGACTGGGTATTGCTAAATAATTTATCTTCTGAATCTTTAATTTTTTTCAGTGTTTTCTCATAGTCTTTACAATTAAGAATATCGGGTTTCGTGACAAGTAACTTGTTGAGCAATTCTAACCAAGGTCTATCTAACTCTAATTTGCGTCTATCACGTGAAAGGAGAAAAAATAAAGCCGCTGTACATAATCCCAAAGAAGGGAAATCGGCAGAATCAGATAACAATTCCAGTACTTTTGACAACGTTTCATGAGCTCTCAAATGCATTCGAAAAGCAGTTATACAACTTTTGGTAATCAGTTGCGTGGCTGAAAGACATCGGACATTGAGAGAACTCTTGGGCGATAACGAATGCAATATATAAGCTATATCAGTTTCGAAATCATCAGTTTCACCATGTTCTAGACATTCATGAGCACCACGGACCTCCTTAACAACTGTATATACTGGTTTATGTTCTCTAGTAACTTTAAGTTTCGAACTTTCATTATCGAAATCTAATTGAGAAGTTACTTTTCTTAATCTTGGTTCTCTATTTGAGGTAACAGTCACAGGATCGTCATCAAAATCATAGGCTGAGGGTTCCTTACTCGGCAAGTTTCCTGGGGCGGATAGTTCAGGGGAAGCCATGTCCTTTAGAAAAGATAAAACATAAATATCCATGGTAGACTACATACAATAAACATAAAAATTTTAAACAAATACTAACTTCTTCCTCGGGTTTCCAAATACAATAATTATATTTATACTTTTTCGGGCTAGTTGAAAAGATGCGCCTGTTGGCCTTCTTCTCGCTGGCTTTTAATGCGGAACAACTTAAACTTCGCTTTAAATTATCGTTTGAATTGTCTTTTAGGCTTTGAACAGCTGGTGGGTTCAAAGACGTTGCGGCTTTCTTTAACACCAGGGGAGGTTTATGGTCGTCCATAAAGTCATTCGACTCTGTAGTTTTGTCTTTCATTTCATCACTTTCATTATTCTCTAATCGAATACGTTTTTTTGGTGAAGGAATACATGCAGAGTCGTCATCAGTGGATCGCTGTTTAGAGACTTCTTTAATAGGAGAAGTTGTGAAGAATTTTTTTGTTTTTGTCGCACATGACGTAGTTTTCGTAACAGGTATAGTATATTCCTCTGCTTTACCAGGTCTATCATATGGTTTCGATTTGCCTGACGACTTTGTTGGGGCTTTATTCGATGTGGCCCCGATATCAGATGAGGATTTACCAAATTTCCTAGGTGATTTTCGTTTTTTAGGACTATCTTCACCTCCTGATTCGAAACTAAATGGATCGGAATCCTTAGCTGGTGGAGGAGTAGATGTTGATTTTCTAACACTTGTAAACGACTGTTTTCCCCATAATCCAACAGCTGCGGCCGCTTTGCAAGCCTTAGGACCTTGCTTATCATCATTCTTCAGCATCTCCTCGAATAACTTTGTCGATTCGCACTGCTTGCTATTTCTTTTCCCGTAGGTTCGATATACCTTTGAAGAAGACATTCTCCTGTTGTTTATAAGAATACTTTCCCTGTGTAATTATCAATTATCCAGCATCGCTGTAGCGGTAGCAAACAATGAGACTAGTCCACAGCTAAGTTTAGGTGCATCTGAATCACTAAGATCAAAAAATAGATTCACTATCCAATACAACACAGACGTTTTGAGGGAAAAAACTTGAACGTTTTTAAAGATGATACAATATTAACATTTTAAACCAATGGACACGAGCAGTAGACAACCGCCATCATTAATTTAAATTGGTAATGCGCATGCGCGGCCAAAGATGAAGAGTATTTCCTCTCGAAATTGCCTCCACCTAGTGTGTATTTGCTCTAGTAATTTAAAAGATATTTCAATTCATTTTGTAATAATGAGATAATATGTTATTTATTTAAGAATGATATTGTTGTAAATTTTATCATCTTTTTTTTGTATATCTAGAAATATGATTCACTGTTGATTTTCACATATTATGAGGAAATGTTAGTTTTTACGATCCAATATATGTAGACAGTGCAAGTTAAAAAAAACTCTTTCCAAGATGTAAGTCCTGTCATCTCTATCCAGAAGTTCCACCACCTGTAGCACCAGCACTAGCAGCCGCAGCTTCCTTTTTCTTTTGCTTCTCCCTCATAATATCGGCATCTCTGAGTAAGAGAGATTCATTATATTATTGATTAAAATTGTTCTAAGGATTATTCAATATTTCGGCTTTCTTTCATTTTAATGAAAACTTACCTCTGCTTTCTAGCTTCTAAAGTAACACCTTTGTTTCCATCCTTACCAGTTGCAGTCGCCTGCTTCTTGCTTTGTTGTTGTTTTTTAAGATTTTTTTGCCTGGCGAGTTCACGCTGATTTCCTCCTGTTAAAATATTAAGCATGAAATATGTCACCGAGACATACCTTATTCAAATAACGTGTTAAAATAGTATAATTACTCGTAAATCTCGTTGTAATAAAAGTCAATCGCTTCTTCAAAGAAATCCTTCCGGAAAACTATACACAGAAAATTCAGCAAGATATTGCATTGCATATCAAGTCATTCACTCTTATTGCATAACACGATCACATTAATTTCACCCTTTTATCTATTTTAAACACTTCTACTCAAGGATGAAATTTTTCAAAGACTTAATGTTTAATTGGAAAAACTTACGGGTCATTTTAGTGTGCCCTATGTACTTCCTGGAGTTGTTTTTCTTCGCGCTAGTGGCGGGTGTTAAAAGAACTAAAAATGGCGATTTATTGTTGAGGAGCAATCTCAGATAGGAAACCCTACTAATTGAGCTGTTTTGGTTTGGCGCCATCTATCCATTGGTTATTTAAGAAAAATTCTATAAATGGCGGCATATTTAAAAAAATTAATTTAATATTTCTAAATTATTACGCAATAGAAAGATCACACCATTAACGCAAATTTACCTTTCATCATTGAACAGAATAATTTATTATTCATTCCTACTTTGAATAAATACATTAAGGCGAAAGTTTACATATCGATCAATGTCAAAAACATATCATAAAACATTCTACTCTTTAACTGTTTGAGTCACAACAAAAGCAGAACTCTCCTATTATCCCACCAATCTCGCCTTTCTCATAGTAATATAAGCCCACGTGTTCAAAAATGTTTGGTAGTGCCATCTATTAATATTGTGTAATTGCAAAACGAAAACGAGACTTCGATGAGCAAAAATCATATTCGTTGGGATCCGAAATACGTTGCAGATAACATAATTAGTGTGACTCAACTCATCAATTCAATAACAGTCCGTCGCTCTCTCTATAGACTAAAATATTCAAAATGCCAGATTTGATAACCACATTGAGTAAGGACAAGCCAATTCAGACAACAGCAGAAGAATCCCTTGCGCCTCAAAATTTCTCTCCAACTGCTGAAGTTTACTTACTTCCACAAAAACCAGTGGTATGGAGAAGTTTCTTTGTTTTTATTGGCCTTGCTGCGATTGTATTGATATATTTTGGTATAAGAGCAATACGGTATGTTAACAACATTTCTCTATTGTAGAATATTATAATTCAAACATACTTTTCTTTCTTTATAGTCTAAAGCGTAAGAAGTCAAGAAAATATGGAGTGTTAACCAACACTGATATGGAATTGACTCCTTTAGACGCCGAAGATGAAGATGATATGACTCTCTTCGATAGAACAAGAAAGTGATAGTCATACTTTTTACATTGAAACTTTTTAATCAATTACTCATGAAAGTTGTTCCTCTTCTGGGTATTGTACGTTCTGCTTTAAACGGCTCTGGTTAAATTTGATAATCGGGCAACTTTATTGTAATTTGAACTAAAACAAAAAACAAGAAATGATTATCATTAAACAAAAAATATTTCTTTTTCATCTGCAGTCCTTAACTGTTTTTCTTTGTTTAAAAACATCTTTTCAATATCTTCACTTGAAAGAAGCAGAAGAAGAAAAGAAAGATATTATTCTATTCATATATAATATACAAATCGTCTACTAGACTGTTTTCGCTTTTTAAAGAAAGACTTACTTAAAAGAGTGAAAAAAATTAAATGTGTGAATATGTCAATTTTTCTTGTTTTTTGTTTTCGTCTTTTTTATTAACGCTTATTTTAAACACACTTTTGCTTGAAAAAGACTATTAACCAATATTACGTTGTTAAAAAATCTTGATAATTTGGTAAATTTTTAGTTTATGATTGCTAAAAATTGCCTTCAATAAAAATCTTTCTGGTCATTTCCTTCCGATTCTGTTCTTAACTATAAAACTTTAAGACAATCTGCTCTTTCTATTCAAATCAACAGCTAAGTGTGTGTAAAACAGGTATATTTCGCTTTTTCTTTTGTCAGCCTAGCACACTGTTTATAACCTATAAACGATAGAGGGCGTTCTATATGTTTGAGCTGCTAGTTCTTTCATTCCTCAATATTTTGTTATACTGTTACCTTCCTTACCCTGACGAACCTTTAGTATTCTACATAAGTTATGGCTTTGCAGAAGTTGGCAAACAATCGTTTGCAGAATGCTGTGACAAATGAGGTAAGCTTTTATAATATATTGAGTTTTCGTCTTGGGTCTTTTTTAAAGAAGAGGTTCACTTATTAGGTCGTCGAAATGCAATCGCTTTGGACAAATAGAAATGTCATCATTTACTTTATGAGAAGGTTTGGATGACCTTTGTGCAGGCTCTATCTGCGGCAGGTTAGCATTATCTGTTTTTAGAGTTAACTCTAGGATGGATATGATACTTTACAGATCAATTTATTTAGCTTTCAGAAGCCACAGATCTTCTACGGCAGCATAATACAGCAATTGCTGTTATCAGCGTTCTTGATAATGAAACCAGCTATAAAACCTTTATGGATGAGGAAGATAATTCCAATAAAGGTGATCAAGTTAATTTTTGTTTTAAAATACAAAAAATGAACTTTTCTTTAATTGCTTACAGAGATTTATATTGCTGATGAAAAGTTATATAAAGATATTGGCTTCACTTCTCTAACTAAATGCCAGTATTGCTGTAACGCTTGTACATGCTGTTGCAGAGGAATAATATGCAATCAAGTTTGTAAAACCTTTTCTGCCGGAGTTGGAGGTGATTTGAGAGGTAACATACTCAGAAATGGGGGTATGCTGGTAATCAAAGACGGAGAAATTGTTTTAAGCCTCATACAATTAGGACCCGAAGATCATCCTGAAGTTTCAGAAGTTTTAAAATCTTTAGGAATTGAAGAAAAGATATCTCCAAAAATCGTTTCGAAGCAACCTAAATTGGTTTGCAATGATGAATTTTGTCAGATACGAAAGTAATCTTCAAAAGTCACAAAACAATTTCAATTAAAATAAAATAGCTTGTTTGAAAACACCAGTATGACGCAAAGTAGAAAAACCTTAAACGGATCTACTTTTGCTGACGATAATATTACATTAAGGTTGTTTGTCAACAAGTTATTTCATTATTAATTGAAATTGTATCTAATGCGTTGTAATGTTTATCTGTTGCATGTATCTTTAATTAGTCTATTTGCAAAAATTAAATACGAAAGTAAGGTAAAAAAGGAGTTGAAAGGCTTTATGTAAAATAGAATAAAAGAGAAATTACGACTTAATATAATTTACTTCCTTGCATATATTTCTATGCAATAAATATTTCTAACGAATAAATTAATGAAACATAAAACAGCATGTATTAGATATTTTATTATTAATACTCAGGGACACATTAACAAACATAAGCATTTACTTTAATCTGATTATGCAAGTTAATTATTGTTATCCTATATTAAGAGCCAAAATATTTTCTGCAATTAGAATTTATTGAGTGCCTGAATTTCATCGTCTTGAATCATAAACAATGTACTTTCTGAGCCCCAATAGACAAAAGGTCTATCCCATTCACTACTACCTTCTTTATTGAACAGAAAATTGCCTGTGTTAACATCCCAAACTTTTATCGAACCGTCTACACCCGAACTGGCTAAAAATCTATCGTTAAAAGCCATATTGACAACTCTGGATTTGTTAAATGAGGATCCATAAGTAAGAAGAGGTTTTTTCAAATTCCTCAAATCAGTTCTGAAAATATTGCCCATATAATCGGCTGACAGAAGCATGTTGTTTTGGCAATATAAGTTTGTTATGACACTAGCATGTCCACCGTGTTTAATAAGACCAGTAAATTTTATTCCAGAATTTCTTATATCGTGCATATAAATTTTACCCGGCCTGGACCCATTAAAAATTAAATTGCTGCTATCTCCCTGACCAAAGCAACAAGATAAAACGTCAGAATAGTCCGTTTGAAGGAACCACGATTTTCTATTCAATGGGTCTAATATTTCAGCCTTTCCCTGCATACCATAACATGTTTTCTTCAAAATAGAACTCCATGCCACACACCAAACATTTTTGCAAGAGAGTAGGTATACCTGTTTTTGTCCTTCAGCAGTTACGTATACCAATCTGTATTTTCTCCCTGAATTGTACAGCTCAAAAGGGCTTTGAATTATTATAAAGTCAGTATTATGTGCTAAACAGAAACAATGGGTTCTAAAATCTGAGAAAGATTCCCGAAGGTTTAAATCCAAGTAATCGTTTCTTTTGGCAGAATAAATATTACTTATTCCGCATGGCGTTACCGCTTCTATTAAGATGTTCTCGTCAGACCAGTCTAATCTTTCTACAGTGTGACTCTCTGGAAATGGTCTCAATTCCGTAGTTACCCTGGAGTTTTTCACTAAATTCGTTATTAATCTGCCTGTAAAGTTTAACTGCTTTGAGAACTGCCTTTGTTGGAGAATTTGAACTATATTAGAATTCGTTGAATGTAGTTTTTCTGAAATTTTCCTTGAGTTTTCACTAGCTCGAATTGAATCCTTGGTCAAAGAACTCCCTGGATTGTCATGAGATGAGAGGATTTTAAAGTAACGCTTCTTTACTTTATCATAGAAAAAACCAGGCAAATCAGATTCTTCCTCTGCTGATTTCGCTGGTTTCTTTGGTGATTTTTTACGATTACGTCGATATCGTGGCATTTGACTTGCTAACTTCTGATTCCTTTGGTATTCTTTAACATAATTTGATGAAAATATTGGACTAACTAAGTAATTTTTACTAAACTATTATCGTATAGAACCGATTACAAAAATGGACACTGCAAAATGAAAAAGTAGACTGGTATTCGATATTTCTCGACCAATCACCGTTGCTCTGAAACTATTTTTGTTTGGGTTAACCTAAAGATAATCTACTAATTATTACTAGATCTCTATGGTTTTAGATAACATCTTAATTATTCTTATAATTAAAAAGTATATTACTTAATTTATTGTAAGCACTTTTAAATTTTAAATAATTTAATCTTATTTGTTACTTTAATCTGACAAAAAACTTATTGCTTGGAATCCAATTTCGAATATTTTTAAATAAATTATTCTGAAATGCAATACTTTTCGTATTAGAATTGTTTCGATTAACTTTTGGAGAGGTAAGTCTGTTTTTAAAGTTCGTTCCGTTATTTCTCTTTTATGGTATTTAGCATAGCCTTTCCAATTGAGGAATATATCTACTTTTTAATATTTTCAATTTCATCTTAAAATAGGCTAAAAAATGTATACAAAAAATAAATTAAAAAGCCGCTATATATTTATGACTCTATATTTTGTTAGAACCGTTGCAAAATCTTATTTTGATCTTATAATAGAGATCAAATTGAGGGGAGAGACTTTGGGGTAGAAAAATATAAGCTATCGCTTTACCAGTTTTCGTAGCCAATATTTTCCTTCAACGTGAATTAAAAAGTTATTACACTGGTAATCTTTCCGATTTAAATGGCTACAGAAAGGAGCTTACTTCATGTAATAAAATCAGTTGTTTATTTCTTGACTTTATAATATAATAAAATAATTGACACCAGTTTTCAATTTGTATATCGTTCTAAATATTAATATATATGCTTTTCATTCAATTATCGCACCATTCGATATTAATAAACGTTGTGTTTTTTTTAATTTCAGATCCTCTGTATTCATGGATATAGGTTACCTTCAATATATAGTTTTAAGATCAACAGTAAAAGTAATTGATTACTATTGATAACAGACAAAATGGACAAACATTTAGGGAAAGAACAGGAGCTTTTAGAAAACTTGTTAAGTCGCATGCAAAATTTGGTAATTTACTTTTTTCCAATAAATTGGTTTTATATATGATTTGAATTGTTTTTAGTTTTCATAACCGCTCCCAACGTTGTTCCTCCTTTACCTTCCGATACCAAAAATGATCAAGATCAAAGGGGATGGTGGTTTTCTCGTCAAGATGACTATTTTAACGCACAGGATGATTCGCACTGCGATAAAGGCTATGAAAACTCTTTGCAAATAATTAAGGAGACTTGTAAAACAGAGGTAATGATACTTTACCATATCGAAAATGGCAGACTATTTCGAAATAAAAATATTCGTTTAATAAATTTAGGGGCCTTTCGATGGTATACTTGGATTTAGTCAAGGAGCGTCTATGGTTTCTTTGATTTTGTCTTTACAAACTCTACAAAAAGGTTGTTGTAAAAAAGAAAAATAATCACTTAACCGATATTCTTTTTAACGTAAATACCAGAACCGTCCTTTCAATTTAAATTTGCCATCTTGGTCGCTGGCTTTAAAAGCAAATCCGTTCAACATGCATCTCTTTACGAAACGAAAATAGATATTCCTACTTTACATGTTTTTGGTGAAAATGATAAAGTAATTGAGAGTGGTAAATAAAAATATTTTAAATTTGAATATAGTTATTCTAATTATTATAACTCTTACGTTTATTATTCAGCCATGAGTGAAGAATTATTAAAGGATTATTCAAATGCAAAAACTTTGAAACACAGCGGCGGCCATTACATACCAGCCACTACAGATCAGAAAAGCGTCTACTTGGAATTTTTGCAATCTCGAATAGTAGCTTAAATAGTAGGTTAAAGTATTCAAATATACTATATGTAATAAAATGAAAGACAAAAATTGTAAATTCGTTAAATTTCAAAATCGATAGATATCGATTTTTTTTATTTAAAATCCTCAAAACGCTTAACATATATAAAATAGTATTTTCGCATATTATCGTTAGATAATATACATATTATTAAGCATACATCAAAAAAAATAATTTATCCACCAGCACCGCGTGCAGCTTATATAAAAAACTTTTATCAAAGACTCAAGCACCAAAAAATTGTCTAAATAAAGTAGATAGATAGATAATCCAAAAGCTGTCAAAGTTAAATATTGTCGATATCTTAATCGACCCTTAAAATGGTCAAAACAGCTTAACATGAATATATATGCATATATAAAAAAATAGTTTATGATTTTTTTTTGCAAAGTTTGTAGAAATACAAAGTTTTGCTTGCATAATAAAGTTAGCAGCATTGCATGCAGATATTTAAAAACAGTTCATCATAAACTAACTCAAAGAACACTAAACCATGATTTTTAACATTAATATCTTAATAATTAGAAAACTTCGCCACTAACCTTGAACTTGGACTTGTATAAAGTTGGTACTGTTCCGAAAAGGAACTTTCAAATCCACTTTCTTCAGAATCTTTTATCTCGGATTCAGGTGATGTACTTTCAGATGTCAAATTATCTATATCAGGCAAATAAGATGCTGCCATATCTAAGCTGGTTGGTTTCTTTTTAGTTGCCTTCTCAAAAGTTTTCTCTTCGTAGTTCTCTCTTCTGCAGAATGCTTGTGTCAGCGATATCGTTCTCTTCTGTCCCCTTCCTCGAACATGTACAACAACAACATGAGGTACGGCGTCCAGCAATGCCAACAAGTTCGATCTACCATATGTTGCGGGAACAAGTACAACACCAAAGTGACTGGAATAAGCTTCCTCTAAATTAGCAGCCGACATTCTACCGCCGGCTTGTAAAAGTAAAGTTCGGACATCTCTGGCAAACAATTGTAAAGGTTGTAGTCTAACTATATTATCAGTTATAGTTACTTTATCTTCTAAATGTCGTCTAATTTCTACTTCAGATATTGAATCCGGTTTATAGATTTTATGGTAAAGGTTAATTAGCGTGTTGATTTCCATACAACCATCAAAAGTTGTATCCATTAATAATAAAAGTAATCTGTTAACTAGTCTGGCAACGTCGGCAGCATCAACGGCCACAATCGTTTTTTGATCATTTTTTGTTACGACTCTTGCAATTCCCGGTATAAGGGAAATCAATTGTTCAGTATCTCTTACCCCATAATCTTCTAACCTTATGGAATGCCCATGCTGTCTGAGGAAAGCATTGGGCAATTGCTGCAGTGCTAATGTTGGGGTAGCCCTTAAAACAACGGCCAATTGTTCTTCAAGTACTTTTATCATTTGTTCCTTGGCAAGAACAACCGTTTTATCACCATGTTCATCGTCCGACACGTGAGCAACGTGGCTCACTGCCTCTAAAAGTTCAATAAGTTTCGTAAATCCATAATCTGAGACCCTACATTGCCTTCCAAAGTGATGATGATAAGCTGGAATAAATTTTGAGAATGGTAAACGACCTCTTGGACTATGACGAAGGAGTTCGATCACTTCTTTTGTAAAATGTCGAGTTCGCTCCATTTCTGCTGGAGTTTGCTGACGTCTGGGAAGTGAAAAAATTGTTCCTGTTTCATCTCGCATTATCAGTATAGCTTGATCCGGTACATCTGCCATGATATCTTCTAGAACACAAACACCATAGTCGCAAGGCTCCAAAGGTTTACCCATAACTTTCACAAAAGTATCCTGAAGCTCGCACATTCTTGCTTGTTTGCCAGGGAGACTCTTAAGAACTTTGGTAACATCCCCCGTGAATCTCTTTACATGAGCTCTATGAGTGAGAGTTACTACTCTTCTGGATCCAGCTCCTAAAACTTGTACAACATGACCAACTGCATCTAATAACTCTATTAATTTTGTATAACCATAATCAGCAACTCTACACTGCCGTCCAAAATGATGATGATAGGCAGGAATAAACTTCGAAAACGGAAGAGAACACTTTGGGGAGTGCTTCAAAAGATCTGCAACTTCTCTCGCAAACTGACCTAGTTGTTGAGTCATGAGGGGACTAGAAGATCCTCTTGGAACGTCTTCTCCTTGCCATTCCACTTTCTTAACACCAGATGGTGATGATATAACTATTCTTACGCCAGATACGCAGGTTATGAGGTGCTCCAGGGGAACACCCCCGTTTTCAACAGCTTCTAACGGTTCAAAAGTCGCTGCATAGCAGGTTGCCAGAGAAAGCATGGGCAAAGAACCACCATGTTCTGCGACCAGAGTATGAATTCTTGGTGCGAGTATTCTTAACGACATGAGAACGTTAGGGAGAGAGCATGAATCTAGAGCTGTTGCGTAGTCTGACGAATTTTCTGGACAATGCTTAGCGCATACTAAATCATCTATTTGAGATATATCAGTTGAAGTACTTTGGTTCATCTGGACTGTTTGAGAAATAGAAATCATCCTTCCACCACTATTTTCCCATACTTCTACAGTATCTCTAAGTTTGTACAATTCAGCAACGGATACAGATCTATGATGTCTTTGCTCGAACAATTCAATAAACTTGAACAGTGGTAAGGTATTACCGGCAACATCCTTCAATAAGCGGATTATATCACTTTTAAGTGTATCGGTCATCGTGTTGAGGTTTTCATTTTGGACTAATTGAACGTGAACCCTCTTGTAGCCGATTTTTCTCCTATGCAATTGTGAAATTGCATACCTAGCATTTTCTTCCGTAGGTACTCTTACAATTCCAATATTAGTATTGTCGGGTTGAGTAGCAATTTCTACGCTCAGTACTGTGACGTGTTGCTGAAATTCGGCGCAAAGTATTTTTCTCCACTCTCTCGCCGATATATTATAGTCTAAATTCGTCACATGTAATTCAAAGGATGGCTGCTGAGACGAAGATTGTTGAGATAGCGACAACGACGACTGCGACTGCGGTGTCGATTGCTGCTGCGGTTGTAGCTGCTGAGGTGGCGTATGTTGTTGTGGTGTAGATTGATGTTGAGGGTGACAGTGACCAATACCAGAAACTGTTGAATATTTTCCGAAATATATATATATATATATATGTATTCGTAGTTGGTAATAATTTCATCCATAAACATTCAGTTGAAGAGACGTAAACCAATTAAATTTAAGTCATATAAATTTAATAAAATTGCTTAGCCTATCATTTTTTCAAAGTGAAATAATTGACTTTCATTATAGAATAAAAACACTTAACCTTTTAAATATAAATTTAAATATAATTTATCCATATAACTTTTCATGTTTTAAATATTTCTATATAATCGTTTTTGATATAAAATACGAGAAAGTATTTGTCTTCTGATTAAACACGCCGTTTTGGTTGAGGACTATTAAAAATAGACGGGGCGAAAGGAGAGAAGTTTCGGTGGGTGGTTGGAAAAAAAAAAACCACTTTCTTCAAAATTCATTGAATTATTGAAAGATTTTTTAAAGAGGTTAATATAAAATTATATAATATTTAATAAAAATATTACATAATATATTCAAATTAATATGGATATTTAATAATTTTTTGTTATAAAATTTTAAGTCAATTTACCAAATAAAAACTTGTACATTTTCGTTTCTCTTGACCTAAATTGAATATTTAGTACTCATCCACACGCGTACTTGAACGCAAATAATCAGTCAAAAAACTGAGCCATTTCTATTTCTATTGGGGGGAAAAGTGATTTTGTCGGAGAGTATTTTTTATGACTACCCCTCCGCCCCGCCTACCACTCTATTACCCAGTTAGGGTTTATACCATCTTCTTTCCTAACTATTCAAATATATTGAATATTATTTAATACATTACCATTTGACGCTAAATCAGCAACTGACAGCAATGAGCTACCCGAACCCTCGATGTTCTTACATACTGGAAATTCAAAAACAGTGTTTCCGGACGGAGGAGTGCTAGAAAGGACTCTAGTCGGAGGCCGACAAGCTCCCGGTGTTCTGCGAAAATGCTGCCTCGGCGAGTAAATTCGAGATCTTTGCGGAGTTGTCTTCCAGTCTCGTCCCGGAGAAGTGAAGTTTTCCCGCTCGAAACTGTCGGGAGAGTCGTAAATTCTCCCCGGCAAACTTAATGTAATTTGTGGTTCCATATCCGAGACTAGAGACGGAGATAGAGAGAGAGATAGAGAGAGATTGAGAGAAGAGTAGATAAAGAAAACAAACGCACACACATATATTTATATATATACATACATATATATATATATATATATATATATATATATATGCATATATTATATATCGAGAACGGCGAGAGGAAGAGAAAGAAAGGTAGGTAGAGAAAGGCAGGTAGAGAAACAGTAATAGATAGATATAGAGGTAAGGAAGGAGGCGATAGGAAGAGAAATATGAAAAAAAAAAAAAAACAAAACAAAATTAGCTATATATAGAATGGCATAAAATTTAATTAGGCATTAATAGAAAAAACTAAGATGTATAGATAGATAGATAGATAGATAGATAGAAAGAGGATATTTAATTGAAAAAATACCATTTTACCAATCCGTTTTGTAATTTTTAAGAAAATTAAGAAACAGTAATAGAAATATAATCTTTTAAAAAGGCTTACTAGGAATTCACTTTTTACACTGTTCCCATCGGCGGATCATGCGGGTTTGACTAAGTCTTTTTCAATTTATCTGCTGAATAGAAACTCATTTTGAGTAAAATTAACAATGTAAACAGCTCAATATGATTTTGAGGACAGAAATCGAAATTTTTTGCCTAATTGGCTTAAAAGTTAGCTTTTGAAACAAATAAGATATTTGGTTGATAAAAACATATATAAATTTATATATATATAAAAGAAGAACTAGTACATGTGGAATAAATCGAAAAACAGCGTATACTATATACACCCTCACCTACAGATATATATATATACATATATACGGTATATATACCATACACATAAACTACATATTTTGGTCAATTTTAAGTTTGTTGATCGAAAATATTAATAAATTCTTTTAATCATAAAGCATCAAATTTGATATCTTTAATTCTTTAATATAATTGAAAAAGTTAAAAAAAAAATGTATTTTTAGATAAAAATTTTTCAGTACTGGAAAATTTTGCACACAAAATTAGATAAAATATTTATTTTAGGTCTATTTATTGTGATTTATGTGAATTTGCAGCTGTTAAAAGACTTAGTCATTTTTTTTGCCTTTATAAAGAGCGTTATATTTATGAATTTAATAAGTTTACTAAGAGAACTAAAAGAAAGCAAATGTCTAAAGTCAAGTATATTTTTGTATTAATTTCTTGCATTTTTGCAACAGTTCAAGGTAAAAGACTTTCCTTTATATGTTTTTTAATTATGTTTTATTAATATTATTTAATGTTCCTTTCATTTCTTCTCTCATAGCCCAAAACTGCTCAGAAGGTTTTGATCGATTTGAAGACTCTTGCTATTACTTTGTACGTTCGCAATTGGGATGGTATGATGCTGATCAATACTGTACTTCTCTTCGACCAAAAACCTACACTGTTCATCTAGCTTCGATTGAAAGTCAAAATGAACAGAATTGGATTGCCGACAAGATTAGGGCAGACAGTAATCTTAGAGATAGAAGTGTATGGATTGGTTTGAACAATGCCGATAAAAAGGAAGGTTGGCTCTGGACTAGGACTTACCAAACTCCAGACTATAAAAATTGGGGTTCAGGACAACCAGTATCTAGCGGAAGATGCTCGAGAATGCATTACCAACATAGTTATAGATGGCATAATACAGCTTGTTCTGGAAGATATTCTTCAGTATGTGAATATAGTTTAACAGCACCATGTCCCAAAGGCTTTGATAGATACCAAAACTCGTGTTATAAAGTCATCCCAACCACCCTTGATTGGTTTGAAGCTGAGCAATTCTGTACTTACGCTGTTCCCGACAAATATAATGTACACTTAGCTAGTATTGAATCTTCAGGAGAACAACAATTTATAGTTGAAAGAATTAGAGCAGATTCCGGTAAATACTCTGTAAAATATTATTGTGTCAACATATAAAATTCATCTTTTTCCTATAGCTAATAGAAATAGAGATTTTTGGGTAGGTGGTAACAGAATCGATTCTAAGAAAAACTGGGCTTGGGTAGCAAATAATAAGAGATTCTCGTACACAAATTGGAATTCCGGAGAACCATCCGGATCCGGCCAATGCATGTGGTTAGACACTGATTACAGTTACAGGTGAACCACTAATCTTGTTTCAAAATTAACTACTTTTTTACCAAAAAGTATTTGCAATTAATATTGTCTAATACTTTATTTCTTTATCTTTTTAGATGGAATGATAAAGACTGTAACAGCAACGGCAGTGGTTTCGTTTGTGAAGTTGAATTAGCAGATCTTAATTAATAAATAAACGTTTTAAAAGTAATGGTTATACATTAAAAAGCTAAAAATATAAATCGATATTTGTATTGTTTAAAAACAAAAAAAAAGTGTCTACAATAGGTTTCAAAGAGCTGATTCAAAATAAGAAATAAATTTGTCTCAATATAGGAAAGAATCGGAATTTATATGACAAATAGATATGACAATTTTTTGCTTATCATACAATTTACATTATCAGACATATACATTGATTAACATATGTCTATTTTTAAGGTTAATTCTTGCCAACAAAGCATATTTTTTTCAAATTTTTTAAATAATAATTGTCCTTTTTAAATATTTTTAGAATATCATTTATTATAGAGCCTAGTTGTTATTTTAGAACGATCTATTTACATTCGGTTCATTCATTAATGCAGATCCACTTGCACAGTAATTTAAGATGGAATGAAAGCAAAAATTCTTAGCTAAAGTATAATCTTGCCTATATTTCGTGAGTTTCATGTCAATATCTTGAAGGAGTATAACTTGTTTTAGCAACAAGCGCCCATACGGTATGGAGATATTATCGTAAGCATTCCCTTCGCAAAAAAAACGAAGGCTGACTTAACATTTGATAAACTGATGTGTATATACATTTTGGATAAAAACTATATACAACCCTGAACCAGATTATTTTATCTGTTTGGAAAACTAAGGGAGATAATTCGGTTAACCCATTTCAAAGTTAAAAACGAATTGCAGAGGACAGTTGAGCCATTTTTTAGGGCAAACTCAATAGTTTTTTCTGATAAAATAGGCCTACTGTCACCTAAGTGGCCCACTTGTATAGACAATCATGGAGCTTATGAAGTCAGGTCGCTCTTTCTTAGAAATTTGATATTATTACCAACAAATTTAATATTATTATCAACATACAATAACTGTATAGTTATTGTCCAGGTGATATTAGTTAGTGGATCGCAAATAAATAATAACCTTGATAGCCGGTAATTATTAAGAAAGGTTTATTAAAACGTGTCATTCTTTCGAATGCATCAGAATCCATTCGTAGCGAATCTGAATTTATTTCTTGATGGACAAAAGTAGTCTTGCACTATAATTGTTTCAATTGATTTATCAATATTTGGATAAAGAATCCACAGCGATGTTTTTATATCAGTCTTGATGGGTAAAGAAAGCAGTGAAGTTTACAATATGAAAATAGAAAGAGTATAAAACGATGATGTATAATCTATTAGCATAGAAAGCATTGTATTTGTAATGTATATATCCAAATACGTATTTTTATTCACGTTGACTAAAATATTATAGCAATAAATTCCCTAAAAAGTTTAAAATTTTTCAAAATTTGTCCACATATCGGGCACTTCTACAAAATATCTATCCATGGCACTGTTAAATCTACCCTTATATACGTCCGGTGGCATTATTGTTGGCGTTTTACCTGTTTTAATGGTATTTTGTTATGAAGGATGAAAACTACTCATTTTGATATACAGTATAGATATATTAACCTTTCCCTTCCAAATGGCTATACGTGACTTTAACGACACTCTCTAAAGCTTTATCCCATGTATAAACTCGAATATAGTCTAATATGAAAAGAAAAGCAGATGTTAGTAATGTTATATATTTAAAGCCATACATTGAACTTTAACCTATTATTCCAACAACTAGCTTTTTCTCTTTTTCGTCAACTCCAACAATTAAAGAATAATCCATTATAGATTGAGAACATAAAAATTTAGTGTCCCTTCGAATTGCCCTCATAAGTATACTTTTGCTATGGCTTCTGACGTACAGTGGATTTTCATTCATTTCTGTTAAATTTTTCATGATTGGTCTTCTAAATTGATAAAATATATAAAACACATACGCTTCAACAAATTTTCATCCAACAGAACAGTATCCATGCTCTGTTTGCCTTCAGTATCAACAAGACGATTTCTCAGAGATCCTTTAAGATCATAAATAGATTGAACGTCTTGCCTAAAAAATTTATTGAACAGTTTATGGCAAAAACAGAATAGTATATATTGTAAAAGTATTACTTGTAAAATAGATTCTCTATAACTAAGTATTCATATTTTTTATTACCAATTGTTACACAATAAACTCCAAAAATTTTTGCGAAAGCAGTAGGAGTCTATTGGTTGGATATGATTAAATGCATTATCATGTAAGAATATATAAGGCTATATAGTATTCACCTTATTGAAAATTGAATCAGTTATATACTGAATGTACGCCGTAGTAAATTGAAGAAAGGATGTTACTTCATTTGAAATTGATTTAATAATGAAACGTTCATCTAAAATAAAGAGTCCTTTATAAAACAAAGCGTTACACAGTAAAACAAGTTTACCTCTAGTTTTATAGAAATCCACTCCGGATTTTCCACCTTGAGGTTTAAATTTAACGCACTGCGAAAGTGATTGCAGATATCTATTGCAAAAGAAAGTAAAAATATATCAATTACGATATAAAATTAATTAACAAAATATGTACCTGCTCTCTCCAGATGGAAAGATTAACGAACGCAAATTATAGAATTGATAAGCAAAATATATTTTACATCTACCGTCAGGAAATTCTGTGAATTTTCATAAAATAAACTATTAAATATATGTGTAACATTTCTCTATATTATAACTTACGTAATTCAATATGAGGATTTGCAAGTTTCTTCTTTGCACTTTTATCATTTTCAACACTTGTTTGGGAGTGAAGTTTTAGCAGTTCTATTTTCAGAAATAGTAATTAATAATCTCTAAATTCGTCAGTTTTATCAAATCTTAAAACACATACCATCTTCAAAACTATCAGTCTGTATATTAGGATTATAACGAACAGAAGCTTCTGTATCTTTGTGAGTTGATACTTCCACAGATTTTTTATTATCGGCTGAATTTAATTTGCTAGATTGGCTTTCATAAGAATTTGTTAATTCTTCAGTCATCGATTCTTTCGTTTTTAAGCTAGTTAGAAAATATATGAATTTATTATATAGCTATAACAGAAAAAAGTTCTTAACATACTTCGTTTGATTACGTTGTGGTTTATTTGAATCATTTTCACTTAATTCTTTCAAGTTAATTTCGTATTCTTTAGAACTGAAAAAAAGATAGTTAAATAGGGAGTTCAGGTTATAGCAATTTTTTAAAATATGCTCACCTCAGAGCATAAGCTACCAATGATACTGGATATTCATCACTAACTCCTGAGAATTGTCTTTTAGCTGACGTTAAAGTCTCTTCTAAGCTTTAAAATGGATTTAAATTCATGTATTTGTTAGAAGAAGAAATATACATATAAAATAAATTTACTTTGTTTCGCTTGTTATAGATGATACTTTTATTAATGGAGTTTTATCTAAGATTTTCGTTAAATTTATCAATTAGCATGCTATTTTAATTGACTATCTACCGTAACTTCCTTCCTCGCAACTTCCTTTTGGAGAATCATCTAAATAAGTAAAACAAAAAATTTATAGAACAGTAAACTTATTTAATATGAATATACCTGAATTTCGTTGAATTTGCCTTAGCCTAGAAACATATCAAATTGATTGAAAATAATGCACATAAAATGCAATCTTAACTTACCATTTATTCCATTTACAAGGTAGATTTTGCACAATATTCTTCAAAGCTAATATTTGAATATGAATAGATCTCAATATATTATCGTGCTGATCTATTTTGTTATTTTGATTTAATATCTCGTCAAGTTCATTAACTTTTGTATTGATTTCTCTTAATTCCTAGATAAAAGTTTTAAGTAAGAGGACTATCCATTGATATATTTTTAAACAACCTCATGTAAATTTGACATATTATTAGCCGATCCAGGTGAAGTTGACTCCTTGAATTGATTACTTACTGAAGTAGTTCTAAAACAGAATTACAGACTAGCTTATAAGCAATGATTTTTTTGAATAACTAACAATGCTTTTAGGTTATTTAATTCATTTCGAAGATAAGAAAGAAAAGGTAAAGTTGAAACAACTATTGGTGGAAGATAAATTTCTTTTTGCTCTAATTTATCAAATCTAATAAAAAATATGACAGCTTAATAGTATATAAATACTATGTAATATGTGTATCTTACCTAAACTGAACCATTTTATTTTCTTTATAGAATAAATGATCTTTTTTAATATGATCACATTTATCCCATTTACTATCGAACCAAGAAACATATTTGGAAGACATTCGTAATTGTAAATACTTTCCGAATGAGTAGTGCCAATCAAAGAAAGATACTGGTGATAAATCGGATTTCTATCAAGTTTAAATATAGTGATCTTTAGTTAATTTTTCAAAAAGGATATAAATTTTCTTACGATTCCACACTCTGTACATTTGCTTTGACTTGAAATACAGCCAGCAGGTACGGAGTCGTTGCTGGAATTCATCGTCTGAATTGTAACTTGAAGACTACTATTGTGATATAAATATCTTCTGACATGCTTCAAGCTGGATTTGTCACAACCCTCTGTTGAGCACCTCGACTGTGTATTGAACCAATATTTTTCAAGGTATTTTCCTAAAGATATATCTCCTTGACTATAAAATTTTATGGTATCTACAAAAGGTCCTTTGCAAGTTTTAGAAGTTTCATTTTCCACAATAGATACAGTTAAAGACACAACCAATCTCTGATGATGTTTCACATCCAGGCAATCTAAAATTTTTGTAACTTCTTCTGCTTGGGAATCGTTACATTCGCTGCAGTTGTCAAATGAAATTGGCTTAAGATAAGCCCCTCTAGCTCGGAAATCCGCAATCATTGACTAAACAATTATTAAACAGTTAATAGCTTTCGATGAATGATAAAATGTAAATATTACCTCAACTTTCCTATCTGTTAGGGAAGTAGTCATTGACAAAGAAATGAAGGGATGATAATCATTGATGTGATGAATAGATTCTTTTTGTTGTGTAGGTTCAGAAGAAATACTTCTCAAGCCTTTACTTTTTCTTCTCTCACTTTCATTTCCTTCAAGTAGTTTCGAATGATAGGCAACATCAGTAAAATATTGCCTTAAAATAGAATTTTTTCCAGCTTTTGTCTCTAAATATGGAACATATATAAGTGTATAAGGTGAAACTGAAAGAACTACGTCTGAAAGCGCTCTTTTAAAAGCATTCTCTTTGCTTTCAAGCAATTGAAGTTTATCATAAGCATTAAAAATATCTTCATTTTGCGATTCCTGATAGTTCGATAAAGGATCGGAGCCATCTTTTATTTCTATTGCCTCCTGTTGTCTTATGGGAGATTTGGATCTTTTAATCGGGCTAGATGTATCTGAAGTCTTTAGACGACTGCAGTCATTAGTTTTATCGTTTTCAAGATTTTTATAAGAAATCTTTTGAAGAAAAGCTGATGAATTTTCAGGCTGTTTAAAAGTATTAGATAAAATACCATTAGCCAGAACATAACATTCAAGTTTCGAATTTTGAATAGCATAGATTACAAAGTTGAGTACTTGTTTAACCTAAAAAAATAAAAGGGAGAATGATAGACTTAAGGTCTGCTAAAACTTCGAAAACAAAATACTTGATTTAATTCTTGTAAGCTATCGCCTCGCAGAACAACGCTTACATAGCAGTTCTCTTCCTTTTCGCTTTCTAATATAGCGAGATTTTTTACTTTTCCATCTGTTGTTGAGAATGACTTAATTGTGAAATTTGAGCATAAACCAACTTGATCGGAATTAATAAGACCATCCACTGTTGTAATAATAGGTATGTGAAACATTTGAGAGAGGCGATCCATAACAGATTTTTTAACATTAGTAATTACAGTTATATTGTCCTTTAAAAGGTATTGCAATGCTATACTAGCAACGGTATTTTCAACAAATACAACATCGGGTTTAAGAGAAGCAATTCGAGCGGCACAATTTTTTAAAAAGTCATTTTCTTGCAAAAGTTGAGGTTCTAAGGATGAGTATTTGTTTTCAACCCTCTGATACTCTATAGAAGTTCTCAAGAGCAACAAGCGGGCATTTTTTATACTTGATTTCATCATTTTATGACGAACATTTTTAGAAAAACATAAACCCCTTATTACATGTGACTTTTCAAAATCACCAGCTGTTACTTTTTTAATTTTAATGTATGTTCTAATATCCATCACTGTAGTGCAAGCTAAAACGCTATCAACTACAATTTTCGCTAGTCCTATTACAGTTGGAGACCATTTTTGATTGAGTCCATGAGAGTTCAATAAATGCTTTGTCAATATTTCTATATGAGTTTTATATTCCTACAAGTTAGAAAACGATTGAATTAGAAATCATATTTAAGAATTGGGTAATGTTAACTTTTTGTAGTTGAAATATCCTTGAATCGACATCATCCTTGTCCGATTTGCCGTTGTCGAGGAAGTCTGAAATTTGTGTACAAATTTTTATGCAAAGATAGTTCTTAAGATAAAGTCAAAATAAAATACACTAAATAGCATAAGTCTTTTTTAAATAGCATAGAATAAAGTTCAAATGATTGATCTGAATGTTCAAAGAAAATATCTGAAAAAATAACGTATGTACCTGTCACAGGTAATATCATATCATATTCATTACTTTCGTCCAATGTTATAGCAGAGCAGTCAGTTATTAATGAATCTATGATCGGAAGTCAAAAATGGAAATTTAGTCTAATAATGAAGCCTTTAATTACTAATCAAATTTTGCATTTAATGCTAATCTTTATTTTAACAATTCTTCTTCAAGTACCTTTTCTTTCGCAACACGGTCCACTATCCTCTCTGCTGTTGAGAATTATCGAATTAGCTTGATACTTAACTAATTAAGGATTTTATTACTCAATTTTTGCGTCACAATCGTCTAAATCTCGGTCATCAAACGTAGATGAACTTTCACTAGAAATGCAGTTATCTGGCCTTTCTTTTAAATCAATCTGATTTTCAATGGAAATGTTTTAAGTTATTGTTTGAGAGCGTTGTTTAAATCACCTCAGCACTGAATTTTGGATGAGTTTGTAAAATATGATTAGTCTTCTTATAGCAATGTGTGCATGCGCGAACAAAATCATTTCGTCCTATTATAAACCCAGCAATTTGCTCATTGCAGCATCTACTGCAGAAAACCTGAAGAAGTGCGTCAAGATAAGATATAAGATAATGAAAACAATACCATAACGAATGCTACAGTAGTAATAGATAGTAACTTGGCCACAAATTCTGCAGTGATGTCGCCTCCTGAAAGTGGAAAATTTATCCCCACATTCATAGCACTCCTTGCAACTGTTATCAGGCATCCAGTACTTTTTTAATTGATTATCCTTCCCTGAAGATTTGCTGCGGTGTTGCAAGGTTTTTAACCGATCTATGAAAGCTGATTTTAGCGCCGATGCCATATCAGGCGACTTGTCCTCATCATTTTCAGTCTTTACAGGATCGGTAGTTTCTATATTTTGTGAACAATTTGACGTTTTACTGACTGAATAGTGGAAGTTTTACCTGCTGTCGGTACCGAAGATTGTCTAAATAACTTTCTAATAAATTTTTTACTGGATCGCTCATCGTCTTCAATTGGGGGGAATTGATATAAATTCATGTTTAGAAAATATCTAAATGTTTCGTCACATGACTATCGGAAATCACCTTAGAATTTCCTCAGAATCTTTTGCTTGGTACCAGTTTATTCTAAATTGAGTGTGATCTACTTTACGAGCCTTGTGAGCGTTATTTAAGAGTAACTCAGTAGCAGTAAATGACTTTACATTTAGTGTAATCAAAGTTTTAACATTATAAGAAGCGGCTAGAATCGTAATTTTAACATAGTTGGGGTGTTTTGACTATAATATACGAGCATTCGGTTTCTTTCACCAAAATTGTATTGGAAACAATTCATTAACATCAAAGAAAGTAATTTATTGGGTTTCCATGATACTTTCTTCAGTATGCTTTCCCTTCTCCAAAGCCGCCTTGCGAGACTTCTTTCTATCTAAAATCTTTTTACGGTCCTTGTCCAATTTCAACTTAACAATTACGACCTGGAGACACAAAAAGTTCATATAAGTATTCTAGTGTTAAGATTAAAGCGGTTTGATCTTACTTTGCTTGGGTGGATGCCAACGTTGACGGTAGCTCCGTTAGCTTTTTCACGTTGGATTCTTTCAATGTGAAGGACGAACTTTTTACGGTAGCACTGAACTACTTTGCCAATCTGTTGTCCCTTGTAATGACCGCGGACGACCTGAAAGAGGGAACTGTGTTTAGAATTTGAAAATATAACTATGAAATTAAGAAGTCTTAATGGATATTCAGTAAAACCAATAATCATAAGATTCATACTGGGGCGGTAATATCTCATCATTTATAAAACACAATAGGAGAGAGGGTGCGTTAGAGTTTACATCCCTTACACTTCTACTGTTACATGAAGATTCAAGGCGATAATACGAAAATTTTCGGTCATTATCAGTTCCTTGCATGGTCTTCAAGATAGCGTGACTTTCAGTAAATTTACCTGTACTTCATCCTCCTTGCGAACTGGCATACTTCTAACACCGTATTTAGTGCGAAGATCTTTTGAGAGAGGAGCACTCATTATTTTTCTTCTGATGTGAGAGGGCGCATTAAAGTGGCGTTTCCTGTTCTTCCTCCTGGAGGAAGACACCTGCTTGTTGAATTTCATCGTGAGGATGAATCTGAAATAATAATACGATATAAGTAAAGGTTTCAGTGCGGTTGCTTTTAACACATATCTCCATTGTAGTACACATTTAATTATTACATTAATAAAAAGATAAAGTATATTATAATCTTAATATAGTGAAAATGTAGGATTCAAGAGAAAACTTGAAGTCAGGTTTGCGATTCTCGTTTCATATCACGAATATTTATCAATCTACGATTTTACATAAAATATCTCTTTTGAATTCAATAAAACTGCTGATATTTACTAAAGGGTTTATGATCTTTAGATTTCCTCTGAAACAGGGTACTGATAGTGACTTTTAAGCGAGATATTTTCCGATTTTAGATCAACTCACCCTATCAAACACGGCTTGCTGCAAAAGGAAGTTGCTACGTCTTCCGGTTTCCGTCATAACTTTTGGAGTAAAAATATTTTAGACCGAAAGAAGTTTTGCAATTATTTATCTTCGCGGAAACATGGCTTCGCAGTTACTAAAGTTCCATAAACTTGTAAGATCTATTTTTAAATGCATAAATGACATTCCTTATAAAACCACATTCATATCTAAAATAAATTTAACTCAGTGTTTTTTTCAAAGTCGTACCTCATAATTTGTTAATATTTGTTTTCAAAAGACTTCATCTAGAGTATTCCTAATATCGCTCTTTCAACAATTTTTATCTAAATGTAAAAATATTCAAAAACATGTTTCAGAAAGCTTTTGTTCAGCCAAATTTCATTAAAAGTCTACAATGTGTAGGATCAAAGGCTTTTTCAAGTCAATCAACAGCTAGTAATGAGAGAGAATATGAAATTCTTCAAGGTCCCCTTGATCTATTATCAGAAGAAGAAATTATGTTTAAAGATAGCGGTATATTTATCCTTTACATTGCTAATATACAGAATTTTTCAACATTTATTTCTTGTAGTTGCAAAGTTTGCACAGGAAAATATTGCGCCGTTCGTTAAAGAAATGGATAAAACTGGAATTATACCAGATGCTTTATTGAAGAAAGTTTTTGAGCAAGGGGTAAATTTATTACCAATTTTTAAATAATCATACAAAATTCTACTTACTTGAACTATAGCTGATGGGTGTAGAAGTGCCAACTGAATATAACGGCTCAGAGTCTACCTTTTTCAATACCTGTTTGATGATCGAGGAAATTGCTAAAGTTGACATGGGTATACAAATTTGTTGGTTTATTATATTTTTCGTAAAAATTTAAACAAGATTTTTCCTCTCATAAAGGAATTTCAGTCATTATTGATATTCAGAACACGTTAATTAATAACATGCTAAAGCTATTAGGAACAGCAGAACAAAAAGAAAAATACTTGAAACGTTTTCCTGTTGACATGGTCTGATACATAATTTTGTCCTGCTTTAATAAAGTAAACTATGAAATTTTTGTAGGCAGGATCATTTTGTTTATCTGAGGCCGAGTCAGGATCTGACGCTTTCGCTTTAAAAACGCGAGCTGATCAAGAAGGAGAATATTTCATTCTAAATGGAAGTAAATTATGGATTTCTAATGCCAATGTCGCAGGAGTCTTTTTAGTTATGGCCAACGCAAATCCAAGCAAGGTAAAACTTGTCTCTCTTTAGTCGAATATTTATAAATCTAAAGTTTTTTTCTTAAAGGGATATAGAGGCATTACGTGTTTTATAGTTGACAGAGATACACCGGGTCTCACTGTTGGTAGACCAGAAGACAAATTGGGTATCAGATGCTCATCTACCTGTCCAGTTATATTTGATAATGTTAAAGTAGGCTTGTACAAATTACATAAATAAGCAAATAACAGCAAATTTATCATATTAGTGAAAGCGACATCTTGCGTATTACGAATTCAACAATATTGTTTACAATCATATATATATACATATATATGTATATATACATGTTTGTGTTTTATATAATTTGACTATATACTTTCAATTAAATTAAGCTCAATTGAAATATTTAATAATTGAAAATTTTCTACGCTTAGGTTCACAAAAGTCAAATTCTTGGTAAATTGGGTGAAGGATACAAATACGCCATTGGCTTCTTAAATGAAGGTAGAATTGGTATTTCCTCACAGGTAATTAGTTAAAAAATAAGATAAAATATAGAAGATAAGAAAACGCAATTGTAATATTCTCTTAAAACCTAAGTTGGTTGGAGCTGCTCAAGGGTGTCTTGATCATACTCTACCCTACGTTCATGAAAGAAAACAGTTTGGTAAGAAGTTATGGGATTTTCAAGGCATGCAACATCAAATTGCTGAAATGGTAACGCATGTTGAAGCAGCTCGTTTATTAACTTACAATGCAGCTAGAAGAAAAGAAGCTGGTTTACCTGCAACTAAACAAGCGTCTATGGCCAAATATTACGCAGCCGAAGTAAGTCTAGTTTTTTATTTATTTGATAACATAATAATTAAACTTATTGTATACAATGTATTAATAATTTTTTCAGACCGCATGCAAAGTAACATCAAAGTGTATTGATTGGTTAGGTGGGATTGGTATCACAAAAGATTTCCCAGTCGAAAAATATTATAGGGATGTAAAAGTTGGTAAGTAGAATATATTACTCAATATTTAAACTATTCTCTTATACATTTTATTTAATCAAATTTTTTTCTACTGATTAGGTACAATATACGAAGGAACAAGTAACATTCAACTGAACACGATAGCAAAATACCTTGAGATAGAAGCAAATGAATCTTACTGAAGTAATTGACTTGTATCTGAACTCTTTTCTCCTTTTTTTTAGAAAGTGCATCTGTTCAACAAGTTAAGTTATTTTTTTTTCAATACAAATACACTGGAAAAAGAATAAAATCTTAGCTGTCTTAGTAAACCAACTTATCAGTGAATAAGCTGTCTACAATCTCACTGTGATGATGTACACAGCCAGTTATCGCTTGAAAGTTTGACATTTATATTATCGATTTTGCTGATTGGATTCAATACAAACATCACAACAAAGACCTAACAAGGAAAAACCATAGTTGCAGTAAGGCTGCAGTCTATTTGATTTTTACAGGTCAACAACAACATTCAAGGTTCTTACATAAGAAGTTTGGAAAGGTGACTCAGATATCCACGTGCTAGCTTTCAACTATAGGCCTATATACGGCACTGACACGTGTAGTGGGTCGGCTAGTAAATAGCAGAGTTCAACACGATATATGTGTAATATACGCATCTATCTAGTTATTATTATGAAGCAACATAGCACATACTAAATAACCTACATTTTACTAATATTACTGTTGCTTGTATTATTAATTAAAGGTGTTTTGAATTTGGATAAATTTTGAATAGTAAAAGAATATTTCCACCTTGGGTACTTTCTATTGTTAAAAAATATTCAATCGACTAACTTGTCAGATAATTATATAAGAAATTGGTAAAGATGAGTAACGTAAAAAATAATTATTCTAATCAAGGGTTGTCTACAAGAATCAATTATTATTAATGATTTACAGAAAGTGACTAGAATATGAAGTATTTTTAGGCCGGATGTTTAATTTTAATTTGAGTTCGAATCTCTGATGAAATCCAATTAAATAGCCATTAATACGCATTTAGCTTTGTACAACTCTATTTATCTGTTATACATAAAATTTTAAAATGATAAGACAAATATGATTGTCAAGTGGCTCATCTCGGAGATAGTGAAAGCTAAATCCACGGGTTGTTTCAAAGACCAGGAAGTTAACAACCACCTTAATTGATGTCTAATTAATGACATAACTTATTTGCTTACGTAAACTACCCTTCCTATTTCATCATACGCTGGGTTATGTAATGAGATGAACTTTCTCTATTTACGAAACGAGGTGAGCATACTCGACATTTACGAATCTGTTAAGTTTTTGCTGTTAAGAAGGCCTTAACAAACCGATCGTTGACCTATTGTCACTTTATTGTGACTATACGTCCCATAAAGTATATTTAATATATTCAATTTTAAAACATTTTAAAATAGTTTTAGGTTTTTAAACTATCAGAAGGGGGTCGTCCTATGACCCATTTTTAGACCCTAAAAATTTCCACCTCATGACTCAAGGAGCAACTTTCTCAAGCTCTGATTGGCTATTTTAATTTACAGGTGCTTTGCACGTGATTGTTGCCAAGGAACCTCCATGATTTTGGCGGGAGAAAGGCATAACTTACTCATTCTGTTTTTCGTTATCGTAAACACTACATTACAACAAGAATCTTCCTTTTATAGATACGTATGAAATCATCGAAAATATTATTGGTATGTAGTATTAACAATTACAATGTATTACTCATCTCTTGCTATAAAATTGTTAGGTTTCTAACTTATTTATATAAATATTATTAATGAAAGTAGTATTAATCTTATCAAAAAGAGTTGTAGGGTAAGTAAATCTGTGAATTAATATATCTGAAATGCGAAAATATGAAAAATTCATATATTGTATTCGAAATGAACTACATTTGGAACATAATAGTAAAAGTTATATAGACATTAGATGAAAATCTACATTGAAAATGTTACTAATACAATAGAATATTGCGCTAAACATTACCATCAATATATATATATATATTTATATACTTGTCATTATACATCGGATAGTTTTAACAAAACAATTGAATTGATTTTCTGTTTAATTGTAAATTATTTATTAAAAATTTGATTATATATAATCAATATATATATATATATATATATATATATATATTAATATAAATACAATATCAGCATTTACTTGTTATGAAGGTCTAAGCAATACAAAAATCTCCCTCTTTTTAAAAATAGGCCTTAAAAGAGTATCATATGTAGGAATGACATGGAAAGGTCTCTTTAATATTTTATTCAAGAAAAATAACTCTAAAAATATTACTAAAATCTTGTTATCATTTTCTTTTGTTCATCATTTATCTAAAATGTGTAGAGTGGACGTAAATCGATTACACTGCCAAGAAAAAGTTCATGAACTTTCACTGACACAACAAGGAACTCTATATTTAGTTACTCTCACTTTTTCTCTTTTCGTTAAATAAAACGCTAAGAAACAGATAGCGCATTTTCTGTGTGATACAATAACTTATTACCAGTTTTTCTTCATAAGTGAAAGAAAACGGAATTTATATTTATTATTTGCTTTACCATCCAAACACAATAAGATTGTTTACATCACGTGACTATATAAAGAGGGCGCGGGTTTTCCTGCGCGCCAGATGGGAATGAATCAGAATTTCTTTACCGGTCGCTGCTCTTTTATTATATTTATCTACAAATCGACTCATCAATTGAAAGGTGAAGATATATATATATATATTTGTGTAAAAAAAGGATTATACAGTGATTAAAAAAGAGCATGCAAGGTGTTTATTACCAAGAGTATGTTAGATATTTTAGTTAATGTTTATTAAAAGTTCTAAGTAAAAATCGATATACAAATAAATTTCTCCCAGGCATTTGTCCTCTGTATACAGCATGCGAAATTTTATTTAATACAACCTTGATCGTAGGAGTTCTTTGTAAATAAAAATTCAATTTTTTGCGTCAGATGTAAAAAAAAAATTATTCTTTTAAATCTAGGCACATACGTCTTGTATATTATTGGTATATACAATTAACATTATATACTATATAGCATGTGATATAAAATATAATATTTTTAAAAGACTAGTATAGTTTTATTATTTTTGTAATAGTAGAATAAATGAAATATACATTATAATTATTATCTAGAAAAAGAAAGCTATACAAAATAAATAATATATATGTAATATAATACATTATACCGTGTAATAATATATTGTATTATAACTATAAAAAAGGTCTACATTCTTTAATAACCTTTATGAACATTATAGCTATAAACTTTTATTCATGATATAGTTTATTTAACCTTGTAAGATTGAATAAATGGGTCAGTTAACCTCCGATAAAGGATTATAATTGCAATAATAGCAAACTATTTCTGTGAATAACCTCTGCTTCTAGTACGTTGTGATTAAAGTACTCAAATATAAGAGTCAAACAGCTACCTCTCTTTTCATTTGAATTCAGAGTTATTGCTGTTATAACTTTTATAAAAGAATAAATGAATATTAAAGAAAATTAAATAAAATTTTATGTTATTGAAGAAAGGTCGACTTGACTTTTTTGAGCATCAATTTCAGTAAACACTATGATTCATGTTATGTAAAAGTTTGTACCAAGGCAGAGATATTCAACAAAGAAAGTAGGCCTATACATTTTTTGTTGTTGTTGCAAGCTAGTCAGTGATACAATAAAGTCATTTCCATATTCTATTTTATAAGTAATGAATGTTGATTAATCTTTCATGATTTGAACTTTTGAACTTTTTTAATACCCTTATCCATTTACCTACATCCGCATGTTAGATTTATATGGAAACTGACGAAATATGCGTTCTACGTAATTGTAATTTTTGAAGGCCTATACTGGTACATATATATTTACGTTTATGTTGCATCTAATAATTGGAAGCGTTCCAAGTATGATCGTTGAGTCAAGTCACGTGTAGAATCCTAATAGCGAACGCAGTATATAAGAGAAATATTTTAACCTTGTGTGACAGTTAGAAACAGGTTACAATACTTGTTAAGCTTCAATGTAATTTTTCAAATTGTTTGAAATTCCTAGTTTACGACGTATAACAGCCTTGTAATTGTTTATGCTGTTAGGTGTACAGGTTCTAAATGATGAAAAATAGAAGAAAGATTGATCCTTTCGCTCCTGATATAGAAGAATGCGAAGAGACGAAACCCAAACCAGTCATGCCTGAGCCCGTTCAGATGGAAGCTCACATTTATCTGCCTCCATTACCAAGGAAGAGACTTAGTTCTAAAGAAGAATTTCTTCGAGTTTTGGCAAATGATAATGGTGGATCTATTAATAATGCTGATTTGGAGCCATCGGACAGTAGTTCAGAAAGTGACACTGAGTTAATTCGTAGTAGAGGATGTCCACTAGCAGTTTGCGAAACTGAAGATCCTTTTGTACAGCAACTAACCAAGTTAAGATTATGGGATAGTCATCTACCGGATAGGGTCAGAAAGAAGAACAGTTTAAAATCTTGTCCACATGCACATTCAGCATTAGAAAAAACCCCACCAATTCAACTAAAGAAGCGTCACACTGTCTCTGAGTATACTGATACAACTTATGGAGCGGCTGCATCACCAGTTGCATTTGATAATTTTATGAGGAGGAGGTCATCGGAGTGGTCGCCGTTTTCCCTTTCTCGGAGTTTTGGTCGAAACTCTTTAGATTCTCTATCCGAAGATAAGACTTTAAAAAGACATAGAACAGAAGTGTCCTCAGTGTCAAGCAGTTGTTCAAGTAAGTTATTTTTAAGAAATAAAGCGAAAAGCTCTATTAAAAAGAAATCATTTCAACTCAAATTAGGTTCACCAGCTAGAAGAAAGATAAAAAAAAATTTGAGCGATAGAGATCTTTTTAAAGCGAGTAAAGAATATTCAACAGTTAAAACTTTCTTTGAATCCCAAGATTCCATAGCAGGAACTGATTTAGAAAGAGTAAGTGGATTGATATTATATTGTTTTTTTTTATTGCTAACATGTCTAACAAATGATCATCAATCAGGAAAATGCTCATTTCTGGATGAGTGAAGTTGTTATAGAAGCAATGGAAATGATGAAATATGATACAATTAATTCACCTTCACAACATAGCATTGAAAATATCGATTCAGGTATGAAATAGAAATGCGTATATTCGATATATGGCTTATTTTATGATGTTTTTTTGTAGAAAAAATTGAGAAAGATTCTTTAAAAGAAAATAGTCAACTTAAAAAGAGTAAAGAGGGAAGAAAGAGGAGGAAAAAGCGTTCAAATCACTTTAGGGAAGAAGAGGGATGGTTGTTGATTCCTAATGTAAGAGACGATGAGAAAGCCAATGAAAGTTTATCAAACAATGATGAAGAAACTTCTATAACATCAGTTTCTCAATCCCTTCCTGAAAATGTTGCAATGAGCATTCTAAAAAAATATTCTGACGATATTTTGCCTTTCGTGTCGAACATACATTTACCAATGACACTAGATGGAGCCAAGTTACGAGGTACTGTCGATTGGGCACCGCCAAGACCTCAACTTATCTATAACTCTTACGAGCCACCAAAAGACATCGATCATCAAATAAAGTCACAAAAATGGAGATGTCCAGGATGTGGATCGGACGTAAGTTATAAAACTTCGAAATCAATCAAGATAATTTCTTAATAAATATCTAAACTAATCAGATTTTGAGAGGATTCTCATCAAGATTACGTTTCTGCTATTATTTTGGAAAGTACTTTTGTCCTTGTTGCCATGATAATCAACTGAGTTACATTCCTGCCAAAGTAATCCAGAAATGGGATTTTAATAGATATGCTGTCTCAAATTTTGCCAAAGATGTTATTAACAAGAATTACGATGATGTTGATACTTGGCCTTTTAATATTCAAGTTTTAAATGCGAATTTATACGAAAAAGTTCAAGCGCTTGACAGGATACGAAGGATAAGAAAAAAATTTATTGCAGTTTATCCTTACATCGTTACCTGTAATCAAGATAATGGGTAATATATTTGAACAACTTATATTATATTCTTTTCTGTTTTTAATTGTACTTTAGAAATAGTAGGACGTAACGTTATAGCCTGCAGTTATTTAGGTTTTAGAATTAAGCACTTAAGTTTATCCTCTAACAACTTAATTAGTTGTGACTGTGGTAAAGAGCAGATGGCACTCTATATTGAAAAAGTCCATAAAAATACGAACTCTAAGTTGTTTTGTTTTTTCTCCATGTTTAGTTTGAAATACGAAATTCAAAAATGGCCGGAACATTGGTTTAAGGATGAGCACGAATATACCTTAAATGATTTGTCTCAAGTGCGGAAAAAACAGCTGATTATTGCTCTAGCAAGAGTCACTGACCTGTGCATAAAACATGTAGACGACTGTGAGCTTTGTAAAGCTAAAGGTTTTTTTTGCGAATTATGCAATAATGATGAAATCATCTTTCCTTTTCATCTAAGTAACATATCAGCATGTAATAGTAAGTTATCAATAAACACGAAGACGTATTATTGTTAATATGCCATATTTTTCCTTCAACAGCTTGTAAAACTGTATATCATAATGATTGTTTTCATAAGGGAATCTCATGCCCAAAATGCGAAAGAATAAACTTAAGGAAGAAGAAAAATATGAATGAAAAAACAACAGAAGGAACAGAAGAATGACGAAATAAGGATAAAGTTTATCTAAATTCAGTATTTTGTTGAAATCTCAATTTTTTTACATGACTGAAAAGAAATCGAATTTTTGTTTTATTTATTCTATTTATGCTGTTTTTATCTTTATTTATTGAGAAAAATTGTAATTTACAGCTTTTTTGTTGTTGACTGTTTTAAATAAACACTTTAAAGAGAAAATGGGAAAAACTGTCTTTAAAATTACTATCAAAAGAAAGTTTTGTCCAATCTTCCATAGTGAACTAAAGAATATAAACAATGTTTTCAAGCTGTGCGTGAACCACTGCGCATGTTTATTCTTTTATTTTTATACTAATCAATGTATATTTTTAATATATCGAATATTTTATACATATTTACAATCAAGGGTTTGTTATCTGAACACGCTGCTCTAAGTTTATCTTTTTAAATTTTCTCTGATAGCAATTCTTCATCTTATTCAGCAGTTCTAAATACGAAATTATTTATCATTATTACGTTTTATATTCCTATAGTGTGTTTATATTAATAAAATTATCTATATTGGAAATATTTCTGTTACGAAGTTAGTATTTAGAATTATTTTGCCAACTATCTGATACAAATCAGATATACGTACATAATACATATTTTATAAAATATATTGAAATAGGATTTTTCTCCGAAGCTTCCTACAATAAAAAATTTAAAGTTTTTCATGTGAAAGAACAGTGATTAGATAAAAATAAAATAAAACATAAGTTTGAAATAGTAAATTAAGCATTTATTGAATGTAAATTACAAAGTAAAATATAGCAGAATGTGATAAAGTGAAAGTTTTGTCTTGATGAGAGATATCCAATATACTACAATTAAACCTTAAAAATCTATCAAAATATGCTACTAGATTGTTTGTAATCATGTATTTTTCTCTAACCCTTGAATAGGACGTAACTCCTTATTCTGTAAATATAAAGAATTTGTCTAAGAGAGGTTAGATTGAGGTCAAATCTTTTAATGGTTCTTGAAAAAACAACTTGATATTTTTTGCCGTTTACGCAAATTTTGTTTTTATTAATGTTAAAGCACATATATGTATATATATTTCTGTAGTAGGACCACTCTTTAAATTGATAACTGACTATTAATGATATTTTGCAAAGAAGAGAACAAAGAAAGAAAATGACAAAAATGGGAAGTAGATAGAATTTGGACATCTAAAAAAAACTCGTGATGGGTCATTTCACACATGTTCTGATAAAATTTTTCGATAAAAAGTTTTGCAACTGTTTAAAACGTATTTATAATAGTAAACTTCACGTTGAGAGCTGTTTACTAAATAATTTTCATGTTTACCTTTTCAAAGGAAATTCAAGCTCGATTAGATGGAAAAAGGAAGTTTTTAGTAATAACATAAACTAAAATAAGATAAGGATAATATTCAAGAAGATTTGCAAACTTAGCTACTTGGTCTTATTAAATGTGATTCAATTGTTCATATTACTTTATTATTTATATAATAATTACTCTAACTAATTTTTAGGAAAAGATTGTTTTTCATTCTTTAAGGTTTTAAAGACAAAATTTATAATTTTATTTTAGGAGTAGAATTAGGCCTTTGGACTTTATATAAGATAAAAACAGCTGTCTTTGAGAAGGAAAAGAGAGGTTCGATTGCAATTTTACGTGGCTATTAGAGAAAAATTTAACAATATACATAATATGGATCCTTCAGAAGAAAACTTTTCCCAAGTTGACAGAGGAGGTTAGTTCGTATTACTTACCAGTATACCAAAAAAAATACATATATTTTGTGAAATAATGCTTTACGATCACACGGGATAAATAATAAGGTATTTTACTGTTTAGAATATCGTAGAAGTCGTTTATAATGATCATTATGTTCTTCGTATTTTACAACTGATAAAGCATCTTATAAAATGAAATATATCCACAAAATCTTTATTAACATATTTAAGATGTTTTAAATAATACATAGACATTATTATCCATTATTTCTTGTAGCCTAGTCATGATGAAATATTTATTTAATTTTAATATTATATCAAGGATAATCTAACGACCCATTTCAAATATTCCCGGTAGGACTTGTACTCAGTATAATTTTACATATGTATATATTTGACTTCATATCTACTTTAACTCTTTTGATAATGGCTATCGAAAGTGAAATAAAACTTTTAAACAAAATATTATCAATTCTAAAAGGCCTAGGCAATTTAACTAAGATTAATCAACGATAACCCAGTGAAAGTTAATGATCTGTGAAAGGCTTAAAGCTTTAGTCTCCTGTGAATAGTGGAAGCATTCGTTAGAGCTGTAAAAATTAACCCAGAGGTTGACTTACTGAAGAAAAGTTTGAATATTGGGGATTTTCTCTCAGAAAGATAACTCGTTGATTTCTCTTGCCAATATATAATTATGTTATTTTAGGCATACAACTTCCAATCTCGAAAGTACTAAAAACTTCTTTAACATGATAAAAAATTGACCCTGACTAAATAAAGAAAACTACCTCTGTTTTTTTCCAGCAGATATGTATCAAGAATCTGGAAACAGTATAACAAGTGATCTGATCGAATATGGAAGTGATTTTGCTGCGGGATTAGCAGGAGGTAATTAGATAATTTTTCGATTGTTATGTATATTTCAGGAAAAAAATCACATAATGTCTCTTTTCACGAAGGATGCGCTGGTTTGACTTTTGGACATCCTTTCGACACCATAAAGGTTCGACAACAGACAATGGGCGACAAATGCGGTACTATATTAAATTGCTTAAAAAGATCATTGGAATTGGAAGGGGTCTGTAATTTAACATCAATATATAATATTAATTAATGATCATATCTTTGTATTTATCAAATTATAGCCTAAAGGTCTATTCAAAGGAATGGCCTTCCCACTCGTGTCAGTTGGCTTTCTAAATAGTATCTTTTTTGGTGTGTACGGAAACGCTCTAAAGTTTATAGATAACGGTGATAAGGAACCTTCATACTCGTCAATTTTCATGTCTGGCGCTTTTGCGGGGGCTATACAAGCTGTTCCCGCTTCTACGATAGAGCTAGTCAAAGTTAAACTTCAAGGTCAAATAGGTTAGTACTTTAACTTAATCAGTTATTATTAATATATGCATTAAAATTTATATTAAATTGCAACAAAATTTTGTTTTATTTCGCAGGCAGAAATGAATTCAAGGGGCCTTTCGATTGCCTTCGACGCATCTATAAAAATCATGGAATACGTGGATGTTTTCGTGGATTGACACCAACAATTTTGAGGGACATGCCGGGTTTTGGAGTGTATATTGCATCTTATCAAGCTATGTGTGATTTTGCGACGCCAGAGGGTCATCATCAACCATCAGTAAGAGCTATGTTGTTATCTGGCGGATTGGGGGGAGTATTTTCGTGGATCGTTAACATCCCAATTGATATAGTGAAGAGTCGCCTCCAGGCTGACAATCTTTCTAATCCTAAGTACAAAAGTTCTTGGGACTGTGTTCAACAAAGTTATAGAAATAATGGGTGGAGAGTATTTTGGAGAGGTTTACCTGTTTCTTGCCTCAGGGCTTTCCCTGTCAACTCAGTTACTTTCGTTGTCTATTCTCAAACACTAGCTTACATTCAGAGGACAAACGGTCAGCGTCAAACTGTCTGAAAATACTGGGATTCAAAAAGAATTGTAGAATACTGCAAAAAAGATAAAATACAACTAATCAAGACAATAGACATATATGCGATTGAGAATATATTTCATTGTATTATATTTATTTATGAAAATCTATTCATAAATTACATGTGTATGTGCGGATGGAAAACCAAGAGGCCAATATGCAATATGAACTGACTTTGTTGTATTGTCAAAATAAATTTGATATTAATTTTATAATTTCCATATACATATATGTAATGAAATTCTATAAAAAATTTATTCTAACCAAATAGATTGTTACTTAAACGATGGTCTTCCTAGAAGCCTGAATATTAATATAATTTTTAACTTTGAACTTGAGACCTTATGAAAAATATGAGTTATCGCAAATTAGGCTAAATTATATTAGAAAATATTCGTGACGTATCAATGATAAATATCTAATAAAGCCTTTTCACTTTATAAGATTATTAGTGAATTATCTTCTGTTTAAGTCTAAGATAGGTTTTTTAGAAACATATATAATTTCTGATTTTATCTAAAAGAGAAAGACCAAGCTAGGCTTATATATTATTAATCAGTGATTGGTTGATGATTAATAACTAACTGTTCCTTTTTATTTTTGTAGATTATTATCGGAAACAAGAGAATTGAAACGAAATTAATTCCCAATCGAAACTTAAAAATGATTTTAAGTTTATGATATGGTATAAATGATTGTATGCTAATGTTATGCAACAAATAAAGCGAGAAATTTAGGTTGAGGACAGAATCAGTATCCTTGTAAACTTAACACTTGAATACAAGTCTGTTTAACTTAATCGTCCTATACATTAACTTTCTTATTTAGTCAAATGAAACAATTTGATATGTAACCACTTGATATTATTTTCGTTTCTTAATAATAAACTTTAGAGAAAGTGCAGGACTTTGTATCTCTTATTAATTTTTTTGTTATTAATCTAGTTTCAAGTTGAGGCAATAATTCTTTGCTTTCTTTGTCTTATATATCGTAGAAATCGTAAAAATAAAACGTATTGCGCACAACCTCATTTGATGAATACCAGTCATAGAAACTTTGACGAAATAGAGTGATGCAGAACATTTAGGATTTTTTCTTTTCATCTTTATTAAATTAAACAAAACAGTAGCTACTTTTAGTACGTGTTTATGTTAATAGATTTAGTTGCATTTTGTTAATTTTGGAATGTCATTTTATTTTTTGAATATTCAAGGTAATGCGGCGTGTAATGTAGTACTTTAGATCCTTCTTGTATTTACATTTAACAATTGTTATACTTTTTTCTTGGTGAAACCTCGTAAATGACTGAATCAGGGAGACTTCAGAGATTGTTTTATATTCTGCATATAATCTCAATGCAAAAACTAAACTTGAAAGTACGTGAAACACAAGTTGATTGTGAAAATTTAAGATGGAGGAGGGAAGAGAAAAGTATAAAAGTACTCCTGTACTCCTTTTGATATCAAAAGTGTTTTACGTCAAACTATAAATATTTCCACTCCTTCACTGACAGCTACAGGAGGATTTTAGTTGGTTTTTATTGAGTATTTATAAATAATCTAGTCATTATCCAACTTTCGTTTGCCTTTTTCACATTGAAATAGCGTAAAAAAATCTGTAGAAAAAAGTAATATTGTTAACATGTTAAGAAGATGATAAGGCAACCAAAAAACAACGAATGCTGATTGTTTTGTAAGATGTCGTCTCTTTTTTCAAAGTTTTAAATAACTTATCAAGACAATTCGCCATCTATCGCCTGAGAATAATGATACTTGAATGATATTTAATATTTCTTCCTTTTTGTGACATAATTTTAGATTTAGTAGAAAATGTTTCATGATAAGAAGAAATAGCATATTTATATTTCAAGTACTCTATCTAACATTTATATTAGTCTCTGAAGGTGGGAAGGTGTGTGTGCTTGGTACTAAAATAGACGATAATTTAAAGCAGATAATAGACACCAAAAAGATTCTTAAAATATAAATAATTATTATTCAGGTAAGTATGACATAAGAGACTTACTTACATTTAGAACTGACAGAGAGAAATAGAGAGTTATGTACTAAAAATTTCTCTTATACCTCTCCTTAAATTATTCATTAACTCAAGGCCTTCATCTTTAGGTAAATCTCTTCTGTCTTACCGAAAATTACGATTCCTCTTTGTCTCTTTCTTCATCTCACTTTATCTGCTTGTTACAGAACGACAAAATTTTTTTACGTTTTTCCTACTTTGAACTTGAATAAATAATTTAGGTGTTGTTTTAAAGTTCAAAGGTCAAGAAAAGATCATTGATTATTTTGCCCTTATGTTTTACATTTAAAGACACAAGTACTGTGTCTTAACGATTGTTTGATTTTAGCGAATTATGCTTTAAATATTTCTCTTAAAGCTACAACACAGTTCTGTAAAACTCGTTTGATTAGCTTTATTACAGTTAAAGTTTCTATCAATCATGTACAATTTATTTAATTGTCTTAAGTTTCATTATATAACAACAAAATCATGTAATATCTTCAAAAAGACTGAGATTGAGAATCGTCAAGTCTTCTAGCAGAACAGCATTTCAGTGTTATAATGTTTAAGAGAAATTTACGAAACTTTTCTGTTGATAAAATATAGACGATCGGATTCCAAAATGAATTAGAATAGATTAACATATAACTAAATAAACTGAAAGAAGATTTTGATATATTATGAATAAAAAATGGTAAAAATGAGATAAGAGATGCTAAAAAGAGGGTAATTAAGCATTTAGATACCCGAACATTTCTTGTATAACGTTTCATTTCGCCAGATAATTGATCTTTCGCTAATTTATCAGAACCTGATGGATAGCTTCTAGGTACATGATGTATTTGAATTGATACGCTCCTCACAAAACCAACTTTGATCTGAGATCGAGTTTTCATTGTCAAAGTAATTATAATTAAACTATATAGAATAGCTTGTATAACTGCGCATAAAATGAGAAAAATAGGCGTTGAATACTGGTAAAAACATGAAGGATTCATACATCCACTATTACTTCCCACAACTTTAGCTGTCATTATACCCAGTATTGCAGAAAGAATGATAAATATAAGAAACAGAGATCTAGCTAATTTTGCAAATCTTACAAATCTCATCGGATATCGTATGAGAAGAAAACGATCAACTGATAGTAAACACAATAGAGCCCCGGAGATTATGATTGAAAATTGAGAAAATCCAGTAAAAAATAGTAGAAATGATGGATACTTTATTCCAATACTTTCACCAGTAGACGTATTAGTGATTACGGTTACATCTCCAAAATGTAATATTGGCATCAATGCTATTATTATTACACAATTGCTTCCACAAAACACCGAGTATGCAGAGAATAGTAACTTTGAGGTTTTACTACCTACCTCTTTCGTGGCAATAAAAATTCCCATTATTACATTAATTAAAAAACCAAAAAATGCTACCGTAGGGAAAACTATAGAAATGGATATTAACTCCGTTTTACCAAAAAATTCTGATACACGTTTAGAAATTACTGTTGTATTATTCATATTAACCTGCAGTATAATCTCTTTGCCTCTTCAGAAATTCCTTCTGCAGACTAACAGAACATAGAATTTCACTTTTGAGGAGATGGCGCCACAGCAAAATAGAAACAGAGAATCAGAGGAGAGAGAAAAAAGAAATGAAAGAGAGAGAGGTCTCCTAAACTGTGTTATTCATAGTAACTGAAATAAGGTGATCCAAATGCTTTAATCCGAGGGTATAGAGTTCGATGTTTGCTAATATTTCAATCATAAAATTGAAGCTAATAAGCATTGCTATTCTCGTTGAAGTTTCATGTAAGTTTTATACTTTGACCAATTTCTTGAAAATGATATCAGCCGACGAAGCGTAAAATCATCTGGATAGACTCGAACCTTCAAATTGTAAATAAAATTTAAAGCGGAAAGTAATTGTACTAGTATATTTAAAAATATTACCTGCTCGCCCAAACTGAATAGGCATTCTCTACTAGAGTACTTTTCAAAGATAAACTTTGGAATCTTAATAATTTGAGCTCCTTTACTTAGCAAGGAAATTCTACATGGGTATTTATCAAATAGACCTTCTATTCCCTAAAATAGGATTTGCCTTTATTAATATTGATTAGAAGAAAAATAGAAGTCTATCTAACAAAAATACTATTGGATTGCAAGGTATCTATTTCTGCCAACGTCACATTCTGCTTTGATCGCTCTCCCTTTTTAAGATCTTTCAATTTCTGTTTAAAGTGTAAAAATTTTTTTTGGATTATTTTCTTTTTTTTTTAGGAATTCGGTGGAAATGATTTTTGCTTGGACGACTATATATGAAAAACCATAAAATGTAATTATAGGAATAATAGGTCTTGTAATGATTCTTTCAGGGTTATATAACCTGTTAATTAAAGAATAATCTACATTTTTACAACAGCTGGACACATTTTATCAATATGCTAAAGTGTGTTGTTAATATATTTGATATTTAGAAATCAAAAGAGTATTTGTAAACCTGTAATTTAAAGGCGGTTCCAGTTATCCTTTTCCATGCTCGATGTACACCTTTCTTCTCTTTTCGGTGATCATCTGTTATCGGTCTTTCTATTGTTTAACAAAAATAACATAAAGATATATATAAGGGAAAATCAATACGTTTCAAAAACAATAATATACTCTGTAAAGGGTGTGTATCAATATCGTACTTAATCTTTTACTGTATGTTTGTAAAATGCTGATTTTAAAAATTTGGATTATTTTAAAACACATTGTGGTTTGTTAAACTTGGCTAAACAAGATGGGAACTAAGTTTTTTAATGACATTAAAATTTAAACTTTCATGCCAAAATGGCTTGAATAGAAAACAAAAGCTTTTTGTTTAGAGTGATAATTTCCCTCATAAAACTATAAGAATTGGGCATTGAAATGGCTAAAAATTGGCGTTCATTACTTTAAAGTTAACTTATATATTTATTGCGTTAACTCACAGTCCAGACCTACAAAATACTCCAATATATATACTAAAGATATAAAAAAGTTCGAACGTTTCTGAAATCTTCCGTCAAAGGGATCAACCTTTATTTCTGCTGATTGCCATAATTCAATTGGTTTTCTCTTTTCATATGCATAATCAATTGAATTTGCATCGTCCATTATCGGTGGCTTGATTTTAAAAATGATAATAAAAACATTAAAGTTAAGAATTTAAAAAATTACAAACTAAGTTCAATTTGTCAAGTTGATTTATTCCAACGAGAATATTTGAGTGTATTTGTTTTCGAATAAGACCACTATTCCATAGCATATTTCCAGCTGATTCTATTAAATGATAACTATTGTCAAATGTACCCGAAATAAAATCTTAAATATCAATTTATTACTAGATCGTCTTTGTTTTGCTATTTCTTTGAGTCTTTGACATTCTGCTTCTCCGTGTAATCGCCTG